TTAAGTAAGTTATTATCTTAAAAAAATAAAGTAACAGTTTTTAATTAATACTTTATTAAGTTTTTAGTAGTTTATATAAATATAAATACTTCTACTAAGTTTTATAATAATAAGTAATTTAAAGTATATAGGTAAGTTAAACTACTTATTAAACTTTTATTTTTATTTTATTAATATGTTTTAAAATTATAAATATTAAATAAAAAGGCAATAGCTAAAGCTTAGTATTTAGTAAATTAGCTTTTAGCTTAATATATATAATATAATTATAAAGTGTGCGCTTATTAACTATATTAGCTTAATTCTTATTTTAAAAGTTAATTTTTAATTAGTATTTTAAAAAAATAATAAATTTAAGTTAGTTTAATTAAGTTTTTTTTTAGTTATATTATAATTTTTTACTATAATTACTTATAATATATAAAGTAAGTTATTTTTATTAACTTTAATTATAAAGCTAGCTAAAATAGAATATATTTTAAATGTTTTAATATAACTGTATAGCTTAATTACGTAAGCTAATATAACTTAAATTTATTTACTCTATTTTTTAAGTTAAAGTTAAAGTAATTCTACACACAGCAATAGTTAATAATAAAAGATTTACTTTAGTCTTTTTAGTTATTACTTATTATTTTAGTATTTTTATTATTGTAAACCTATCGCTGTGTATAGAATTACCTAAACTTTAATTTAAAAAATAAAAAAAAATAAAAAATAAAAGAAATATACTAAAATAATAGGTAATTACTAAAAAAACTAAAATTTATTTACTTAATTAGTAATTTATTTCTTCTAAAAAATCTTTATAATTTTACTTAAATAAGTGCTTTTTACTTAATCTCTCTTTTAAGTAAAGGCAAAATTGTTTAGTCTTTTTAGTAATTGCTTATTGTTTTAGTTTATTTATTGTTATAACTTACTACTATATATAGGATTACTTTAACTTTAACTTAAAAAAATAAAAAGTGCTTTTTAATTTTAGTAAATAAAAAGTAAAGTTTTTTAGAAAAGTTAAAAAAATTATAGTAGTTAAAGCCTTATATATATATTATAAAAAGAATTTTAAACCTAGTTATAAGTAAAGCTTCTTTTAATTCTACTAGCTTAATAAGCTTAAGTAAAGGTAAAAATTATTTATTTTTTTAGTTATTACTTATTTTTTTAGGTTTTTTATTGCTGTAATTTATTACTGTATATAAAATTACTTTTTATTTTTTTAGTTGTTGCTTATTATTTTAGTTTATTTTATTACTATAAACCTATTGCTGTGTGTAGAATTACCTAAACTTTAACTAAAAATAAATAGAATTACTTTAACTTTAACTTAATAAAAGATTAAAAAAAATAAAAAGTAAAGCTGTAGTTTAAACTATTAAAGTAGACTAGTTTAGTATAGTATATAATAGTAAGTTAATATATTTATTACTATTTAATACTTAGTAATAAGTTAACTTTTTTATTAGTATTAATAATATAAGCTTTTATATATTTTTTATAGTTACTAAATAAAAAATAAAACTTAGCTTTATAAGTAATTTTATAAACTTTATTACTATTATAGTTATATATATATAAAAGTTTAACTAAAAAAATAAGCTTAATACTAGTAAGCTTATAAAACTTATAATTAATAAAATTATTAAATAATTTTTTATTTAAAAAAGCTTTTATTTTACAAAGCGCATTATAATAAGTGCTTAGTATTTTAAATATAACAAGTTTAGTTAGTAAGTTTTTAAGTAGCTATATATAGTTTTACTTAAAAACTTACTAAGTAACTTAAACTATTTTACTAAAAATAGTAAGTAGCACTAGTAGTATATTACTATAACTATACTTATATATTTTTTTACACGTATAACTTATACGTAAAGATACTTATTTTTTTATTTTTTGTTTAAAAATTTAGTAAGATTTTAAGCTTTATTATTATTAAGCTTAAAATTTAAAAAAAAGTATAAAATTAATGCTAGTATTATAAAAATAAAATAATATAAACTTAGTATAGTTATATTTTTTTATTTTTTTAGCATATTTATTATTACGCTTTTACTTATAACGTATTTTATAAGCAAGTTGCTAACTTAAGTAAGTTACTAACACTTAACTAGCGCACAATTTACACATAACTATTATAAAAATATTATACTATTAATTAAAAATTATAGTAAACTAATTTATTCTTTAAACTTATTACTATTTTTAAAATTTACTATTTTTACTTTATAAGTATAAAAGTTAAATTTTTTTTTACTATAACGCTTATAGTACTTTATACTACGCACTTTAAGCGTAAGCTTTTTACTAGTATTATACTTTTTACTTTTTTTTTTAGTAATAAAGTTTTATACTTCTTTTATAGCTAGAGTTTTTTTTATTTAAATATACTTCTATTTTTTTAATTAATACTTTATAAGCTTATTAATTACGCTTTGCATACATGCTTATCTTTTTTGTAATAATACTATATTATATATAATTTACTATACGCTTTTACTTAGCTAGTAAACTTTTTTATTTAATAAGCTTATAAAAAAACTTAAAATAGTTTTAAATTTTTTATTAAATAAGCGTAGCTTATACTTTAATTTTATAAATATTATATAGTATTTGCGCTTTTTATATACTTTACTTTAATAATAATTATTTTAAAGTTTATAACTTTATATTAAGCTTTAATATAATAGCTTTTAAGTTATATAAAACTAGTCTAGCGCCTTAAAAGCTTACTTTACTATTTTTTACTATTATATTTTATTTAAAAGCTAGCTTAAATACTTAGAAAAAAGCTTTTTTATTAATAAAGTATATATAGTTACGCGCTAAAGCTAAAATTTAGTTATTATACTTATACTTTAATAGCGTAAAATAGCTATTATTAAAAAGTTATAAAAAGTATAATAAATATAAAAGTATATAAAAAAAAAATTTTTTTAATAAAAATTTTAAAATTTAAGTAAGCTATAGCTTTTATAGCTATTAATTATAAGTAAGTAGTATATACTTACAGCACTTAACTTTATATACTTATTAAAGTACTTTAACTAAGTCAAAGTAAGCTAGTTATTTATTTAGCTATTAAAGCTTACTTTAAAAATTTAATTATATAGTAAGTTTTTAAACTAAGTATTAGTAAGCATACAGCTTATAAAAATAATAAAAAATAAAAATAAGTAACTTATAGCGTTAACGCTTTAAATAATAGTTACTTACTTATACTTACTTATACTTACTTAGCTAAATTTTCTTTATTTTCTTTACTTTTTTTAAGCTTATAATAACTATTTATAATAATATTTTACTTATAATAAAGTTAGTTTTATTAAAGTTATAAATATTACTATTAAAAAAAATTTATTTTTATTTTATTACTTATACTAAGGTAAACTAGTACTAAATAGCTATAAAATTTTTATAAGCAGCTTACTAATAGTTATATAGTTAGCTTTAGTATATATAAAGCTTAAGAGTTTACTTAATAAAGTTATTAACTTAGTTTTTACTAATAAAGTTATTACTTTATAATTTAAAAAGTCTATTTACTATTTTTTATATATAAAACTTTAAAAATATAAAACTTTAAGTAAACTACTTAATAACTTTTTAAACTATAGCTTTTTTTTTAGTTTTATAAAGCACTTTAAGTTTACTTTATAATTATATTATATATACTTTTTAGCGCGTTAGTTAATAAAAGCTTTTTAAAATATATTATATATAGTTATAGCTTAATTAAAGTTTTAAATATATTATAAATTAATATTAAAAATAATAAGCTATAAATTAGCTTTAATATAAGTTTTTTAAGTAAGTAATAGTTAAAATATTATACATTATTATTATGTAAGTAGTATGCTAGTTAAGTATTAGCAACTTACTTAAGTTAGTAACTTACTTATAAAACACGTTAGCTAAAAAATAAAATAAAAAATACTAAGCTATTTTTTTTTAAAAAAAAGCTTTATATAAGCTTACTTAGCTTAGCTAAGTATAAACTATTTTTAAAAAAGCTAGTTTAAGCTATAGCTATATAAATGCTAAGTAAATAAAGTAAATAAAAAACTAATTTAAATATAAGCTAGTGTTTTATAAATAATACTTTTAGTATAAAGTAAATAAAAAGCATTAGTATCTAAATCTATATATAGTAATATAAAATAAAATTTTAACATTAAGTAAGTTATATATATATTTTTTTAATTTCTACTTAATTTTTTTTAAGTTATTTTTATAAAGTACTACTACTAATTTAAGCTTTATTTTAAATAATATTACTAATTTAAGTTTTTTCAATAAGTTTTTTTTAGTACTTTTATTTATTTTAGGTTAAAATTAAAGTAATTTTATATATAGTAATAAGTAACAGTAAGATAGTATAGTAGGCAAACACCTAGACGCTTTTAGAAATAGATTTTTAATTTTTTTTTTAAAAAGCTATTAGTTTAAATCTAGCTCTTATTAAAATTTGCTTATTAAAAAAATTGTATATTTTTATTATTTAAAGAATAAAATCTTAAATTTTACAATTAAAATTATTATATTTATTACTAGGTGCTAAGAATTACTTAAAAAGCAAACCTAAATAAATAAAGTAATAAGTAATAATAATAAATTAACTAAAATAATAAGTAATAACTAGAGAAAAGGTTTTTTAGTACTTTAATTTATTAATATTATTTAAGCTTATTTTTTTTTAAAATATCTATTATTAATTCTATTATATAACAGTTTTATAGCTTTTTATAATAGACTTTTATTAATAATTAAGCTATTTTTAGCTTACTTGCAGCGGAGGTGCTTAATAAGTAATTAACTAATTACTCTACGCGCGTAGTAAAAGAGAGTACAGTAAGAGATGCAGTACACACCGCTACATATAGCTTTACAAGCAGCGCAATGCAGGTGCATGCAGAATCAATGCCTCTAAACATCCTCTAGCAATTTTTTGTTGCCTAGTCTGATAAGTGGTGCAGCCAAAGAGCTTTCTGACCTCCTCAACGTGGCTCTTGTGTAGCCTTATCTATACTTGTGTACGTACACATGTGTGCACATGCTTGGTAATTCAATGCGCGCCCACCTTCCCTTCTTTTCTGCCTTCCTCTCTTGAGCCGACCTCGTGATTCCTTAGTCCGTCTTATCCATTCGCCAAAACCACCACTACAAAAAAAGTAAATAACACCACCTACCGCCCTCCCCACCCCGCTGCTTCCCACTTCTTCTCCTCACTTTTGTTTTGTATCCTGCCTGCTGCGCCCGCTCTCCACTCTGCCGCGTCAAACACAACACAATCAATCCCACTCCGCCAAGTGACGGGATCTACACACTGCAAACATCCAAGACACCAAGACACCAAGCCACCAAGCCAACTTAAACAGAGCCCCATTATCTGGAAACCTCTTTCGACTCATATCAGTATACGACGCCCCTCATCGCCGCCAAGATTGCCTCGACCAACAGTCGCTCAACCCAGCCTCCATCCAAGACTTGTATCAACCAAGCTTCGGCAGAATCACAACTTTCCTCCACCTTGGTATCCCCACAGTAAACCCTCTTGTCTGCTTGTGCACTCGGAAGGCCAGCTGCAACAACCTGTGCCTCCACCTCGTCTGGAGTAACTCGACCATTCATGCCATAGCACCATCCCTCCATTGATTCTCCCAGCAAAAGGACATATAAATCTGCCTCCATAGCCCGACCTTTCTCAGACCTTCAGAGCAGCCAGCCAGCCACCCCATCCTCCACACACTTGCTCACTTGTCAAACCTTTTGAAGCCGACGCTATCCCCTTTCTGCCCATACAAGTACCACGGGACCTTCCGCGCTTGCCACGGTAGCCTATACCCACGACACTGTTCAAAAGCAATCTTCGTCTACTTCTCAACATATAGTAGCAAGCCGAAGCCCGCCGCATCTCTCAAATAATCTCATCTTTTACCACAACCACCAAACTGGAGTCATGTCTTTCTCCGGTCACCACATTCCCTTCCCGCGCACCTTCCTCACCCTCAATCCCACCGCCAAGAAATCCATCGTCAACTCCCCATCCCTCACCACATCCTCCGAGCCCCAGCTCCCTCCTAACGGGTTTCTTTCCAACCGACCCACGACCAGCCTTCGTCACAGCTCCATCAGCTCCGTCTCCAGTGTCGAGAGCGATGCCAGCACGGCATCTACTCTTGCCCCCACCGAGCCTTCCTCTCCACCTTTCAATAAGCAGACGCTTCACACTTTTCTCTCGCTTAATTCAATGCACGTTGCACCCGCGGCGTCTGCTGCGTCGTTGAAAGCAATCGACTCCAAAGGTTTCTTGAGCAACCGGGTCTGAAGCACGCTCCAGCGCTCAACCAAAAAGAGACGCGCAACAGACGGTGCATCATCATGATTTCCTTCGATAGAGGACCAAGCCGCAATTCGAGAGGACGACGGGTGCCCATCGAACCACATCCGGGTGTGAGCACTCATGCCACGCAGATAAACGACCCTCCACTGCGGTGACATGTACCCAGCCACATCTTCTATTTCATTGCACGAATTTAGAGTTATCAAGGCAAACACAAAAACTATATTCATGATATAGGCTGCAGGGATCAAAGGGGCTGGGGGGGCTTCGTGGAATTTCCGTTCGTTTGCTAGGAATCCGGCTTTCAACAGCACACAGGTTCTGTCATTACTGCTTGTGAACCATGAAACATCGTCGACACAGTTAGCGAGTTGCATTATACCAGACCAAATGCAAATGCATTGCCCCTATTCTTGCTTTCACTCAGTCGTGATAACCGGTTCAACATACGGACCATGTCTAATCCGACTGTGCACCTTTTCGTCAACGTTGTCAACCTGGACTTGTCCGTTTTAATTGCTTCATTGTTGTCGGCACCTCCGATCATGCAGCGGGTTTTATTTGCACGACTTTGATCGCCCGCCCTGCGCTCAGCACACACACCTTTCAAAACAAGCCCCTAGTTAACCGAGTCCTCCAAAACTCTGCCCCAAGCTGATGAAACGTATTTGCGGGTTTCATACTCAGTAGGTCGGGGGGTAAACTCGATCTGTTCTGGTACTCACTGACCAGTACCTTGTCCGAGCACTAATGGTTATGTATGCATGTACCTACCTAGGTACATATCTTCCGCGTACACGTGCTCTCTGCAACTCCAAACGCCTTCGTCTTCTGTATTTGTCACGTGCCGTTGTTGCCCAAAGCCTTCCAGTTCTCAGCTTTCACTCCCTTATCCTTAACGGTTGTACATGATCATAAAATCAGACCCCGTGTAAGGAGGTCAACTCTTCGGACACCGACGCGCGTGGCAAAATCGATGAACCAACAGCCGAGAGCAAACCTCCCCAAACAATTCCCCAGCAAACCCCATACCATGCCTGACCCATGATCCGCCGGGGTTCGGGGAACGACAACGTGCGTACCATCCATCTGTGTATGCACGCAACGTGGACGCACGAGGCAGAGGCGACCAACGTGACGGTCCTTTTCGGTCCGAGTGGGAGAACATGTGTTTTCCACTCAGGGCTGCATGGGCCATATAGGGTTTGGATGAAAAAGCCAATGGATTTGGTACATCCAATCTGTTGGCTTCTGATCAGTCACTGCGTCACAATCACACGTGATTCCAATCCTGCCAGACCCCTTGATCGCCACTCATCGATTCGACATCCATGTGATGAGTCTGACCATCTCACCTCCTATTTCCTGATTCCTGAACCCCATTGCTCATATGTGCAGACGTGTCGATGACTAACAGGCAGCAACTAATTTCAATCCGTCGTTTGGTCTAAGATCGGCGGGAAAACTGTACATGGTGTGTTGGCCATTCCAAGCCGTGTTTCTCATCTTTGAAAAGCGGAAAGCAGAGTGCAATGCCGACTAACCCGGTCGTTAATTGACCAAATATTCGAGAATAGAAGAAGAACAGTTTCCATCACAGAAATTCGTCCTTCTCTACCAGCAAAAACAAGAGAAACAGGCTTCACCATAAAGAACATACGGATGGTTACGCAGAGATTGTCGGAATTATGCAACTTTTCAAATAATTGTGTATATTTCTCCGCCCGCATCCAGTCCCTCTATGGCAACGTCACATCGCCACAATATTGGCAGTGTTGCTTAAAATATCTTTCATAGTGCAATATAGCCCACGATGTTGAGATTCGAGATCCCCCCTTCAAAGCCCCCCACTGCCTGCCGAGCGTTCCCTGGTGTAGCTGAGCGCACCAAAGCAAAGCAAAGCAAGGAAAGCCCTCTCTTTTTGGGTTGTTGCACAGACCTGAGTGTGCATGGTTCTTACTAATCCACAGCACCACTTGGGAGAAACAACGTGTAGTGAAAATTGATCAAATGGCGGGCCAAATGTAAATACGCTAAGCTGGTGGAGTTGAAGGAGTTGCGTAACGTTACCGCAGGCAGTGGCGAATGCAATCAAATGAGCAAACCCTTCGTTCGATGGATTCAATATCGGGATCGGGTATCGAACAACAATGTGTTTCCGTCGCAACTATTCGAAGGAAAGGGAAGGAACAAACAAACATAATCAAAGAGAGACTATAACATACACTGGCCGCTAATGGTGGAGCCTCTCGTTTGCTCCAATGAAGCAGCCCGCACCTCATGAGTGACGAAAACACAAAAAGACCAAGTCGGCCGGGACAGATGTTGTATGCCTCCTTGATACTAAAACTTTTTCTCAAGCCAGTAGAAAAAGGACAACAGGGGAAGAACGGGCGGCGATTATCCGGCAAAGGAAAATGGTTTGGTATGGGCATGAGCAAGACGAGAGAAAAGATAAAACCCCGCCAAACTCCTAGGGTAGTATGACTGCAGCTCCAGGACATTGGAAGAAGACCTCCCATGAAGTTCAAACGCCTAAAACTCCGATGCTGCGCTCTGCAGTATATGCGAGCAATGAAATATCCCTTCCGGTGTCGTGAACCAAAAGCGCATCGAATCGAAAACGACCAGTATGCGGAAGGTCGTGGGGCGTGATATATTTATTATGTGGTGAATAGGGTGAAAAGCGGGTATAAACAGCGATGGACCAATGGTCTCGTCGGAAACAAAGGATGGGGTGCCGTGGCTCAGAGGATGCCCGAGTCTTTGAGCGCATTCTGCAAAATCGTTTCTTTTACAGCGGCGAAGACCAATCGGATGTTTGAGGTGTCTGTTGCTTGTGTAAGGCTGTCACTGTTAGCAAAAAGAGTACGAGACTTGCGCGATTGAAGGACATACTGAGGGTAAAGGTTGAGATGTGCCCGATTAACTTGGTTGAACCTCCAAAGGAGATACTTGGCTGCACGGTTCACATCATTGCCACCCGAGTAATCAGGAAAGTAATTTCCGAGTGGTGATCGTGCCAGTTTTGCTTTGAAGAGATCCACTTTGTTCAAGAACAAGATGATACTCGTCCTCATAAACCATCTACTATTGACTACCGAGTCAAAAAGTACCAAACTTTCCATCATTCGATTCTGGTGGATGATAGTCAGTACGGGAAAGTTGAGAAACCTGCTGGGAGTGCCTACCTGAGAGTTCTCCTCGAGCAAAACTTGGTCGTATTCACTCAGAGCTACGCAAAAGATGATGGATGTGACGTTTTCGAAACAATGTATCCATTTCTTACGCTCACTTCTTTGACCACCCACATCGAACATGCTACAGTGGTTCGTTAGCCGGAGCAAGCAGATTAGCAACGGGAGTGGATCATTGCGTACTGTATACTCAGTTGACCCATGGTGAACCTCGTCTCATATATACCGGTTGTTTTGGTACGTGCGCGTAGAACATCCGACTCGATAGGAATGTAGTTGGGATCGGCTATCCGCGTCACCTCGTCGAAGAAGCTAGGAACGGTCAGCGAATCGCGCATGCAAGTACGGCTACGAGGTGGCATACTAGGGAGCAGAATCCATCAGGTAGAACTCGCTCGAGTGTTCCAAGACCTTGGGCACACAGGGGTCTCGCCATATTGATGAGATTGCCTGACCTACCCTCATGTCAAGCGGTTTTTCGGGATCGGGGTCGACCGTGTAATCGAGCAGGTAGCGACTATACTCGTCGTTGCCGGGGTCCTCGCAAGAAACGGAAAATTGGCTCATGGCACCGATCAAAGCCTTTGCACAGTCGATGACATTTTTGTATATAGTGAGACGATACATGGCGAGCTCTTCTTGGGTGTAACCATTCTGATGGATAATCTTCATCTGTTTGACGATGGTTGACTTGCCGCTCTCTCCGGAGCCTGGATGAGGAGGTTAGCTTGTGAGGAGTGCAATGTTGTGAGGAGGGAAAGTGGCTCACCCAGCAGTAGTATCTTGCATTCTCGTCGTAACCGGCGCGAGTCCTCCTCGAGCTTTCGGTCGATTGCTTGACTTCGCTTCTTCTGCTCCAGGTCCTCGTTGTTTGTGCTCATGCAGATACCCATGGTGCCTGGCGGTGGCTGCGGCTCAGTGCCGCGGGACGATGGAGAGGACGGGGCAGCAACAAAGAGGGAGCACTAGGCTCAGCGCGTCGGGGGTCGAGGGTCGAGGGCAGAATGCGGGCGTCGACAAATGGATACAGCGAGACAGGTGTTTCAGTCGCCCCGTGTGGGCGCAAAGCAGCGAGATGGGAGAAGGACCGGACGGGTGCGGGCGGCGGATTGGAGCGAGGCCAGCGGAAGCGGTATGTGTATGTGTGGTTGGCGGGTGGGTGGATAGAGGGATGGATGGATGGATGGACCGATGGCTGACCCAGTAGACAGGACAGGATCACAGTGCAGTGCAAAGCAGCGCAGCGCAGCGATGGTACCAGCAAGACAGAGCAGAGCGGAGCGGAGCAAAGCAGGGCAGGGCAGAGCACAGCACAGCAGAGCACAGCACAGCACAGCACAAAACAGGACAAGACGGGACGGGAAAAGGCAGCAGCGGGAGCGACGACAGCGACGGCGCGGCGGGGCGATGCGGGCAGACGGCAGACGGCAGACGGCGGAGTGAATTGGGGGAGGGAGGGAGTCTGCAATGTACGAGGGTTGGGTGGGTGGTGAAGGGAGAGAGGAGGCGATGTAGGTAAGGATGGGTGGATGGATGGATGGATTGGCAGAGGGCGAGAAGGGCAAGCAAGCAAGCAAGCAAAGCAGGTTGAAGCCGCTGGGAGAGATGGATGGATGGATAGATAGATAGACAGATGGATGGATGGGTGGATGGGTGGATGGAGGAAGGTGCGTGCACACGTGGTGCTTCTTGGGCTTCGCTCCTTCCTTCAGCTAAGGGAGCAGGCAGGCTGGCAGGCAGGCAGGCAGGCGCGGGCTGGCAGGAGGAAGGAGCTTTTTTTTGCTAGTCATTCGGGGAAAGGAATAGGGAAGCCCACACACCCCATCCGCCGTCCACCACCACATCCCACACGCAGGCTAACCGCATGGGTGGGTCGGTCCTGTCTTGACCACAATTATTTAATTCACATACATGCTCACAGACACACACACACACAGAGAGAGAGAGAGAGAGAGAGGGAGAGGGAAGTAGAGATGGAGAGAGAGAGAGGGACATGCGAAAGGACAGGGGGGCGGAGAGGGGGGAAGAGAAAAAGATACAGAGTTAGCCAAGCTCTGCGTCAATCAAGAACAAGGTCCCTTCACTTTTGACCATTGATTGCAACATGCTAATAATGCATGCCCACATGTGTACAGTACATGGACTGATGGATGGCAGAGTAAGTATGTACATAGGTACCTACACAGGTGCTGGATACTTGGCTACTTGGATACATTGCCTCGTGGCCTAGTTACGGCTGAATATGTGCGCCAGTTCACGATTGCCGCCTCAGCCCGTGGAGCAGGCAAAACGGGTTGTTTTGGTCTCTGGGTACATGAGTACGTAGCTGTGATGCTCGCAGTAATCATCCGCATGCCCCTGAGTCGAGCAAGCAAAAAGGAAAAAGAAAGGTGGAGAAGAGAAACGAAGGGATTCCAATTCCGCGGCATCATGGTCGTGTGGTGGCCGGCCGGCCTCGGTTCATCAGCATCTGCTCATTTCCTGTTGCGAAAACGAGCGGCGGACGAGTCTTGGTTGACATGGACGGCAATAATTAGCTGAGGACAAGACAAGGGGAACGAGTCTGTAACGGTGGGTACGTCCCAGACTCGAATGCGCAGTGCGCTAAGCCGGGGGGTGGGCGGCGGCCGATGGGCGGAGCCAGCCAGCCAGAGCCAGTCACGCAGTCGACCCCCCTCCCAGCACTTGAGTACATCGATGGCATATGTACAAGTACAAGTACCCCCAAGTAACCTGCCTAGGTCCACCAAGCAGTCAATCAACATCAATCAATCAATCAATCATACATACATAGTTGAACTTCTGTTCCTGCGCCCTCCATCTCAGATGCACCAACCAAACAAGCCTTGCAGCCAGTGTCTCTCTATCGACTGCCCGACTTGGTCTAATTAAAGACATCTCTCTCTCCACAGCACGCTAACTGGGGAATGTGTGAATGCGTCCCCCGCGATGCGGCTTTTCCACCCAGCGTTCCTGATTAGGTACATGCAACCATATTGGCCTGCATGCCGTCTCACCGAGCGGGAGAGAATCAGTCTCTCCAGAGTTTGACTTGTCGTGTCTACAGCATGCCTTTGTGTGTGTGTGTGCAGTGATGCGAGACAATGCAATCTCCCCCCAAAGACTCCACCCTGTCAGAGACTCGGAGAGAGCTGGTGGCTGCGTGGCTCACTCAACCGCTCAATCAAACAATCAATCCCCTTGGCCCGACCAATGGGTGAGCACTTGATCGACTACTGTACTGTACTGTACTCTGCTGTACCCAGGTACTCCCCATGTACCTTGTATATCTACCTGTAATAATCCCCCCGTCTTGACAAGAATGCGAACTGGATTCGCGCTGGACATGAGCCCCCAATGGTTGGGCGACGAGCTAGAAAATGAAACAGGGCTGCTGCGACATTACTACTTACTACTTACCCAAGTACAGATCCCCCATCTACTCGCCTGCCAGCCTGCTTGCCAGCATCCCGGAAACCTCATCCGCAGGCAGCGCACCGTTTGCGATTTGTCTCAAATCACATACCATTCCAATTGCCAAGTTGTTTTGTTGCTGCATGGAATGTGTGGTCGCAGCAAAGGCGTCATGACAAGGCAAAGACTCCTGGGCGGTTTCATTGCAGGCTGCTGGCCCAGTTGACCCAAACACCCACCCGCTTAGCTAAATCAATCAATCCACCGACGTGCGCGTACCCGTTTACACATACATGCGTCCCCAAGTACATACATATGTACCTACTCAACACTCGTGGTCGGTTGGTTTCAAAACACCAAAATAAACCCCATCATGACTACTACGTCTGTGAATGAGGCGTCTGGATCCTCCCTCCTCCCTCATCGCTGGCTGCTGTGGCCCTTTGATTCTCTCTCTTCCCCCATCCCTGATGCATCATCATGCGTCCTTCTCACGCGGAAAAAAAAACATAACGAGCACTGTTTGACGCCAGAACAAAGCCAGGCAATGGCTTGCGTGACTAGTGAGCGAGAGCATTCGCACTGCCATAATACATCCCGCATGGCCAACGAGGCGAACAGGATGGATGAACAGCATGGGATTTTGCTCTTCTCCATTATGACGTAGTCTGCAAACCCACCAAACCACTCCCATCAGGTTTCGCCGGTGGGCTGCCTGCCTGCAAAGCAAATCATCTCGACGTGCCCCTCTTGTTATTGTCCCCTCTCTCTCCCTCCCTCTCCCTCTCTCTCTCTCTCTCTCTGCCCGTTGCCCGCTCCTACTTCATTTCTTCACCGTCTACTCCTACATAGATTGTGTCTCGTGTTGCAGCAGCCATCCTCCTCCTCCTCTGTCCTCGTCGCCATCCTTGCGCTTGCTTCGCCTCTTCTCTGTCCGTCCCTCCCACGACCACAACCGCTCCCGCACATCCACTGCGGCGAAACATCATTGCCTGGTTGGCTCCCCATCTCCCTCGAACCATTGTGCAGATTTCCTTGCTTGATCGCACTCTGAACATCTCGTGTCTTCAACGCACACTTGCATCTTCCGCGGAGCCATCCACCGATCCAATCCGGCTGCTTGTTTGCACTGCCTAGCCGCCGCTTCGACTACGAACCTGCTTCCGCGACCTCCCTCTGACAACAACAAGACCACCCTAACCACCACCGCCACCACTACTACCACCGACTCTCCACCCGCTCCTCCATCCGCGCCTGTCGCATACTTGTCATCCCCTCGCTCCCCACCATGGCTGAATTTGTACGCGCCCAGATTTTCGGCACGACATTTGAGATAACGAGCAGGTGCGGCTGTTACCCCACATCTCGCTCCCACATTTGCATGCATCGACTGACCCTCGCAAAGGTACACTGATCTACAACCCGTGGGCATGGGCGCGTTTGGTCTCGTATGGTAAGTCTTCACCCTTGTTGCGTCTGGCATGGTACTGACAGGTCACAGCTCGGCAAAAGATCAACTCACCAGTCAGGCCGTGGCAATTAAAAAGATTATGAAGCCTTTTAGCACCCCCGTCCTCTCCAAGCGTACCTATCGCGAACTCAAGCTCTTGAAACATCTGAGGCATGAGAATGTGAGCCTACCCAATACCGCCCAACTTGCATATCCAGTGTTGCTGACCTGCGACAATAGGTCATCAGTCTGAGCGACATCTTCATCTCTCCCCTCGAAGACATGTAAGCATGCTCCTGCCACCCTGCCCAACTCATACCAATGCGCCTAGATACTTCGTCACCGAACTTCTCGGCACTGATCTCCACCGCCTGCTTACCTCGCGCCCGCTCGAGAAGCAGTTTATCCAGTACTTCTTGTACCAGATCCTCGTGTGTAGCAAAATCCTCCTTGCCCAATCTTCTGCTGATTCCTGAAGCGTGGTTTGAAATACGTACACTCCGCCGGGGTTGTCCACCGTGACTTGAAGCCTAGCAACATCTTAGTGAACGAAAATTGCGATCTCAAAATCTGCGACTTCGGATTGGCGCGTATACAGGACCCCCAAATGACGGGCTATGTCTCTACACGGTACTACCGAGCTCCGGAAATCATGCTCACGTGGCAAAAGTATGATGTGGAAGTGGATATCTGGAGCGCAGGCTGCATCTTTGCCGAAATGCTTGAGGGCAAGCCTTTATTCCCCGGCAAGGACCATGTCAACCAATTCTCGATCATTACCGAGCTCTTGGGTACCCCCCCGGACGATGTAATCCAGACCATCTGCAGTGAAAACGTACGCCATTCCATACCCTTTATACGCTGATATCGCGATGCTGGTAGCTGACTCGCGACATGCTAGACATTACGGTTTGTTCAATCTCTTCCTAAGAGAGAGCGACAGCCGTTGGCAAACAAATTCAAGAATGCTGAGCCAGCAGGTATGTTCGAGACTTGATTTCGTACCCCTCCAAACCCTCCGAGCGATGTTTCCTGACACGAGTTAGCTATCGACCTACTGGAAAACATGCTGGTATTCGATCCCAAGAAACGCGTGCGGGCTGAGCAAGCCCTGGCCCATCCTTATCTCGCACCCTACCACGATCCTACCGACGAACCGGTTGCGGAAGAGAAATTCGATTGGTCTTTCAATGATGCCGACCTGCCAGTAGATACATGGAAGATCATGATGTAAATGACCCTTGTGGACAAGATTCAGTGGCTGTAACAAACGGTAGCTAACGAAACACCAGGTACTCTGAAATTCTAGACTACCATAATGTGGATGCTGCTGCACAGGGGGAGGAAAATGGTAGCTAGTCAGGCTTAAGACCGGTTGTATTTTGGTTATTCTCAAGAGGTACGCAAGGAGCAAGGCAGATGATGTACCTCGCTGGCGCAGGCTGCATGTGTTTTTTTCACTTAATCTCGTTGAGAGGCCAAGAGTTGCGGATAGAGGGCCTTCTCTGCTAGGGTTGGATTGGGATAACCGAACGACACCCATGGGCTCATTCCCGAGGCAGCGGGGGGGCTGCTGTGTGAAGGCAGTGCGACTGCCGAGAGGACCACGATGGCACGGAATGGAACCCTATATGAATTATCACGTCTTCACTTTTTCCCCACTTCACCTACATCCGCGCCAAAAACCACTTTGAATGTTGCTTCCTGCAGTATTGGATGCGTAAGGTAGACCACTATCGAACCGACTGTACGTGTTTGTTCTCTGGGCCCAAGGTCTCGTCGTGTTGAGATTATCAAGTGATTGCCCAGTCAAAGACTTGCTGCATCATGGCAATCCGGGTAGATGATGGATTATGTATGTACGCATGTGATGGAATCACCCACACGTGCAGCCTTGAATCCTGCAAATGTTGGACGTTGGTTAGAATGATGTTCTTTGTTGGATCGTAGGGCTGATAGCTTGCGTGGGAGGTGGGGAGGAAGTATGTAGATGAACTATACCTAGTATACCTAGCCGTAGCGTCGCAGCTCAGCGCAGCACACACGCGCACACAGACAACACGCACACAACTTGGAGCCACAGACTCAGCAAGCCAAGCTCGCAAATCCCGTCTCACTCACGCCTCCACCTCCTACCTGCTCCGGTTCGACTCGGCTTGAACCCATGGCCCCGCCCTTCTCCACGACTTCTCATTTCCCATAGCGCATCCAGCACATGCGACGACCATGGCGGGGTTCGCGCCGATTGTGTGTATTGTCGACTTTCACCATGCCAGGGGACCAGAGATAGAGAAATGGCTAGGAGTAGAGGAGGGCAGCGATCCTGCTATCGAGAACGACTGGTCGCTATTGCCATTCATGGCGTTGAGCGATGGTGCCCACGCGTCAGTTTTCTATCCTTCTCCTTCTTCATATTCATTCGTGGCTGACCCGCACATCCATACCATAGCTCCAGCGAAGACTACTCGTACTTTACTCTCCGCCGCGCTGCTACTGACAGCAATCCCGCTACATCCCTCTTCGGTATATCGTGTACCCGCCAGTTAGACGCCGCCGAGCTTATAAACCGCCCGCCCGAAGTGACGCGAAGCACCGTGCAAAAGGCTGTCGTGGTCATTAGCGACAGTCCGCAACATTTTGGTGCCGTCAAAGCACAGCTGGGCGTTGTCACAGCCGCTTGGTTTGCACAAAAGTACTGTCAGACCCTGGAATACCCATACCTGACTTCCAGTGTTGATTAATGCGAGTAGAGATTTCACCGATCTCGACATCATGCAAAGATTCCAAGAAAGTCTAGCGACACTGTTAAAAAATCAAGAAGGTGAAATGGACCACTACTTTGGTACACTTCATACCCACTTCATCTGCTGTGATGGTTGCTGATGGCTGTAGGTATATCGCTTCGCGAACTCATTTATGAGTTCAAGTGGCAAACCCTTGTTCTCTTGAAATGCGCCCTACTTCAGCCAAAGGTAGGCTGGAATGTATCTTGCACACGAACAAGCCAGGCCTAACATGTGGCAGATGCTCTTCTTCGGCTCTCATTGCGAACGTCTATGTATGATGCAATTTGCCATCATTTCTCTGATACCCGGCCTCATTCGCCATCTCCAAGATTCCGCGGACCCCAAATTCAACGCAGCAGAAGCAAAGCTTGTCCTGCCTACTTCCCTGAAAACATCCGAACGGTCTTCTTGTACGTACCCTGTATGATGGTAGTAGCATTCCAATCCTGACATCATGCAGTGCTCACCTACATGGGTCTTCCATTACAGCTCTTCGGGAAGGGGTCTTTGTTCGGACCCTACACGCCCCTTCAACAGCTCGACATGCTCGCAGATCAAGACACCAAGTCTTACATTGTCGGCTCAACGAACTCACTTTTGCTGCAACAGAAAGATCGCTATAGCGATATACTAATCAATCTGGACGAGCACACCGTCACCGTCACTTCTGCATCTCTGCGCCAAGCCCTTGTTCTTTCCACCCCCGACCGAAGATGGATCGATTTTCTTACCCAGACCGTGCTCGACACATGGGATGAATCTAATCCTAGCCGACCCAAAGATCATGGCTATGCTGGAAGCGAAGAGTTCATTCGTATGCAGTTTGAGGAATACTTGCTCGCAATGCTTAGCGCTGTGAAATACAAATCCTACCAAGATAAAAACAAGGACAGAGAGATTATCATCTCGGATTTTGAAGGAGATCCCGCCAGCGAATTTTCCAATGACTACATACACGCATGGATGACCACCGAAAACTATCGTATCTGGAACAAATTCACCGACTCGCACCTTTTCGATATTGCAGATCCGAAGCATCCGTGTTCGGGTGGTCTGAGCATAGAGGATGTTCAAAGGCGACTAGCGCAGTAAGTGACTCTTCCCCTGGGCCCATCCCAAACCGACTAAACATGTCAGTTTGTTTTCCACTCCCACTGTCCAGGTTCTCACTCTGAGCATGTGTGTGCTGATACTCGCCTGGCGTATAGGCAGGTAGCAGAAATGCATCTTGACGAGCGCTTACATCACTCACGTGAAGCCATCGGCAAACAACTTGCAGTTGGCCAAAAGAAGGTATCATCTGCATTCAACAACTTGTGGGCAGAGATGGAGGCCATGAGGGAAGCGAACAGGAAAAGGCAAGAAGAGCAACGTCTAGCCAAAGAAAAGGAAGCTAGTCGACCATCTAGCCCAGCTAGCAACAGACAGAGTGTTGCGTCTGCTGCAAAATGTAAGTAATTCCACTATCGGTATTTACATCAAAGACCAACATACCCCAGGGAAAACTCAGGCGCCAGATCTTAGTCAAGCTCAAGCCAATTTGCATGCAGCGTCCAATCGCGCTGGTGCCTATCTTTCTTCTTGGGGAGCTTGGGCCAGTGAGAAGAAAAAGGGATGGGGTGCCTCGAAGAGTGCATCGGGAACGCCTGCCACGTCCCCTCTGCCATCTCCGTTGCCCGGTGACATCAAACAGGATGAACACAGTCAAAAAGAGAAGGAGATGGTGAGGTCTAGTGCGCCGCCGGGTTCCCTTGAAAAGGTGCCCCTTGAAATGGAGAATGACTCATCTTTGGTGAAGAGGGAGAGTTTATTCTTTGACGCAGAGAAAGAAGAGAGCGAGAGACTATCTGGTAACACTACAGAAAAGGGCGAATGGGAAGAGATTGAACTGGGGAAAGAGAAGAAGGAGTCGCATGAAGACACGAAGAAAGAGAAGGGCGATTGGCAAAAGATTGAATTGGGAGACGATAGCAAAAGGGGTGGAGAGAAACACGAGGATTTGGAAGGCATGGATGAGAAAGCGGATAGCAATGGAGCTCGGAAAGAAGAGCAGATGCGAGATCCTGAGCAGGATAAGAGTGGTAGCACGGCCGTATCTAACACATAGAATTGACTTCAATGAATTGATTTGTTATATTCGCTTTATATGTAGGAGCTGTTGTCTCGTACTGTAGACAAGTAAACAAGATGTATGGGACAACACAAGGCTTGTAATCAAGGCATCGAGTTGAAACACAAGTCATTTTACACCTCAGGCATGATGTTCTGCTACAATAGGCCACACGTCAAACGCAATACATTCTTATTAAACTAGGGTGTAGAAAGAAGGACGTGGAAGCGATGAATGAGGAGTAGAAAGATGTAAAAATATAAAAAGATTCTAAAGAAAGAGCAGTTGGTATTCAAAGGTAGATATAGCACAGTAAATAGAAAAGAATAGTTCGTAAAACATAACTTCTATCTATAGATGCTTTCTAGGGTTAAGTGATCTCAAAAGTAAAACTCTTTACATACATTTTTTAGTTATTACTTACTTTTTCTTACTACCCTTTTAAGTATAGGAAACACACTGACTTTAATTTTTTTTTTAAAAAAAAGAAAAAATATATATAGGAAGGTTTAAACAAAGTGAAAGTACGTCTAGAGATGGGGGAGGGAGAGAACGCAGATCAACAAGTACATATTTATATTGTATATTTTTGTCTTTTTTGGGTCCTCTTGCAGCCAATCCTCAAGTTGATTTTTATTGAATCCTACACGCGCACAGGGCTGCTGAAAAACGTGAGCAACACTGTGTTCACTCCACGCAGACATTTATTATCTTTCCATGTCGCTCATATCACGGTTTCTTTTGACTTTTCCTGTTACCCACTCCCACCCCCCAGCGATGCATATACACAGGTGTCATAAAAGGAAGAAAACGTCATTGGAGAGGGGAGATGTGAAGAAAAGAGTTAAAAATAAGAAAGAGATAAAAGTACGACCACAAGATTAGCAACCAACATACTGTTTGCTTAACCCTAATCTATTCTGCTCACATGATATCAAAGTCCTTCTTCATGTTCTTGATCAGCAACCACTCGTCCGTGCTCACGTCACTTCTAAAGTAGTTCTTTAGCGTGTCGATCGAGGCTCGCGAAATGAGCGAGTAGACAGTGTCCTTTTCTTCGACTTGGCGACCGTATAACGGTTGGTTGGGACCTTCGATTTTCACGGCGACGGAGGGCTGACCACGCTTGCAGACATTGATTTGCTTGTGTTCGCGTTCAATAGAAGTTCTGTATCGCCCTTGTATTAGTGGAAATTCCTTTCGCTTTGTGTTAGAGGATGGGGAAGAGAATCAGACTTACACTCTACCTAGGGAGATGATTTCCTTGACGCCGGTCACGGGGTTTTTCTTGATGACGGCGAGTGGGGTTGTCAGTCTCAGACTACCCTCAGTCACATCAACACCGAGAACAATAGGATCCTTCTTGTTGAACACCGCAATGGGCTTGAGAATGCAGGGAAACACAGCCAACATTTTGCTATCCTCTTTGCGCTGTTCTTCCAATTGCTTCATATGAGCCGTGAATTTGTCGAAAAGATGGTAAATGATGTCTGCCTCGAAGATTTTAACCCCAATTTCATCTGCGTAAGCGCGCGCATCTTTGTCCACTTTGACATCGAAACAAAGCATGACTGCGAATTCCTTTGCCTTTTCGAGCATGACACCTGCCCGCAGAACATCTTTCTTGAACACTGGCCCAATGGAGATGGTAGACACAGGAATCTTTGAAACTCGCAGGAATTCGAGCAGAGCCTCGAGAGAACCAAGAGTTGAAGCTTGGACGGAAACACCACGCCCTGTCTTTGAAACTTTGCTGAGAAGATGAGCCAGGTCGGCCATGACTTCGTCCATGAGATCTTCTTCATCATCGTCTGGGCCAACCACGAGAAGACGAGAACCAGCGATGGCTTGGTCAAGACCGTCCGCGGCGATTTTGATACCCATGGCAGCTTTGACCTCTTTATTGTGCACATACTGGGACTTGACTCGCAATTCTTTCATTTCAGCCGGTGTCAACAGGGCTCGAACGTTGGTTGCGATAGGCTCCGGGTTGCCGCAAAGGACTATGCGATCGCCTTCACGTAGCACGCCGTTGGAGAGAACAACATCAATGGTCGTCCCGAGGCCTTCTATCACCTTGACCTCCAAGACTGTGCACTCGACCTCAGAGAGATACATGAGATTGTTTGTCATGCGCTCCTGTGTGAGCTTGATGATGAGCTTAATCATATCGGGAATACCTTCTCCCGTGTGCGCGGAGGTCGGCACAACTGACACGTAGCGCGACATGTTCTTGTTTCTGAAGAACAGCTCCGAGTTGAATCCTTGTTCAGCCAGTTCGGTTCGTACCTTGATCCATCGATCTTCGAATTCGCTCTTGACACGTTCCTTCTGCAGATTGAAACTGTCTTCGAAGCCATTGTTATCGATCTTCTTCCAATCAAGCAGCCGATCGATCTTGTTCAAAGCGACTATGAATGGTGTTCGCTTCTCTCGAAGAAGTCTCATGGATTCTAGAGTCTGTGGCTCCAATCCGTGCATAATATCGACCACAAGAATGGCAATGTTGCACAGTGAAGAACCGCGAGATCGTAGGTTTGTGAACGACTCGTGACCAGGCGTGTCGATGATGAGCAGACCGGGAACATTGAGATTGAAGGAGTCATCTTTGTTCACCACCGCAGTTTTCTTCATAAGAGCTTCGCGGGGGAAGAAGGTTGCACCAATCTGTTGAGTGATACCACCGGCCTCACCTTCTTGGACGTTTGTTTGTCGGATCTTGTCCAGAAGTTTTGTTTTTCCAGTATCTACGTGACCAAGGATACAGCAAATGGGAGATCGTAGATTATCCCTTGATCGTGCAGCCAGAGCTTCTTCGTGTTGCTTCTTTCGTCGCTCGGCAGCGGCGGCTTTTCGAGCGGCTTCGGCTCGCTGTGCAGCGGTACCCTCCTCTTCATCTGACGAGTCTTCCTCGCTATCATCGTCATCCTCCTCTGACGATGAAGTATCGTCGGATCTTGCCACTGTTGTGGGTGCGGGATCAGGTGCAGAGGTTTCTGCCTTTGCGGGTTTCTTCGCTTCTTCATCCTCGGACTCGGCGTCCCAGCTGTCTTTGACGCCTTCCATGGCATCTGCCTGCGCTTCCCAATCATCGCCAGAGTCGTCATCCTCGGCTTTCTTTGATTCGGCTTCTTCTCGTGCCCGTTGTGCTTCTGCTTCGGCGGCGGCGGCCTGCTCCTCGGCGATCCGGAGTTCCTCGAGTTTCTTGGCTGCTTCTTCCGCCTCTTTGTCCTTCTGCTGATCGGCCTGACTTCGCTTCTTCTTGCGATAGTCGTCTTTTTTGGATTTCTTCTTCTCTGTGCTCTCCGTGCCGTCTTCCTCAAGCGCTCCAACCTTGGCGTTGCCGCTCTCGAGCATCTGCTTGAGTCGCAACTCATTGCGAGCTTTGGCCTCTTTCTGTGCCTTTGTGAGGTACTTGCCCTCCTTCTTGAGCTGTTCAATCTTCTCCTTCTCTCGTTGCTTCTTCAGTGCTTTTGCTTCAGCCTTCTTCTTTTCTTCCTCGGCAGCTATCCGCTCTTCTTCCTCGGCTCGGGCGCGATCCTCGGCCTCCAATCGAGCTAGCTCCTCTTCCCGTTTCTTCCTCTCTTCCTGCTGTTTTTGCAAGGCAGCGAGGGCAGGGCTGATCTTTTTCTTCTTCCCACCGGGAGCAGCGGCAGCGGGAGCAGCAGCATCAGCAGCAGCAGCGGGAGTGGGGGTAGATGATGTTGCGGATGGTTGTGCAGGTGTCGTCGACGCCTTTGCAGGGGCATTTGCTTTCTTCTTCGCAGCCTACCAGAGAGGTTAGCGGGGCCAGAAGCATGATGAATGGGGTCCTCGACGAACCAGTTCCTTCTTTCGCTGCTTCTCCTTCTCCTTCTTTTCCTTCTCCTTCTCTGCCTTTGTTTTTACTCTGGGCGCATCATCTGCTGGGGCAGAGTTCTTGGATGGCTCATCTTCAGTCTTGGCTTGTTTGGGCTTGTAATTGCCTGCGAAGACATCGTCGTCGTCGAAACTGGCTTCTTCGGGTGCCTTGGAGGCGAGTCCTTGTTCCGCGTCATTGGCAGGCGGATCTTCGCCTTGAACAAAGTCCTGGTCGGCTCCTTTTTTGCCCTTTTTCTTTCCTCGACGCTGGATGGCAGCCATAAGGCCGCCGCCTAGGCTTTCTGCTTCGGCGGCAGGCTCGGTGGGCTCAGCAGGCTCTGCGGCAGCACCATCCTGCGGGGGGATGGATTCGCCCAGATCGGCCTCCCAGTCATCCTGAGCCTTTTTGTTCCCCTTCTTTTTTGGCGGCATTGTGTCGCGTCGACTTGCGTAGGCAGTGGTAGTGTTTGTGGTGGCGGGGTCGTGTTCGAGGCGAACAAATTAGGTAGCCAGGCAGCTAAAGTTTGACAGGGCGGCCAGCTCTGACGGCTACTGGGACAAGTTCCAGGACAGAGCAGCACGTAGAAGCAGAGTGATACCAGTCAAGCCGAGCCGTAACGAAAGGCGAAGGGCGTCGGTGGAGTTGGGGAGCACGGAAACGCACAGTGTGCAGAGACAACGAAATTCAAGCCGCGTCCGTCTCCCCACGCCACACTGGCTTGATATTATCTGGCGGGGTCGAATGCCAAGACCTCGCATGTCACCCATCCTTTCTTTCACCGCAGTACTCGTCACCATCAATTGCCCTCATGCAAAGTGAGTCAAGCAGCATGGTGAGTCATTCATTCTACGTGCCAGTCTACATGCAGTACTCAGCTCTCGTTTGCCGTTGGACGCAAAGCGCTCGTATAATTAATGTACCATCCATTCTATGCATCCATCCCACATGCTCCAGCTTTAAAATGGTCACTTTGCTGTGGACGACTACAATGTCCCACGAGATCCCAATGAAAATGAGTGCGTCGCTGCTGGTATCCCAGCATCAAACAAGGTCCCCCAACGCCCAGGTTCTGCCCTACTAACATCCAAGGAGAGGGAAAATAGATGGTGTAGATGGAAAAATAAATAAAGGGAATGAATGCAATGCTGACAAGACGCAATGATTAGATAGTGTAGCTATATATAAACAGACGCTTTCTCTCAGTCCAGCCGATGAGGCATCGTGGGGCCACTCTGGCCGCAAGGGCGCCCACGGAGACTTTTGGGGATCGATTTGCTGGGGCCGTACAATTCATAACGTCGAGTCACCCGGTTATTGGTTCTGGCCTACAAGCAGCGACTCGACAGCGCTGCCAATGAAGTGCTTCTTGAGCGTAAGATCAACGCCAAATCTATGACCATGCTTGTTAGCTAACCTGTGTCACACGTTGATTTTTGGTTTGGATACAATACATACCTTCTCTCCAATTCCACCTTGACCGCTTTCTTGGTGATGTTCATGAGGTCCGACGTGGCCAAGATGTCACGGATTTCGGCGAGGATCGCGTCATCCGTGGGCAGATTGAGAGCTGCCATCTCCATATTGTCGTATCCACCGTACCCACTGGGCGCCAGGCTCATCCGCGAGCCGTTGCCGAATTGAGGCAGATTGAGATGGGACATGGGGCGAGAAGGTGGCATTTGGCCGTATTCAGAACCACCCACAACAGATCCACTGCCGTTGTTGAAGAAGCGCTTCGTGCCGTAGGAGAAGCCGGAAATCTCTGAGCGATCGTCGCGAGCCGTATGTTGCTCCCACATTTCGGCCTGGTATTCGTCCCATTTCTTCTTGGGGATGCTGGCCGGATCGAATTTGCCTTCGTCAGATATCACAAGTTTCTGACCCTTCTCACCCGTAACGATACGAGTGTTGCCCCAGGAGAAATCATCCATGTACCAGAAAGAATACAGTGGAAGACCAAAGGAGAACACGGGTGTGGCAATGATATAGATGATCATCCAACCAATCATCTCCCATTTGCGTCGGAGAATGAAGATGATGGCCTGGAGACCGTAGACGGCACCCAAAAGAATAAAGGCTGAGTAAGGGATAATGCCTGGGGCTGTGATCAATTGGTAGATCAGGTAACCAATATAGACAACCGTCACGGGCATGATAACCGTGGAAAGCAAATCCAAGAAGACAACAAAGCGCATACTGAAGCAGCAGAACCCACAAAGCTGCTGCAAAGGAATGAGCTCAAGCAAATTGTGCACTGTGGAGTTGATCCAGCGACGGCGTTGAGACATAAAGACCGTCCAGCTATCGGGGGCAATAGTCCACGCATGGGCCCGGTGCAGATACTTGGTCTTGTATTTGGAGTGATGCTTGAGCAGCAGCGTTGTCAGGTATCGATCCTCTCCAAGATGTAGGAGATTCTTCATGTGAAGGGTATCGACACGGATCTCTTGGTAAGCTTCAATAACCTCCTTGCTCACGAACAATGGTTTTCCGGTCTCGGCAGCTCGGATGCGATACATGGTGAAGCATCCTGGAAGACAGGTGACGGATCCAAACAGACTCTCAAACGCCTTGGTCAAGTTGTGCGAGATGAAGTATTCGTAAACCTGCATCATCGTGACGAAGGATGCCTTTGCGTTGGTGAGCGACGTCTCGCCACATACGCCGATCAGACGAGTGTCGTGAAGGAATGCTGCAACAAAACGAGTCGCCGAGTCATCAGCCACAACGGTGTCTGCATCGATCTGGAGCAAGAATTCGTAGAAGGTCGGGTTGACGCCGATGATGTTGCGAATTTGGTGATGCATTTCGAGTTCAAGGGGACTCATGGGAAGATTGTAATGAACGCGGTTGAGGAATCTCATGAGGATGACCTGAGAATCTCGCTTTCCTCGGTTGCCAGGTTTGGAGACTTCTGATGGTTTACCGACCTTGACAACAACTAGGAAAGGCACAATGTGACCCTGCACTTCATACAATCCGGAATAACATTTGCCCATGTTGTGCTGCTTTTGTCCCTCTCCCAACGATTCAAAGCTGAGCGGATCTGGGTCCGTCGTTTCTGGCACGCCGAGAATATCCAAGACGATGCGAGGGGTGGGTTTGTCGTTGCCTTGACCGATAATCATACCATCACATATAATGACGAGCAATTTGCGCTTGTCATCATACTTCATGCGAGCGGCAGAGTCGATGGCTCGGCGAAGCGAGTCCTCGTCTTCGGTATACGCTGGAACAGTTGCAATGATGAACTTATCAATGTTCTCCGGTACGCTCTTTCTGCCGAACTGAAGAGCAGCCAAGAATTTGAACCCGATGACACTGACCAAAATGATGGAGATGACCAAGAGGAAGTACGTGGCGAACTGACATCTGGCGGAGCTTCTGGTGTCCAACTCGCCCACGTAAAACAGATTCTCCAGACAAACCAGCTGGCTCTTCTTTTGGTCTGCGCTCAAGTTCAAAGCATCCCAATACTTTGAAATGTCATTCCCTGCTTGAACGCGAAATACCTCGGTAATGGAGTTATCCATAAAGTCACTATTGATGTTGCTGGCGAGTGGCTCTCCGTTTTCATTCGGTTCCGGCTTACGACCACCACGGTTGTAGTCAGTGAGATCATATACCTTGTTGTTCATGTAGGCAATTGCATCTCCCTTGCCAGCCAAGGTTTTGAGGTATTGCGGGCTGTAGCCAACTCGACCCTTCATATAATTGGCCTTCATAAATACCTGTTGCTCGAACCACCAATCCTTGCGGGAATCATTTCTGAACATGCGGAAGTCATGGTACTGCGCGTTCTTATCCGTGGTGCTGATGAGGTTGCTGGAGTCCGTGTAGTTGTTGTTCCTGTAGTCGAGCTGTACATTATTGTTGATGTCGCCGTTGATACCTTTGCAGAGAGCGGAGACTTGGACAGGGAAGAGGTTGGTGGCATCGGTACCGGCGTATTTTTCGAAGTTTTTCTCTGGGATGAGCTTCGTTGACGGGTAGTGAACAGGAATGATTTTACCGAGGTCATACACGATGCCACGGATGCCAATGTAAGCGTCATTGCCATCCTTGCCGTTGAAAGAAGTGAGTTCGGCGGTAGAGTAAACATGTTGTGTGGGACAAATGAGTCTCGGGAACCCGATCATCACGAAAACAACAACCGCGCAGCTGAACCAGATGAGCATATTGATGGCCAGCTTTTCTCGCCAAGCAACACGAACATCCTTCCTCTTGATCCTCCCAATCCATTTGATCAAGACGTCGGGAATGAACCAGGTCAGGGCATACACCACAAACATCCATCGCTTTCGACTGCCCGATACGGGAACAGTCTCCACTTCCTCCATTCCGTTCGCAGGTGACTTCTCGTCGATCATCTTAGGATGCTCCAGTCCATGGAACATGTCGCCATTGGTGATTGCTGAGGGAGCTTCAGATCGCGCATCTATATCTTTACTGCCGAAATAACTGGCGTTTTTGTCGTCGTAGAAGCCTCCTGGAGATGGCGCTAGGAGACCGGTGCTGGCATCACCGAAAGGACGTGGTGGATTCGGGGAGAGCATATTGTCGTCGGATGCGGAGAGGCCCCGGGCAGGAGGAGACATGTCTGCCACGTTTGCAATTTCAAACCAGCAACGCTCACTGAGAAACACGCCAGTCGCTCCGACCCGGACTTCATTCTCACGCCAGGGTTTATCGTCTAGAATAGCTTCAGCCCTTTCTTTCTCGCTACCAACCACGGCTGTGTCGGATTGGGACATGCCCAGAAATTCAGCGAATGGAAGGAAGATGCTGAAATCGGCAACACGAAGGCGCTGGCTGATCTCTGCAATACCCAGGGACTGTACCTGGGTCCTCACACACTTGCTATCGAACTGATTGGCGATTCTGCGGTCGTTGGGCTTCAAACAAATGATGAAATAAGGGTTTGCTTTGCGCAAAGAGGAATCGATTGTCTTCAGGGAGCTCAGGAATTGACCGGCAGCACCTTGCTGTTTGTTGGAGTCACCTTTTCTTGATCCAGAGACGGTGCTGTCAGCCTCGCTCATTGCGTCCTCATCAAATACATTGACCGGTCGCCCGAATCGACCTGTCTTGTCTCCTTTGCGTTTTGCCATGCTTGGCATCCGCATAGGTTTGGAGCTGACAGTGGCTTGGACAATGGCCGACTTCTCTTTGGGGTGGGTGATTTTGTTGAGAACGTCTTGGCCGAAGAGTTCCTGCACGAAAGAACTGCGCGCCGTCTTGAGTAGATTCATCATGTCGCCAGAGATGAGCTCGGCGTTCTCCTCAATGAGGTTGTCCGCAGCATAGTCGACATCGCCAGCAAAGTGACGGACCGTGAAAGCAGTCGAGGTGTTGGGGGTAGGGAAATTGCTACCCGGCTGAACGACGGTCAAGCTTCCCGGCAAGATGGCGTTGTTCTTTCCATCAAAGCGTTTGCGGATGGCCTCCAAGAATTGCATGTCGCTTTTACCACGGCGGGTCTGGTCATCGAGAATGCTCAAAAGGCCATTCCCAGTCTTGAGAAGACCAGTCTTGGCTTCGGAGTTATCCCAGTACTCCAGCTGGGGAACGCTGACATCTTCGGCCTCCATTTCCTGGACCTGACGGCCGAAGAAGCTCTGTTGGCAAAAGTTGAACAGAGATTCATTGGCGGCATTGTTGAGCAGTTGGTCCAGGCCGGAGCCAGTGCCGGATGATGGTGAGAAGCCAGGGAAATCAACAAGGGAGACAGTGTTGGCCACTTGATCAGCGTGAACAGAGATCCTCAAGTTGATTTGTTCCATGACGTACGCCACCAACAAAGTGTAGAGAGTGCGCGCCAGCTCATCGGCGTTTGCACGAGCACCCTTGGGATCTAACATGACTGTGACTCGCTCGCGATACAGAGTCTTGGTCTTGTAGCGAAGACTCTGCTCCAATTCCGAAGTGGTGACACCCAGGAAGCGGGCAATGGGTTCCAGGCTGTCCTTGTTCTTCACCACGGTGATGGCTTCGCCGCCTTCGTGGGAGTAGCCACCGCTCTCGTCAGCAGCGGGAGTGGTGGACTGACCCATCTCGAACTCGAGCTGGCCAATGTGCAGGATGGTAGCCATGACCTCGCAGATGCCTGCAATGTCTTGCTTGGAGAACTCGAGCTTGCGCAGGGCAGTCTTGAAGTCCTGGAAGCCCTTGGCGTCGTCAATACCCACCTTGAGCTGTGTGGGATGGCCCAGATAACGCCATCGTTTGCTGGTCGTGAGTGAGGCACGGGCACCAGGTTGATCGCCCCCGATCACATCCAGACCGAGATGTTTCTTTTCGGCCAAGCTGGTGCCGGACAGTAGGTAGTACAAGATGTGGTAGTTGCGCTCGCCGGTGGGGACGCAGGCGATGCGGCTCCGCTCAAGACGATGTGCGAGGAACTGGGCACCCAACAAGGTGGCGTGGTTGGATGTGGAGGTGTTGTACTGGAGTTCGAGCAAGAGGCCGGCTTTGGAGGCGATAGGAGTGGTGGTGGATTTGGTAGTGGTGAAAGCGTCGAAGATGAAGTTGGCGTGCTCGATCTTCTTGGATAAGGGCGTAGCCGAATAAGAGAGGAAGGCACGAAGGGAATGGCCGCGGATGGTGGTCTTGCCTGATCCAGGCTCACCCCTAGAAAACAGAGGCAGCAAGTCAGCGTTTGCGTTTCTTTTCAAAACCACTGCTGCTCACAGAGGACGAGAAGACAGATGGAGCAAGTCGGAGGTACGTACAGAAATACAATAGCCTGATCCTCGGATCGAAGACCTAAACGCGTGTAGGCACGCTGGGCGAGGTCCTCGGCAGCCTGATGGGCGCTACCATCTTTGCCCCCATCGGTCCCCCGGCTGGAGTCGGTGTATGTGTTGAGGGAGATGATGGCATGGGAAGAGAGCGTGGAGGTGGGCAAGTGGGCATGGAAGCGGCTGGCGAGGTGTGCGGTCAAGTGGGTGTCGGACTGCAGGTGTTGAGGCAGAGCGGGCAGTGAAGATTGGGCATACTGAGGAACGGTTCCTCCGAAGGTATTGCTCGCCATGTGGAATGAGAAGGGGGAGGCGCTTCCCCGGGGGAGCGTTGAGCGAGTGTGAAGGTCAGGCGAAAGGATGGTCGCCGTCGAGTTTGATGTCTATCTGTTTGTACCCTGGGGCTGGAATGTAGCGGCAAACAAGACGGAGAACAGAACAAGCGGAGTTGCGGACAAGGACACGAGCAGCGAGCGTGATTACGACAGGCGACGGCGGTGCATAAACGAGGGGGAAGAATTAATGGGCAAAAAGAGGACGGCAAGGAAAAGAAAGGGCGGCCGATGAATGGCAGGCCGAGAGGGTCAAGCAAAAAGGTGTCGAGAGTGGAAAAAGACGACGATGCAGCTACCGTGAGTACATGGGGTGGATGGAATGGGGGGCGTTGGGACCGAATGCATGCTAGCTCACCTGAATTCCCTCCCTCTCTCTCTCTCAAGCTGAGTCTGCGGCCTTGATGGCCTCCCTTTTGCTGGATCCAAGAATAGCCCGTAACAAACTAACGTAATCTTTTTGTGGCAATGGAATATATTGATGACATGGGGTGCGCTGCTTGTTTGGTGGCGATCGGCCCTGTCCGTCGCCCGATCTCTTCGCCTGCCCGCCTCGTGGGTCATTTTTTCTTCTTCTATGCACTGGACGGATTGCTTCTGGAAGGGTAGGCCACTTTCCTTCACCGTCATGCGGCATGTTGATCCATCTACATGTGCATCTACATGGTATGTACGCTCTGGTCCAGACAATACCTATTCCCCTGGGGTTGCTAGAAGGGAGGAGGGAGGATTAGACAAGTAATCAAGGCGCGCGGTATCATGTTCCAAGTACATTGATTGTCTCGTCATCCGTGGCCAAAACGCGAGCCAAGGTCGCAGGGCGGGCAATACCTATCAAAGGACGGCTTGCAAAGGGTTCGTCATCCATGCATGAGTACTAACACAGCAGTGCCTGTGTGAGTGGTACGCACACCTCGATGATGCTACACGTCTTACGTGTGCATGCATGCATACATACGGTAGATTTGAATAGTAGTATTTGCTATAGGTATGCCTATGAGGTATGTATGTTGCCGTCATGATTCGGGGCTAGCACCATCGGGAAGACGACGCAAATGGACTGGCTACCGTACAAGTTGCAAAATCCGCCGAAATGATCTGGGGTATCTAGTGGTTGGCTAGTACCAGTCGAGAGAATGCGTCCAATAGACGAGAAAAAATTAAAATAAAAGAGGACCACAGGCAAGCAGAGTGCAAAGAAAAAAACAACCAGGGCGAAGTGTAGCGCCTGGTGTCCCAACATGGCCGAGAAAGGGTCATGGAGGACCCAAACCAGACCCGCGCCGTTGGTTCAGAGACAGCAGTGACAGGAGGGGCAGACAGGTGTTCCATGTTGCCAGGCCAAAGTCGAAGACAATGTGTGACGATGTCGCTGTTGTTGTTGTCGCTGTTTTGATGGGTGACAATCGACACTGTCACGTATAGGCCATGATGGACGGTGGAGAATCAATGACTTGAGGATGAAGCGAGCATGCGCTGCATGGCGCTAATTATAGGGGGCTTGTCTCACCACCAGCGCCCGCTCCAAGCCTCCGCCGCTCGACAAATCAAGCATTAATCGATGAATTCCCACCGCCTTGTCAGCTGCGCTGTGACCCTCTATCCCTCACTACCGGCGCCCGCACCGCACTGTATCGTATGTCCCGTATACTTAGGTAATCATAACTTTCCCCCCTCCCCCCTGCTGTTTGGGATCGAGGAATGGGTCCGACTGCTGCTCTGCTGGCTGGCTACCAACTAACCACCATCCATCACCACCTCCTGCTCCTGCTCCTCCGCCCCCCTCGACCACCCAGCGCGTGCTTTTTCCCTTCTGCTTGCATTCGCTCCGTGCTGCCGTTGCGGCTGTTCATTCCTGTCGCTACTCACCTTCTAATTCCCCTTTACCCCCCACAATCGCTTCTTCTTCTTCTTCTTCTTCATCACCCTAATACGCATACCTACCTGCTACCTGAACCCATCTGAGCGGTCAGCCACCGAGCCCCTTCATCCCGCCCTTTTTGACGACAGTTGCCGCACCACCAGCATCGCAGTAGACCATCCCTACAGAGGGCCTTTGCCCACCACTGCCGCCAGCATGAGTTTCGTCAACAACTCCCGCATGTCTGTTTACTCGACTGCGTCGGCCACTCCCCGTAACAACAATCCCTCTGCCCCAGTATCCACCACCACCCTTCTCAACACCCTCAACGCCGCCTATCGAAACAACCAGCCCTACTCGCTCGAGGCCAGCACCAGTCTTGCCGTCAACACATGGCTCACGGCTCGCCCCCAGCCAGATGGCCGCATTGGCGGAGCCATCGACACCGAGCTGGGACGCAAAGCCTGGGAACACGCCCGTCGTCGTGCCGAAGATGGATGCATCGTGCTGGCGTGAGTACTTGGTCCTTCTTGCATGCTTTCTTCGCCCTCTGTTCATGGCTTCTCCTACTGACCTGTTCTTTCAACGTTAGATCTCTGCACGATTCTACCCCATCGCAATTCATGGCTTTCAGCACAGCCCTGCCGCTCTCTACCCCAACTAGCTACTATACCGCCCTCGATGTCATTCGAGCATTCACTCACTGCGTTACCCCCCAAAACCCCTCGCTTCCTCGTTACACCGGTCTAGCTGCCGTCTTCACTATCAATCTTGCAGGCAATCTGCTAGGTGCCGAGATCAAACTCTCCACCACTGGAATTGATACCCAGAAGGGTCTTTTGGATATTCCTTCCCAACCGGGACACCGTGCTTTCGATGTCTTTTATTACCTCAACTCCAGCTCTGCCAGCAAGGACGAGCGCGAGTTTTTGGGTCTGCAGCACGCCTCTCAATATTCCCTGCTTAACAAGTCCGGCACCTACGATCCACCTTCATATCTGCCTGACGCAGATGATGCCGGCGCCGCCGAGGATTTTCGCGCAAATCTCAAGGCCATTGGAATCAAGGGCCAAAAACTATCTAGCTTGATCAGCTGCCTTGTTGGTTTGCTCAAGCTCGGCGATACGCTCGGTTACTTCGTGGATGAGGAAACATTGATCGCCGTTTGTGATGACTGCGGAACATTGCTCGACATGGATCCCGAGCTGCTTCGATCGAAGCTGGGCGAGAACGACCGGGGTATCGCCATTGCAGGAATCTACGAAGCCCTAGTGGACTATGTTGTGGCCCATGCCAACGCCACCATTTCCGATGACATCCGCACCGCTCGCGCCAGTTCTTCGCAGAATGGAAGCGATGAGGGTCACATGACCCCTCCCTCCGAGGAAGAGGTGGGTGATATTGTCAACATCACGGTCGTTGAAATCCACAACCAAGCTGTTGCAAAATCTATTGCACTCCGCACCGTGTTTGATGATAGCGAAGGCATCAACTCTGAAATGAAAGAGGACGGCGTAGATATCCCCTCGGCGGGTAATTCGGTAGCAGAGGCAGTGCGTGCTGCTGTACAGGCAGGGGACGCCGAACTCGGTCCCGAGTCTCGACGTCAATCCGACCTCGAAAAACGTGAATCGGTTTTGGAGCACATTGCTCTGGAGATGGTGGAAGAAGACAATTTCATCAAAACTATACTGCAACCTGTGGCGGGCGAGGGCATTGTTCTCGGTACGCACAACAGGCTCGATATACCTGTCACGGTTGCCAGCAGTAGAGTCTGGTTTCACCTTTCCCTTCACCCCACCGACGCAACACCCGACAAGCTCGCAGCAGATGTAAACGCCACTTGGTCTGCTGCCAAAATCTCAAGACAACTCCGAGATTGGAGAATTCCCGAATGGGCCAATCGCCGAAACCGATCACTCGACTTCACTGCCGATTTTGATCACCAAGAATTCTTCGAACGTTATCATGTGCTTGGGTGTATGGAAGGAAAAGACGGTATCCAAAGTTGGATCATTGCCCGTGGTTGGAGCAACGGCGAAATCGTAGTGGGTCACCAACGTGTCTGGGTTCGAGAAGGCACGTGGTGGGAGGCGGAAACACAGCTCGATATGAAGGTTCAAGATGCTGGCAGTAGTGGCATGCTTGGAAACATGGTCGGTGCTGGCGGTTTGGAGAGTGGATACTCAGCAAACCCCGCCATGGGCAGCGGTTTCTTCCCGCCTATGCCCGCTATGGCGCCTCAGGATAGCCAGACCCAACTACAGACTGGCCTTTTACAGCGTCAGCCTAGCTCTGTCACCATGGACGCCCGAAGCGCGCTTGGTGCTAGATCTGTTGCCCCCACGACTGCCCCCACCACGCAGAACCGCCCTGGCGATTATGGGCTGGGAGGCAAAGGCGATGAAGACAAGGGCATTACCTATTACGACACCGAATCCGGGGGCGACACAGTCGTCACTGAAACCCGCATCGGCGCGGTTCGACGAATGTGGGTTGCAGTTGTCTGGGCTCTGACCTTTTGGGTACCATCGCCCGCTCTTAAATACATTGGGCGCATGAAGCGGCCTGATGTCCGAATGGCGTGGCGAGAGAAGCTCGTCCTGGTCTTCATCATCTTTCTGTTCAACGCACTCATCATATTCTTTATCATCGGATTCGGTAGAGTAATGTGTCCAGCCAAAGACAAAGCATGGGATCGCGAGGAAGTGTCTTTCCATCGAGGTGCTGACGACTTTTTTGTCAGTCATCAAGGATCTGTTTACGACCTGACTAGTTTCTGGAAGCGAGACCACAGCGACAGCACCGGCAGACCGACCACCGAAGAAAACATGTTGCCTCTGGCTGGAGCAGACATGGATCCATACATTCGGCCTCTGCTCTACCAGTCGTGCAACTATCTTGTCAAGGATTATCTTTTTGCCCTTACTCCGAATACTACCGCGGAACACCCCGAGGCCAAGCACGATTACGGAAACCGTACAGCAGGCGATAGTAAGGCTCTCCAGAACCAAGATTGGTACGGCAACACCTTCTTGAAGAAGATCAAAGAGTTCCGCAAGGGAGATCTGGTCTGGGATGTCAAAAAGATCCAGGACGAAGGCGCAAACCAGAACCACTACTGGTTCCGACTCGGCAACAAGGTCTACGACTTGACTGACTATTTCCACACCCAAGATGTTTTGGACAACTCTGCTGCAACCCATTTCCTAGACCCGAAGATCGAGGAGATGGTCAAGAATTACGCTGGCACCGACCTTGCTGAACGATTCAATGATCGCCTCGACCCCAGAAATATGTCCATGAATCTTGCGTGTTTGGAGTCTACCTTCTATGTTGGCCTCACAGACTTCCGTGAGTCCGCTCGCTGCAAGATTAACGATTACCTTCTGCTCGCATTTACCATCATCATTGCTGCTGTGGTCCTCATCAAGTTTTTGGCGGCTCTCCAGCTCGGGTCCAAAAGGCGTCCCGCTAACCAGGACAAGTTCGTCATCTGCCAAGTGCCTGCATATACCGAGGGAGAAGATCACATCAGGAAGGGTCTTGACTCTCTGACTGCACTTGCTTACGACAACAAGAGGAAGCTGATTTGCGTCATCTGCGACGGCATGATCGTCGGAGGTGGCAATGACCGTCCTACTCCCAAGATTGTATTGGACATCCTCGGTGTTGACCCCAAAGTTGACCCACCTGCTCTTCCATTTAAATCTGTTGGTCAAGGTAGTGAGCAGCTCAACTACGGCAAGGTATATTCTGGCCTCTACGAATTTGAAGGCAACGTTGTTCCGTACATTGTCGTTGTCAAAATGGGCAAGGAATCCGAGCAAACCAAGTCTAGGCCGGGCAATCGTGGCAAGCGAGACTCCCAAATCTTGTTGATGAGCTTCCTGAACCGGGTACACCACCGATCGGCCATGAATCCTCTAGAGTTGGAAATGTTTCACCAGATCAACAATATCATCGGCGTGGATCCGGAACTGTACGAGTACCTTTTGATGGTTGACGCTGATACTATGGTCAAACCTGATTCCCTTAACCGTCTGGTTGCAAGCTGTGCGAACGATTCAAAGATTGCCGGCATCTGTGGCGAGACGAGTCTGGAGAACGAAGAACGCAGTTGGTGGACCATGATCCAAGTGTACGAATACTACATCTCTCATCATCTGGCAAAAGCTTTCGAGAGTTTATTCGGCAGCGTTACATGTTTGCCCGGTTGGTAAGTTTCCCCCTTCTCCGCTGATCACTTCTTGTAGCTGACCACGATAGTTTCTGCATGTATCGACTTCGTACCGCAGACAAGGGTAAGCCCTTGATCATTTCAGACAAGGTCATTCGCGAGTACGCAGACTGTGATGTCGACACCCTACACAAGAAGAATCTCTTGTCTCTAGGAGAGGATCGTTTCCTGACAACTCTCATGACAAAACATTTCCCCACCATGTCGTACAAGTTCATTCCCGATGCCTACGCACTCACAGCAGCGCCCGAATCTTGGAGTGTGCTTCTTTCCCAACGACGTCGCTGGATTAACTCGACAATCCACAACTTGGCCGAACTTACGCTCCTCAAAGACATGTGCGGGTTCTGTTGTTTCAGTATGCGTTTCGTGGTTCTCATCGACCTTTTCGGTACTATCGTTCTTCCATCCGTCTGCATCTACATTGGATATCTCATATACACTGTCTCTACTGGCACAGGGCAATTCCCGATGCTCTCAATCATCATGATTGCGCTTGTGTACGGCTTACAGGCTGTCATCTTCATCATCAAGCGACAGTGGCAACACATCGGATGGATGATTATTTACCTTCTGGCTTTCCCTATCTACTCGTTCATTCTGCCCATTTACTCCTTCTGGAAGCAGGACGACTTTTCGTGGGGAAACACGCGCGTTGTCATTGGCGAAAAGGGCGTCAAACAAGTTGTCACCAAGGGAGACGAAGGATTTGATCCCAAGAGCATACCGCTTCAACGATGGGACGATTACGCACTTGCCAATAGCCTTCCCGGTCGCCGTGGCCTTGCTGGGCAAACCTCTGAGAAGGGTGGCTTCAGTGCTTACGAAGATGACGGATACGAAATGAACGACATGCAGTCAGTTTACTCCTCTGTGAAACCGGCATCGACCATCATGTCCAACATGCATCACATTTCCCACATGCCGCCACAATCTCCCGGGCCCTTCCAGGGCATGCAAGCACGCCAATCTTCTTACTCTAATTTCTCCCGATACCAAGACAATCCACAAGAGCGACTTATGTCGATGGGCGGGATGAGCGAACAGGCCAATACATCTCCCTATGGCAACCGACCTTCGATGGGTGGCTTCCAAAGCTCTGACAATCTCATGGCATCGACACCCCCGATTCGGGGACGCAGCCCTCTCGGCGGCTACGCACAGTCGCGACCGGGCAGCACGGCCAATTTCCAGAGTATGATGGGCGGGCCCAGTGACGCGGTGATCATAGAGGTTGTTCAACAGTGCTTGAGGGAGGCAGACCTGGACAATGTCACCAAGAAACAATTGGTCGCCCTGGCTGAGCAGCGTCTGCAAACCCAACTTTCTGGCGAGCGACGTATATTCCTCAACCAGCAAATCGACCACGAGCTTGCCAACATGGCATAGAGAGATGTCTAGCGTATCCTCGATCTGCATCAGCGTTGTTTCACATATCTCGTTTGCATAAAGTCTTGACGACCAGATTCCCTTTCCTTTGACAGAAGCAGTTAAAAAGACTTGTTTATTTTTAGATGGACTCTTGGTAGCCAACGTCGCTCCTTGATTTTTTGGGCTATTTTCCGTGCCGCTATGTATTTTGAGACTGGGAACATGGCATTTAGGGGATCAGGTGCGGGATAGGAGTCATTTGCATGCAATTCAACGTTCCTTTTCCTCCCATATTCACCTTGAGTCTTATTTTTAGCATCGGCCGGAGAGCTATATATTGGGGTAATGATAATTGTGTAGCGAGCGGTACATAGCGGAATAGCAGAGTTGAAGCTGATGATGTCCATGTAAGCCAATAATCGCAGGTGGCTGTGAATAGTGTGAGCCAACCAAAATGGCCGAGGCGCCGATGGCCGACATGATGCAGCAACAACACTTGAACGTCGACACCCGACCGACCCCAACACGCCGCTGACCCTTGACACCACCCCTTCTCCACCTCACCTCTCTTTACATTGCACAATGCCTCCTCGGCGTATAGAACAGGACGAAATCGAAAAGTACTGGGAGATCTTCAGCTCCCTGTCCAACGGCTCGACACATCTCGACGGAGCGCAGGCGGCCCCTGTACTCAAGAACTCACACCTCCGCGATGACCAGTTGGAGCGCGTATGGGATCTGGCGGATGTGGATGGCGACGGAAAGCTGGATTTTGAGGAATTCTGCGTAGCTATGCGCTTGATCTTCGATTTGATCAACGGGGTACGTCCCGTTCGCATGCTACCGTGCTGACCGAGGAACCTAATTAACCTGTTCATTGCAGGAGTCTTCAGATGTTCCCAAAACGCTTCCCGACTGGCTAGTACCAGAGTCCAAATCACACCTCGTTCAAGCCAATCGCGCCATGACGGGCTCGCTACCCCAGTTCGAGCAGGTTGAAGACGACGATGATACACCCGGCTTGCGCGATGGCTTCGACTGGTACATGTCACCTAGCGACAAAGCAAAGTACGAAGAAATATACACGGCCAACCGCGATTCCCACGGGTCCGTATCTTTCCACACGCTGCAACCACTCTTCGACAGCCTCGACAACGTGCCTGATAGCGACGTGAGATTCGCTTGGAATCTGGTCAACCCCAAGGCAAGCGAGGGTGTGGCCAAAGATGCCTGTTTGGCCTTCCTGCACATCTTAAACCAGCGGAGCGAGGGCTTCCGCGTGCCCAGAAGCGTTCCACCCAGCCTACGAGCAAGCTTCGAAAAGGCTCATATTGACTACGACATAGAGCGCACGAGCAATCGATGGGCGGAGCGCAGCGAGGACAATACTGCGGCAGGCAAGAAGGCCAAGTTCGGCGATGCGTACCTTACGCGGTTGGGCGTGGGCGACCGCGCCAACAACTACGGTGCACGCGCCCGGGGTACTGACCACGGAGGTCGCACGACCGAAGACTGGGAAGAGGTACGCCTGAAGAAACAACTGAAGGAATTGGAGGAGAAAATGGATAGAGTGGAGAAAGAGAGCGAGAACAGACGGCATGGAAGAAGAGGTGATAGCAAACCAGCGCTGGTGAAACGGGAGCTAGAAATGCTGCTGGACTACAAGAGGGGTGTGTTGAGAGACATGGACAGTGGGGACGGCGGTGCTGTCAAGGGACTCTCGGGTATTAGAGACGAAATTGACACGGTCAAGGAGCAGGTGGAAGGGCTTCAGGGACATTTGGAGAGGAGAAAAGAGGTGCTTGACGATCTTCGAAGGCAGATTGATGACGAGAAGTCATCACGGTGAGCGAGATATGGTCTGTTGGAAAACGTGGTTGGAATGACTCCCTGCGTATTTACCTCACGAGCAATGGCCACGAAAAACATCAACATGGGCCCAAGTTCGCAATCGAAGCTCTGAAATTGATTGTTGGCGTTCATGTGGAACGCGAGTGGGAACATTGTAGAGGCGGTGTCCCAGTTCCTGCCTTGTTGCCGGTATCCATAGTGAAGCACCTTCTTGACCAGTAGCCCTAGTCTTGTTCCCTAAAGTTTGGAAGAAGGTGTTGCACCATTTTTTCTCGCTGTGAAAGCCGCAATCAAATCCATCAGCTCCGGACTCAAAACATCATAGCACTCCAAGCCTTGGTTCCTAAAAGCCCCCCTCACCTCACCCATCTTGTCGGGCTCGAAACCCTGCTCAATCACACTCGAGACAAAGGCGGCAAACTGGGGCTTCTGCCATGCATCCTTATCCTCGCCCAACTCGGTGTGCACAAAGTCCAATCCCTTGAAGGCGTGGTCGACCTCGATGCGCCCAAACAGATGCACACGGCAATCCTTGCAGGCGTAGCGCTGAATTGCGGCGGACTTGTCGACGATGAAGAGTTTATGGCCATTGGCAGTGATGGAGAGATTGTCGCGCGGGACTACGGCGACAAGAGAGAAGAGCGAGCCCTGGGGTTTCCAGCACTTGGAACAGCCGCAAAAGTGATTGTGTAGGACGTTGGAGGAAAGGTTGACGCGGACGGGTGCGGTAGAGCAATGGCAAGTCAATGTCCCCCCGTTGGATGGTGAGGGCGAAGAAGGTTGTTTTTTGGTGGTGAGAGAGGGGTGAATAATAGTAGGAGCCATAGTGGTGAGGGGAGGAACAATGCGAGTGGATGAGTATATGTTATGGCCTGGGTTGTGTGCGAATGCAATAGTGGATTCGATGGGCTTCTGTGCTGTGGGAAGATGGGGAATTGAGAGACCAAAAAGTCAAGCGAAGAGTTTGGGCAACTGAGATTTCAAGAAACGTTATATATGGGTAGCTAGAGTGGTGGAAGTTGGTCGTCTAGGTCAGGAAGAGGTAATTGATAGCGCTTGTGGACTACTTGAACCATCTAGGAAGTCAAACCCCGCTCAGCCATGTGTGCGGAGCCGCATTGCCTCGACGGTGAAGCGCACGTCGACTTGGATGGCGAGAGTAAGTCAATGATGGCGTGATTGGATGTTTTTTGCTCTTGCTCTTGCTCTTGTAGCGAGTATCTGCCAGCTCATGGTTCAATGGCTGTGGTAGATTGTCAACCATGTCGGAGCGTACTTGATGTTGTTTGCTACTACATACCTCACAGCCGGTTACGGGCAGCACTCTTCTGCACGGCAGATACACATCAATGCTTGCCTATAAGAGTACATGGCTATTGGGAATGCACATGCTACGTCACAGGCCGTTGTGATATTTTGGGAACACAGCTTGGCTGGATACATGCAGTACTACTCGCTCTACTACTACTACTACTCCTGCTATTACATGGCCATAACTGACCCAAGTTTCCCTCCTGGATTCATGCCATGTTCCCGTGTTTCCCTGCCGATGCAACAGCTTCCCAGCTCGTGGTTTATTGGCTTCCATCCCGAATTTTGATCCCGGATTCCATCAAACGACATGGCAGAGTGCCGTGCATGGTTTTCTAACCTGAACGAGCGCTCAGCTAAAGTACCAATTTGCCTAAATCGGATGCCCGTCACGGATCCCACTCCCCTTGGCAGCCCAGGGCCATCCTTGATTGGTCCAATATATATGAACCGCAATGTTCGGCTTTGAACATCGTCGACACGCCCATCATTTGACGTCGTGGCCGGCAAACAATTGGAGCGTTTGCTCGTTGCCCTCCAGTGTACCTGGTTTGACCAAACGCCTCAAATCCGGGGCACCCAACACGCTCAATCACGCTAATTGATGCCCCCCCTGGTCGCTTTGATCCCATCTATATGTTTAACATGCCGAATTTCATTGCCTGTAGCCCTCTGCTATGAGGGGACTGGCTTTGCTCAATCTCCATGGAACCAAAATCATCTTCCCCCTGATTAACGTCGTTTGGAGGCACACTTGGACCGTAGATCACCGTCACTACCAGCCTCCATCAGCTTTCTCGCCACGTTTGTTCACATTCAGACCAGAGGTATATAAGTCTGCGCGAGGAAGTCTGCTTCCGGACAGCACCACAGACGTTCCACGCCTTCTCCTTCAGCCCTGCACTATACCAGTTGCTTCACCATGATCTTCTCAACGATACTCACGCTGGCGGCATCCGCCACGGTGGCCATGGGCGCCTCGCTGCAAAGAGTCAACAGTTTCGGCGCCAATCCTACCAACATTCAGATGTACATCTACGTACCTGACAAGCTGGCCACGAACCCTGCCGTCATCGTCGGAGTAAGTCTTTCACAATTCCCGTCTCCTGCTCGCAGCAACTCGCTGAACGCGTATTTCAGTTGCACCCGTGCGGAGGAAACGCTCAGCAATGGTTCAGTGGCACCAGGCTACCATCATACGCCGACCAGAACGGATTCATTCTCGTTTACCCAGGAACGCCAAACTACTCCAACTGCTGGGATGTTCAAAATGCCGCCAGTCTTACCCACGATGCCGGCGGTGATGCAAAGGGTATCATCAGCATGGTCAACTACACTCTGTCCACCTACAAAGCCGATCCCGCCAAAGTCTACGTCATGGGCTCTTCTTCCGGCGCCATGATGACCAACTTAATGGCTGGAACGTACCCAGAAGTCTTCGAGGCTGCATCTGCTTACTCTGGTGTCGCGCACGCCTGCTTCGCTGGATCAACCCAACCACCGACACCCTTCAGCTCCAACCAGACCTGCGCTCAGGGACTCCAGCACACCCCAGCTGAATGGGGCAACTTTGTTCGCAACTCGTACCCCGGCTACACTGGCCGCCGTCCTCGTATGCAAATCTGGCACGGAAACGCCGACACTTTGGTGCGCCCCCAGTGTGCCTCTGAAGCGCTCAAGCAGTGGTCCAATGTTCTCGATCTCTCTCTCACCAAGACCAACACTGGCGTTCCTTCTTCGGCCTACACTGAGCAGGTATACGGCGACGGGACGAAGTTGGTGGGATACTTTGGTGCAGGTGTTGGTCACACTGCTCCCGTCAACGAGGTTTACATGTTGAGGTTCTTCGGCCTGATCACTTAGAGTGACTATAAATTGCCATGTTTCGGTTGAAGTGATGGACAGTAAGAGAGATACAATCGTTTAGGTGAAGAGGTGGGAACAGTGGAAATTACTCCGTAGTACACGTACCTACTTGTTACATATAAAGCACAAACCTAAAATGGGCCAAGACCTGGTCCAAATATAATTGCGTCCAATTGTCACAAGATCTTGAATGACCGCCAATAGGGGGTTAAATCTCTAGTCTTACATGCTTTGGGACAGGCTATAACGACATTGTAGCACGTGTTCCGGTATTCACAGACACCCCTCTCTCAATTCCACCACTAGGTGTGATAACAATAAGATAAATAAAAAAAAACACCCGAGGCTTATAGGTGAAGGGCCAGCACAAACAGGGATAGGGTTTAGCGAAGAGCCGTTGTCCTCAATAAATTAAGAAAAGGCAGTTTTCATGCAACCTAGGATCAGGTAGATCACCGGAAGAAAACCGTTTCGGTTAATTAAGGTGAAAGTATGGGGCCAATGTTCCGCATCCCCAGACTTTTCACTATAGTAAGCAATTCTTCCAAGTATCACAGTAGTACGTATTGGCGCTGAGGGGTTTCTTTCTCCTCTATCATCTCGAGCACTCTATGCAATTCCTGACGGTATCTAAGGGGGTTAGTCGCTTACCACACGGATTCATTCGCCCGAGGAGTTACGTCAAACCAAGACTCAAGTACGACCAAGGTCCAACGTCTGGCTGTACTTCGAGCTCCTAATTCGTGGGTCTGTATGGAGTATCTGTCTAGAGCAGGCCCAGGATCATCGGTCTGCCAAGAGTGCTCCAAAACGTTTAGGGGGTACAATTGGAGGCTTTTGCTGTTGCTATCTTTTCATGACTCGAAGCTTCCTTGACTCTGCCCATGGCAAAAAAAATTGACCAATATAAGCCGCGACGTGTGGTCGTGGCGGCAGTTGGAAGCAAAGCCATTCTCGATCATCGAACTCATGTAGATACATCTATAAAAGACCACAGCTTTCGCTACTCCCATCATAGCTTCCAGACTCAAACATCAGAGTAAATTCTTACCAACAGTCTTCTCCTCCAATATGAAGTTGGCAGCATCAATTCTTCTCCTTGGCTCAACGCTGATCTCCAGCGCCATTGCGGCAACTGCTGGGTGTGGTAAAGCACCTACGACTCTGAAGAACGGATTGAACACGGTCAACATCAATGGCAAGAACCGACAGTACACTCTCACTCTTCCCAGCAACTACGACAACACAAAACCCCACCGATTTGTATTTGGTCTTCACTGGCGCGATGGCACAATGAACAGCATCCTCGATGGTCGTGAGATCAGACCCTACTACGGCCTTCCCAGCCTCGTCAACTCACCCACCATCTTTGTAGCTCCCGACGGGCTCAACCGTGGCTGGGCCAACAATGGCGGCGAGGACATCACGTTTCTATCCAACATCATCAAAACAACTAGCGACCAGCTCTGTATCGACGAGAAGCTGAGGTTCTCCATGGGCTGGAGCTTCGGCGGCGCCATGTCGTACTCGCTGGCATGTTCGCTTCCCAACGATATCCGTGCCGTGGCCGTGCTTTCTGGAGGCCCTGTATCGGGCTGTGCAGGTGGAACCGGCCCCGTTGCGTACTACGGCCAGCACGGCGTGAGTGATTCGGTTTTGGGGATCAATCTGGGCAGGCAATTGAGAGACACGTTTGTGAGGAACAACCAGTGCCAACAGCAGAACCCACCCGAGCCCAACCGTGGAAGTCGTCAGAACATCTTGACAAAATACAATGGGTGTGCTGCTGACAAGCCGGTTTGGTGGAGAGCTTTTGATGGAGATCATACGCCTATCCCTATCAATGGAGGTACTAACAAGGATTCGACGTTTACTGGACCGGGTGTTTGGGAGTTTTTCTCTCAGTTTGGTTAAGGCTTGAGATGTGGGAAGGATATGAGTGAATATAGAGGTATATATCTATGATCTATATTCAACAATTGGTATCCCAGTTCTCCATTATAACTAATTGCACCTTATTTGCTGGCATAATTGCACTGAACATTGTTGCAACCATATCTAGACTGCCGTGCACGGGGACTCGCTCCTTCAGTTTCTGACCCATAAAAGATTGTGTTAATCCCCGAAGATCTCAACGTGGCTATAAGTCTTTCGCGGTGATTGAAAAGAAAGAAATTCCCAGGGTCATAACAACGAAAGGATTGCCATAAAATTCACATACGATCAGTCCATTTTACCACACACTCCAACTCCAACCTCCAAATATCCCCCTGGTCGCTACAAAGGCTGCAAAAGCCGCCACATAAGCCGCCCCTGCAAATACGATCAAACCCGTATACGCACCACCATTGGCCTTTATAATTGCCCCGGCAATTGGTATCCCAATCAAAGCCGCAAAACTAGCCAACGAGAACGTCGTTCCATTTCTTTTCCCATAATCCTCAATCTTACAGACAGATGCCACGCATACAGGGGTCAGACTAATCGCCGCGCCAGACCAAAAACCAAACATGACGGCGAAGGCCGTGATGGCAACCTCACTGCTCCCAGCTGTCAACCACAGAGCGAATATGAAGATGGAGCAGATGCACGAAGTCGCAGACATGGTGTTGAATGCCCCAAATCGATCAGCAACGTAGCCAGGGAGGGCGCGTCCAGGAATAGCCCCAGCGTTAAGTAGAGCCATGAGGCGATAGGCATGTTGCTGTTCCATACCCATGTGAATGGCGTAACTGGAAAGGTATGTGTACGGTATAAAGACGGCAAATTCGACAAGCCAGACCGCCAAGGTTGTCAGTGCATATTTAGTGTCCTTCAGCGCTAGCAGGTCAATCGAAGCCCCTGCGACTTTGTTGTGTGGTAGACGTTTTCGAAGGAGTAGACAGGCGAGAAAGCCCATGAATGCGCAAATGAAGCCGATGATACGGATTGTCCAGGGGAAACCGATCCGGGGCGCAAGATAGAGAATCATCAACGGAAAGAAGATGCCCCCAATTCCGCCTGCCGTACATGCGATTCCTGTTGCGAGGGCGCGCCGTTTGCAAAACCAATGCCCCACAGCTGAGATGGCGGGCGTGAATTGCAGGGAGGCTGAAAGTCCGCCGAGAACACCAAAAGACAGAAAGAGTTGGTAGTATGCTGCGGTGCTTGGTCAGTAGGTGATGGTTGGCTGTCATGTTTGAGCATTGGGGGGACTTACATTCCGAGACACTGAAGCACATGAGCGCTGCCACTATCCCTACACTGCCGGGGACAATGACCCAGCGTATATCATGCGCATCGAAAATTGGGCCTAGCAACACAATTAGTCTTGACAAGGTTTGCATGTCTACAACACTGTGACGAACCAATTTGAGCAGCGCCTATATACAAGAAGAATGCATAGGCGGATACAATCCAGCCGATGTTTGACTCGGAATAGCCAGTCAATTGATGTTGGGACATCCAAGCTTGAAGGACGCCTATCGTGTTTAATAACCCCATGGAAGGAATCATGGCACACCAGGCACCTAACACGACCAACCATGCTTCCTTCCCCCCCTCGGGATAACCATCGGTTTCATCTTCGGAAGTAGAGTTTCTACTTAGTTCAATATCGTTGTTGGGGGAAGTAAGTCGGTCAGATCTAGGTACTGTAGCCTTGATCTGATCTTGCTTGCCCTGCTCTTCGTTTGGTACTGAAGGGGATCTCATCGTGCTTGGGTTACGCACCGGCGAGCACTAAGAAGACGGCCTGGATGTTGTTTGTACTTTTCTACCTAGGTATAACTTGGATGCTTATTCGATCGGATGGATCAGGTACGTGTAGGACAGCAAAAAAAACAAGTGCGAGTGTAGGCAGACAAACGGATAAGCTTTCTCTTCACCATATGTAGATGCCGTTATATATCAGCGGCCAGGAGGATATGTTGATCTTGTAGTGTGCATATCGATCTCAGAGTCACTGACGCGACGTTCGATTTTTTGATATGTCGGCGCTTCTGTTCCGCGCCTCAATTTGAATCAAGTGGGGCTTGCTACGCCGATTTAGGAATGTCAAATCTCTTCAACACGATGCGGTGACGGTGAATCCCGGGGAGAACATTTCGCACTGGATTCCATCATCATGGATCAACCAGTTGCAAGGTTTATGGCCCTATGGAGCGTTGACCTTCCAGCAATTTACATGGCAAATGAAGTTTGTACTAGCGCACCTCCAGGTAGCTGCAGCAGCCGACAAATATGGAAGCTACGTAGTGACAACGTCAAACAGAGATCAATGGAGAAGTTTATAAGCTGATATATTCCAAAAGCCGTTGCTTGGGCCCTCTTCGGCTGCATACTTAGGCAGCCAGCAAGTAAGACAAGGCTTGAACCGGCAAATTAATTGACGCTCTTGGAAAAGTATCCGTTCATCTCCAACAAAACGATAAGCCTTTCTAAAGTGTTCTCCTCCGCAGTCCCTCTACCCTTTCCATACCCTTTCCTCCCCGTTAGTTGCCTACAGACACCCAGGAACACCCTGATTTTTCCCTTGAGATTGATGTAAAGGTCCTTTGCACTTTCCGCGACTAGCAGCTCCGGACTCTGTCTCTTCGCAAACAGAAGGATGAGCTCGAAGATCTCTTCCATAAGCGCCATAACCTTGCGCTGGCGATTGCGAAGAAGCAGAGAGAATAGGATACTGTCGAGGCATTTCTCGTGCGCGTCACGAAGGGTGCCTAGGCTTTCCGTGACGTGAGTGCCCAGTTCAGAAGCAGCGTCCTCCTCGGACAAGCGACGTTCCAGCGTCCCGATATAGGAGCTAAAAACATCCCAATGCTCGGCTATGCCGGTTTGGAATATGTACGTGGAAAGCGTGGTCACGAAGTGGTGCGCCTCCATTCTGAAGTATCGGGATTCAACATCCGCGTACTGCTGGGGTAAGCGCCCAACTACATAAAGCAGGCGTAGGAGTCGAAGGAGAAATTTGAAGATTGTATCGTACTTTTCGAGGGCGGACGAACTGATGACGAGGTTGAGAGGATTCGGTGGAACGTATTGCAAGCGGAGGAAGTCGATGGCGTACAGGCCGTAAGGATCCATGATTCTTTCCATATCTACTTCGGTCAACTGTCGCACGGCAAAGTTGAGCTGTCCCGGTAGCTCATCATTTTTCCGTCGCTGCTCCGTCTTCGATGCTTGATCTTGTATGGAGTGAAAGAGGGCTGAGGAGTAATAACTTTCACTCAACACACCCATGAGCGCAAGCCTCAGTTCCGAGCTGGCAGGGGGCCAGTTTTCTCGAGATCCCAAGTGGAGGCCCATATGCACTCCACTACGCATCTGTCCTTTATGACGCTCAGCACTCTCCCGTTCTGGATCGAAGAGGGCCGATGCTAAACGTGAAGAAAAGACGCCGTCACCCAATAATTGGTACTGCCGCTGCAGTGAAAAGTGCAGTTGAAGTTGATGGGAGCGAAAGAACAAGCGTAAAGTTGTTGCATTTACCAGTTTTGCCTGGGCTGTGAGGAGGGGGCGAATGGACAGTGTGGAGGTGGTGGATAGAGGAGGGGCAAATTTGCTACTCGATGAAGCTGATTTGGACAGAACAGCACTATCCAGTATTCGTTCAGTAAGCTGCATAAGCTCATTAGGAAGTTCTTTATGAGGCTGGCCAGGTGAAGCGTCAAAGACCTGCATAGTTTCGTTGAGATAGGCTCCGAAATCGTTTCCACCTAAACTCTCATTGGGAGGTTTAGTGGGCTTCGAGCTAGTCACAGTAGTGGTAGCTGTGGTCGAACCCCTTCCCTTAGAAAATCCTAGGATTGCAGTTCGCAGCTCTTCCTCGTAGTCCTTTGCTTTCCGAGAAATGTCTTCAATATCCTTCCACGTAAAACCCCACTCCAGGGAAGGCGGTTGCACAGAGTGCTTGGTCATCGAAGCCAGAGGATGCTCTGGATGATGGGATTTCACAAACCTAAGACTGTTTCCCGTTTCAAATATAGTTCTGCCATCTTCGACGGATACGTAATCAGGCATTGCCTCAGAACGATAAGCGTACTCTTCAGGACCATACTCTGAGCTGTCATGAACATGGACGAAGCTGCCACGCTCTGCAACAGGGGCGGTGTGTTGCTCTTGTTGAATGCCGATCCATTCTCCAACGATGTCCATACTTGGTTGGGCTACACGCCGAAGGATTTCAGACGACAAGAGACGGAGGCCGTCATCGCCTTCCTCTGCCTCCAATGCGCGATGATGCAATATAGATGACAGTTGTTCGTTGGTCCTGGCTTGCTTGGTGGTTTCTACGGCGCGGCAAAGGTGGCTAAGAATGACGCGAGGCTTCTCAAAAAGGCGCTGTAACTGAAGTAGAGATGATATGTGTGCAGAGTGTTGGCCGAGGTAGTGTTCAAATGTGGAGAGTATAGTCGATATGGACGTGGCCAAGGCAATTCTGGCAGATATGGAGGCAATTGTAGCAACCGTACGCTCCACGAAAGATCGCAGATAGACGAAAGCATTGCCAGTGTCGATGAAGTGATTGATAACGCTCTGGGCGGCGCGCAAGCTAATACCAGACGCTCTTCCATCTGATACAGCAGGCTCAAAGGAAGCCGTTTTGGGGTTGAAGGTGAAGAGAATGGACGAGCGACCAATGCCCAAGTTCCAGAGAGACTCGAGTAGAAGGTTGGACTGTAACACTCTACCAGCCGGCGCCTTAGCTTCATCTGTGACCAGGGAAGCATCAAAAGGTTGCTGACCGGCTTCGGCAAAATAAGGTGACTGCTGCTCGGAATGAGTAGGATCCTCAAAGACGTCCCATGAATGGAAGGTCACGTGTTGGTTTGCTGGTCCCAGGTCCAGAGCAATCTGCCATAGGTCGTCCTGTACATGGTCTGTATCGGTGGAGGCAGGTTCCAGAGAGACGGTTGATTGATCCGAAGGAGCGGCAAGTGTAGGCAGAGGACCGAACTCAAAGGTGGCTGGGTCTGGCAAATGCAGCTCCTGGTCGAGTGGTGCTTTTGGGGCGTACGGGTGATTGAGTTGGATGGCTGGCACTGAAAAGACAGATGGACGGATCAACACTCGAGACAGGCGTGGAGACGCGTAGAAGTGAAATCACTCACCATCTAGCTGCAACGGCGCAAAGAGCAATGATTCGTGGGCCGAAGCATCGTCGAACAGCGAGGAAGACTTGTACAAATCGGCGGTCGCAAATGCATCTCGCCACAGTACATGGTCGTGGTCATTGCCACCGCCAGCATGCTGCGGCATTGCTGCACGTAAATGTCCGGCTGTCTGGTCCCCTGGCTGTTCATGGGCTCGAGGTGGTGAAGATTGAAGATGCCGACCGACAGCGCGTGGGGTGGTGGTGGTTGGCGTCCCGTCGTGTTTCCCTCCGCTATCGATAAGCAAGCTACGTAGTAGTAGGCACCTTTCTACGCGTCGACCGTCTGCCAGTCCCACTCCACGCCATCTTCGCCGTCACTCATCACCGTCCTCGTCAAATGGTGATCCCCGAGCAACAGTGCACCCAAGGACCGCGCTTAGGGTTGAATTGATCCGACTCCATCCAACATGCCGCCGCGGAAGAGGGCCAAACCAAGCGCGGCGTCGACGCCTCTTGCCGACACTCAGGCAAAGACACCGCAACCCCACGACACCACGGCCCAGGCCCAAGAACTCCTCCACGACCCCTGGGCCGACGAGCAGGAGACACAGCTCTTCAAGAGCATGATGAAGTGGAAACCCACCGGCATCCACAAGCATTTCCGCATGATCTCCATCCACGCCGACATGCGCTCCCACGGTTTCGCGACCGACGACGCTCCGCACACTCGCATCCCCGGCATCTGGCGCAAGCTACATCAGCTGTACGACTTGCACGCCCTGGACGACCGAGAAAACTCATATGCGTTCGGCGAAGACGCGGACCCGCACGACCCGGAAGATGCTGCCAATATGGATGATTTCGAGCTACCTGAGGAAGATTACGGCGAGCTGATTTGGCAGTCTCGCTTCGATGGCTCCGGCTCTTCATCGCCACCACTCATGCCCGTTGAGGACGAAAAGGCTTTGTATCATCCAAGCATCGGTCTACTAAAAGACGAGCCAGGTGGCGTACTGTCGCAGAAGGTGGGGAGTGCTGCGTCCGCTTCGGCGTCCGCGTCAGCGCCCAAGAGTGCAAAAACCACGAGGGCTAGCAGGGCAGCGGCCAAGAACACCAAAGCTACCAAAGGGCAGACCAAGAATACCAGAGCACAGGCTGCTGTTTCTGATTCGGTCGAAGAGGAGGAAGAGGACGAAGAAGAAGACGACGACGAGGATGACGAGGAAGGGTCAAGTTCTGAATCGGAAGAAGAGACAGCTCCCAGCACGCGGCGTACGAATCGGAGCACAGCGAAGGCGAAACCTGCGCCCAAGCGGACGCGGAAGAGGTAGTGCGTGGTTGGGGAAACCCTGCTGTTTAGATGTTGACGCGTTCGATGTGATACCCAATCCTTTCCACTTCTGTATTATTACCTCGTCATGTGTATTCTTTCTGAATCCAGTGTCTCCGTTTGTTCATGATACGCACATCTACGTATGCATCTATCCCATGCCGCGGGAGTGAGATTGCTTCTAAACGTCGTCCCTTCACATCATACCCACGCGTAGTACAGAGCGTACAAGACGAACGTGTCTTCCCAATCACACTCAAGCGCTGGCCAGGGGTGACCAAAAGTTCCTTCCATATGATACCTCTGCCCCGCATTCACCTGGAAGCGGCTATAGACACATCGTACTTAGCTACCTACTTGGTACCTAATTCCCCACTTACTTAAGTACCTCATAGAGACATACCCGCCTGCTATCTCGATCCTCCCTCCCTTTGCCCTCCGCTCCCACTGGCCTACATCACTTCGATTGTATCATTCCTTTGCCCCACGCCATTTTGTTTTGGCGTGTTGGATTGCAACGATTTTACCACCACCCTCAAGTCTATCAGCAACAACATACCACATCAACAACAACAGCCAGATCAGCCCTGCAGCCCTGCAGCCATGAAGCTCTTCCTCGCCAGCCTTCTCGCCATCGTGCTGGCTGCCACCGCCGTCAATGCAGCCCCTACCTCCGATGCCGGCAACGAGCCGTTCCGCGAGGCCGTGGTCGAGAAGATGCTGGTTCGTCGAGACCAAGACCCCTTTCTTGACTGCAACATGTGTGCCGAGAATCTCGACGTCTGTCTCAAGGTAAACAACATCTCCCACAGCGCCCCTCCGTAGAGTTGCTGTTATGCATTCCTTTTCTAACTCGTCCCAGTACGGCTTCGGCCCATCCAAAAATATCGAGCATTGTGCCGACATCTGTTCCGCTTTCATGTGCCGCAAGTTCCCCAAAGTCAGTATAACCACGCGGTGTCACTTTGGTTTCGAACCAAACAAAAAGACAGAGTAAACATACTGATGACATCAAAGTGCCGCATGTGCGACGACAAATACAACCACTGCAATCCTTACCACAACGTGCACGTGTGAATCACGAGTTGAGTCCTAGAGCGGTACCTCCACCTACACGACGGTTCTGGACACCCGTATGGATGGATCGTGGGCTTGGGCAATGGTTGCCGATAGCCTTACAAATGAAGCTGGTGTTCTCGCGTATGCCAAGAAGTGCGTCTGGCGTTATAGGAGATGATTCTCATTAATTAGTCCCGTTTGCACGGGTGCATTGTTCAATACACTTCCGCCGACCTTGACTCCCGAAGGTAACCCAATGTTCTGACCAGGAATTCAAGTGACGCTCTTCGCCTTCGCCCAGTCGCCTTTGTTCGCTCTCTCGCTCACTTGTTCCAAAACTTTGCCCGCCCACTCGAAGTCATCCATATCCAAATACACTTGTCCACTGAGTCTCGCCCACCACTGCCCCTCGGCGAATAGTGTTTGTATGAATGTTGCGTGCTCTTTGACCATCGTCTGAGCCAACCAGTTCCTGACTTCCAATCCTACAGTACCAGGCTCGATCCCTGCTTTGACAGCTGACGCTTTTATCGCGCCCAGATCTATAGGAAGCAAAACGTTGACCATCGTACACTGCGTTAGCGACCCTGAACTGTTATCCATAATCTTAGTTCCGAGAATCTGAGCAATTCGTCGGCTTCCATGTTGGGCTAACGTGTGGCAATATTGCCTTATCGCCTTCTCGCCACCTAATCGTTCGCGCCATCTGATGGCCTCTGGAATACACAGATATGGGGAATTGTCGATGGTGCCCACGAACTGGAAGTTGTTTTCAAAAGCGCTTCTGGGTTCGTCAGATGGAGGTAAAGGACTAGCGATATTCCCTGTCAATGGAATAAACCCATGTGATGTCGGAAGCGTAGATCGGATGAGATGCTGATTCCGGTTTGGCACATGCAGAATTGCACAGCCTCGGGGAACATGGAACCATCTGTTTTATCGCTGTTAGCTTCTTCTGACTCTTTTCTTTTTCGGCGACTTGTAATCCTAGACTTCGAATCTACTCACTTGTGGCAGTTGCTCGTGAAGAAATCTGCGTCTAGAGCACGGAGATCCAATTCGATATTACCGACACCATGCGCACCATCGATACAAGACAGAACCCCGAGCTCTTTGCACGCTTGGGTAAGCTGCTTGTAGGGAAAGCAAACGCCTGGCATGCTGACTACCGTGTCGAACAAAGCGACTTTGACTCTCCCGCCTGACGCTGCTACTTCTTGGACCCGGCTCTTGAAAGCATCGACCACCCCTACGTCCCAACGGTCCGTCAGTGCACAATCCAAAAATAACAAAAAAAGGGAAAACTTTGAGTACGAGACAACTTTTGAAAATCGTGATAAGGGGCTCGGTGAAAGCAACCTACAGTCATCTTCAACCGGAAATGTGAACTCCACTCTGGTAGACTTGACAGGCGTAGTTTCTGAGAGAAACGCGATCGTCTTCTCGCAGGCCCCATAGATGGGCGAGAAATACAGTATATAATCTCCAGCTTCGTACGGGATGGACCGCAGCATGGTGTTGACGCCGGTTGTGGCATTGGGGACGAATACGATCTCAGCTACCGGTGCGTTGACGATCTTCATATTCGTTATCAGCAATGATGAATGGAGGGATGGAGGAATAGAAAGATAAGTCGCTTGCAGAGAAATGTGCGACATGAAGGTGGAAAACAGACCTTGGCTATCCCCTCCCGAGACTTGTCCAAGAGTCTCGGGTACGTGTACCGTATGAATTCGTCTGGCCGCGCTTCGGATTGATCTTGAAAGGAGCGCATCGCATCGCGAACGGCGCGTGGGTACGTCCCAAATGATCCTTATTTCTCCGGTAAGCAAAACTCAGTGGAAGCGAAGCATACCAGACATTTGGGAGAGCTGATAGTGATGGCATCAGAGTTGTGGTTGTTGTGTGACTCACCATGGTTCAAGTTACGGTACTGGTCATCAATCAGGAACTCTTTAAGCAGCTCTTTACCATATTTCACACCATCGTTCGTCCTGCTGTTGAGGAGAACATCTGGGAGTGGCGAGGACAAAGACATGACGTTTGGGCTGAGTTGGAGCTGCCAGAATGAAGAGGGGATCCTGTCTGGAGGGCAGAGCATTTTATATTTACATATTATATATATGGATTATGACTGTACACGCCGGATACCGAAGGTCAAGGAAAAACGCCGGCTTTTCGCGGGGCTATGAGTGCATGGTATCACATCCAAACGTTGCACGTGTAGTCGACAGGGCGTGGCGTGTAGTTGAAAAGGCGTGCGGGGACACGGCGATTGGCCTATGCACCCACTCCTAACTTTTATAAGTCAATTTTATGGCTGGCTTGATTGGAGCCACTATTTCTGGGTTTCGACAATTATTGGTTTATTTTGCCATGATATGGAATCTGGGTGCACACAGACGTACATGTGCATGTTTGTGATAGCAACATTGAATCCTACAAAGCTCTAGTCCACACCTCAGATACTGAAAAGGTGAATGGGCAATTGATTGTTAACGAGTTTCAAATGAAAGGGGGGGTTTCTTTTTCGTGGGAACAGTGTGTAGCTAACCTCATCTACGGGAGGATGACTCGACTGTGAAGCGTTGCTGTGGGCAATCGACTCATCGAACTCATCGAAGCGATCTCGGTCTCTGTTCAATTGTGGGGACCCGGATACTACCGGACATCGGACGCGCTCTACTTCGCTGCAAATAAAGTCGTGCAACCATATACGCATGGCTATCTATGTGCTGCGCATCAAGCTCGTATTGATAGGCATTTGTACCGGTAGCCGATTCGTCATCTCAACACACCATCTGTCTGGAACATAGCGAGGCTCTGGCACATTCTTTCACTATTCCCTCTGAAGCCGTTAGACCGCAATACAGCCGCTAGTACTGTACAAATAGGATTGTCTAGTCTTGGCTGTCTATGCATCGCAAAACATGGCCCACACAAGACCCCAATGGCCCTGCTACGAATGACTCTTCAATTGAGTATTCGTCGGGATTGAAGTGAGTCATTCAGGGACAACGCTGATGGCATGGGCTCTTTGGTTCATTGCTCTTGAAATCCAAAATCATCATTATGCCTTCATATGCCCACAAAACTCATGCATTGGATCTTCAGTGGCCACTATAGCGATAGCTCCACAAACTGGATGATTCAAGAGCTACGCCATTCGATTATAGGCTGCGTACTTTTCCATTCTACATCGCGATGAAACCCAAGCAGAACTTGATTAGCCGTGAATATTTTAATCGATGATATTTCATCTAGTTGATTAGAACTGTCTCAAGTCGTCAGTCATCACCAAAGAACAACATATATAAAATTCAAGTAGCTCCATCCAATCACAAATGCTAGTGATTCGCTTAGCTGATGCTTTCCTCTCGGGAGTACGTAGTGATCCTGGCCATGTACTTTGCTTCATAGGCTGTAGATCTGATTTGTCAGACACACGACACCGCCCATTTCTATGCATGATGGTCGTTCAACCCAATCGATCCTCCATACGCGAACACAAGGCACTCTCAAGAATAACGGATCGTAAACAATTCTTATCGATACAATGGCACGAGGCAGGCCTAAGCGCATTGTTGCACCGTGCTCCTACTGCAACAAACAATTTAAGCGACAAGAGCATTTAGCACGACATGAACGCACACGTAAGGGGCACAATTCCAATTGCATTGAGACTGGAGCCTCATTCGTCATCAACAGATACAAACGAACGACCGTTCTCATGTGATTGCGGCCAACGTTTCACTAGACAGTAGGTGGTTCCTATATGACCTCGGATCATGTCTCATAATATATAGAGATCTCCTAGCACGCCATATGCATTCGTCCCATCCTTCGCCCATGTCAGTCACTCATGTTGACTTAGTCATTCCGACCACGCATCCGTCCACAATTCTCAGTGGGATTGATACTAATGAAGTTGAAGATTTAAGTCTCTTCTGGGATCCCAGTATAATGACCCAGGACATGCTGCCGGCATCACTGTTCGACGTCAATTTTGATCTCGCCACTTTGGAGCCTTTTCAAACGAGCATAGAGGAACCCACAAAAAAGAGCAGATTTGCTCGATTCAGCTCCCGTCTGCCAAAATTGGATGACATCGATAGCATTGTGCATGAGAAAGAGGGTAGCGAAACGCTTGAAGCCAATCTTGATCTCGGATCTCCCAAATCTCAACCTTGGGCTCTGGAAAATGCATGCTATGAGAGGCTTCTCTCGCAGGCGATGGAATTCTCTGCAGTACTACCAGAAGGATTTTCAATACCCAGTCATAATGTCTTGATACGTTGCTTGGAGAAGTACATGCGATGCGCTCATGAGTTTCTCCCCATCATTCATTGTGCTACCTTTCGACCCGAAGAGAAGTACGTTGAATTAGTTCTGGCCATGGCTGCACTAGGCTCCAGATACCTCTTCGAGCCAGGAGAGTCGTATGAACTGTTCTTTCTTGCAAAAGCTATCATTCTCGAACGATTGAGGCGTGAGGGGCTTCAGAATGCATCGGATTTGTTGTTTGGGCATGATCCAACGGTCTTGAGCGAAAGCAAGAAGCTGGAAAGGCTCCAGGCATTCATTCTCCTTACCGAACTGGCTTCCTGGGCAGATCAAAAGATATCCGCCGATGGGCTCATAATGGCAGGTCATGCGGCAATCCTCGCTAGAGACATCGGAATTTCGGAGTCTGACGAACTGTCGCGCGACATTGATTGGTTGACTTATGTGTCTCTCGAAGAGAGACGGAGAACATTGTTTGCGACGTATGTCATATCCAACTTGCATAGTCTAGCCTTTGGCTCGCCTCCCTTGATTCTAAACCACGAAATCGGCTTGTGTATACCAGGCTACGCTGCGCAGTGGCGGTCAACAAGTGCGGCTGAATGGAAGCGGGTCTTGAAGCAGGAGCCTCGCCAACCAGAGATTCATTTCCAAGACAGGCTTCGTTGCCTTTTCAACGCTTTTGATACCATGGAAGAGCCGAGCACTTCATCTTTCGCCAATTACTTGCTTTTGCAAGGCTTAATTCAGGAGATAGATCACGAATCACACAGTTTCAGGACTACGGCAAGCAATTGTACAGGTTCAAGCGAGGACCTGGAAAGAGCACTCCGCAGATGGCAAGTAATCTGGGAGAGGATGAAAGAATCATCGTACGATTCCGAACTCGATCCTCTGTACTCGAAAGGACCTTTTGCACTCACCAGTGCGGCCCTCTTTCGGCTTGCCCATATCCGGCTTGCCACCGCCAGCAACCTGAGTAAAACACTTCTAATGTCTCGAGACCCCCGGTGTATGCTGCAATGGAGAGACACAAAGTCATTTATTCGGTCTTCGCAGGTGCATAGAGCAGTTATACACGCCGCACATTCTCTTAGCGTACCCGTGCGTTTGGGTATCTCGTTCATGAAGACTACAAAAACCGCCATCTGGAGCTTGGAACACTCTATATGCAGTTTGGAAAGCGCATTGTTCCTGAAGCACTGGCTTGACGCAATTGCCAAAATAGTACGTACATCGGGGCTGGATGCTCTCCAGAAAGTTGAGTCACAGATGTTGGTCATCATCAAAGACGTGATCAAGGGAACAGCAATGGACAATACTCTGCTCATTCATGAAGAGGACCCTGCATTGCAGATTGAGTATATGAGCGCTCTAGTCATCGAGATCTGGTCCGCCGTCTTCCAAGGAGTCAACGTCCTCGAGATTGAGAATGTCATTGGAGCTGGGCTACAATTTCTGGCAGCAGCTGGATCGAGTTCTTACGTTACTCCTGGCTGATACTAATGACGACTTTGCCAATGTGTTTCCCCGCCTCTACAAATTTGTATGCCTCAACAATCCCCTCCCGGTCGAAATTGAAAACTTTTCCCACTGCCAAATCAACGCTCTTATTCTCCACAAATTTTACCAACTGCTCCAACTGATGTTTCGATCCACCTCGAATACCACGAATGGTGACAGCGCCCACGAGAGCAGGAACCAACACGTCCGGTTGCTTCCCTTCATTCATGTCAAGGAAACCAATAACAGATATCACACCAGACGATGCGACGGACTCCAAGCTCTGTTCGATAGTACCGGGGCCACCATTCTCGATGATGTGGTCGACACCGTGCCCTTCAGTAATGCGCAGGACCTCAGCCGCCCAGTGTGTATGGGTTTTGTAATTCACGACATGGTCCGCACCGAGGGACTTCACATACTCGAGCTTCTCATCGCTGGACGATGTAACAATAGTCCTCGCCCCAGCAGCTCTAGCGATAGCAAGAGCAGTAATGGACACTCCCCCAGTCCCTGAAAGCTTTTCGTCAGCTCATTTTTCAAGTGAATCGACAACTCACATACCTTGGATCAACACCGTGTCACCGGGCATCAACTTCCTCTCCCCATAAAACGAATTCCAAGCTGTCGCCCCTGTACATACCACCCCAGCCCACGCCTCAAAACCCAACCTCCCCACCTTCACCTTTGTAAGCACATGGGCTGGAAGCACCACATACTCCCTCAACATGCCATCCTCGATACTCCCATAGGCGTCGATTCCTTTCTTGAACTCTCCGTACAGGTAATCGGGCGTTACAGGCGGAATAACGGCATCGCCGACGGCGAAGCCGCGGACCTGCGAGCCGAGCTCTACAATGGTGCCGCACATGTCGGAGGTGGGGACCACGTTTTCGCGGGCGGGAAGGAGATATTTTGAGGTTGCGATGGCGATGTCGCGGTAGTTTAGGGCGACGGCGCGGATCTTGATCAGGACCGAGTCTGGGGTGACGGTTGGAATGGGTTCTTCATGGGCGTGAATTCCTTCGATGCCATTTTCGAGGGTCAGGCGGTAGACTGTTTGGGTTGGCATTGCTAAGAGGTTTTGCGTTTGGTACGGAGGAGTAGTAACAAAATTAAAGATATGATCTGGACGAGTTCTCTGTGCTTTTCTGGAGTGATGGTGAAGGAGATAGCGGGAAATCTGCTGGAAAATGCTGAGATTTATATACACATGGATTATATCTGTTGATCTATGGACGAGTTGGGGTGGATAGTCCTGGTTGTAATTTGGGGTAAGAATTCGAGGTTCGTTGGGGTAGAAAATCAGCGTTGAGGGTAGAAATTGGGGGTAGAAAATCGATCCAGGTCAGCCGTCTATTCTGCGCTTGATCATGACTAAATACGTGTACTCGAAGTACCCGGTCGATTCTCCAATCGTAAAGTATTATTCGTAGCCAGCTGTCGATAGAGCCGGTGTATCATGATTGGGATGCCCGTCGAACAACGCGCTCACACGGACATGTGCATTGTGAACGAACGATGTAATTTTTTCGTCGTAAAGAGATTGAAAATACGCAGGGACTTGTATAAAACAGATAAACAATGGAATCATGCACAATGCCACCTTGTGGACTGTGTTACATAGGCCAGAGATCTTGGAGTCTTCCCGCACCTGATTCCCATTTCTCCTGAGACTGTTCGTGTACAATCATTCTACTTACATGATGGCAGGATCACCATGGAATGCCGGCGAAAAAGCCATACTGACGCATAGCACTGACCAACAAATGCCAGATCAAATCGATGCCACGATAAGCCAGTACTACGAATACTTGGACGAAACAAGCACGAACACGGCCAACATCCCCACCCTCTCTCACTTCGACTTCGCACACCACCGTCCCACAGCAACCGACACATGCCCCGTTGATCACGCCCCCGACGAGACAACATCCAGAGCATCGAATAGCGACGGCAACAAGTCTTCGCTCTCCACAGCACAAGACGAGCTCGTCTGCGGTGCGTGTAAAACGTCTACCGATCCCAGCCATAAGCGACAGTTCGTGACGACCACAGCTTGTGCGTGCGTGACGTGCGCATGGTGCCTGGAGTGGCTAGCATCGAGGAAGGCGGAGGAATTGACCTGGAAAGCATGTAAAAGGTGCGGAATCTCTGCTCCTGGTATCAAGCAGGGTGGGAAGAAGAATGGTGGTAGCGGTGAAAGAGAGAAGACGTTGGATATTCCCAACGGTGGTGAAGAGATGAGCATGGAGAAGGACGAAGCGATATTGGATCTCACTGGCAAAAGCGTAGGAAGCGTTGCTGACGGAGACGAGGTTCAAGAGCTTCATGAAGAGTTTATGGATGTTGGACTGTAATAGATTTGGCTCGTCGTATATTGAAATATAGATGATTACATTGTAGTTTGAACACTCCAATACATGGCGGAATGTTGGCTATACGATCAAGAATGCACAAGAGCGGGTCTATGTTTACCTTGCGTGCATAACGAGCACGGCTCGATGCAAGTCACACCGCTGATGGAACCAATGTGTACAAGCGTGTTGTGGGGCAGACGAAGCGGAGAGAATCCGGGGTAGAGGTCAATGGGCTGCGGGGGACGTGTTTCACGATTTTCTTTTGTTTTTCTCTCTCTTAGATGGCTGGGTTATGATTGAAACATGCTGTCGATTGGTCGATAAGCTGCTTCGTAGAGGTAATGAATAATTTTGAAGTCCAGGATAGGCTGGAAAGTAGAGACCATCATCATGCTAATTGGTGACATGAAGATATATATGGTTGTGAGCAAGGCGGAGGAGAAGGAAGCAAAAAGGGAAACGAAACGGATAGGACGATGCACGTCGAGATTGGTGGTGTGGCGAAGTACTGCAGATGGACGCAGGAGAAATTTCGGGGTGGTTGAAGTCTCGGCAAGGGAAAGGGTCTGGACTGGAGCAGTGGCTGGCTGGCCCAATGAGGCAAGTGCGTGAAGGCCGCAGCAAAACGGACCTGCGAGTGCGTGAAGCGGCGACGGTTTCCTCGGTAGACTTCGGCCCCCATGGATCAAAGAACAGGTGGATTCGAGGGAAAAGGTTGAAACAAGTACTCATGGTTAAATGTGTGCCTCTCTCTCTCTCTCTCTGGACCATTGCAGAGGAGGGCAGCGAGCGAGTGAGAGTGAGTGAGCATGACGATCGTAGCCCAATATACCTATGTACCTACCTACTGACTACCAGGTCGGGGGTTGTTTTGGTGGTGGGGGGAGAGTGAGAAAGAAGGCGGTCAGCGCGCATCAATCAAAAGTCAGTCAAGGGATCGTTGATTCATTCGTTCGTTGATTCGTTCGCTGGGCTGGTTCGATTGATTCATCTTTTTCAGGTTGCCACAGACACAGCTCGCTTGTGCCGTCGCTCGTTTCAACGGGTGGTGGTGGATAGGTTGCTGCGAGTGGAATGGGCCGAGAAGCCGACCGGAGAGGGTTAGAAAACGTGTGTATGAGAAGAAGAGAAAAAAAAACAGAGGCTGGTAGTGCGAATGTATCCATCGGCAAAAGGTGGATGATGTACCTACTTGGTACTACTGCGTGTAGGGCGAGAGAGAGAGAGAGAGACCGGGAGGAGACAGATTGGAGAAAAAAAGAAAGAGGCCCGTGCGTCGCCCACTTATCTTATCCGCTAAAAAAAAAGTCTTGTGCGCCGAACACATAACACATAAAGAGGCCCGCCCCTCCATCCACCCCTCGAGCCCCATCTCCCCTCCTCCATATCACAACCGCCCTTTCGGCCCTCTCTTTTCTATCCCTTCCTTCTGTCTTGAAAGCGACAGTCTAGACGGTGCGAGTATACCTGCTTGCGCCCCATCCGTCTCGAGATACCCCCGCTAGAGTCTTTTTGATTTCTGGCCTCTTTTTGACCCCCTCCCCTCCCCGGTCTCCCCCACCAGACCGCTCTTCCAGGCTCTGCTTTGTCTGCTCCCTCACCGGAACACCTCAGCTCAGCTTTCCCCCAATACCCCTCGCATTCTCCCCAGCGAAGCCTGCGTGCTCGACTCTTACAAAATGGCTCCCTCTGCGACCAACTCGGCCAAAAATGTCAAGGCCGAGAACTCAAAGTCCGTCAAGGTGCTCGAGGAGCTTTTGGGCAAATTGACCATCTCCAAGGCCCAGGACGAGATCAACGCTGCCTCGCTCGACATTGCCACCTTCATCAACGGTGACATCGAGGAGGGCGATGCCCCCGTCGCGTAAGTTCAGAGTTTTCTCTTCCTCTCAGCCCGATTCGCCACCCCGCACTTGCGCTGAAGCGAGATTTTTTTCAATCTGCTAATTCGTTTCCATAGTGCCGTCGAGCTGCTGCGCAAGCAGTTGGGCAACAAGAAGGATGCTGTAGCCCGCGAGCGTGCGCTGGATGCCATTCGCGCCATTGCCCAGCACTCCACCATCTCCCCCGCCGTCGAGCCCTACCTTGTCGAGCTTCTCACCAACACCCTCAACGCTGTTGCCGACAAGATGAGCGCCGTCAAGACCGCCGCACAGCAGGCATCCGAGGCCATTGTCTCTGCCGCCAACCCCAACGCCGTCAAGGCCATCATCCCACACATCATCAAGTCGCTCAGCGAAACCCTCAAGTGGCCCGAAAAGATGACCGGCCTCAAGTGCATTGAGATCCTCGCCAAGAGCGCCCCTGCTCAGCTCGCCTACCGTGTCCCCGATTTGATTCCCGTCATCTCTGGTGCCATGTGGGATACCAAGCCTGAGGTCAAGAAGGCCGCCTACGCCACCATGGAGACCATCTGCTCTCTCATCTCCAACAAGGATATCGAGCGCTTCATTCCCGAGCTCATCAAGTGTATCGCCAAGCCTGAGAACGTCCCCGAGACCGTTCACTTGCTCGGTGCCACCACTTTCGTCACTGATGTTCACGAGCCCACTTTGGCCATCATGGTCCCTCTTCTCGAGCGTGGTCTCGTCGAGCGTGAGACCGCCATCAAGCGAAAGTCTGCCGTCATTGTCGACAACATGTGCAAGCTTGTCGAGGATCCCCAGATTGTCGCTGCTTTCTTGCCCAAGCTGATGCCTGCTCTCATCAAGAACAACGAGACCCTCGCTGATCCCGAGGCTCGTGAGAAGACCAAGCAAGGTCTTGACACCCTCACCCGTGTCGGTCACGTCGAGAACGGCAAGATCCCCGAGATCTCCAAGGATGGTGACATCGCCACTGTCGCTGGCCACCTCAAGGAGGTTATTGGTAACGTCGACTCCAAGTTCGATGTCGTCCTCAACTACGTTGGTGCCATTGGTGGCCAACTCATTGATGAGAAGGCCTACGACCTCACCGAGTGGCAGACCAACGCCTCTGCTTTTGTTGGCGTCGTCACTGGCGACGAAAAGGCCAAGTCCGTCATCGAGAGCCTCCGCAAGCGCGCTATCCCCGCTGCCGCTGCCGCTGACGAGGTCGAGCCCGATGAGGAGGAGGGCGAGGATCTTTGCAACTGCACCTTCAACTTGGCTTACGGTGCTAAGATTCTTCTCAACCAGACTCACCTTCGCTTGAAGCGTGGCCAGCGTTACGGTCTCCTCGGTCCCAACGGATCCGGAAAGACTACCCTTATGCGCGCCATCAACAACGAGCAAGTCGAGGGTTTCCCCAAGCAGAACGAGGTCAAGACTGTCTACGTCGAGCACGATCTTGACTCGGCCGACACAGAGCAGACGGTCATTGAGTGGACCTGCAAGAAGCTCGAGTCTGTCGGCATCAAAATCACTCAAGCTGAGGTTGAGGGCACTCTCCGCGAGTTCGGTTTCACCGACGAGCAGATCACCGGTGTCATTACCGCGCTTTCTGGTGGCTGGAAGATGAAGTTGGCTCTCGCTCGTGCCGTTTTCGAGAAGCCCGATATCCTGCTCCTTGACGAGCCCACCAACCACTTGGATGTCAAGAACGTCAAGTGGCTCGAGGACTACCTCACCTCCTCGCCCTGCACGTCCATTGTCATCTCCCACGACAGCAAGTTCTTGAACAACATCATCCAGCACGTCATCCATTACGAGCGCTTCAAGCTCAAGCGTTACCGTGGTAACCTTGACGATTTCGTCAAGCGCGTTCCCTCTGCCCGTTCTTACCACGAGCTCAGTGCCTCCGACATGGAGTTCAAGTTCCCCGAGCCCGGTTTCCTCGAGGGTGTCAAGACCAAGGCCAAGGCCATTGTTCGTGTGACCAACATGACCTTCCAGTACCCCGGTACCTCCAGGCCTCAGATCCAGGACATCAACTTCCAGTGCTCGCTCGGCTCCCGTATCGCCGTCATCGGTCCCAACGGTGCTGGCAAGTCCACTCTTGTCAACGTCTTGACTGGTGAACTCATCCCCACCATCGGTGAGGTCTACCAGCACGAGAACATCCGTATTGCGTACATCAAGCAGCACGCTTTCGCCCACATTGACCACCACTTGGACAAGACTCCCTCCGAGTACATTCAATGGCGTTTCCAGACTGGTGAGGACCGTGAGACCATGGACCGTGCCAACAAGATCGTCACCGAAGAGGATGAGAAGGCCATGGACAAGGTCTACAAGATCGAAGGTACACCTCGTCGCGTCATCGGTATCAACTCTCGTAGAAAGTTCAAGAACTCGTACGAATACGAGTGCTCTTTCGCCCTTGGCGAGAACATTGGCATGAAGAACGAGCGCTGGACGCCCATGATGACGGCCGACAACGCCTGGCTTCCTCGTTCCGAACTTCTTGCTTCCCACGGCAAGATGGTTGCCGAAGTTGATCAGAAGGAGGCTCTTGCCAGCGGTCAGTTCCGTCCTCTGGTCCGTAAGGAGATTGAGGCCCACTGCGCCAACTTTGGTCTTGACGCCGAACTCGTCTCTCACTCCCGTATGCGTGGTCTTTCCGGAGGTCAGCGTGTCAAGGTTGTGCTCGCTGCTTGCTCATGGCAGCGTCCTCACTTGATCGTTCTTGACGAGCCCACCAACTATCTCGACCGTGACTCTCTCGGCGCCTTGTCCAAGGCTCTTCACTCCTTCGAGGGTGGTGTCATCATCATCACTCACTCGGCTGAGTTCACCAAGGGTCTCACCGAGGAAGTCTGGGCTGTCGTGGACGGAAAGATGACTCCCTCTGGCCACAACTGGGTCCAGGGACAGGGAGCCGGTCCCCGTCTTGCTGAGAAGGGCGAAGAAGAGGATAAATTCGACGCAATGGTTCGTGACCCCCAGAAATCTTTTTATTTCACTTCGCTAACTCATGCTAGGGTAACAAGATTGAAGGCGGCACCAAGAAGAAGAAGCTTACGAGCTCTGAGATGCGTAAGTCATCTGCTGCCCGTTCAAAAAGCATGAACTGACATATTTGCAGGCAAGAAGAAGAAGGACCGCATGGCCCGCCGCAAGCGTGGTGAGGAGGTCTTCTCCGATGAGGACGATTAGATGACTCGCCTACGATGAAAAGTTTTCTTTTGTTTGTTTCACGCTTAGATGAGCATGCATGTTATGTCCCTCGGTTGTTGACCGAACACGGTGCGATCATAATGTGAGTAGGTTCATGGGCGGCGTCTGGATACCAAAATTAGCATGCTGGCACGAACATTTCGTAGTCGTTGATGTCTCTTAGAACTGAGATGAAATAGATCTTCATACCACTTCAAATTCTGCATATGCTCAGCTATGATGTGATCAACTCGACGTCAATCATATTTGACACCCTTCCATGCCTCGATGTAATATGATACTTAGCGTTGTGTGCACAGCACCGGTCGTGTTGTTGCCCTAGAAGGAGATGAAAAAGCGAAACCAAGACACAGCGAAGATACCATGTAGTTTTTCTTAGGCATCGTCAGACATCAATTTTGATTTTGGTAGACAACGACTACAAGCTCGCTACGTAGCGAAAACGCCACCTCAGTCAACAACGCGACTATACTTTCTCTATCTGGACTTTACGGGGCAGCTATTTCCTTAGGGTCAGACTGCGTCGACGAGGATGAACATCTAGACTGCTATGAAAAATTTACAGCTAACCACAATCATATCTTCTTGCACTGTCTTAAACAATATTCATGCGCTTCCTGACGCTGAACTTGTTGTTACATACCTAGTATGGGGAACGAATCCGGGCAAACAATACAAAATTACTAGGTCTGGGAGTGTGTCTTTAATGTAGAGCGCCGTCGTAATGGGATAGGTAGTGCCTACTACGACATGATGGACCAGTCGAGGCGATAAGTAAGCCTATTTTAAACATTAGTTGATAAATTAGCATAGAAATGCCCATATTAAGGTAGACATTAATGTTAAGCTTAATAAAATTTTTAATCAGGTACTTCTCATTAATGAACACGTCGTGTGTGCCACAATTACAATAGCTAACACATAGATCAAACACATAAAATCATAAATGAAATCAAAAGATATGTAAAAACCTTTGTTCACCTAATGATGGTAGACTTAATCTGGAAGAAATATTGCACATGACCCTCGAATATAAGTAACTTTGTTGAAAAATCTCAGAGTTCTACCTTTAGACATAATACGGCATTCAATTTACCAACTTGGATGAAACAGGAGTGGATGTAGGCAACAATATAGACACTACATACTATAGTGTGCGGTACCAGGAGCTGACCATTGGCTGCTGATATCGCCGCCCAACAGGTAAGTTAGAAAGGCAGGATCTGTTTAACAATGTCTTTATTTCCATCAAATTAGGTAGAGCTGCGATTTGAAGTTTTCAAAATGATCGAACTATCGACAAACATATTCTTCGAAACTATAAGCTACAGGTTTGCTGCATTGAATCCGAGGCGACTACCAAGGAAGAGACCATCGGCATTAAGAACAGTACCGTCGAAAAGTTCGAGGCAAAAGAAACTGACGGTGGAAAGGAATCTGAAGAATAATGTCAAAAATTCCGACAGGGAGAAGCTCCAGATGTCTCTATCAGAGCAGATAACTCATCGGAAGCTCTTGACATAGGGAATCTGCAGATTTTCGAGAAGAGCCTACGACGAGTCGCGCAACTTGAGAGACAAGCCAATGTTTTTTCTGATAAGCATACACAAATAAGCAAAACTCTAAGAGCTCGTGAGGGCGAATTGGAAGTCATGAGGAGGAAATACAAGAACGTTCGGTTGGATGGAACGCAAAGCAAGGAGACAATCACCTGTCTCTTGGGAGAACGGATAGTTGAAGGCCAAATGTGGCGATAAAGACTGCAAAGCTCGACTGCAGGACTTTTTGGTCAGGTTTTTAAAAGACAAGTACAAATCAACAGAGCACGAGAAGGTGGAAGTTGATCTTCGACGTATGTCGACCGAGGCAGACACCCGCCGAGCCAACGTGAATACTTTTGAACCATGGTCTTGCGACAGAGCAATTAAAGGCAAGCAGCAAAAAATGGAGCCAAGTGTTTGCAGCTACTTCATAAGACAAGTAAAATCTTCGACACTCATTCACCATGCTCAGACTCACCCTCTCCCGTGGAGGCATACACACAAAACTTGCGTAAGATTTCGAGTTACACAGAGAGTGACAGGGCCCAACCCGAGACTGGCGATAGTGAAGATGACGAACAGAGCATGTCCATGCTGCTCGTGTTCCATACGTTTACGTACGTACATACGAATGGGAATGGATACATATGTCTGATGCAATCGAGGTACAGCCATAACCATGGGAATAAGCGTGGCAGGCTGTGGCGCAGTATCCCCACTTTTTGTGGCAAAGGTACCGAATTTGGTTTGATGGAATGAATGTAGTTGCCCGCAGCGCTCAGCATTCGTTACTCATCACCAAAGCGCACCTTGGTTACTTTACCCAGCCTCATTGAATCATTGCGCATTCGCACATAGCGTCTTCTTCGGGCCTTCTCCGATGGACGCTTGTACGACCATGACAGTTCACGCGCGCGGGTGGGCGCAGGCTGACAGAGGCGCATGCTTCATTTGCCTTATAAAGCCGTAACCCCTCCCCCACCGTGAACACAATAAGCCCCCAATACACACTTCACCCCTATACCCCACTCCAAATCCTCTTCATCTTCATCCTCAAGATCCTATCTCTCAGATTCAATCAAGTCCTACTTCTCCAAACCGCAAAGACATGAGCAACCAAGGCTACTACGGCGGCGACGGCCAGCAGGGTGGACAGTATCCACCCCAGAGCCACAGTCCTTACCCCCCTCAGCAGCAGCAATACGGACAAGCACCACCTCCGGATCAGTATAATCAGGGCCATAACAGCCCGTACCCGCCACAACAGGTGAGTGCCGCTTGTTGCGACAGTTTGCGACATTTGCGCAATAGCTGACCCATTCTTCACAGAGTCCTTATGCCCCACCCCCGTCTCATTCACCTTACCCCCAGCAAGGCTACGGAGCTCCTCCTCCCGGCGATTACAATCAACATGGTCAGCAGCAATACGACCAGAATCGCGCAAATTCGCCCTACCCCCCGCAGCAACAGCAGGGCTACGGAGAGCACGGATATCCGCAGCAGCAGCAGTACCCGCAAGGCCAGTACGGCCAACCCGGTGCTCCAGGAGGCCCAGGTGCCGAAGATCGCGGTCTCGGGTCTACTCTGCTCGGAGGTGCTGGCGGCGCCTTTGTTGGACACAAGATGGGAGGAGGTGTCCTCGGTACCATGGGCGGCATGGTAGCTGGCGCTGTGGGCGCAAACTATCTGTCGGATAAGCATGACAAGTAAGTTATTCTATGCCTATATTGGTGTGCTAGGTTACTAATAATTTTTTCTAGGAAAGACAAAAAGCACAAGAAGCATAAGAAACACGGAAGCGGCTCGTATGCTGGCTCGTCTGCTGGCCTCGGTGGTCTGTATGCGCATGGAAAGAAGGAGAAGAAGCACAAGAAGAAGAAGGAAGGGAAGCGCGGAGGCAGCAGCTCCTCATCATCTTCAAGTAGTGATTCGGACTAAGCTCGACGGTCCCTTCACTGCTACGTGTTTTCGGCATCTTTCTTCATTCCCTTGTTCTGTCTATATCTTCTAGTCTAGAATGAAATCATGACCTGTGATGATCAATCATTCCAATATGCCCCCGCTCGTGCTATTCTTTCTTTACGACTCGAGAAGCAAGACACTCGAGCAGTTATCGCAACTGACGGACAGGCTCTTGATGGGCGTAACCAGTCCGAATTAGCAATCACAATCAACTACTTTTATACCGTGTGTCATGCTTTCATGCATGTTGAGTGAATCATGCTTCGTTGATCAGTGATATTCACTGTGCCCAGAGGGATTCGCGACCCACGAGGATTGGGTATACGAATGTTCTTATCGAGTATAATAAGATTTTCTTCGCCCTCGAGTTTGCCCGAGCGAGAACTCCTTGGAAATTATCAGTACAGTATCTGAGAATCAACAAACTCAAGCTTTGTAATGCCTCGATTGTCCCATGTCTACCGCTGTCCAGAAACAGTTTAGCGCGCCACTGGCTAATTTTCGCAGCGATGCCCACCACCAATCCAGTCATCGTGCCCGACTGAGAAATTCACACTTCACATTCCAAAGCCATATACGACCGAGTTTCCGAGATGGCCGACGTTCTTCTGGAATTTTTCCGCAGCACATTGCCGGACGAGATTGCAGTTGTGCTGGAAGATGTACTCAGTGCGACTGAATGCGGCGATTTTGAGAGCGTATTAAAGCATCCCGAAGTCCAAGTACTGTTCGGGCACCAGGAGAATGATTTGACAAAAGATGTCAATCTGAAAAACTACCCAGTATGGAGCGACTATATTTTCCACCGTCTAGGCCTCATTTTGTCAAAACGGAGCGAAGAAGAGGGTACCCCGATAAAAGAGACAGCAATTTACCGTCAACACTTGTTCTTCGTCGTTGCTGTAGCGGCCCTGTACGCCTTCATTCAGTCGACAATAACTGGCCCTCCACTTCCCTTCAAGTCTGAAAATGTTCTCTTGCCGACAGATGTCAATTCAAACCCCGCGACTCTGAGCAAGCTACGGGCAGAACTCGTGGCGTCTTTCGGCACTGACGGAGTTGCTGCATATAAATTGACCCCAAATCCTGAGCTCTTGTGCCTCGCCGAGAGTATCTTGATATGCCCCCCTATTCAGAAGAATATCAAGGAGTCGGTTTGGGCCAGGTTACGAGTCGATTTCGTGCATCAACGGCTATTGTCGGAACCGGCGTCTGCATTGCAGAAAAAGATATACGAGGATCTGGAGATACTGGAAGGCATTATCCTGAATGCGAGCAAAGAAAAGAAAGTCGAAGATTTGCACGTCCACTTCCTTCTCGAGCGAGCAGCAATTCACACGCATCACAGTTTCGACAAGAAGGCCAAAGCTGATCTGAACCAAGCAACTACGGAGAGACGATTCGAATTTGTTCTTACGGGACTGATGGGAAAAAGGACAAAGTTTCAGCAGAAAGATACGAGCCAACTTTTGATTTTGGCGCGGAGTGCTGGTACAGATGTAGACGGGCCATCTTCCACTACAAAACCGAAGCCCACGAATCTGGATTTAAATGATGACACACTTCTTGAATCTATTGCATTTACGCCGGAGGAGAAGTCTGAAACTGAAAATAACTCTTCTGTCCCAGCAAGCCTAGCATCCTTGGACCCGTCCAACCAACCTTTGCTGAATCCACTTGACTCCGTTATTCTACTCTCCTTGGCATCTTCAGTAACAAACACAAACCCTGAGGATGGCATCACCCGTGAGGAGACACTTCCATACGCTACTCGCGTGCTGGATGGCGGAAGCTCCAACTGGCAGGTCTACACACAAGCTCTTCTTGTACGAAGCCGCGTCGAAGGGTACAAATCACGGACAATGGAGCGCGGTCTTCTACAGCTTCAAGCTCTGGTTGACCAAGTCATTGCAGAGACCTCTGGGGCCGATGTGCAACCTACTGGGGATGAAGCCACGTCTTTTCTGCCCAAAGCCAAAGATGGCGAATCTGCACCAGTGAATGAACGCATACAATATGTGTTTTCTCTATGCTCATCATACCGATGGGATCTCGAGTCTGAACTAGCAGCTCGCTGGATTAGTGTTGGCGGCCTCCGGTCTGCCCTTGAGATCTACGAGAGACTTGAAATGTGGGCTGAAGCGGCATTGTGTTGGGCGGCCACCGAGAAAGAAGACAAGGCGAAGAAAGTCATACGACGACAGCTCTTCCACGCAACTGACGGCAATGACGAAGCTGCAGATCTTGAAACCGAGAAGTGGGAAGGTGCCGCAAGAGATCCAGCTCCCGCAGAAGCGCCCCGTCTGTACTGCATTCTGGGAGATATTGATAGCGACTTATCCATGTACGAAAAAGCATGGGAAGTATCTGGGCAGCGGTACGCCCGCGCTCAACGCTCCCTCGGTCAGCGATACTTTGTCGAACACGACTACGCCAAAGCAGCAGAAGCCTACACCCTATCCCTGAAGATGAACCCGCTCAACCATCCAGCCCGCTTTGCCCTAGGCTGCGCATACCTCGAGCTCCAACGCTTCAAAGACGCCGTCGAAGCCTTCTCCCGCTGCGTCCAACTTGACGACGAAGACGCAGAATCATGGAGCAACCTCGCAGCTGCACTCCTCCATCTCCGTCCCAAAGCACCGGCCCCAACCTCCGCCAAAGCCGACGACGATGATGAAGAAAACGCACCCACCGCATCCAGCAGAGTGACCAGCCACCCCCGTACCGACGCCCTCAAGGCCTTCAAACGCGCCGCAGCCCTCAAACACGACAACTTCCGCATCTGGTCCAACGTCCTCGCAGTCGCGGCATCCACTTCGCCCCCTTCGTACATGGATATCATCAGCGCGCAACGCCGCATCTGCGAAATGCGCGGAAAAACCGACGGCGAGAACTGCATCGACCCAGACGCTATGCAGCTCCTGGTCCGTCACGTAATCCAGCTCCCAGAAACCTCCGCCGAAGGAGGAGAAGCAGGTCCAGCGGCAGGTCTCCCCCGTCTAACAACAACACTCATCGAATCGCACATCAAGCCTTTGATTACGTTCTCGCCTTCCCTCTGGCTCACCCTCGCTCTCTTCTACACGCATACATCGCGTCCCTCGTCCGCGCTCGAGTGCCACGAGAAGGCATGGCGCGCCGTGACGTCGCAGCCCAACTGGGAGTCGCAATCCGAGAAGGAGTGGGACGCTGTAGTGCAGCAGACAGTTGATCTGGTGGACGCGTACGAGACGTTGGGACCGAGGGAACGCACTGAAGGGCTAGCTGCGGGGAGCGGAGAGCTCGTGGCGAAAGATTGGAAGTTCAAGGCGAGGAGTGCGGTGAGGAGTGTCTGTGGCAAAGGGAAAGAAGGATGGGAAGGGTCGAGCGGGTGGGATTTGTTGAAGGAGAGGTTGGAAGAGTTGAAAGGGTCTTAGACTTTAGATCTAGGCCGTGAAGCAGTTGGATTAAGAGTAGGTAATTAAGTGCGGAAGGTTGTGTTTCTGGCCTTCTGCTTTTGCTAGAGGTGGTTGCCCGTGGGGCTGATAGAGTTGTTGAATCAAAAGTCTTTTTCGTTTAGTGTACCTGCAAAAATCGAATAATGTGTAAAGCAGATTAGAAGCTCTCTTTGCTTTGTTACTCACCGCATAGTTAGCAACCCGATTAACTACAGAGGTTTCGTGAAACGTAAATAGCCCCTCATAGATTAGGAAGAAAGTATGGTGTCAGGGGTAGAGTTACAGACGCGATAGAAGCAGACGAGGAGGGAGCATATGGAGAAATTCGGACATCGTCCCCTTCACAATTATATACAACCTTTGGAAAGAACAACAATATATCTTGAAAATTATGACACATCAACAAGCATCTACTTTTACTTTCTCCTTTTCCCTCCGCCTTCACCACCACCCCCGCTCTCCTGATGTCTTCTCTTCTTTCCCTCTCTCTGCCAATACTCTTGCTTCTCCCTCTTCTCCCGGTCAGCCTTCTTCTCCATGTTCTCCGCGATCTTGCGTTTATACGGCTCCTTCCTCTCTTCCTGCTTCTTGCGACGCTTCTCCACCTTTTCGTTGCGCATCGCCATGACCTGGTTCATAAGACGACGGGCCTTCTTCTCCTCGCCACCTAATACCACAGCGCGCTTCTGCAAGTACGTCTGCTTGTTCTGCGGTTTCATGGCGGCGATCTGCGACTTGAAGGGAAGGTCTGCTGCAAGTTTGCGGGGGACGCGGAGGGGATTGAAGTGGCGCTCCTCGCGGACAACGGGACGATATGCTGAGTTTTTGAGCGAGGGAGTGGGGAGTTCGAGTGCGTGGCGAACGGCGCCCGTGAGGCGCATGCCCTTCCAGCCTGTTGATTCGCCGGCGAGATCAGGGTCCGAAGCCGAGGCGGCCTCGAGAAGGTTGGTGACGGGGTTGTAGAAGCGGTGTGGTTTGATGGGGTACCAGGCACGCAAGAAAACGATGTCGCTCATGAGGATCTTGTCTTCAAACGTGGCACGGTAATTGCCTTCTGGTTTGCTGAGAGCACGCTTGATTTGACCGCGTACGCCTGAGACAGTGCGGATCGAGGCGCCTTCGAATTTGGCGACTTCGAGAGAGGACTGGAACATATCTTTGATGAAAGCTGTGTTCTTAAAGATTTTGTAAGGGTGGCCAGTGAGTTTGAGCTTCTTGACAATCTCAAAGGACTCGTCGACAGAGAGAACAACGCCGGTTGCAGATATCCGGAAGCCGGGCGTCTTATTGGCAAGAGACTGCACACAGCAGAAGCCTGTGTTTGGGGCAACGAGAGGCCCATAAAAGGTCCCGTGGCAATGCATATGCTCAGGAGTATACTTTAACATGCGATGCCGCATTCTGTTCTCGTGTATGCTGTAAATGGGCGTCGCCTGGAATCGTCGCCATCCAAGCGAGAATATGAGGGGATCGTTCGTTTTGAGAATCTTCTTGTGCCAGCGGTGACGCTTTATTCGTACTTGAACATACCCAAATCGCTCTTCTGTAGGGGCGAGGCCTCCGATGAGAACCGGAAAGCGAGGATTGAAATTGGCCGAGAACTCGTAAGGCACCTTCTCAAGGACTATGCGAGCATATGTTCCAGCTTTGTGACCCTCTACCCTGATGCGCGAAGTTTCATCAAGTTGGTCGAATTCGGCGCGATTGATGTCCAACTGTTTTTTCAATGCGGCCTTTTGTGCATCGTACCAGTCGTCCTCGCCGAATTCCTCTTCGTCCCCTCCACGACCATCTGCTTTGTCGTTCATGAATCCTTCGCGATCTTCTTCTTCGAACCGAAGCTTGAGCTCCTCCTTTCGTTTTGCATTCTTCTCTCGCTCGTCTGCAATGTCATCTGCATCCTCTTGGACCTCGCCATTGGATTGTTTCTCGCCACCAAACGTTTCACCAGTTTCGAGATCTTCAAAAGCGCCATCTCCCTCGTCATCCTCATCGAAGCCATCAAACTCTTCATCGTCTTCACCCTCATCACCACTACCATCTTTTCCTGATGTGTGCCCGCCAACGAACCTGCCCTTGAACGCTTCAATGGTTTCTTCGTCCTCCCACTTCTCCTCCAACGCAGCATAATCAAAATTAGGTATGTAACGGTCCTCGGCGTTCGCTTCCTTTTCGTCCTTTGATTTTTTGAAAAAATCTTCGTCTTGCTCGTCTTCTTCTGAATCGTCGTCCGGGTTGTCCTCTTCACCACGCCACTTTTGGACCACTTCCGCAGGGGAGAGATCAAGGTTTTCCATTAGTCTGGCAAGATCCGCAGGTTGGTATGGACGTTTCCGGCTGTGCATCCTCGCTGCATTTTCTCGCATTTTATCCTTCCATCGCAGCTCGCCATTGTCGTCTTCTTCCATATCATCAGAGTCGAACTCGTCGTCCTCGAGGTCTTCAAGATCCCGCTCGTCTCCAGATATCGATCCGAGGTCTGAATCACTGTCGGCGAATGCAATGTCTTCCTCTACCGTCTCCCCCTTCCGGTCCGAATCTCTCCGCCGAGAAATTGAAGGTTTTCTATCGGCATTATCGGCATTGTCCAGAAAGCCTGTGTCATCCTCATCCTCGTCGGAGTTGTCGACGTCTCGCTGCAGCTCTTCATCGTCGCTGTCGATACCGTCCAAATCCTCCTCGTGGACCTCTTGGTCCTCTGCCATTCTCGCGCGGCGCTGTGCTTTTCGGCCCATATTGGTATCGTCATCGTCATCGTCGGCCGCACCGTTGACCAAATTGCCTCCAGTGAAGAGTCTCATGCCGGCATCATCTCCACCCAGCAGTTTCCTTCCACCTTGGAGCCCCAACATCATCTGTTCACCCAGACCCCGCTCTTGGTCTGGTTCCGCATCCGGATTGAAAGTTTGGGATTTGACATCAATGTAGACGGCATCTTTATCCACCAGCACTCCGCCAACATCTGACATGGGCGCGAACAGGATTTTTTGCTTATCGCCCAGCCTCAGCCTCTTCTTCTTGCCGGTGACCTTCTCGAGCGCTTTCTCGGCAAAAGGAGTTGGGCAAGGATCCGGCAGCGCTTCCGTCGATGATACGCTCAGATCGCCAACACCAGGTACGTGAACTCTTGAGCCTTGGGCGGGGAAGTTTGTGCCGCGGAGGTATCCGTAAAGCGCAATGGTGCGGTCGCACTTGGGATCCTGTTCCATGTCTGTCGGAGGAGTGATGTCCAAGAAACGGTCCGCCAAGCAGTATGGATGTGAATTGCGCCACACCAACGGTCTGGGGTTCTTCATGACACTCAGGAACCTCGACAAGTTCATGACCTCTCGATCAGGATACCTGCCATTGGCCACACCTGAGAGATAGAATAGTTTAGCGCCCTGATACAGCTCGCTCCAGAAACGATGCTTCAGCCTCTTCTTTTGCAGCTTCAACTGCTCTTGTTTCCTGAACAGATCCAAATGTGTAAGGATACCAAACACGTTTCCGGGCATACCACTCGCGGACAAGACATTGAGAAACTCCATCGTCTCCATTTCGAAGCCATAGTTTCCATCTATCATGAGCAAGCATATATCAACGACTTTCGCGATGTCGATCATGCTGGCCAGCGAGTCGGCGGGACATTCTATGAAAGTGAGGCGGCGGCGCTTCGAGGTGACAACGGTTATGGGACCTGTAGGAGAGGAAAGGGTCTGCTTGGTATAGCGACGTATCAGGGACTTGATGAGTGTAGTCTTGCCTACACCGGGAGGGCCGACGACGCCGACCACGATGGGTGGTGCTTCCTCGGGGAGACGGTCGACGAGGGGGACATGGAGACGTTTCTCTTTGACCTGGCACTGTTAGCATCTGTATAGTATGGGGGGTGTTGTTTCGTCCCGTACATCATGCGATCGCTTTGCTTCCTTCTGCAACCTTCCCGGGGCGTTAAAGGCAAAAGCTTTCGGGTTCTTGTCGCCGGTATGCTTCTTCTTCTCTTTGGACTTGCGATGAGGGCGATTGGCTTGCTCGTCGGCCATTTTGGTGTTAGCTGGAAGGCAGAAGAGAAATTCCCGCCGTACAGAGGCGGCGAATGCGAGATGCAGCGCAGTCTTTTGGAAAATGTTTCGTTAGCGCCGACGCCAAGATTTCACGCGACAGGGGTTGGTGTTATCGATAACAGACGGCGCGAAGTGGGCTTTTTGGCTGGTTGGCGGGGCTGAGCAGTCAATCAGTCACTATGTACGGTTCCATTCACAAGGACGACTGGCTGATAGGTCGTGGGCGCGTGATGGCACATGAGCGATGACGTTGGACTATAACCAAGGCCCGAAGCCTATCAACTACCAAGGGTCCGTCTGTTTGCTGCATCGCATCCCGTCTATATAAACCGTCAACAACTTGAGCTCCTTCTTGTTCAACCCTCACTGCGAAGTACTTACCACACCTCTATACATATTATATTACATCTATCCAAGCAAAAAAACACACCATCCACCTCACCTTCAACATGCCTGCCATCAACGTACGTCCAGCTATCCCATTAGCCTAAGCCCCTCGATACCCACACGACTGTGTACTAACCGTCCACAGGTTACCCTCAAGTCTGGTGCCGACAAGGACCAGCTCGACAAGGCAAAGTCTCAGGTGCAAGAACAAGGCGGAAAGATCACCAACGAGTTCACCTTGATCAAGGGTTTCACGTACGTCTTGCTCACTCCCTGGTATTCCGACGCACATCTAACACAGACTGCTCTTTCAGCGCCGAGTTCCCCGAAGACAAAGTCCACACTCTCTCCACCAACGATCACGTCACCGTTGAAGCCGACAGCGAGGTCAAGACACAATAGATTCCATGTCACGAATAGTCTACGATAACGAAATGACGTGATGACACAGCTGCGAGGGCGTCATGTACCTGTGTACGCAGGGCAACTTGAGCCACGAATCTTTCTTCACACGAGGGATGCATTTATACAGCCATACATACATATTTAATAGCATTTCATGCCATGCCACTCTGAATCCCCACGCTATGCCGGCGAACGTCTGATCATCCAAGTCTTGTGTAGCCATTAATGCCGAGGTTCTACTCTTCAACCCTCCCCACCCCTCTCAGACTCAAATACACATCCGTCCCCCAGCCCCACAAACTCTGCACTGCAATCCCCCCGCCAAAATACTCTGCGTACGCCCTTCCCAACGGAAGTCCGTAACCCAGTCCAGCCAGGCTGTGCGCCCCATCACCTCCTGGGCCCGAGAAAGCATTCAACGCGTCCATCCCGCTGTTGCGACCCGTCAACGAAGATGATGCTTGCTCATCGTTGAAAGTCGTGAAGCTATAGTCCCACACATGCGGCAAAGTCTCGGGCGCGATGCCACCGCCACGGTCACGAATCCGGATTGTGACGCCCGGTGTAGAGTGAGCGAGCCGAAGCATCTGATCCGAGGATCGCGGAGATGCATTTTTGGTGAAGGCTCGGGACGCTATATCCTCGTTGCCTTGGTCGGTGTTCTTGATATTGGGCCTGGTGTCTCCGTCTTCGTGACCGTTGTTTTCGGGCATGATCTCGGGGAGCGGAGCAATGGTTACTTCGATGGATTCTCGCTCTTTGCCGCTCTCGACAGTGGCGCGGAATGCATTTTTCAAGAGCTCTGTGATGATGTACTCCAAGTGCACCGGCACATGCGCAAAGGTGTAATCCGGCTCCCCATTGATCACGACGTGGGGACGTACGCCGTATTTGAGCTCGCATATCTCTCCGACCACGTTCTCACAATGCTGCACGATCTTTGCAGGCTTGAGTTTTGTGTCAATCACACCGATGAAGCCGGGTGTCTCTTCTGTCTCGTGCATGATGTCGTTGTGTGGCTGACTTGAGAAGTGCAGCGCCAGATGTTGTTCAGCAATCAGCCTTGTGCCGATTCTCGCCCGCAGATGCTCATCCAAGAATCGTGTCACATCCTTTGGGCTTATGTATTTTCTCGCCTCGAGAAACCCTCTGGCGAGAATGCTTATGGTGTTCGCGTGCGTTTGTACCAGATCAGCCATGACCTCTGCAAATTTGATCTCATCTTCGAGCGTTTTGATCTCCTTCTCCGCCCATGGCAGCAGAGTAGAGAAGCTGTGAATATAGTTCGAGTGGATCTTGGAGATTTGTGGGTTCGAGACGACGATGAAGGGGAGGTTGCGGAGGGATTGGATACGATGCGCGAGTCGCGCCGGGAGGATCGAGAGGGTGAAGTTGGCAGATGTGAGGAGCTGGGAGGTTGTAAGGGGTGGTCGACCGTGCCTAGTAAGGGTATTAGATTGCACTCCAGCATGCGCCTGGGGAGCTGGGGGCGTACTGACTTGACGAGGTCTGCTAAGGTGAGTGGGTACAACGGCTGGCTTGCAAGGCGTGCAATGTCATTGTCCGTCACGGTAGCTGTAGTCAAGCATCGTCGCCCATTTGTAACCAGCGGGAGTGTTCTGCGTCGTGTCTTGATAGGGCAATATTGTCGAATGAATTGTGACTGTATCCACAGGGGACGTTGGACATGAGCCATAATTGAGTGGAGACTTTCGCGACCCTGATGTTTTCACTCGGTCGCGGATTGTGTTGTAATACGGAATTAATGCGGCAATTCGTGTGAAATTTAAGTCAGTACATCAATCTTCGAGCACAATTACGGCTTGAAAGTGCGAAACGTGTGGGAGTTGTGGTATGCGCGAAATCGGTCGAGTCTCTAAGGTGGTGGGACGACGAAGCTACGATCTGCAAAGCTTAAGAGCGGTAAGCGGTCACATGCGCTTGACCCTGCCTTCCCTTTTCAGACCCCCAATCCCAAATCGCATCCCAACACATCCTTATAATAATTCAATGTGTTCTTTCATTAAAATATTCGTTCTTGTCTGCGGCGGAGTCCTTACCAGTCGATGGAATTGGTGCTGGGAAGCAGTCGTTTGCCTGCGTAAACACGATTTACCAGCTACAAACATTGAATACTTACTTACATATGTACTCAAGTACGTACAGAAGGGTCGTACGCCAGAATATTAGTGCATGCGATTGCTTCTAATTATTCGTTTAAAACGGAGGAGACAGGCTGCACACAAAGTGATGTCAAATATACTCAAAATGGGCAATAAGAAAGAGCAAAGAAAGTAAAAGTAAGTGTGTAGAAGGTTAGATAGGAAAATGGCAGTTGTACTACCATGTTTGTTTGTCTTTCTCTTACCATGATCTGGTTCAGATCCAACTCGCCCATTTACACCTCCTCCTTCACCTCGAGTTGCGGTGTCTTTTACTTCTGCTTGACCACCCCTCTATTAATACTCGCCTCCCTCCCTCCAAATACCCCATTCCTCCACCCCCACATTTTTCTAGTTGCCTGATTACGACACTGAGTCGACCTCGACCTTATTCACTCTTCACGGGTCCTTCACATGGAATCTATGCACCAGGAGAAAGGAAGGCCAGCGCGAACGGACGAAGCAGAGCCTCCGGAACAACCTCACACGGCGTCGATGTCTATGCCTCCTCTACTCCCCGAGTCATCCTCCTCTGAAGCAATGGCTGGATCGAGATCGATCTCCGCCAAGATAAAGGAACTTATCAATCATCCCGATCCCCCCGAGGACGCTCCGTCCCAGATTGACGAACTGTGCTCAGCCTACATGGCCACTCAAGATAAGGAAATAAGGTCAGGGCCGCAGAAGATTACGATCCCCAAAGCACCTGTGGCAGAACTGTCGAAAGAGAAGAACAGCGGTCCCCAACAACAACCAGCCAAGGAAAAGGAATGTCGTCAACACGCAGAAGCAGCTTCGAGGGAGAAAACCTGCAAGCAAGCAGAAACCAACACTGTCACAGAGACATCCGACCAAGTCGTGAAAAGGTTGGAGAAGGAGATGGAGGATCAACGAACGGAAATCACTCGCTTGCAGAAGGCGCTCGACGAAAAGACGCGATACGCCAATTATTTGGAGAGCGAGGTTGCGAACCCAAGGTGTTCGTGTGAGATGGAGTGGAGGTATAGCGGGAAGAGGAAAATAGAAAATTTGGAGAAGCAGGTGGCCGAGTTGGAGGCAAACGCAGCTCATTTCGATGCCGAGCGTGAAAGGCTGATAGACGAAATCGAGACTGAGCAGCAGCAGGTCGAGTGGCTCAAATGCCAAATTCTCAACGTGCAATTTGCCGATGCCAGATGGGTGGACGAGACTGAACCTCAGACATGAGATTGTGCGACGCTGGAGAGGAGGGCTGTTTGGCTAAGTCGATTGGATGATACTGCGGAATGACTGCTTGGAGTGGCTCGAAACACACTGCGTCTTTGGAGAATCTCGCATTACAGCTTTTCCCTGTAATTGATTTTATTCTCTCATTTGGGACGCGCTTTCTGCAATGCCACTAAAGCTCTTTGCATATACTTTGGTTGCGAGATGCAGACTTGGGCATATGTAGCGCATGGTATGCAGTATTGCATTCTAGGTGCTTGAACTATATTGAAATACGATGATTACGCGCAACATTAGCTCATGCATTGACAATCTGCTTGAATACTGATTGATGATATAACGATTTTGTAAATGTGAGATTCCAACTCAGACCAGCTAACAGATGTACTCAGATCCTTATGCCACTAACCATATCACGATCAATCAACACGATGGCGATACAATTTTGCTATTCTATGGTAGGAAAGCTCGAGGGCGTGTTTGACGATCAGACTGCCATTGAAGAGACATACACGGGACGTTAGAGTTATGTATCACAGACCTTAATAGAGGGATCGCCATGATGATTTATTACCAATTGCTCACTGAATAGAGCAATTAGTTTGGAAATAAGTGTTTTTGGGCGGTGATGCAGTTGTATTTGCTAGCGGCGTCGAAAAATCGGTTGAGGTCGTTATATTCGCCGGTGGCGTCGAAGAACTGGTGGGGGCAACCCATACCATCTTTAGTGTTGCAAGTACTGAAATACACTAAATTGGAGGTTTGTTGAACTTGAGTAGTTTGACAATTCTTTGGCGTGATATGATGGGTTGGAATCCTTATATTATATGATTGTTGAAGCAGTGCCTGATGTTCCTGAGCCATCATCACCGGCCTATTTCTGTGGCTATTGAGCCCCAGAATCATTTTCAATGTTCTAATACACTCGCCCAGGCTTTTTTTCTTGTGTTTTTAAGCTCATTGTCCTCAGATATGATAGGTTTTCTGCTGTGGACTCGTCACTGTCAATTTAGGTACTACCAATAGTAAAATTTACAACGGACTATGAACTATAAAAACCTGGTCGTTTCTCACTCGCAGACTTGAATCTGAACAGTAGCTCGTTGATATTGTCTTTTATCTTAGTGAAGAGACGTCTCGTGTACCTAGGGATTAATTCATGACAGCTTGACCGCTCTACTCTTGGCTCCAGAACCATCAGCCTCGGAAGTGCAAAGCTTCTTCTTATGGGCTTACGCTCACGACCTTAGTTGTAGTAGCGATCTTGGTCAGACTCTCGGCTGTGATGCGGAAGATGTGGAGAAGCTCAAGAATCCCCCAGAAGACCATGAACGAGTACGTTCGTCTTTAGGTTAAGAATTGCCCTAGAGATGGCTATTGCGCTAAAAAAATCAACAACAACACTACAAGTGGTGAATAACCAAGGATCGCAGAGTGTCTGTTATTTGCGCAACTGTACGGTATTTGAACACGTTTGTACCCAAGTAGCTGATGGAACGAGTTCATGGGTAAGACGGTTAGCCACCGTATTCGGCGTATTCCTCCTTGGCGCCTCGGAACGGGGAAGCTCGCACATCCCGGACACCCTGAGCTGCTGTGCTGTTACTTTGGTTGTGATGTCGTCGATGGAGAATTTAGATCAGATATCCCATCATCGAAATAATATATGCGTCACTTTCTCCCGTGCGAACTGCAATCTCGCAGCCAGCAAGATGCATTCACAATCCGCCATGACTGACTACTTAAGTACTCATCCAGGCATCACTTGTAGCACGTACACGGAACATGTCAAGTTATCTCCTAGAAGGAACTAGCGTTCGACATCACATTTCTCCTGACCAAGCCTAGAGACCGTGTCGGCGGTTGTCGGCCCGTTGTGTACCCGATGCTCCGTGGCGATCCCATCGACAAAACACCCGCCATCATTGGGACATCCAGTCGTTCGCTTGTTGGTTCACTGGAGTCAGCGCACCAAAGGCCCCCAGAAGCCCCTAGGGGTCCCGCATTCTCGACAAGGGTCGAATCTCAAGTGGACCTCTCGCACTTTGTCGCCGCAAAGAAGGCTTGGATTGCTTTCCCTTTTGGGATCTGTCGTCAACCAACATCAATTCACTTTTTCAATTTCTCTTCTTTTCCCTCGAGTCCTTTGCAGAGATAAACATTGTCGAGAGTATCCAGAAGCGACAAACGAACCAAAAGAAAAAAAGAAAAAGAAAAAACACCCTCCTCGCTCCTTTGTCGTGTTCTTCACCAACAGGTCTTGACGTGCTGGTGGCAATTAGCGACGCGGCTAATTTGTGCTCCTGACTGACTCTGCTCGGTCTTCGCATTCGTTTCGGTGGATCTGCGTAAGACCCTCTATTCTCTGATCTTCAGGCAACAACTATTCATAACACTGTCGTCAAGCGCAGTCGATTCTGCTCTTGACATGAATCCATTCATTTCCATGCATTTTCATTAACCATCTCATTCGTTTTACAGATCATACCTTTTAATGCTCTTGGCCCCTACCTAGAAAAACACCATGACTACCGAAAAGGAGGTCCCACAACCTCCCCCACCGCCAGGCAGTATCGTGCCAAATCCCCCAGAAGACGTCCACGTTATTGAGGATGCTCTAGAGAAGAAAGACAGCATAATCGACACCAACCATGACTCCCCTCCTTCCGACACCAAGCAGCAAAAGCCTCAACCTACACTTGGCAATTACTTCAGAGTCTTCACCTTCGGCACCAAATTCGACTACCTCCTCATTTTTATGTGCATGTTGACTTCCATTGGATCGGGCGTTGTAAGTTTTGACCCAAGTGGTTGCGTAGACAGGCGCTGATAGGCACAGGCATTTCCATTGATGAATGTCGTTTTCGGTAGGTATTCCCTACATCTTCGTTGCGCTCAAGCACCCTGAATCATCTAACGCGCAACAGGTCAACTCGTGGGAGATTTTACCAACTACTTCATGCCCAATACCACTGTTACTCGACAAGAGTTCCAAGCTTCCGTCAACTCCAGCGCTCTCCTAATAACGTACATATTCATTGCGCGTTTTTTCTTGTCATACATTTCTCTGGTGAGCCCAGATTCCACTTTTTTATCATCACCTGCATGCTAACCTCATAAGTTCTCTATTCGCATCAGTGGATTAAGAATCTCAGCTGCTCTTAGACTGGCATACCTCAAGGCCACACTCGCTCAGCCCGTCAGCGTAATGGATACTATATCACCAGGCAAAATCTCCACGCGAATCACAACCTCCTCGAATACCATACAGGTCGGCATATCGCAGCATTTTGCCATGATGTTCCAGTCTCTTGCTTTCACCATTGGTCTTTACGTAGTGGCCTTTATCAAGAGTTGGGCCCTTACGCTCATTGCCAGTGTCGCCCTGCCCTTCATTCTCATCCTCTACGGCGCAATCATACCGCCCTTCTTCAAGCTGCACAAACTGACCGAGGAACACCACGAATCCGCCTCTTCTCTAGCATTCGAGATGTTTTCTTCCATCCGCGTCATCATCGCGTTCGGTGCCGAAGCAAAGTTGGCGCGACAACACGAGGCGACACTGGAGAAAGCTGCAAAGAATGCCAGAAAAGAAGCGCCCCTCATGGCACTCATGATGACCCCAGCCATGGCAGCTCAATATGGTACTTTCGGAATCGCATTCTGGTTCGGGGTTCGACAATACAGCCGAGGAGATATAACCAACGTCGGTGACATCGTTGTGGTTTTGTTCAGTGTTATGCTGGCTGTGATGAACATCGGACGGGTTGCAGCGCCTATCATCGCAGTGGTCAAAGCCGCAACGGCTGCTACCGAGCTCTTTGCCACCATAGATTCTCCTGTGCCTGATACCTCCGGTCTCCAGGAACCAGAGGTGTCCGCGGATGTCGACATCACTTTCAAAAACGTCAGCTTCTCATACCCCAGCCGGCCGAATGTATTGATCTTGGATGGTTTCAACGCTAAATTTGAAGCTGGTAAAGTTACTGCTATTGTTGGTCCTTCAGGCTCGGGAAAAAGCACTCTTGTGTCTCTTGTTCAGAGATGGTACGACTTACTCGGCACTACTGCTGTAGAGAAGGAGGCCGAAAAACCAAAGCAGGTTGCGCCAACGGAGGATAGCGAAAAAGGATCTAAAAGCAAGAAAAAGGCAAAAGAAGCGGAGAAAACAGCTAAAGACGGAAACGTCGATGCGGAAGAAGAAGAGATAGATCTTGGACCCAACACCTGCACCGGCGCTGTGGCTGCTGGAGACACAGATATCCAGAGCATTGACATGAAGTGGTGGCGATCCCAATGTGGCCTTGTCCAACAGGAACCCTTCCTTTTCAACGACACCCTGTGGGCAAACGTTGCTTACGGTCTATGCGGCACGAAATGGCAGCATGCCCCGCAGGAGGAACAAAAAGCCATGGTCACTGCAGCTTGCAAAGAGGCCTACGCGGATGAATTCATCAACAAGCTACCTGAAGGGTATGATACACTGGTTGGGGAGAGTGGCATAAAACTCTCAGGTGGCCAGCGACAGCGGGTTGCCATTGCTCGAGGTAGGTCACCATTCCTGGTTTCCCTTTCCGTACTCTTCTCTAATCAATGATAGCTATTGTCAAGAATCCTCCCATTCTTATCCTCGATGAAGCCACTTCCGCCATTGATGTCCGGACCGAGCGAATTGTGCAAGCGGCTTTGGAGCGGGTCTCAGCGGGTCGAACCACAATCGTGATTGCTCATCGTCTGTCCACCATCAAAAAGGCAGATAAGATTGTGGTTATGGGTAAGGGTAAACTAGTAGAAGAGGGAACCCACGAGGAGCTACTCCGAGATGAAGACGGCATATACTATGGACTCGTCAATGCTCAAAAGATCGCCCTAGAATCCGAAGAAGAAAACAACCTCGAAGACACTGGGTTAACGAAGACTGTAACTGCTGAAGCACAGCAATCTGACGACAAACAAGAGATGCATGCCGTAGTCGAAGAAAAAGCGTACAAGGAGAAGGGGTTTTTCCGCAGCGGCGGGAAGCTCGTCTACGAGCAAAGACAGCATTGGTTTCTCTATTTTCTTACGACAATAGGGATCCTGGCGGCTGGCGCTGTCTATCCTCTGCAGGCCTATATCTTCGCCAATGTTATCAATGTTTTCACCCTTCCGGGTCCAGAGTTGGTCGACAAGGGCTACTTCTGGGCAGGGATGTTCGGCGTGGAAGCAGCGGCTGTTTTTGCTGCATACTATACGATAGGATTCTGCACGCATATAATAGCCGTTTCCATCACGCGGCGCTATCGACAGGAGTATCTGGAGAACTTCATCCGCCAACGTATATCATTTTTCGACCGGGAAGGAAACTCAGTTGGAACACTCACCTCGAACGTCAGCGCGCATACCGAAACTCTCCAAAAGTTGATGTCTACTGAGATGTCCCTGGCTGTCATTGCAATTGTCAATATCATTGGCTCGCTCATCATCTCGTTCATCTACGGCTGGAAGCTGACCCTCGTTGGTTTGTTCGCCACACTTCCCCCAATCTTGCTGGCCGGATATTTCCGCATCAAGTTGGAGATGGAGTTTGATCAGATGACTGCTACGGTTTTCGCGGATAGCTCACAGTACGCTACAGAAGCTGTTGGGGCTTTCCGTACAGTGTTATCTCTGAATCTGGGTGACGTTATCAGCGAGCGATACAACAGCCAGCTTGGCGATCATGTCAAGAAAGCTTCCGCCAAAGCTAGGTTGGGCACGTTGATATTCGCGGCTTCCGATAGCGCTGAAATGGGATGTACTGCCCTGGCATTCTGGTAAGCTGCTTTTCTGTATAGACGCTCATATATACAGATTTACTAACCATATATCAGGTACGGCGGTACCCTCTTAGCATCTCGCGAGTACGACCTGATCCAATACTTCATCATATACATGGCTGTCGTTCAAGGAGCAGTGGCAGCAGGCATGTGGTTCTCTTTCTCGCCCAATATCGCTCAAGCGACAACAGCCGCGAATAGAGTCCTCAGCCTCCGACCTGATTCAAATGCTCCGCCGCCGAACTACGCTCCCATTGAAAACCCCGACTCCGGCGCCGGTCTGACGTTCCAAAACGTGCATTTTACCTATAAGTCCCGCTCAACTCCCGTTCTAGCCAACCTGAATCTTGAAATCGCTCCCGGTCAATTTGCAGCTCTGGTAGGCGCATCCGGCTGTGGCAAGTCCACGACAATCTCCCTCCTCGAGCGGTTTTACGATGCAAGCGCCGGAGCCGTGTTGTACAACGGTCAAGACATCACGACTCTCGACCCCTCCGAATATCGCAAGAACATCAGTCTCGTCAGCCAGGAACCCACCCTCTATGAAGGCACGATTCGCGAGAATATCGCTCTCTCCGTCGACAGCGCCACCGAAGCCGAGATAGAAGCCGCTTGCGCCGACGCACAGATCCATGAATTTATTGTCTCCCTCCCAGAAGGCTACAACACGCGATTGGGACCCAAAGGTATGTCGCTCAGCGGTGGTCAGAAACAGCGTCTTTCGCTCGCCCGCGCGCTCCTCCGTCATCCCAAGGTGCTACTTCTCGATGAAGCCACCAGCAGTTTAGATTCGGAATCCGAGAAACTAGTCCAAGAAGCCATCGAGCGCGCTGCAAACACAGGTCAGCGCACCATCATCGCTGTTGCGCATCGTCTGGCTACGATTCAGAAGGCGGATGTTATTTTCGTACTGGGAAGCGGCAAGGTTTTGGAGAAAGGAGATCACCAGAGCTTGTTGAGAAAGAAGGGTGTTTATTACCAAATGTGTCAGGCGCAGGCTTTGGATCGTTGAGTGGAGTGTGATTGTACTCCGCTCCATCCTCTTCTCTATCACTCGACCTTTTTTTCCTATCCGGGACTCCTTTTCTTTGTAAACATGTTCATTTCTACGCCATCTTCCCTTCTTGTAGCAGCTCACGCATAAACTCCTCTTTCAGGGCGCTTTCATTCCATGCATATAATAGAACAGTGGGGATCTAGACTGGAACACTTCTCACACAATCGAATACAACCAGCCAATCTCACTCCAACCAACAGCATAGATCATCACGAACGCAAATGTTCAATGAGCTCTCGCACTTTGAAAATATTCATTCAATACCAATCCCCTTGATATGCATTTCTCAGGATTCCAAGGCCCCTAGCAAGTCGCACTTGAGCAGCTAAAACAAAGTTCGAATACGAGATTTAGGGGGACGACTCTATAACGGAAACTCGACTATCCGCCATCCCTTGCAACGCACGAACGCGCACGCACACACGCACACACATACGCACACGTGCGCGCCCGCGTCTAGGTTCAAACGAACACCCCTTGCCCCCGTTCGATTCCGTCGCCAAAGAGGGAGGTTTTTACCGTCATTTACATGTTCGACCATCCGGCATGTTCGGTATTTTCTGTGGAGATCGACAGTACTGGTCTCTACATGCAACTTGAACTGCTTATGCGGCTCGCCCCCGAACTTTAGGGGATTTATTATTATTATTGCGGACTAGTTTACGCTAAATTCTTTGACATCTCCACTATTTTTCTCTCTACTTTTCTTAACATGTATGTGTGTGCGTGCGTGCATTTGTGCCTTGCAGGGAGACGCGAAGGGTGTAAGAACTTAAAAACATGCATCGTACATGGGTGTATAGTGGTTAGTGTAGAGAAGTATCTCTTTCTTGTTTCGTTGTACTTGCGTTGTTGAGGCTCACCACTCACCACTCACCACTCACCTACCGCTCTAGGGTTTGTTGTGGTGGAGTACGCGTTCGAAGGATGGGCTTTGGCTGTGACTAGGCGTATACGACAACAGGCTACGTGTACGTGCTCTTAGGCTATATGGGATGCAAATATTGGCGTATAGTCAGGGTATGGTGTTTGTGACGGGGAGTTGATCTTGGGAGGTTTTGGAAGTCGGTAAAGACCGGGCGTGGTGGAGGGTTGAGATCACTGACATGATGTTTTGGATGGGGACGTAGTAGACATCAGTGTCTCGCTCTTTGAGTGGTAATGATGTTTGGATTGTGCAGTGGTTACAGAGTTTTGATCTCGGGTGTTTGAATTGGTTCAAGATACGTTCTATCTCGACGAGTGGGAAGTCATCATGGAATTTCGGGCTGGTATTCTCACCCTGACACCACAATCTTGACGCAAGATACATCAAGGGCAGAGATAATTACAGTCAGGGGCTGATGGATTCCCTAGTCCTTCCTGTCGCACTCACCATGTTGAACATGACTATTTGGCGGTGGCTTTTACGCTTCGGCTCACTGATTTGTTTTCAATGCCAGTTATGTGTTGCTGAATTTGTACACTGAAACCCCAATCTCCTCATCAAGTACCCAGTGATCAATTCCTTTCTCCTCCCCTTTTACACTAGCCAGTCTCATAAGGCGTTGATGTTTTTAGCCAGCTAATGGGTGCTATATAGCTTGTATCACCAAAACAATGCAAGGCACACTCGCTCTTCTCCAGACTTGATGGAAACCAGCTTCGGGGATCCGCATAGAGAAGCAGATAGACTGACGGACAACATGTAACAATGCTCCCGACGATGAAGTACCAGCTTCAGCTATAATGCAAAGCTGCGCTATAAGTTTCATAGCTTTTCCATGTATTACCGCAATAGCTCTAGTTCCGCCCAGACTTTCAAACAGATCGGCCCAAGTCCTACCAGGGGTTTGGCTCCTTTGACGGACGGCAAGATAAATTCCCGGTTTACACGTTGCTGTTGATTGGATGGAGATGTTGCGCCCTACTTGTCTAATTGTTATAGACAATCTGCACACTGCACTAGTCTTAATGGAGATATCGTTAGAGGATAAACGCATCGACTGAACCCCACAACGCTCCTCTCCACTTATCTGGTAACGTGACAGCTCGCAATACATACTCTTGAACCGTTGATGATTATCTGCGGGTATCTTTGCAATTACATGGAAAGTGTTACCCACCACGCAACGCATATCTTTGTTGTCTGGCAGACGTCAGTGTGAATGAGTCCCTCATATATCTTTACGATGAGCACACACACACCGCCAAATTAAGGAGGTCATGTTTACACAACCCAAGATCTATGGTGGTTAATACTGTGTAGACCACGAAGCCTGGGTCGACTTGGGAGTATCCGATTCTCAGGCCATATTCGCGTGTCTTTACCACTCTGGGTTAGAATGTATAAAATGGTCCGTGGTCTACAAACTCGCCGAGGTGCGTCGATCCCTAGTATACATACCATTCCATGACTTCTAGAAGCCATACGGCTCTAGTCTGTACATGCGGAGCTCTTGAAACTATGGAAGTAGGCATGTTGGAACTCGGTGGTGGCTGGCCAATCTGCCTTGCTGGACTTATCGTTTCGCTTCTTCTCGCTTCGCCAACGGTTTCCGAAGACGCCTGGATCCCCGGTCGTGGCACTATGCCTGGTTAAGATCTTTTTCGCTTGAAATCTCCTCCTTTGATTTCTCTACGGTCAACTTGGAATGAGACAAGGCAAGGCGAACGTTCTGATCCGCCCCCACGGTATAATGACGTCTGGTGGGTCGCGGCCCATGTAAGGTTCGGTCTGTTGTGGACGGCAGAGTCCATCACGAATTCAGTGAGGCCAATATCCCCACGACAGGACTCAAGCTATTCTTAGTTCCCTTGTGCATAACGCTAGCTATCCCACGATACTATATGTATGCTGGAGTAGCGTGGTGGTCTACGCCCTTGAACCTGCGAGGGTGTGAACTGTAGAGTATATACCATCCCAGACGTTAACTATCAATACCCCAGATACTTCCTCTATGTAGAACTGCTTTTGTACTTGACCCGGTGTTGGACTCGTCCTCCCCACAACGATCAAGTCCGTCCGTGCCTTGATTGACTGTGGCATGGGAGTACTCTTAGTCTTCTTGGTTTTCCGCTAACATTGAGCACACGGGTGCGGACCATCCGTTTTTTCCTTGCTACGCTACGTTATAGTGGTTCACAGTCCCCCTTACAAATTTATGCATTTTCAAACTAGGTGGGGTGGTGGAACTTGGGAGAGGGGAGGATCGGGTTCCTCGCGGAGATCAGGCCGGCGAGTTGGGCTCTTTCACACCCATCTCCGTCTATGGTACAATGTCGGCGATTACTCTGGCTGCTCTTGACCCTCCGCACATTGCACCGCGATACGGGCGGTGAGGTCAACATGAGTGATTTCACCAGGAGCTATGGCCAGGGCAGATTTGGCCTTTCTGCGATGAAGAAAGAAATCCAGCTGGGGACTGCCATGTTGTGGGGGCGTTTAGGTTTCTTCCATACCACTTAGCAAGCCATGATATAGATTGTGCTGTGCTTGCAGATGCTGGGCTGGTGTTTTCAATATTGATTTTCTAGGAAAAACGGATACAGACTTGCTAGCACGCAGGAATACATGTCCACGGAAAGAATTCTTGCGGAAGCCAAAGTTTGGTTATTTTCGCTTTCAATGACTGATCAGTGTTGAGGCGAGATCATCTCTAAGAAATGAATTTGCGTTCGAGAATCTGTTCCCAAGGAACCGTTGAAGCGGTGATCTGCCACGATCCGACCGATTCGACACGCAGCTCGCCGAAGAAGCAGGTATCCTGTGGAATTTGTACTAGCGACTACCGAAAAGGGTAAGCAGCTCGCTGGACATAGACCTCGGAGATCATGTGACTGGCTCTCGAACTACCTCACTGGAGAGTCATGGCTCAAATATACAATGAAGCCTTATGGAGCTTCGCTTCCGATCTATCGGCACGAGTCCCATATTCGGCGGGTAGCGCTTGACCGTGCTTTCATTCTCGTCCCGGATTGCCTGTTGTGCCTGCGTAAACCACTACAGCGCTGACCGATGTCGTATGTCTTGTAGCCTGAGCTGCAAACACGAGATCTTACTCACAGATATGCTGGTGCCTCACCATGGACTGTGGTGGCTGTAATCAGATTACTTGCAGGCCGCACTTCCGCCTTTTCTGCTGGCCGAATAGCAGCATGGCGAATGCACTACAAGTGACCAAGCGACGACGGGCATGGTCAGCCCGGAAAATAAGGTGAGAGGACGTGTTGGTCTGGTGGGTCGCAGGCTGGCTGGGGTTAAAAGAAAAACCGTGCTGGGACTGATATAGAAACCGAATCTGAACCCTGAGCAGGGATTGGCTCGGATATCTGCTCAAAGAGGGATAACGTCATTTGTCCGGACCAATAGGGTCAAAGTAGCCATTGCCTTGGATATCTGCCCGTCTACGCCTCTACCTCGAACCCAAAAACCCATGATCATCTGCAATGACGTGCCAAAACATTGAGCGCATGGAGTCGGCTTACCTCGTCCAAAGATTCATCATACAGCGATAACGCGGTCGGTTGTAAGACTATCCCTGTTGATCTCCCACTTGCCGTGCTTACCATGCATAGCCGTGCTAAGGCTCCTTTCTCATCCATAGCATTTCGAAAAAGCAGTTGGAAAACAATGTATCGACTATCGTGGGTGCTTATTAATAGAATATGATTCAGCTGGAGCACACCATCTGAATGAAAAGACACAATCGCCTGTTGCCTGAACAGTAAGACATCGCTGCCATTGCGCGGTCGGGCAGGTATTGCAGGGACCGTATCCGAGAACTTCCAAACCGCGGCGTGAAACCCCGAGGAACCCACTGATTCCCCTCTAGGATTAATGCCTTTCCCTTCGCTATTCAATTAGGAGCAGTGGGGGGGCATGGTACCTACGACGACTTGCCAGGCCTGGGCGACCCACTGCCCCCAAGACTATAGCCGTTCTCCAAGCAACACTGGCGTAGGATTCCGGATTTCCGCGCAAAACTCGACTCGCCGTCATGTTCAGCCCAGCTTTGACCGTGTTTGAAGCTGGTGGGAGGATTCGACTTGGATCAGTCCCCAGGCTAAACATGACACCATCCAACATCCGATCCGTTGATTTTGGGTTTGAACATAAGGTCTCTGTCAGAGCAGCCACATCCGCTAGACTGGGTTTCAACGCATAAGCTTGGATTGAGATAATTATGTGCTGATCATCGGTAATAAACAGTCTATGCAAGGAGGTCATGGCAATTAAACCCGCGCGTGAGGTCGCACGTGGGAGTCAAGGCAGGATTGGATTAAGAAAAGTGTTTGATTGGCTTCTTCTAGCTATTATAGAGTGGTCTGTGATGTGGCGGTAACTGGTGGTAAGGGTAATTACTCTGCATGTGCTGGCTTTGAAATGCGTATTGGGGAATGCTCTGCAAGTCAGGGTGCGCAGACGCAGCCGAAGTGGCAGAGGGTGAGCTCGTCAGTATGTGGCTGTCCCATGGATCAAACTGATGGCTTAGCGCTGGACTATGTGTCGCTGACAGACTGGCATAAGGGTCGTAAGATGCGTACGTAGCGGCGTGATCAAAGTGTGCGTAGTTGTTCGACGAGGTGCTTTGCAGTGGTACAGGCTGGTTCATGGTTGGGGGGTTCCAACTCCATTGCGCGTCATGGCTTATGGCTGAAGTCGGCTGCTGATGTATGGTCGGATAGTCTGGTATGCTACTACCGAGTGTAATGTACGGAGGAGGCGTGTCCCAGGTAATGGATTCGTTAGATGGAGCGCCTTCGAACTCTGGACTCGAGATTGGTGTGCTGCTGAGAAATACATCGTCGGCGATATCGGAGGCAAAAGAAAACGTATCGATCTGCTTGGGGTTGTGGCTGCCAGCTTCGTTGGGCTCAGGCGTGGCTGCAGATTGTGGCAAGACAATGCCCTTGTTTTGATAGCGACGGATCAGTACAGTGTATCGGTTCTTGATGTCGTTCTTTGATCGTCCTTGAAAATAGTGATGTTGGATATCTTTCCAGTGTCGCCCATGACGCTGGACAGCCTCAATGAGTAACTTGTCCTTGGATTCGCGCCATTCGCTGTGATCCAGACACGGGTCCAGAGACTGTTGCCAGCGTTTTGCACACTGGTCAGCACTTCTCGAGTGGACAACGTCCGCAACTAGGGTCCATCTAGTATTCATTAGCAAGGCTACAGGAGAAGGTTGAAGGCGACCGTACCTTTGGCCATATCGTTCGACACCTTTGGCAAGTTGTCGGTCTTCACTCTTGGACCACTGGCCCTTCTTCAACCCTCCAGCGACCGAGTTGTGCCATCTCTTACGGCAGTCTTTGTTTGTTCTTCCTGGAAGCTTCATAGAGATTCTGCACCAATCTTTTGCTTCACCGCTAGCTACTGTACACGAAGTGTCAGTTGAAATATCAAATGCTGTCCGAGATGGGTCATCTTACACTGTGCCTCCACTTCGTTGCGCAATTTGTGGTCCTCTTCTGGCGTCCATTTCCGCGGTTGGCGGTTCGTAGACTGGGTGGTGATTGAGAGCATTGTTGAGTTGCATGCAAAGTTGTTCGAGTATGCAGAGTCAAATCTGGCGAGAGTTGTCGATACTTGTATATAAGATAAGACAGAGGTTGGGCTTGAAGGATTGGGATAGCAGGGGTGCAAATGTTATTGGCAATGTTGAGATGACGCTTTCCAAGGAGTGCAGAAGATATAGAAATATGAAGGCTGTACAGGAGATGTTTAGGGCAAACAGTGATGGGGTCCAAAAGGGAGCTAAAATGGCCATATAGGGAATTGTATATTAAGCCAGGAGGCGAGAGTGCCTTGTGAGCTTTCAAAACGGCCATCTGCAGCCATTGGACACAGACCCGTAACGGCCAGAAAAGCACACTTGCCAATTACATGGGTTATACGGCAGACAGGCATTGCACTGAGGCTATCCTGAGGCTAGAGCTAGCACATACATGAATGCGTGCATTACATAGCTGGTAACTAGGTTTGATCCACCCAGACCCTGGCCATACCCAGGTAGGGCTGCACCGATTTCAACACAAAGCTGCATAAGTAACTATCCACTGACTTCAGCGGCAACAATAAGCTTATCGTGCAATTCACATCAGTGCGCCTTTATTTCTCGGTTGTACCGACATGGGCAAGCGAACGCTGTTGATGAGAAGCCAAAACCACACGCTGAGAGAATTGACAGCAGAAAAGGCCAAGAATGAACTTAAATTAGGGAGCGCGCGAAGCGGGCACGGTATATTCGGCGAAGATGGGATGGGATGGCCTCGGTCCGCCACACAGGGGTGCGCTCTGAACAGCTGGGGATCGTGCGCCAACGTGTAGCGATTTTTGGGGTGGGGGATGTAAAAGAAAACTAGAGGGAATAAGTAAGGTACATCGGGGACCGAGCACCGAATCTGCCGGTACCGTACACGTTGAGATAGTTTTCAAGTGCCTATAGATCTCAGTGCTTGGACGAGATTGTGATTGCTTTCCCTCCCAAGTTTCATATCTAGGCACGCTCATTTTCTTGTTTGTGGGTATGATGCAGCAAACAAGAGATATTCCAGGATCAACTCGCTCCACCAACATTCATGGTCACACTTTCTCTCTCTCTCTCTCTTCAGAGCATCGGCTGCCCGATAGTAAACTTTGACCAGGATCAGTTCATGATACATCGTCAAAGTTATCCTTTGGGATGTCCTCTTCGTCTCTTCTGCCTCTTTTGGCTTGAGTGAGTGAACTTCGAGTGTGGCTCAGCCCTACTACACATACGATGGTAAGACGGACATGGATGTAGACGAGCTCACCGTACGTACGTACTAGCCCATGACAGTGACCGGCAATCCAGAGACGGTGTGCAAAATGTAACCCAATGAAGGTTTTTGGATGATAGCTATACACTTTTTCAGGTAGCTGGTCAGTTCCAATTGAATCTGGTCAGCGTCAAGTGCCACAATTTGACAGTGGCGTGTGCGTATCGTGACGGACATTGATTCGCGCGGTCGAGCTAATGCGATCAAAGTGTTAGGTGGTCTAACCAGTTCAAACTGGATCAATACAGGATGAAGTTAATAATAACAACAATATCTCGCTCACCAGCAGGAAGCCGGGGAAAAACACCAAAAGATGATGACTCTGTGGATATCGTCACCGTATTTTTCCAATGCGTCACGAGCACCCCTGTTAGAAATCCAAAGGGGAAGTTCAGCCGCTTCCCGCACACGCAGTGTAGTCTGACCGCTCGTATCGCTGAGATCGGGTGATAGATTCGATGTCTGTTCGGACTAGACGTCAATCCGATGAAGAAGATTCTAATTCTAGGTTCTATAATGAACATGACGAGCTGCTCAGCCTCGTTGAGGTCCTGGGAAGAAGAAAGTGTTGAGTCACATACTCTTTCTCTTGCTCATTTTGCACCTCCCTTTGCTCACTTGCAACTCGCCGTATTTGCTTCTCCTCTTGCTAGATGTCTGCTTTAGTCTTTGTTCATCATGAGATTTTTTCTCAATCTTTTGCTATATTTCTGCTGATGGGTTGACTTATTCATGCAACGAAATGTGGGGACAGGAACATAGATGTATTGACTAATGGAGAAAAAGCGTCGAGTACTCAAATATCCTTCAATCCTCGGTATACGGTTACTAAGCTTTCCTGGCCGTGGTTCTGTGGTAGAACTCTTATATCACAATACAAGGAATCAATATTCCAAGTCTTTTGTACCACTCTTTTGAGTGTGCCACCATATGGTTTCCAGTGGTGATTCCGGTGCGACAAGATCAGTGCGCTGCCCAGTTTGCTTCTGGCAGCGCATCTGTCGCTAGCTGTTGGTAGGTTGACCACCAAGTCGTTCAATGTGCGGTATGCACGATGGTGTGCACTGTCGCAGGAGCATGCGAACTCTTGCAAAGATCTTTGCAAGGAAGAGCTATGACTGGGCGACAGTCCATAAGCGCTCAATGGCGGGCGGTGGGTTCCAAACGTGAGACAGCGAATGGTCGCTTTCAAGTTTTGCCCATGATCCGCTTCGCCTTCTCAAGCAATACGGTACTTTCGCGTCCTAGTTTCCTCTTGCCCGTTCCAGCTCCTCGTGCCTTGGCCATTGTCTTGCGGAATCGTTCCCTCTCTGCGATCCTCCTAGCCCGCTCCTTCTCTGCTTCCTCGCGCGCCCTTTGCCGCTCCTCAGCTTCGGCTTTCTTCTCGCGGGCAAGCTCAGTTTCCTTCTTGAAAGGCTGCGGTCGCGGTCGCCTTTGCCTTCGGCCGGCATGGTCTGTTGACTCGGGTTCGGGCTCAGGTGCGTTTTTCTCATCCTCCAACAATTGCAAACGATCGGGATGTGGCTCTAGCGTTGGTTCAGGAACGGGCTCCTCGGGGGATTTTTCGTCATCTTGGAGGTCACGGTCGTTTCCACGGTCGTCTTCGCGGTCGTAGACTGATCTCTCGGGCGCGGCTCCTTCTCTCGCCTTCAGTTTTGCGAACTGTTTCTTGAGTTTTGCCTTGTGAATAAGGTCTTTCTTGATCTTTTGCACTGCCAGAATATTAGTATATTGGAAATAGTAATCAACGGAAAGGAGTTCTAGTCGTACCTTTGCGCTTGTGGATGCCATCGGGCAAGTTGGCTGGACCAACCTGGAATCCTTTCCGTTGCTTCTTCACGGGACCATTGGAGGCATCCTCGTGGGAACGTTTGGTTGCAGCCATGGATGGCTAGAAGCGGTCGAAGCGGTCGAAGCGGATTGGGAGTGGCGGGTTCTCGTCGACGGAAATGTCTATGTGTATTGGGTGGCAGAGAAGAGAAAAAAAAGAGAGGAGCCTCGGATTGACCAGATTAGGCTTGGCGCGAGGTGGTCCATGCGCGATGATGCAGTCAGACCAGGCACACTGGCGACCAGTCATTGCCTTCGTCCTTTGCAATACCAGACGACAATGAGAAGAGAGAAAAAATCTTCCCTACATGCGTACGAACGAACGAACAGACAAACAGTCATCAACCACCCACCTGTTTCGCCACGGCCAGCGCTGCGTCGTCGTGTGACTGACGCCCGCCCGCCCAGCCAGCCAAAAAGAACGCGGAGGAGGGGTTTGCGAAGAAAGCGTCAGCCAGCCAGCGCAGCGATTGGCAGCTGTTCCGAGGGATTTATTCTTAGCCTTGTTACATACATATGTACATACATACATGTGTACCTACAGGACATGGACAGCGACAGTCACTTACTTGCTTGGACATCCGCCAGAACCTCCGGCCCTTTGTTATCTCGTCATCAACCTCCCGCTAATTCCCAGCTTCCCCCCAGCTGCCGTTTCGCTCTGAAACTCCTCTTTTTCCTTCGCACCACGCCTCGTCAGCCAGCCAGCCAGTCCTGTGCTTGTCGAGTGGAGCCAGCACACCGTCTCTTGTCGTCCTTTGCTTTGCATCCTGCCACCGTCTGATCCAAGTGTTTTCGGCCACCTTTCCCCGCTATTGTGCCCGCCGTGACCTTTATCCATCAAGTGCTCATCATCTATCTACTTTGCTTCGTTGTACCACCATCTGCCTGCCTGCCTGCCTGCCTGCCTGTAGCCCGCCACCTTGCTCCAATCTCTTGACTCTGTCGCTACTACACAACCTACTTGCTGGTTCCTCTACTGCTCATGCTGCCTCTAACCACATCCTGTCTTCATCATGCCCATATTTCATGACGACCCTCCCGAATCCACTCCACCCAGCCGGCAGGTCTCCCGACCTTCGCCTCCCAGAGAGTTGAGAAGAGCTTGGGACTTCCAGCCTGTGCAGAGTGGCTTCGACCCCAATATCGGTCCAACCAAGCACTCTGTGACCTCTCATTTTGACCCTCCATTTCCCATGTCCGACCGCGCAGACTTGATTGAACAGATAAAGAGGGCAAACACCCCTGTATGGCAGCATGTGAGTCGCTGCCTGTGTACATTCATTGCCTGCATCACATGCGCAAACGTCATACACAAACGCACAAGATTCAAAGTACTAATCCACACCAGAACACAACCCGCCATCATGACTCCAGGCCATCCTCTCGGGAGGGTGCCAAAACTCCAGTTCGTTCTCCAATCCGCATCAGATCCCCCCGGCCTTCAACACCTGATCCTCTGCGGGACCATGCGGCTGTGGGCCTGGAAATCGAGCGTCCTAGGTCTGCCTTGCATTCGGGCGATTTCAGGGAAAAGAAGGAACGCACGACACATGGTCAAGATCTCATATCGAACACCGCACCTCTAGCCACCTCGCCCATCGTACCCTGGCACCAATCTTTTCCAGTAGCAGCACGTCCTCCGAGCAGAACGGGACCATCTTTCTCTTTTACCGATACCCGGCATCATCATGATCAGCCAACTACACGTGCCCGAGCGATATCACAGTCATCTTTCGCTTCTTTTGCCTTCATGCCCCCCACGAGCCCACTAGTACAGCAGTCCAACAACACAGATCTCGATTTTTCTTCAAGACCTGGGTCTCGACAAACCTCTCCAAGTCCAGAAAGGACCAATAGGCGCCACACCTTCTCGCCGCAATCATTCTCTACTTACAGTTCTACCGACATGGCGAGGTCCGCCTCTAGCAACGTCGCCGTCGCCCGCCCTAGGAGAGGAACAATAATACCCGCGCAGGCGCACCAACCTCGACGGTCCATCGTCTCTTTCCAGGCATTTCCACCTTACTCGAATCCACAAACACCATTTCCAGGCTCACGGCAATCTTCAATATCGTCCGAGGTCTCACCCTTGCATCACGCTCCCATGGTCGGTTCGTACGAGGAATCGATACTGCGAGGCAGAATGTCCACGACTCCGTCTCGGCCTTTGAACTTCATAGCCAAGATTGGTGTGCTTGGGAAAGGGCAATGCAAGTCCAACTTGAAATGTCCCCCGCACATAGCCATACCGTTTCCCGCTGTGTTCTACAGTTACAGTACCGGCAATGGTCGAATATCAGATGACTCACCAAGTCCGTATGTTGGACTCATAGATTTGGAAAACTCTCTGTCGCCTCCAGATGAAAGTAAAGAATCGACTGGGACTAGGCGGAAAAGACGACAGACTACTTCGAATACAGGCACGGAAGAATTTAGTTTCATAGCAGACTCGGAAGAGTTTGGATCCCGGTCGCGAATTCAGGAAGGTATCCGCCGCCGGGAAAAGAAGAAAAGACGATCCACCTCACCTAAAGCACCGCCTGGCGGAAGTTACCGCATTCCTCAGGTGGGCCAGCTGCAGATTGTCATCAAAAACCCCAATAAAACGGCCGTCAAGTTATTCCTTGTTCCTTATGATCTCTCCGATATGGAACCCGGCCAGAAGACATTCGTTCGACAGCGCAGCTATTCAGCGGGTCCCATCATCGATATGCCTCTATCGTCTCGCAAGAATTTCGGCACAGATCGCCCAGAAGCCGCACTTAGCAATTCCGACGATCCAAACGATCGGCCTATCCTGCGATATCTTATACATTTGAACATGTGCTGCCCGTCGAAAGGCCGGTACTATCTATACAAGAGCATTCGCGTGGTTTTCGCCAACCGGGTGCCAGATGGCAAGGAGAAGCTTCGCAACGAGATCCAGCTCCCGGAACCGCGCTTCAGCACGTACAAAGCCACGCGCGATCCGCCCGCCTCTCAAGCCTCTTCGTCGGCAGCTGCTCAACTGACGGCCGAAAAAGCAATGAAGCGTCGCAGTGCCGGTATCCCGTGGGCTCACCAAGCCTACGACCAATTAGACGGTCTCAACCCAGCCTTTCAATATCATCACCCTCCACCGTTCCCCCCTCCAGCCGTGCAGTTCACTGGCGGACCTTCCCCTCGCTCCAGCAGCAACTTCAATCCCACCCCTCAAGATGCATTCACGCCCATTCCCTTCAGTCTGCCTCGCACACCCCCTTCCACCTCCCGGCCGCTATCTCGTGCCATGGATGTGGACGAGCATGGTTCTTTCGAATCTCGCGCCGCTGACGACGTGAAAAGCAACGAACAAAGCAGCGCCACCGCGTTCGAGAAGCGAAACGTCGATGCTTTTAGCGGCGTGACATCTCCCGGAACTGGACTGCTTGCGAAAAGGCTGCAGGGTTTGGATGTCCAACGAGGGGGTCGAGGGACGGGGAGTATGTGACACGTCCCCCTTGGCCGGATCCACCCCACGCGTTCAACCTGTGATATAGCTGCGAGACTGCCATTCCCTCCCACTCCATGTAGAATATAGGAATGGCAATGATTTAGATTATTCATTTTATCTGGCGATTATGGGGAGCATCTCTTTTTTCAAGCATTGGATTCTTGTATACAATACCTTTCTTCCCTCTCTCACTCTCCATTCTATATGTTAATGTTACGGGACATGCGTAGATGGGGAACATGTATATTCCACGGATAGAATTTATTCTCACAAATGACTACGAACTGCATGATTTTATTTTCTTCATCTTCAAGCCTCTTCCGTCTTCGTGTTCGCCACTCACATATTTGTTTCCACTCCATCCCTTCCTCTCTAATCAGCCTCATTACATGGAGGACATGTGCATCGAGCGGAATTTGTTTATTCGCTGCTGTTCGCTAGTCTTATATACATAGGTGTCTGAGTTGAGTCAGCCAGTACTGATTTCTAATATCCATGAGCGCCATGCTATCTATATTTAAAGCCGTTCCATTCCATGATGCGTTTCTCCTTCGAATTTGAAAACGCATGTCGGTGGGAAGATGCTCGTGATTCGATGATTATGTATGCATCTATACGCGAACGAGCATAATTCCTCCTGTCTATCCTCTTTGGATGCACATTTGCGCACCTCGCTTTCATCCATATCGAAAGCAGAAAGTAATATGTGGTTGATCAGAGTAGCAATGAGTGGCATGTTCCCACGCAGTCACTAACCTTACCCAATGAGGGGCATACCCCCTTTTCCTTCTCGATTTTGGTACCTCAACTCGGGGGAACCCTCGAGAAACTCGATCTGATACGACCTTGTCTTTTACATCTCATATTCGCCGGATTTGTTGCTCTGCGAAGCTGGCGTCTTCTTGAGGTTAGGGTCGACGTCACTGATGGCTTCGATATCGTGCCTAATGGTCCCGTGTTAGCTACCTACCCACGACCATCACTCAGATCGAATAACTGATCAGACTCACTCTTTGATCCCGCCGCTAGGCTCACCCATTCCGCCGGGCGAAGGTGGGCTACGCGTGCCAGGACCGCCCCTCCTCTCCCAGTCGAGCCAGGATCCGCGGTATTCGCCTACATTTTCGTATCTATATGATAGGAAAAGTTTGGTGGTTAGCCTGTGTTCCATAGAGTTCTTGTGATCTCCTTGACAGCAATTTGCATGATATCCAGTCAAAATATCGGTCCGTCGCTTGGGTTTCGACTTCTCGCCGTCACGGCCTTGTTTTCGTCCGCCCACTGCATATGCAAAGCGAGCCTCCGAATGCAAGCTCAAATAGCTTCCTTTCACCTTCTTTATGTTCTCCGAGGCAGAAAAGCAGGAAAGTGGGATCGCGACGAGATTTGCATGTGCAGTTCTGTCAGAAAAGGGCAATGGCTTACCCAGCTTGCTTTGCCAATTGCGCAGCCGCGCTACTCCGCACGCCAGCCTTGCAGAAGAACACAACCTCCTTATGCAGCGGCGGCTTTACCCAGCCAAAGCGATCCAAGAAGTCCTCTTCGGAGAGAAGAAGCGCATCAGGCTGGGTTGTCACGGGGATGTTGAGTGAAGTGGGGATGGTGTTGGCCTCGAATTCGTGGGGTTCGCGCACGTCGATAAGGAGGGTCGAGTTGGCGGGAGTTTCGAGGATGGAGATAACCTGGTACCAGAAGATCAGTATGCATGTCGGAGTTGGAAGAATGGATCCATTTGTATGTGTGCTGTCCGATATGTGGAAGAGGCGTGCATGAATACGTACATCTTCGAATTGGTAGACCTTGCTCTTCTTGTTGGACGGGAACGCCGAGTGCCAGCGAGACTGCTGCAGCGCAACGCTGCAAACCGGCTTCACGACATGGCTCCTACCAGTGGTAATTGATGCGATCGGCGTCCTGGCGCATTGTCTCAAAGCCGAGGATTGTACAGCCGGCGCGGAGAGGACGCGAGGGACCAATTGGAACATCCGCTTGGATGCTGCCATTGCTGCTGGATTTCTCGTGTAACAATCGGAATACTTTTGGATGGCTCGGCGGCAAAAGAAGAGTCGGCGATTGTGGTTGGAAGTAAGACTCGCGCGAGGGTGAGAGAGTTGCTGCTGTTGTTGGGAAGTCTATGCCGCAATCTCAACCTTTCGGCGGATTGCCATCACGCCTAACTAAGTATTTGCCGACGTCAGAGTGTGGTCAGCTAACCACCACGTGCGGCCCCCGGCTATCACATCCCACACTCTTTCCGTGTGGAGTACGCTACTGGATAATCGCGAGTCCACGATTTTGGCACCCAGAGAACTCGTTTCGCATAGGAGAGATCATTGGATAACATTCTATTGTGTATACTGACTGGTCCATATTCAATTCATAATCCAAAACAAGATCATTTGTGGTGAGCGTGGCCCACCTCAGGCTGCGTTGTGCAATGTAGTAGAATGCTCGTCATGTTTTTTTATGTTTTCTTTCTTCTCTCGTCTGCGCCGTTTTCCAGCGACGCATCCGAAGTGTAGATAAGGGTAAGGGGAAAAACGAGTGTTGATAATCAAATGAATGTCCAGAGAACTTGCGTGGTATCTTGCCGTGACCCTCCCTCTTTATATTCCCCATCGCCAACCAAGATCCCTCTTTCTACTGGTCAGCACCATCACCACGTACCAGCACCTCAAACAGTTCGGAAGCAGTAGCAGAGCAAATAAAATCAGAGCACAAAACAGCAGCAAATTGGTATATTTCTTTTTGCGCCGGGGGAATCATCTCACGTCCGCAAAAGCAAAGAACGCCAGCAAAGCACACAAAAAACCAGAAAAACTGAACATAACATAACGATGAAACAGAGAAATAGCAGATCCAAAACGAAACAAGAACGATAAACGACATGACTCAAAACGACCAACCGAAGGCTTTTGTAATTCGCCGCATGGGGTATAATTCTTTTGGTTGATATTCGTCGCACAGCAAAGACCGGGGCTAGGGTATTGTTTCGTCATAAAGGCCGGTGCAAATATGGAAATGGTGTATCGTTAACGGGGAGGGCCAATAGGACCCGGGTATCCAGATGCAGAATGGGAAGTAGAGGGGCGTCCGCTGTCAACGGAGGCCCGCGGGTCATACCGAGGAGTGACGTCTCCTGGCGCCGCTGAGGAAGAACCGAAAGGAAATTTGCTTTCGAATCGCGGGGTCGGCATGGGCCAACCGTTGGTATGGTGCTCATCATCCGCGAGGTTGATGCCGCTGTCGTTCCAAGGGTTGCGATAGCCGCTTCCCTGAGACTCCAGACTAGCAAGGGACGCCTTCGAAGCATTGCTCGAAGCATGCTTGAAGAGCGACCCGGGGGAGTTGGTGCCGTTCCTACGTGGGTTGAAGAGCGAGGTGAAGGAAGACATGCTGCCGGGTTTGCGGAGGCGATCCAGCATGCCGGGGCGCTCTTCGTCGCCGAAATGAGATCGGGTCGGGGAATCGGTGTTGTCCGTCGGGGGCTCCGCACGTTGTAGGAGCTTGGACTCAAAGAATGGCAGCGAATCTTCAAAAGAGTCCGACTTGGGTCGAGGAAGAGCGCCACGGATGGTGCTTGTGTCCAGCCCGTGCATGACCAAATGGTTGATTAGGAAGTCAAGAGCGTCTTTGAGGCCACCAGCGTTATTCCTGGTAAAGGATAGGTGGAGTGTCTCAATGCGGGTTTCCTTGCCATCGACGGTCTCAGTCTGAAAGTCCTTCAGGTGAGCCTCTACAACGTGCTGGTCTCTCAATTTGTCGAGGATTTCTGCCTTGAACTCGGGAGAACGCATGTGTTCGCCCAACTCGGTAGAGACAGGGAAAGACAGGTCGTGCGCTTCCGGCACCATACCCTGAATGAGTTAGCTTTTTGCGCTACAAGAATTGTATGAAAGACCTTACCAAGAATTCATCGACAGCCAAAGGCACCTGGTACTCGGGGCCCGATACAGTGACTGTGTCACTGGCTTCTTCGGTGCTGGGGAAGGTAATCTTGCAGTTGAACTTCTTCTCCAGCTCGTCAATCTTGTCCAGGCGCGCGATCAGTTCGCGATGATAGAGACGGTTGATGTTGATGGTCTCGGAGACAAACTCAGCATCAGCCTTCTCGACCATATCCATGATCTCCTGCTTGACCAGGTCAAGGTTCTGAGCATTACGGGCAGGCGTGCGGCAAATGACATTGTCGACCTTGATGTCATCCTCTTCCTTGCCAAATCCTCCGCGGTCCATGGCATTGGAAAATTTCACAAAGACGGAGTATTTCTTCATGATGCGCTGAATGTGCTGACCCCCAATACCGATGATACGCTTGTGGTACTGATCTGGCACATGGAACGAAATGGCAGCAGGCATTTCTTGCTCCACAAGGTCAAGCCCGTTCTTGGTGGCTTCGTACTGGGCACCTCGCACTACAATGTAAAAGTTGTACTCGTTGAAGCCATCAAAGACAATCTGAACACTGCTGTGGCTCATGATCTTATTGATCTTGCCATTTTTCTTTCCGCTGACAAATTCCTTGTGTTCGTTGGCAAGCTCGATCTTCACGCTCATGTTATACTGGGACTTTTTCACGAAGGGAATGTTGTGAATGACCATCATGGCAGCTTTGACGGCATCATCGGAGCCGTAAATGTGGAAGTTGTACTTCTCAAAGCTGATCTCTGCGCCGGAATTGATGCAGATATCCGACAACATGGCACGTACATCAGCCTGGGTGGGTGGGCGCTGAGTAGGATCGGGATGGGTAATGAACCACGAGGCGCTATAAAACTGGCCGGCCTGTTTTGGGGGTAAGCACAGATTCCTTCTCACATGGCAAAGTGGTCTGAGCAACTTACGAGAGCCATTAACTCGCGCACGGTCCGTTCAACATGCAAGACATCCGTGCCCTGCACGCGAACAACACCGCGCTGCAATCCCAAGGGAGGGAGCAAGATGTAGGAACCGTTGTTCTCTATGATCTTGCGGACCTTGTCCAGACGCTCGAGAAGGATAGCATCCAACTTGGTGTCTGTTACCATGACGGGCTTGACAAAAACCTTGGTGGACATGACGAGGTCATGGAGGCGTTGCTTTGCGCGCAGAATGCTTTCTGTGCTTTCTCCCGTAATGTAGATCAAATCATCAGGCCTTCGCTGCGCACCGGGCGGGGTATAGCCAAAGATGCGCGGGAATGGCGGGGGAAAATAAATGGCGGTTCCTGTAGCCGACTCAATGACTTTGATGTTCTTACGCCCCCGCCCGCAGATGAGAGTATGCATCGTCAGCTCCAACTTCATCGAATCCACTTGACGTTTGAGCTGTGACGACATGCTGTTAGCATGTGTGCGCTAGTCGAAACCGAAATGTGGGGCAGCAAAACTCACAATCTGGTCAATCATGATGAGCACGCGCGTCTTCGCGTGCTCCATGGTCTCCATGTCGCCGTAAATGGCACAGCGAAGGCGCGAGTCCATGCCCGTCTCGAGGTTGCCATTGAAGCTTGCCGACTCAATGTCGGGCTGCTTAGGCATCAAGACAAAGATGTCGGCCTTTGTAGTTTTGGCAATGAGATCCAGCTGGCTGAGCACCACGCCTTTGATATGCTGAGATTCGCGGTCGATGATCAGATCGGAATCGACATCGACGTAGGATGAGCGCTAGGGTCATTAGCGATTGCTCAACATAAAGCAAACATGCAGGCAAGCAGGCAAGCAAGCTAGCAATCAGTGAGGCGTACCAGAGAGATGGGAGTGGAGTTGAGGAGCTTGCACCTCATCTGGCTCACAAGCTCCAGCTCGCCAGACAAGCAGACGTTTGTGACTAGGGCGCGTAGAGGACCCCGCTGCAGGCCGGGTAGAGGCTTGGATTCGGCCGAGACGACGTTGGCAGCGACGCGTCCCTCGGTCTGCTCTGTGACCTCCCGGCACAAGGCGCGCAAGTTGTCGACATTCTGAGCATGAACGGGCAGCTTGTGGGTTGGAGAGGGCTCAGCCGTGGCATCCGGATGGCTCCACCGTGCCTTGGCTCCCGGGCTGGCGTACATGATGTCGTCGACGTCTGGGCCGGCGAGGCTCGAGGCAAAGGGCACATTGAAGGACAGGTTGACTTGGGTGCCGGGGGGGATGACGGGCGGGGCGGCGGTCGCGGTCGACGGGCGCTTGATGGGAGCTGGTACAGGCATGTCATGGTTGGATCTGGAGAAGGGAAAGCCGGCCGAGGGAGTCATCTTCTCCCATCCGTGTCGAGCGGAACCGGTGAAATTCGATATCTTGTGCATGATAGGGGGAGTGGATGTGTCGAGGACGCCCTGGGGAGGAGTCGGGCGGGGGAGAGGTGGGTGATGGAGGAGGAAGAAGGGAAGAGAGAGCGAGGAAAAGGTCAATGGATGGATGTTGAAGCGTGGACCCAGAGCCAGAACGCAGGCGCACGGCCAATGAAGCGAAGCGGCTGAGCGAGCTAGGCCGCGAATCCTCTAGGGCATCCGATAATGATGCATGCACCTCACACACGACGCCCACCCTCACTCACCCTTTGCTCTTCCACATACACACACACATATATATATATACACGACAATCCGATCATTCCGCATCTGTCCAGCAGAGACAGAGAGACAGAGAGATAGAGCGAGGCAGAGAGAGAGTGAGAGAGAGAGAGACAGGCAAATGACAAACCCGTGCAACACCAACAACAATGTAGATCATTCATCAGCATACATACATACCTAGGTAGGTATACATGCACACAAACACACAAAAAGAACAGCTCATCACATCACAGCTACTACATCAGCAATCATCTCTTTCACTAACTATACAGCCATCCCTCTGCTTCACTTCTCTCTATATCCTCATCAAGGGTCAATCCTCGCACGTTCATTCTCCAATCTCCAATCCACCTGCCTCCCCAACTGACCACCACTCACTCACCCAACCGGAGGCGTTTTGTTTCTTGCTGCCATGTATTAGCTTCGTCCACCCTCGTTTCAGCAACATGCCCCGACAAATATTAAAAACAAATCATGCCTAGAATCGAGGCCTTGCTCTGCCTCAGCCAGCCAGCCATGACAAGTGGGCATGGCCCAAGCCATGGATGATGGTTGATTGCACCCCCTGCTCGCTCACTATCGCACATCGCACATGCTGTCCGATTGAATCCGGACGCAACCTGCGACCCCTCCCACTCCTCCACCCATCCACCCTTTCTATCCATCCATCCATCCATCCATCCACCCAATATACCCCAGATGCAAACAAGACGCTGCAACCATGGTTAAATCCAGCCGTCACAGTCATGATGATATCCCTCTCCTCTTCCGTGGCCTCTTTTCTTTTCCGCCACTGTCCACCCGAAACCCTGTTCCACCTACGTCTCTTTGGTCTGAGTCGTTCGTTTCAAACCTGTTCCCGCAACCGTTTCCGCTGCCGTTCCGTCCACCTCTGCCCGACTTTCCATTCCTCTCTTTGCCCTTCTTCTTCCTCTTCTCCAACTCAACTACCTCACCATGCAGCCCGAGCCTGAGTCGGTCGTGTCTCTCGGTTGATTCGGACCAGATGAAAAGCAATTCCGGCATGCGCACAATACACGCTGACCTTAGCTCACCTCACCTCACACGTGGCACTGACTGACGGCACACCTCAATAAAAAATCACAGGCCATGTTCACGTTTTTTTTGTTGGGTGCTGACGTCTGCTTTTCTGCATCCGCCGATAGTCCCGGCGTTACGAGGCTGTGCAACGCGTCCATCCCACATCCCATCTAGTTAAACGGTCCCCATCACCCTACAGGGGACCCGACTGTCATACTGCTTACTGACCATCTGCGAAAAGGGGAAAACATGATTGATCTTCCTTCACCCTTTCATTGACCAAACTATCGAATGTGCCTTGGGTTAGTTATCCTTTGGCCTAAATCGTCATAGGTCCCGAACCCTGACTGGTTGGCTGAGGCGTTAAACGGGTACAGCGCGGGTGGGGGGAGCTCCGGAGGAGGGGGCATAAAAAAAAACCTGGCTCGACCCGGAGAAAGCAAGATATTCTACGGCCAACATTTCCCTGTCTATCATCATTTCGTCCATTCATATGTTTCCGGTGTCGTCTTCAGACTCCAAGGAAATTCCAGACAATCAATTGATATCAGGAGCAAGTGAAAGCAAAAAGGAAACATGAATCTGACTATGTGACATGCTGTCTCTTCTGACCCATTTAAAACGAACATCCACTCATCTTACTGCACCACGCTCTACCAGAAAAAAATGTGTTTACCATCCCATTATAGATAGTGATTGTACTTGAGCAATTCATGTGCCTCCTGGTCAACCGCCGTGTCTTTCAATCTGATCCACCCGACTCCGCTGATCCTGTCTCTACATGTACCCCCTGAAAGTCTAAAAAGAGAAACCCCATGGACAGGAAGAAACTCTATACAAATCCAAAGCAAATCAAGATGATAAGGATACAGAGCAAGTATTGAGCTTTGCAGGTCCATGGGAGACAGGCAGCCCCAACTCGTATCTCCCCGTGCATTACGCTTCAAACACCTCCACCGGATCAAGCCACCCCTTGATAATCTCCAACTCCCTCTCCCTCAACCAAGTCAGCTCCACCGGATCCTCACCATCAGACCGGAACACATCCTCCATGTGCGCCACGCGCGGCGCAAACAGCGTCCGACTCGCCATGCGATCCTCATCCAGCGGCAACTCAGCGGGCTCAACCGAACTAGCAGGATCGTACTCGCCCCTACTCCAGATAATTCTTTTGCTGTTCTGGATATCTTCCTTGCTGAGGTGGTAGCGCGACTCGATTTCGTCCTTGGTCATGGGCGTGACGTTGAACTGCTGTTGACACGCCAGAGGAACACCAGCATCGGAATTCGAGTTGGGCGGGAAGAGGAGTCCCTCGGCCACGTATCCCGCCGCCACATTCGGGAAGAAGGTGCAGGTGATGTACTGGAAATATGGCTGTTCGATATATGAAATGAGTTGTTCCATTATTTTGACGTCGGCGTCCCAGCACGGGATATTTAGCGTGTCGATGTACAGCCAAGCTGTGCGATTGAGCACTTGGAGATGGTCTGGCTCAGTCTCTGCTATGCGGATGGCTTGGTCGAGGGGGTAGATGAGGGAGCTAACGGGTCGCGCTTTGTGGTAGTTGAATTCGGCGACGAAGCCGAAGATGGTGGATAGGAGCATTGGGATCAAAGGAGCGGTCTGGTTAGTTGGAGGACTGCATAATCCGAGTTTGGATTGAAGGGTAGGGAAATCGTCTATTCTGTGTCAAAAGATAATGCTTTCGAATGTGAGTTTCCTGATCTTACTTGTCTTGACGAGCCCGACGAGCTCAGCGAATCCTTTTTGGATTTTTCGAGCAGCTACTATAGAGCGATCTTGGTACACTCGATTGACCCAATTGTTCCAGTTATAGACAGTCGGGTCGTTGGTGCTGTTGCCGAAGCCCATTACGGGGCCTGCCGAAGCAAGAGCTCCATAGATTGTCTCGGGTCGATTGAGGCGGAATACACCCGAAAGGAATCCACCATAAGATCCTGCATACGCTTAGCACGAATTCTTATTTGTGCACTCTCATACATACCACTCGCCATGATGACTTTACTATCTGCTGCTCCCGTCACGTTCTCCTTGACTTGGCCGAGAAACTCTACCGCATCATCCATGACGTTCTCAAGAGTAAGGTATTTGAGATTCTCAATCTTGCTGGATTCGTTCCCGACAGGCTTGCTGGCGCCAAAGTAACGATGCTCAAGAGAAACGACCAACCCTTTGAGCTCTTTGGCCCATTCGTATAGAATCGTGTCATTCTAGTTCATACTGAATCAGATAAGAAAGACAGAGTTATGGTAACCGACTTACTCCACATTCGACGTGTGTAATTTCTTCTCCCTGGTAGAACATGATGGGTCCTCCTGGCTCGAAAAACTCGGTGAACAAGGAGAAGCGCTGTTGGAACTCCCCCTCGCATTGTCCATAATGATCAATTTTCTGCGTAAAGAACTTGTAGTCACAAGGTGGCACAGCAGGAGCTGCGCGAACTTGAAGTGCAGTTGGCGTTGAAGCAGCCGTTGCACGGGAGATGGCAAGAAGCCATGATAAAGAGACAATATTGGTAAAAATCATGATGAAAGTGTTGTCAAAGGATGCTTCAGTATGTGGTGTGTGGGTGGGAGCCTTCAGTCAGAGCGATGAGAGCGCTCTTATGTAGATTTCAACAAATGGACACTGATCGTTTGTAGCATGAAAGCTCCTTTGCAACTCACAATGCAATTTCCGGTTGGAGCTCATCATAGATTTATTCCTGTCGCTATGGCTAGGTGATGCGAGATTCTGGTCCAAGTTCGTCTCCTTAGCATTGAAGCCAAGAGCGTAACAATCTTTTGGGGAAAGCAAATGGACTATCTATGTTCAGCACTTCACACTCGAGAGATATTAATGCTATGAATGACGTATAATGTCTAACATTTGCGGGTCCAGGATTCTCAGTATCCTGGGTGACTATTCCTGTCATTTGTATGCTTACTGATAGGTTTTTGCATTTCCTAAAACAGCGGCAATGATGCGAACGCCAGGAAGTTGGCCCCCATTTACTCCGAATTGATGACAGACGCAGCTCTCACGGTAAGTGTGTGAGAAACAGCCCATAAAATCTGGATCCGCAATGATTCTTGTTCGAGCGCGAGATCAAACGGTGGGAGTGTCTCCAGCTTATCTTGATCAAAGCTCTGTTGGAGTTTCCAATCACCTTTGAATTCTGTTTGGAATTCGCCTGTTTCTTGGTTCCTCTATTGTTTTAACTATCGCTGTGTGTAGGATCACCCAACCTCCAACTTACATCCACTTTGATGTTCTTGTTTCTTGTTGAAGCAAGCAAGCACTTGAGTCATATATCTCGAAACGTGAGGAAATCAGGGTCGATGGATGCTCTAGAAATTTCATGTAGGCAGCATCACAGACTGTTATGATTACATGCGTCCAAATTCCATATTCATCTTCACTGACCATCCCTAGTCCGTGTTTTACCGAGTACCCTCCGTGTATGATGACTTGTGACATAGCATAGTTCTCCTCAAGCTGTAACCCCGAAATCCGGTGCTAAAGTTCTGGCGAATGCTAGTATACTGACTATAGTGTGTATGAGAGCATGCCTTATTTCTCGGTACCTGAGAGTGCTGGATTATGAATTCGCATCCGAGGTGAAATATACAAACACACTACCCGCTTAATTCCTCATGGCGACATGACATCACGCAGAATCATCCCTTAGTTGATTGGCTCTTATTGCCGCAGTAGTGAGCTATCTGGGGTCCTTTTACCCAGCGGGAACACATCGACAGTAACCGGTGTGCTAGTCTATCGATAGATCTGACAATCAATACGCTATGATATGAAGGCGGAATCCATTGGCCTGACCTCAGAGGAAGTATGTCATTGTGGAACATAGCCCACTTTGAATATTTTAGCTCGTCTCTATAGTGCCAGAATGATGTTGAGCTGGATTATAATTCGTGCCCAATTGCGTGTCGTCCATGATCTTCCGTCATGGATACGCGGGCTCACACGACTTTTCCTTGACGACTTCGAAGTCTGTGCATACGCAGGCAGGAGGCGATTCTCCGGTGAGTTCATGCACTACGTGACGCTGAACCATTCACAATGAGCCTTTGGTCCACTGCTGACTGTCTTGTGAATAAGGCCCGGACGAAATTATGCCTTTTGGTTCATCTCGTCATGCTTTGATGATCAGTTTGCTCTGGTATACTGTCTTCAGCTATGTCTTGTAGGGGTGATCCGAGAGCGTGATACAATTTCAGTGTTATGCTACACAGTAGTGATAGACTACGATCACCATTTGAACAGTATAATACAACAATCCGCTTGATTTACCCTGAGAATGTTTACATTGTGCTTCTTCACAAATGTAAAAACACATTAGCTGTTGGTGATCATCATTATTATTATTTTTTCCATGATCCACATTGTAGTGGTGGATTTGTCGACTAAACAACTCTAAAGAGCATATACAACCCACCCCTCGAACCAAAAATCGATAAACACTCCAACAATGTACTTTTCAAGTATCCCTGCTTATACAACAATAATACCCCCCATACCAATATGTACAACACAGGATGACTTCCAAGCAATCCCTCTAAACTCAGTAGCGATATCTGATTGGTCGTGCATCACCTCCAAAGGGCTCTTGCAAAATCTCCACCGGCCTGTCTGCAACATTCTCATCGGCATAACGCCTAGAGGACGGCGCCAGCGCGTAACGACGATCATCGTATGGGCCCTGATGAACGCTCACTTCACGATATTGAGGGGCATTCACGCGGATGTGTCCTGGTTGGACACTTTCATGACGAACATATCCTTCGGGTATTTCTCGTCGTGGCATCTCTGGTCGAACGCTGAAAGCTCGAGAGGGAACGTACTCACGAGGTGGGCCCATGTCATCATAAAATCCAGATTGCCTGCGTTCCAAAACTTCCGATGGTCGATACCCTACCTCCACTGGCCGATGAGATGTTTCCCGCCTGTAGGCTCTAGCATCCAGAGCATCAGCATCTGGTATCTCAACGTAGCGTCGAGGCGGAGGCGGAGGCATTCTTTGGATGTTATCGTCTTCATAGACAATCGTTCGAGTAGGAGCGCGCATTGTAGGTTCTCTTGTGGATGCACGCTCATAATAAGGGTCAACCTCGACCATCCTACTAGGAGGAGCGACCGAGCTTCTCACGTCCGCAGGAGCTGCGTAGTACTTGTTGCCATACTGATCCACTACTATTTGACGCGAAGGAGGTGGCGCCATCATCATCGGGGATTGGGGTCGTGAGACATAATCGTGAACTGGAGACCGTGACCGCTCGTGTATATATCGTGGTGCAGCTGAGGGTCGAGTGGATCCTTCTCGGTAAACTGCATGCTCTCTGGGTCGCTCAGCGAAAGCGTGAGATACTGCACGAATGGGCTGATGTTGAGGTGCAGCATAAATATCCCCTTCGACGGGGGAAAGTGGTCGACGGGCATGTTGAAGGCTAGCAACACGTCGAAGATCATCTGCGCGTTCAGCTCTCCTTTGAGGGATTAGACGGGTTGAACTGGGCGATGACTGATCCTCGTAGTAGCGAGGTGCCCGACTGATGGGTTCTGTCTCTCTAATAAAAGCAGGAGGTGGGCCTCTGCTACCCTCACGAGCAGGAGCAGCCTCTCCTCGAGCAAGAGGAGATGCAAAAGGAGGTGGGGAGACGGGCTCGTCCTTGATGACCGGCACAGGAGAATAAGCAATCCGCTTGTTTGCGTTACTGTTGTTATTGTTGTTGGCGTTGTTGGCGTTGTTGCGCTTCTGCTCCCGCTTCCGCTTCCGACTGTTTTGTATACGGGGTGGCGGACCGGCTGGACTATGATTCGGTGACCTAAAACAACAATCAGTAAGCTCGAGACCGTTTGCACGCAACATTTCTCGAGTCGTCCACAATGCACTGATTGATGGATGTGACCATTGAACCGAAACATGCTTGTGTGGGGACACTGGAAGCAGACCAGAAGGAGTAATGACAAGGGAATTATGAGCTTCATACCCATTTACGGCGCCGTTAGTGCCGCGACCCCGTGTTTTCTTGGGTTCTTGAGCACTGGTTTCGGCTGGTGGAGGGGAGTAATCAGATTCGTCCCCTTCTTCATGTACATGCGCCGGTTCAGGCTCAAATACAGCCATGTCATCGGACGGCTCGTATTCCTCATCGAGATCGATGACTGTGGAAACCGCCTTATTCAAAGGGGTATGCTTGGAAGAATTCATCTGCACATCTTCTTCGGAGCGCCTATGCTGTACGGTAAGTGAGTCTGTTGCATCAGCATTGACAATCTGGGTGCGATCAATCTCTGAGGATGACCAGCTGTTTGCTTTACTAGAATAATACGAGTTTTCATCGAAAGACTCAGCATCATCACTATTCGCGGCAGTGTTCATTAGCCCAGAAAAGGGTGGAACCAGTTTGTGAGCCTGGACGAGAAGATTTTCCACGTCCAGCGTTTCCCGCTCCTCCTCATTATTGCGACCCTTTCTGTCCAACTGATCCTTCAACGATCGCTCCAGCTGCTGGCGCTTCAATTGCAACTCTGCTCTGATGAGGTGGTCTGATTTGGTGAGCAATACAGGATTGATCATTCCCGAAGCCGATCTGGCTGAGAAAGGGCGTTGGCCCTGGGAAGTGGGCGAAGGATGATCGTTCTTCGGTGGCGATTGAACTCTTGGAAACGAGCCCTGCGGGCGGGGAGGCAACTGAGAGACAGGCCCATTCGAGGTGCTATTGACCGTGGGCTTGGGGGGCAACGAATTCTGTTGACGCGGTGCAACCTGTTCTAGTACTTTTGAAGGGAGACGAATGCGGGGATGGTTGTTTGCTAGCACATCAACGCTTATCTGCCGAAGCTTCGCGAGGAACTCGGCCTCGCGACGCGCCTCATCGGGTACGACACTGCTGCCGTTCATGTGTGGAGCTGCCGCGCCTGTCGACATTGCGTGCTTCTGCAAATTTACCACTACTCACGAGTTCTGAGAAGGATCTTGGAGTGTCGAAACTGAAGAGCAGGTTATATACGAATACAAAACGCAAACATGGTGTCGCGTCGTGATGAACTGGAGAGAAGCTAAGAGGGGGTGGATGGCGAGGTGTGAAGGATGTTAAATGAGAGTTTCGCGCTCGACAGATCGACGAGCGTACGAGCCAAGACGACTAGGCCCGTACAGGATTAGTCATACACGTGCTTCGCTTTTCATCCCATCACTTGATTGACTCAGTGAAGTTCTTATACTCTGACACATCGCTGATTTGTTTGTGCATTGGATTGATTGAGCCATAATTGACGTTCTGGCTACCAACATCCACGGTGTTGCCAGAATATCATCCCCCTTTCAGGACTAGACCACCATACCTTTCCAAACTCCACGCAGTCACCCATAACCGCCATCATGTCTGAACATGAGAAGCCTGTCTTCTTCTTCGACATAGACAACTGTGTACGTTGACACAGTGTATATATACGAGGAACCATGCGCTTATCATCACTATAGCTCTACCCGAGGAGTGAGCGTCCCAAGACCTGTCTAAATATCGTTTACTGAACTGGCATTTTATAGGCGCCAAAGTCCAGGAGATGATGTCGGAACTAATAGGTATGTGATATCTGTATGTGTAAATTTTCGTCTAATACGGATCAGACAAGTACTTTGAAAATCATCTTTCACTTTCTCAACAAGACGCATACAACCTGCATCAGAAGTACTATCGCGAATATGGTCTCGCCATCGAAGGCTTAGTTCGCCATCACAAAGTGGATGCGCTGGAGTATAATTCAAAAGTAGACGACGCATTGCCTCTGGATGATGTCATCAAACCTAATCCAGAGCTTCGGAGTCTCCTAGAAGACATCGACACCAGCAAAATCCGGCTATGGCTCTTCACCAATGCGTACAAGACGCACGGACAGCGAGTGGTCAAGCTGCTGAAGATTGACGATCTATTCGAGGGTATGACATTCTGTGATTATGGCTCGGACAAGTTTGCTTGCAAGCCCCATGCTGCCATGTACGACAAGGCAATGGAAATGGCAGGTGTCAAGTCTAACCAGAACTGCTACTTTGTCGGTACGTGCAGTCGATTGTTCACACTTCATAGGATTAGTTTGCTGAAATTTTACCAGACGATTCAGATATCAACACGAAGGCTGCAGCAGCTCGTGGTTGGCACACAGCACACCTTGTTGAGCATGGAGATTCCGAACCCAAAAACTCTAGCGGGATCCCTCAGATACGAAGTCTCCTACAGCTGCGTGAAGTATTTCCGCAGTTCTTCAAGAGCAAGGCTGCATCATGAAACCCCATCAACGATTTACGACCTGCGTAGCGGATAGAACGCGTACAAGAATAGAATGAAATGAAATGAGATACCGATCCTCGCACAACAGATATGCATTCTAGACAAATTCGAGTAATAAGTGTGTACTGACAAACTAGAAAAACGGTCGCAGAAGAAATGCATAATAATCAGGCATATTTTCTGATTCAGCCCTGTTGTGATACGAGCTGCCCCAGCCCTATATCGCTTGGCGATCCTCTATACCATGGTAACACAGTGTAGGCAACAGTATGAGCGGAGGCTTTGAACATAACAAGCTACTTGCTGAATTCCGCCATGACGAGCCCGGCTACACCCAAATATTTCCAAACAATGTCTCCCGCAACAACAACACCATCGACAACAACCCCATCTGCCCCACCCCAGCCGTCCGCTCCCCCACCCACAAGCAACAACAGCTCCGAAACCCCAACCACCAAGTCCAATGACTCACCTACCCCAAACACACCGAAAGTACACCCACCCCGTAAACCGCTCCTCCGCCTTGAGCTCCGCGACCTCTCCTCACCAGGCGCATTCTCCTTCCTCCGCCTCCTGCACGCCTCCACCGCCCTCGAAGATGCCGTGCACACGGTGCTCCACCACCTCTACACCGCACTGCCACCCCACCACATCCCACCCACGCGCTCCATAACCCTCGTGCTAGAAGCCATGGAAGGCGTAGCATACACCAAAGGCTCCTCCCTCGACGCCGACCACAAATCCATCCACCTCAGCACAGACTACATCGCGCACATCCCCGACGCGCGCAAGAAGGAGGAAATCACCGGCGTGCTCGTGCACGAGATGGTGCATTGCTGGCAGCACAACGCGCAAGGGACCGCGCCCGGTGGTTTGATCGAAGGTATCGCCGATTGGGTGCGTCTCAAGGCGGGGTACGCGCCGCCGCATTGGAAGAGAGTTGCTGGTGGGAAGGATAAGTGGGATTCTGGGTACGAACGCACGGGTTTTTTCCTGGAGTGGCTTGAACAGCTGTATGGAGAGGATATTGTGCGGAGGATCAATAATGAGTTGAGGGGGTGTGAGTACGAGGGTGCTGCGTTTTGGGGGAAATGCTGTGGGAAGGATGTGGAGGCTTTGTGGGAGGAGTATAGAGCGTTTTTGGATAAGGACAGCGCGGGGGGTTCGGGCTCGGGAGCTCTTGTTGAGGAGGATGGGCAGGGTGGGAATCAGACTGCTAAGCAGTCGCAGGGTGGTGAAGCGGAGATGGCGAAGAAATTTGATATTCCTGACAACAAAGTCATTCCTGTTCGACCGAGGTTCACTTGAATGGTTGAAAGGCAAAGTATAGACAGCAGTCGCATTCAGATGAGACATCTCTACTTATTCGGTTTTCCAACCCACGCGGAAGTGGGTTGGAGTAGTTTTAATTAACGCGAGTGGAATGAATAACGAGGCAATTGGATTAACAAAGACAATATACACTAAATGCACCCTATAAACATATGTATGATGTATGGGAAACAAAACAGGAGCAAACGTACAAGGGACATATGAGAGGAAGAGAGAAAAAATATAACATAGGAAACACAAACAAAAAGAAAAAAGATTGCGGGAGCAGATCAATTCTGAACCCCGGATCTCGAGGACAGCATAGTGATATATGGGAGGTCCAAAAGTATATGCAAGCACTGTACGACTTTGATTTGCAAAGCAACACTGTTTCCGTTGAACACACGGAGCGAGAGCGAGAAAAGGGAAAAAAACGATGTGGGATTATCGATTATTACACAATAGAACATCGTTTTCATCGTTTCCTTTCCGATTCAAAGATTAAGTGACCCCCTACACACAAGAGTCCCAAAAGTCCCATACATTACTTAGCGTTTTCCGAGATGTTGGTCGTGGAGGTGAGGAAGATAAGGTTGAGGTGAGGTAAGGTAGGTAGGTGGTTCAATTACTCGGATCCCAGTCGATGGAGAGAAAAGGAGGTGATGGGGCGAAATCGCATCTTTCTGCCTTCTCTTTCTTTCTTGATTCTGATTCTGAGTCGGTCGATTGGGATGGACGAGGTGGAGAGGTTTAGACGGCGTTGCACTGGACGCTCTGGATGTTTCCGTCGAAGCCCTCGGGGAGGGTGTGCTGGACGTTTTGCTCGCCCTGGCCGGTGAGGCAGAGTGGTGCGCTGGTGCAGGTGGCATCCCTGTTGTTTGGGGTCATGTGTCAGTGGTCTTTCTTTAGCTATTTGAGCTTGGTTTCCATGCCAATTCGGAGTAGACAATTGGTTCAAGTAGTTCCTGATAGCTTCCCGCACACGGTAGATCCAACTCTTGCACGGATATGCAGAGTCGTGGTTTACTCTGTCGTGTTGATTTGCCCACATCTTCTTTTTACTTCTCTTCTTTCGGACCTTCCTCGTGATGCCTTCCTCCGAGCGCACATACAAACAGTACAAGAATTAGAAAAGACGTGACTTACGTGTAGAACTCGCACTTGAAACCGTCGTTGACAATCAAGCTCCTGGTGGTGGAAGCCCAGTTGCCGTAGAAGTTGTTCATGCTGAAGCAGGAACCGTAGGTGACTGGGACAGGCTGGAAATCGGCAGCGACATTGTCGCCCTGGAAGTCTTGCTGCTTGAAGATGGTGGCGGCACGGCCATCGGAGGGAGACTTGTCACACTATACAGTGGCTACATGTCAGCTTGAGATGTTGGATGTGGGGAAGTCGGGTGGCGTAGCTGGTGGGTAAAGGTGGGACGAGGACGGGATTGAATGGGAGGAGCCGACGTACGTATTCTCCTCGGCTAGAGAGGATGGTGGGAAGGGCGGAGACAGCGCTGGCGCTCACGAGAGCAGAGATGAAGAATGTAGCACGCATGATTTCTGGATTTGGGTCTGTTTGGCGGGTGATGGTGGACTGGATGTAGCGGAAAGGATTGGAAAGAAGAGGATTTGGGTAGGCGAAAGGAATTCAAAGTGATGTGCAAGGTAATGGTTGTACAAATGAGTGTAAAGGCGTCGTTGACCGGGAACGCGCACAGGAAAGAATTAACACTATTCACTAGGAATGAGGACAAAGGACAAAAGAGTGACAGAGACAAGATAGTCGATGGATCCGGCAAAGGAAGACGAAAATCCGATCAAGAAGACGAGGGGAGAGCCCCCTAAGGCCTTATATTAACCAAGTATCCCAAGTCCGCCCGCCTCCAAGCGGTCGAGACGCTTTGGAGGTGAGACGGCCGAGTTGGGCCAAGGGGCCCTTGGTGGACCTCAATAGAGCACTACCATTTCCATTTCGAGCCGCGGGCACGTGAGCTGCGGCCAATCAGAGGGATGTGTTTTAAACAAATACATGGGAGATTACTCAAGGTACGCTGCATGGAGGAATCGAAACAGCGGAGCCCTGTGGTTGGTCGGCCGCGCTGATCCTCAAACGTGCACTGTCCGCTTCGCTTCTACCCTCGACTCTCTCCCCAACAACAACCGCCGACCCAGCTACATTAACTGCCTTCGACCTGTCTCTCGCTCGCGCTGTTTTTAGCCCTCCCAATACTGCATTACATCATGGAGATGCTTTCATCTCATCTCGATACAAAGAGCATCCGTGTCCAAATATCTCCATTCTCAAACAACGGTTTACCTGCTGCTGCCCCTTTGATATTCCAGAATCGATTCCATAAGCATTGGACTCACTCAATGGCTGCCAGCCCCAGCGCCATCGCTCCCTGACCCCCTCCCAAATCTAGATTCCCAGATTCTAGGCCTTTGATTGCGTCTTCCCATTGCCTCTGCTCTGATCGCACGCAAATCATTTGGGGTACCGTCTTTGTGGGGCCACATGGCGGCACGGCACACCCGTCAGGCAACACCGACAACGGGGATTGCGTGCCTGGCCCGCGTATACTAATTCCTTCCATGTCCGAACACCTGCCCTTCTCCTCTTGGTTCTCTCTATTTTGTCTCTCCCGAGCATCTTGGCTTGAAGGATATTATACTTCATTACAGAGCATCTCAATCAACTGCGATTTACAGAGTATGCGTCGTCAGTGCATTGCTGACGACTTACTATGTATACGTTATGAGCGTGTGTGTAAGCGCCGTCGGATCCGACGCGCGAGAAGCACACCCAGTTGGGATACTGTGAACGGTGATAAGCTGGAAGGAGTTATTGAATGATGGAGGCGTTTCCGTCCGACCCCAATCTCAGTCAACAGCTCCACCTACCCTTGTAGCACAAACAAACAAAAAAGGACAAAACTTTTCCGTATCCTCCTCAAAAGTATGACGGTGACAATGGTTGTAGCTCGTTCATTCATTCGTACACTTCTACATATCTGCAGATCCAATGAAGATTGTATCTGGTACAAGTCGTCTGCCAAATGGTAATACCCAAACGCCCGCATGCCACCCATGATGGAAAACTAAAATGCATCATAATTCAAACCAGCCGTGTCCGTCTCACAGCTCTGGCGACGACGACGATGACAACCGGGTCCAATCGGGACTTCGCCGGATCGTCTCCATGACTTGGGCTGGCGGCGGAGGGCTTGTGCTATCCTCTCCGTGCTTAGTCCTGTCGACCAGCACCGCCGATGCATTGTCCCGGACCTTGATGTACGGGCTTCCCTCTCGACAATCCCAGCACACGCATCCTTCCGGGTGGTATCTTTTCGGTATGATGCCGCACACTTCGGCCGGCCAACTCAGCGCCTTTCTCGTCTCTTCATCCGATATCTTCCATATATGACCCACCAACTCTTTCCCCCATGCATTGAACCACATGTTGGGCGCTCTGTAGATGCCGATGGCCCAGACGGCTAGAATGATGAGCGCCATTGGCCTCTGTTCCTGCACGAGATCGAAGAATTCCCGAGACACCGTCATTGGCCATATAAGCGCGTTTGCCCACAGGGGTGGTTTGCACGGCATGTTCATGAAGAACCGCTCCCAGTGAGAGATGGCTTCTCGATAGATTTGCTGGTATTCGGGTTCCACAACAGGCGAGGTGTCTACGTAGTACTGCAGGAAGCGTATCACCTTTTCGCCTTTGGCATGCATGACGCAGGGTTTGGGTTTGCTCGGCGCTGGCCGGACAAGTTCCCGTAGGTTGCCCGTTTCCACCACCGACTGGGTCGGTCCAACAGCCGACCATGCATGTCTTAAGATTTGAACCACATCGACAAATGTCGTCACAGGACTAGCAATGCTGTCGAAGCCGAAAACGATGGGCAGACCCAGCGTGTAGACGGCGGTGAGGAATGAAAAGGCAGTAATGGCGCCGCCATTGTTTAGAGTGACTTCGTTTACGGAGGAGCGGAATGCGATCAAGGCCTGCTCGTGCTGTTTGCTGGCCATGTAGGCGTGGCGGTTGCGATTCCGCTCGTCGACCAGGGACAGGTGAAGGGCAGAGAAGGCGAGAACGCTGTGCATCAGATAGAGATGACTCTTGGCTTCGCCTGGCAGGTTGACTTGGAAGAGCGACAGGGTATCTCTGGGAGACAGGGTCAGAGATGATTGGGTTGCATAATGGCGCAGGAGTTCCACGTCTCCGGTGTCGAAGGTTGGTAAGGGTGCCGGGAATGGAAGGAGCCCGTCGGAAGGGTATGGACTGGAGACAGCAAAGGGTTGTTTTTGTTAGCCATGAGAGTTGCATGTAGGGTTTGTGTCGATGATTGGTGGGATGGACTGACTGGACAAAGGCTCTCTCAAACACTGGACGAACAGCGGCACTCCACGCGGTAAAGTCGCATACGGCTCCCCATTTGGTGCAGTTACCACACCGAGGCATGCGCATGTCGCACTATATAGGCCGTCAGTCATGGTAGCTGACAGGTTGGATAAAGAGTCCCTCTGCTGGCTCTATGCGCGCAGGAGCGGCAGGCTTGCGCTAGCTTCCGATCGCATCTGACATCAAATCCTACTTGGGATGGTATAAGATTGACATAGTAGACCGTTGGGAACACACCTTCTTTCTCCGCTTCTTGCACTGGCTGCAGCCATTTCGGCTCTTAGTGTGATATTTGCGCAGTCCACCGGCCATTGCGAATTCTGGCTGCGAGGGCCTCTGGTGGAGCGTTATGAGCGTGTGCTTTTAAACAAACGATGCTACCGCTGGCGGAGGACACCAGGGTCGGTGGAGTGGAGGTTGAAGGACAGACGAGGTTTGAGAGTTCCGAGCGTATACTTTACTGATAAAGGGATGGGACGGCTACGCAACGCTGCCCTACCCCTGTCAACCCGCCCGTTCCCACGCGTTGTCAACCACATGGCGGGGTATTCTTAGCCTGCTTGCAGCGTAGTCTGCATGCGCCCTGTATGCATGACTGTTGAATCTTTCTTCGAACCGACGGATACTCGCATGGATGGATGGCGATGGATGCACGCTGTCAAGGCCAAACAGGGTGGAACAAATGAGCCTCGTCTTTGCAGAGCGCCTTCCCTCAGCATTATGCGTTGCTGCCACCCCTCAATCACCCTCCGTGCTTCTTTCCTATCCGAGTACGTACGTGCTTGGTGGGGAATCACCACCGCAACATCTCTTCACCCTCACCGTCAATCAACCAAACCTCCTGGCGTATACCAACCAACCTATACGCCAGGCCTTCCCTCGTCGACAGCACAGACACCACGTTGTTCAACCCCACGGACCGAACCTCAGCCTTTCAAACCGGTGCCCGAACTTCAGCGCTGACGTGCGTCCGCAGAAAATCGTCTTGTCGCCAGCCAACCAGAACCACCCATGCCTACCTCCTATGACCACAACTTGAAAATTTCCGATACTGGCAGCCTGCACTGACCTTTCGGCTTAGGGAAATCGCTCCTTCGAGTTTGGGTCGTGATTAGCGAACAGAAAATATCTACCAAGATCAAAGGTTTTAGCCCCTTGTGCCCTCGGGGAAAAGCCCACATGGGGGCCGCAACCCCTCTCCGGCCTGTGCGAGAGCCTGCTGTGTTTCGATTGCGGCTACAACCCCCCTGACGGACCATGTGAAACGGCGTACAATGGACAATGGACTATGAAGACGCATCATGAGGCTGAAAAAATGTGTTTCCCCTGGACCAAAGACCACATCGCAATCATGTTCAACATTCGCCCACCAAGCCATTACCTGTCTTGTCCAGTTGCTGAGTTCCAGTCAGTGGCGTTTATTCCCTCACTGCTTCATCCAGGGCCAAGCCTCCGAACTTCGATGTCTGGCTTGTGTCCGAGCCACTAGATACATGTCAGCCCGGAAGCGGAGCTTTGTAGCTTGACTACACAGACCATTCTATTGGTAGCTCCTGACGGACGAGCTCACCTTCTGCGACCATGTCTTGTGGATACACATTCGACTACATTCGCGATTCATCGTCCTTTTAGGCAAAGCGGACGTAATACACTCCCCTGGGTGGATGCCTCAATGCCTCAGAGAATAGCATCTCGTGACACTGGCCGACACCGAACGCGACGAGTATCTTCATATAGAACCATAGTGTCGGTTCTGTTTCAAAAGGTGGCGTGAAATTCATTGCTAGCAGTGCTCAAAGGACATTCAGCACGGCAATTTTCCAAAACCCCCCCTTCAAGATGCCGTCATCTTTTTCATCCGAGCCGTAATGAGGTCACCACCCCGGTATCAGGCCACCTCTTTGTCTTGTCGTATATCGGCATCATGATCAGAAGAGCTTGACCGGATGTCGCCACAAGGTCGGCGACTGTCCGAAGCCGACTTCCCCACACCCAAGCCAGGTATACTCAGCCCGTATGTACTCAAATGCATGAAATATTGGCCCACAAGGGGGAAGCATTGTCAACGGCTGCGTGGGGTCGAGACTCAACCTCAAGTTCGCCAACTTGAACCATGCTAGCGATCTACAGCACAAGGGGTGATCGCAGGGTATGAAGTAAACCTCCTCATGATGATCTAATGTCAACATACATGCACACCCTGTTGGAACATCGGCAAGTCTCCAGCACAGGTAGTGTCAACATGTACTCCGTTAAATCCGAGAGAGATCTTCAGAAAGCTTCCCGTATTATCACACATCATGCTTCGTGCATACGTCTACAACCAACTTGAAGTCATCGCAGAGTGGGCCCCCAGACATACATCATCCACCAACACATATTCTCAAGCAGACCTCTCAGCATACATGTGTTCCCTGTGGAGCTGAAAGAGCACTCCCACAGCCATACATCATCCCTAGATGGGCACCTTGCTCCAACACGAGGCCATGTGTGCGAAGGATACTACTTCTGGACGAGGCACAGATACGTGGTTGACCCTCCACCCACCACTCGAAACAAAGTGTGTTGTATCTGCCTTGTTGACCCGCATGTACGCCCTACTGCAGCCCAGGGAAGGTCGTGAATCATGCAGTATCATAAACATCATACACCTCGTCGAGCCTACCGTCGACACCAGACTATCTATACATTCGGCGTCTCCGCTCCACTCGCACTGTCACTGAAACTAATAGCCGACACGCTGAGTGGCTGATACGAGAAGCTTCGAAGCTATTTTAAGACAATGAGGGTATGCATATGATACTCTCTGCACAACTCGAACGATCTTCGTGCAGAACGCCTCGTTGATACTCATACGCAACTTCATCTAGCTGAGAAAATGCCTCAATATCTCCATCGGAGTCGTGCAAATATCAATGCCGAAGACGAAAGAGATTACTGAACCTGACGTGCCACTTCAGCCGATCTGATCAACAACAACGCACATGGCAAGAATCTTCATGCACTACGAGAAACCCCCGCCGCTAATGTATCAGATAGACTTGATGACCAATTTTGAAGCGAACTCGGGGCGAGGTTTGGCTTCAAGACACTCCACAGCTTTGCGATTCTGCCCTGCCAGTATACTCGATCGTCGATCTGCTCACATTTACTCACCCGTGACCAGAGAAAGTTTCAGAGGGGACGGAGGTTCTGGAACTTGTAGAATTTTGATCAGCAGTCAGCTTCCTGCGGCATTCGTATTGTGCATCTAGCCACCCATTGTACAAGACTCACTCCGCAACTCACGCATCACTTACAAATCAGAAAGCAAAGCATTACATGGGGCGCCTACGATTTCTAGTCGAACCATTCTGATATCATTCTGCAACGACACCCTCTAAATCATCATACATGCCCGATGTTCTATTACACCCTCAACAGAAAACGTCTACATCCCAGGTTCTAGACAGAGATAGGAACTCCCCTCTTCCCCTCCTCACTACTAACTATAAAAGGGAATCTGAACGAGAAACTCCGTTTGGCCCACTCTATATTCACACTTGAACCTGTTAGAATCAAGACAAGGCTCTCAGAGCATACAGACATAATAAGGATAGTATACTGAAGTATACCAGCTCATCATGATGAGGCATTGTTAAACAGTCTTTCGAGGTAGCATAAAATGACATGATATACTATAAACTTGTGATTACTGTTCGTACCGATAAAGATCTTGTGGAAATCAGTACGGTATGAGCACAGCAACTAGTTCAAGACGAATACCAGGTGAGGGCCAAAATAATAACACCTGGTTGACTATCTCGGTACGTACGTATCTACACATGTATCTATCAGTGAGATATGCTGTCTACGTCTCTGTAAATCACTCAAGTCCAGGTTCCTGCTTGGGCATCATATATAGAGTAGTTCTCGTACTTCAAGCAATCCATCGATCGCGAATCTTTTCAACATAACGACTCAACTACTTCATTGTAGCACTCTCACTTGCAATGCGAGCTTAGATTAAATGTATGCGTATATTGCATTCGTCCACCTCTCGTGACAACAAAAATGAAAGTCGCGAAGAGTAAACATCACCCTCTTTGCTTCTCTTACTTCACACTGAGTACTAGCTACTAAGAATCTACCATGACCTGTCTATCTTCAATACATGAAAAAAATGAAGTCATTGATTCGCAGTAGAGTGGTGATGATGCGGATACGGATAACGTTAAACGCCTAAACCCCTTTATATCCGTGATACTAGCGACGAACGAATACAAAAGTAATTTTTAGATAAACTAATCCAGCGTTGAAGAAAGGCAAGAGCAGTTGGTGGGGCAGAGTATAGTGCAGCAGAAACGGACGATAGGGTTACTGCAGAGATCCATTGTACACGGTGGAGCATATGCAAATGGATAGTTATGTATTAGAGTGAGTTGAAGGGGACAATGTGTGAAGTGTGTTGATGTGATATAGTCATACTGGAGTATATATCTCAAGTGTAAACTTTGTCTGCAAACAGCCCATCAAAGGTCGTTGCTTTCTACTGGATAGTCTACGCTGGAGCTGGGCGGTTAGTTATCTGCGATGAAGAAGATCGAAGTTTGCTATCTTGCTTTATTAATTTCGTCCACATTTCTCCACAAACACAGCATGGAGATGCAGGCTACCCAATGAGTTCAAATAGCGAATGCAAATATCATGTTGTAATCTCAGATAACGTTGCACACAACAGTCAATTATGAAATACTGCAACGCAATAAGAAGAGAAAAGAAGGATTTCGTGAAATTAAAAATAGAGTACCAAATGCGTATACATGACCCTAAACCGATTCCTCCCTCCGAAGAAGCCGAAAAAAGGAAACACCCCCCTTCCCTACATCGCTCCTTCTTCCCACTACTTTTGAGAAGACACTCAAGCAAGCACTAAGCCGCGAGAGACTTGAATTCGAGTAGGGCTAGAGAGCAACAAGAGCAATGGGAGTGAGAAGAGAAAGAGAATAAACGCAATACGCAGTACATAAACCGTGTAGCTTTTCCAGGAACGCCACCCAATTTCCAAGAACCAATCAACCAAGCCATCCATCCAGCCATTCCGATCCAAATACCGAGCGCCAAAGTCCAAATAGTAGAAAGCGCTGGCCCAAAATCGCGGACTGGGAAAGAGCCTAATTGATAGACGCGCTTGACGTAGCAAAGAAGAGGAAAAGAGAGAATAACCAGGAATAGACTCCCAACCAAACTCCCCTTCTCCACATTCCTTTACGCCTTTGCCCTCTTGGCAAGATAGTATGTCAACAGGTTCAAATGCTGTTCTCTCGCCCCCGCGACCGCCTTCCAAAACTCCTCTTTCTCGCCTCCAATACGCTCGTGGAGGGAGACGCACACGTCAATGTCTGCTTTGCGCACATCAGAGTCTGTGTCATCGAGGCATCGCACAGCCAGTCTCCCCACGCGAGCAGTCTGTTCGGGCTGAAGATCGACATTCTTGGCGCTGGACATCTGGATCAGGGACGACAGAATACTGAGAGCCATGGTCGTCGTGCGTGTCGAAACAGATACCGCGGAGCCAGTGGATGACTTGGAATTAGGTGAGGACGATGGCGTGGAAGATGGTGTCTCCTCGATGAGTGATAAGACAGCCTCCAAACAGTCGGCAGGTTGACCGTACTTAACAATTTCGTCCGCTGTAGTCTCGAGATCGATCGCAATGTGCGAGGTATTCTCGTACTGAGCCTTGGTCTGAAGAAGCGTGCACAAAACTCGGGAGAAATACTTTGCCGTTTCTTTGCGATATAGTGACAGCATTGCCCGAATGGTTGCTAGAGCCTGAACTTTCAGATTGGCGGCCTTCATTGGCGCTATCTTGAGTTCCTCACAAGGGGTCTCGAGGAAGTCGAGGCAGGCTAGAAGCAGCTCGCCGAATTTCTCGTCATTCGGTCCCCAAATGTCCTGGTTCGCCTTGACTAGATCTTGTAGGCGGCGGAACATGTGTGCTTCGACTGTTCGGCTCGCAATCTTTTTGATCCCACTTGCAAGCAACTGCCGGTTCTTAAGAACCTCTGGCCCGCTTGGCTCGTTGCTTCCAGCGTGCATCACACTACCTGTGCTTGTGGTCTTGTGGTGTCCGCGTACCGGCTCCTCACTCGCTTCGCCCATCATATCCGTGCTGTTTGAGCTCTCATTACTGTTCCTGCGTTCGGCGCTCTTCTCATTGAGAGGAAGCTCTTCCAGAACAGGCTTCTCGCCGTCTTGGAGCGCAGCTGGTTCCTCGCCAACGAAAGGATCTTCGTATACGTGAACTTCGTCTTGTGCGTCGGTGCCGCGGGTACTCGGACGGTCTGGAGATCGCATGCGGATGCTTCGTTCCAAACTGATATCGTTCATAGAGTGAGCACTCCTCATTGGTGAACCACGTGGGCTTCCAGGCGCCAAGCGTCCAGGAGATGGCATCGGTTTTGGTGGGGTCTGCTGCGCCGGCTGCGAGGGAGGTCGACCAAGATTGGGAATGACCATTGTGAAGTTCTCATCCTCTGCAGTATCTATCGCTTCATTATCAATAGTCGTCGTGGTTTCCAAACCATGTCGTTGGCGGAATGGAATGACGCTTCCTGGCTGGTGGTGACTCTGAGATCGAACAAATGGCTTTACCATGGTGAGGTCTTCGTCTTTCAACGGACTGACAGCCGGACTGCCATGTCGCGATCCAATGCTGGGTACCTTCTTGTGCGTCGCGGACTCCCCAAGCCTAGACTTACTTCTAATAGGACTAATATTAGGGCTGTTTTGTGTCTGCGAACGCGCCCGCACGGTACTCTTAGGTGCGACGGACTTCTTCGCAGTTGTTGCTGATGGGGTCTTTTCTGGGGTCATAGAGGGTGTGACCTTGCCGTTATTACGTCGAACAGCATACGGATCTGCTGTCGCTGGTCTATGGAGTTCAGGTCGTGGCCGGATAGGTCGCCGCGCTGTACCGCTCATCAGAGATCCGGAACCATTCGTAGCAACGGATTTTGTCGAGCTCCCCATTGCAGATGGCGGCCGAGCAGTACCCGATGAAGCTGTAGATGTGTTCGAAGCAGTTCGAGATACGGACTTGGACGATTGCGATTTCGCAGGCGTGTAGCTAGCTTGAGCAGAGCTGGGACGATCCGGACCATTTTTCGCAGCTGCCATTTTTAGTCTTCGTTGTTCGGCAATCTTTGCCTTCAATGCATCACGGGCAGCTCCGGTGCCAGCGCCAACAGACTTGGAGAAGTTGGACACACTGGTCTGGGACGCAAGAGCGGATGCATTTGGATTATTGGGGTCTTTCTCCAACCCGGATTTCTCCCTCTTGTCAAACGATTCAAACATGCTATTGTTGGATTAGTCGTGGGTCGTAGGTTTCTAGGTAGGTCGACTTACGCTTCAGCTTTCTGCGGCCAAACAAGAGCAAATGTCCAGTAGGCGCTTCGATACGCCTCGCGCACCTTTGGGTTGGCGTCCGTAACGCCCTTCCTCATGATCTTGTCGAGTGATTCTAACCCTCCTGAATGCTCAATGTGTGACTTGTGCTTACGAATGAGGGTCTTAACCCAACTAGCAGAGAATGCTCGTGGTTGTACGTTCTTATCCTGTGAAGCAAAAGTAATGTGTTGCATCAAACGGCTCGAATAGGTCACATTGGAAAAAATGGCGTCCACGGTTGCGCTACCGTTCTGTGCTGCGATATTCTTTGTCGCAGCGCACATCTTGATGAAAGTCTGTAGCAATATCTCTGCCCATGGGTCCATCATCGATCCGACTGTTTTTGCCAGCTCTTGGACTAACATACAACCATTTGTCGACATGGTGGTTCGAAGGGAGTTTGCAACTTTCAATATACCGTCCAACAGGGATTTGATGCCTGCCGCGAAAGCGACGGGGAATTCTGAGGGGGCATTGCCCTTTGTTATGCGCCTCAGTTTGGTCACACTCTTGTCTCGGTGAAGCCAGTTCTGCTCCGATTCTCTCCCCTCGAAATGCGGGGCCATTTCGCGGAAGATATCGTCCAATTCTCGTTGCGTGTAGATCTGCAAAGGATCCATAGAGACAGGCTCGCTTGGAGGAGGCACCTCTACGTTCAAGCTATCTGCGAACCCAACGTCAGGCTGTAGAGTCGCGGCGCGACCGGCGGCTATAGGCCGAACAGGTGGTGGTGGGGGCAGCATCTCGGGTTCCGCAGGCGCCGGTGCATCGTCGAGGTGGGAAGTGATGTAGTTTGCAATGGTTTTGCGAACATTAAGGGCAATGAGTTGTTTCCTCAGATTCACTTTGGCGACCTCTGGGGCGGTACTGTTTCAATATCGCAATTAGCTATTCTGAAACCCCTATGATGGTCTAACGTATTGGGTGAGACGCACCGGAATAATTCCACTACGGAGGTCTTTGCAGTTTCGCGCACGCCTGCGTCGGCGTCTTCCAAGTTCGCGACCAGCTGGCCGCTGTAACTACGGAAGGGAAGACCCTCGGTCTTGTTCATCTGTTACCGACACAGATTAGACACATGTCACAGGCACGAGGCGCGAATTGCAACCTACCTTTACTAGCCATTGCATCGACACCTCCTTGGCGCGAGCGTTGTTTGATTTCATGGCATTGTGCATCGCTTCATCCACCTCAAGATTGCACAGCTGGTGGAGGTCGCCCAGTAGCTGCGCAGCGGCTTGACGGTGGCTATCACGAGCATCTCCGAGTTTGTCAACGAGCAAGGGGAGCAGCCTGTGGGACTGGTGAGTGATAATGGAGGTTTCCTTCTGCAATTGGAGTCGCTTCAGGAAGTGTGATAGGGTCGAGAAGCCGGCCTGGACAAGGGCGGCGGAGGTGGTGGCGCTGATGGCAAGGCGAATGCACTCAAAGATGGGAGCCTGGCAGCTCTCAGGCACGCGGTTGTGTTTGATGCCGGACTTCAGGGTGGTGAACTGGGACAGCCGCGCCTCGACGGGCGTGGACGGCTTCTTCAGCGCCGCGAGGAGGGTGTTCGTCTGTTCCTCCATGGTTGCGCGGGTGTTATTGTGGGAGGGTGAAGCGGGGCTGCATAGGGTGGGCGTGTTGATATAACGTTGATGGTGTTGTTGTTGCAGGTGGGCCGTGTTTGGTCCCGCTGTGCTTAGCGCCTGGGTTTAGTGTGTTTGGGTAAGTCTTGTCTCACCTGGCAACATGACAGCACTACATCAACCCGCTCGGTGAAGGAGAGACGACGCAAACGAGCGCCATTCTGTTTGCGCATCAAGATTGGAGTTGCTGTACAGACTCTGGGGATATGTGTTTCAGATTCCCATACCACACCTCCCCGGCTAACTAACCGTGCAGATCTAATTAGGTGTCCCTTGATGTCGAGCATCGTCGCATGGTGGTCTATGTAAGCGGCAGACCAGCCATAATAAGCGAAACCTTCCTCTCTACTCTGGCAAAGACGAAAATCTTCTGAAAATGCGACAATAACGATGACGCCTGTGTGTAGAAATGCGGACAATGTGTATCCTAATCGACCCCATTCTGATTGTGGCGTCTCCGTATCTACTGCGTGTATGCTTCGACCACAAACAAGACAGCATGCCAACCAGTCAGTCAGCCATGGCATCGGCGACTCTACACTGCGGCAAAGATATCAATCAGCTACCTCTTTCCTATTGCAATCATTGTATCAATCTCCTGGGCCCTCTGGTCTCTGGCTTCATGTGTTGTCCATCGCGTCACCTTGATTGATGCGCTGTCGGCTTTCTTGCCGATATCCCACGCGATCTCCACTACACACCCAGGACTGCTTCATCCCCGCCGAATAGCATGAGAGCGTTTGGTATTCCAGTGGGGGTTGACGTCTTTAATCATCTCAAGCTACTCCACACTAGCTAATTGGATAGCTACCCCGCCTCAACATACACCTTCAGTGGCGACAGCATAGCCTTATAAAAAGTTGCTTTACCCTCCTATTCCTGTTCTCGTCCCTCTCTTCTTTACCACATTTGGATCTTTTGATATCGAAAAGCCATCTACTCGTAGTTATTCCCCCTTCTTCCCATTGCATAGCATGAAAGAACTGCTAACCTTTACCAAGGCCACCCCGCGTTACACAAGTATGGAGCTCACCACGCACCCAGATATGTTCTGTGCGCGGGTGTTATCCCAAAACAATCAAGGTATAACCAGTGTTAAGTATACTTAGCATGAACCGGTGTTCGTCTCCAGCAAGCACACTTTCCCCTGTTGCTCCATCGCTTGCGGTGGGGACTTTCAGAGGAGATTCGATGCTTGCTGGTTTCGTTCTGAGATTATACGGTTTTATAACTTGATCTGGATAATACCAGCGAAAGGATCATGCCTGTGTCTACTACGAGAAAAGAGCACTCTTAACCAGTTGACAGGTTTCACAAACAACGTTTGAGGTCAATCATTAAACATGTCTCCTCCTGCTGCCATCTCCCCTACTGCTTCTTTCGAGAACCCACTTGCCGTCAATGGCAATGGATTCCCGGTCAAGAAGAACCTGGCCGTTCAGGCTGCCGCCAATGGCCATGCCAAAACCCTGGCTGAGATGGAGAACAATTGGGAGTCGTTCACGTTTGCTCCTATCCGCGAGTCTCAAGTCTCGCGTGCTATGAGTGCGTTTGACCCCCAGCCAGCTGTCTGTCTATAATGATATACTGATATGAAGCTAGCACGTCGATACTTCGCCGACCTTGACAACTACGCTGAATCCGACATTGTCATCGTCGGAGCCGGGTCCTGCGGCCTGAGCACTGCGTACATTCTCGGCAAGAAGCGCCCGGATCTCAAGATCGCCATCGTGGAAGCTGGAGTTGCTCCTGGCGGCGGTGCCTGGCTCGGAGGCCAGCTCTTCAGCGCCATGGTCATGAGGAAGCCAGCCGATGCGTTCCTCAACGATCTTGGCGTCCCGTTCGAGGATGAAGGTGACTTTGTGGTAGTCAAGCACGCTGTACGCCTTCCTTTTTTCTCATATCTCATGAATTCCTGTCCTCGGAAAACGGAATTTCGATCACTCAACTAATTGTAAACCAACAGGCCCTGTTCACATCCACCCTCCTCTCCCGCGTCCTCTCCCTCCCCAACATCAAACTCTTCAATGCCACCACCGTCGAAGACCTCATCACGCGCCCGGCCCCGACCCCAACCTCGCCCGACGCAATCCGCATCGCAGGCGTGGTCACAAACTGGACGCTCGTCTCCATGCACCACGACGACCAATCGTGCATGGACCCCAACACCATCAACGCGCCGCTCGTCATCTCCACGACGGGCCATGATGGCCCCTTTGGCGCCTTCTCCGTCAAGCGGCTCGTGAGCATGCAGCAGCTCGAGAAGCTGGGCGGTATGCGCGGGTTGGATATGCGAACCGCCGAGGACGCGATTGTGAAGGGGACGAGGGAGGTTGTTGGCGGGTTGATTGTGGGCGGGATGGAGCTGAGTGAGGTTGATGGGGCGAATCGCATGGGACCTACTTTTGGGGCCATGGTGTTGAGTGGTGTCAAGGCTGCCGAGGAAGCGTTGAAGGTTGTGGATGAGCGCTTGGCCGAGAATCGGGAGTAGGTTGCCCACTGTCTGATATTGATGTTGTGGTCTCTTTGCGACACTCTTTTTATTCTATCCGATGAGACGGGACGATTGCTACCTTTAGTGAGATATAGCCGCAGGATCTTCTTGCAAGACGGATCTATTCACTAGCTTAATCCGTGCAACTTGAGGTATAAAATATAGTCATTCGCTACAAAGTCGAGAAAAGATGTTACCTAGGTGCACACTTGGTACTCAGGTACAAGATTGCCCAAACGGTTACTACGGTATTTAGTATTGTAGCGGGTACGGCCAAACCATGCGTTCAGATGTTCATGGCATACCTCACGTGTTTAGATTGATTCCAGAATCCAGACAGTCATTAGTCATTGGTTTACACAGGTTCGAGTCAATCGTTTCCCGACAACGGGGTTCGATCAAGCATGGCATGGATTAGGTTATGACATGACAGCGCGATCACATCCAGTCTACAATCTACACGTGCAGCATTGGCAATCAGAGGCATGATGGATGGACTGTCAGAAATAGTAATATGAGAGGGCGTTCGCAACGGAGATGCAAGCTGACGGTGGTACAAGAGTCCGGGCAATGCTCCGTTGGTTCGGAAAGGGTAAATGAGCAATCAGCGTTGTGGCTTGGGCAAATGGTTAGCAAACCAGAGCACGGTGCGTGGCGGGCGTTGCAGGAGGTGTTAGAAGGCCTTTATTCTTGCTCCGCTCGAGCGCATTAGAATGTTGGATTGATGGGTGGATGAATGGATGAATGGTGGACTGTGGAGAGCAAGGTGGTCGGTGTTGTATCGGAGCGGCGTCATCATGGTGCAGGGCCAGACCCCGGAGAAGCTGAGGTAGGGCTCAGGTCTGATGAAACACAGGACCCGTGACGCATACTGGAAGGCCCATCCGCATCGGTTTCAGGGAGCGCGACCCACCGAATTGGAAAGCGGAAAATAAGCGGGTTCGTTTCCGGCGTATTTTCCAGAGATGAAAGGTGTTACTCCTGGGTGTTGCACCACAAACGACTTGAGAATTCGTCGTGTCTCAAGCTGCGGTGGAGCGATTTGACAGGACGGTTGATGTTGGGCTTAATCTCGGTCGTCGGAGGGGACGGAGGGGATGCGAGGCAGCGGGCGGGAGGTGTGGTGCTGTACGGTGAGTTATAGTAGCAATACGGTACATCCATGACGCAAAAAAGGCCATAGAGGGCAGATGCAGGTACACGGCTAGCTGGATGAAGGTCGAGTGGCTCGAGGCAGGTGAATTTTGTCTGCTGTTGGGGACGAGGATGGACACATGCGGTGGAAATGGAGTTGGAGCTAGTCTCGACCCAAAGAGATGGCGCACGCGTAGTCGGCATATGGAGTACGGTAGTCAGTCGAGTCTACCTAGTGAATGGGGGTCCAGCGTGAATGAATCATGGTGCGATCTGCACATGAGTAGCGGGTGGACCGACGATATAGCCAGGTACGAGGGATACTATTTACAGGCGCAATAGTCGATGGTGGTGATGAATGAGTGTGAGAGCAAATATTGATAGCACGAGCACTATACGAGAAAGTCCCAGGCGAAAAGATTGTCGTGATATCAGCAGGGAAGACGGGCGAATCCTGCCTCTCCTGGCACGCCATGGTTAATCAATCCAAGTGGACGTGTCCTCTCCCCTCTCCTCTGGCGCCGCGAGCTCGTAGCGTTTCAGGTCAACGCACCCGTACCATGAGGAGGAGGTCGTACAGTATCATACGCACTCGTTGGCGTTTTGCATTGTCCCTCGTGCTGCGCGAGTCCAAGGAGGGAATGTCTTTTTTATCGATAGGGAACAGGCTTCCCGTTACAGGCCTGGCAGCCAGCCGGCGTAACGTGGCATATGTTTGCATTGCATTGCAGCAGCAAGATGGTCGTATGTAGACGTTGCGGTCATCACCACAAGAGGCAGAGAAAGAAAACAAAAAGAACGTGTTCCGTGCAGGTAGGTGATGTACACGGCAAAGCAGATGGTGTCAGTATAAGGACGATCATTGCTACAAACCGCTCCAGACTGGAGACCCTGGACGGCTGGGCTGCGAAGCGGCGCATGGACCATGTCGCTCTGATTGGCCAACTGAACTTTGGGGGGAGACAGAGAGGGAGAGGGAGGGGGGCAGCAGAAGGGTCAAAGTGCAGTCAAATCAGTCAATCCGTCACTCAAGTGCAAGTCGTTTGGTCGTCGTCGTGCTTTGCCAGCTAATGTTGCTTTGGTCAGTCTGTCAGTCTGTCCATGGTCTTTGAATGGACCAACGCTCCCATCGCTCTCTCAACACCACCACCCTTCCTCCCCCCCTTCCTTTTCGCTATCCTTGCGACTGCAGATAGACGTGCGTCGACGTTGCGTCCCGCTCGAGAAGTCTGTACGTGCAGCTCTCTTTTCCCTGATCCAACTACCTCGACATTTCGTCAACTCCATCGACCCTCTTCCGCCGCACTACACTACTACACCGCACTACTTGGCCCGCATTCACTTCACACCCCCCTCCCCATCCCTCTCTGCATTCACCATCTTTCCTCTCCCCTCCTCCCCCAACCCTCCCACGGTAGTACTTACCTACTAGTAGTGCCCATCCTCGCCTTCACACCATCCACCCCATCCGCCGGCCCAGACACGTTGCCACGGGCATCCCGCCAGCCAACCCTGAATTGGCCGCGCCGTGGTCACCATACAAGCACAGCGCAGCACTCGCCCACGCACAATAAAATACAACTACACATCACAACGCAGCGTCGTCCCCTTGATGCGCTATGGAATCGCCCGGCGGGTATCCAGAGTCTCCACTCGCCGAGGATGATGTAGTCTACCCGTGCAAAGGGTGTGGAGAGGTATGAACAATGCCGACTGCCCCCTCCACTGCTTCACAAGCTCACACACTCTCTCTCTTTAGATTCTCGAAGAAGGAAAAGCCTTTGAGTTGGCCGGCAACCGGTGGCATATCGACTGCTTCCGCTGCAACACCTGCGGCACCCTCCTCGACTCGGATGCGAACCTCCTGCTTCTCGGCGATGGCTCCCTCATTTGTAACAACTGCACATACAGCTGCAACCACTGCGGCAACAAGATCGAGGATCTGGCCATCTTGACGGGGGACCAGGCTTTCTGCGCCAATTGTTTCCGATGCAGGAACTGCAAGCGTAAGATCGAGAACCTGCGTTATGCTCGTACCTCGCAGGGTATCTTCTGCATGACATGTCACGAGTCGCTCATGGCCCGTCGACGGAAGAAAACTAAAAAACCTCCTTCTACCACAGTTGCGCCCAAGGTCGACAAATCCTTGCCGGCTTTGCCCCCCAGCGCCCCCCAGGCCTCGAGCCAGTTTACGCCCGACCTCGATACTCCGTCCGACGTCTTCTCGGAGCCACCAACCGCTGATGTCTCTCCCCGACCTCATCCCAGGAGGAACGAGTCTTCGACAACGAATTTCAGGCGCGATGCATCCCCCAATTCACTCCAGAGTCTTCGTCATGGTATGCTAGCCCCCAGTCATTCCTGAGAAAGTCTCAATATCTAACTCCGTCACTTGCAGATTCAAATGCGTACAAAGACGCCAACCACTCCGAAGCCTCGGATATGGGTGAAGATCACGGTATCTTGCTACCCTTTGCTCTTGATCCAAACCCCGCTCCAGGGCCCTCCCCTCTCAATAACAAGCACCACCCGCGGCCAGGGGATCCCAAGTCGTCCCGCGACTACTTCAACCGGCCTGGACCAAGTGGTCACAGAGAACACCTCAAAGAGAATAGGTCACGCTCGGCCTCGGCGGAACGTCATAACAATTCGAGTCCACATATCGCTTTCCAAGAGAAGGGCCGGCAGAATTCAGAACAGGTCCTTGACACTATGCGGAAACGGAAGGACACGACCAGCGAAGCGTCTGGAGCTGCGCCGGCGGCTGCGCCTGCGCAGGACCGCACACGGAGTCAGCATGCCTCACCTGCTCCATCGCAGCCAACCGAGACGTTCAAGCTTCAAGAAGTGCCGAAAAACAAGAGAGCAGAAGCAAGGAAGAATTCTGTTGCCAAATCTCCTTCACGTGGCTCACCGGCGACCGATATGGATGGAAGGCTCCTAAGTCCGGCTACAGATTCGCAGAGCGCCTCACCAGTGCCACTAGACTCCCATGTGCGCGATGATTCGCCTTCTACATCTAGTTCTTCGTACAGCTCTACACAGCGTGTTGAGCGACCAGCCCGTGGAGACTCCCTCGCGAACGCTCTACGGCCTGCAGCCAATTCATCTGCTTCCAAGAAGGACCATTCTGCTAGTTCACCTACCACGCCCACAGTGGCTCAGACAGACCGTCATCCGTCCATACCTGGGCCTCATTTGCAACAAAATGGCAGTTCTAGCATCTCAAGCCTTGCCGACGCAATCCCTCACAGGAGCTTGACTGATCCTCCTGTCCCACCACAACGCTCCGCAGGCCGGCCTCCTCCGCCACCCGCAACTTCCGATAACTTTATCTCGCCACGTGCGCCTCCTCATCCGCCTCAGCCCCCACACAATCATAGGCCTACCGACTCCACCAGTACTGTAACAAGCGAAACCCTCTCTCCAGGTGCTTTACCTCGTTATAGTGCCCAGGGAGACTTTTCCATGGACGAGGACTTTGCCCGTCTACTTTCTGGTCAAGAAGGTCAAGAGAAAGAGGGTGGAGTCTTACGAAGGGTCTCGAATGCCATGTCCAAGCATGGCCGTAGCTTCAGTGATCGCGGCTCAATCAACCAGCGCGGCCACAAGAAGTGGCCAACAAATGGTTCGATTGACATCAGCAGTCCGACGATGCCCTCACCCGACTCAAGAGAAGAGAATGTCAATCTTCGGAACGAACTGCGTAGATGTCAGCAGAAGATTGCCGAACTGGAAGCAGAAAAGAATGGACTGCAAGAGTCGGTTCACAATGCTGCCGATCTGAAGCAAGCCAACACCATGTTGCGGGAGAAACGCAACACAATGGCCGTCTTGGATACTCAACGAGAGATGGTCATACGTGAGCTGGAGATCATGACTGAGCACCTGAAGCGGGCGAAGGATAACAGCACATCGATCGACTACAACCAGTTGAAGTCCGATGTGATCAAGGACTTTGCCAGTGCTCTGCAAAAGCTCAAGGACACAATGGGCGGTCAGATTGAGGATCTCATCACCAAGCGAGCTGCACTCACTGATGAAATATCTAACCTGATTCAGATGAAGGACAAGGGATTCCAGGAGTACGAATCTCTGAGCGCGCAGAACAAGAAGTTGCAAGATATGAATCAGAACCTTATCGAGTCGATTCAAGGCACACTCAAAAGCAACAAACAAGCCAACGGCAATCAAACCCTCGATTCACTTCGATCTCCTGCAAACGGTCTCGGAATATATCAAACTCATCACAAAGGTGGGAAATCAGAAATATCGTTTGATACGCACCCGATGCCGCACGAGCCTTCATATTCCAATTTGCATGAGCCCGAAGGGGAAGCTACTTTGGCACAGCCTCAGGTGGTGAACATCCGTAAGGGCAAGCCCACCAAATTTGCGAACTGGAAGAAGGGTGGTCAGGCCATGAAGAGTGTCACGAAAGGCTTCAAGGGCGCCTTCGCTGCCGCCGAGCCCAGGCGTGAAGATGAATACAACAATGTCAAGGTTATCGGCACGCCGTACGGAACCACGCATACACAGCCAGATCTTGCATCTTTAGCAGGCACTACCATAGCCAACTCAACTAAGAGCAAGGAGGATCCTGTTGCACGAAGCTGGTTCACTGGATCGAAAACAACCCCCAACAAACCACAAGACGGTCGATACAAGCCTATGCAACATGGCAACGGCAGCGGCAATGTGGCGGAGAACCCTACAGGTCTATTTGCTAACGATTTAATCACTCGTTGTGATATGGAGAAACGTATGATTCCAGCCATTGTCAGTCGATGCATCGAGGAAGTAGAGTCACGAGGTAAATCATTATACGTGTTTGTTATCCATTGAGACTTTTGCTGACGAATGTGCAGGCATGGATGTCGAAGGCATCTACCGCAAGAGTGGCGGCAGCTCCCAGGTCAACCAAGTGAAACAAGGGTTTGAGGATAATGAGGAATACGATATCTCGGACCCCGATCTCGATATCCATTCCGTCACTTCTGCCCTCAAAAACTACTTCCATAAACTACCGACTCCTTTGATTACGTATGACGCATATGATGCGTTCTTGGCTGCAGGTTCACACTCGATCCCTGGACAGAAAGCAAAGGCGATGCATGATGCTCTCCAGGACATTCCTCGTCAGCACTACGACACTCTTCAATTCTTGGTTTTCCACTTGTCGCGCGTCATTCAGCATGCCAAAGAAAACCTGGTAAGTCTTGTAAAGCTTTGTGTGTCTAAGAAACACTGCTGACACGGGTTTAGATGACACCACTCAATCTTGCTGTCGTTTTTGCGCCAACAATCATGCGTCCGTCCGACGTTGCCCGAGAATTGACCGATATGCAAGCTCAACGGAACGCTGTCCAGGCCCTTCTTGAGAATCACAAGAATATTTTCTTCGATGACGAGTAAAGGTTGGCTGAGACCAGCAACTGCAAGATCCGAGTGGCTGATATTCGAAACACACCTTACCTACCACTTTTCTCACGCAATCCTGTATACACTAAACTGCTGATATCCCGGCATATGCATACCTATTCCGACTTTCTGTATTATGCCTTCGGCCACAAACCTTGTTCATGGATGCTTTCCTACTTCTCAACTATAATTGCGTACGATCATTGGCTTCCACCGTGGGGTTATATGGTCGCGTTCCCGTTATCGAGAGCTCCGAAATCTCACTTTGTATCAACCAAATTGCATATGATGTCGCGGACATTTACCCACCTGACGATGGCACGGAAAAGTTTTGTTTGCAAAAACGGGAGGCAAATGTGTCATGGCTTCTTGATCTAATTGTATGCTTCCCGAGCGAGGCGTTTTTTCCTGTAGAGGTCTGAAACCACCTCGCATCTTCCGCACCTGAGATTCTTTGCTCGAAGATTGCGTTGGAGGTCGGGTAAAGCGTGGGCATGAGTGAGGAACTCGGGATTCTTGCCTTGTTTCTGTTATTCTCTTCTTCTCTCTTCTTTGCTTTTCTCCGGATCAAGCGAAGGCTTTGCGGGACTCTTCGTTGTTCCTTTTTCTTCTCTTCTCCTTTTCTTCTTCGTTCCATTGGCTTATACCCCCGAGGGTGTTATTCTCCTCTTCCACCACCTTTGTTTCACATTTCCCACGTCTTTGTTACTTTTTCCTTCCTCTCCCCCCCCTCTTTCCACTTTTCTTGTTTTTCTTCGGCTGACTGAATGTATGATTCACATAGCATTTGCGAGCAAGCGTGGCTAGCTAGTGTATGCGGATCTTTGTTTTTCTCTTCTCCCTTTTGCTTTCCTATAGTCTCGCTGTGACGTGTAAGATTGTGCATGGATGGGAATAAATGGTGTTTAGTTCAATAGTCGTGGGGTGTGATTTGGTGGGGGAATGTGTATCTATCAGTCAAGACCGACTCTCCTTGTTGCTTTACTCCTTGTGTCACGAGAGCGACAATTCGGCATATTGTAGTGAGATTTGCTTGTGATTTGAAAGATCAACTAGGGGACGGATTGGACTTATTCTCCGTGTCAAGTATGTGTACATCTCGAGACTTTAAGACACGGGTAATGATTGAGTGGATTGTATGCTTTTTTGAACATAATCGGATTCGGTATATACACGCAACCTCGAGCTAAAGAAAAAAGCAAACCACAGCAAAAGATCCAAACCAACGTGCACACATGCCTTGCCTCATCAAAAGTCGTTTAGGGCCAGAACTCCTATCCCGCACGTTTTCCATCCACTGCCAAACCAATAAAAGCTGAATTGAGTTGAGTTGGGTCGAGATGAGTTGAGGTGGTACACAAGCCGATGTGAGACTGCCAAAGGAGGATAGTGGGGAATCAATATTTGGTGGTATTTCAGAAGAAGAAAAACCCGGCTACCGAAGTTTCGAAGAGAGGTGAGAGTATTCAAGCTTCATCTTCGAGATCGTCTCATGAATTAATTCGGTAGAGTAGAATCGAAGTGAAGAAAAGTGGGATGACAGATGAGACCGAGAATCTATTTCTTGGGGGGGTACTTTTGGAAAAAGTATCTGGAGACACATTAGCCATTATTCTGAGATCGTATGATAAAGTACCATAAACTTACTGCGACACGTAGTAATCGGCGACACCGAACAGACCGACAACACCCGCCCAGGCACCCACAACCTTCCAAGACAGCTCGTCCCGGACGTACTTCCTGTAGGCACCAACACCGATGACGGTGGTGAAGATTCCGACCGTCAACGCATTGCCTAGCACAACGGGGTTGTCGCTGTTGGCCCTGGCGTACTGACCTCCCCGAGCTGCCTTAGCTTTGGCCTTGTCTGCGGCTGCTTGCGCCTTCTCGCGCGCTTCGCGGGCCTCAGCTTCGCGGTCGATGCGCTCGGCTTGTGTGTCGGTCTTGACGGATTGAGATTCGAAGTCTGATGGCACCGAAGAGACGTGAGGGGAGTCAACATCGATGAGCGAAGCGACCGAGTCGTCGGATTTCTCGACTACGGGCAAGGCCGGAGCGCGACTGCAGGAGAACGCGTTAGTAGAGGGTCAACATAAAGATAGCGACATTCCCTTTGGAGTCCAAAAACGATGACTATTGAGGTGTGACCACCAGAGCAGTCAGATGCGCTAATGAAGGTGTAACAGTAATGACTTACGCCTGCGAAATTGTTAGTGTTACTTTCATGTACCAAACGCGTTCGACCCGAGATGGCAACTCACTTCTTCAGGGCTCTGCTTGGGGCCCTTGGCAGCAGCATCAGCGTACGACATGGTGGCTAGTGTGGTGCGAGAGGATGAGGAGTGATTGGGAGTATACGCGGGAGGTGTAAGTGGGAAATGGGAGCGGATGCAGATGAACAAGAGAGGGCGCGCAGAGTGAGAGATAACGGAGTCGTGTGATGAGAGTGACAAGGTCTGCAAAGGAGGAAGCAAGCAAGCTGTTCACATGCGTCTGGCCTGCGGGCGGGCCCGGTTGACCAGGTAGCTTTTTAGCGCATACGTCATTTGCACGCATCTGGACGACCAACCGCCTGCGCTAACACAGCATCCTCGCCCACATCAGGCACTGCCATGTTTTACCAAACACATCAGTACATCAATGCTGCTACCCGTGCTTATGGGCCAGTACATTTGCATTGTGAGCCACTAGTTATATGTTTCTAGCATGGTTTGAGATATATGGAACATAGTGGGAACTCTTGTATTAGTTACACATAATATACATTTTTGTCTTTACCAGAGCAAAGATTCGCTAGAGCTCCTGAGAAAATGCCACTGAAAGTCTGTCTGCATGCTCCAAGAATGCTGCAAAGAAGAAGAGGTATCGTACAATCCGTTGACTATGGCATGCCCTACTTTCTATCAGCCGCTTCCTGTGTCGCGTCGTGCGTTGCCTTAGGCACGAGCGCTTCGGGCTCGCTCACGGGCTCATCCTTTGTCTTCGAAGGCTCCTCCGGGCGGTATGATTCGGGTACTAAGCCATTGGGGTCAGGCTTGGATGGTTTGGTGAGGCCATGCTCTTTGGCAATATCCGACAATGTTTGTGACGAAGCGGCGTCGCTGCTGTCTGCAGCAGGAGCATCTGCGATAGGCGGGAGTGGTTCGCCATCAGCTGGTGCAGCATCGGGCGCATCGTCCTCCTCATCCGAGTCAAGCTCAGCGCCGTAGATTTCGGGATATTCTCTGAAGCAGTTCTGCATGTCCCTGTATAATTGTCAGTACGCTAGATTCCCAGAAAGTCTCTCTCGGCACAAAAACATACTTAAACTTTTCAATGCAATCCATTCCCTTCGGCTCCTCAGTCGAGTACACGAAGCAGCTGAAGGCAGCCTTGAATTGCTCTCCGCAAGGGCCGTCTGCCATACCTCCCAGGCATGGACAATCCCAATTGATCTCTCCAGTCTCGGGATTAAATGCACCTTGTTGGCCAGCTTCTGCCTCCAACTCCTCTACACCACCACCTACGCCACCTGCTTCAGAAGCCGCGGCGACCTCAGTCGCGTTCGCTGCCTCCTTCGCTTGTTGCGCCTCAATCTGTGCCTTGCGCTGTTGGCGTTCCAGGGCCAGCGCTTCGATGGTAGGTAATGTTTCGGTTTCTTGGTCGGTCTCAGGTAGCGATTTCACGATTTCTTGAGCTGTGTCAATTGCCATTGATCGCCATTATGATTTGTGTCCACTCACGACTTGGTTCTTCTGCGAATACTTCAGTAGTATTGTAGTAATATATGACGGCTCCTGCAACACCGACTCTGGCAGCTAGGTTCTTCCAACTCCGGGACTTCTGGGACGGGGGAGCTGTGGAAAGGTATCGTCGAGTGGGCGCGGCCGCACGCGGAAGCAGACGCGCCACCGCGGGGCGCGCAATCAATCGTGTTGCGGGCCGGAACATGATGCAAAGTAAAAGACAATATCAAAAGAAAGCGTTGAAAGAATGGTGTTGGCGGAGATGGAGCTTGTCAGTCGATTGGCGCGCGGATTCGAAGGGATGGTTGTGCAGTTCAGATTTCTAAGCCGCTGAATCGAAAAATACCGATCACGTGACATCGAGTTCTCGAACCCCGTTCTTCACCGACCTACATACCTATGTAGCAAGTGAGACGAGCAATTGCGTTCACTGAATGACCATCCACTATGTATTTGAGCGGGAATCGACGCAGTAGCGCGGATAAATGATTCAACATAATAGGATGAAGCGATTCCCATCATGGGGCAAGAATTGCAAAGAAGATCTTCGTTAGGAAACTACTGTACAGCAATGTCTTCTTGTTGTAGTAAGACACGCCAGTATACAATACCAAAAGAACTCAAAAGGAGACCAAGCCACGAAGACGATCGGGCAAGACAAAACCTCCAAGGCGCCAGAACACCCATTATATCCATAGACCCTTCTTGATGCAACACTTCTGGTTCATCTTTCCAACCAGATGTGATGACTCTGCACTGTCAATAAAGCCAACGGTCTCTCACAGTTTCGGATGCTACTGGGGTTAACTAAACCTCAACTCTCCCGAAGCCCTCAGCGCCTTCTGATATGGGCTGCACACTGTCATCCACGCTATCCGCCTTGACACCCACACCCTCTTCTCCTTTACCAACACCGAACGTGCGAAGGGCTTCCGAAATGGCGGCAACAGCATCCTCGGGGTTGACCGACCCAGGAAGGCCTTGACCACCGAGATTGCTGCCAATCTTCTTTGTGGCCTCTTCCAAAGCACGCACACGTTTCTGGAAGTTGAGTCGGTCCGTGAATAGCTGTTGGCGACGGCGTTGGAGATCACGGCGTTCAGCGGAGAGTAGCTTTTCAAAATCGTTGAAGTGAGCCATCTTTAGTTGAAGCTTCTGGAGCTGGAGGTTGACGGCACCAGAGACGAGACGGGTGACGTGTCGCTCTTCATGAGATGCGAGAGCCGATGCACGAGCAGCAGATAGAGCAAAGGGAAGCGTGGCAAGTGGATCAGATGCTTCGGCACCTGCACTGACAACGGCAGCTGAAGTCTCCGTTGTGGTGTCGACATCCATGGCATCCTCGTTCTTTACTTCATCTCCCGACGACTTCTCTTTCTCTGACTCCTTCTCCTTCTCCTTCTCCTTGCCCTTCTCGGATGTCGGGGCGCCGACCTTCTCAATCTTGTTTTGCATGATTTGCTTCATCTGGCTAACACTTCGCTGAGCTGCGACAGCTGCTCCGGTGACATTCGCAGGTGCAAGCCCGGCCATGAAACTGACGACGCTTAGGATGGGGTTATCGCCGTGATAGATAGGCATGCGGCCCTCGGCAAGATATTCGAGATCGCGGAGGAACTTGATCGAAGGCGTCCCGTTGTCCGACTGTGGCACATCGGCTTCCAGGTACTTGTCCTCAATCTCAAGCTGGAGGAATTTCATCACACATTGCTCCCTTGTTTTGGTTTCGACCATGTTGGCAACCGCGTTCCAATCGTCATCGTGCACTTCCAGGCCTTCGAGTAACCGCAGGACTTCCTCGTCTGTCCACTCTTCGTCGTCATCTAGCGAGGTGGGATAGTTCTTTTGTTCCACTCTGGTGAAGTGTTCCGGTTGGAAAGACTTGGAATAGTGATAATCCACCATACATCTGGGGCAAATCTCGACTTTGGTTCCCCCGATGAAGCTGATCTGGCCAGATGGCTCCGGCTTGGCGTTGTGAAAGTATACACGACTAGTATCTACACCACAGCTGTTGCAAACGACTTTCCTGGGTGGACTTTTCGCCTGGGCCTCGAGTTTCTCCATGCTCACGGAGCCATTGGCTGCGCTCTCACCGTTGGCGGCCGCTCCCTCTTTGGGCTCTGCAGAGACCTCTTTGCCATTGGCTTCGTAGATGTTCCGGCCGACCATGGACTTGGTGTCTGCTTTCGCAGTGGGCTGCTGACTCGCAGCCCGTTCTGTGCCAGCGTGGGGTTTTCCCTCGGTCAGTCGAGATGCAGGGGCAGGCTGGAATGCTTGGAGCCCTCGAGGGGTATCGACTGTGAGACGGAAGTGGCTAGTAGATGGCGGGCCAATGTTTGAGGGGCGCTCCTGAGGATCGACCTAGATAGCTGGTTAATCCAGATGCTAAAGATACTTGGTACACACTTCCTTCACTGACCTGGTAATTGATCAAGCCCCATTGCTCCAGAAAAGCGTGGACGCGCATAATGGCGCAAACATCACCTGCCAGGTTACGACGGCAGGCGGTCACAGTAAGATACTCGTCGGGGTTGAGGCGATATGTGTTGATCATGAAATCGCGGTAATCACGATAGACGGCGGGGGTTTTGCTGCGATTACGGCCATTGAAGAACTCGGGCAGGGCCTTGCGCTCACGGTGATCAATGTATCGCATGTCGAACCATGCAGCGTAACTTGGGATAATGGTCGCGAAGGTCTGCGCGACCAAGTGTGAGCGCGCTCCAGCCTGGAGATCTGCCTTGGCTTGCGCCTCGGGGTCGACCTCTGCTCCCTCCTTTTCCTTTTTTGCATCTTCAACACCGCCCATCTCTTCATCATCTTGGCCATCTGCATCTTCTACTTCGGGGCGAGGGGCCTCGGGGGCGTCGAGAGGGTTGTCGGATGCAGGGGCAGGGGCGGTAGTCGAGGGTTCGTGCGACTGTTCTTTGACAGCAGCATCTTCAACCATTGGGGTATCTAGAATAACATTTAGTTCTGATGGGGTGAATGGGTATCTCGAGGCGTGGCGTAGGTCCACGAGTCCATGGTCAAAGTCGGGCATGGTGTGTGTGTTGGGCACCCAGCCGTAGTCTTGAGGAAGGATGGAAGATGATGCGAAGGGTTATGGGAGGTGGAGACAGACCTTGATCATTGGGTTGCGTCTGGGTCGCACCTTCGCCTCCAGCGGGGGGTTGCGTCGATGCGCTGGTGGTAGTCGCAGGCGCAGTCGCGTCGTCGGCCATTGCTGCGACAACACTCTTTCACTCACTCAAGCACTCAATGGAGAAGACGGGGCAGCTGTGTAGGAGGCAGCCCAGGCGTGGGAGGCGCGTAGCTCGCAGGGCGCAATCAGATGTCACGCGCGTGGGATAGACAGGATTCTGGGGGGTGCGGTGTGGACGCTGGAAATGAATGTGGAGGGAGATGGGATGCGATCAATGGTGCCGTCGCGTCTGTTCGCGGTGCGTGCTGCTCCCCAACTTTTCCCTTGGCTGAGTGAGCGGAAGAACACCACGCTTACCTAAGTAATGTACGTCCCACCCTAAACTCGAAACGCTGTGTATTCAATTCCGAGCCGCCTTCGTTAAGCCGAGGTCATGGTGGTGAATGCTTTCACGTTCCGAACCCCATCACTGCGCTTGTCACCTCGACGACAGTCTTTCTTCCTGTGCCGCGCCGGTCCGTGAATCATTGGGGTGGGTTTCCTATACTGCAGTCTCAAAATCACGCCTTGCGCCTCTCCAAGTTCCGCCATCATGTTTTCCGTCGCGCGCAAATCAGTCCTCCGTCAAGCTCGAACCCAGCTCCGGCTCTCACAACCCGTTACCGTTCCCCAGTACATATCCTACTCGAGATTACTTTCAACTCTTGCTCTTTTGGAGCAGAAAGATGGAAAGCTCAGCAACTCATCGCTCGTTGCCATCTCGGCCGGAACAAAGCTCGGAGGCTCGATAACAGCATTCGTTGCTGGCAGTGGGGCAAAATCGGTAGCAGAGGAAGCTGCGAAGGTCAAGGGCATTGAAAAGATTGTATATGTGGAAAGTGCAGCGTATGATAAGGTTAGGGTGGCATCATCCTTTGTCGACTTCCTGAACGCTGACGCTCTTTTAACAGGGTCTCCCCGAAAGTTACGCTCCTCTACTAGTCGACAACATCAAGAAGGGAGCATACACCCACATCTTTGCAGGTCACTCGGCGTTCGGAAAGAATGTAATGCCCCGCGTTGCTGCCCTTCTTGATAGCCAGATGATCTCCGACATCACTGCCATTGAGAGCGAAGATAGTGAGTGGCATGTTCTATACACCATTCCTTCTATTTCTTAACAGACCTTCAGCATTCGTACGACCAATCTATGCCGGCAACGCTATCCTCACCGTACAATCCTCGGACAGCACAAAGCTCATTACTGTACGCGGTACCGCGTTCCCTGCACCTGAAACTGATGGTGGATCTGCCGCCATCGAAGAGGGATCAGATCCCAAAGTCGAGTCCGCAACAGAATGGATTTCCGAAGACTTGGCCAAGTCTGACCGACCAGATCTGGGCTCTGCCGATAAAGTGGTGTCTGGAGGAAGAGGCCTCAAATCGAAAGAAGAATTTGACCGTCTCATGCCACCTCTAGCGGATGCTCTCGGCGCTGCCATTGGAGCTTCGCGCGCTGCCGTCGACAGTGGATTTGCAGACAACAGTCTCCAAGTTGGACAGACGGGCAAGAACGTGGCACCGCAGCTCTATCTATGTGCTGGTATCTCGGGCGCGATTCAGCATTTGGCGGGTATGAAGGACAGCAAAGTCATCGCCGCAATCAACAAAGACGCCGATGCTCCCATTTTCCAAGTCGCGGACGTTGGTCTAGTTGGTGATCTATTTGAAAAGGTTCCTGAGCTCACAGAGAAGTTAAAGTCGCAGTAATGTCTTCATACGGCGTGGTTTTAGTCGTTAAATGTAGATTGTAAAAGCTTCAATGCATGTTGGTATGACGGTCAGCGGCCTGTGGCTGAGATTCGCGACGCTTGTGATCACTAAAATGTGTATCTGCATCCAATCACAAAACCCAAGCTTGCAGGTGGTTTTGACGCTTGACGTATATAAGCTCACGGAAGCAACTCAGTGAAACAACCAATTTCGCAGAGTATATTGCTCCTACCGCGCATCTGTTCATATATATACATTCCACGGATAGCCGCTACTGGTTGCACACACTCGCCCCGATCACCTCTGATAGCCGTTCGTTGTGTAACACACACATCCGATCTCAATTTCTTTGTCACGCCGAACCACCAATTTTTCCACGCCATTCGGGCTTATGTAACTTCTTTCACCATCATCCGAATAGTACTGCCGATGTGGCAGCCAAGGTTCATTACATCATTTACCAAACAGAAGTGTCAACAGCTTACAGTCTTGATGCGATCGCATTGCCATCATTACTTCGTAACATCTCCCACCTGCACTCATCTCAGGGTATGGATCAGCCATGGCATCCGCGCGTAGCCCAGGGAGTCGCCGAGAATACCGGCAATGGGACAATCGAATTCAGGGAGGGTGGAGCAATGTGGAATCATACAGAAAGCTCTACAGTCCCGAAAAAAGATCTTGAGGAACTACGACATAGGTATGTGCATCCCTGTCCCGAACTGCCATGTCTATTCACCAGTACTTCACTCTATGCTGTACCTGTTTCCGTGGCACTTGGTTATCATCCTCGAAGCTAACAAAGCTTCCTTACTCGAACGGGACTCTTGACGTTGCTTCTTGTTTGTTGCGTCTCCTTTTTACCAAAATGTCAGCCGTGTATTTCTTAACATTCTACCCCTGGTATTCCGGTATTCACGCGTGCATCGCTGATTCTGACAGTGACTGGTGGTGGGCGTCTGCTCTGATACCTCTTCTAGGAGCCACTCTCGGCCCACTTGCAAACTTGTCTTCTATCGCTGCTCTAGTGACTTCATGGAGGGCACAAATAAACATAGGAGGTCAGTTTCTTGCTGAACTAGACGGAACCCTATATGCAGATCCAGGGTGGTAAGTCATGATCTTTTCCAATACATAGCTGTCTAGTACAGAGTATGAATGCTCACTGACATGTATTAGGGTTTACTGGCTCAATGTTGTCAGCCTGATATGCGGTTTTCTAGGGAATCTGTTCCTTCTATTCAACTTCACTCAACGCATAAGGTACATCGTCGCCTTACCTGCCACTATACTGTTCTGGCTCCTGGCATCGGGCCTATTGATTGGCCTCACAGTCAGTATGGAGCTGAATTTCCCACCGCTCAGACCAAACCAGACCTATACACAAGGGTTCTGGTATGCTGTAGCAGCTGCTGCAATGTATCTACTTTGCTCCTTACTCTTGATGATCAACATGCTGGGTCACTTCTTGGGACGGTATCCGGACGACTTTATCCTTTCCGACTCACAAAGAACGTTGATCCTTCAGACAATGGCCTTCATCATCTGGCTTGGAGGGGGCGCAGCAACGTTTTCCAAGATTGAGACTGACTCCGGACAAAGTGGATGGCATTTCGCCAACGCGGTTTACTTTTGCGATGTCACCATTCTCACAGTGGGCTTCGGCGACTTCTACCCTACTACAGATCTATCTCGAGGCATGGTCATCCCGTATTCTGTTGGGGGTATCGTGATCCTGGCTTTGATCGTCAATTCCATCTACAAGTTCATGCGAGAAATGGGGGAGCAGAATATTGTATTGAAGCACACCGAACGAATAAGAGTAAGGACGAGAGATCTGGCTGCTCAGAACTCATTTGATCTTCGGCAGCGCGAGAGCAACGAACACCACGTGATTCGAAGGCGTACGGTCAATGCAGCCACACGTCCTAGGATCAGCATGCCCACTCAGCCTAGAGTACTACGAACATCAATCAACGACACGGCATCGCCATCAAACACAGGCAGCAATCCCCTGTCTCTGGTAGTCTCAAATATATCACTCATGGGAAAGAAGAAGAAGAAGGCTCGCGCTATTCTCCTTCGTGAAGAGAAAGAGCGATTCCAAGCTATGCGAGATATCCAGATGCGGTCGCGAAGGTTCAAAAAGTGGATTGCGCTGGTGATTTCTGTGATCGCTTTCGGTATTCTGTGGTGTGTGGGAGCTGTCGTCTTCTGGCAAGCAGAGAAGAAAGCCCAGAACATGACTTACTTCCGAGCGCTTTACTTTTGCTACATTTCCCTTCTGACGATCGGATATGGCGATCTCTCTCCAAAAACGAACGCAGGCCGAACCTTCTTCGTCATATGGAGTCTTATTGCTGTACCTACTATAACGGTATTAGTGTCAGACATGGGTGACACCGTGGTGCACAAGTTCAAGGAGTGGAGCAATCAACTCGCGGACTTCACCGTTCTCCCCAAACACGGTATATGGAGGGATTTTCTCGAAAAGCACCCTTGGCTCCTTCAGTGGATCTTGGGAATTCAAGCTCGAAAAGCTTTGAAGAGAAGATTAAAGAGAGGGTTCGAAGCGACGGATCCCGATGCAAATGAGGAATCAGGTGGACCTCAGCCAGGTGATACAGATATTGAGAAGCAGGAAACTGTTTCTCCTACCACATCATCTAATCGTAATGCTGATACTGAAGAAACGGACGAGCTAGACTCATCATCTCTTGGAAGACATCTCGCATTGAACATTAGGCGTGTGGTGGCTGATCTTCGTCATCCCACCCCTAAGCAATACGAGTATGAAGAATGGGTTGAGTTCACTCGGCTTATCAGAAACACCCGGGGCTCCATAACGAGAGGTGATGCAGAAGGCGAGGAGGACGAGGAGGAAGGGTTGGTGGAGTGGGATTGGATCGGGTCAGATAGCCCGATGATGTCGGGTATGTCCGAACCAGAGTGGCTTCTCCACCGCCTCTGTGAGAGCCTCATTCGCATGGACAGACGTCGAGAAGAAATCTATGGGAGGAATCGGTCGCGCGATCCAGATGGGGTTGATCGGCCCAAGGACGATGGAGGTGATGCGGATTTGGTGATAGAACAGACGATATACGGTGTGGATCCAGGGAGTGGGCACAAAGAGTGAATCACGACTGACTGTATGTTTTATCTTCCAATGTGTATATAGTAGATTGGCACTGTGGACAATTCTTGATTCCTCGTGTATTTGTGCGGCATAAAATTCAGTACATTACTCAATATTCATCATCAACCTGCTCTACTATCTTATCGAACCACTTTGACCTCCCCGAGCCACTTGCTTCATTCTTCCTCGCAGTACATTTGACACACAAAGGCGGCGAAATCACTCTCTTCCACAATCTTGGACAAGCATACCACCAACTATCCTCACTCCCCAAATTGACATAACAACTGGAAGAATACACCTGATAGCGTGACAACGAAGAAAAGGGGGAAGAAGGAGAAGAAGTGATGTAGCTACACGGTTGCAGAAGAGTCTCTTGGTGTGAAGGGGAACAGGTGTATGCGTAGTGAAAAAGTATACACATTTCGTATGGACAATGAGTGTCTAGGTGTAAAGAAGCGTGACCGATGATGTGTAGAGGAAGGGGGTCACGAAGAGCGTGTATGGATGGTCTTTTCTCTTACTTATGAGCCACTTCAAGTTGCAGGGATGGGACCTAGCCAACCCAGCATATGATGTATTATATATAGATCTAACCGTTAACTTCAATCGAACACATCACAACGCGATGCGCCCCAACTATCACGACAGCAATCCATACCATCCGCATTCTCACCCAGAATCTCACCATTCCCTCTCCTCGGTCACTTTCAATAACTCCACTCCGCCTACAAGCATCCGATACCTATTTTTCCACACGACTAGTTCATGTCTCAAAGATTGCCGGTCCATCTCAACAAGCCCTGTGTCCAATATCCGTGCCGCTGGATGATGAATGTTTCCTTTGCCAAACGAAGGACGTCCACACTCACCCGAAGTGGCATTCCTAGCTCCCGATCTCCCGTTCGTCAGTCGACCCACCAAGTAGCTCTTGCCGCGACTCCGCCTCACAGGGTTCGGGTTTATGAGTGGAAGGCAGACGGTGATTCAGCCTGTTACATACCATGGCGAGAAAGTGCAATATTGGTTGGGATTGGAGAAGTAGTGGGAGACAGATATGCCATGCGTTGAGCTGTAAAGCTCACTGGAAGTAGAGTAAGGCTTGCCAATAGCAAATGTGGTGGTGATGTGATATTGTATTTGAGTAGGATATATATAGTACTAGCGAGGGAAAGAACAACAGAGCCAGAGCGCGTGATGAACATATACCATACCTCTACCTATTATGCTCGTGCGTGTATGGACGACGGGATCAGAAGTTTGCGTTCCGGGTTCGAAACTCTTACCTTTGTCGTCCAGAGATCTGCGTGACTAGTAGAAGATTGGTGAGTTCGTTTACCGGGTTATTGTTTCTATGTATAAACGTTTTTTGTAGTTGTGTTTCCGTATGTTCCGGGTTGATTGATTGCGGAGTTCTCGCGTGTCTAGGCAGCTTAACTGGCCCGGACAAGTGACCTGGATCCTTTGAGGGGTTCAAGGTGACGTTCGTAAATAGTTTGCCTGATAGGGGCGTTGGGTGGGACACAGTGGGGAACGGAAGGATTAATGGGTCAAGGGCTATGTTGTGGATGTTTGATGGGTGGAATATAGGAATGGGAGACGAGGAATAAAGTATAGAGAGAAGAAACGCTCTTTTCACGATAAACAAGAAGGGAGGGGTTAAGAGTTCTTGTTTTTCGGAATCATTTCATGAGTATTCTTGATGGCGGTCTATCAGTGTCACGTTTCGTAGAATAACCAAGGCATATCAATCCAATCATAATTGCTCAATAATAGTACTCATGCTGCCTACGACGGCCATAGCCGGAATAGAAGCTGGGCCGTTGACGATAATGCAAGCCATAATCCTCGTAATCATTGTAATCATCATCCTCCCCGTAAAAGTCTTCTCCGTCTTCGTCATCATCGTCGTCGTCGTCATAGTAATCGTTTGAGTATAATCTGTTTCGCCGATACCTCCCGCCAAAATCTTCATCGCTGTCATCGTTGCCGCCGTAATACTGGTCATAGTCGTTGTATTCCCCATCTGAGAAATCGTCTCGCCACCGTGAGGAATATGATGGCCCATAGGAAGAACGTCTCGATGAATAGGAACGTCTATAATGTCCAAGGGGTGAATGATAAGAGCCAAAATATCCACTTCCCCCACTCCCACTCCCACTCCTGTGTCCGTACCCACTCATACTGTATGGGTCATGATATGGATATCCTGACGAACGATACCCCAGACCTCGTCGGTAGCCCGGGCTATCGTAGTTGTCCATGAAGTTGTGAAGTTGTGGTCGTGTATACATCATGCGTGGGTGTCGAGAGCCTGACCTGCTACTGTGAAGGTAGGATGCTGGGTTGGTGAAGTATCTTGCACCACCTCTAGGCCGTGCCGATGAGGCTGCGTAGGATCTCGAATAATCTCGACCTCGATTGCGGGTCACGTTGATAGACCTTCTTCCCCACCACTTGTCGCTCGGGAGACCGTTGCTAAGTCCAATTCTTGGTACAAGAGCGTTAGCAAGCATGCTAGCTTGGGCATTAACTCCTCACGGCGAGATCCAGGCGTGGCGCTGATGGAGACTGTTATCATGCACGCAGTGTTGAGGAATATCTTCCACTTCGGTCCAGTAAGGGGAGTTGTGGTACACTATGAAGAAGAAAAAATAAGGGACAGGTGGAAAGCTATCTGCAATGTGTTGGGAGTGCAGGTGGGTACTAACAAGATCAGCTGAGTAGGGGATACACCGGGGGACGGTATTTGGAGTAACTTTGCTGAACTGTAAGCAGCAAACAATGGGCACACAAGTAACGATACAGGTGCGCGTGAATGGACGAGCAGTGGGACTATTGCATGCCTAAAGGGATCGTCCCTCCACGCATGCACCAGCGGGTTCTGCTCTGCCTTATACTTACACAAGATGGACACACATGGATATTGGGAGTTGGGCGATGGATAAAAAAATAGACTGATACGAGTGTGAAGCCATTACTTGCAATAGGATGAAGGTAGGCGATGGTCCCACGTCATGACTTTGGCTGCGGAGGAGCAAACATTACTGCATCCATAGGCAAACAAACCACCTCGTTCGTTTCTGAGACCCTGCACGGGCCCAGAAATACACGAAGTGTAGGATCATAACCATCGGTGGGAGCCAAGGTGCGATCGTTGAGGGTGGGCGATGTCGGTGGATTTTGTAGAGGGTGGTTTACTGGTAGTGGACCACAGAACGAACAGTCGGTGTCAGCCCCGCGATATTGATAGGATGCAACAGGTGAGAGTATGCAGCAAGGCGGGATGGGGCTATGGTTTGTTTGCTGAAGGACTTGAGATGGCCAATGTGTGGTCGTGAGTGCAAGTGATGATGCATCGAGTCGCTGTATGCGTCCTGTAATATAGGAGGAGATTACTTCATGCGGAATGGCAGGGGCATCTGTTGCGCATGTACAAGCGAGTAGATATGTGGTTGTATGCAGACACGCGACCTTGTAGTGATTTGGCCTCATGACCGTCCGATTATCTGATATATTGCTACGTTGATGCCATAAATAGTTGAGCTATGAGGTTCTCGAGCAAGTACGCCCAGTTGCTTTTGCGAGAGATATCAGGGCCGGATGTGTTATACTGGACTATCCACAACATCGATCATACACACTACTTCTTATCTTCGAGAAAACATATCTTACCATACCACGATACATGTTGCAGAGAGAAAAAAAATCCATTCCTGTATTGTAGGCCGTCGATATGGAGTTCACTACGTAGGTTTTGTTTCGAGGCCATGTCCATGTACAGGAGGTCGTGTGCATGCTGGAGGAACGAGCGGTTAGTGTGGTGATCAACGGGCGGGCCCGGAAGTAGTATTCTCCACGGAGTGATGTCTACAAGAACTGGGAGACTCCAATGAGGATGCAGGCGGAGATGCGGACACCGTCTCGGTGCGGTTGTAGGCATCATGGACTGGCAACAGATGGCAACAGATGGCAATGGGCCACCTCGAGTCGGTCGAGAAGGCCCCAGACGAAGCCAACGAAGATCAACGACAACACGTAGACGCGGATGGTGTCCAGGCGCGGTTAGAAGCTGCACAGTGTAATTTGCAAGTAATGACGGGGCTGGGTTGGACTACCAGCGCTTCTCCCACGAGAGAGCCGGAGCGGGTTGAGCATCACGTGACGCTCGCTAGTACCGGGAACATTTCAGATCTTTGGGGGCAAAGAAGTACAAGCTCTCTTTTCTTTCGTCGCTTTCCTCGACACCGCATTCTCGATCCCACTGTACCACCTTCGCACTCCAATCTCGCCTCTCTACCTGGCCCACCGGCTTCTGCTGTTCGCCCGTTCAATTTCTCCCATCCCTCTGAAGAAAAGAGTCGCACCTGTCTGCGCATCATCATCCATTGTCCTTGGTCGCTGCTGCATCTACATTCAGTACATCCATCCTGCATCTAGCCAGCATTCGCATTCCCTCTCGTCACTTTTTCTCAGGAAACTCCTTCTTTTCTCCGCCATGGCTCCCCCTTCATTCGCCGCTGCGGCATCATCCTCTTCCTCGCGTGCAGATTCTGGCGCCGACTGGTAAGTACTGCTTGCCTGCTTGCCGGCTGGTTGGCTGCTCTTGGCTGCGTGCCGGGAACAATCTACTGTTCCATGCCGACTACTTGTTGACATACCTTTTCCTTCTTCCCGCTGTTCTCAATTATTCTCACGGTTTCTGTTGTTCTCGCTCACAAACTTTCACTATCGGTCCATTTCCACTACTCCCCTCTCGCTACAACCTTTACCCTTGCATTTTTGCACATTTCCAATTACGCGTCAACAAAAACCTTCCTCGAGCATGGGCGTGTATGTATCGTGTTGATCTGTGTTCGATTGTACTGACCCAACAACTCTAGGTCTCGACGCGCCAACGGTGCGACGCAAACATTTCGGCGACCCTCACACGCCACCAACCCTCCTTCCGCTTCGACCTCCCAGCCCGCTGCTCGCGACCCCACTGGCGCGCAAAATGTCCCGAACACAACCCCTTCCGTGTATGTCCCACCTCACGTCCAACGGAATGGCAGTGTCGCCGAGGGTCGCTATTCTAGAGATCAAATGTTGCATCTCTTCCGCGCACAACGGGCCTCGGACGACATCAACCACGGCCTGTCAGATCTCTACGTGGGGAACTGGGAGCCTAACGTCCCCAACGGTACCTCTGGTGCCAGTTGGGGCCGCAAGGACGACCATGGCAGAGACGGTGCAAGCGGGGTCGATCTCTGTTGGGACAAAGACGGTAGCATTGTACCCCTTAGCCTCACTGACATGGGCGATGAAGAGAGAGAGGTATGCTACTACCCACCCTCCTACATGCTTTCCCTTGCGTCGTGTTGAGCTTCGTCGTCTGACTTTTTGTTTCTCGCTTAGCTTTTTACCTCGTCTGTCAACTCGCCTCTGAAACCACCCACGCAGAATACCAATAAAGACGGAACTCCGAAAGAAGGATCTGTCCTACGAAAGGCATCTGTCTCTGGAGCTGGCGCCTATGGTCTTTCCTCTCCCACGACTGCTCGTCCAGGCAACCGTCGCCGTGACACTTCCGAAGCGTTTCCGTTCCCCGCCAACACTCACTCGCTTGCGTCGCCATCTGCCTCCCGGTTCTCTCGCGATGAGATAAGCGCCGTCACCCCGCCCCCATCGTTGATACGCCGTCGCACCGATTATAAGGACGGAGGTGCCCCCGAAGAGCGGGACAAAGAAAAGGCGGTTGTCGACAATGCGAATCCCTTCGGCTCCTTGAAACGGACCACAACTGCACCGTTTGGAACCAGTGGTACTACCTCGCCATGGTCCGCAACGCCTGGAGGAGGGTTCTCACCCATGGGCGCATTTGGAAGCTTTGCACACCCGCAGGCGGAAAAGAAGTCGGGCATGGGGAGCGTGCGTGGTGAAAGCAGGTTTAAAGGTCTCATGAGTAAAACAAGCATGGAAGATGTCGGTAAAGGGGGGCAGGAAAGTCAAGTATTGGGGAACCTGGGAGCTGTCTCTGAAGCGGAGCCTACCCAAAGCTCCTCGTGGGCAGAGGCGCGCTCCAATCGCCCGACTAGCAATGACACGGATCCGTATCCCGACGATGATTTGAGAACCGGAAGTGCAGCTCTTGGGGGTGGACAGGATCTCAGTCCGCCTAGAGCCCAGGGTTTATCATCGTTTACGACACCCCACCGACAAGATCCTAGGGATGAATCTGTATTCTCGGCTTTCGGCATGACAGAAAACAACCCGGGCATTCGTGATATATTCCATGGCGCTCACCAGACCCCACAATATCGAGGAAATGGCCCGCCTGAGCCGATGAGTCCCACAGACACAAATCCTTATCAAAGCCCGGATCACGGCGCACTTCACCGCGACAATCGCGACACGGAAGAGCCTGATAACCAGAACCAGCAGTTTCCCGGCATGGGAAGCTTTCAGTTGGACCCCAATGCAGGTTCTGGATTGCATAATCACGCCTTTGGAGGCCTGGGGTCCTTGGGTCGAAACCCCGGTGCCTTTGAACATGCGGCAGGCGATAGGAGCCAGACCTCGAGTGTAGGCCCTTCGCGTGGATTCCCCAGCATTCCTGGTCTCGGGGGGATACCCGGACTCGGCGGCGCAGGTACCTGGGCTACTGGCCAACAATCGATAGGCGGCACACCTGTACGAGAGCGTGGCGGCCTGGACAACTTGTTTGGCACGGTCGGAGAGGCACAATCTCCCAGCTTGGCTGGCCTCGGAAGCAGCTCTTTGCTCGGTGGCAGTCAAGGTGGTACCATCGGTAAATCCAGTAGGTTGGGGTCGCTTTTCCCAGCAGCGTTGCAAGAGCAGATGCGGTCCGAGCAACAACGGCCCGCAGATGAAGCATCCAGTCAAGGCGATCGCCAACAGAGTCTCACCGGAACTTTTGGTCGCGGGGCGTTCGGCAGCCAGGCTCCTGGAAATGCGATTCCGCCGCGCGACACCGACAGCCCTTTCAGATCGGGGCGCAATCTGTTTGAAGACTTCTCGGGTGGACATGCGGAGGATACACACGCTCAACCGGCTAACCTCACGACTTCGTTGTCGATGGCGGCACTCAATCAGACTCGAACAGCTCAGCCATCTGTGCAGACACCCGGCGTCAATAGCCCAGCTGCAAGCCAGCCTCCACCACCCCAGCAGCGCACCATGGTCATGCCTGACAGAATGCGCTGGATCTACCGCGACCCATCCGGTAACGTCCAAGGACCATTCTCCGGCTTGGAAATGCATGACTGGTACAAAGCAGGGTTTTTCTCTCCTGAATTGCTGGTGAAGAAGCAGGAAGATGTTGACTACGAACCCTTGCTTCAGCTCATTCGAAAGATCGGAAATTCGCGTGAGCCGTTCCTCGTTCCCCAGATCGGTATCCCCCACGGTCCTGCCAGTACAGTGCCAGGTAATGCTTGGGCTGGAAGTGCTACGGCTGGTCCAACTGGCGGCGCACAACCTCCATTTGCCAATGCGTTCCCCAGCTTTGGTACTACCTTGACAGCTGAGCAGCAGAATGCCCTCGAGCGTAGGAAGCAAGAGGAGCAGTATCTCATGGCTCGTCAAAAGGAACACCTTGCGCAACAGCAGGCCATCGCGAAACAAACCCAGATAGGCATTGGGCCTCACGGCATACTGCCACACCAGCTTCAGCACCACTCCAGTGCACACAGCTTGCACAGTCAACCCAGCTTTGGCAGCATCACCTCCCCCAGCGGATATCAACCCTCTCCAACGCAGGCACCGCTTACAGGCGCACCTGCTGTGCCAGGCTTGATTGACAATGCTTTCAGAGGGGCTGCGCCCGTACCTGGATTGGGATCAGTCGGTTCTAACATGGACATGCTTGGTCACATCCGCGAAGAAGATATCTCAGGAATGGTAGATCGCCTGAATATCAACCGATCCGGCCAGCAGCCTTTTGTTGGCAACCAACAGAGCTTCGGTCAACAACCGTCTGAATCTAATGCTTCAACTCAGCAAGTGGTCGCCATGCTGAACGATCGTGCCCGTCTTCAACGCGAGCAAGCTGAACATGACGCTCTGAGCCGTCTTGGACAGAATGACCAGCAGGCGGCGCAAGCATCAATGGACCGCCTGCAGCAGTTCCATGACCTTCGGGTGCAAACTGACCTTGATCAGCCGGCCTCTGCATCCGCACGTCCCGAGGGTGTGATCGCAAAGCCTGCGACTTCCACTGGAGATAATGTCCAGCGTGGATCCGAGCCTACATCCGCATCTGAGCAAGACGCAATTGAGAGTTCGGATGCTTCCAAAACCGAGTCGCTGTCTTTGACCGAACAGGTCCAGAAAGCGGCCTCTGCAAAGCAAACCGCACAAGTGCAATCTGCATGGAACAAGGTCGAACCAGCCATCCACCCATTCCCTCCACCTCCTTCGCAGTCTCCCCTTCCCGCTCCTGCGGCTCAACGGAAGCCTATTGCTGCCGATTCTCTTGCTGCAGAATCCCGCTCTCAAACTCCATCGGCAGATACTCCCAGCGCGTCGATTGCTCCATGGGCAAAGGAGCCTGCCGAAGCACCCAAGGGACCTAGTCTCAAGCAGATTCAAGAGCTAGAGGCTAAGAAGGCCGCTGAACGGGAAGCCATTGCTGCTGCGGCTCGCCGTGAAGCATTGGAACAAGAATTGCTGGCGCAGTCCCAAGCTTCTACTGTTCAACCTGGACTGCCTTCCAGCTCTACTTGGGCAAGCGGCGCCTCGCCAATCACCCCGGCTACTTCAAACTCTTCCGTATGGGGAGCTAAGCCTCTTGTCGGAAAACCCACGAGCCAACCTGGAGCGAATGCTAAGAAGACGCTCCAGCAGATTCAGAAGGAAGAAGAGGCCCGGAAACAGCGTGCTGCTGCCCAGGCTGCTGCTGCTATAGCAAGCAGTTTCGGTAGTACACCTCAGCCCGTTGCCTCGGGGAAGCGATATGCGGATCTAGCCAGCAAGAATACCCCCCCTCAGCCTGCTGCTGCGGGTGGAGCTTGGACTACAGTTGGAGCCAGTGGTAAAATGAAAGGACCGATTCCCGCCCCTGCACCACCAGCTGCCATCCGAACGGCCAGCAGCAGTATCGTTCCTGCTGTTGCCAAGAAGGTCTCGATGACCAGGACTGCTTCAACCGCCGGCGGACCCGCGATTGGGCAAGCAAACGCACAAGAAGAGTTCAAGAAGTGGGCCATAAACGAGCTCCGCAGCGATTTGAATCGAAGCATCAATGGTAAGCTAGTTTCTGAACGATACTGCATGATAAATATTAACATCATTACAGCCGACGACTTCGTTGCCTCTCTTCTCACTTTCCCTGCAGAAATGGACCTCATCACTGAATCCGTCCACTCTGCTACCCACAACATTGATAGCCGTCATTTTGCCGAGGAGTTCCTTCGCCGCCGAAAGCTAGCCGACAAGGGCATCATCGACGAGCGCAGCACATCATCCCCGGCTGAGAACAAGGCGGGTGGGGGTTGGAGTGAGGTTGCGAAGAAGAGCGGACAGGTCGCCCAACAGCAACAGCAGACTAGTCTCGACAATGGTAACTTCAAGGTCGTCGCTGCAAAGAAGAAGAGTGGTAAACGCTAAGTGATTTACTGCCGTAGCGTAACAAAATCGAGGGTTGTTTTTGTCCAATGGATCTTCAAAGTCTACCTCAGAGCGTTCGTTTGGATGTAAGCTAGGGGGTGGGAGAGGCGAAATGGAAGAAGTACTTGAATTGCGTATCACTGAACCATCAGAACGACTTGTCTGTGGGATCTCCCAATCGTTCGTTTTTGAATGGGTTTTGTTGAAAAGGAAACGGTGATTCAGTATTGGAGCAGATAAAATCACACAGTCACAGAATAGCTAGTTACAGGATCGATGTACAATCAATGAAATCATTCTGGCTGTATGACGCGTCGCAGACCTTCTTGTACTGACATGTGCGTTTTGAGGGGGGTTTCGGAGAATGCATTTCTTGAGACAATGGAGCGAGATATTCTCTCTCCTGATGCGCATTCAACTTATGTAGCACTCGCTGGACATGGATCGCGGAAAAATGGAAGAGAAAAGTGTAACATATCGTTGGTGTTTCATTAGACCCTGAATGGCACATGACAGTCAAAGTCTCTGCCCGATTTCAAACGCCAGTCGCCAGGTATAAACACAAAAAGGTATCTTCATCATCATCAGCCAGCCATGAACGCCCCAATCCTCCCAAGTCGGGCTCCAATTCGGACGGTACCACCTGCATTCAAAAAACGATCCCCTTCCAAGTCCGCAGCTAACAATGGAAATCCCAAACAAAACGATGAATATTCCACAGTGAAGATTACGCCAGTACAAATCTTGCAACAACCCAAAGATCGGATCTATTCGTTCCCAAGAGTCCGCCAGAAGTAGTTGGTGTAGAAGTGGCGTGAGAACTTTGGATCGATATTGACGACGTGAACATCGCCTTTGGCAGCGTTGCGGATAACTGCTTTGTTGTACTGGCCCGTGGTAGGATCGGCCTCGACGTCGATACCGAGGGTGCGATAGACTTTCAGCTTGAGTCTGGTTTTCAAATTAGCAGATGCATCTTCACTTCCCACGAGCTCCCGGAGGAAAATCTCAGGGAGGGATAGAACATGAATGGTGGACTTACACAGTAGCATCTTCCTCGGCCGTCTTCTCCCTCTCCCCACCTTCTACGCCTTCAATTTCCAAATCACCCAAAACATTCCCCAGTCGCGCGAGCTCTGCCTCAAGACGTTCACCCTCCATCTCCAGATCGCTCGCTTGCTTAGCCGTCTTGAACTTCTCGGTGTCGAGGCGCAAGATCTCGGCGGCGTGCGTGGTGGGATTGTGCTGTGCGAGAGTGTGATTGTGGTTGCTGGAGAGGGTCTGGTGGGTTCGAGATAGGCGGGTGAGAGTGGATTGCAGCGACGAAAGGTGCTGTTGGCGGAAGGAGGATAGGGTGTTTAGGGAGTCTGAGATGCGGAGAAGAGAAGCGCGGTCAGAGTCGAGTTTGAAGTGGGAGGTGCATTGCGCTATGAGCTGTGATCGGAGTTAGATATATGATATAGAAGAGAATTTTTGGGAGTAGACGGGTGGGTTTTGGGTTTCGTCGCGGGGTTGTTGCGATGACTTGAAGGTAGAGGGGACGTACCGAAGCAGGGTCTTCGTCGAGAAGCATGTTGGGTGGTGTGGTAGTGATCGCGTAAATGTGAATATGGCTGTGTGGATGGCTCGGATTATTCTTGAAGTGTGCAGTTGAATTGATTCTGATTGTGCGGAGAAAACGGTACTGTGATGGTGGAGTCGCGATATAGAGTTCGAGTGTAAGCGTGGTGTTGACTTTTGAATGTTGTGATGGACCGTGCGGCGGTTTCCCGCCCAGCAACCAACGGCAATGAACTGGGCCGCAGTTTCGGCCACGCGCGTACGTCACTCAGTGATTCCTCGAGCTCTGTCACCTGAACACTACTTAGCACTGCCGACTACATACTACTCAACGATCTACAACATCACTACCACCTCAGTCGCATCGTCTCTATTCGGAAATCTGCTGTAGAGAACATCAACACTCTTGTCCTAAACTCCACTTGGTTACACTAGACAGCAGAAATGTCGCCATCCTTGCCTTGTGAGTGTGAAGTCTGGTGAAGGAGTGCGACTGAGTAACGAGCGAGCTGACCATTTGTTAGATGCTGCGGATGTCGAATCGCCACTCAAACCAGATGAGCTCCAAGTCCTCCGCGCACAGTACGAGAAGGAGGGAGAATACGTTGGTCTTCAAACAAAATTCAATTATGCCTGGGTCAGTCCTTCAACCTTCTTTCTTTTCCACATCGCATGCTGGTTCTGTACATTGCGCCGTCCAATAGAAAACTGATTGATGGTTTTTGCAGGGCCTGATAAAATCTTCCACGCGAAACGAGCAACAAGAAGGCGTCCGCCTCCTTTCCGAAATCTTTCGCAACTCGCGTGAACGCCGCCGCGAATGCCTCTACTACCTTGCCCTTGGGAACTACAAGCTCGGAAACTACGCGGAAGCACGCCGATACAACGAGCTGCTCTTGGAGCTGGAACCTGCGAACCTCCAGGCGAGCAGTTTGAAGGATCTGATTGACGACAAGGTTGCAAAGGAAGGCCTGGTGGGTGCGGCGATTGTCGGTGGGATAGCGGTAGCCGCGGGGCTCGTAGGGACCTTCTTGGTGAAAGGAGCGCGAAAGAGATGATTGCTTGATAATGGGAGGGCTTAGTGTCTGAGTTGTCTGGATATTATATTTTACTGCATCGGGGTGTTATCACGAGTGCACACATCAGGCGTTGATAACGGACGGGTCCCTGGATTGCAGCTTGCACAATGATTGATTTGCGTTTTTTGTTGAGCTTTGCTTTCCAACACGCCGATAGACTGGTATCTTCGCAAGCGCATGGAGGGTTTGCTATTTGCTGGTTGCACTCTGTCTGGGCGAAGGGGAATCATGCTGGTTGACAGCGTGGAATCGCGTGGAAGTGGGCAGAAGGGGGACATGTGTCTAACAGGTCAAGAGTCGACAGCAGACAATCATTTTAGCGAGCTGATAGGGCGAGACAAAGCACCTGTGGGGGACTGTACATATACCTACTCAGCTGTAGCGAGCGGAGCCACTCCTCTTGCCTCTATAAACTCTCCACTCTCTGTGCCTCATCTTGTCCAGCGGCTATCCGCTTAAGATAAATCGATAACCTTTTTCGGCACCCTCCGGCGGAACAACGCCGCGCTCGCTCCCCCATCTCTCGCCGCCATCGCGTCACCGAGCGAACCCTGTCCCGCCGATTTCATCATCAAGATCAGCAAGGCACAAAACCTCGCTGCCATACCGCACCGAGCGATTGCCACCTTCCTCCTCCTCAGCCCTAATTTCCTCTCCTATCCTACGACTACTCTCCGACGAGTCTGGTGTTCTTTGCAGCTGCAGACAGTTTCAGCTGTCCTGTTGGTCATTGTAGCTGGGCGCATGACGGCATCTCCATCTTACTTCGTGCCGAGCTTTCGAAATCACACTTGAGTCTACCCACAGCCTCGTGAGTCCTCTCCCCAGTATTTTACACATGCCTCAAGTCTGACTGACTGTAGCGTAGTCTGCTCGACGAGTTTACCTCGTCACCTTGCTCTACTCTCTCCGTACACACATACCCCACCACCACCACCACCATCATGGCATCGACACCCGCCCGATCCACACAACCCGCAGGGAGACGGGAGATGATGTTTTGTCATGAATGCCACGACGAGTGGTATCGCGACGAGAAGGGCATAATTTGCCCCGAATGTCAGAGCGAGTTCACCGAAATAGTAAATATTATCCATTTGCTGCTTTTCAAGCTGCTCGTGCTTACATTCAATTCTCAGATTGAAGACGACAACGACCCCCGAGATAATTTCGAACGCGCTCACGACGACGATAGCGAGGATGATTTTGAAGACTCCCTACCCTCCCTAGAAGAAGCCAGTGCTTCCCACCACCCATTACACCACCACAACCCATGGGCAGAAGTTGACGACCCCGATGAGGCCGACATCAGCTCCATGCGATTCCAGCCCACTGGACCTGGTCGATTTCATGTACAAGCCACTATTCATCGCACGATATCTCCAGCACAATTTGGAGTTGGCGGTACTGGTGCCAATTCTATGGGAGCTTTCCAGTCCTTACTTGCCAATCTCATTCAAGGTGCGCAGCCTCCGCACACCCCTAGGGACGGCCTCGAAACAGATGGCCAGTCAGAATCAAGACCGGGAGGGGATGAAGCTCCCCGGTTCACGCGGTTCACATACTCTTCAAACGCTCACCTGCATCCTCGCGACGACAATCACCCCGAGCCTCGCAACGAGCCAGTGGACGACATCAACGGGTACGAATCTTGTAGTTATTTGTGTGAATGCATGCAGACTGACGTGGTGATAGCGTGATGAATGGTCTCTTCCAATTACTGGGCGAGACTCCGGGTGTGCACCATGCTGGACCGGGTCAATCTCCCTTCGGCGATATACCTCCAAATCCTCTCATGGGCTTGTTTGCAGCGATAAGCGGTGGCCAACATGGCGATGCCGTATATTCGCAAGAAGCTTTGGATCGCATCGTTTCACAGCTTATGGAACAAACTGCCACCAGCAATGCGCCAGGCCCTGCCTCTCAAGAAGACATTGACGCTCTGCCGCGGAAACTGATTTCGGAGGATATGCTGGGGGCAGAACATCGTGCAGAATGCAGCATATGCATGGATGAAGTCAACATTGGCGAAGAAGTCACGGAACTTCCCTGCAAACACTGGTTCCATCACCACTGCGTTGCTGCGTGGTTGAGCGAACACAACACGTGCCCACATTGCCGCAAAGGAATCAAGGGCGAAGAAACGTCGTCGAATGCTCAACAAGATGGGAATAGAGGGTCTGCCGCAACTTCAGGCAGCGACCCGACTTCCTCTATGCCAGGTGCTTTTGGTGCCACTAGTGAAGGCGTGAGCAACAACCCCAACTCGAATCCAGCTCCTGGTCAGGATGGCGGGAGTGGGGGCCCAGGGCTTGGGGACCGGTTACGCAGGGGTTGGTTTGGATCTCAGCAAGATTGACCTCTTGCCATCCTTTCTTTGGAGAATTGACAGCTAATGGTGTCCATGATTTAGCCAGGAACCGAGCACTGGGGAGAAGATACCGCCGCTACAGAGACATGGAGCTTGACGAAATACATTTCGCTCGTGTCGGGGACCGCCCGGTGATGATCGCGCGTATCAGGATGAGGTTGGACTCTGACGCCGACCAGTGACGACGGTAGCCATGTTCCCCTTCGATCCCATGACGTTTGTGATCTTGGAGTTTGTTTTCCTGGGTAGTTGCTGGCGTTATTCCTATTCCCCTTGGCCGAATTCGATCAGCCAGTGCCCTGTATTCTAGTTTTGCTTTGAGCTGTTTTATATTTCCAGCCTTTCCCCGTTAATTGTACATCTTTTCCTGGCCCAAGTGCAGGTACAGATGGGCAAAGAATGGGGCGTGCGTCAGTGGTTGATGTCGAATACCGACATTACTTGGTGTACGACCGCCCCAGAATCAACATGAATGATGGCACACTTGAGATTGCAATAGACATAGCCACGGAGACTGTTTGACGAAATGTCAAGTGCATCGCTCGTTGGAAGCCCAAGGGGCCACACGGGTGAGGCGAAGAATGATGCTGAGCCAACATGCACCTAGACTTCAGGCGCCGAGGCCAGTGGAAGCTGGTGTGTGGGTGGAGATTGGGACAGTATCGCGATGGATGCAAGTTTGCAAACATGGATTGCCGCCATGTGCGAGTCCCAACGAAGCCATTCACCCCAGGCAACAGAAGACTAACAGGAAGCTATTATTCTGCGCGCACATGGGCGGCACGCGCTATGCATGACACCGCCCATGTGTGGCTAGTGCTCGATTTGGTGCCCGAGGTTGAACCACCCATGCAACCGACGCAAAGAGGCGGTCAGTGCTGTTCTTGCGTGTTCGCGTGGGTGGTGGTGGTTTTTTTTTTCTCTCTATGCTGCTCTTTGCATGTCTACCCGTTGGCGCGGTTATGCAGGGTCCGTCCCATTCCCGCCTATCCCGCTACCTTACCATCTGCCTACTGCCTACTACCCGCTGCATTGTGCGTTGTCCCTGTGTATTCATTGATGTCTGTCCTTTTTGCCTCCCCCCCTCTTCACGGATCCTGGTTAGTTGCGAGTTGGGATGGGAGGTGAGCCGATGAAATGTCTGGTTGATGCATTGTGACGATGAATGATGGGATGGGGGGTGTGAATGAGTGTGCTTGCTTCCATCCGTCACTCCCACTCAAGCGGATGATAAATTACCACCTGCCCGAGTGTTGTCCGTGGTGACGGTGACGGTGGTGGTGGTGCTACTGTACACTGTTATGACAAGCATAAAGACAATTGTGACAAGCAACGCACGTCGGTCGCCTCTGGTTTCCACTCGCCAATCTGCACAGACAACAATCCTGAAGGCGGGCGAGCGACAACGCATCAACGGCCCTGGTCCTCCCATGTGAAATCGTCGGTCGCGGCATATCCAATTCGGCGTCACTGATGCCCTCCATTTCGAGTATCTTGCCGCCAGCGCATTTGGGCGCGAAGAGAGGGGTGGAGGGGGGAGATGAGCTTGTCTGCCATAGCAGCGGTTCCTTGCCGCTGCCTCACGAGGGAATGAGCTGTGAGAGGTCGCCCCGTGGCATTCGAAACAGAAAGAAGAGATACCTTGGAAGACGAGCAATCAGAGTATTCGTCCAAACGAATTGCCGGTGTCGCTGTGGGAGGAGGAGTGGGCCTGACAAACCGATGGTTCGCATGACTTACCATTCCTCATTCACGGGAGGATACAGCTACGGTGACAGTAGTAGGTACCAGAATCGTGTAATATATTCATCCATTATACATGTGTTGTATGCAGTATGATGTATGGATGTCGTGCGCGCTGTCAATTGCCATCAATGCCACGCCTGCGACGTCAAAGAGGACTTGGTCGTTTCATCAGTGGATTTGCATTCACCGCTGCCAATTGATCAAAGTTAACTATGGGCAGCTGCGCTCTCTCGACAAGATTCGATCAATTCATTGTTCATCCATCTTCCCGCGCAGCATTGCCCTGCCATCCCGCCTCGACTCGGACTCGCACATAACAAGATAGATTACCACACACGCACCCCCAAGCACAGCGTAGTGCCACGTCAAAGCGCGTGTGATTGGCAACCCCCCCGGCCGCTTGCGACTTATTTTTTGGGGCCTGCCTGCATGTACATGGCGCCTTGTGTTGCCCGTACATAAAGAACGACCTCTTTCTCACCGGTGCTTTTGCCCATACTCCCGCTTGAGAGAATCAGGAAAGCAAATTTTTTTACTGTTTGATTCGCCAGCAATTGGCTATTAGTTTCCTAGCCCACCCATCGCGCGTGCGTGCCGATTGAGCTTGCAAGATAACCATGTTTGGCAGGAGCCGCAGTAGCTACGAGTGAGTCCTCTACATCCTTTCCCCGACTCTCACCGCCCTATCACTTTTATTTTTTCCCTACTCTCCTCTTCTCCTCTTCCCCTTCCCAATCCCCTACCTGTTCTACCTTTTCTCAGTTCGCACTGGGATTTGTTGTAGCATTCATACCCATATACTGTTTCTCCCTGGTAAGACGATCCGTTGCCTGTGGCTTGTTGTGGAGCTAGGCAAGCTCGAGCTCTAAGCTCTCTGTTTACCGCTATCGAAAGCTTCACCCCGAGCTCCGTGCACGCCCTGGTTTTTTTTTTTTCTGCCTGCGTCTGCAACAACAAACACCCGTCCACTTACCCCTCCTTCCGCTTGTTGTCTTCACGTTGCTTGATCAAACGGAGCTTGTGTAACTGACGTAATCAAACCCCAGTGTTTCCAACAAGGAGCAGAAGAAAATCCTTGCCGATATAGAATCCGGCAATCAGAGATTTGGGCGAAAGTTTTTGACCAGATCAACATCCAAGCGTGGGAACTTCAACCACAACCCAAACAACACCAACAACCACGAAAACAACAACGACGCAGCCACCCCCGTCGCTGCTGCAGAGCCTGCTCCTGAACCCCGTCAAGAGCCTGCTCAAGAAGACCGCCGTGGACGCAAGTCGACCAACTCTCAACGCCCCAAGATTGGAAAGCGTACGAGCAGCATGAAACGTGCCTACAACTACTTCTTTGGCGGCGTCGATCCCAAGCACCAGCAGCCTGCCTCTCCCACTTCTCCAGTTACCTCGCCCGTCAATGCCGAGGCTACAAAGACTCCGGGCAAGGACAATGTTGGTGTCGATACCCCGCCCGACACACCAGCCCAGGCTACACACAATGGAGAGAATGGAATCAGGCTCGTAAAATCCGACACAGTAGATGCTGATGCTGGTAAGTTCTGATCCCATCCAGCATGCTGATCCAGCATGTACCTCCCCGCAAGTTCAACCAGCTAATAACCACTCTCTATAGCCCCAGAACCTGCCGATCCCACCGACGATGATACCCCCGAAGAGAAAGCGAAGAAGCTCCAAGCCAAGATCGACAAACTCCGATCCGAACTCAACGAAGCCAACGATACCGTCAAGCGACAGGATGATACCATCGCTGGTATTGAGGGAGAGTTCAAGGAGCGCGAGCAGGCTCTCGAGTCCGAGAAGAAAACCCTTGAGGAGCACATGGTCAGTATCGTCGTGCAACAGGTCCGTGAGGCCAAGGCAACCGAACGTGACACGGTTATGGAGGAGTGCAAGGAGGAGTTCAAGGTCAAGGAATCTGAGCTTCTTTCAAAGATCGAGACCTTGGAGAAGAAGATTGCTGAGCTGGAGAACACAATCGCCGGCTTGCAATCCGAGAAGGGTGATTTGGTTCCCAAGTCCGACGTCGAAGCCAAGCAGAGCGAGATCGAAACCCTCACCTCCGACAAAGCTTCAACCGAGGAATCGCTTGCCAAAGCCAACTCGGAACTCGAGCAACTGAAGAACTCCAGCGCTACCTGGGAACAAGAAAAGTCTTCCCTCGTCCCCAAAACCGATCTCGAGGCAAAGGAGAGCGAAATTGCCACCCTTACCTCGGAGAAGGCTACAACGGAGGAGTCTCTTGCCACCGCCAACGCCGAGTTGGAGAAGCTCAAAGCTTCGAGTGCTGGCTGGGAGGAGGAGAAGGCGTCTCTAGTCTCCAAAGCTGACCTTGAAGCCAAGGAGTCCGACATTGCTGCCCTCACTGCAGACAAGTCCAAGGCGGAGGAGTCCCTTGCCAAGGCTACTGCTGAGTTGGAGCAACTCAAGTCTTCCAGCGCTGGATGGGAGGAGGAGAAGGCAACTCTCGTTCCCAAGACTGATGTCGAAGCGAAGGAGAGTGAGATCGCTAAGCTCACCAGCGAGCTCGAAGAACTCAAGTCCTCTAGCGCCACCTGGGACCAGGAGAAATCGTCGCTTGTTCCCAAGGCCGACCTTGAGGCTAGTGCTAATGAGCTTTCCACTGCTCAAGGCAAGATCGCTGAGTTGGAAAAGGATCTCAAGGATTCCAGCAGCAAATTTGAGGAGGAGAAGGCATCTCTTGTTCCCAAATCTAACCTCGATGCCAACGCCGCCGAACTTGCCAACGCTCAGGCCAAGATTACTGAGCTTGAGGCTTTGAAGGCTTCCCACGCCGAGGAACTTTCTGTCGTACAAGCCAAGATCACAGAGTTGGAGGGATTGCAAACCTCCGGCGCGGACGAGATCACTGCCGCCAAGGCAAAGATTGCCGAACTGGAGGAAGCTGTCAAGACTGCAGAGCTCTCCAAGGGTGACGCTGAGGAGTTGGGCGCAAAGATCGCCTCCCTCGAGAAATCCCTCGCGGAGAAAGAGAGCGACGCCAAAGATTTGAACGCCAAGATCTCTGAATTGGAAGAGCTCAAGGCTTCGAGCGCTTCCGAGGTTTCCAGCGCCCAGGCAAAGATCACCGAGCTCGAAGAAAAGTCGAAAGCTGACGCTGAGGCCCTTGCCCAATCCGAAAAGAAGGCTTCTGAGCATTCCGAGGAAATCACCAGCGCTCAGGCCAAGATTGCTGAGCTCGAGAGCTCCAAAGGCGATGCTGCGGAGTTGGCTGCTAAGATCACCGACCTCGAACAGCAGGTCAAGGACAAGACCGCCACCGCCGAGGAAGCTTCCACGAAGCTTGCGGATCTTGAACAGCAACTCAAGGACAAGTCGGCCAGCGCTGACGAGTCTTCCACCAAGCTCACTACATTGGAGGAGCGATTGAAGGAGAAGACCACTGCTGCCGACGAAGCTTCTTCCAAAGTGTCTACGTTGGAGGAGCAGCTCAAAGAGAAGGCCACAACTGCTGATGAAGCTTCTTCCAAGGTGTCTGCTCTGGAGGAACAGCTCAAGGAGAAGACGACTTCTGTGGATGAGGCTTCTGCTAAACTTGCCGAACTCGAGAAGCAACTAGAGGAGAAGACAGCCGGTGCCAACGATGCCACTGCCAAGGTTGCCGAACTCGAACAGCAATTGAAGGAGAAATCTGGCAGCGCTGATGAGTCCTCTGCTAAGCTCGCCGAGTTGGAGGAGCAGCTTAAAGCGAAGGCCAGCGAATCTGAAGAGCTTACCTCCAAGGTGAACGAACTGGAGGGCCAGATCAAGGAGAAGGCTGGCAGTGCCGATGAACTCAGCACCAAGGTCGCTGAATTGGAAAAGCAACTCAAAGACCAAACCGACGAGCTCGCTGAAGCCAAGAAGGGCGCCGAATCATCCAAGGAGTTGGACGCAAAGATCTCTGAGCTTGAAAACTCTCTCGCCGCAGCCAAGGCCGACGTTGAATCGAAGGAATCTGACCTTGCCGCCAAAACCAAAGCTCTTGAGGAGGCCGAAGGTCTGAACAACAAGATCCAGTCTCTCGAAGAATCCATCAAGGCTTCCGAGGAGAAGGAGAAGGCTGCTGGTGCTGAGTTGGAGAAGGTGAAGGGTGAATTGGAGAGCAAGACTGAAGCCCTGAAGGCAGCCGAATCAGCCCAGGGTGAGGTCGAGATACTCAACGCCAAGATCGCTACTCTCACCACCGACGTCGAGAAGCACACGGCCGAGCACGAGTCAACCAAAGGCCTTCTCAGCGCTGCTGAAGAATCCAAGACTGCCGCCGACAAGGCTCTCGCTGATTTGAAGGAGGCCACGTCCGGTCATGAAGCAGCACTTAGCGCCGAAAAATCCTCCCACGAAGACACTGCCTCGAAACTCAAGGCGCTTGAGACCGAGAAGAGCGAAGTGGAGGAGAAGTTGAAGGCCGCGTCTGATGCTTCTGGTACCAACGACGCAAAGCTTGCCGAGCTTCAGTCTCAAGTCGACACCCTGACCACTGAGAAGGGTTCCAAGGAGACTGCACTTTCCGAGGCGGAATCCAAATTGACCAAGTTGGAAGAGGAACTCAAGACTGCCCAGTCTGCGTCTGACGATGCGAACAAGACCCAGGAGGAGTCGGAGAAGAAGGTTCAAGAGGCACTTGCCAGCTCGAAGGAATCAGAAGAAAAGGTCAAGGAGGCTGAGGCCAAGTTGGAGAAAGCTCTGTCTGAAAAGAAGGACCTGGAAGACAAGCTTGAGGCCGCTCAGAAAGCCAGCGCTGAGGCCCCCAAGACCAACGGTGCTGCTGCTGAAGAACCTGCAAAGGTCGAACCCACCGCAGAAGCGGCTCCATCGGTAGAGCCAAGCGCCGACGTCGTTTCTGAGGAGTCGACCAAAGAGTCTGCTGCTCCTGAAACCTCCGAGCCATCGGAACCCGCCGCTGAGCCCGCCGCCAAACCTGCTGAGGAGCCTGTTGCTGAAGCCGAGCCCCAGACTCTGAGCCGTTCCAAGAGCAAGAAGAAGAAGGGCAAGAAGGGCAAGAACAGCGTGTCTGAGCCTACCGATGCCCCTGCTGCCGCATAGTGGATCATACCTTGATCCCTAGCAGTCAGCGTATGGTGTGTCCAGTCGAGACTCTGCGCTGAGCGGAAGATCTCCTGTATTCTGTTTTTTTCCTCTCTCGTTTGCTGCCATTCCCTTAATTCGGCATACGGCATTATACCCCCCTCATTGTCTTTTCGACGCGAGCGAGCAGCCGCGCGTGTGTGGCTCTGTAGATATTGGCGGCGGCTGCGTGGTCCGGGACTGATGTCGATGATGCGGGTTTGTACAATCTGGTGTTTTTGTTGTTTTGTTTCTTAGATGGATGCTTTCCTTGTTTCTTTCTTGCATGTGGACTACGAAAGCTGTGGAACATCAGACTGACCATGATACATATGAGCACGACGTATGATTTTGCAAGACTTGGGGATGAGGGTGTAATGTTTACGAATGATTAATGATGTTTGTTTATCAGATTGGTTTGCTAGTTACGCATGCGAGTAGTGCGATGCTCATGATGGATGATGGTTCATCATTCTTAGCTAAAAAATTCATGTCACTTTTTGTTCTACTCTTTCGATGTCGGAAAACTCAATCCCTTCAACAGTAACCTGCCAAAATCAACAACTACCCCGTTGGAATTCAAAAGGAGATATTTTCATCGCCTCTGTAGTTGAGTATTCAGAAACCCCTTTCATCCGCGCCGATCCAAAATACTAGCGGAGAGCCAACCCTGAACATCGTCATCACTCAGAACCCTCGTCTTTTGCTACCTCGGACCAACCCCATCACCACTCATCCTCACCGACATCATCATCATCATTGAATCCACCCACCCATCCAACCCACTCATCCTTTCTCTCTCTCCACAATGTCGTCTTCACAAGCGCCCAAAAAGCTAGTCCCGACTCTAACCCTGTCGGGGGCGCGCGCAGCCTTAGCCGCCGCCGAGAAGCGCGCCGCCGAAATCGAGGTGCCCATGAACATCGCCGTTGTGGATTCTGCGTGTCATTTGCTGGCGTTTGCGAGGATGGAGGGGGCGAAGATAACTTCTGGTATGTTTTTTTTTTTTCTTTTTTTTTTTTCGTATTCTGTGTTTACTTTTCGGAATGTCAAGGGGGTTTGTTTCTACGAGGGGTTGATGTTGTATGGGCTGGCCATGATATGATGGAGTATTGGAAGGTGCAGCTTGTGTAGATTAAGCAGCGGCTCTCCCACATGTCTACCGAACTACATCTAGTACTCCCCTGTCTGGAGAAGATGAAGAAAAAGAGGACGTTGGGAAAAGAAGTCACAAGGCTGACAATCCTGCACAGTATCCATAGCCCTCGACAAAGCCGTACGTCCCCAGCCGTAACCTCCGTTTTCCTAACCCTAGCCCTAACCCTAACATCTATAATACATGTAGTTCACAGCAGCAGGCCACCGCCTCCCCACATCGGCGTACAAAGACGTCGTCTGGCCCGGCGGTCCCGCCTACGGTATCAACCACAGCAACGGAGGCCGCTTCATGACTATCGGCGGCGGCGTGCCCATCATCGACCCCGAGTCTGGGAGCGTGTTGGGTGCTGTGGGGTGTAGTACGGGATTGCCGAGTCAGGATGAGGATGTTGCGCTTGCTGGGGTTGAGGGGGTCAAGAGGTCGCTGGCGGGCGGGTTGAAGGCCAAGTTGTAGAGAGGAGGTGGTGGTGAAGCTGAGGGAGACGAGATGCGTTTCTTGATGTGGGGATTACGATAGGGGAGAGGTGCAGGATTGAGGGTGTGCTGTTTCTGGGATCGTTTGAGAGTAGATGGACGCAGACATTGCTCTTTCAAAGCACTCGCCTCCCCGTTGAAATTGCGCGACTCATTTGTGTCTCGTCTCAGAAGCGGAGTAGAGGTCGGGCTTGTTGCAGCCCCATTATCAAGAATAAACAGTGTGCATGTAGACTTTTGACTGAATAGAGTCGATGTTGTCCTGTTCCGGGCTCGAGATAGAAAAGATGGAAGAGCAGAAAGTTTTTTTGAGCCTCGTAATGTCTTAAACCTAATTTCTGGCACACACACAAGAGTAATTGAGATTGATATACACGATGCACCATGAGTCCAAATGTCCGTATCGGGTATGCACCTCGTCAAACTCACGTGCCAAAGTACCATTTAGCCCCCCCTCCATGAGTAATCCCTCCTTTGTCTGAGGTAGATTCCCGTGAGTTGGTGTGGCACCACGTACATGCATACATGGGGGCGGGTTTCGCACCCGATCTACAAAAGAACGATGCAAGGTTAGATGGAAAAAAAGGTAAAAATAGTACCGTCTCGCTACCAATCTTGGTGGGTGTGATCTTCTCGGCCCTTCAACCCTACATGTGTGGCATTCGCTTGATTCTCGGTCACATTGGTTCACTTGGAGAGGGTTGGCTGCTCGAATCTTCCTGGTGAAGATCTGTTGACGGTTGTTGTTGGGATCTAAATATACATAACATGTACTATTGACCAGAGGCGTCATGGTCATGGGTATGAGGATGACCTCATATAAGAATCATGACTGAGGTTTCAACAAGCCTTTCTAGATGATGAAGATGATGATGATTCGTGAGATCGGTCTTCATCCTTCCCACGGCGCCGAGTGGCTCTCGGATAGATATGTTATTCGTACGTTCGCATCCCGATGGTCCACTGCAGATGGCCGTCATGCACGACTTGGTAGTTTACGAGTCTGTAATCTCCGCTCATTTAGCTTGAAACGGGCCCTTAAGTGTTTTGCACGCCTCCTCTAGCGCCCAAGCAGTTAGCCTACACGAAAGAGCCCAATCGGTTTATTTTGCACCTAATGATGCATCTCGCTCGTTTGCCGTTTCTGGGCCAGCCTCGTCAGGAGAGCCATCTCCACATCGCTCTGGCAGCGCAATGCGCATTACCGCATACGAAAGACTACACCGTTAAGATTTGGCCTTCCCCGGCTTCTGATTATATACATCTCGTGGATTGCTATATAGTTTCCAATGTGCGCCACATAGCCTTGTCACACCCCAGTCACTCGTTCCCTTCGTGCTACTACCTGCTTCTCCTCGTTACATCCTAGTGTGCGAGCTGTATTATTTTTTCCATTCTTCTGTTGTGATTCCATTCTTTTGCACAACATGCGTCTTTCGCTATTCGCTTCAGGCCTTTTGGCCGCCGTCTCTTATGCCGCGCCGCTGGCTGAGAGGGCTGAAGGCAAACTCGTCTTCGCCCATTTCATGGTACCGTCACCGACTCACGCAGTGCACGAGAAACAAGAAAATGCTAACGTGCTTTTCAGATGGGCACCCAAGCGGCCAGGACTTCATCCAAAGATTATGATGCCGACATGCAGCAGGCCAAGGCGGCTGGCATTGATGCATTCGCTCTCAACATTGGCCTGGACGACTACACGGAGAAACAACTCGACTTTGCTTACCAGTCGGCTGCCGACAATGACTTCAAGGTCTTCATTTCTTTCGACTACAACTATTACACCACTGGCTCCGAGGCTGCCGTCGCTAGCCTCATCAAAAAGTACGGTGGAAAGCCGAGCCAACTGATCTACAACAACAAGATCTATGTGTCGACATTCAATGGAAACCAGGAGCCGGCCAAGACTCTCAACGCCCCTGCCCTCAAGGCAGCAGCCGGAGACATCTACCTTTGCCCCAACTTCATGCCCAAGGGGTCATCAGAGGGAATTGATTGTACGTATTCCGTGGTACCAGAAGCATAGGGCACCTGCCGAAAGATGCCGTGAGCCCATGGATCTATGCAAACATATGCTGGCAGAACTGTACTAACAATAAAACAGGCGCTTTCAACTGGGCGGCCTGGCCCAACAACGGTGCAAACAGGGCACCAACGTCAGCTGTCAACCTGACCGTCGAAATGGGCGATACCGATTACAAGAACTGGCTCGGAAGCAAGGCCTACATGGCCCCTGTGTCTCCGTGGTTCTTCACTGACTTTGATCAATACGACAAGCACTGTAAGCAAACCCACCGCCCTACGGCCTGCTTAGTAACTGACCACGATATAGGGGTTTTCCCTGGCGATCTCCTCTGGCACAGCCGCTGGAACAACATTCTCTCCTCAGCCCCTCAGTTCGTCGAGATCATCACATGGAACGACTATGGCGAATCCCACAACGTCATCGACCTTCCCGCCGGCTCGACTGTAGACGGCGCGGCCTGGTCCTCCGATATGCCTCACCACGGCTGGCTCGAGATGGCCTTGCCCTACATCAAGGCCTTCAAGTCCGGCGCCACCGCCCCTGCCATCGAGGAGGAGAAGCTCGTATACTGGTACCGCACTTCCAGGGTCGCCGACTTCCCCAAGGCCATTGAAGGAAAGGAGACGCTCCGCGACTCTGTGTTTGTGGTCGCTCACCTCAAGTCCGCGGGTACTGTCACTGTCACTTCTGGATCGACGTCGCAGACGTTCGAGGCCCAGGCTGGCGCGTCGGCTTTTGAGGTTCCTATGGGTTATGGCCAGCAGACTTTCAAGTTGAGCCGTGGAGGGCAGGATGTCTTCAGCGGCACTGGTAAGAAGCAGATTACCAACCAGGGTACCAACTTGAACGCCTATGTTGGTGTAGCCAAGGCATAAATACTATACTTTTATTGTCCGCGGTCAGCGTATACCTGCGGTTCAGCCTTTTGCATCCTTTTGCATCCTACATGATCTACGTCTTTTGCTTGTAGTAGTGTTAATTCCATCTTCTGCATGTTCTGTATATCCTAGCTGGAACTGAAACGGGGGTATCATTCTGATGTTAAGAGCTACTGCAGTGTCGTTATTTACTCCTCATGACAACAGAGCACCACGTCCTAACAATATCCAGCCTCGCGGCATCGCTCGCCTGCTCGAGCTCCGCCTCGCCCAACCCCACCACTACATTCACAGCATCATCTCTCCCCCCAAAATTGATGCTCTGAATCTCTTTATACAACCCCACCGACGAGTACCCCACAAGACCAATCATACCCGCCGCCGGCTTACAAACAATATTCCCAACCCCTTTCCCAACGCCCTTCGCAAACCCCGCGAGCCCGTCCTCCTGCGCACCCAGCACGGGCTTGACGAACAGATCCGCCACCCCGCCGTACACGCCATGCCCGAACCCTTTTGCGCTGACGGAGATGCCGCTGCGGAAATCCACCACGTTTTCGTACTCGTGCACCTCTTCGCCGTATAGCTTCGGCACGTTGTGGAACCCGCGCGTCATGCCGTGCGAGAAGGTCATGGGTGCTTTGAGGGCGGCGCCGATGATTTGTCCGAGGCCTTTGCCCGTGCCTATGGCGATTTGTTTTGCGGCTTCGGGGGCGGATCTGCTGCTCTTGGACGTTTTGGATTCGATGCTCTGGCTCTCGGTTTCTCGCGAGGGTCGTGGGTCCAAGGGTGTTGTGGTTGTGGTGCTGGCGGCTGGGGATGAGAGACTGCGCGCTGTATGCGGTCTGAATAGAGAGTCTTCTTGAGGTGCTGTTTGGGTGTGCTGGGCGTATGGATTGTTGTTGTTGTTGTCGTTGGCTTGCTCTTTTGTGGCCTTGTTGGCTCTAAGACCTGCCTGGCGGCCGATCTCTACGGGTCCTTGGATGAGACCGAGCATGACGTCGCTGACTAGATCGTAGGTGAAGAACGCTGCTGCGGATAGGGGATCGCTAGGATCCCGCTTGATCCCCGATGAGCGTGAGACTCTAAGCTAATGTTCAGCCTCGTCTAGATGTAGGAAGGAAGGGGGATGGGGCAAGATGCGTACAGCTCAAGATCTTTTTGACGGACTAAGCCTTCCTTGACCAACACAGCGGCTGATAGTGGGCATAGACACATGTTCTTCCTCTTTACAAGCCAAGTCGCGGGTCGTTCAGGTAGCAGGCTGCAACGCTTTATGTGCACACTCGCAGCATTGTTCGTCAGCTCAGTGAAGTAGTCGGGCGGGAGGTCAGAGGGCAACGAGGTTTGTCTGCTGATATCCGGGCTTGTATGTGCTCTGTGTAAGGATTCTGTATGTGTCGAGTTCACACTGTCGAACTGGGGTTGAGGCACAGCAGGAGCATCGTTTCCATTTCTGGAACTCGAAGCTGCAGATTTCTCTGCCTGGACTGCCTCGGCGTCTAGAGTCTCTTCGCCAGCCGTAGTGCTTGAGGTATAAACTGGAGGCCCTGCAGATAAGTCTTCGTGGCTCTCAATGTCTACGCGGATGATAGACGATCGAGCAGACTCCAAGACTTCGTCTCCGGTACGAGTATTGGTTGCTGTCATTGTGGCAAATTTTCCTGGATCAAGATGAATTGTGTGTATATCAAGCTGAGCAGTAAGTATCGACAGTAGATATATACGAATCATATAATACTACATTCGTGGATGGCGTGCGTAGTCCCCAGACCGTTTTTGGAATAGCCCCCATCCCGTATCGTGCGAGACCTGCGGATAGTGGCGCAGCGTACGCGTATCGACTTCACCGCAGCGCTGTCGAGTGAGATGTGTTACAAAATACGCCATAATCCATACCTGTCGCACTGCATGCCCCTTTAGGAGCTCAGATCCTGAATGTAATTGGTTGAATTAAGTGATTTACTCACGTGACTAGGCCCGTCTAATTCAGAGGGCTAGAAGTATGTGCTTTCGATCGCCCTATATATAGATGACTTTTCATATGATATGTTTAATAAAACAGATGAAATCTCATATTCTACTCTCCAGATTGGTGATTTACATGCTCTATAATAATGCCTTTGTATGATCTCTTCAATTCGGCAGCTCGTTTAAGATTATTTGTAGATCTCTGGCGCACAAAAGAGTCCGGTGTACAACGAATTCGCCAGTAAGCAAAACCTTATCAGAATTACGACCATTAATATTGAGCTCAATACACTAGTCTTTCAGCGCGGTACTCAAGGTGGAGGCGATGCTCCAGGCCTTGGAGTCAAGCCATCGCAAGCTTCTTCCAACTTTGCCTCGGCAATAGGTTGAGCGACTACGCCCTCCCACCCGAACAGCAAACCATTGCCTTTAGGTTCATATGAGTTCCAGCCTAGCTTCGATAGTCCATTGATGGGATCTTCTGCAAATGCGAGTCAGTAATCTTGCATCTTTGCTGAGACGTCAAGCTCCAATGCGGTCGAAGGACCATTTGCGATCCCCGAAGTTCCAAAAACCATCGGCAAGTCTGAGCCGTGATATGCGCCTTCCCACCACTGTGGCGAGATATTGCTAAAATTTCCGCCGTACAGATAGCGGTATGTGGTGAGCCCCGCAGCATAGCGATCCTGCGTAGTTTTGACACTTGGGCAGAGAAAAGTGCCTAGAGTGTAGAAGTCGGCTTCGGCTTTGTCGGGGCCATAAGTCTTGTTGTATGCTGTGAATGCCTCTCCTTCATTGGTGGCAGTTCCAATTATGGCCGGTATCTTTGCTGACTTTCCGCTGAGAGCTCTTTCAGTGTAGTTGGCGAACACAGTTCGGTTGTCCACTACGTAACTGAAAGCGAGAGACGGGACGGCACCAGTATTGTATTCATTTTCAATGAATTCAATGATATCGTCAGCGCTGGTATTTCTCAAGCAATCCACTTCGGCTTGTGCACTGAGGTTCCCGCATCCGAAATGGCTAGCAACGTATGTAAAGTTGGAATGGTCCGAAGCGGGCGAGCTCAGCTCTATTTCTGCAGTTCCAGAGTGCATGATCAGGCCTCGAACAATTGGGTCTTCGTAGTAGGCGAAGTTGTAATAATCCACAGACATCGCTCCTGAACTGAAGCCCCAAAGTGTCAAGCGATCGGGATCGCCTCCAAAAGTAGCAATATTCGAGCGTACGAACTCAAGAGCGAGACGTTGATCGAGGAGCCCTAGATTGCGCTCGTCCGATTTCAAGCCAGCTGCGTTTGGGAAGCCGAATATATTGCCGCGGTAACTATTGGCCTGTTAGAACGTGAACATTGCGAGAAGGCAGGGAGTGCACATGCTTGACTGCGACTACAATATGTTTCTGGCTCTTTTCGATCCATGAGCTTGGATTTTGATATGGAATATCAACACCTCCAGTATAAAATCCGCCTCCGTAAAGCCAAATAAGTACAGGCAATGCTGCATTCTTATTGCTATGGTCCTTCGGAGCCCATATACTCAACGATAAACAGTCTTCCCCTGTTCGACTGTCCTGGGGAACATTGAATTCAGGTGTATCCTCCGTGTTGATGGTGGGTATATTAGGCAAGAACTGGGGGCAATTATTGCCAAAAACCGTCGCATTGATGTTTTCTACCTCAGTCTTCGGAATCGGTGGCAGCCATCGTCTTTCATGCACTGGCGATTCAGCGTAAGGAATCCCGAGAAATTGGGCGACATTTGGTGTGTCGCGATCGCTGAAACCAGTGACTGGCCCCGAAGAAGTGTTTCTTACAATGAGATTGATAGCTGTTGCAATCTGCCCAAAAAGCGGGATAAACAGGAGTATCGAAAGTATCGTCATGGTGAAATGTCAACGAGAGAATGATTCCGCCGTTGTACGGATTCAATCAGCCTGTGTTTCTCTACATATTTGTACTCGATTCGCTTATATTGAGGTAGGCGAATTTGCATCATCGGCCTGTACCTGAGTAGCTTAATTAACTCAATTCCGCTCGCTCTCGCTCTCGCCCGAGACGCGACCCGCAATTGGGCTGATATGGATTAGCAAGCGGATGAATTTGGTTCGTGTAGATTGTTTTGCAGGATAGTAGACCGATATTGCCCGGGGGCTCTCGTACCTTTCCTATATGTGAATCACAGTAGCTACACCCGCGTCCAAAAAGCTGGAGAGTGATGAGAAAGAGATAGGGACGCGCATATCCCCTTTTATGCCCCCATCGTTGTAAATACAGCAGCTGCCCTAATCACACTCACTACAATTGCCCTCTCATCTTCATCAACGAAGAGGTAGCAATCGTTCTCCCAAACAGGCTGCGTGTCTCCATTCATTTACGAAATCGATGGCTCATGGAGGAAGAGAGATTTCAGTGGTGTGTATTCAGAATTTATTTCGCTGATATCCTTGCCAGTCGGTACGTTGAATAAGTACCCAGGTTGGTTTGGACCCATCGATCGAAACGTACAGGCATGCAATTGACGTGATAGCGGGGAAGTGGCGGCTGTGGCGCACGCTTTCCCCGCTCCCTCATACTAATTCAACTACCCAAGTGCTTGTTTCCCTCTTAACACAATATATTCACTATCTTCAGCTATTCTTTCAATATGAAAATCATCATCACTGGCGCAGGTGGCTTCGTAGGTCAAACCCTCGCAGAGAAACTATCGGAAGACCCAAAAAACGACCTCATCCTCGCCGACGTTCACAAACCTTCAAGCCCAGCGCCATCCAGTCAAATCGAATGTATAGAAACCGACTTGACGGATCCAAAAGCATGTCAAGACCTCATCGACAAATCTCCTGACGTAGTATACATCCTTCATGGAATCATGTCCTCCGGTTCCGAAGCGACTCTCGAGTTCGGGTTACAAGTCAACTTCGATAGTGTTCGCTCACTCCTCGATACCATACGCAAGAAGCGATCTGGAGTAAAAGTGATTTTCACTTCATCGTGTGCGGTTTTTGGTAGGGCTGCAGTAAAAGATGTCGCCACCGAGACAGACATCGTGCCGATGCCGGAAAGTTCCTATGGCACGCAGAAGCTTATGATAGAGTACTTGATCAATGACTACTCAAGGAGAGGATTGATCGATGGACGGGTAGTGCGCTTACCTACTGTGTTTGTACGCGCCGGGGCCCCAACTGCTGCGGCTTCTTCATTTGTCTCTGGGATTGTGCGGGAGCCGCTCCATGGAAAACGAAGCGAGTTGCCTGTAGATCCTGATATTGGGATTTGGCTTGTTTCACCGCGAACACTGGCTCATAACCTGGTGCATACGATGGATATTCCAGCGGAAGATTTTGGTCATTTCAGGACGGTTTTGCTGCCAGGTTACACTGCAAGTAAGTAAAACATTGACTAAACGTCTTTTTCCTCCCATGGAGCTTCATATGGGTTGATTAATGATTGCGCAATTGATGCTGATTGCTGACTTGATGCGTAGCAAGTGGAGAGATTCTCGATGCTCTAGAGAGAGTTGCAGGGAAAGATACTCGAGCTCTGGTCTCTGACAAAAGAGACGAAACGATTCAAAGAATAGTACTAAGTTGGCCAGCAAAATACGACACCACAAGGGCCAAAAGTTTAGGGTATGCAGAAGATGTAGGCTTAGAGCAAACTATCAAAGATTTCATGGACTCTATAAAACCGGCATAGAGTATTTCGAGCAGAAATTTTGCATTCCGACTTGAGAAGACTTTTCTCAACATCTAGGAGTTTCATGGCTTTATGAGTACGCCAAGATCACAGACAGAATAGAAAATGGAATAAGATATTGATCAATGATGAGAAAATCCTGGATTGGATGTCGCAGAGAATATAGATAAAGGTATGCAACAAATATAGACAGAAGAATATAAAACATGGCACAGAAAACCAATTTCGTCATGAAACGAGTATGAATACCACCCGGGCCATCGAATAACTAACAAGAAGCTACGCTGGGCACATTTTGGCACTTGGAGCTCTTCTCTCCTCCAGTGACACTGACACCCTTCCAAGTCCAGTCAGAGCAGCTTCCGCTTCCACACAAAATCTGAACAGGAGCCGCTTTGCTGGTTACGCTTCCCTTGACACCATCTAGGGTCAGCTTGGTGATTGGCACACCGTTGGTTGGCTTGCCAGTGGGCGATCCATTCTCATAGTCTTGCTGGATGATGACACCGTACTTGGCAATGTTCGAGAGCGTGATATCCTTGTAGGTAACGTTGTTGACGGCACCAGTGGCACCGGAGACAGTCTTGATGCGAACGCCGTTGTCAGAGTTGCTGATGGACGAGTTCTCAATGACTACACCGTCGACAGTGTTATCCGAGCGTCCTCCAACAGAACCGATGCTGAGACCGTGGCCACCAGAGCAGGTACCGCCAATGAAGTGAATATCCTTTCCGGAGTTGATGGCAAGACAATCGTCTTGGTTTTTGATGTTGGCGTTGGAGATGGTCACACCAGTTGAAGAGCCAACGTCGAAAGCGTCAGTGTTGTGGCCGCCGTTGGTCACATCTCCAGCACTGTTGTCGATGGTGATGTGATCAACAACGAGATCGGTTACGGTGTTGATCGAGAAACCCTGGACGGGGGTGTTTTTCACATTGAGGTTGGAGATGGTGGACTGCTTGAGTGAGTGGGCGTAGAAGAACTTTGGCTTCGTCTTGCCGCCGTTGGATCCCTTGCCATCCCACCATTTCGCACCATTCCCGTCAATGACGTGTCCACTTGCTCCAGTAACGGTAATCTTAGTACCCGACACGGAAATGAGGGGTCCTTTCCATTCCTTGTAGCCAAAGGACGTGGTGCCTTTGAAGGTGACTTTGGTGTTGTCTTTGAGCTTAGTCAAGTCCAATGTCTGGCCCGCGGGGACGGAAATGCTATCAAGAACAATATCCGTGCATGATTTATCGATTGAAGCAACGTCCTTAAAGGTGCAGCTGGCAGCGCGGTCTTCGACTCTTGCAGGCGCAGCAGACACGAGTGCACCAGCACTCAAAAGCAAAGTAGAAACATAGGTAGCGACCATTTTGACGACTTGATGCGTAAATTATGAAAAGAGTGACGAGGAATAGTAGAGAACGACTGTGCTGTTCCGATGTCGAGTGCTTTATCAAATACTTATAGCAATTGTCCAAATCCACGTCGGAACAAACGGATAAGCTAGTCTGGGGTACCTCCAAGGGTTATTAAAAAGCTTGTCTTTCTTGGGTGTGTCTATTTTCCACAACCCATGAATGTGTAAATGAAGCTTCCACTAGCTCACGTTGGAGTCGGCTGGCGAGGACCTGGTTTGCAAGCTAGAGTCTTTTACAGAGTATATAATCGAAGCAGCCATTCAGAGCACCGCCGTTTCGATGGTTCATTCGCTGGGAAAAGGCGAAGAGGCAGTGCCTAACATGATACAAAGAGAGGGCAATACATGTGTGCGTAGCGGAAATAAGATCGTAATGCTCCTTTGGCATTTGGTATGCCCTGGAGGTATCGGAGCGCGGCACCAGCAATAATTGAACTGGTGGAAAATTCGCTCAGTGAAAGCGGAGAAGATTTGAAACATCAAGTCACGCAATGAGAGACTAGCGCTCTTGAGGCTAGCCATACAACCTATCCAGCCGTTTTCTATCACGAACATGCACGATGCCCCTTTTCACGAAGATCTCATCGCGATCAGTGCATGTGGCTTGCGAATAACGCATTTACTTTCCTTGCATCGATCGCCCGAGAGATTGAGTGGGTACCATTGTTGCAAAACGGGTTGATGGCCTGCTGAGGTATCGATGGTTGGCCTTTGTTCAAAACACAAAAAGAACTTGACTGGTTATTAGCTACTGTTACTGATCTCTCATCAATTTGCAAGATGCAAATGAGGGTATTTCAGATTATTCTCACATTATACAGCTTGAGAAGAAAACGGGTTGAAAGAAGCATCGAGCTAGCGGGGTAATTAAGATGCTGGCGAAGTGGCAAGAGACTAACTGGCGCCACGAACTAGTGTAATATGTTTTCGGGGCATTGTAGATAGGTGGTTGTACTAGAGCGAATGGCTATTTGGTGATGGTGCAGCACAGATCACTCCGATCTAGGCTGGTCATCCTGTCATCCCGGGGCAACGTGTCGATTGCGTAATCTAGACTCAAAGCTTCTTAATTTTGCTCGATGACACTGATTTCAGACGGAGGTCAATATGCCACGAATTATATCCTTTTCGGTAAGCTTGCCAGCATGTAGTTCACCTCCGACTCCTGGGGTAACAGTTCTCAATGAGTGAAGGTAGTATGTAGGGAAGTGGCGTCAGGAGGAGCTCGTTCATTCCACATTATATTACGAAAAGTCAGTGGGCTTGTTTGAGCTCCTTCTTTACACACACCTTGAATGAGTAACCTACTGCGTCATGAAGGCACTGATAATTGTGACACTTGATTTCCATTTGAGGACGCCCTTGATCAGATTCATGGAACGGAGAGCGAGTAAGTGAAAATGCTCTACAAGATTTTGTATCGCAAACTCTATTTCATCAAGAAACTCCCCGAGCATTTCATACATCCATTATCATAGTGTCAAGAGATCTTACATGCGACCCATAATCTATAATTCTCCACACTCACCCCACTGCGCCTGACATCCCCAGCTCACCCTACAATAGTCTGTCTGGCTACCACACCACCCATAACTCGAGCAACACCGTCCGTACGTACTCCCAGAACTATACAGTCAGTTAGTGACACCCCAAGGTTCCGTCAACACAGGCAGTACTTACCAGGTTTTTCCATTCGTACCACACTGTCCGTCGGTACTGACATTTGTCGGTACTGGCTGCTGTGTAGAGCTTGTCGTCGTCGTCGTCGACGTCGTCGAAGTGGTACTGGAAGTAGTTGTAGGTGGGGCAGTAGTGCTGGAAGACGAAGACGAAGTGATGGTTGTCGATGAGGAGCTGGTGGTCGTTGAAGAAATCGGAGGTGCGTCGCCGCATGAACCGAAACCTGGACGACAACCAGTCCCGCAATAGTCCATAGAGTTACCGCAAAAGTAAAACTCCGAGCAGCAACTGCCAAATCCGGAGCCAGCGCAAGTGGTTGAATTGCCGCACTGGCCGTTCGGCGACACAATCAAAGTACCAGTTGGGGCAGGTGGCTGGGTGGATGTTGTAGAAGATGTAGTCGACGTTGTCCCTGATGATGACGTAGATGTTGATGTTGATGTGGACGTCGAGGATGTCGTCGTCTCAGGCGGAGCATCTCCACATCTTCCATATTCTGGCTGACTGTATGTTGACCCAATGAATTAGCCGCGGCATCTCGAATGGATTGATTGAATCATCATCTCTTACCATCCGACAATCGCTGCGCAATGCTCAAATGCAGTACCGCAGTACCCGTATGCACTACAGCATTGATTGTTGGTACATCTTGCTCCACCAAACTCTGCTCCGCACCGTCCTTCTGCTTGACGTGCGTGAAATACGTGTTTCGCTGCGGAGGCCCCGTAAGAGCTATGAATCGAAGAAAGCGCCTGTGACCTTCCTGTATTGCCCTCTGTTCCGAGGAAGTCAGAAGCAGCAACGCTAGAGAAGCTCAAAGCTCCAGCCAATCCGAAAAGTACAAAGCGCATATCTGTTCGGCGTGGGGATGATTTGATCTCTAAAAAGAAATCCAAAAAGTGAGTGACATCTGGTATAAATAGGAAAAGACACCATCGCTCCTATGATTCCTCAATTATATCCGGGGAACACTGAAGACCCACGGGCATGGCACTAGGACAAGATAAGAGTGCTAACACGCGGTTAGATATGAAAAATTGGACGCGAATACCCATGATTTTTATCAATAGTGCCCTTTGTCGTGCCTGCGATCCGTGAAATATTGTTTCCAAGCCGGAAGTATACTTTTGCACAGCAGGGTCAAGCTCACGGCGGGGAAGTACTGAGCTCAAGGGGCCACTCTCAGCAATCGGCATAAAGCAGTCGGATGTGGGGCTTGTTGATAGACTATCTTGAATTTTGCGTCCAACTTCGCCCAACGACTCGTTTTCTGACTTCCACATCGCGCGTGTTAGTCCCATTCGTAGGAGGTTAGAAGAGGAAAACGAATTCGCCGTTCATTTGCAGAGAAACACAGCCCGCAAAGATGGAAGATTTGTTACTTCAAGAGAGTTAGGTGGGGCTTCTTGAACAAGAGGTGTAGTATTCATATATGGTGTGGTGACATATATCCATAATATAGGTATTGGTGGAGGTGGGTAAAGGCTAAATGTGGTCTGCCAAGGGTATCATATGAGGTATCTGCCGACTCTAAATCAATTAATGTAATAAGCGACGTTGCCTTTTACAGCAGCATCGTCAAACTATTCTCGAAAACAGTCTCAGTAACCGGGTTCTAAGCGGCAAGCCCCAGGCTAACAGATTTGCAGGGGAGACCTTTTTGGAACGATTGCATATGCAATGACGAATAGCTGCAAAAGTCTGTTGTTGAAGGGTATCATGATTTGATTATGTCTATGTAATATGAGGTTCAAACGAAAACTAAGATGCTCAGAATCTGTCCTGCAAGATCCTGTCAAGCTGTAGTAGTTGTTCTTCGCTGAAAAACATGAGATCATCAGTGCTCGCTGTATGTCGCATCGTCCCTCAAGCCGCATAAACAGTTATCCTCTCATGCCCGCGGACATTTACTACACGCAATCGCAGTCAGCATTCGAATCAATGTTTTTCCATCAAAAACGGAAACTCACACAACTTCCGTTCGCGCAGCAAGCAGGACTCTCGGCATCGCAACTGCTTTCACCGCAGTTCTACAATAGCCACACAGATTAGCGACATCCTCTCTTCCATACGAGTAATTATAGTATACATACGCATCGACAGGATCCATTGGCACAACACGCAGGTCCGGAGCAAGAACTTTCGTTGCAGTCGCAACCAAATTGTCTCATTACGAGGATCCGGCGCGGATTTAATGACATTGCCGCTCGGGGAGTTACGTCGACAGGAGATGCCGCCACGAGGCTCACGAGAAGAGTCGAGAGAACAGTAGTAGAAAAGCGCATGATGGGTGGTGTGTGGTGGGAGAGGGTTCTAAAAACAATTGGCTTCTATAGTGGTTCAGATACCGCGGTGGAACAAATTCGGATGTAGTAGTGAATACTGCTTGTGAAGCTTGATGCTCCGAGTATCTTTTTGGGAACCTATTGGCCTTTATATATCAGTATTCCCTACTCGGTTCCTCGCGAAACATGCTGATCATCTCATGTTCTTCCAATGGCAGCGAACTCGGGTGCTTGGCCAACGGTCATCTCAAACAGATCTGCAAAGTGCAGCATGCATATATCGAGCAATGCCCCAGGTGCTTACATCGCAAAACAACAATGTCGCAAGTCGGGGGCGATCCCAGTCCTGGTTTGAGTTGCTGGGAAGTACAATCTTCGTCAAAGTCTTCTGTACAAGCCCACTACAGCCAGTATTTCACGAATTCTTCATTTGCACTTTAGAATCGAAATCATCTTTAACCTCTCAATGGCCAATGTGTCACTTTACTCTGGAATAACTAGCATTTTCCTGACAACGATCTTAACCGTAAAGGATGCATAACAGGCAAATGGCCCCCATCAGATGCGGCATGCAGGGCGTTGACCAAAACTGTCACGCAAATCATTTCTCCAAAAAACATACGAAGTGTTTCATACTATACGAAGGATTGCTTTTGCCTGATCACTCGAAAGAGTTTCCCGTACGTTGACTAATGAGGTCTAGCGCAGATGAAGGCTGACGCTATAGACCTTTCATATTAGCGGCATCTTTCCGATCCCGCTCGGAAACCCGGAAAAAGCAAAAGTGATGGCTGATAACAAGACCTGGGATGGATGTAGACGTCACAGCATCAACATTTCCATCCTTCTTCTTCCCAACGTCAGTTGGCTACGACGAAACGTGCGGGATTTGGATAGCGAGAATTCTTAAGACTCTCATGTTTGGATGATTCGCGTTGCGCGAGAGATACCCGGGCAATCGATCACGCTATATCTCCATCGTTATTTCTTCCTTGCTTTTTCTCGCCATTGGTGAAGCTGCACTATTCTATTTCTATTGGGATTCATAAAGAAAAATGTTATCACCGCGACATCTACTATCTCCTTCCTCATTTTCTCGGTACACTAGGAGATTCACGTCGAGTGCGAAGACACGTGCGGATTTCACGCATGTTGTCGTAGGGGGAGGAGTGGTTGGATTGGCCATTGCACGGAAACTTCAGCAGAGAGATGGGGTTTCTACCGTTCTGATTGAGAAACATGGGTCAGTGGGGACGGAGACTAGTAGTCGGAATTCGGAGGTGTGAGCCATTTCTTTTCTACGTCACCTTCAGCATCGTTCTTGAAGACCAATCGTAACTTGATCAAGCGCGAGGGTGATTTCATTATATAACATCATACTCACTCGAAGATCTGTTTGGCGATTGAACAGGATGCAATTGCTAATATGCCTGTAAAGGTGATTCACGCAGGTCTCTACTACGGCACCGACTCCCTGAAAACCAAACTATGCCTACACGGCAAGCAAATGATGTACGACCTCTGCCGCGAAAATCACATCCCGCACCGTAATACGGGAAAGTGGATAGTAGCCCAAGATTCCACCCAGCTAGAAGCTCTCCAGAAAGTGCACGACCACGCTACCTCTCTCGACATCCCCATCCAGTTCCTCTCCAAAGAAGAAGCCAAACGCCGGGAACCAGATGTCCGCGCCGAAGCCGGAGTACTGGAATCGCCCAGTACCGGGATCGTAGACTCGCACGCGCTGATGCAATTCCTCCAAGGCGACTTCGAAGAACAAGGCGGGATATGCGCATTCAAAAGCCCCGTAACGCACATCACACCCCTCAACAGTGGACACTCGGGCTGGGAAATAACAACAACGACAACATCCGACAAGGGCGAGGAAAGCACCGCCACCATCACCGCCGAAACGCTCATCAACTCAGCCGGGCTCTACGCGATCCCGCTATCCAACATGATCCTGCCCAAGGAAAGACGCCGGCAACCCTTCTACGCAAAAGGGAGTTACTTCTCCTACAGCGCGTCGCACCCCAAACCCTCGACGCTCGTCTACCCGGCTCCGGTCCCCGGCCACGGAGGTCTGGGAACGCACCTCACGCTCGACATGGCGGGCCGCGTGCGCTTCGGCCCCGATGTCGAGTGGACTTCCGACCCGACTGACTACCGCCCCAATGGCAGTCGCTTGGACGCCGCGCTCGACGATATCCAGGCGTACCTCCCGGGCATCGATCGCAGCGCCATCAATTTGGATTATGTGGGGATACGGCCGAAGTTGGGTAAAGGGGGTAGCGTGACGAGCGGAGCTGGGTTCCATGATTTCTGGATCAGGAAGGAGGATGGGTTCGAAGGGTTTGTGAATCTTTTGGGGATTGAGAGTCCCGGGTTGACTAGTGCGCTGGCTATTGCGGACGAGGTGGATCGGTTGTTGTATTGATGGGAAAATCGCGTGGTTCGAGATCGGAAGAGAGAGAGTTGGATCAACGATTCCTTGTTCTGTTCCCGAGCAGGGCCTTTGAAGTGACTTGTAATGATCCGAAAGGGGAGTATATGATGGCCAGAACAAGACCATTGGAGCTATATAGTAAACAAGTGCAACGTAGATGAAAGCGCATAGAAAATGTACCTCACTAGACTTTTACCTTCGAGTAAAATATCCCCTATATGCCAGTTAGGCTTCACACATCAAGACAGCTACGCATGAGAAAAATTGGAATTTTGGTATTTTTCACTCCTTTCATCTTGTCATATATCACATACACCAAACCAAATAAACGCCAGATTTTATCTATCTCTGTACAGGTCCTGAAAGCCGGGCTTCTGATCGAATATCGGCACAGCAGCTTACACCTCCTTCTTGGGGGCCCCACCAGGCAAAGTAGATACCTTGTCCTGGAAGAGTTTTTCGGCGCCTTGCCACACAGGAGTAGAGCTACGGTCTTTGAGGGCTAATAGACTTGGGAGCAGAGCGGAGCTGAAGGCTTCTGAGGATTCTCGCGGTAGTGCAGAAGGCAGGTGGTCGATGGAGATGACAGATAGACGGGGACCGTCGCCTTCGACAGATACGGGCACGGTTGGCTTGTCAAAAGTGGTGTTGATGTTGTAGATGGGAATGGGGTTGTGGGGGTTGGTGGTGTCGCAGCTGACATCGCAGACGACGCTAAGCTTGCGGCTGGGTGACTTCAAGCTCTCGAGGTTGACAAAGGGTGGGATGGGCTTGGAGAGGTAGATGCAGTTGACGAAGATGTCGGATTCGACAATTTCGGGATATGGTCCGTCGCGGTCTTTGGTCTCTGGCAGATCCCACTTCTTGATCTCGGGGCAGCCAACCTTCTCAAGGAGGTCGACGGCACCAGATCCACAACGTCCCATGGCTCCTAGAACCAAACTGGAAGGCTTGCGACCAGCGACTTTGGCACCTTGAGCTACATCCTCCTTGAGTTGCGCAATGAGTTCGTCTTCATTGTTGTAGTATCCACGTCCCTCAGTGAAAGTCTCGAGGCCAGGGAGAGGTTCGCCGTTGGGATGTGTGAGTTGCCAGGCCCAAGTCTAACAGTTGTTAGTGACACAGAGCGCAAAGATGGCGCGGTCAACGTACCTTGATGGCCAGAGCAGCACCAACAAATCCGGCATGGTAACCAAAGGCAGCCACTCTTCGGCCCTTGTCGTCCTGGAGAAATTCGAGGTCGTACAATGTGCCGCCTCCACGAGGGAAGCGGGCCAAGACGGATTCCCAACCGCCCTGCTCCTTGTAGCAATGGGCAAAGTGCACAAATGTATGACTGAGGGGAGTCTCGGCCTCGGGGAGTTCCTTCAGGCCAATGATGATGCGGTCGGTGGGAGCAGATTCCCAAGAGCCTTCGGGAATGAGGGTGGCGCCGGCCTGCTCGAACTCCTCATCCTTGAATATGCGGGCGTAGTTGGGATCTTTGGGGCTTCGCTCGACGAGAACTGGGTAGCCGGCGTCCAGCAGTTTCTTTGCGGTAGTGGGTGTGAGGGCTGAACGGTGCTCGAGAAGCTTTGCCTCAGCGCGCGCGTGGAGGGTAGGGAAAGCCATTGCGGGAGGGTGGAGGCTGGAAAAGGGTCAATTGAGAAGAAAAGCGACGAGAGGATGGAAAGGGGTGTCTTGAGTGGGAGAAGATGAAAGGGTGGATGAAGAAAGAAAAGAGATGACGAGGTGGAAGATTTGTTTTTTCGACGCAGGCGCGGACAAAAACAGTCATTCCGCGATGACTCTCACGCAGCAGACGTACTTGACGAGCAGCCCCGCCGACTGCTTTCTGCCGCCGCTCACCGCCACGGCCACCCCACGGCAGCACCCACTCCAGCTCTTCCGCTCCGCAATTCTTGTATTCCGATAGAGGGTCATTCCGCGGCAAATCATCGTGTCCCTATAGTCATCCACCGATCAACCACAATGCAAGGCGGAAAGTGTATAGTAACGAGTGTGCAATGAAATTACGGATGGGAACTTTTTTGATGCACGGTGCTACATGGCCTGATGTTTAGATATTACACAGTCACTTCCCTGTACAACGTGAAGTGCGTCTGGAAACCTTGGGAAGAAGTCACTCCATGTACCCATCACCATCTTTACACGCTCGCACAGCCAATCCTACCCACGGCATCACGGTGACTATTATACTCCTCCTCACATTGTCAACTCGACCTTGAATCCTGTGATTACAAAGAGAGCCCGCTAGCCCACCAAGATGGTTTCACTTATCGATAAGTTGCATCCTCCTCCCAGCTTCTTCCTCAGACCAAGCCTCTTCGAGTCCTGCCCGAGGCAATAAAAAATATCGCAAATTGTTCCGCCACCTCCAACCCGCCCCAAATGATATAGCAGCGAAAACAACAGCCGAGTTATTCAGTCACGCATTGGTAGTACGAGTCGACAGTCTGGTTACGGCAGTGCTGTGAAGAGGCAAGAAGAATGCCGCCCAAAGCAGACGGGCTGGGAGGGGAAGCGTCATCTGCATCCTCGTCTTCGTCAGCAGATCAATCACCAGCAGCATCCCAACCGCAGTCGCAATCACACGCCCATTCGAGGAACACGTCCAATACGAGCAATCGATTCAATGCCCATGCACCGGTAACCCCAAGCGGCCTGCGACGAGCCCGTCTGCCCTCAGACACTTCCTCTTCCCCCGAAGATACCATGCGTTCCCCACCCTATCGCGACGACCCTGCAGACCATGCCTCGTTCCACTCTGACAACGATCCTGCCTCCGTCACTGCACACACGCGCCTCTTGAACCACCACAATTGGGACGCTTCTTACTGCGGCGATCCCAACTGCAATCATGGAGCCATGTCACCTCGCCCCGACACAGCTCGCAGCTACGGCAGCTTCAATTCCGCCGCTGGTTTTGGCGGCCCTTTTCCGGGAAGCATCGATGCCCGTACAGGAGAACCGAACGACGCCACACGTGCGCTTTTGGGGGATGCTGTAGCAGACCTCTTGGGTGGGGATAGAGACAACGACAGTGCCAAACTGAGCACCACACGATTTTTGGCTCAACAACATGGTGTCAAGCACAAGAAGATGATGTATCTGGCCTACTACATTCCCATATTGAACTGGGCTCCTCAGTACAAATGGCGCTACTTCAAGGGCGACTTCGTTGCTGCTCTTACCATGGCCTCTTTCTACATCCCCATGGCTCTCTCCTACGCCAACAACCTCGCACACGTGCCGCCAGTCCACGGGCTCTATAGTTTCGCCATCAACCCCCTCATATATGGCATACTTGGTTCCTGCCCTTTGATGGTCGTGGGCCCCGAGGCGCCCGGTTCTCTTCTGACTGGCGAGGTGGTTCGTGAAAATATCAAAAAGGGCACGAGCGGCGATCAAGACGGTCGCCTGAATGCCGAGATTGCTGGCATTGTCACTTGTCTAGCAGGCGCCTTCATCTTCACTGCAGGCTTGTTTCGACTTGGGTTCTTGGACAACGTGCTCAGCCGGCCCTTCTTACGAGGCTTCATCAGTGCCATTGGCATCGTCATTTTCATTGATCAACTGATACCCATGATGGGGCTGGCAAAAATCGCTGCTGACCAGGTCTCGCACGGGAGCTGTCTGGACAAGATGTTCTTCCTGGTACGAAATGTGGGCAACGCTCACGGCCTGACATGTGCACTTTCCTTCACAGCCTTCGCCATCATTATGTTCTTCAGGGAGTTTAAGAAAAGGCTACAGTCTCGTTACCCTTCCGTCGCGTACATACCTGATCGTTTTGTCGTGGTCCTGCTGTCTGCAATTATTGTAGGTACACTTCGTCTCGATCAACGTGGTGTTGCGATTCTGGGTCAAGTCAACTCGAGCGGTGCCGTCTTCTCCGTTCATTTTCCGTTTGAGACATCGCACCTCAAGTATGCCTCGGACGCTATCAACACGGCCCTCATTATTGCCCTTCTTGGCTTTTTCGAGTCCTCAGTAGCAGCGAAATCGCTGGGCAGCGGCGATGCAAAGGGAGGCGTGCAGATGCCGCTCAGTGCGAACCGCGAGCTCATTGCCCTTGGAACCGCCAACATGACAGGCGGACTTTTCATGGCACTGCCAGCCTTTGGCGGATACGGACGATCCAAAGTCAATGCCTCAACGGGAGGTTTGACTCCCATGAGCAACATTCTTCTCTCGCTCATCACTATCCTGTGCACCTTTTTCATGCTTCCGTATTTTTACTACCTTCCAAAGGGCGTCCTGTGCGCCATGGTCTCGGTTGTGGCATACTCGCTCGTCGAAGAAGCACCGCACGACATCAAATTCTTCTGGCGGATTCGCGGATGGTCCGAACTACTCCTCATGGGTATCATCTTCTTCATTACCATAGTGTGGGACCTGAAGCGGGGTATCGGAGTTGGAATCGGATTGTCTATCCTGCGACTGGTGCGACACTCTACGCGGCCACGGATTCAAATCTTGGGTCGGGTACCAGGGACGACGGACCACTTTGCCAACGCAGAACTGGATCCAGACAACATTGAGTTTATTGAGGGATGCCTCATTGTCAAGATCCCGGAACCTTTGACGTTTGCCAACACGGGCAACCTTAAGAACCGGCTGAAGCGTCTCGAGGACCATGGGACCAACGCTGCGCATCCCGCGCTTCCACGTGTGCGGCGCGAGGAACACAACAAGAACATCATATTCGACGTGCATGGGGTCACATCGCTGGACGGGGCAGGCGCTCAAGTTTTGTACGAAATTGTCGAGTCGTATGTCAAGCGCGACGTCAAAGTGTTCTTCTGCAGGGTTCCGCACGAGAGGAGTAGCGTGTGGGGACTGTTCGAGACGAGCGGGATCGTCGACATGTGCGGGGGCAAGAGACATTTTGTCAAGAGCGTGGACCAGGCGCTTCACATGACGGAGCTGGAGAGGCTGACGGAGGAGTATGGAAGCGATGGTGAAGCTTCGGGCTTTGCATCGGGCGGAACAACGTCAGGACCGGAGAGGAGATAGAGCCAAAGGGTGAATGTTTTTGGAAAGCCATTATTATCATGTCAAGAGATTTCAGTCATATGGTGAATGTAAGCGGACGGTTTTGAAGTCCAAACGAAGTGTAGTAGGATATGTATGTACACAGACGGAGTTGGAGGCGATTTTGCATAAACAAACGTACACGCATGGTTCAGCGGCATCAACAACAATAAAAACAAGCTTATTGTGACTCTTCGAGTACAGCATTGAAGCGAAACGGGGATGAATTCTACCATTGTTTTCCCAGATGGTCTTGCAAAGATACAAACCAAGCTTAATTTGATTCTTCCTCGCCGGCCTCTACAGCCGAGATGGGTGTTGATTCATGTCTATCATCGATGTCTCGAGGGGTACCTGCATTGAAAAGGGTCTTGAACAGTACCGTGGTTCGGCAATGAAATAAGCGCGAGTTCAATTGCGCCATTGTATACACTGTAGACCATTGTAGAGTATCTAAGTAAGTGGCGTGGATGGCCAAGGCCATGGTGAAAGCAGGCGGGACATGATGGCGAGTACAGATGGTGGTAGAGCCGGCTTTCGGGCCTACAAGTAGTTCCGGGCGCTGGCCTTGGAGCCAATTCTGTACCCTCTAGGTAAGCCGAGAGATGTCGAGTGAAGGTTGCGGGAATACCGGTGCGGGGATAGCTGAGGCCCACAGGCAAACAAGCCTTGCGCCAATGATGCTTAAGCCGCCGACGATATGGGCTTGTGATGCGGCCAAGAAGGCTTAGCTGCCTATCCTGCCTGGTCGGCCTGTCGTCCGCTCATCCTTCACTCCTCGCTCCCAGGCTTCATTGGTTGGGGAAGCAGAGTTGCCCACTCAACACTGCGGGGGCTCGATGCACGCACGGCTGGGGTTGCCGCTTGGCCATCTGGGGTCACATCTTCGTGGATTGTGAGCGGCATCGGCAGCTGAGTGAGAGAGACGGTGTGTGTGTGTGTGTGCATGTCATGGCATAGATCGACGAGAACGTTATTCGTCATACTTTTAGCTTTGATAACACCTACATAAGTACTTAGGCATGTATATATTCTCACTTGTCCTGCCCATCACACCCGCTCTTCACCGCCTGCATCACATGGTCGGAACTTGTTCCTTCTCCCCTCTCTTCTCCGCTTCTAGACCCCCAACATGGATGCTGAAAAGAACGAAACCCTTCACCATGAGGGCAATCACTTCGCCTCCACCTCTCCACCACACGAGCCCAACATGTCGGTAGGTAGCTATCTCGCAACCCGCTTCTCCACCCTGAAGCCGCCCATGGACAAGGTATCCAATCCCATCCGACTTCTTCGCCTTCTCAACTTTCAGCAATGGATGTTCTTCCTGGTCGCCTTCTGCGCCTGGACATGGGATGCCTTTGACTTCTTCACCGTATCTCTCACCGTCGGTCCACTGGCCAAAACATTTGGCAAGACAAACACCGACATCACCTGGGGCATCACCCTCGTCCTCATGCTGAGGTCAGTCGGCAGCATCATCTTTGGACTTGCTGCTGATAAGTGGGGTCGCAAGTGGCCCTTCATCATCAACAATGTCCTCTTCATCATCCTCGAATTGGGCACAGGCTTCACCCAGACGTATAATCAGTTCTTGGCCGTTAGAGCCCTCTTCGGAATTGCCATGGGCGGTCTGTATGGCAATGCAGCCGCGACAGCCCTCGAGGACTGTCCCGAAGAAGCTCGTGGCCTCATGAGTGGAATCTTGCAACAAGGATACGCCTTCGGATACCTCCTCGCCACTGTCTTCGCGCGAGCATTCGTAAACACTGTTGGTCACGAATGGCGACCCGTAAGTCTTCTCTATCCACCCTTCCGTAACCATCTAACACCCATCTCTAGTTCTTCTGGTTCGGAGCCGGCCCTCCCGTCCTCATCATCCTCTTCCGCCTCTGCCTCCCTGAAACCCAAGCCTTCCAGGAGCGCCAACGCCTTCGCGAAGCAACCCCCAACAGCGCCAAAATCTTCATCCAAGAAGGCAAAGTGGCCCTCCGCCGCCACTGGCTTCTCCTCATCTACCTCGTCCTCCTCATGGCGGGCTTCAACTTCATGTCGCACGGCTCGCAAGATCTCTACCCCACCATGCTAACCAACCAATACAACTTCTCCGCCGACGCAGTCACCGTGACCCAAGTCGTCGCGAATCTAGGCGCCATCGCGGGCGGCACCACCATCGGCTACTGCTCCTCCATCTTCGGCCGCCGCTTCTCCATCATCTTCATCTCCGTCATCGGCGGCGCCCTCCTCTACCCCTACACCTTCGTCTCCAACGAACGCATCATGGCCGCCGCATTCTTCGAGCAGTTCTGCGTCCAGGGCGCCTGGGGCGTCATCCCCATCCACCTCATGGAGCTCTCCCCGGGCTCCTTCCGCACCTTCGTCGTCGGCACCTCGTATCAGCTCGGCAACCTCGTTTCCTCGGCCTCCAGCACCATCGAGAGCACCATTGGTGAGCGCTTCCCGCTGCCTAGCAAAGGCTCCACCAAGCGGTATCAGTATGGTCTCGTGATTTGCATCTTCATGGGCTGCGTTTACGCCTATGTTATTCTTCTTACGTTTTTGGGGCCCGAGATGAGGGGCAGAGATCTTTCGGCTCGTGCCGACATGGATTTGAAGGAGGCTACTGGCAAGGCTGGGACGGACCAGGGGAAGGACAAGTTGAATGATGATGATGATGGCAAGGACAAGTTCAATAACGGCAAGGAGATTGTCTAGCTTTGTTTTTGCATTTGTAGGCAGTAGAAAGTTATACTTTGTAGTCAGTAAACGGGCGAGAGAGGAACAAGCCTGTTTATTAGCTTCTCTTAGATGCACACTGCAAGCTCTAAAACATGTCGCTAGATGAGTTATCTTTGAAATGTAGAATATTATAATTCCTTGTTTAACTTTTCTCTTTTGCTTCTTGTGACACCTACATAGATTATAGCATTACACGATATATGTATACGCAACTATATCTACTGCTGTTTATTAAAAGTGTTTCTAGGGGATGGAATATCATCTGCTACACGGGAGTGGTTGTTGAACAGAAGTTGATAGTACAGAGGAGTAGTTAGTTTAGAGGAGTTGATGTTGGACAGGTGTAGTTAGTAGATAGAAGTAGATATTGTACAGAAATATCTGTTGGAAAGGAGTAGTTGGAAGATAGAAGTGGTCAGATAGAAGTGGTCAGATAGAAGTGGTTAGATAGAAGTAGTCAGATAGAAGTGGTCAGATAAGAGTATTTAGATAGAGTAGTTAGATCGAGTAGTTATTGTATAGGGGTAGTTATCGTATAGGAGTAGTTATTATATGGAAGTAGTTATTGTATAGGAGTAGTTACTATACAGAAGTACTTGCTATTATATAGAAGCACGTAACAGATAGAAGTAGTAGTCTAACAAGAGTTGGCAATGGATAGTTTCAATTGTTACATATAGGTGGCAATTAGATAGAAGCAGTGCAGATAGACTAGGTAGCAGTGTTTGCCACACAAAAAAATTGTAACTTAATAAACTATCTATCACTGTTTGGTGAGGGTAGACGCTATAGAAAGAGTGGGAAAGTGCTAATAAAGCCCTTTGGATTGGAATTCCATAGGAATAAAAAATAGCCTCTAGTCTTGATAGTCTTACTCGCAGCTACTACGAACCTATCAAGAGTTCAAGTCGGACAGCGGCAATAATTCTATTTTTCAGCATTTGGTCCATCTAATCGTATGCAATAGTTGAGAATTTGGAAATCCAAGAAGATGAATCATAGGCTCCTTTGAAGCACCCGCAAGAGACATCTAGTGGCAACAATTTTTCCATCAACGCTTCACTCACTCGAACGCTTTCACGCTGTGAAAAAGCAATAGACAATATAGAGAAAGTGGGCCTGCTCCAAATCAGACAACACACGCACTCGTACGCAAAATACCGCCAATTTTTCTCTATCCAGGAAAAGGGCCAACAAATTTCAGTTCACTGCTGAAACCCTCTGAAGCAGCGCACGATACGACCACAATAGTCAAAGCTTCAAGTCAATGTAACGTCACCCTGTTCACACTTAACAAACATTCATGCGGAAAGCTGGGACGAAAAGAATGACGGCTAATATCCCTTTCAGTGACCTCTTCACCCCTTCCCCCTCACACCTCCGATTCCACGTACTCAAGTCAGTGCGCTGTTCAGGCCCTTGCTACTGCTGCACGACATGAAGGATCAACTTTACTGTATTCGTAGTAATCGCCGGGAGGTTCGTGCTGAGGTGCTGCGTCCTTCCTTGAACTTGTATGTGTACTCTGCAAGTGTATGCGTGCGTGCATATGCGCTGTAGTACGTGTGTGTATGGGTGGGTGCTACTGCAGGTACGCAGCCCCCTCGTTGACCAACTGCACTACTGCACTCCAACTTTTGTCTCAAGCATACATCAGGGGTAATCTCCGTGCGTTGCTGCACGAAAAAAAAAAGGTTTTGTTGATTCCATCTCCCGATCTGATACTCGCTGCTCTTGCTTTTTCTCGCTTGGTGCTTCTGCACTCGATGACCATATGGTAGGCCTCAGGCTTCCTTCCACACACGGTCGAGTGCACTTTCCCCTTCTTTCACTTGGCCGACCCACTATGCATTGACTCTTACGATGTACGAGGGTGGCTGACAGGATTTGGGCCTACACAGACGTTGAGGGAGGATGTTCAGCACTAGGGTGATTGATTTTACGATGCGCAGGTACCCGCGGCATGATGGTGCCGTGTGAGGCCTCATCATGGCCATGGCCAGGCCAAGTACTAACGGGTGAGATCCTCGGTGATGCTCGGAATGGTCAGTGGCCTATCGGCCGCGAATGTGGTCTCCGATATTCAAAGGATGTTGAAATGACACATGATTTGAACGGTCGGTAGCTAATGGCACCACCGCAATCCTACTGCGGCGAAGAGTATGCCCTGCGAGAGCTTAATCAGAAAGGACCTGAGTTGATCTCCATCGCTAAATGACAAAGGGACAACCCTCAATCCTCGGTTGATCACGGTCCGGGTTTGAGTGTCGTGAGAATAGCTCCGACGAAGCTGACCATTTTAGGTAATGGGTATGGGACACGTTCGTCGTCTCCAACTTTGGTGAGATTTACGGCCCTTTTTTTCCAAGGGGAAAACGATGCCTTTCTCGAACAGAAATAAGGGCCCAACCAGCTGCACGTCAGATGCCCCGACCGTAGTTTTGACTGCAATGCACCGCCGCACGCACCGAGTGTTGGTTAGTTTAGCTACGATGAGTTGAACCCAAGTCCGAAGACCCCTGCAACCGCCACACAACAAAGTGAGCGAGCGTACGTTACAGAGCACAAACGATGATCACCCACGCAAAAAAGGCGCCCTGCTCTGGAAAACGCAGCCACATCCGTATCATCAAACTTGAGCCAAAACCTACTGTTGATCGCACTCGAGTAACAGGTCTGAAACAACCCATCTGCTCCCCATGTGGGATGTTCATATTTAGAAACAACAACACCAAGTGGACTACAAAGTTCGCAAGCCAAGGCACGCAAACGCAGAGCCGCATTTCAAAGTCGTGACCGTGCATCAGTAACGACTTCAGTTCTCAAGTTGCGAACTTACCAAGGGAGTATAGTGAACGTGCGAGGCCAGCACAGGCTTGGCTCTAGGTACGGCGAGTTCATGCAGTCCCAGCTAGGTGAAGAAGCCAATTTTCTGCTGTCAAAGATATTACGCTCAGAATGATTTTGCAATGGGCCAACTTCAATCTAGCCGGTGAGCTTGGGTCAATGAGCAAGCACTGCTCTGCTGCTTGGACGTAGTCGGCATCTATTCGGGAAGGATTGGGAGAAGGATTGGATCGGTGACCGTTCTAGCGACCATCATTTCGCCAGCCCTACGCGATAGGATTTCTTGGCCCACGTTGATCCAGAGAATCCTTCCAACGCACCAAGGAGCGACGCCGTGGCCGGCGGTGTGCACCGAGTGAGAAAAAGGTGCCGCGATTTTGAGGCCACGCAGGAGAACGGTACGATAGGACGCATTGGTGTTGTGGTGAGCGGCGTCTGATACACGATAAGCAGTCTTCCCAACGCCAACATCACCATACAACACCCGGCACGTCGCAGCCCAGATCAAGACTGCGCAAATGTACGCTCTTCTCGCGCGGTATCAATTGCTCGTGGTCAGCCATCACTCGGTTTTTCCCCGGCTGTTTGGCGCTGTAAATGCCTCACCCGGATCGATGTCGATTCTCAGGCGAAACCTTCACGTCCCTGCCATATGCGATCCATTACCCCGGATTTTGGCACATCGACTCTATCATGTGAAAGAGACTGGATGGATGAATGAACCAAAGATTGCCTCGAGCGTGAAGTCTAGTCTCTAAACAGAGGGGCGAGTACTTGTGTACGTGTCGGTTGCTGGTAGGCGATCGTGGTTTTGGACACTAACTACATGGATCCCGCGCGAAGGAGCGACCAGAATCGATAAATCTTTCACGAGAAAGCCAAATAATGTCTGATGAGCCAATCAGAAAAATCCTTGGTGATAATTAATTGGTCATAGGAATAATAACATAAGGATCTTCATTGGATTTGAAAAGGATACGAGGGGGCCAGTACACAACCAGAAGGTCATAACCGGATCGAACTATCGATAACTACATATGTACTAACGGTGGTTGCTGGAAGGAATTGCCGCGGTAAACTAGCTGTGGAAATTTGGTCGAGCCGCAACCTCAAAAGCAACGACAAAGAAGTGCAAAAGCAACTTCACTAGGATGCATCATCCCTGGAGCAGAAGACAGCGACCCGCGTTCGATGGGGTAAGGAAAAATTGATCCCGCCTCTCCCGAAACTCCACACTCTGGTCTTTGCGACGAACAAACTCACCGATAGTTATGGGGCTCAATGACATGCCACTAATTCTCGTCAATCGGGCGACAAAGACATCGATGATGGATTGACACGCAAGCAGAAGATTGATCTCCACAATCGATTAGAGTTTCGGGTCTGCCGAAGAGTACCTCCCATTCGCTTCGCGTGCCCAATCATAAGATTTTCCACCGCCAACACTGTCCCGCGTGTACGCAGCATGTCATTTCTTCATTTGTGCTTTTTGCTGTCATTCTCCAAGCATCGAGCCGCGCGCCTGAAACTTGTCGCGGGAGGGATAGCTGGTCCCGCAACAACATTCAACCAATATCAACTTGCAGACATCGCACGAGCATCCTGGGAATGCATCTCGATGGAGCGGATGGAGACAGAGAGGCTTCCCGCCGTGTAATTACTCCTTCTTGTTGCGGCCTTTTGGCTCGTGTGATGTGGATTGACATGCCATCAATATTCTTGATACTCGGTTGATTTGGAATCCTGCTCGCTGCTGGTTGATGGTGTACGGTGGTCCTCCCCACCCATCATCATGCATTATGGTGGGGTTGGGTGGGAAGGCAGACTGCGATTCCCAGAGCAATGGGAAATTGGAAACGACGAGGCGTCATGACATTTACCCTTGGATGCATCAGGTGAATAGCTGGCGATTGTGGTTCCCTCACGGCTAAGTTCTGCCAGAATCCATCGTCCTTTGCAAACGATAACCAACGTGGGGGGGATGTTTGTGAGAGAGAAAAGGAGACTTACGTTACACTCAACAGTTTTTGCAGCCTGGGACAATTTGCCCTGCTCAAGAGAGATTATGTGTCTCAAATGCCTTGCGCCCTCTACAGCCCCCGCATCCATGACCATGTTGTACATACCCGTTTGCGATAACAAGCGCACCAATCCACTGCCGGCTACACGAGGGATCGGCCCGGGGTAAGACATGTTCGAGCCGTACAGTCGACTTTTCGAGTCAAGGACTCAAGTGTATTGTGGATTCTGTGCCTGATTGCTGACCACCCGCCCCAATCCTTCAAATTGTTCACCAGAATAAGCGAGCGCTCACATCACCCAAATCAAGTCTATTCCATGGCTGGGCTTGCAAGCGCCCGAATAGTCTCACTCAGGCTTGATTAGTTTGCATCCAGAAGAATTGTTCATTTATCAAAAGGCCATCAATCACCCCATTGCAGACTGATGGCCACCCCACGTTAGCATACACGGTAAGCGAAATGAGATGGGCGAATCCCTACCCGAGGCGAACCCTCGCATCCTGACTGTTTAGTCAAAATCACTCAAGCCATGTCGTGCGGCAGAAAGCAACTTATCGAACTGTTCCCGCCTATCGATATGTTGGGCAGATAAGTCAAACCTGTGTGGTTTGTGAGCAAGCAAGCAACGACGCCCCCCTTGACTTGAGCAGAGGACCAGAGTGCCTCAGGACTGAGTCGTGACAGCTGTGTTTCAAAACGACGACTTGCAGGAGCAAGATGCGAGGCGTATCCACACATTACCAGCTTACAACCCAACTGCAAGGCTGTTTGGAAAGCAACCCACTTGGAACCTTCTGCAGTCCTTCTGAAGGAATACCACAAACAATGTCTGGGCCCCACTCTCCCGCCTTCTTCCACATGGTCCTCTCTCTTCCTCTGTCACATGCATATGCATGCGAGCGAACATTTGAAATTCCCAAAAAGCCACGGCGCGAAAGGGTTGCCTCCCAATTCATTCGTATACCCCAGGACCAGGCCCGTGAGTTGTGCTGCTGCCGTCTTCTGTGCCGAACATGCCATGAACGGGCGCGCGCGGCACGAACCGACCATCTATCTGCTCGACCACGTACAATGAGAAAGACACCATTATCTGCTTTGGAAGCTCAACTATACCAGCCAAGCCGGCTCGAGTAGTCGGATGGACGGTGAACCGGCGTAGCGCGTTCGCTGAGATAGGAAGGACTAAGAGGACTCCCCCCGATCCTCACCTCAATCAAGTGAAGAGAAAGGAGAATATTCATCTTGTATCCAATCTTCTATGCTGATTATCGCGTTCTAGTCGCCCTCTGTTCATTCGGAACCGCCCGCTTATCGTATCGTATCGTTCTGCTTCTTTAGAAAGTGGCCCCCCCGCTTACGACTTACTACTCTCAGCTTTTACTCTTTTGAGGAGACTGATATGCTGTCGCAACGGTTAGGGCTTATCACGTCGAACTGTAAACCCCAAAGCGGGATGGATTGCACGTATTCGTTGATTAGACTCTTGGGGCTGTATACGACGTGTAGAATACCGTGCAGCATCTATCGAATCTCGATCGTTTTTTCCTACCGAAGTTTGCACGCAGCTTCCTAAACAGACGTGAAAGAATAGTGGGAAGATAGAGGATAGATTGAGGGAAGCGTAGAAGGGGCGATGATGAGAAATCTTGAAACTGACTCTGCATTGAGGCTCACTCCTTCCTGCCCACGAGAGAGGGAAGGCATCACGATCCTTCGCCCCGAATCCAGAACCAAGGCGACTATCATCATCATCGTCGTCGTCGTCGTCATCATCATTGTCATCTTAGACATTTGAAGTCATGTCAGGCTCACCAGAAGACGATGATGGACTCGCCCCACGACGAAATTACCACATCATAAGAACAAAGCTTTGAACCGTCTTTTTGCAATCACTGTGCCTCTTAGACAGCAAACAAGCTAACAATCCTACAAGCAGGCTGTCAAGTGAGAAAATAGCACCTGACGCCCAATCGACGTTCCAGAAATTCCAAAACACCAACAAAAAAACCCCACTTTTGATGCAAAGAAGAATGGGTTTGACTTCTCCACCCTGTGTGCGTGTGTGTGTATCGATGCCCATTATAATCCCGAACCCCTGCACCCTGGTCTTACATAGGCATCTTAGCGTTCACGAGGCGATGCGATGCGAGCGAGCGAGCGAGCGAGCGAGCACTCGCGCGCGCGAAAGAACAACAAGAGTCCTTCTACCATTCCATAGCCATCGCTAAAATGCTTGGAAATTGCGCGAAGAAGAGCCCATCCTTCCAAACAGTAGATGTTTTCATGAAAGGCGGAAAACCCAGGGAACAAGCCGCAGCACTTTGAGCAAAAGAGAGAGAAAGACAGAGAGAGAGAGAGAGTATCGTGCCCGCCCCAAACCTCAGGGGTCCCACATTAATCCCCAGGGCAGGGCAGGGCAAAAGCAGCGAAAAAAAGCGCCCCAGCCTCTCCCTCTCTCCCCTCACACTCGCTCTCTTAAGCAAGCGCAGGGCAGTGCTTACTATCCATCCCCATGTCGACCATTTTCTTACTACACGCCTTTTAGTTTTACTGCTTTTGGATTAGCGCGTTGGGCTACTTTTAGTTGCCGTGGCCACATGGCGGTCCTGCACTTGCATTGCATATGTATGTACTATGCAGGCAGGCAGGCAGGCAGGCAGCGCAGCGCGTGGTAGTACACAAGAGAGAGAGAGAGAGAGAGAGAGAGAGAGAGAGAGAGAGAGAGAAGAAAACTGGTGTGTACGAGCGACCGAGTGTGGATAACGAAAAACAGATGGGCATCGCGACTTTACCTGGTTCAGGGAAATTCCAGTAAAGGGAGAAGCAAGCAAGAAGGGGGTGGTGTGGTGACTGCCTGCCGCGCACTTTTACTCTTTTCTATTTATTTTATTTGTTACAAAAGGAGAAAGATGATGACTGTATGATTTGTGGTGAGAGGAGGTTGCGGATTTTTTCTGATTCCGATCTCTCTCTTCTCTCTCTCGTGCACGTTTCTGCGGGTTGGTTATATGTTGCGTTTCATATACTTGCGGTACGAAGCGTAGCAGCAGGTTCCTCGTTTCCGCTCGCGCTTGATTTGCTCGGGTGAATGCGCGCGAAAAGCACAATGATGTTATGTGTGTGTGTGTGTGTGTGTCTGGTTTGAGTGGTGGTGGTGGTGGTGGCTGGCGTTGGATTCTCCCCTTAGGTCCCCGAATCTGGGACACGCGGGGGGAAGGGGGGGTGCGTGCAGACAATTGTTATCGCGTTTGCGATTTGTAAAAGAATGGACCAAAGTCCTTGCGTGTGTGTGTGCCCGTCGTACCCCATCTATCGGCATACGCACGAGTGGAAATCAGCTGAAAGCATTGGAGAAGAAGGGTGTTATGGTGAGCCATTTCGTGCGTCCAAAGGTCGACCAAGATTTTGGCCTGAGGGGGGGAGCACGTTCTTCACTGTTGATTACATGCTACGCGGGCGAGTGCGTAAGCAGTAGAGTGAGCGCTTTCTGGCATGGCATGGCATTACTCACCTCCCTTGAGGCTTCTTGGTTGCCGCTGAGGCGTTGGGGTCCAAAGACCCTAATGGGGTTACGTGAACGAGCCAGTGGCTACCTATCACCCTTTTTGTGGCTGTCTATGAACTCGCTCCGCCATGTTCGTTTTAGATGCAGCACGCTGCTTTGCTGCGCTCACCTCAAGAGCTCGAGCGGTGCAGATCAGTCGCTTTCATCAGCTGAAAAAGCACATCTGCTGTAGTCATGGTGACGAGATTCCGTGTTATTTCGTCGCACTCCTGCCGCCTGAGAGGAAGCCTCCGTATTGTTTGCAGCCTTGTTTTGGCTCGCCCATTTGCATGCAGCTAACTGCTCTTTCTCCTGCCGTGGTTCGTATTCATACCGCCTGCATCATTAAGGGGAAAATGCTGGCATGGTTGCAGTTTGGAAGCACCTGAGAGGAGAGGACACGAGTTTGTGCAAAGTGAGAACAGTGTCTTTGATAAAAAGTGATAGTACTATTACAGTAGCTTTTGCGGTTGAAGCGAAGAGAAATGCAAGCAAGAGAACCTCCTTCTGATCCTGCCATTAAACGCCATGCTACCTGAACACCTTGAATGCACCCGATTTTTTCCCCTATCCACCAAAAAGCCCACAATCATGATTCATAGCAAGCAGTAAAAAAAAGATATATACAAGAACGGTGCTCCACCGCAATCGTCTTACTGTACATGCATCGTAATACGGTGTTCCGTGAGTTTCGGAATATCGTGCAAAATCAAAACGTTTAATAGCCCTGGGAACGGGGCATGATGACATCTTCCCAAACAGGCTGGGGGGCAGTGGGGTATGCCTTGACGTTCTCGCCCATGAAGGGACGAGTGACCATGGGCTTAGCCATCATTTGAGCTCCGTTGGCTTGGAAACCTGTCCACTCCTCTTGTACAGGCTGTGGAGAGGCGAAGTCTTCGGCAGAGCATTCGCTGATGGAAAGCGAAGGCACTGACTTGGTGTGAGGAGGCATGCTCATGGGCATCTGAGGCGGCGAGACCGAGAGAGGGTGGTTGGACCAGCCGTGCATGGAGGCAGGCGAGTCACAGATGTTTGATGGTGCCATCTCAGGCTCAGGGGTGCCCCACATCTCGCCAGGAAGCATGCCCGGAATGTCGTTCTCGAATCCAAGACCAATGGGAATTGAACCGTCGTCAGACCATGCGGTGTTGTTCATGTAGGGATCGAAGGGATCACCCATGGGAAGAGCCTCGTAAGACGCAAAAGAGTCGGGCGTGCCTGGTGTCTCACACCGGGGAGCAGCGTAGTTCTTTTCCATACTCATGGGGAAAGCAGCCATCTGTTGCTCAGGACTGCTGGAGTAAGAGTAGCAGTCGTCAACGACGTGAGACGAGTAGGATGTTGGTAGCGGGGAGAGCATGTTGAAGTTGGTGAAACTTCCGGGCTGTTGGCCAAGTTTGGCAGCCGCGTGGAAGTCCATTTGAGAAAGAGCTCGCACCAGCCCGGGCCTGCTGGAAGAAGGAACGCTGCGGGGAGAGGTGCCGAGAGCGGGAATGGAGTTGGTGGTAGGGTATCTCTTGGGAGAGACGAGGTGTTTGGTGGGCTTGCGGTAGCTGTTGTCAGAAGTGCGGCGAGTTGAACGAGGTTCGCAGTGAAGGCCCTTTGCTGTGCAGCGGGAGCATGAAGGCACCGCCTTGTCACACTTGGTCTTCGCCTTTGCACAGATGGTGCATGCAATTGCTCGTCGCTGCGACATCCTGGCGTATGGGTTGTGTGGTTTGGGATATGGGGAGCCTTGAGGAGTAGGGTTGGGTGATGGTGTGGGGGTGGGCTCCTGTTGTGTCGGCTGGTTCATTGTGGGTGTGAAGGGTAAGGAGTGTGTGGTAGTATGTAGCAACAGTAGTGCAAGATGGGAGTTGAGTACAAGTCGATGATGGTGGAGTGGTATGAACAAGAGGTAGCTATATGGATAGATATATGGCTGGAAGACTGGGAGCAGATGAAGCTATATAGACGGGGGACAGTTGGGAGTTAAAATAGAATGATGTGAGGTGGGTGTGATGGCTCAAGCTCCTAACCTCCCCTCGCAAGATTCGGTGGCTTGACCAAGAACTGGAGACTGACGTGGGATAGCATCCTCCCAAGGTTCGTAGCTCGAAAAAGGCTGGCTCGGAATTGTACATGCAGCGCGCACTGATGGGCAGGCCCCCTTCAACGGCTGCTCTGTGCAGGATTCGAGTCGGATCGAGGCCAAGGCCAATGAGCTTGTAGCCAGGGTGGGCTCTGGCTAGCATCTTCTCTCCTTCCCAAGGCGGGTTCAGGATGGTAGCAGAGTGGGGACATGTCGACCCCCAGGGATTGTGCGTGTCCCGAGCGTAGTGGGTGCATTGCGATGCGAGTGTAAAGGCGCGAGCGAGGATGGGCCCAAATTGTCTAGTCAAGCGCAGCAGTGCCTTGCCTGTTTCAGCTGGTAGAAGACAGCAGGACGCATCCCTGCAGCCGCTGACAGCCAGGCACCGCGTATAGATCTGAGCTCGATGACGCTGGCTGTCGGGGGCCAAACTGACCTGTGGCTTGAGGCTGGCGGACATTGTGCATAGTAGTTTGGCCTCAAAGCAACGCTTTGCATACTTTGTGCTGGTGGATTGCACCCAAAATTCCCCCATTTGGGCGCTGAACGTGTCGCAGGGTTCGGCCTGAGGCTCTGCGATCTTTACTCTGCTCTTCTCAGTTGTCTGCTCTGAGGGATCCAAGCCTTTGCCGCATAGGATGCGGATGCTCGACTGTGAAGAGCATCTTAATTCACCGGTGATAACGCAGTCGCCGACCTGTCCTGGCCTGACCCGACCGTTTTCGTAAGTAGGTAATGTCAGTAGGCTGGCAGGGAGCTCATCGCATCGCATCATTATCGCGATACCCATCTATTGCGGGGTCGGTGGGGATGTCTTCTGATTTGATAGCACGTGCTGAGTCCCATGCAACACCATCTCTACGTCGTATGCACATGGGTGACATTCGCCTGTGTGAAGCCATGTACGGCCGACCGGTTACCCTCCCGCAAAGTCGCTGTGCATCGTCTCGAGTTGCAGCACCTCATCCATGTTTCGAGAGCTGCCATCGGTCCATCGCGGTGGGTTCGAGGCTAGCAAGGCGAGACAGACGCTGGACGAAGGGACAGACGGTAAGGTGAGAGAAGCGGTGCACGTCCACGGTAAGCCTGACATCAAGACACAAACGAGGAAAGGCGAGGTGTTGGGGTGGAGCATCTTCTCTGCCTCGGGAGCTAGGCCAGATGGGGAAAGACATGGCTTGGCGCAGCACCCTCGCCCTTGAACCCCTGCTTTGCAGTGCACAGTGGGTGGTGGCGAAGTACTCGAGGTGAGCAGCATCGTGACCACCACGAGCACCGTGAACCCTCCATCGACTGTATCGTGGTCCCTGCTCAGGCGCGATGGCGACAGCAGCCATCTGTCACATCACTCCCTCATGCCTGCAGCCTATCCCCACTAATTAGCCAACTATCCTTCAACACCAACTGAACCTCTCGTGTCCTCGGGTACTTGCCCTTGCGCTACAGCTCGGGCTCAATGGGGAAGTTTTGCTCGCTACCCTCACCACCGAGCCCGCATCTTTCCTCAAAGGAGCATGACCTCTCTCCTCCATCGGGTGTTTTTACTGGCAATGGCCTACCCACTTTTGTCTCCCACCCTTCCTCGCATCACCCCAAAGCGGGAACCAACACCTTCTAGAAAACCGTAAACTACACCTTCAAGAGCTTCTAGCCGCATGCCTGTACAACCCATGTTGTATCGCAGCTACTATGAATGCAGCAGCCAGCCTAAGCGTTGCCAACCCCACATTGAACTATCTGGTGCCTGTCTAGAAGGAATTCGCACCAGCAGTGACATTTTTTGCTCACTGAACCACCTCGGGATGATTTGGCGTTATCGGTCAAGCCGTTCAGGCCAAACCGCTGAGTGTATCCTCATCTCTGCTCTCATTTCGTTTGCTCGTTCGTTCCTGTTATCCCCGCTGACTGAGGGAGCCCTAAAGGGATGCTTCATTGCTCGCAATGTCGGCCTGTGAGGCCACCACCACGTATATCTAAGCAAGCCATTGTTGCTATACTGAGGGTCGAGGCTTCATGCCCTCACCCCATTGTGTATAAGGCTTGGGGCCAACGTTATACACGCGAAAGGGGGCCCGCTTGTTGGATATCCACACCCGCCCACACACACGTACACACACAGGGTACTCTCGTGCGTGTTCTCCCCTGCAGCGTTAAGTATGTTCAAGCAAACGGACGAGTTTTTCCTAGTGGGGAGTTCGTTCGCTATGCGTAGGCGGTAGTTGGCAGCGCGGTGGGCGAGACTAGGACTAATGGGGGTTGCATCTACACCAGGTTACACCACCGTCCCTGTGTTTGGGGCCGACTACACGCACGCATACACAGGCAAAGGGGAAGCAAAGAAGCTTCTGACAAGGCATGGCCTCTCTAGGGCCTGAGGTGAATACGCTGCTGCGTGATGTTTAGGAATCGGCCACTTTGCGGGTGAAATCGGTTTGATCAGCCCACGTTTCTGCACGAGAGGTGGCGATGAGTACGTTTTGGCCTCAACACTATGGCGATGGGATGCAGGATGGGGGTTTCGCTCCTGCATGGCTTTGCGTTGTTGATCGAAGCCTACTTTCGTATTTCCAACCAAGTAAGTGGATTGTTTCAGAAGTTCTACATGTTTGTTTCAGGTATGCCCTTGGGTGGAGGGTCACTATACATGGGTCAGCGAAGTCCGCGAGCAAAGGTAGGTACCCGAGTTGTAGCCGCGGGCGTGGGTCTCAAAGGCGATGGCTACCGCTACATGCTAGTGTAGATGATATTCTTATCGTTGGCATGACGGTGAGGATCACCTAGCAGTTAGTAGAAATAACAGTACAGGCGGCAAGCGATTAGGCAGCATAGCCTCAATTGCGCGAACGATTGATGCCATTCATAGAAGCAGGCCAATCTCGCTTCTGGCCAGTCTTGGTGTGGACAAGTTGCAGGGGTTCGGAAATTAAAAAAACGACAAAAGGCGAGAGCAGAACGAGCAAATACCCGAAGCGAATGATGACATGATGCGAGCTAGAGCACGAGACACGCACGAGTTTGTCATGCTGAGGCCGTTGATTATAGCAGAGGGCGATATACGACGGCGAGAATGTCCAAAAGGTCTGTTGCATCACACGCCGTAGATGGTTGAGATGGATGATGATTGAGGTTGAAGAGCGGTGGTCGCCCATAGCCGCCGCTAGTACGGTTGAGGAGAGGCTAACTAATCAGTGGCAAAGAGCTTTTTTCTCTTGCGCGACCTTCTCACCGACTGCTAGAAGAATATCGGATTCGCTACATACTTATCTATTCAACTAACCATTACTAACTAGGCAATCTGATTCAGACATCGTCCTTCATTTGCTGTACTTGCCCTCACTCACTCAGTACCCATCTCCCCACCCGGTACAAGCTGCCGTGCAATAGCAGCCGTAGATAGCCATAGGATGGGTGCGACGCGGGGAGTCATGGTCTACGACCCAGCCCGGTTTCTGGCGGGAGACACAGTGCCATCAGATGTCGTACCTCCCGATCTGCTCATCCTCAACCAACCAATCACCCATTTTGGCGTGTTTGCGCGGCTATGGAAGCACACGCATTACCGCATATGTGCCGATGGCGGCGCTAATCGGCTTTTTGATATGTTTATGGAAGGCGGGCGTGAGACTGAGAGAGACGCTTATGTAAGGAACACCCCTCACCTTGCTTGCATCCTCTCTGCACATTCAGAAATATGTATACTAATAGTGCGGGAACACATGAAGCTGCCCAGTGCTATACATGGAGATCTAGATTCACTGCGGCCGGACGTGCGCGCATACTATGCGAGTCGTGGTGTCGAGATATCCCAGGATCCCGATCAATACAGCACTGATTTTGGCAAAGCCATGTGCAAGATTGCATCCAGACATTCATCCTCACACGCCCGCAAAATCTTCGTCCTGGGGACGTTGGCCGGAAGAGTCGACCAGGGTCTGGGTCTGTTGCACGAAATGATCCGCGAGGAGACCAACGACCCAAACATGCAGCTATGGCTGTTTTCCGAATCCAATCTGTCCTTCATCCTCAGGAGTCCTCACAATACCATTCGAGGCGCACTTTCGAGCGAACTGTTTACTGAAAACGTGGGCATCGTGCCCGTGTACGGCCCTGCAATCATATCCACTTCGGGGCTGGAGTGGGACGTAGAAAGCTGGGCGACGCAGATGGGACATCAGGTCAGTACGAGCAATCACATCAAGGCAGACGAAGTGCACATCCAGACCGATGCTCCTGTTCTCTTCACCATCGAACGATCGTTGAAGACGCGCGGGATCAAAGGAATGTAGTAACCTACCGACTGTGATCAATTTCCGATTGGGGGGACAGAGGAACTCACACCACTTTGGTCATGCACGATTCGTCCATCAGCCTCGTTGTCAATTCATGCAGCTCATGTTCACGTCCTCGTTGTCTCGAATGTGCGGCTCACAAACAAGCCTTGGGTATTTCAAATATAGTACATGGCAACGCCTGGAGACATTCGCTAAAGAACCCACGATGATGCCAGGATGAATACAACATAAAACACTGCGTGTGGGGGTCCTTGGGCAAGGCATACTCGAGGTCGGGGGTGGGGTGGTGTGCATGATTTGCATTAAGCGCTACCCTTACCCGCTGTCAAAAAAAAACTACACAAAGCTAAATGGAGTGATTCCAAACCAAAAAAATAAAAACACGCAGCGCATGAAGGTACAGCCTCGACCAAACAAAGAGAAAATAATGCCGTTGGACATCGCACCCATGTATGCCATGTATACGCTGTTTGCTGTGCATGCATATCGATCGGCTCTTTTCTACCGAACCACGCACCGCCGACGCGCCGACCCCCCCGCAATCTCTCTTGACTCTAATCTAAGAATAGACCTCCCCCCTGGTCCATCATCACTCATCATCAATCATGCCATGCAGGCGGGAGGAACAAAACAAACACCCATTCCACATCAATCTGTATCTATGTATGTCATGATTGCCCCAGCACAGCCTCACTCGTATAAATGAAGGAAGGATCCAGCGGGTGCTCGAATCCACGGTTAGCCAGACATTATATCAAAGAGGGCAAAAACCGTTTGTCGCAAGGCCGCCCGCTAGCCCCCCCTGGTCCCTCTCTTCCTTCCCTTCCTCCCAACATCAATCATTAAACTAGCTGCTCACCTGTTTAGTGGGTTTGCCATTGGCCGTCGCCGCTAGGAATGCTGTTTTGATTGCCATTTTCCATGACTGATTAGCCTCCCAACTACTTACTTTTTTGTTTCCTATTCGCTAGTGCTGTGTGGACCCTATGTGTGTGGTTATGCGCTTCGCGTGCTCTGCTGTCGACCAGACCAGGGGTGTGTGTGTGTGTGTCCTTCACTATCCGAGAGACATCACTCCACCGCGAATACCTTTATTCCTTTTGAGACATGAGAGATTAATCCGTGTTTCTTACCCATTCTAGATGCAGAATCCCAAACCTTCTTCCTTTTGTATGCAGCAGAGATTATAATCCCAGGTCTCGTAAAAATAGTCGCGAAAAAATATGTCTTACAAACTCGCTGCAGACAAGATACTAGAATAGATTGCAAACAATCTCATCTGTGAGACATTTTTCTTACCGCTGGTTTAAAAATACTTGAATATGCTCGTTTATTGCCTCGTTGAGACTTTTTCGACATTTGTCTAGGTGGTGTTGAAGATGAGTATATCTACATAGAGGGGCCTGTAGAAAGGTAAGTTTAGTATCCACAATATCATGTGCAAACACAACTCTGTATAAAGGTTAAATCATTGTTGCTGTAAGGGGCTGATATTATGTTATTCACCATACCATTTCCATGTCAGAACTTAACGTCAATACTAGGTATATGCGATCGATCCCCTTTGCAATCAACGACATATACAACATCCAAAGGGAACTAGCAGCACTAAATTTTCTAAAACCATGCTGTATCAATATACAATGGCGATTGTAGACCTGTGTACGAAACGGACAATATTGATCCCCAGCGCATGCGTACACGTTTAAGAGACTTAGAACGGGAACTCTACTCAAATAACAAATCTACTACCACTGATATCCCATTTCCATAATCTTGATGCAAAAATACGTTCTACCTACTTAGTTGTGTTACACCAGTGTATATCTATTAGCTACAGCAGAGTTTCGTGTCCGTGTGCCACAACATCATCTTTCATCAAGCAATAAAACCCCCCACCTTCGATGCGTTAAGCAATCTACAGAGCACCAAATCTACTCCCTGCCTTTTTTCCAGTGGATCGTTAAACTGTTCTAACGTCTATCTTTCTTTAATGCTCTTATTTGGCTTGGTGGAACATGGATACATCTTCCTACAATTACCATCTCTGCATTACATTTCTTCCTGTTATATTGATCTGGTCAATTACGTGAATTGGATTCATTGCAGGATCGACACTGATAATATAGTAACAGTGATTTGGGTAGATTGCGTATATTTATCAATCTCTCCGCGCGCATCAAATCGGGTACAGTGTTGGCATTAAGCCCTTTGTGATTCTACATATATGTAGCATTTTCTTGCTATCGCTATTGAAAAGGTGCTCCCCCCTTCCCCAATCCTTGCTTTTGCTTATTGCAATAAGCTTTTGTAAAGGCTCTTTTGTTTGAATATTTAGTCATCGCCTGTTTTTTTTAGTACCTTTCATCGCGGTAAACCCTTTGCCGTGTGCAGGATCACCCAAACCCCAACTTATGATCAAATACTCTTGGAATCATAGAAACGGGTCGCGATGAGTCAATAAATAGAAATGGCGTAGAAAATCACAATCTATATATGCCCTCTACCTCGCTTCAAGAGAGAAAAGAGGTATTTGCCCCTCGCGTCTAACGCTATTTCCCGGTAGATCATGTAGAGGTATTTATTGCCTTCAGAACTATAAAGGAAGATCTCAGACTGCCTATCTCGTGCAATCTTGTCACTGTGTACGCCCTAGGTACCTATTCAATCAACCCTTGTTGACTACACAGAAGTATGTACCTGCTAAGATCATTTTCGTACCGGTATTTATATCTATAAAGCCAGGAGTAGTGTAAATTTGTCGTTGGTTGTGAACATTACCGTTTAATGCGTTACGAGCACTTGTACGATTATACAGGAGGAGTGTAAATATAGCTAAACATTAATATCAGTTCGGCACGTAGAGACTGCTATAACACTCGTAGTTTCTGATACTCGAGTGCCTACGTTTCCGGTGCTAAGACTATTCCGCCACTACGTCTGGAATGAATCAGTGGTAGGACTCACCGACGATATATCTGGTCAGTAGTCAATCATCAGATTTCCGTCAGAGAGTAAGCATCATCAAATCGCTTGCGCTAGAGAGCAACACTCATCTTTGAATAGCAGGATCTAGAGAAGAATCAATACCAGTCTGTACTATTCGCCTGTACACCCTCATTGCGTATCAAGTGACAGCAGTGCTGCTACATGAATTTTCGAGCCTGTCATTGAGAAAACGATCGTACGGAACTGCTTCAAAGGTTTGAAGCGCCCGGAACGCTCGAAGCTACGATTTGTTTACTCGGACATTGTATACTTATATTTGATTACTCGATCTTAAAACGAACTTCTATTGCGATAAGTCATAGAGCTGGATAACGATTACGATGTCCCGAATCGACGCGTTTGTATCTGTTTGGGGAAGAACGGATACATTTGCTTAAAGTTATCTATTAGAGACATCTTGTCTGTAGGGTTTCAGAGAGTTCTAATATACAACTTGATTGTACCAGTTGGTCATATGCCGATTGACATCACAGTTTGGAAGCGCAACAGTGATACCACGGTCGAATCTGTGTAATATCTATTTGCCAGCAGCAGTCTCATACCTTCTTAATATAAGTATTGCACCGCCTTATCCTATAGAAATGCGGACAATCACCAGATGCGTGCTTTTCACATCAGTAATTTGATATCTTTTTCCATGACTATGAGAACAGTTTTATTCAGGAATGATTTATCGAAATTTTTGGTTCCCACAAAGCACCTTATAGAGTTGATTGGTCTGCACGTCCAGCTTTGCATCTATCATAATGGAATGAAGATGTAGTATTACGATTTCCTCTTCCTATCTATCTGGATTTCTTCTGGTCGTTGATGTCTATTATTTCGATAACAACCAAGCGGATGTGATCACATCAAACGCTTCAGCATTCGGGTGTTGCATCCCTGGCCCGGTGCTGAAAGTAAAACTCCTTTTTTGAAACTTTTTGTACCTGCCCACTTTTTGTTTAATCATTTTTATCAGCCTTTTTGAGTGTAGGAAGCACTGTAACTTCCAATCAAAAAAACGTAGCTTCAGCATGAACTCTGTCTAGACATCTCGCCGACCCGACTTCTAGAATATTTACTTTTTCCACCCCATAAATGAAAGAAAATCTTGCTTCATTACTGGTGATTTATAAATTTAAATGGCAGAAGCTGTTTCATAATCAGCTGGATCGCACCTTTGATATGAGCTGGAAAGTTCTGATACAATATCTGCTGAACTGATAGCCATACCTCTGAGCGGGACTTATACCAAGTTTAACTCGCTATTCATGACAGGGAAAATAACGATATTGTCAGTCCTAGGAACCTAGATTCGCGGATCCTGGGGCAGGATGAATAATACTGGACCCATCGGATCTGGAAAGCATGTCAAGTAGACGAGTACAATGCGTACTAACTCGATGACTTGGGGAGTCGCTTGTCATTCTGAGACGTCACTGAGAATGGGATGAAGAACCGAACAACTATCCGCCGCATTGGTTTCAGTATTGCGCTAGAAAATATGTTAGACATTGAGTGCAATGAATTTTAAGAACTGCATGTTGGAGTTTGGGTGATTCTACACATAGCGACAGTTATAACAATAACAGTACCGAAAATACAGGCGACTGCCAAAACATTTTTAAGTGCGATATGACAATGATTTGTATAGAATTGTGAGCCAGATACCACGGCACTCGAGCCGAATATTTGATCGTGGGTTTTAAGAGATCAGGCGGACTTGTTGGCGCACTACAACATCTGCATTTTAGGGTATCGCAAAACCCACCTTGAGCGGCCGTGAGAAGATTGTCATGCACAGCCCAGTCCGGGTCTTAAACCAGTCATCCGATTTGTGATGTAAGCGATCGAGAACCATTAATTCCTGAGCAATGTTCTTCCTATTACCACACCCGGGAACTGCGACGCTGCGACGGATCGGGTGACACAGACACCTATCGGCACACTGCCGGATATTTTCATTTCTCAAAGACTTCCCAAACTGGTCAAAAGTACATCCTAGCTGTACATATGCCCTAAAACGTCCCAGGCAGCTTTTGATCACAATACTTGGCGGAAACCCCGGCGTCGGAGGGTACTACTCGATACGCCGTAGCTAAAACCGGCAGCAGCTCTCGATATGAGTATGACGCGAGTGGTGCTACGCTGTCATGAAGCATGCGTCGCATACCTCATCATGTTCCCCATATCTATGAACATCATTAGCTCAGGTATACCATTTGAGGCTCTACCGGAAGAGAGCCATATTATTCCGTCACAACGAACAGAGCGAAGATGCCATTGTTGACATCAAGCCTCACGAGAAGGTGAATTAAGTCGCTGTTTGGCTTAGCGACGGCGAATCTACCATAGAACACGTAGCTGACTGGCCCAGCGCCGAAAGCAAAATATCCTGTTATGCACCTTTTTTGTAACCGCCTGCTTTTTGTAAAATCTTTTTCTTCCGTCAGCCTTTTTGAATGTAGGAAACATTTCAACTTCCAATAAAAAGAGACACGTAGCCGAGCGTTTCATGGACAAGTCCTTATACGCGACTGATCAAGGTGATGTACCACAGGAGACGAAACTCTAACTAGTGGGTTATACAGTTACACAGAAGCTCGAATATTCTTCTTGACTCCCGTAATCGCTGTTTGTTTGCTCTGTGACTAGGCACTTGCAAATCACGAAATTCATTGATTGTGCTTGCCCAGTACCTTTCTCATGTCCATCTATGAACACATATGAGAATGTTATTTTTGGTAATCGCCTGTCTTTAGAACTTTTATCGTTCTCGTTATCGCTGTGTGCAGGATCACTCCAACTCCAACTTACAATTTATATTAAGAGTGGGTTATATTTAGCCTCAGGCAAAGCTCAAATCCCCCTCCATGGAAAAAGCGTATGAATCCTTCTCGTACATGGTCGCTGGATCTTCGGCTCGAGGTTTTCAGCTTGAAGACTTAGCTCCCGAATAGGGCCATTGCTGGGTCTCGATACCAACGTGTTGGTAGATCACCCGTGTACCTGTTGAGAACGTCCAGTAGTTCAGACCATTTGTGATGGAAACGGAGGGATTCTATGGCCCTTGATAGATTCGGACAAGGCCCCAGTTGTTCCCCTCGGCTGCACTCAATATAGATTTTTTGCACGATCGTTTATCCGATCTGACTCGATTCAATGTGGCAGATCTTCTTTTTTTCCGGGGAAATGTAAGGCCAAGGTGATCTTCATACAGGCAGCAAACTAACCGAACTATATTTAGACTGCTTACTATCCACGGAACTGCGATTGTATTCGTCGGCCTGCTTCTTGATAATCCCAAGTTTAAAATAGCAGATACTGTAGAACAAAGTATGAACACAATGATGAACTGGTTCGTGCCACGCAATCGGCGCACGAAAATCTGGCTGCCTGGATGGAGTATGCCTTTGACGATTTGGGTGCAGCTCTTGACCGGACGACCGTGGACCGCCTCACTATTACAACATCATCTAAATGAAATAGGCATGCTTCTGGGGTTCCAAGTGAGTGCAGTGTCCGGTGTAGTAGTTGTTATTCAGTCCGGTGAGCGCTGCTATTGGCAGGTGACGAGTGTATAGCAAGCGCAACGAAGAAACATTTTTGAACAGCTGAGATGGAAGATTCTAACAAGTGTCACGGGGTAAGCTTGGGCTTAGAGCGTTTACATGTATGCGCTCTCTGATTTAGCGCTAGCCGCGGGAGCGCGTACTCAGTCCGATCTTCGGCGGTTCCGTGAGTGGTGTATTGACCTCTGAGGAGTGAGAAAGATGTCAAGAAATTGGAGGTTCGAAGCGGATTGCGGCTAGGTGGCGGACTACGGTATTTTGGGAAGGCTTCCGAGCGATGAAACGAGCGGGGTGGCGCACCAATAAGCAGGGCTCGTGGCGCAGCCGTTTCGTCTTTGACTGCCGTATGATGTGTGATTAGAAGGAGTACAACAGAAGGTCTCCAGGCGCGACAGGTTGTTCCAATCATAGAAGCCTCATGAAGTTTTCCGATTGAACGCCGGCAGTGTCTCGGCCTTTGACCAGTGAAAGCACGTGACTATGATGTGGCCAATCGGAGAATAGTTATGGCGGCTTGCCGTAGCCAGGAACATGGCTTAACGTCAAATCGAGCTGGCCTCCCAACTTCATCACATAGCCTCCTTGTAGCATCCCATCAGAACGTCCTGCCTCAGCGGTGGTCTGCGCTCACAACACGAGGCCCCGGATCCATAGCAATGACCTCCCATAACGCCGCCTCCACTTCCGTCGTTGCAGGTGGAAGGACCGCCATGAAGTCACTGTACGTAGCTTGGGCCCACGAAACTCTTCCTCCCACTTGATTCACTGTGGAACACGATTCGCCCGTCTTTCACGTCTGACGACAAGTGTCCTCTGAGCAGCCCCCACTCACTGGGCTGTATCGTAACTCGGCAGCCTAGGCTTTGTGGATCCAGGCCAACCATGTGGCCTGCTCCATGTGGCCGCCCCTCTAATATTATCCTTCCGATACAAGCAGACCGCCAACCGCTCGTTGAGATACCTCGCTCAGCATGGAGAGCCCCAGCCCCATTGTTTGGATTGCCTAAGATGTGTTCCGCTTCAGTTCAGTCTTTACGTTGGACAAAGCGGTCTCCACCCGCCATGTGTGTTCCTTGTTGAATTGTCCGAACAGCCTCGATCCGCTTTTCTCACTATGTTCTTGCACGAGCAGTCGGTTTATTTCACTTGTTTTTGCTCGTTGTCCTATACCATCTACTTTTCGTGAATCTAAATCCCACGTCAGTTCCCGTTTGTGGACAAGCGAACGCTTCAGGCCTACCCAAGTGTATCCAGAGATAGGAATGACGAGTTCTTCAACGACAGTTCGGGTAGATCGAATCGCGTAAGAACAGTGATATTCTATCTTTGTTTAACTGCCATCACCAGAGCCACAAGAAACTCCATGCACGGACTCGGCATCTATCGCAAACACTATATCACTCCTCAAGAATCGCATCTTGGAAAATATCTTCTAGTATGATCATCATCACTTTGCATTCTTTCTAGGTCTCAAAGCAGAAACCCGAACCTCATCTACAATACCTACAACAGCCTCACGATATAAAGATCTGCAAGTCAGGCGGAATCCGGTCTGCATCTTACTGCATTACGAACCAATATATTGATCGAGCCTGTTCTCGTCGAATCAATAAAGAGGCAACTTGATCAGCTATGTCAGAGCGGAAAGATAGCTGCAAGTCATGTCGCGAGACTAATAACGCGGTAAGAATCTGACATGCCTACCCTATCACAATGGCATATCGCTGACCATCGCTGTATAGTGTGATAAGAAGCGGCCAAGATGCGGCCAATGTGCCAGCCAGGGAAAAATGTGTGGGGGTTATGATATGGGCCGCATCTTCATCAACGTCAACTCTTCTTCTCCACCTCCGATTTGGAGCCGATCAGCAAATGCGCAAAAGTACCTCGTTTTGGATTTGAAGTCCCAATCACACGACCCCGAGAACCCCGGTGCATCTATCTCCAGACCTTCTAGCTCCCTGTCATTTCATTCTCACTCGGGATTGTCCATGGCTACTCTGGAGCCGGCGCTACCAGATGTCTCTTCGTCCGAGAAAGATCCCGCAGACATACGAAGCATTGTAGATACTTTTCTCAAACTCTACTACAGACGATACGGTCAAGCAGAAGCATCCATTGAATTACTCACCAGTGGTCAAGAAATTGGAGGTTGGAGGAGGTTGTTGCCTTACTGGATAGGACGGTCGCCGACCCTCGACATGGCAATCAGATCCCTCGCTGCTTCCTTCGTCGGGGCACAGTATGAGGATTTGAATCTTATCGACCAAGGAAGAGATCTATATCTGCAGGCACTACAAATGGTACAAAGAGCTCTGTCGGAGCCGGATTCAGCTTCCCGCAAAGATGTATTGGTTACAACGCTCGCGATGAGCTCCATTGAACTTTTTCTGTCCAATGGCGCAACATCTAGTCAATCAGCGCACATTGAAGGCGCCAATCGGCTTCTTGAAAGTGTCATACAGACTGAAGAGATTGAGGAGATTCACCTCCATGCTCTTAACCAAGGCTTGTTCCAGGCAATCTCCATGCGTCAGCGATACATCTTCTCAGACCCTTCATACCGCCATCTAGTCCACCGTCTCTATTGCGTACCGCGAACGAGCCACAACAACCTGTTTTTCCAATGGTGTGAGACGATAATCCCACTCCCAAACATACTCCATGCCATTGACAGCATCTCGTCACCCACCAGCTCCTCGCAACCATCAACTCATACAGTCCTATCGATCCTAGAAGACATCCAAGCATTAGAACACGCAATGGTCCCATGGTACGAACAACTAAAGGCCAGCAGTCCAGGTGCCTGGACCTTCCCGACCGCGCAAACAGGCAGCGCAGACTCCGTCCCCTTCCCACTCCAATTCGTGTCCATCGAAACCTGCACACTCTACTGTCTGCACTGGTCCTCGCAGCTCCTCATTCTCGAAGCCCGCCAGGTCCTCAACTTATACCTCCCTCCTTCCGAATTCGCCAACCAGCCATCTACAGCCGTGCTGCTTCCGCAGCTGGCAGAGTACGCGTCGCTCATTTGCCGCTCGGTCCAATTCTGCACCGAGAATAGATCGTTTGCTGCCTCTGAGAACATGTTTCTCCCGCTGTATGCGGTTGCTGGGTTCTATCAGCGTCAGAACGACGAGAAGCGTATGAAGTGGTGCGCCGGGGCTTTTACTCGTGTCGCGGCGCAGCAAAAGATTGGATATGCTGTTGGCCACTTCAATCTGCAATGATCTTTTTTCCCCTGTTTTTGTTGTTTTTCCCTGTGGGTTTTGTGCCGTATGCAGGGTCCTATTTTTTTTAGAACCCTAATTACGGCTCTTTTCTATTCATGTTGCCTTTTCTTCATGGCTATATACCCCCGTTTTCCTCCATCACTGTCGCTACGGATGTTTTGCATTTTTGCATTTTTGCACTTTTTTTCTTTTTGCATTTTTCCTGTTGGTTTGGTTCATGGCTATGCATTGCATTGAATTGGCGTTGTAGCGCCCCACGTTATGTTTTTTCCATTTAGACCGTCACAAAATTTCCGAAGTGTTTTTTCTCCCTTGCTCTTCTTGCCGTCGTTCCCTCTTAACGCATCTCTTTTGTTCATTTACGTAGCATTATCATCGTAGCATGCATGCATCATAGTAGCAAAAACGTCTGTTCTTTTTCTCGCAACACTTTTTCTTCTTCTTCTTTTCTTTCTCACTTTCCCAGCGAAAAATAAGATAAAATCAAAATCAAAAAAGGTCCATATCCCAATCTTCTTGTCTGTCTAGAAAAAACAAGAAAGTTTTTGTCTCCTTATAAATCTAGTGCACCGTGATTTATACAGTGCGGTTTTTGAGTATGAACAACGATGGCTAGAACTTGATCTTGTTTCAATATCGTCGTACGTGAGGAGAAAAGATTGCCATTGCTCCTTAGACATGTCCCCAAAAACGAAAAACAATGCAGCACTGGAAACATTGTCGCTAAAAGAGAAGGGATGGGAGTGGGGAACAACAAACGCAAATGTTGGGTACATATACACCAACTTTTACAACATGGTTTACTTCAGTGCTCACTCACTCGGCACGTTAGAAGCTTGATACCTAGCGAATGTTGGGCATGACTGCATTAACGGCGTCTAAAATCACATCACCTTACATGAAAGGACGACATGTTTTAACCCATCGTATCTATTTTCCATGAGCAAGCGTCAGGCGATTGATGAACGGAAGATCCAAAAATAAAAAAGGGATGTATAGTCATACATGTGTTATAAAAAAAAAAGAGACCAACTCTTAACTTTCAAACAATCCCATCCCGCTAATAGAAAAACATGAACACCCCGCTCCCACCCCTCCCCTAGGCTTTTATTTCCCTCGTCTATATCTTCCCTCCCCGCCCCCGCAAGAGAAGAAATTTCTACCACTTGATATCGTTGAAAGCCGTTTTCAGAACATCGGTTCTCGTCTTGCGCGCTTCAGGAGCGCTGACCATTTCCAAGATATCCAGAGTTTTGCGAGCATCTTCTTTGGCGACGGCGAGGAACGGGTCTGTAGCAGGGTCTACGTGAGCTTGATCTTGGACGCCGAGGATGCGGGCGATGAGGAGCTAAGTTGAGGTGTCAGTAAACCCATCTTTATCGAGGGAAGAAACGTTCCTTTTTTTTCCTTTTCTTCTGTGTGTTTTGGCTGGAAGGGGAGGGGGGGGGGGATGAAAAAGGACAATGGGGGAAGAGAGAGAAGAAACACATACCGCTTCCTCGAAAGCTCGGTGCTGGAAAACCCACCAAACCCCGGCGTCCACGCGAAGGTACTCCCAGAAATGGAAGAATGACAGCAGGGCCATTTGTGCGGCTTCCAGGGCGCCCTTGACGTCGCACACTACATCGCCGGCTTCGTTCTCATCGGCCTGGATGGCCATGACGCAGTGCCAGTAGTTGCTTCGTAGGAACAGGTTTTGGCGGAGGCGACGGGGGTTCGAGTCTGCGAGATCGCGGATGGCTGTGCTGTCGGATGTCGTTAGTTCAGGGGGGAACGAGCGAAGCAGTCTGTCGTAGGAGTCAATGAGTTTTGTCTTGGCGTCGGGTGAGTCGGTGAGAGGGTGTCCCAATGAACGTGGTGTGCAGACGGTGCGTTGGACTAAGTGAGCCATGTGCCACATTGATCTGATGTACTGACGGTCGGCCAGCTCGTATGGGGGGAACGTGTCTGACATGGGTGCTATATTACCTGAAGAGGAGAGGCTGTCAGTTGCTGATAGATGCAGGTGGTGACATGTCTATACTCACTGATACTCATGGTAGCCCCGTTGGCATATTCATCCAGGTCATCGGTGAGTGATTCCACACGCACGTCAGAGAAGGTTGCAGTTGGTGGGAGTTTGAGAAGAACAGTGAGGAATGTGTCCTGAAAGAAGATGGCTTGCCACAGCTTTCTCCGCTGCTGTTTGTCGCTGCGAGAGCAGCGTGGAGATATGATGTCGGGATCTCTGTGAAGGCCCATGGCGTACGATTGACGGACCAGAACTCCGCCAAAGGCCCACGCGTCTGAGGCGTGGTTATCATTCATGAGGAAGTATCCTATCAAGACCATGGCCTGCAGTGTCCTTACGGATGCTTTACTGAGATATGAGGATAACCTCAGAGATTGTTGGGAGGCCGAGACGTAGAATTCGGCAAGCTGTGCTTGGTTTTGATGATCACTGGACATGTGAATGAACTGGGTAGCCATGGCGTATACGACAAAATGAAGGGCGACCAAGACAGGGTCGGCAGTCTGCTTCTCCTCTACAGGCAGGGACCAGAAGCGCTCATAGTCGGCATAGAAATTGCGGCGATGTACCATGGGGTATACCGGATCGACGGCATCAAAGTATTTGGCGACGAGTATGTCGGCATGGTCCTTTGCTGGCAGGGCGCCGACGACCTCTGCCAAGCCGCCACGATTGGTCCAGTAATTTGCAAAAGGATGTTCGGAGCCTAGTCCGAAGAAGGGGGAAGTGTGGTTAGAGTAAGGGATGTTTGACAGTAAAAAGGGGGAAGAGGAGGTGGACGACAGCGAGGCACTGCGATAGTTGTGCCTCGGAGGGTTGACTGGAAGGACATGAACCTGTGGGGCAGCATTCGTTGGTTAGCCGGGAATATGGATGGAGCTGGGGACAAACAAGCTTTGAACGTGTCTGGGCGGACAGCTGGATCCGTCATCCGGGATCGAAGATCAGATGAGAGATAAACGAACGGGAATAAGCAAGTATATGTGGGACTATGTGTTGATAGATGCATACAAGCAGATGTACGTGCACACGTAATACAGATGGATGCCCACACGCGTGCGCACACATGGATATACATGGGCCACAGACGCTCATATATGAATACATACCTGAGGACTACTGCTGGTGTGATTCTCTTGGGCATTGGGCAGCGAGGACACCGGGACAGTTGCAGGCTTGGTGGAAGGTTTCCGCGATCGCAAAGGGGTGATGCTGCGGCCCGAGGCGGCGATCAGGTTGGCGGCGTCGGAATATTTGCATTGGGACTGCCGTTTTGAGCAGGCAATACATTGCGGTCTGGTACCGATTAATGGTGGATTCAAATCCTGTTGGTTTGCAACGTTTTTCCGTTCATCTCAACGTGTCACACTGAATCCACGTGGGTGTTTTGCCCGGGGCGGCGTGGGAAACTCGCGGGAAGCTTGGGATCAATGGATGAAGGTGGGAACGAATGGATTGTCTTACCTGGTACGATCGCACTAAAGAGCAGAGAAAGAGATCAACAGGCTGCTGCTGGAGTGACACAAGTCGGATGGACAGACGATCGGATCATCATCGGACGGTACAAGCAGATGGATGGAGGGATGTGCAGATGTCACGTACCTTTGTCTTCCGCTCGACGCACTCTTCGCAACTCAACGTGGGCTTGTTGCGTTTCTGCTTCTTGCGCGCCGGAGTGTCGAGCGCGGCGGCTGGTGGTGAATCGTTGGCTGTTACCGACTCCGAGTCCATGGCTGTCGGCACATGTTCCCTCGGCGTGAAGAGGGGAGGGATCTAGCTATCGCGACTGTTTCCGGCCCTCTCAGCGGCGCGTTGCACGGGAATAAAGAGTTGGAGCTTGTAGCAGGGGGCGCATTTCACTCTTGTGGGGGGAGTGACGATGACAGGACTCCACGAACGAACGAACGAATGAATGGATAGATGGATGGATGGAGCAATGATGTATCGGATGGCCTCCGGCCTGGACCTTTGTACCGGGCTCCCTAGCACTGCCGGCGCTTCTCAGCTGTCAAAAACTTCCGGCGCGCGCAATTCGCACTTCGCTTTCATTTCGCCATGCTCGCTTACGTCATCCCCGACCCCCGATTCGTGCTTTGCATCGTCACCATCATCACCGTTGCCCACCGAGCACGGCAATTCAAATCAATCATCGTGTCATTATATCGAGCAAGACTCCGTGCTATTCATATACAATATACATCAAGCGCTGTTGGCACTGGGAAACACTTCCAGGAGCTGCTCGCCTTCCTCTGGTCCCACATTCTCATCCAATATCTCGTGCGCCATATCAATCACTTGCGACTCGATTCCCTCCTCTAGCACCAGCCGGTCCGAGAAGGTGATGCGCGTCAGGACAACGTGGTATGCATGCTCGACTCCTTTCAGCTTATTCTTAATCGGCGTTGCCCCGTTCGAGCTCACGTAGTGCACCAGCTTCATGGTCGCATTGATGCTCGCAACCTTGTCTCTCTGTGTCGGTGACAATGGCCGGGCATACAACGATGCGACGCAATGGTCCAAGTATTTGACCAGCCGCCCAATGCAGTAGTGATCGCTGGCCAGCCTTGCGCACCCATGCGCAGTCATGGAGAACTGCGTCAAAACGTCAAGCACCCGGAGTCGAAGCTTCCAGATAGGTCCCTCTGCAATGGGCTCCGGCGAAGGGAGCTGTGGGTCGGGTATTGGTTCAATGGCTTCCCCTAGGAGGTTGGTGAGTCGACTGATAACCGCTGCCTCCACAGCCGCTTGGTCTTGAGCTTCGTCCCGCGCATGAATGCCCGTTGGTCCCAAAGAGTTGGGCATTGCAGATGTAGCCAAAATGCGCAACATCAAGTTCATCTGCGCAAGCGGTTGATTTCTGTGCAATAGCAGCAGCACGTATTTGTGAGGCATGGCACGCCAAAAGCGTGCCAATGGCTCTTCCAAGGAACTTGAGACACAGCTGGTGGCCACCAGGTAGAGAAGCTGCAGACAGCTCTCTAAATCGATGCTGTCAGCTATGGTCCGTTGTGCGGGCGAGTATAGAGCGGCCACTCTAGCCTCGAGCCGACTTGCTGCTTCCAAGACTGGGGGCGCAACAAGGTCAATAGATGTGATAACCAATGGAACGATGTCCTCAGTGATTTCCATTGCTACCAAGGCTGGCTCGCATGCCAGGACAAAGTGGAGTGCATCCACAATCAAGAAGATTGGGGCATAGTGTTGCTCACGGAAGCATCGCCCCCAAAGTTCAGCGAATACCCTACAGACACGAAGAGCGAGGTCATGGGCACCGGACGGGAGAAGAAGACCGGACAGAGAATCGTATACGATTGAAGAAAGCCTCCTATCAGGCTGTGAAGGAAATGAGTGTTGAGCGAGGGCTTCCAGGATACGGTCCTGACCATTTGAGCACCTGTGAGCGAGCAAACGCTGGAGAATATTGAATCGACCCTCATCTTTCCAAAGGTTACGAAGCATCGCCAGATCAAGCCTCGCTTCGGTAAAAGAACCCAGTTCAGGCGGTTTCGTAGGCTCTCTAGGTTCACTCAATTGGAGGGCCTGGATGGGGCTGTCATTGAGAGCCAGCCGTTTCCTTTTGTGCGTCTGTTTTGGCGTGGCAGCTTTAAGCCTGTCCCGTCGCTTGCTTGGTGACGCGATGATGTCTTCGTCGTCAAAACCATCACCGAGCTGCCTGGTCTTTTGCGCTTTCTTTGGGGTTGCGGATGGACTAGCTGTGGGTGCAGTCGTTATAGCAGGTTTAGGTCTCGCGGCCATTGGCCTTCGCATCCTTCGCATTTGCTCGGCCTGCTGAGCATCGTGTTCGTCAAGTTGGCGCTGTGCGTTATCGCGATCGACCCTGAGTTTCTCGGTGGCATCCCTGTGCTCTTGTTGTAGAGCTTGCAGCCGTTGTTCGGCCGCCCGCCTCTCAGTGTCTGCGCGCCGTCTAACATTCTCCGCCTCTCCCGCCTTCCTGCTCGCCTCTGATTGTGCTGTCTGCAGGCTGTTGTTCAAGCGCCATTTTTCCTGCTCAAGTTTCTTGATACGCTGGAGCAGTTTACCAGTGTCTGCCTGCGACTGGGGTGGGACTGGGTCGACGTCCATCAACCCGCCGGCTGAGAGGCGGTTGTATTGCTGCGTGCGGCTGTCGTCGAGATTGATAATCTCATCTCCATGCTCTTGTGCGTCCCTGTGTGAGTCCCCATGACTGATGCTGTTGCCATTGCCATTGCCATTGCCATTGCCGTTGTCGTGAGCACCTCCAAAAGCGTAAACCGAGGTGGGGTTGCGTCGAGGCTGTTGGGTCGCGCGAATAGCGGACCTTTCAAGCTGCAGCAAGGTGCTGGCGGGCAGGTCATCCAGGTCAGGATCGGAGAAGTCGAATTCATCATGGTCCATGGTGTGCCATTCCCCAAAGGTATCGCGTGCAGCTCTTCAGCATTGCAAAGCAGCGTGGACCGAGATGGGCTTGGACTCGGTTGGTGTTGAGCTTTTTCTTCAGGTCATTTCCCGTACTGTGCCTGGGGGAATACGATGCAGTTTCCGGATTCAAAATGCCAAAAAAAAAGTTGCAAGCAAACACGGGCAGTGGTGAATCGACGTCAAACTGGGCGAGACATGGTGAGCAAGTGCAATCACGCATCGCTACAAACGACAACAATCAATGATGCGGACCAAACCAACAACACAGCCAGACGATTATGTAAGCACAGTTTCGTCCGCGAGAGAGAGAGAGAACAAAATCAAATGTACAGGGCCCGACTGGCCAGTTAGCGTCGAATCGGAGAAGGCGGCACGTCCAGCGAACTGCTAAGCCCAAGCACTGTGACGTCTTATTATCCCGTTCCAACACTACCAACAAAGCCTGCCTGCTTCACTCACTGTACGTACGTACATAGCAATCCATGCACCCAGTCGGCTGCGCGCAAACAACACACATTTGCACCTCCGCACCTTTTCTTCTTCTCCCGTCCGTCGCTGCTACCACGCTTCGTGCCGTCCCACCCCGTTCTCTCTCCCCCTCGATCGCGCCTGCCACCTAGTACCTGTCAGCTGCCAGTCCTGCCTGCCTGCCTGCCTGGATCGATTCCGCACACACAGCGCGACCCCGCCTCCGCATCAAATCATGGCCAAGTCGCGAAAGGACGTCAAGTTCCAACATCGCAGCACCAACGGAAAGCCGCGACGCTCCTCCATGAGCGTGTCAGAGATCAGCGAGAATGCCTCTGAGCCAGGCAGCCCAACCAAGAATGGCGCCGCACTCAGCAAATCCGAGCCAACAGTACGTTGCAATGCCTCTGGTGTATCAACGCTGCTTCTGCCTACCTGTCTGCTAAACTCACCATAGATACCAGAGCCCCCGCCTGCTCAATCCGACTATGAAAAGAAAAAGGCAAACTTCGTCGAGCGTACCGTATGGACCTTGATCATGATCGCCTTCTTCTTCGGCGCCATGTCCTCCGGCCACATCTACATCATCATCATCGTCACCGCTGTCCAGATCATATCTTTCAAAGAGGTTATTGCCATATCAAATGTGCCCAGTCGCGCCCGTAGCCTTCGCTTCACCAAGTCGCTGAACTGGTATTTCCTCGGTACCACAATGTACTTTTTGTACGGCGAAAGCGTAATATACTACTTCAAGCACATTCTGCTCGTCGACCGCGTCCTGCTACCCCTCACAACCCACCACAGGTTCATATCTTTCATGCTGTACATTATTGGTACGTCGCTACATGCGTTGGCTTGATCGTCTTGACTGCCGCTAACTCTCTAGGCTTTGTCTTTTTCGTCTCTTCCCTGCAAAAGGGTCACTACAAATTCCAATTCAGCCAGTTCGCCTGGACCCACATGGCCCTTTTCCTCATTGTTGGCCAAGCCCACTTCGTTATCAATAACATCTTCGAAGGCTTCCTCTGGTTCTTCTTGCCCGTTTCCATGGTCATCACAAACGACATATTCGCTTACCTGTGCGGCATCACCTTTGGCCGCACTCCATTGATCAAGATATCCCCAAAGAAGACATGGGAAGGCTTCCTTGGCGCCTGGTTCTTCACTGTCATCTTCGGCCTTGGAATGACTTCTATTTTGTCCCAGTACAAGTACTTCATCTGCCCAGTCAATGTAAGTTCTCGCTCTACGCAGATATTGACCTTGGCTCACAATTTCAGGATCTCGGTGCGAACGTGTGGACTGGCTTGGAATGCACACCCAACCCGGTTTTTATCCCCAAGAAGTACACCGTCCCCTTTATCCCATCCGGCCTGCCGATTCCCAACACCTACTCGATCAAGCCTGTTCAATTCCACATTCTTGCTCTGGCTACTTTCGCTTCGCTCATCGCACCGTTTGGTGGCTTCTTCGCGTCAGGATTGAAGCGTACGTTCAAAATCAAGGACTTTGGCGACAGTATTCCAGGTCACGGTGGTATGACGGATCGTATGGACTGTCAGTTCATCATGGGTACCATTGCCTTCTTCTACTACTCTAGCTTTGTTGCTACCAACAACACAAGCGTGGGAAGTGTCTTGGAGGCCGCTATCACAGGCCTCACCCCTGAGGAGCAAGTTGAAGTTGTTAGAATCCTAGGAAAACACTTGGTCAACCATGACTTGTTGTCACCAAAGGTATAAAAGTTTCCATGCGCGTTGTCTTGTGGGACGAAGCTAACACGTGCGTAGATTCTGGAATTCCTCAGTTTACCGGCCAGGAGATGAGACTACCATCCCACCTAAGTCATAACAGCTTTTCGGACGTGGAGAAGAATTATTATCACTGTGACATATTTGGTACTTTTCACAGTGGCAAAATATAGGGCGTCATTCAGAATGGTAGTTGTGTAATGTTTAGCTAGGGCTTGTGCTTGCGGTCCTGAAGTTGTTGTTTCGCATTCAAGTCGATACCCGGGCGTTGGACCGCACCAGCTGGTTCCATACGATTTGCTGATGAATCGGGGGTTTTGTCTCTCTTCTTTTTTCTTTCTCTTCACGGCCCTTTTTCAAAAGCTTGTGGGTCTTTATGATAGCATATTGTTGGCATGTGTATCTGTATATCGATATGTATGAGAATTAAGCACCATAATCACTGCTCCACCTTGCGCCATGTTCTCTGCATGCCTTATTGCATTGCCGATGGGTTATAAGCGGCGCCAGAGGTTCACCTCCGCTCGGCAAGATTCGAAGATTGCCGCGCACGGACCTTTAGACGTGAACGCGGGACTGACCTGTGAACATTAGAATGAACCACATCTTTGACCTCGTTCAATCGGCGCAAAGGAGCTGTTCAGACCAGCGCTTCAGCTTTCTGTCCCGTTCATGTCACCACGGCCCTTCGTGAATGATGCCCTGTGGAGATGTCTCTGCCCACGGTTCTCGCAGGCTTCCCTGACAGTTCCGACGAGAAATGCGTCTCGAGCCCGGACGCTGCCATGCATGAAGGCAGCGAAATCGCAATCGCGACAGTATAATTCGTATTCACAACCATTCGATCAGTCATTCACTCCCTGGAAGGATGGCACCGGCTCCACGCGTCCACCTCAATCGCTATCGCCAACGAATCCTTACCGCAGTCTCAAGCAAGAAGTGCCGCTCGTACAACTGCCAACTCCGGAGCTCTACGAACGCTTGCGCATCGATGGCGCGGCCGGAAAATTCGACAATGTAATGAACGTCATACGGGTCTTGATCAAGGATAGGAATGAAGTTATCAATTCGCATATGTACACGGCTGTGCTGCACAGTTTGGCCAATTGCGAAAATGGAACCGGGGGCAAAATTCGCAAGGTCCTTGAAGAGATGCGCGAGAGCAGCGTGGAGCTCGACGGGAGGGGAGCAGAATGCGTGCTCGAAGCATTGGCCGTGCATCCTGACCATTTGTTGCGGACCGACATCTTGGACTATATGCGGGAGAGATGGTTCAATCTGTCGGATCGCGCGCACAACTTTGTGGTCGCGGGACAGATGAGGGAAAGGCTTTTCGAACAGGCGCTGGAGCGGTTGGAGAATATGGTCAAAGAGGGTATCAAGGTTGAGGCTTGGTTGTGGGATATGGCCATCTGGCTATTGCTCGAGTACAAGGAGCCTGAGGAGGCCTTTTACGTGCTTCGTCTGAGACAAAACGTGGAAGGGTACAATGTCAAGTTGAGCCATGTCATGTGGCTACAGCTGTTGGATGCCGCTTCCAAGCGCAACCTTGTAAGCCCTCGTACTCAAAACAGACGCACCAGCTGCTAACGAACCCATCATCTAGACTGATGGAGTGAAGATGATATGGGACACCCAAGTCATCTCTGGCTACCTAAAGCCCCCAACAGGAACGTGCCTCAACGTTCTCTCCGTCGCAAGCCGCAGCGGCAACATCGCCCTCGCAACAGACGTGTTCCGCCTCCTCACCGAACGCAACACCCCCTTCACATCGCACCACTACGAAGCTCTGATCGAATGCTATCTCACGGCCTCGGACCTCCCCTCGGCCCTCTCCGTAATCCTCATCATGCACGACTCGGGCCTGCGCGTCACCCTCGACAGCCTGCACCCTCTCTACACCCACCTCACAACGTCGACCCCAACCCTCCCCCTGGAAGCCTTCACACACCTCCAATCGCAAGCCACGGCCGGCAAGAAGATCCCCCTCGCAGCCATAAATACGTGCATTCAAGCCTGCATCCCGCGGCGCGGACCATCAACACACCTCACCTCAGCCATTGAAATCTACAAAGCCCTCCACACCGTGTGCCCGGCCGGCCCAAACACCGACACCTTCAACATCCTCTTTCAAGGCTGCCAGCGCGAAACCCGCAAGGAACTCGCCATGTACTTCACCTCTGAGATGCTCGCGCTCAACGTCCAGCCCAACCGCATCACGTACGATCGCCTCATCCTGGTCTGTCTGCAGGCTGGCGATGTCGATGATGCCTTGCTATACTACGAGGAGATGAGGGGGATGGGGTGGGTGCCGAGACCGCGCACTTCAGAGTTCCTGGTCAAGGAGAGCGTCGCGAAGGGGGATGAGAGGGGTGTTGCGGTTTTGAGGGATTATGCTGAAGATGGGGGCGCGGAGCCTGGCAAGGTTGCGTATTTGAGGAAGTTGGTTCAGCGGAGGTTTGAGGAGAGGAGGGGGGTTGGCGAGGAGGTTGTGGTTTAAGGATATGCTGTTGTTTGAAACGTTCTGTTAGAAGAGGAGGGGTTAGTTGTGTAGTGTTTATGTGTAGTTCTAAGGAAAAAAAGAGATAGGTCTCTATATATAGGTGTGTGGCATCTGTGTCTTACTGAATTTGTTATCTTTGCTTTCACTCTGATGTTTACTCTTATTTTTACTCTGAACTTCATTCTCATTTTCACTCTAACTTTTACCTTCAATCTCACTATCACTCTGACTTTCACTCTAGCTATCACTCTGACTTTCACCTCAATCTAATCTTCACACTGATTTTCACTCTGGCTATCACTCTGACTTTCACTTCAATCTCACTTTCACTCTGACATTCACTCTTATTTTCACTTTAACTATCACTCTAACTTCCACTCTTCTAAATCTCACCCTCACTTTGACCCTTACATCTAAACAGCCAGGATAACCATACTCCTCCTACTACTACTTACACTATAAATCTGTTAAATCCCCGCCTACACAGCTAATTCTCTAATTATAAGAACAGAGTTAGAAGAAGATAGCATATAAATTTGATAAAAAAAAACTATCTAGTTGTTTATTCGCTGTTTTGACTAGTTGTTGTTGTTGTGCAAGAGAGATGGGAGGGGGGGGGCTGAAAGAGGTGAGTTGAGTGGCAAGGAACTACGCATTATAGCACACACACAATATGGCAGAAGGGCGTGAGGGAAAGAAAAAGAAGAAGAAGAAGAAGAAGAAGAAGAAGAAGAAGAAGAAGAAGAAGAAGAAGAAGAAGAAGAAGAAGAAGAAGAAGAAGAAGAAGAAGAAGAAGAAGAAGAAGAAGAAGAAGAAGATAGGAATTATGTATATGTGCGCGCGCGCGTGTATTTATGTAAAAGAGGGAGGATAGGAGGAGGTATTCCCGCAGCCTCTTTGAAAGAATTACCAAAAATGCACGCACGCACGGCAATAACCATTTCGAGGTCCTTCTTTGGCGGAAAATGGTGGGGGAGGGGGAGCATAGAAGAAACGCTGGAGATTTTTTTTTTCTCTCTTGATCCCTCCGCCAGCCCACCTCTTTTCGTCGTCCCTCGCTTTGGAAAGCAACTGCGCTGTAATTACACGTGTTCCTTAGAATACCTTGCCACACTGCTGGAGAGAAAAAAAAAATGAAAGAGCGTTGGAGCGCCTTTTCTTCCAGCAAAGTTGTAGTCTTCTCGCACATCCTCCCGACCCTGATCTATGACGAATATCAGAATCGTCGTGGTGCTTGTTGTTGCCATGTCCCACCACCGTCGAGCTTGCGCCAGACCGACAATTTTCAAATGTTGGCGTGGTTTCAAGTCGACAGTGAGGTGACGAGTTGCCGCATTGAAGTTAGTGTTGCAATGGATACTCACGTGGGGTCACCGTGGGGGAGCTCGTGTTAAATAATTTTCCATCGTGCTTATTGACCGCTGGGTCAAAACATCATGGATAGTGGTGACTCAAGTCCTAATACATGCATCGCCCAAGAGAAAGGGCATAAGTGTTAGCGCATAGCAATGATTTTCTCCGTCCGCGCATCCAGAATAGAATGGGCCAGTTTGGTCCCACTTTGCTGGATTCGCGACATAACGAGGGGGAAATACTGAGATCGAGCCGCCTGACGGCCCAGATAACCGCGACGGCCGTCATGCAGCATGATCATGTTTTGTGGTACAGACTAGGAGGATTTATCATACCAGTTGACGTCGCTGAGCTGCAGTTTGCGGGCCCGCTGATTGCTGCGGTTGTTACCCGCCTTATCAAGGCGCGGCTGCGCGTATGGGTTGTGTGTCTTTTCAAGACCTTGGGAAGTTTCAGCACGTGTTTTGTTGGTATTGGGGGAAAGGGTAGAATGAAAAGGTGAATCACCCTCGGAATCGTCATCGCGGAGATCGTAGTTCAATACGAGGTTCTTGATCCGCTGCTGCTCCTCTTTCTCGGCCTGTTGCTTGTTACGCATGGCAACAGCAAAGGTGGAATCCGAAGGGAGGTCAATGGAACGGGTCTGTGTTTTGTTCCCTTTCTTACTCAGCAATGAGAACTTGACTGTGTTGTGTGTCGGAGCTTGAGGCGCGGGTTCACTGCTGCTGTCTTCAGTGGCTGCTGCAGGTTCCTTAGCCCGGCGCATTGGAAGCGGAACATCAAATACGGGCTTGCGCTCGAACTTGCGAGACTCGACGCTCTCTGACATGAGTTTAGCGAGTTCACGATCAAACTCAGCTTCGGCTTCAGGGTCGCGTTCGTCTTCTTGGCGCGTGACGATGATCTGCTCCTCTTCATCATCTGATGAAGCCTGCTTGATAGGTTCGTCGTCACCAGTGTCCTAAACCTCTGTCAGTATGTTGCAAGTTTGGAAGATAGATGTTCAAGCCACAAACCTCTCCGTCTTCGCCTGAGGATTTCTCGTCTTCGCCATCCGACAGAACAATGTCTTCGTCGTTTGGTCCATCAGCGTCATCGTCCGAGGCAGACAAGTCATCCTCATCTGGCTCAGCCTGCTTGCCGATTGCCGACATTTGGTAATTGTCTTTCACAGCTTCGGCAAACGCATGAGAGGCTTCCTCCAGGTTAGTAATAAGCTTCCATTGCGGTCTAGTAAGGTTGTAAGCATCCTGGACCAGGAACTCCACATCTAGAGGAAGAGGGTCCTTGGTGCAAAGATAGTACTGGAAATAGCTGAGGAAGAAGTCGAGCTTCTTTTTCGCAGCGCCTTTATCGTAATACATGCCGCAAGTCTCCAGCAGGTTGCATACAAGACGAACGCGGAAGAAGTCGTCCGGAAGGTCCAGTGGGTTGACGACACCTGGCCGAGCGTAGCCACCTCCCCATCCGTAATTGACAAGTTTGTACAGTGTGTCAAAGATAAGAGGGGAGTCGATCAAGCGATAGATGTACAGCTCTCCGAGATACTTGATCTCTGCGATCCTGCGCTGGTTGAACTTGAAGTCATTCAACTCAAGACCAAAACCAATCGACTCGAGAAGATCGTCAATGACAGATATGGCAAAATCCTGATGGTAGCGATGGATTGTCCCCAGGATGATGGCCAGCAAATGCACGTTGCTGTATTTGATCTTTCCTGGCTTGGAAAATATCTTGTGAAGGAGGTTGACGACTTCACGCTCTTCCCAATGCATCTTCCGAATAAATCGCACGGTCTTGTCGACAGATCTCCGACTCAGATCCTGGTACATGATCTTGCGAAGGAAAAGTTCAGTCGGCGTTCGTTCCTTTTGCTCGATGGCCGCTCGCTCTGGAGGGTTGACGTAGTACATGGCATTTTCAATGAGCATGCGCTCTTGCTGGCCTATGACCTGCGCGCCTTTTTTGCGCTGGAGGGTTTCCAGAAAAGATGTCATCCGTGGCGAGGTATCGGGATTTCGAAGTAGATACCGACCGCAGTTTTCAAGCAGATTGCAGATGATCTCGATGTTGACCCGTGAGAACTCGTCCAGACTGACTTTCAAACAATGGAAAATGACATGCTCGGGCACAGCACCAAACTTTGTCAACTCTGCAAGATAGCGCACATTCTGAGTTCGAACTTGACCGAGGAAATCCTTGGACTTGCGGCGTTGCAGGCTTCGAAACTCATCGTCGAGATAGGATACAAGCCCTTGGGATACGTCTGGCATATACTTGCCGAGTGTCGCAATCAATCTGGAATAAAGGGAGAGTAGATCGCTTCGTCCTTTTGGGATATCCTGCAAAGCCTTGATCAAACGATTGCGGGAAGCCTTGGAGTTCAGAAAGCAGAAATCAATAGCAGTTTGGTCCACGGCGTCCTTGGAATTGAGTTCAGGGAGACGGGCAAGAACGGCATCCACTTGAGCGCCCACAGACTTGTTCGCAATAGCAGTGGACTGATCCTCCGCTTCGTTGGTGGCCTCGGGCTTTTCCTTTTCTTCCACCTCCGCTTTCGCTTCAATCTTTTTGCCTACCTGTTCATCATCCGCCTTTTTCTTCTTTGGCTCTTCCAACAGAATACCGGGAACACGATCTTTCAGGTCGATGAGATTTTCGTAGAAACGACGCTCGTCCTCGTCTTCCCAAATGCCAGGACCTTCGCCTTGTCCACGTAGATACTCGCCGGTTTTGACAAGCCCAATCAGCCCATCACCAGCGTGCGCAGACGTGTCCTTCTCTTTCAGATCCGGCATTTCCAGGTTCAAAGCATCCGCAAGTACTTGAGCGTTCGCAGCGAGTCTCTCCTGGGCTTTGGTCTGTTTTTCGTAATTGGCCTGGCGGTCTTCAAACACCTCACCAGATTTGACATATGCTTCGGCGTTCTTGCGACTCTGTGCGGCCAAATGTTTCTGATCTCGGAGCAGATGTGCTTTTACATCCTCGAAATAGCGTGACAGGATGTTTCGAAAACGTTGTTGCATGTCCGGCGCGATGATCGGGGGGTCTTTGATGCCAGATTCGTCGTCGTCGGCAGACATGGAATCGTCGTTCTTCTCCGCGGTCGTGCTACCATCCTCGTTGACCGTCTTGCGGCCTTCGGCTGATGGGGGCTTTGCTCCTAGAATATCCCATGAGAAGGCCTTGACAAAGATGACTAGAAGTGGGAGATTGATGTGTTCGCGATCGTGACCAAGCATGTCTTTCAGAACCTCGAGTGGGAAAGGCTCCGCATCTGCACCTCCATTAGGGGTAGCCCTAGACTTGCTCGTGCCTTCCACAAGTTTGGAGCTGTCCTTGGTTTTGACGGCGTCCTCGGGCCTAGACACATCATCTAAGCTCCTCAACACGCCTACAAGCCATAGCTCGGTCGCTACCCGCAACAAAATGCGCTGGCGAGCGAGACGCTCCTTTTCTTCCCTCTCTCGGACATCCTGCGCCAGGGTCTTAAGCTGCGATTTGTCTGGTGTGCTCAACCCGCGACCAATATACCAGCCCAAATAGTTTGTGAATTCGGCGGGGCCAAAACGTTGGTGCAGTGCGCTGACTATCTCGGCGCCGGCGGAGATGTCGGCGGGGGTCTTGAGTTTGCACAGACCTTCGTAGCATGCGGTGATGATTTCGGAGAGGTATTTGTGGAGGGACAGGGTTTGGACGTCCTGAATAAACTGAGATTGGCCCGAGGCTTGTACAGCAGTACGAAGGCGTTTGATGAAGGCGGTATTCTTTTTCATGGACGAGTCGAGAGATTTCTGTACGGCGAATACATCTAATCGAGGTGAGCGGATGAGTTGCGACGGGGAGTGGTGGGGAGTGGCATACTCTGCTCACCAGCCCAAGCTCGGAAGTTGAGCTCGCGGAGCTCCCCTACAGGTAATTAGCCACATGGAAACAAGGAGCTGGAGGTCGTGTGATACTTACGTTTTCTCTGCCGGTCCATGGTGGATCGGATCGAGGCGTGTCCCGCGTCTGTGGAGGGGAGGGTGAGAGGAAGGGAGGGGCGGAAGCTAGGTCGCTATTTGCACATGGACTTTTCGGGCTATGTCCGGAGCAGAGTATGCGTGCATTTGCGCAATGGCGGCGATGTTCTCAGGGCTGATCGGAGAAGATCAGCGGAAGAAAGTTTGGCAGACGTGGCAGGCGCAGAGCAAGTCGGTCTCGAGCGGGTTTCGCATCAAAAGTATGCCGCGGTGCGTATGTATGTAGGTGATGATATCTTATCGCGTCGTGTATGACTAAGCAAGCTTGTACAGGAAAAAGTAGTTTGAGAAATCGACGGCAAAAATCCAAACAAACAAGCACACAAGCAAGCAAGCAAACAAACAAACAAACAAAAATTCTTTGGTTTTCTGAACCAGATTGCGAGCAGAGAATGTTTAGGTTCTATTTCAACATGATACGTTCTGGGTATTGTTTACAATTTTATAGCTAGGGATTTGACGTTGAAGCTGTTTCGCTATGCCGCAGCACTTGGTTGATGACAATCAATGGACTGATGGAGAAACAAACACGCACTGGAATATTTGCAGGGCCCAGAACAATAGGTAACAGATGTGTAAGATGGAGGACCCCTCATATCGACAGCCTAAATGCTTTGAGATGCGAGATGAACACACGTACGCGCCTCCAAGCAGTGGGGAGGGTAAGTGGCTCAGTCTAGTAGGCTGACAACAGGTAGATGCAGGCACTATGTTTGAAGGCACACCGTCGACAGGCTAAGAAGGAAGGACGAGCGGTTGGGCTAGCATAGCGGATTGTCAAGAGAGAATTACCGGACGGCGCCGGCGCAGTCAAGCGTTAGTTGAACCACACATTGGCATGCATTGTGTAATGGGGCAAAAGGAGTGGTTTTGGGTTTCTGACTAACAAGTAGAGATGGAAAGTGGACTCTCGACTAGCAATCTCGCGCCCATTGGTGGATGGCATGTACTATAGCATGTACCGTGGAGAATAGGAGGATAGTCTCGACCCAAGGGAGTACTCGGGGCAATGGCAAGGCTAGCGAAAAGGATGGACTAGGACGGTTTGGGAGGCCGCAGCGTTTGCGTGCACGACTCGCAAGATGGGATGTTGAAACCAACATGAGCAAAAGGGGCAAAGGTCGACAAGGAGGTGAAATGCATTTGAATACACAGCCACGGAAGAAGCTGAAGCAGAAGAAAGGAAAGAAGACGAGGGCCTGTGGCAAAGTTTTTTTTGTTTTGGTCGGGGCTGTCCATGTCGTATGGTAGCTAGCTAGCTGGCCCACGTGTAACTCAATAGATGTGTGCATATGCAGTGAAGGCATGAATACGATCGATCGATGAAAGATGATATCACGCATCTAGAAATCAATGGACCAAGCGGTCGGGCGGGGAAGAGCTGATGGGGATTGGGCGGCGAATTTTCTTCAGATGGGCGTAGCTATTCTTGTAGATGGTGGGTTGAAAGAAGAAGAAGAAGAAAAAAAAAAGAGGACCGAGTTGGGTTCCGAGAGGGTCGGAAAGATCGGCTAGATTCCGATCGCTTGCTATGCCTCTTCTGGGTGCTCGCTTCTCTCCGCCTCAGCCGTTCAGATTGCAGGGGGGTCGGGGCGCCTTGAAGTGTTTTTGGACCTCATGTCGAGTGCTGGATGGACGTCGAGTCTGATTTGAAAGAGAGAGGTGTTGTAGAGTTTTTGTTTTCTTTTCCTTGGAGGCTGAAGTGAGGTTCGCAGAGAGAGCAAGCAGACGGGCGAGAAAGGGGGCATGGGTATATGAGGCTCGGTACTATAGGATGGACTGCATTAGATGAGTAGTGTAGCTGGAGAGTCGAGCTATTCGTGGACGGGCAGACTAGCTACATGACTTGGGACGAGCAGATGCATTGCATGCGAGACTCTTAACATGGAACCCGCTCAGATGAGTGGTTGATGCGAGCTGCAGCGTGCTGTCAGGGAGGCCGTGGTGCAAGCCCCCCGCCGGCTTGGCAATAAAAACGTAAAACGTCTAACGATTGCGAGGCTTGATCTTCTTCTTCTGGCGCCGCCTGCCCACCCCGTCCATTCACCACCACCACCACCACCACCACCACGCACTCTAGCCACGCGCACCACGCCGCCCCCGCCTGTAGTTGGGTGTCATGCCGCCGGACGAGTGAATTCTAACCATCGATGGGCGGATGAGCGCATGCATACGCACATGCACGCCAGCGCCGGCGCAGCGAAAAGGCAGAGAATGCTGTTGATACCATGACCGAGGCGGTGGTGTGGGTTGGTGGTGTGAAACCTCGTCCCTATGACTCTGCCTCCCGTCCTTTCTTACTCGTCTGGTGTTGCCTCCAACAAGCATCCTGCACGGGCAATAGACGCCCATCCCTGCAGCCGTCACGCAAAAAAACCCAAATCCAAAAGGTCAAGGGCCTCTGCAAATCCAAAAGCGGCCAGTCCACGCCGGCTTGATGCCATGCAGCAGGGGGATGGAGTGCTTCTGCCGGAGCCATCTCCTCCTGTTGAGTTTAGCTGGCTTGTTCCCGGCTCTGGCTCGCCTCGCAGCTGGTTAGCTTCCTCGATCGCCAAAAGGTCCCAGTTTTCCCATACCTACAAACACACCTCTTGCTGTCTTGCTATATTTCAATTGCTTGCTTTCTTCCTTTCCTCTTCCACCCTTCTGCCCATTCTCCCGGCCGGCTCAAGCAGTACGGTGCAGTCAAAGTCTTCAGCTGCTCGTTTCTCCCGGATGATTGCCTGAACACTCTTTCTGTTACATTACATTCCCACCACACTCGTTTACTTGCTCCTCCCCACCCCCTCCCGATTCGGACATATACAGTGCCTACCCACCACCGACCTTCACACTCATCCAGGCAAACCCGCCCGCTCGATTGCTTCGCCGCCGCTCAGCTGCTTGAAATAGAAACGGCACAAAAACACACCACATCGATAATCCGCTTTTCCAGCTCGCCTATTATTGTCTTGTGCAACCCGTCGTGTTGTTCTCTAGCCCATCTTGCTTGTGCGACTCACTTTGCCGGTACGCTCGCTCGCTCCTGCATTGCCCTGCCTCCTGCCTCTTGCCTGCCTTGCCCTGCCCGTCCGTCTGCGTCACTCTCCCTGCGTCACTTGCCCTTTTTTCCCGCTCTTCATAACCAGCCCGCAACACCTCCTGAAACCCTCGCGCCTTCTTTCACGCTTGCTTGCTTGTTTCTTGTCTTCTTTTCTTCTTTTCTTTCTTTCCTACTTTCACTGGTACTGACATTGCTTCTCCTTCCTAGTCCTCTTCTACAGAGCTCGGCCCCGCCGCACCCACACACCCTCCGCCAGTGCGCGCGCTTGCTCTACTCTGCACAACCTGAACCTAATCTAATCTTTTTCATCCACCATGTGGGATCAGAACGTCGGAATCTTCCGGCGTGTCGACGGTGATGGCGTCCTCGACATCAACGACCCGTGGCCCGTCAAGGACGTGAGTGGGCGCAATCCCAACTGCTGGACCATCGTCGCTAATCCATTCCGCTACTAGATTGTCTACACTTCCATAGTGGGCGCCGTCATGCTGGCTGCTCTTCTCGAGTGGTTTCTCTGGGTTGCCGCCTTTCTCTACTGCCTGGTCAAATGCTTCCAAAAAGCCGAATACCTCAGCATCAAGATCCTCTCCGTGATAATGATGATCATCTTCACCGCCCTCCGTTCCATTTTCCTGCCCATCATGATCGTCACTCTACCTTTGCCCTCGCAGGTCACCAAGTATTTCCCCAGGGAAATGGTCAGCTTCCTCCAGTGGTTTGCCTTTTGGTCCTTCGCCGGTCTTCTGACCATCCCTTGGTTGTTCTGCGTCTATCAACTAGTCACCCATTCGGTTGGCCGAACCAAAAGGATCAAGACGGTTCTCGACGAGGCTTCTGCGCCCAAGGTCGTCATCATTATGCCCTGCTACAAGGAAATCCCCGAAATCCTTCTTCGGACTGTCGACTCGTTGGTCGATTGCGATTACCCTCCATCCTGCCTCCACATCTTCCTCTCCTTTGACGGAGACCAGGAGGATGAGTTGTATCTCAACACCATTGAGAAACTCGGCGTCCCCCTGACCCTCGATTCCTACCCCAAGTCTATCGACGTGACATACCGAAGCTGCCGAATCACCGTCTCCCGCTTCCCCCACGGTGGAAAACGAAAGTGCCAGAAGATGACTTTCAGGCTCATCGACAAAATCTACACCGAATACCTGAAGCGCAACGACAACCTTTTTGTTCTCTTCATCGACTCCGATTGTATCCTGGACAAGGTCTGCATCCAGAACTTCATGTACGAGATGGAATTGAAGCCCGGAAGCAAGAAGAACATGTTGGCCATGACTGGTGTCATCACGTCTACAACCGAGAAGAACTCCCTCATCACGCTTCTCCAGGATATGGAGTACATCCACGGCCAGCTTTTCGAGCGCTCCGTCGAATCTGGCTGTGGTGCTGTCACTTGTTTACCCGGTGCCCTTACTGTCCTTCGTTTCTCTGCTTTCCGCAGAATGGCCAAATACTACTTCGCCGACAAAGCTGAGCAGTGCGACGACTTGTTCGACTACGGCAAATGCCATTTGGGCGAGGATCGTTGGTTGACCCATTTGTTCATGATTGGCGCCAAAGAGCGATACCAGATACAAATGAACACCGGAGCTTTCTGCAAAACCGAGGCTGTCCAAACATACCAATCTCTCCTGAAGCAGCGTCGCCGCTGGTTCCTGGGTTTCATCACCAACGAAGTCTGCATGTTGACTGACGTCCGTCTGTGGAGACGCTACCCCATCCTCTGCGTTGTGCGATTCATGCAGAATACCATTCGTACTACGGCTTTGCTTTTCTTCATCATGGTTCTCGCCATCATCACTACCTCTCAGAAAATTGCCAATCTCCCGGTCGGTTTCATCGCCATCTCGCTCGGTCTTAATTGGGTTCTTATGCTTTACTTTGGCGCTAAACTCGGCCGCTACAAGATCATGATGTACCCCATCATGTTCGTCATCAATCCTTTCTTCAACTGGGTCTACATGGTTTATGGTATCTTCACTGCTGGACAGCGTACTTGGGGTGGTCCCCGTGCTGATGCCGGATCTGCCGACACCGAAACGACTCCTCAGGAAGCCATCGAGCAGGCTGAAGCCACTGGCGACGATCTCAATGTCGTTCCGGAGACATTCAAGCGAAGCAAGAGCGTCAAGCGACCTGCTGTTGTACCGCTCCAACCGTCCGAGCATGTCGAGGGCCGCTTTGCCCCTGCCCAGCAACTTCCAGGCGGATGGTACGAGCAAGGAAACGACTCTGGTCTCACGTTGCCCAACATGATGCCCAGGAATCCCAACGTGCCCAATGTACCCCTTCACCCCCGCTCTTCTATGGACTCCTTTGTGTCTGGAACCTCTGCGAACAACTCCATCTACATGCCCCGCCGCGTCGAGAGTTTCATGGATCCGGAAGATGCTCGACTTTACCACAAGACCCAGGCCAACCAGAAACCTGCTGGAGGTGCCTACTTCGAAGCCCCTCAGATGGATCCCAATTCGCCTTACCAAGTCGGAGCTGGATCATCAAAACAGCCTTTCCACGAATCTGTTGACTCACTGTCCGATGAGTCCGTGAACTACAACACCGCCAAATTGCCGCAGAGGCCACCGCACTCTCGAGGAAACAGCGATCAGCACGTCAGTCCCTATGCTCCCTCGACCAACTCTCCTCTCGCTACTCAATACGGGCAAGCCGCTCCCCTTGAAGCGCCCAAGGCCGCATACAGTCAATCATCGCAGCGTGACACCGCCGGCTCGAACCAACGCATGGGGCGATCTCCCCTCGCCCAGCACAATGCCGTTGCCGCCGCACCTGAGCAAGGGCTAGGGTACGAGATGCAGCAGCAGTCGCGCAGTTTGATGCGTGATGCCTCGCCTGTTTCGCCCAACGAAGCACCTGTCCAACCGAGCGCCCATCAACGGAACGAGTCTCGCGACTCCCAGGGCAAGAGGCGGAAGAGGCTCACCAAGACCCAACCCGGTAGCGGTAGTGGTTGAATAACGCTCTCTTTTCCAATATTTCCTTGACCCAAAAAATCTACCATTCATCTGCATCGAACCAGTCGCATTTTTCAGCGGTGTTTAACTAGCTTTCTCTTTTGATATTTTTCTCTTGCTTGACATTTTTTTCATAACAAGAATCAAGGCGTTCTATGAAGGGTGCATATGTGCGGAGAGAGCTCATCTTGATTCGATCACGCTATTGTACATATACCTGTCCCGAACATGGGCGAAAGGGCTATACGCCAACCAGTGAGATTACCATCCCGTTTTCATACAAACATGACGAAGGCGGATTATAGGAAGGGAGATGGTTTACGGCCGCCACGTTCTGGTCTATGAGGATCATGACGGTGGGGAAAGGGAGAACCAGCATACACGCATACATATCCACACACATCAAAATTACAATAATGTTTATACTATAACCTCTTTTCAAATGATGGCTGATTGTCTCGGTGGGGCGCCTTTTGGTTGTGGGGGTGGGATTAGTCTATATGCGGGTTTGATGCTCATCTTGATATTCGAGTGCGAATCGGAGTTGCTTTACACTGTTCATATTCATCCTTTTTTTTAAAAAAAAAATCATTTACTTATGTTGCTTGGGCAAACAGTAGTAATTTTTTTTACGGATCCTGTTATGATTAGAGGTTACTGTGTGTTCTACTGTTTAGGGGAGGATTAGAGAGGGCACCCTCTTCAACTCTATCTAGAGCAGATCAACGTCCCACACGCACAATCACCACAATCACCACAATCACCAACCACGCCCTCCCTAACGTCCCTCCCCATCACAAACCCCACAGCCTTCCCCCTCCCCATAAAAAGCGGCACCGTCTACTTGACCAACATCCCCAACCCCAACAATACCCCTCCTTCTTCCCCCTCCTCCCGCACAATCTCCCACGTAACCCTCACCCTCCCAAGCAGCACCACATCCTCAATCTCAATCCACAACCCCTCCCTTCATCCATTCTCTTACACCTCGGCCTCGCGCTTCCATCCTACAACACTATAACCTGGGCTGGTCCACACACCTCAACCACATCCATCCATCCTTTACTCTCGTCGAACAGACGGCGACGCTCTGTTCACCCACAATGCACATGTAAAAATCACGGGAGGTCGGTTTCTTCGAGAATATGTGGCTTGATCTGATCTATCTGGTTTACTTTGCGCCTCTGTATATGATGTCACCTCGAGCACAGTACCTTGCAAGATTTAAGTTTGACTCGGTGAATTGAGTTTCTTCCCTTCAAACTCAAAATGGTTGCCCTGCAGGTTGTCAGACTTCGTTCTAGAACCACTGGATTTGACGAGGTTCCAGAACATTCGTTATTTGCTTCACTGACATGTTACAGGAAGGGCGTGAGAGAAGGCAGCATCTTCACCTCATACCCCAATCAGCACTATTAGTAACTTCACTTAGCACCGACGCTTTCTACCCACAACATCACACACACTCTATCCCAAGCAAACCACCATGGCGTCTCCCTCAGTGCGAGTCCACGAAGCCCGATTTCCTCACGATGCCCAGACCGTAGCAACGCTATTCCGCGCTTACGCCGAGTGGCTCAATGTCGATCTCACTTTTCAAAGTTTCCAGACGGAACTCGCACAACTCCCCGGCAAATACGCACGCGAGAGCGGCGGAACGCTACTGCTCGCCTATCAACCTCCGACCACCGCATCTGCTGCCACCAGCGACAACCGTGCCGACGTGGGAAGTGAAGCGGCGGGGGCGCTGGGTCAAGCTACATCCTCACCACCTCCAGCATCACTAGGGAACTGCATTGGCTGCGTGGCATTCCGGCGATTTGGCTCTGAAGACGTCTGCGAGCTCAAACGCTTGTACATTGTCCCTGAGGCGCGCGGGCTGGGCGCGGGAGGTGTGTTGGTTGCGAAAGCGTTGGAGATGGCGCGGGAGATGGGTTACAAGGAGATGCTGTTGGATACCCTGGCGTCCATGGTTGCTGCGAGGAAACTGTATGTGAGGTTCGGATTCCGCGAGACGGACAGTTATTATGATAATCCGCTCGACGATGTGGTTTATTATCGCGCAGTGCTCTGAGCTGAGCTGAGCTGACTGACTGAGAGAGGAAAATCAATTAAGGAGAGCCAATCAGAGGCTGGGCCGCCATGTGAAAGCGCGAAAGGCGCGTCATAGATCGATCCAATCCATCGACGGCGCGTCGCGTCTTCCTTTGAGCCAACGAGTTGCCACCGCGAGTCTTCTTGCCCAAGGAATTCCACCATTTCTGCATTTTCCTTCGTAAAATTTTGCCAATTTGAATATCCCATTCCCTGTTTATCGCATTTCGTTTCGGGTTCAACTGTGCGGCCATGTCCTCGTCCTCTGCGACGGCCACTACGGTCGACACGCCTGCTTCCTCGCCACCAGCCGACACAATGTCAGACGACAGCGGTTCCAAAGGCATGCAAGCCGAAGAAGACCGCATGCGCGCTCAACGCGAAAAACAGGACATTGCGCGCGAAACTAAGCTCGAGAAAGAGCGCAAGGCCGACATTGAGAGCGGGAAAGAGGTTCTGGACAAAAAGTTCCAGCAGCTAGAGTTTCTCATGAACAAGAGCAAGCTTTATGCCAATGTCATGCTCGCGCAGATGCAGCGCCAGGAGGAAGTTGAGAAGGAGCAGAATGAGAAGACGCACGGTCAGGCTTCAAAGCGTGAGAAGGACGCCGAAAAGGCTGCAGCCGAGACGCAGAGGCGCGCAACAAGGGCGTCTGCTACCACTGCTCCCGCCGATGTGCGGAGTACCATCTCGCAGAAGAAAGGTCGGGGGCGACCGAAGAAGGGAACGAAGCCTGATAACAAGATCTCGAGTTATTTCAAGCGGGAGCAGTTGGAAGAGAAAGCCGGCGAATCGAGCTTATCCGAGGCGATAGAGGAGGATACAAAACAAGATGATAAAATCAAGACGGGCGAGATAGGCATGCAAGACTTGAGATCTGCGCGGCAACCGAAGCTTGTGACGGGCGGTAACATGCGATCATACCAGCTGGAAGGCCTAGAATGGCTGCTGTCGCTTTACGAGAATGGAATCAACGGCATCCTGGCCGATGAGATGGGCTTGGGTAAAACCATCCAGACAATCGCACTTCTGGCACATCTGTGGGAGAAGAAATCGTACGGTCCCTTCTTGATTGCAGCGCCGCTGAGCACAACGAGCAACTGGGTAGAGGAGTTTCAGAAATGGTGCCCGACCATTCCTGTCGTGTTATATCACGGCGACAAGACCCAGCGCGCGGAAATTAGGAAACAAAGGCTCAAAAATCCGGGCACTGATGAGTTCCCCGTGGTGGTGACGAGCTACGAAATTTGTATGAATGATCGCAAATTCTTGGCGAATTTTGGCTGGCAATTTATCATCATCGACGAAGGCCATCGTATCAAGAATCTCGATTGTCGTCTTATTCGCGAGCTGCAATCGTACCAGTCAGCCAACCGATTGCTCATCACGGGTACCCCGCTGCAGAATAACCTTGTAGAGCTGTGGTCTTTGCTCCACTTCCTATTGCCGACCGTGTTCGACAAGCTGTCTACTTTTGAAAGTTGGTTTGACTTCTCGGGGTTGAAAGATAAGGCGAGTTTTGAGCAATTGCTATCGGAAGAGCGACAACAATACCTCGTCAAGTCGCTACACGCCATTATGAAGCCGTTCCTTCTACGAAGAGTAAAGATGGACGTTGAGAATCTGATGCCGAAGAAGAGGGAATACGTGCTATATGCGCCTCTCACACCCATGCAGCGAGGCTTATACCAGGCTATTCTGGATGGCACGAGCCGCTCGTATCTTGAAGAGAAGATGGTGGAGCGACTTAGTATCGGCACAACCAGCGGCACAGCTACTCCATCAAGCACACGCAGCAGCAACGGCAGCCGCAAGCGGAAAACGCTCACAGGTTCTGATACCCCAAATAAGAGTGCAAGAACCTCTCGGGAAGCCACTCCCAGACGTGGGCGTGGACGACCGAAGACAAACTATGAAGAAGTGAGCGATCGCGAATTCTTCGCTAATCTCGAAAAGCAAGGAGAGGCACAGCGAACCGAGGAACAGGATGACGAAGAGCTCGACTCTGAAGCCGAAGAAGAAAAAGTTCGCGCTGCGACCTACGAAATCGCAAAGCGACAACTCCTCCAAAAGAAACTAGGAAACCCCATCATGCAGCTCCGGCTATGCTGCAACTCCCCTTACAACTTCTTCAACCCCTTCCTTACTGCCTCGACATCCGACTCCGAAATCTTCGCATCCGAAACCGACCCCGACGAAACCGTCGTCACCACCTCTGGCAAAATGCTCCTTCTCGACTCTCTCCTCCCAGAACTCTTATCCCGCGGCCACAAAGTCCTCATCTTCTCCCAATTCACAACGACCCTCGATCTCCTCAGCCAATACCTCACCCTCCGCGACTGGCCTCACGCCCGTATCGACGGCTCCATCGCACAGACCGACCGGCACGCGCAAATCCGCGCCTTCAACGCCCCACCCTCCTCATCCTCGTCCAAGAAATCCCAGCCAACAAACGTCTTCATCCTCTCGACGCGCGCCGGCGGCCAAGGCATCAACCTCGCCGCCGCAGACACAGTCATCCTCTTCGATTCGGACTGGAACCCGCAGCAGGATCTCCAAGCCATGGACCGCGCCCATCGCATCGGCCAAACCCGCAACGTCATCGTCTACCGCTTCGCAACCCGCAACACGGTCGAGCAGAAACTCCTCGAATCGGCCGAAGCAAAACGCCGCCTGGAAAAACTCGTCATCCGCAAAGGCGGCGTCGGGTCGACCAACAGCAGCAGTAAATCGGGCAGAGCGCTCACGGACAAAGAGCACGAGCTCGACGAGCTGCAGCGCTTGCTGAGGCGCGAGGATGGCGAGAAGTTTGATGTCGGCGATGGTGGTGGGGTTAACCTGCTTGGTCCTGATGAGCTGGAGATTTTGCTCGATCGCTCCAATGATGCTTATGAGAGGGCTGAGAAGGGGTTGGATCGTGGTGGGGAAGGGGGCGTGTTTCAGGCTGTGGGGAAGAGGGAAGAAGGCGCGTTGATGAGTGGGTTGAAGGCTTGATTTCATCTTCCTCTTTTTTTTTTTTCTTATTTTCTCCTTCTTTCCTCTTGGCGGGTTTTGACGTGTTTTGTTTATATGTAGCTTTGCTACGCTATTGTTTCTTTGTTTTTTTAAGCATAGAGTCAGTTTTTCGGTAATTCAAAACTTGTATTTGGTACTCTCGAGTCTGTGCTATAATAGTAGTTTCGGGCGAATAGTCCGTCTTGTCCTTGGTCTATCCATTCCCTTGCTTTACGAGCATTCGTGCACAGCTTGCTCTTCCCCTCCCTGAGGAAAAAAAAAAGAAGGGGGAAATCGAAATCGAAATCCAACAACATCATCTCCACGTTTCGCGAAGCACCAACAAGCACATTCGAGAGAATAAATCCATCGATCTAACAAGTTACCAAGCCCAAATTTCTGTCTTTTATCTAGCCTGTGGCTCTACTGTGCGTGTTACACACACACACACACACACGACATGTGTAACAAGGCCAAATTCCGACGTATTTCAAAGAATCCAAGAAAAAAGGGGAAAAGGAAATAAAAAGAACAAAGAAAAAAGAAAAAACTCTTGCACGCGCATCAATGCCTCCACTGTAATCATACAATCTCTCTTTCTCTTTCTTCGTCCCCGCCAAAGCATAATTCATGATTCTCTCCCTCAGAACCCTAATCTCGCACAATCTCTATCCCAATTTGCTCCGCGACATGGCATTCAACTTTCCCCCTCCCCAACTCACGGCCAATCCACTCCTCTTCTTCGGTGATGCTCTCACCTCAATAAAATCAGAGCGAACAATGCGTGTTCGAAAAGAGGTAGAGAGAGAGAGAAAGGAGGTTCAAGTATACGACCTCATAGCATCCCTATACCCGTGGCCGCCCTTCATATCCTCTTCAAACGCCTCGTGCGCATCCATGACGCGCTTGACGTACTCCATGCCGAACGCGCGTTTTTCGGCGACGGCGATGGCTTGAGAGGTTTTGACTGCGTTTTTGATCTGTGAATTCCGGGAAGGAAGGAGGGGGTCTTGTTAGCTGATTGTTTGTGAAGGAAAAGAGGGGGGTGGGGGAGAGAGAGGAAGAAAAACAAAAGGTTATATGGGGGGAGTAAGAAGGGGAGGGGGAGGGGAAGAGAAACATACCTGTCGACCATTCATAACCTTCTTGCTCAACTCGTCGTAGTCGGCGTCGTCGAATTTCTTGCACTTGCGTGTATCCGTGTCCTCGGTGGTGGTCGTCTCCGAAGACGTATCGCCCTCGCCCGCATTCGCATCGCCGTTGGACAAGGAAGAAGAGGAAGGAGTGGAAGACATGGCAATGACCTTCCCAACATGATGCATCCAGATCTTCTTCCTAGCCTTCATGCCGAGATTCTCATAGCGGATGCCCATGTGGATGCGGCTCTGGAACGCCTCGTCAAACGTCGCGACACGATTCGTGGTTAGAAACAGGATGCCCTGGTAGTACTCTGTGAGACGCAGGAAGACGCTGACGAGGGCGTTGCGGTGGATGTCGTGGGGTTGGCGGGCTTCGAGGAAGACGTCTGCTTCGTCGAGGAGCAGGATCGCGCCCCACGCGTGCGTGATGTCCATGATGCGGTTGAGGTCGCGCTCGAGCTGCGGCGCCGAGGTCCCCAGTTCGCCCGACGACACGGCGTACAGGGGACAGCGGAGGTACTCTGCTATTGATTCGCCTGTGAGGGTTTTCCCGACGCCTGGGGGACCGTGGAGGACGACGTTGAGGCCTTTGCCTTTGCCGACGATGACGTCGTCGATGGTGCGCGCGGCGTCGAAGCGGTGCGAGGATACTAGGCCCTTTAGGTTTTGCTTGATTTGGGGTGCGAGCACGAGCGTGTCGAAGGCTTCGTTGTTCCATTGGATTTCTTCGAGGCCCGCGAGGGAGAATTCGACCCACGCTTTTTCCGAGAAGGAGAAGCCTAGGACGACGGGTGAGGCGATGAGGAGTTCTTCTTCGGTGAAGATGTGGTTGTTTGAGGCGTCGGACTCCGGATCGTGGACTACGTCCAGGGATTGAGAGGTTATGTCTGGGCCTGGAGTGGAGGAGGAAACGCGGATGAGATATCTTTTTCCGTTTTTGTCTTTCCACATTACAACGCGGCCTTTTGGTTTCTTGATCTTGGAACTGGGATCGTTGTCGCCATCTTCATCGTCCGCCTCTTCTTGTTCCTCCTCACTGTCGGATCCCGACCCACAGCCGCACCCCCCGCCCGAGTCGGAGTCGTCGTCCTCATCTTCGTTGTCCAATTCGTCAGCTCGGATGTAAGAGAGTGGATAGTTTGACTCTATGCGGCGAAATAACGCTGGATCAACCATGACGCGGCCGTTGATGTTAAACTTCATCACTACGCGCTTGACCTTCCTGTAAGCAAGTCCCTTCTGGAAACGGTAGTTCATGCCTTGCAGCGAGACGAACTTCTTGCCTCGCTCAACAAGCTGTTCGCGGAGCGCCTCTGGGTTTTTGTGGTAAGACAGTGGGTAGGCGCCCACATTCGAAATCCTCCGAGGCCCCTTAAAGAAGAGAATCTGCACGAAGTGATCGCCCAGCCCAAACACCTTGCCGTCGTATTCCAAGTAGCGGCCCTCAATATTCCACTTCTTGTTTCCAAACCAATCCTCTTCCTCGTAGCAATAATCTACCTTGAAGCACCGCGGGTCATCCTTGTTCCCGTACGTGGGCGTGTAGATGATAGTGTTTGGTTTAAAGAGCGCCCAGATGAGATTGTAAGTAATGGTCCCCGCTTTGAGCATGGGTTTTAGTGTCTTGCGGGTTTCTTTATAATCTTCGTCGATGTAGCGAAGGAGAAGCTTGCACTGAGCTATCTGCTGCGTGAGCTGTTTCCTATCCTTTCTTTTCTTCGCTGAGCGGAGTTTCGATTTTAGGGTCTTTCTAGTGTGCGTCTTGATTTCCCTGTAGAAATGGTATAGCATGCTTGGTTGAATCTACACCACCGATTAGTGTCCTTGCTCGATGTTCTGTTAAGGATTGCTGCACATGATAACCAGAATCAACTTACGCTCGGAGAATCCTCCACTAAACTGATACTTTTGCAGTCCTTGAACACAACTTGAAGGGCATCCCGTAGCAGCTTGCTCTTAATGTCGACTTTCGTTTCAAGATACTTGTTATCCCAACCAAATTTTCTCCGCACGGTGAACACGCTATCGAACTCATCTTTCTGTTCTGCCGCACTTTCCATATACTTGTAATCACGAATCTTCATATCCCATACCTGATCGACGCGTTTGAAAACGAGGCCGTTCTTCTTGCGTTTTTTGCCGGACACTGTCTTTTCGGCCTTGTCAGTGGCATCAGTCTGCGGATTAAGCGTAGCAGCCGCTGCGGCGGCGGCGAGTTGATCTCGTCGTATTTGATACTCCTTTATATCGGCTGCGGTGAGCCGTGATGGTACAACCTGTTGATCAGGTTCGTCCTCGGTTTCGACGGATGAATCGGAATCGATGGCCTTGGATTTCTTGCCCTTCTTTTTGCTCCGTTTACGCTTGACCTTTTCATCTTCGGATGAGTCACTCTCTGAAGACGACGAGCTGGACGACGAAGAGCTGGAATCATCACTGGAACTTTGGTACTTCTTGCTATGCTGGTGAAGTAGTCAGCACACTGATATATCTCATTTGTGCTGTTTCGGGAAAGTTTACCTTCTTTTTCTTCGCCTTGGCTTTGACCTTCTTGCGCTTCTTCTTCTCATCCTCCTCCGAGGAATCCGATTCGGAGTCAGAGTCGCTTTCAGTCGACGCATCGGAATCATCGCTTGATAGGTCTCGTTTGCTCTTCTTTGCTTTCTTCTTTTGTGCCTTCAGTTTGGCGGCTTTCTTTTTCTGGGCAGCTTTCCGCGCAAGCTTCTTCTTCCTGTTGCGCTTTTGACGCTCGTCTTCGCTGCTCTCATCATCACTCGAAGTGTCATCATCACTAGAATCGCTGCTACTCGCAGAAGACGACAATTCCTCCTTTACTGCTTTCTTCTTCTTCTTTCGTTTCTCGTTCTTACGAGACATGAGCTTGCCCTCCTCCTTTACTTTGTTTCTGCCCACAGTTTTGCCGTTGATCTTTGGCTTCGTCGTTGCGTCAGCAAGGCCAGATTGGTTGTCCTCTTTATCTGGAGTCGGGGTAGGCAGAGTAGATTGCAAGCCGTCCTGCTTGTCCGTGGACGTGGCAGTTTTGGATGTTTCCCCAGATTCCTCCATTAGTGCGGTGCCTGTTGAGTCGAGCGATGTGGGAGTAGGTATTAGGATAGGTGACGAGGAGCCTGTGGAGGATAGGGCTTGTTTTATAGTGTGGGTACTGGCGTGTTTGTTCATGTAGAACAGCTAGGCTGAAAGAGTCAAAGTGAGAGGCGTGCAACGGCGGCGAAGGCGGAGGTGAGGTTTGCCTAGGCAATTATATAGCCTCTGCTAAATGACACTGTGGATTGTTTCGTGAGGAACTAATGGTGAGTCAATGTTTGCTGGCAACGGGCATGTGATTCCCCACAAGAGGCACGAGAGGAGAAGAAGGGTACAGAAGGGTCAGGCTCGTACCCGGGTGCCTAGATATGGGCGGTCTAGTATGGCAACACCATGTATTCTGGTGGTTGAAAAGACAGGCTGACAACAATGGCACGGCGACCGGTGAAACATGGACCAATACACTGCTCAGCTGCTGTCGCCACGCATTTGAGTGAGATGGCTCCTGAGCCCAATGAATATCTCTTATCAACCTGTCAGCCTTGTCCCTCGAGAGTGCAGAATGGTGCATGGGATTGACGGGCGGGCGGCGGTTTCATTATATATGTAATATATGTAATGAGCATGCACAACTACCACAAGCTGCATATCGTCGTCACGGGTCCCCACGCCTGGGTTGATGGCATCAAGACATCGATTCTTCTGTCGTGGGTGTACAGCAGCAGCTAAGCGTGGCCTGTACTTGTTGGTAGTCTAGGCCCAACCAAGTTGCATTACTGGGCTAATCGTCGCTGCTGCATGCCATGCCTCACCGCCTGAACCTTGCACAACGAACGAACGGGCGTTCGCCTCACTTTCAACGCTGGCTGACGAGAACATGACGCTTGGCTACCGCTGACCTCTGAACAGAAAACGAAGAACAGAAAGAGAAAAACAGTCGTGGAATCGACAGTGTCCTTTGACACAATCGCCTTGTGTATATGTATTGTTGATGCCAGCCATGCATTGCTAAAAAAAAGACTCAAAGACTCGTCTACACCTTTCGTAACATGGAAATACTGGTATTAGAAGAAACAGGAAGGAAGCCCCGCAATCTCGCGGATGTGTTGTACAACTGTGTGCTAATATCCATCCCCCAACGCCGCACGAATGCGTTGATGTTATGCACCCTGCACCACGGTACGAGCAACTGCATACCAGTCGCTCTGATACGCCCGCAATCCCAGACAGATAACCACCCCGTCCTATCCCGGCGTATCCTACAATGATGATCGTGTCGTGTACTGCAAGGAAAGAAAAAAAAAACACCTTCTCTACGAGCTCAATTGCTTCTTTTTCCCCAGGTGGCCTAATGCGTGTTCCTTGGCAGTCTCTAGATGGTCCTCTGCTTTACCATCGGGTAGCTCGTCTGTCGATACGTGCTGTTTCCCCGTGACCGTCCCTTCGACGCTGTTCGTAGGGAATGATGCCCCGTCTTCTGTCGCCCCGCCCGCTCTGCAGTGTGCTGGGCCATCCACTTGGCTCGACAAGTTCGTCTTCGGCCCGCTTTCATTGGCGTTCCCGCTCCCGCCGCTAGAGCCGAGCATGCTGCTTATTATTCCCGGTTTCTGAACAACAGTCTCTCCATTGGGTCCGTGGGGCTTCACGTCATCTCTGCTGCTATCTTGGCTGCCTCGACCGGGCACCGTTATGATCTGCTGCGGTTTGCTGTTGAAAGCTTCCTTGATACTGCTTGCTTTGCTGATATTGGTGTTGGACGTCGTCGGGCTGGACGTGCGAAGACCAAGGTCTTTGCCTTCGCTTGGGGTAATGTCTGTCTCACCAGTCCAGTCTGCCGGCGATGCCTGTTCAACTTCCTCGCCTTCTTTAGGCTCCGTGATGACCACGTTGGTTTCTCCTTCGTTAGGTTTGAGCGCTCTCCATACAATGGCGATCTTCTCGAAAGCCTGGGTTCCTCGGCGAGATGAACCCTTGATTCCATCCATAGCATCCCACCCAATCTCAAAGACGCCTGATTCATCCGCAACGCCGTTTTGCTCGGGACCATTGCCTTCGAAGTATGCGTTGAACCAGACATGGGCAACAGCTGTCACCATGGTAAGGTCAAAGGCGGCTTTGTTGCGCCGCTCAATGTCAATGTTGATGTCGTTGGTGGGCAGTACTACCCGCCGTGAAGGGCGGAACACAACGTCTCCTGTCTGCATATCCTCTTTCGTGCTATCCAGTTGCTTGACTGCGGATACATCGCCAATCGCAACATCCTTTTCTAGAGCTTGGTCTCCAGTGCCCGTCTGTTCGTCGGGGGTTGGCGCCTGGGGTTTTGGCCCTCCCTTTTTGCTGTTTGATCGCCCGAGGCCGTTTTTGTACATGACTTCCTGCACAGCCTGTGACATTGTTGTGGTTTTGACCTCACCGCGTACGACTTCCCTCTCCTCGCGGGTGAAGGTATGGAAATTCTTGATGATCTTGCCGTCTTTTACAAAGCCTTCTACCTGTATCTTGACGCCGTCTCGCAGTGCCCAGCAGTGAATCTCGAGAACTTCAATCTGTCTTTCCACGTAAAGTTTGTTGTGTTTCCATCTGTCCACATAGCCTATCCATCGCAGTTGGCTAGGGATGCTGACGCCCTTTCCCATGTTAGGTCTCATGCGACGCTGGGTGAAGCGCTGGAGCGCCTTATCAACGGGCCAGCCTTCCTCGCTGATCAGGTAGCTACAGCTGGCGGTGCCACTCCTTCCCTTGCCAGCTTTGCAATGTACGACCACGACCCTCCCTTCCTTCTCATGCAACCAGTTGCGCATCGAGGCCATGATGTTGGGAATCAGAGCGAAAGGCGGAGGGTGGTGATCGGGAAACGGGTAGTGATAGACGCGGTTGTAGACTTCGGAATCTGGATAGCCTGTTCCTTCGGCGCGAAACTCCCATATGGCCCAGTCTTCGCCATGCTTGTAGTCCAGGAATTTGACGAGCGAGTCGAGGGGGTTGCGATAGTAGCGCTGGGGGTATGTGCCGCTAGGGCCAGAGGTAGCAATGATGTTATCCGTCACATAGCAAAGGTCGAGTCCAGCTTCGGGGTGTCTAGCCCGCGGACCTGCTACAATCTGGCGCAACAAGGATGCCTAAGGCGCACATGTTGGGTTAGCACTGTGCAAGAAGGTGAAGCGAGATGGCCAGGTGAACATGTCGCGGGCGGTTGCTGCAACGTAGGGTGGAGCTGTAGAGAGCTGTTCGATATAGGGCATCATAGAGAGAGTGTTGGATGACGAGCTGCTCTGCCTCGGCTTGGCGCATACATACCATGGTGCTTGGACGGAGAATGAGAGGCGATCGAAAAAGCTAAGAGGGAAGTCACCGCTTGTAGGAGCGGGGCCTGCATAGCACTGCGACAGATGGTCTAGCTGTGGCCCTACAGGAACTCTCTCGCAAGCTGATCCGATGCTGCTATGACGTGTGTAGGCATGCTTTGGCGCCAACAATTTGTCTGGGCGCGGTACTCGTGTTGTCTCCAGCCTCGGAGGACGAAGCCACACTGCCACTGCAACATGGGGATGGAGTGCCGAAACTCACCCGGCCATCATGTGATCCCGACTATCACCCGAGGTTACATAAGCATCAAGCCGTTGACATCGAAGTCAATGCAGCACCGTGATCGACAACCATCAACCCCACGTTCGTTATTCCATGTGCACAACACATTGATACTTGCACATGTGTACCTACACCGCATGTATATCTATGCGATTGGTTAAAGTCTCAAACAGCGCATCTCAATCTCACGCATATTTTTCCGTGCTAAAGTGAACGAGCAGATGGAAGAAAACCTGGGTCGTGACGTCCACAACAAGCGTGGGGAGCTCCATCGTGTCTCATATAGATGAGCTCGAGCATCGACACATTCGAAGTATCGATACCTCACCTGACCAATGTCTTCCAAATCCCCTGTGCTCTACCTAGCGTAGGCTTCTCGTCCCGAACAGCCTAGGGAGCCCCGCTCACCTCCATCTACCTTCCGCACCCGTCGCATCTTCCATCATCCCCATGTTTCCCCCTCCACACATTGCCTCTCCCCACCTGGGGAAACAGGACAGATACGTTATAGCCGCTTCGATCGTACTGCGGCTCGATCCCACTATAGACAGGCCCAAATCCCGGGTTCGCATGCAAGTCCCTAATTAACCGCGATATCGCCAACAAATGATCATTCAGCCACTTCATCTACCGATATTATCGAATATTCTAAAGCGTTTCTTCCGTCTGCTCGCTGCAGCTTCCCATCCCTGCTTCCCAGATGCAAGCCAGAGAACTTATGGAGCTTGTGCGCCGAAAGTCGCTTTCCCACATCGATTGATTCGTCCATATGGCCTTTTAGACACGGAGTAAATTGCGCGCCACTGCAAACAAGCAATATCTTCTCCACTAGATGATCAATGCCTTTTGTCACTGCTGGTTTATGGCGCGGCGCAAATCTTAATGTATGTACTTTGTTAATCTGCTATCACGGTCCGGTCGTGGACCCTCATCCCAAGTATAAAATACACCGAGGAGCACCTCATCATGCTTGTTGAATTCGTCACTCCTTGTTCTTCTACTTGATATACAATGGCTACCTTCACCCTCATTGCTGCAGGCCTTCTTGGCCTTGCTGCGGCTCAAACGCCTGGCACTACCCCAGAAGTCCACCCCAAGCTCACAACTTGGAAGTGCACCAACGCCGGAGGATGTGAAGCTCGCGACACCGCTGTCGTCCTTGACTCGGCGTCTCACTGGATTCATCAGAAGGATGATACCAGCAAAGGATGCGGAAACTGGGGCTCAGGTCCTGATGCGACCGCATGCCCCGATGAGGAGACATGCGCCAAGAACTGTATCATGGAGGGTATCCAGGATTACAGCACCTACGGAGTCTTCACAGAAGGCGGTGCTTTGACGATGAACCAATTCGGAGCGAACGGTGTTTCCAGCCCTCGTCTTTACCTCCTCGCCGAGGACGAGAAGAGCTACGAGATGATGGAGTTGACCGGCAACGAATTCACCTTCGACGTGGACGTCTCCAAGCTGCCCTGCGGCATGAACGGTGCTCTATACCACGTCGAGATGCCTGCCGACGGTGGACGATCCGAGCTCAACCCCGGCGGTGCTACATATGGCACTGGCTACTGTGATGCTCAATGCTTCACCACTCCATGGGTCGAGGGTGTTGGCAACATCAAGGCTCAAGGTATCTGCTGCAACGAGATGGATATCTGGGAGGCAAATAAGCGCGCAACCCAGGTCGCGCCACACACCTGCTCTGAGCCCGGTCTGTACCGCTGCACTGGCGATGAGTGCGGCGCCACCGGCGTATGCGACAAGAACGGATGCGGAAAGAACCCCTACCGCATCGACAAGTCCTACTATGTTCCCGATACCGGCAAGGTCGACACCAACAAGCGTAAGTGATTCAGTTCCCCCAACTAGTACTCAGAGCCGTCGTCTAACATGATCAAACAGCTTTCACTGTAGTCACCCAGTTCCCAGCAAAGGATGGCGTGCTCCAATCCGTTGTCCGCAAGTACGTCCAGGACGGCGTCGTCATCGAAGACCTCACCTCCGAAATCCCCATGGACGACGAATACTGCACCAACAACGGCGCATCCATGTTCATGCAACTCGGCGGCATGAAGGGAATGGGCGAGGCCATGTCCGCCACCCGACCCATGGTGCTGGCTATGAGCATCTGGTGGGACGAGGGCACCTTCATGAACTGGCTCGATTCTGGAGACGCCGGTCCTTGCAACGCCACCGAAGGTGACCCCAAGGTCATTACCACCATCGAGAAGGAGCCCTCTGTTATCTTTAGCCAGATTAAGTGGGGTGAGATTGGATCTACGTTTGCTGGAAGTAACTCTACGCGTAAGCTTCGCCACAGGGCTTTGCGCGCCGAGTAGGGTGTAGAACTTCTCTACCCTTGCCATGCTGTTGTCGTTTGAGAAACTTGTATATACCAAAGAGATGTGGATATGAAGTGCGATATCGCGAATGTAAATATTTCAATTGAATTGCAAATTCACTATATGACCTTTTTTTCGCCATCATCATCATCCATAGCCTGCGATAGACCCACACCACAGCTTCGCCTCCCATGATGTTCCAAAACTAAAAATGCACATTCTCAGGCTGCCTCCCGGGCCTCTTCGCCCACTCCTCAATCGGCGTCAACCTAACCGGCAACGACTCCAACACCCCCTTCATATCAATATTAAACGGCTCATCCTCAGCCTCATTATAATACGTATAAGCCTTGAACATATCCTTCACAATCTGCTGCGACTCCAACCCCCTCCCCTCCATCGACGCAGAAATCTTGTCACAAAAATCTGCCACAGTCTGATTCACACAGCCCAACTCCCTACCCCACGCACGCGAGAGCTTCTCGGCAAGTTGACTCAACACGACGGTTTCGGCGCCGCCGACGGGGAAATTGCGGTTTCCGAGCTCGGGACGCAGCATCGCGGCCACCATGAGCTGCGCGACGTCGTGGTGGCAGATCCAGGAGACGCGGAGATGCGGTTTGTGGCAGTAGACGAGGGTGTTTGTGTCGCGGATGGGTGGGAGGGCCCAGCCTTCCAGGAGGTTGTCGATGTAGCAGACGGGTTGGATGCTGATGACTGGAATTCCTGTTTCGCGGAGGATGCGGCGCATTTCGCGGCGGTCGTCTTGCGCTTTGATGTCCTGGGGTATTTCTGGGACGGGCATGGATGTGTTGAAGATTATGTGCGAGATGTTTTGTTGTTTTGCGGCTGTGGCGATGTTGGCTGTTCCTGTGAGAATTGGGCCGGATTGCGCGAAGGAGGTTGAGGGGAGGTTTACGAAGATTGTGTCGATGTTTTGGAGGGCGGTTGAGAGGGCTGGAGGGTCAGAGATGTCGGCGGCTGTTGTAGTGATTGTTTTGTTGTTGTGGAGTTTTAGAGGTTGGGCGGTGCGACTTATTGCTGTCACCGTGTGGCCTGCTTCCGTGAGGAGGGAGACTTGATGGGCTCCTTGGACGCCGGTTGCTCCAAAGACTGCGACGCGCATGTTGAAGATCTTGGTGTTAGAGTTAGGTGATGGTAGCACTTGACTTGAATCCTTGAGATGTCAAGTTCGACTTGACATAGGCATGGCTCTTATAGTTATTTCATAGTTTATGAACGGAAACGCAACGCGAGGTTCGCGGGTGAAGTTTTCCACCCATTGACATCAACATGGGGAGTTCGGCTGTAGAAGCCAGTATTGCCCCTGAATACCGATCCCGCATGATTGGTAGGTTTAATTCAAGGTGGCAAGTTTTGTTGTCAATCTCTACATGCTGCTAGTGGCATGAACGCAAGTGTGCAGTTCACATCTTGAAAAAGGGAGAGTTTGGCGCGACGCAATGGTTGGTGGGTGAAGTCTGCGGAGTGCGGGGAACTTCTTGACGTCACATGACGCTTTCCCTCACCACCTGAGTTGATGTCCAACAATTCTCGACCAGGCCATACACTTGCTCCCCCCTAGAGACAAACATTTCACCAACGCCATAACAAATACAGTTCCATTCGCCTCGTCCACGTGATCCCAATCCATATCGCCACTTCAAATACTTGTTGATCTGAAGCGCATCTAATCATCCAACCAATCTAGATTCTATTGCAACATTCATGGGGACTCTGCATACCATTCCTAGTGTTCATTGTTCCTCATCTTTTCAATCACACAAGACGTGGGTTTATTCAGCAACCTACGCGACAGCCCTGCCTACAGGTTACAGGCATCTCACGTCTCGTAGTTGTCTCTCTGCACGGAGTCCGAAGCACATGTCGCGCGTCAAAATGTCCGTACCCGGCTTGTAATTCTACGCGAGTGACAGCCTCCGCCTTGACCACAGTGCACCTCTCTTGATCTTTTTTCTCTACTGCTAGCAAGACTGCAGTCTGTCGTTGGGAGAGTGTATGGGTGAATGGCGCTGGGAGGATAGGAATTGGCAGGGTGACGGGGAGGATGTTGGACAGATATTGCGCGAGATTTGCTTTTGAGATTCGATTTTCATTTGTTTTTTTTTGGCTCAACTTCGACCTTTTTCTATGTTCCAGTGGTCTCGACTTTGCTCCAGCTGTTCCTCCATTTTCAACCCTTCAACTTAACCTTCCATGATGGTTCTCATCTCTCAAGATGCTTGGGGCAGAGGAGAAGAATCTCTTGCCCGCAATTAATTATATACAAGATGTTCGAAAAGAAGACGCGACACAAAGGGGAATAAAACCGCTCCAATCCAACACAAAACCAAATATGCAGTGGTATCAAGATACTAAGAAAGGAAAACGAACAGGAAGATGTAAACGCAAAGCTTGCTTAGATGGTGCGTACACCCCTCGCCGATTCGTTCCTGACTCTTCTCCTGTATTGTTCGCGGAATTGGATACGTCCGAACGTTCCTAGACCGACGACGCTGGTGAATAGGACCATCCACACACCGCAGATGATGACACCTTGAGGTCCGACTTCACCGATTCCGGTACCGGGGAGCTTGAAGGGTAGGGCAGAAGCGATGGCTGCAGATGCAGAAGCCTGGGCTTCGGCCTCGCTGGGGACGTTGGTTGCTTGCTTTGCGAAGACGCCGTTGACGAAGGAGGCTTCGTTGGAAGAAAGAGTGACCTTCTCGTCTTGGCCTGCTGGATTCTTGGCTGTGAGTTCGATCTGGGGGATCAAGAAGGGTTGAAGAGCGGTTCTAAGAGTATATGTTAGGCCTGTAACAACCGATGCTATGAAAAGGGACTTGTTGACTTACTGTGTCATGCCGTTACCCAACAGGTCAGGGTTGACCTTGCCGACATAGTTGAGCACTTTCAACTGCACCGGCGCATTGGTGTTTGCTGTTTGTCTCTCCACGAGAATGCTGTCCATAGTGCGTGCCTTGATAGGTGGATAGGCCACATCGCGCTTGGCGAAGGTGCCGTTCATGCTCTGTACAGTGGCACTTGGGTATGACAAGGTCATGCTAACATCGGCAGCCTGGATACCGACCCATGGTGAAATAGGTGCGGAGACGTTGTACATGCGAAGCTCGGCCTGGAATATACCAGTTTGGTTGTCGAGGAAAGGAAGATTGTAGCACACTGCGATGCCACTTGGGTTGGAGGCTTGGCCGTTGAGACTCATGAGTTGTCTTTCGCAGGCACTCTTAGTCTGGGCTTCCCATTTGGCCAAATCGATGGTTGCGGCATCGCCAGAAGCTGGTGAAATTTGTGGAGGGTTGGCGTCCTGTCGTCGAGTGAGGGATGCTACGAGGTTGGCATCCCGTCGCATAGCATTCTCCAGATCATCGCCGCGTCTAAGGATGACTCCATGTGTCTGAGGTTTTGAAGAGGCGCATCCTACAAGAAGAAGAGTGGCCCACAGGGCAGTGTTGTAAAGCATGTTGATGGAAGAGGAAGTGAATGATATTAGGTAAGAAGTGGTGTATTAAAGTCGTTACGGTGGAAGAAGAGCAGATGAATTGCCGGGCTGGCCTGCAGCGGATGTGTAAAAAGGGAAAGAGAAAGAAGAGAAAGGTTGAAGAGAAACAAAGAAGAAGTCGAAACTTGTCAAGGGCTCATGAGAAACCGGCTCTACGTGTAAGTCATTAGTAGTGGGCGAAGGAGGGATTAAGAAAAGTGAGGACAGCAGGGTGGCGGCGGCCTAGCAAGCTTTGGTCACGAACGGAGGAGGACAGTGGCGTGAGGGTGAGCACGACTCAGACCGGTAGAGCATCATGAAGGCGAACTGAAGCTTGCATGGCAGAGTTGAGACGAACTCGAGACGGGTGATGGAAGCATGATTATGCGTTCGGCCACGACAAATGGGTGAGAAAAGCCGTTTCTGGCAGAGTCAAAGCGTAATTCAATGGCGCGAACGACGGATCCAACCAAGTTCTGGCATGGACCAGATAGATTTTGCGACAGGCATGAAGAAGAAGAACCCCTTGAGACGATTGGTGTTGAGGTTGTGAGGACTGGCGCACGGACGAGACGGGAGGCGGCTAAGAAAATCGCCTTGACGGCCAATCACGTCGCAGCGCTGGGGTTTCACCTCAGCCCTCATGATACGCCTCTAGGCGGGAAGTAGCTGAGCCGCGTATCAGGTGCAAAAGACCAAGGAATTGCTGGCCTGTCAAGGAAGAAAAAAACTGGAGAAGCCCACTGGATGGGCGGTGTGGGTGTGGGTGTGGGTGTTTGCGGGTGCAGATGGGGAATGTCATGTTATGAGTAGTAGAAGAGTGTACGGTACTGTGAAGTTCAAAGCCTGCGGCATGCGCGATGCATTTATTCTTCAACTCCAATAATGACAATAATGACAATAATAGGACTCTGTCTGCACAAATGCATGTATGCCTAAGTATCCATGTAGGTTAGCATGCATGGATGAGAAGCATGGACGGGTCAAGCATCAGGTGCTGACTAACACGTCGCCTAGATTCTCAAAGATCAAATATGAACGCATTAACAACGAGCCTGTACATTACGGCACAGTGTTATGATCTTGCATCTGCTAACTGAGCCGCATCTCTACCGTCTACCGCACTGCTGGATAATCTTTAAAAATGGCGAATTTGGCGTATCACCCAGAGCCTTCAATAGCTCGGACGATCCACGCGACATATCTACCGGTAGAGGGAAAGCTCTTGCAGAAATATCGAAAGCAGCAATGCCAAAATCTTGTCTGATTTCTACAAATACATACAATGCAGATGTGGGCAATAAAAGGTGTGCAGCTCTTGACCAAGTCAAGAATCGATGATGACTAATACAGGATGATGACTAATAAACTGCTGCTTGACCCTGTCCAGCACTCCTCACTCTCCGTCTCCAAAGAGTGCACCGCGCAAACACTACAACTGCCCTTTACTTCCTGCCTCTGATTCAGGTCTTTATAACTATCAGCGTTGCTGTTGATATGCTTCTATCACCATCATGGCTGCGACCGATGCAGCGTATTGTAAAGGTACAAGTGCGCTCGTTGCGTGAATGACACCAGTGCATTCATTCCGTCCATCTCACCGAACATGGGCTGCATCACCACCGTCATTAACAACCATCTCACACCCTACACGATACGCATTCATTTATGTGTACACACATGCACACTATGCATACGTACATCATGTCGGTATGTAAGTAGTGGCCAAGACTTTGAACAGCACGTCTTACGCATGACTTTCGGCTAGCAGTGCTGGCAGTCCTGCTCGCTACATTACGCGCCTTTCCGCACCCTCATACACAGCAAATGCACTCACCTCGGGAGCAAACTGACGGTATATATACGAGACGGCTCAACACCAGTCTATTCATCCATCCATATCCGCGATGATCTGGCACCATACGATTACCGCTGACGTCCCGCTGGGCCTGCGAACACAATGCACTCCATGTACATATGTACCTCGTTTCTTTGAGGCGACTACCAGCCGGCCACGTTGCGTGCAGCATGCTAACCTACCATGGGTGTCATCGTACCCAGTTTGCATTCGCCCAACGTCCCAACTCAAGCCCGCAACAATCTAGTTGCAACCCTTTTGCTCACAAACTAATGCCGTTCCAGATGCAGACGACTAATAACTGCCAGCACATCGGCTGCCTTTGTGCACCTTTTGCACGATCAGCCCGGTCCTGCGCCCATCCTTCTCAAGCTTGCATCCACAGTACATCTAGCAGCTGCGCTGACGTCTCATGTCTTTCCATACCTCCCGTGCTCTCCTCCTTGCTGATATGCTCGTTTTTACTACTTGATGTTGTTGTTGTTCCTGGGCGCCTCTCCGCCCTTCTCACGTACTTGCGGCCAATCGAGTTTCCATAGCAGTTCTATCGGTTTTCAAGGACGCTGTTTTTTGCACGGGTAGCATTGCCTCAATCACAGAACTCCGTCAGTTGAGTTCGTGGCTGGTGGGAACCGAGAACAACTCAAATACCATCATTTTCAGGCCTCTTTTGAGGTTTCGTTTTAACCATGCAGCACAGCTCCAGTCCTTGGAGAGCTACCGCCTCTGAATATGTTAAACCACAATACAATCTTCACACCACCATGTCTATGATCAACTTGCACGAGGAGTCTTCGAACTGGTATTCTAGAGGGCCACCCTCGCCAACGGCTTCTTCGGTTTCGTCAAGTGCAAGTCGAAGCGCAACCCCCACTTCGAGCACAAACACCAACAATCCGTGGCTAAATACCATGGCAAGTCCAACGTCAACCCAGTCAAGCAATTCGACTAGCTCCTCTCCCAGGAACAGCCCTAATCGTACACCTCAACATGCCAGTCGCTCTACTACGCCAATCGCCCCTCAACCGCGACGTCCTATCCCCGCCGGTTTTGTTCCAATGTCTCCACCACTTTCCATCTCAGGAGAATCTCTAAGAGGCATCGATTATCCCGCTTCTCCAAATCCGTACCGTCAACCTATGGCCCCTTTCTCACCTTTAGTGAACGGTTTTATCAACACGTCTCTGTTGTCTACTCAAGGGCAGTCGTTATCTGGTTGGTTCTACGAGCTAGCAAGAAAGCAATTCGTCGATCCAGGCTTGATCAGAAAGGTGTGGCAGTGGACGTTATCCAATCCCAGACTTGCCATTCTTCTAGCTGTTTGCGACGATGTGGCCTCGTGGCGACAGGCAGCTTTCTTTGACCTTCGGGACGAGAATCTTCCTTTCCCAGAAGATCGACTCCAGGGAATTGTTACAGATTCTGGGAAAGTGGTCGAAGAGCAATGGCGCGCTACATCGAAAGAACTATCTTTGAATGGCTCCCACGCCGAATTCAACTCCCGTGAGACTGTGCCACTGCAGCACATTAACTTGATTCGTACATCCAGGGGCTCTGAGAAGAGCGTTGATCGCGTACGTCTACTAGGGAACGGTGATGATCGCATCCTGATCAGAAAGCGATTTGTGCTGGCACGACCAAACCAAAAAGCAGCACTGCTCGACCAAATCAATAGATACAGAGCGTTTGACCATAGAAACATCGCCAGCCTGTTATGCTCGTACGCTCAATCCAGTCACGTGGGTATCGTCACTTCTAAAGCACAGTATACCCTAGACGACTATCTGGGTTTACCAGGAACGGAGCCAACACGGTCCAAATTCCTTGTAGATTGGATGTATGACTTGTCATCTGCATTAGACTATCTACACTCGCAATCAATCTGCCACCGCAGTATTCGACCGCGCAAGATTGTCATCGAGGGATCGCGCATCTTGTTCTGCGCGTTCGGCATCGGCGACTCCAACCCGCTCCCCAGTACGACATCCTCAGGCCCCCAGCGCCTCGACCAACGCCACAGCTATTTCCAAGACCAAGCTTACATATACGCGGCTCCAGAAACTTTTATTTCGCGTGGGAAGCGCTTCTCCGATGTCTTCTCGCTTGGATGCGTTTTCCTCTCTATGATGACCGTTGCTCAAGGTGAATCTCCCTCCATATTCACACAGTACCGAGCTCGCTCTTCTCACGATGCCTCGTTCCACAACAACCTCGATCGCGTAGGGAGCTGGCGCAACCGCCTTCAAGCAATGACCACCTCTGGGCAGCGCGGTGCCTTAAATGTGGGATCGGGACGTAAAGTTCGACAGCTGAAGGCCGAGGCCGATTGGCTACAGATAATCGAAGAAATGATACGCCAGAAGCCAAAAGAGCGCGCGAAGATCTCGTCGATTGTGCATGGCTATGCGAGTGGAAAGGCTGTAGGATTGAGGCGACGCAGCTTGGATGGATACAGTCAGTCTGCGCACCTTGCAGCAGCGGCGCTATCGAGTGGCAATGGTGCGGAGAAGACACCTGAGTTGAGTGTTTTTGACGGGTATTTTGCTCAACAGGAGCAGAGGCAGCCAAAGTGGGGATGATTGCAATGGTTGGCGTTCGGACACGAACTATCACTACGGGTGAAGTGTGAATTGGATTGGCTCAAATGGGGCATGTCAGAGGATTCCATTTGACAGTACCGCTAGGGAATGGGTTTATTTATGGGAATATTTGCGATTTCGGGGCGGAAAGGAATCCGGGTTCATGATTCATCTTCTTCATCTTCTCCATGTCCAGTTCAAAGTCTTTCACATGTAAGGCATTTGATACCCCTCTGACATACTTTTATACATATTTAGCGACTTTTTGATTTAGAGTTAGCGCTGCTTTTCATCTTTGGTCAGTTCGAGATGGCCGGGTCAACGAATCTTTTATCTATCTTGCTCCCGTTCGCTGGATTGAGCTTGAGTGACGCGTGAAAATGGAAGACAGTGATGTTCACTTTGGCTAATGAAGCAACAATACGTAAAGGATATAGTCTATTCATTGAGATTGATTGAAGAAGATTCTAGAAGTACACGAGAGATGGAATGGAAAACGCTCAAAGCCTGCTAGTCCATTTACTGCTTCGCGATAACATCCCTCAATGTAGGGAGAGAAGGAGTGAAGAAGTACTCTCCACCCTTGGAGTCTACCCAGTGCTGAAGCAGAGTCAAAGGCTTCGAGGTATCGTTGGCAAAAGCACCAGTGATGATCCTCGGGCTTTCTCCAGTGGACTGTCCAATAAGAGGATCCTGTCCGGGAGTAGGGGAAGCACGAGGAGGGAATGCGGCAACGTTGGCCCATCCTACATCAATCGTTAGCAAGTTTCCCTGAATTCACAACATTCGGTGCTCTTACCTTGCTGAAGGAGCTTGAAGCCAGCGTCAATGCTGCTCTGGTAGCATACGAACAACAGACCGCGATCTTGAGAAGTCACGCCGGATGATTTCTCGGACTCGGAAACTTCAGGTCCGTATGGGATACCACGGCGCAAGATCATGTGCTGCTTGAGGAAGGAATCGGGGAGAGAGTCGCCGCGAGGGACCATCTTGCGGATATGGGCGTGGAAGGGGCATTTCGACTGGTCGTTGTTGACGAAGCGGAAGTCGTTGTTCTTGCTGGCATCGTCACCGAGGGCTGGGTCATCGGCGGTAGGGGTGATCATCAAGGGTGCGCCACTCTTCCATCGTCCAACGAATCGGGCACCCATCAAGTCGGCGCCTTCTTGGCTACCGGCAGTGTCTAGAAGGAACCTAGTGTGAGGGTTAGTAAATATCTTGTCAGATGCGAAAAGATGTGACGTACTTGTCGAGTTCGGGCACTTGTTGAGCAAGCTTGCGGAAAACCATGATGCTGCCATCCAAAGTCCAATCAGGACGGTCGGTGTTTGCGTCGACACCTCTTCCGAAGAGAGCAGTTCCTTGGTCGACACTCATCTGTCCTGGCTTTGGTGTATCCACACCATCAACAGCGGGCTGAGAGATACCGTCCTTGTATCCGAAACTAGCAGCAGGTCAGCAAAGGCTCGCAAATGCAAATTCCTGTGGACTTTGACTCACTGTTCGTGACCCCTCTGGCTATCAGGTCGAACATCACCAGTGATGCTGTGAAGTTCCGTGATGGTAGTAGACAGGATCTCCTTCACGGACTGCACCTTCTCATCCACTGACTCGTGGCTGTCACCGGCGATAAGAGCAACACCGTGGATTTCTTGAAGAAATTGCGATTCCCACTTAGGCTCGTAAGAGCTGCCAGAGCCAGTTCCTTCGTCACCGAGCTCCTCAGCATCGGCCCTCTGTCCCTTTTGGAATTCAGGGTCTCCAACTTCGTCGACCAGACCAATCTGTTCGATTATCAGTACATGGTTCGGTCAAACAGTATGGGCGATTTGTTTCTTACCTTGGACAATCCCTTTGCAGAGAAAGCAATGTTGACTCCAGAGACAGTGACGACAGCTGGATGAACTGTTTCTCCGTCACCTTCGTTGGCGGCTAGACCGATTCTCTGTTTTGTCTGTCGAATCTCAGAGATGTTTCCGCTGGTTTGTTCAGCGGTTGTGATGAGAGGAATGACATTTCCAAAGTTTGTGCGGAAGCCGTCGACGTCGTTGATTTGGAAGAAGAGAAACTTTTCGGTTTGCTTTGGGAGTCCGAAACTGATGATGCGTTAGAATGGTTGGATTTGAGAGGGTAAAGTGTATCCTCGTGATAGTATCAAAGTCACAATCACTTGAGGTATTCATGACAGGCTGAGTTGCCAGGCAACTCTAGGCAGATAGATAGGAAAGTCACACTCTAGGGAGGAAGAGACATACAGAACATCGCCTTGGACGTTGGCCAAGCTGAAAGGTGCCACAGACATGTTGTTCAAGAACGAATGAACGAGTGAACGAGTAGAAAGTGATATTAAGTGCAAGCTACTACAGAAAGTAACTGTGAAATGCGCTTGGAGATCTCAAAATCGAGAAATCTATGTCCTTTATATACAATCCAGAGCCCCCATCAAGACGTCGAATACGAACTATGCTCACCTCAAAGAGTCAAAAGGACTGTAGACGCAGCTCAAGCACTGCAACGGATCCGTACTATGCCATCTCCCTGGATAAATGCATGCGAGGATCAAGCGTTGGCATGTTGGTGGCAGTATTGACACTGCACAGCCAGTCTCCCAGAAGTGTACGTATCATTCGGAGTACCGAGCGTCAACGAAGAAGCCGAGTAAGGCACAGGATCGAACAAGTCGACCACCCGTTGCTTACCGTAAGCAGCCATCCAATAAGTTTTACTGGAGAGTAATCAGGAGCTTGGATACCCGGGTGGCTTCGAAATGCGAGAGCGTACCAGATACCCGGGACCCGCCCTCAACGTTGTCTCGGGAGACAAAAACCAGGTCAGCCCAGAGAATCCAGCGTCAACCCTGAGCTTACATGGCCAATCGCAGCATGAAAACGTAAATAGAATCAGTGAGATCAGCTGTCGATGACGGGTAATCGACGAGAGAACCTGGTACGCTGCGCTTCTAGAAATGTTCTTCAGCCTTCTTTAATCTCAACTTCAGGTGTCACAATGGATATTCATCGCAGAAGCCATTCTACGACTTCACTTGAATGAGATTCCATCCCTCTCATGCTGCACTTATCAGTCGGTCTGCGCTACTGCATGTGTGCTTACTTACATCCACAGCGCAGACCGAAGCACACGAACGTTCGAATCCTACAAGTGACTCCAACTGCATTGTTCGTGTTGCTTACTATCGAATTTTCCAAGCGCGTTTTGTGGCTTCAAGAAACTTTGTACCCGCGTGTAGCCTGCGTGTGTCTACAGCAATGAACATGTAGTCGTATGTATTGGAAGCAGGGATTATTCTCTATGCAAAAGCCACAATGTCCTCATGAATTGTCTCTCCAAAGAAAATCGATGAAGAAGAGATCCATTATTCATAGAGGAGAGCAAAAAGATTCTACCAACAAGCAACAATGAGCAACTTACGGTCTCCTCATCCTTCACGCGGCACTTACCATCATAGGATTCGATCCTTTGCGGTAAACCGCAGTCAAGAAAGGTACCAAGTCGCCCAGAACAGGAGCCGAGATGCATGGACTAGGATCGCGCTCCCGAATTCGATAATTGTTCTTCGTGTCCCGTCGAAGATGAAACTCCATGTCAACTCGGTTGTGGCGCACTGCCGTAGCTGCCGTAGCACGTACGGTACTGCAGGTGTTGGCTGCGTGTGTACACATCCACGCCGATCCATTCGGACCAGTCACAAGTTACGTAAATTCTGTGGTCAGCACAGCATGCGTATTTACGACAAAGGTTGTATTCTCTGGCGGAATTATGGGGCAAAATCGTTTTTGGTCGCCTGCTTCGGCACTTCACTCCGCTGTGGCGGGATCTTCGTTTCTATAAAAAAAGAATGAAATCGCTAGATCGCTGGATGTATTCAAATCGCATTGTCGTTTGAACCTTGTTACCGCGATGAATATCGTGTTCAACAAGATGGAGATGTTCGACATATTCGAGATAATAACGTGTGTCTAACTGAGAGAGCAATGCGTAAGTGTAAACGTCAGCACTCAAAGCCCAAAATCTTACAAAAAGTGGCGCAAAGGTATGTTTCATGTGCAGGACGTCTCCGCCTCCTCCCGCAATGTCCCATCTTACTTGCGCATGCCATGGTATTCATTCAAGGCAACAAGACTGGCACAGTAATGTTCCAAATCACTACCACTCAACGCTTGCGTAGCGCCCCAAGATGTACAAAAGATCGTAATCCTCGTACCACCAACCACCGCTCGCATGAAGCGGTGCCTTCGGGTGGTCAGTGTAATACGAACTCCGCATCACTTTTCTGACTGTAGGCACCTAATTCAATTGCCTCGTTCGCTGGGGCTCGATGCAGTAGTTCAGCTGCAGGAAGATGCTGATGGTATTTTGGCCTGCTTCGAGTTTATGTAGGCGACAATCTCCGTAGACGTTTTGTGAAGTATCGAATCAAGATGCGTGGCCAATAGTAAAGCTTGGGTAAATATCAACAATCCATGACGGCGTTTAAGGTGCCTTAGTAAAAATTGGTTCACATATTGACTGAGGTATACCCGGTAGCTGGGAACTACGTAGGTAAATTTCCTAATCACTACAGTTACGCGAGGGTCAATCCGCGAAGAAGTGCTATGTTGTATGGCTTAGGACGAATCTGCGGACGAAGCCCTGCTAACATAGTCGTGAGGCAGTACTGCTGTCTACCAGGTCGAACGTGTCATTCCGTTCTAATTACATAGCCCCAGAGCATATAGATCTCTCACCGGGATCTTCCCATGTATAGAGAGATGCCTTGTGCAGGCACCCAGGCTCAGCCAGGTCATGAAGGTGAGATTGAATAACAGAATTACGTTCCTTCTACAACCGCTGCAAGCTGCCTGAAGTTCCAAAGGCAGTGCAGTTTCATCAATCTCATTCAATCTCCCACTGCCTCGTTTTGAAAGCCACTGAAGATCCAAGACATACTTCCCGTCCATATGCTCTGTTTGACTTAGTCGTTTAATGGATCGCCTGCCCGCCTGGACAGAATCCTTCCAGCGGAAGCTCAAGTTATTTTCATAACATCCGTTACCGGCAATCCCGTCATGTGCTCCTAGTACTCCACATACGACGCGTGTTGCTGCAATCCGCCTCTAGCTACCATCTATCGCACGTATTGTAAACAGCGAGCAGAATCACTTGGAATCAAACTCCCCAGAACTTGCTCGAAATCTCTCCCCTGTGTATTCATCCTCCCAGATCAAACTCGTCCAACGTGAGCTGTTCCTCGCGAAGCCTGCGTTGTTGACAGCTCAGAACCCATCAGATATTTGTTGAGGTGGCTGCATGGCAAACAAAATCACATTGTTCCTACACATGCATACTGCATACCTAAAATTCGCTCATTCACTGTAACCGAGAGAGTAAAAATAGTCAGAGATACGAGTGACAGCTCCCACAACAGGGAGAGTATGAATGGCATCATTTGGGAGGTGTGCCATCGGTCACAGTTACATCGTATTTGCTGACACGGTGCCTACCGGTTATCTGCCGTCTTTGTAACCTCATTGCCAGTTATGCAGGAAGCCATGTTATTGAGACGTGCTCCTCATTTTATGCAAGTAAGGCATATACTCAACGAGTAGGCGTTCCTCTGGTCAATTCAAGTGATCTATCCGCAGCCCGCCGGCTCATCCGGAACATCCGTAAGAGGTCATTCAACATTTGGGAACTATCGTAGATTGCCGTAGCCTGAAGCAACTGCAATCAAATACATTCTTCAGCTTTATAAGACAACCCAGGGAAGCATCACGTCCCATAGAAACCACGCCTTGCTGGAAGCGACTGCGAGATCAAGAGCCCAGTCGATACAGACTTCCAACTCACAGAAAAATGAAACAGAGTCAGTGACTTTGACTTCTTTGTAACCCCCGGTAGCATTCAATAAATGATTAGAACTTATCTGGCGCAGACAGTATAATTGGGACCACGGAAAATTTATTGGAACTCAAATCGATCCCTTTATCACTTGCTACGAGGTCTTTGAGGACCCCGACTTGCTACTACCGCACTGTCAACTCTTTATTATTAACTTCAGCCTGTCTGCCCTCAATCACACTCGTACCCCAGTTTTGTTCCCCATAGGCTAGAATATATTCAGCCACGTGACGCAGGTACATCATGCGCATTTTCTTAGAACACACTTGAATCGTATCATGGATAACTATTACCATGTCTGGCCACCAGAAGAATACCGCAATATGATCGACAATCTGATGATCATATTGATGGTCCAAAAGCCACGAGCTGAACATCTTACAAGGGGCCATATGCTCTGACACAATAAGGCGGATAACTGCGCCACTATAGCTGTTGTAGATCACTTGCCTGACCTAAATTCTAGCTTAATATCACGTAGCTGAAAAAATCTATGAATTCTGCCAGCAATATTGGCACTATGTTCTTGTTTTACCATAAGCAGCAAGGCATACCTTTTGTGGTAGAGGGCTCAATGGTCTACATGAGCGCTGACTGGTCGCCTAGTTCTTACGCTCACTCAGCAGGGGCGTAGGCAGAACTTCCGAATTGGTTCGCCCAGAGGTGGATGATGCAATAGCTTCAAAAAAGCAATTACTAGAAAGTACCCTTACCTGAGAAGGAGATCTCTATGATCTACGTTGTAGTTGTGATATCGTCATTTCTCAATCGTTGTTGGAGTGTTATTTCAAGGCATGATTATTCTACTCTGATTATCCATTTTTCTTCTTCTTCTTCTTGACCGGGCCAAGAATCGTTGGACGTGGTTACTGATTAAAGTTCGCTAAGTTTACGAGTGGCCGGCCGTGTTCATCATTCATCTTAGCCGAAGGCGACCTGCAGACCATGTAGAGTGGATAGATCGAGATGTTTATAGGCCTAGGGCTCATGAGATAGAGCCATTTTCACAGTACAAACAACCTGAAAGGCTTGTGTGTGTTATTCTACTACAGTAAAGATGTTTACCATTGGCCTTCAAGCACACAGAAATGATGATTCTAGACAAGTGAGTTACAACAAAACAGGTGATTACATAGAGAGACTGTAAGTGGAGTGGCACAAGCGAGAAAACAAGGTTGCAGCCGGGTGATTGGAGAGGTCTCTAGCGACTACTCTTGTGCGGAAGCGCTGCTGATACACTCGCTTCAAAGATGCTTCGCGACTCTTGAATACAGTCTTGTGTTACCAAAAACTCTGAATTGATATATCCCTGTACAACTTAGGTATCTATGCACATGTACACACAATAAATTTAAAGCTAAAGCTCCTCTGTGAGCGCACGAAACATGTACACAGTATATCTCTAACAACCTATCACCTATTACCCATCGCAACCTTCAACACACACAGCCAAAAACGCCCATAATGTGTAACTACGTACTCAAATACCTACCTACCCAAACACAAACATAAACAGTCCCGCTACACAATTTGTTCAATATCATGTTCAAAGGGAAAGAAACCCATTGATACGTGGGACGAAATAGTCTGAGTTATCCATACTTAGTTTCCTCCCCTTTCGTTCACTGTACGAAGTAGAGAGCAACGTGCCGGGAAAATGTACAAAAAGTGGGCAAGAAAATAAGCAAGTAAAATTCAATCATTCACGAATAGATGCGTCTGTATCTCTTCCATAAGCTAGGTCGATAACACAGGACTTCCATCAAAAGTGAGTGAAGACTTGTCTACGGGACATGATACATACACATAGAAATAAGGAGATCCAAATCCCAGGTCGACATATCCCAACTCACACTTTATTTCAGCCAGAGTACCCTAGCCCTATTTTTCATGGTCTTTCTTTTCTATTATTACTCTCTTTTTCTGAGCGTTGCGTTGATATAGAACACAGGAGAAAAGACAGCTTCCCCAAGCGAATAGAACCTGATGTATTCTACAGCTTATCCTGTTCAAACGTTAGGAAGAGGACCGAAGAAGAACCCATAATCATTTTTTCGTGTTGAGAATCAACGTGTCCTACAGACCGGGCGTGAAGAAGCACTGAGCAGCACAGTATATACGTAGGACTTATATCCACTCCAGCCTAATCTTTTTGCGGTATGAACATACAGCCTATCCAGCGACTCCAATGACTGTAATCTCCAAGTATTCGACATTTCTTATTGTTTCACTACATAAATGAGTACACGAGTATAACGTTGACAAGTGCTATTTTTACAAAAGACCTCCCACAGACATACTTCGTAAGTAAATAGAATAAAGGTGGAGGTGGTGAAAACGGATGTAGTAAGACAAGAACCCAAACGACCATCTCAGAGAGTGTGGGGCGTACGAAATGAAAAATAAAAAGTGGTGAAGGAGATGTTGCCAATCAGTCAAAAGAGATGGGGGTGCCCTAAACGCCGCCGCTAATGAAAACAAGGGAACCCAAGAAACTATGCCCATCTTGCCTTTTTGTAAGAGAGGAAAGATGCCGCTTTCCCCTTATACGCGATTTTCATACCCAACCAAACCTGGCCAGGTTATTCGTCATTGTCAGTGCGAGTGGTGTTCTTAAGCAAGTCGCGACCAGCCTGTATAGCCTCACGATCTTTTCTCATGCCTTCCAAAACACCGACTAAACCACCTTCGCGCATACGCTCCAACACGACCTTCATTCCCTCCCTGGCGTTAGGCTGACTTCTCAGCGTCCTTGTCAAGCCAATCTTCTCGATGCTGCGCTGCAAAGACGATGTACCCCAGCTCCTGAGGAATCCCGGCTTCTGCTGCTGCTCCTCGTCCTTGTCACCTTCCGCTGCAGCACGGCGCTTCTTCCACGTCTCGCCAATATGGCTATGCAACGTGACGGAGCTCGTCACTTCAGTCTTCTCGCCTGTATCCTCCACCTTAGCTCCAGCGCCGAGGCCGCTGAATTTGATAAAGCTAGAGCGACGCGCAGGGCCCTCCACCGCCGGCCAGGACTTGGCCTCATCCGGGACCAGAGGACTTGGTCGTTTGAACAATTGGCGCTCAACAACAGACAATACGCCGGTCCATTCGAGATTCTGCGACTCAGTATCCATCCATCCTTCCTTAACATCCACTACCGACTTCTCGAGAATGTAGGTCTGTGTATCTCCGGTGGCCGACGCGCCCAGCAAGGAGCGAGGCAGGAGCTTGACGACGGCAGAAGGGAGCTTGGAGCGCTTGAGATGGAGGCGAATGGTGGTCAGACGCTGGGTTTCGGGGTCATAGTGCCTCGAGATGGTGTCGGTGGAGAGCACATGTGTAGAGTAGGGGTTTGGGTAGCGGAGAAAGTAGGCGAGGGTGACGGCGGGGAAAGGGTACGAGTAGGTGTCGTTGGTAGAGTAGAATTTGACCATGTTGCTTGATAGTGCTGCACTATAGCACAATCGCGTAGAAATGGATGTGTTGTGTATGCGTAGTTGATGGATCAGGTCTGATCGTATGTAGCAGGTAGGGCTTTGTGTTAGGAAGAAGTTTTAGGCAGGCTTTGCAGCACAGCGGGTGTCAACGCCGTGGACGATATGGCATGATCAGGCAAATTCAACTGCAGCAAAGCAATTGAATGAGCTGATAGGGAAGGGGGCGGGGGAGGAGTGTATGGAGAAGCGCTAATAGATGAGGGTGGTGTGAGAGCTTCGATCTGATCCGTGATGATGCGGAGGTGCACACGTAAAGTCACGAGATTTGCCACTACGAACGGCGATTCGAGAGCTTGGGCTCCGATGTGGCTGCGCGGCGGTGCAGATGTGGCGCAATATCACCCCGCGAAATTGATCTTCTGGTGGGGTCACGTTTCCTCTGACTCTTGTTGCCAATCAAATAATAATATAATTGATCCATTTACATCCGGCTTCTGGCGACACAGTCACAGTCATTTTGTCTTGGCCTCGGGTTCTCTCCCTCTCTCCACTCTCTTTTCCCTCTCCTCTGACACATCACACGGCAGCATCCTTGACAATGACTGAACCTGAACCACCTTCTGTAGCTGCCCTTTCTCTCGCAGAGACAGCAACAGAGCCCGTCAAGAAAGCGACCGAGCAGGAGATCAATCCGTGGGACGTCCAAGCCGCAGTTGACGACGACGGCAATGTCTTGGAATTCGACTACGAGGCCATCGCGCAGAAATGGGCCACCAAGCTCATCGACGCCGACGTCCTCGCCCGCTTCGAGCGCGTAACAGGCCATAAACCCCACCGCTGGTTGCGACGAGGCCTCTTCTTCTCCCACCGCGACCTCGAGTTGATTCTCGACGCATACGAGCGCGGGGAGGATTTTTTGCTCTACACTGGACGAGGCCCTAGCAGCGACAGCATGCACATTGGTCACACCATCCCTTTCGAATTCACAAAATGGCTTCAAGACGTTTTCGATGTGCCTCTGGTCATCATGTTGACCGACGACGAAAAGTTCCTCTTCAAGGAGAAACTCACGCAGCCTGAAGTCTACGCATTCGCGCGTGATAACGCAAAGGACATCATCAGTGTCGGGTTCGACGTCAAGAAAACCTTCATGTTCATCGACAGCGAGTTCTTCACATCGGGCTTCAACCGCCACTTTAGCCTCAACGCAACCGAGTTCGAGAAGCTAATCACAAACAATCAAGTCCGCGGTGCCTTTGGCTTCCACGGCTCCACAAACATCGGCAGCAACGCCTTCGCCGCAAAACAATGCGTCGCCGCCTTCGCCTCCTCGTACCCTTTCATCTGGGGCAATGACATCAAAACCTACCACCGCTCCCCGAAACTCGCAAACATCCCTTGCCTGATCCCCTGCGCTATCGATCAAGACCCATACTTCCGCCTCGTCCGCGAAAACTCGTCCCGCATGTCCCTCCCCAGCCCCAAACCCGCACTCCTCCACTCCAAATTCCTCACCGCGCTCCAAGGTGCTGGCGGCAAAATGAGCGCGTCGAACCCGAACTCCGCAATCTTCATGTCCGACACGGAGAAGCAGGTCAAGAACAAGATCAACAAGCACGCCTTCAGCGGCGGCCAGGAAACCCTCGAGCTCCACCGCGAAAAGGGCGGAAACCCAGACATTGACGTCGCATATCAGTATCTTACGTACTTTGAAGACGACGACGAGAAGCTCGCCAAGTTCGCGCAGGATTACAGAAAGGGGGAGATGCTGACTGGGGATATGAAGAAGGAATGCATCAACATGATGATCAAGTACGTCAAGGGGTTCCAGGACGCGCGCGCAAACGTCACCGAAGAGATGCTGGAGGAGTTCCTCAGACCCAGAAAGCTGGAGTGGAGGGGGAACCCCAAAGTCGAGCGCAAAGTGGTCGAGGACCAGCCTGCTCAGAGCGCGGGCGGCGACGCTGCCGCCATGTTAGGCGAGGACGGCAAGCCATTGACCAAGAACCAGCAGAAGAAGCTGGCCAAGCTCGCCGAAGTCGAGAAGAAGAAGAAGGAGAAGGAAGCCGCAAAGGCCGCCCAGCCGTAGAAGAATCATCTAAATACCAATCCCCCTTTTTTTCCTCCTCAAAATTCAACTCCTCTTCGTTCCTCTTGTCGTGCCCCCCCTCCTCCTCCTCTCCCACCAAAAAAGAAAAAGAAAAACAATAAATTTCAATAACAATCAAACAAAACATGTGTTCATTTATTTCAATTTTTTTCAATTTTTTTTTAATCGAACCAGGGTAATTGACAACGCAAACGCTATTCTCTATTTCTATTCTTCATCACCACACGTCATCTCTTAATCTAGGTATTCCATAAAAAAACAGGGCGCTAAAAAAATAGTCAAAGCAGAAATTCTTTTGTTCTTTATTTCTTTTTTTACTCTAGAGTATTTATTTTCACAAATGAATGCAGGTGTTGTGTGTGTCTCTAAGTCTAAGTTAAAATCTTATTAAACAGCAAAACCTCCATTTCTTTTCCTTTTTTTTTTCTTTTTTAGGAATTAAATTCGAACAGTTTTACGTTGGATTCTACCTTTATTATGGGAGGTCGCCTAAAAAGGAAAATGTAACCTTTTTGAAAACACACAGACTATTTAGCTTTCCTTGATTTGTTACTTTTTTGCAGAGACATAGACTCTCTACTATTACTACTACTACTACTCACACAGCCATGTCAACGACTGCAACATATTGCTAATTCCACGTATACTATACTAAACCCCACGCAAACAGCAAAATTCACAAGCACAAAACAAAAGACGACTAAGAGTTATTACTGGATTCCGGCAAGTTCCCTATGGAGAATATAAAACGAATAACACAAAGTAACGCCGGCGTGTACCGCGGCACCACACAGGAACCCATTCTCCCACAATAAGAAGAGAAGCCCTAGGAACCAAGGAAGAGCACCGAGAACAGAAAAGAAGAGCAAGAAGAGCGAGACAAGATGAAGCCCCCAGAAGCCTCCCACGAGGGCCCAAACCACTGTATTCTCGCGCCTCAACACCGCACCGTGATAATAACAATAAAAACCCATCCACCAACCCAACATGTGTGTATGTACAGCTGATCAAGACAGGTTACGTAAGGAAAAAGAAATTCAGGCCGATCATATCACTGTATAATCGTCCCATCAAGGAGATGCTCTTTTAATTTTGGTAGACAGACGTACGCCAGGATGCTCCAGGACGCCCGACCATGCATGACCGGAGAGCGGCGGTGCGTTCAGAGAGTAGGAGAGGAAGAAGGGTGAAAGTGCTGAGATTACAAGTTGTTAAAGGTTGTCGTTAAGAATCGATGCACATGAACCAAGTCTTGAGCGTGTTCAAGAAACCCATGACGGTCCCTTTTTGACTTGTTGCATCGGCGAGAAGGTGCCTTGAATTGCACCTTCACACTTCGCACACAGCCAGCAATGCGCTTATCTGGGGGTTCCGTAAGTCACTGTCCTAGTGTTGTGGGGGATAAGGTTGGTTCTCCTGTTCCTCTGGAGCCCTTGATGGTGGGTATACGAACCGTTGCATGTGGTGACCGTGGCCGTTTTGCTGCATGGGCATGCCCATGTGGACGCCATTAGGCGGTAGTTGAGCGATGCCATAAGGATTTTGATGATTGATGTCACTTCCAAGAAAGTTATTCATGGCAGCGCCGTGAAGCCCTTGGGCTTGGGATACAGGACAGTCCTTGTGTGCCAATAACAAGGTTTTGAGGTTAACAATCTCCTCACGAAGCTGTGTGACGGTAGCAGAGAGAGCATCGTTCTCTGTACTAAAAAGTTCGACCTTAGTCTGGAGGTTGGCCAGCCATTGCTTTTTACGCTGGCGGCATTTGAGCGCAGCAACCCTGTTGAGTGTGTATTAGCAACCAATTCAGTATTTGGTGTGTCGACATGACGACATACCTGTTCCTTTCCAAGAAGTTCTTGCGCTTCTCTTCATCAGTCATCTTCTTGCCGCCATTTTCTTCGTTCTTGATATCGTCCATATCCTGGTCAGAGTCGTCTTCCTCGCCCATCTCTCCAACGGATGGAGCAGTGCTCTTCTTGCGACTACCGCCTTTGGGTGGCTCTTCTGCCTTGCGCTTAGTGCCGGCAGTCTGCTTACCGTTGGCGGCACCACCCTTTTTGCCGCGTGTTCGAGCGTTGTTCTTGTTCTCTTCGCTTTGTCCGCTTTCCGAGAAGTCGCCAGTATCTGCAGAGCCAGCCATGGAGTTTATTGATCCTTTGGTGTTGCGTCGACTATGATCTTGGGCGACAGGACGTACAGGCATATGCCCAGCATTAACGGGCGCCTGCTGTGGGGCCATCGAGTATGCTGGCTGTCCATTCCGGGCTCCACCATTTTGGGTAGCGAAAGACAATAGGTCGTTAGCCGCATTGCTGACGTCATGATTCGCGAATGGGTCATTTGTACGTTGCCGGGGTTGTTGGAGAGGGGGGAAGTTTGGCCTATCCATACCAGCGGTGGCCAGCTCTGGCTGCGAAGTTGGTGCAGTCGTTGTTGAGCTCTTGTTCTGGCTCGCCTGAGCAGCAGCACGAAGAGCGGCTTGTTGAAAGTCTCCAGTACCAGGTGTCACCCCGGTGCTTTGAAGATTGAAAATGGACTGGGTGTTGGGACTTTGGGCGGGGAACATGGACCCACCGCCGCCAGGAGTCAAGCCTGTCCGCAAAGAAGACTCGTTTGGAGTTGGGAATCCTCTAAATCCCTCACTGAAGTAATCAGCCTGACTGGTAGGACCTGTGAGCATTGCAGGACTTAGAGGCCCTGCTCTTAACGAATTCCAGCCTGGAGTGATACCGGGAAGTGGTGATGGCGACGTGATGTTAGCAACTGGTGGAAGGATTGTCTTCCCGGGTGTCTCTGTGGACGGATTGCCTGGAATCAATCGTTAGCATGGGAGGACTTCGAAAAAAAAAATGCAATATGTAAGGAGCCATGCATACCGAAAGATGCCTCAAAGGGGTTGGGTTCGCTGGAGAACGGATTGTGGAGGCTAGAATGACAGTTAGATCTGTGTTATCTCCGGTCAAAGGCAGAGAATGGGAGGGTGAGGGGTGGAGGAGTAGGGGGGATTCAACCCGTCGTTATCAGAATTCGGAAGCACGCCGTGAACATCCCACGTCGAGTCTTGCTGATCGCTTCTCTGGAACAGCAGAGTGGGATTCAACTCGGACGCGGTAACGTACTCGTTACTCTGAATACGAACAGGCATCCATGTAGGTATATCGTTCGGTACGTACGTGTTGAAGTAATCTGGGGTATCGCCAGTGGTCGCTGGTCGTGGTGGCGGACCCAAGGGTGCATTGGACGTCGGAGGCTTCTGATCCGTAGTCGTGGCTTCGTCTTTGACAGCGGCTGGTGAGAAGGGCAGTTAGCATGATGCGCAAACGGTCTACGCGAAGCTGGCATGGTGAGGATTCAAGGGACGAGGTTGGTGGTGTTGCTGTTGATGACGACGACGACGAGGAGGAAAGGATAAGTGGGCTTACAGTCTTCTGGAGGAGTGGTATCGGTATCGGCCTTGACGACGGGCTCTATTGGAGGGCATCATGGTCAGTAAGGGTCAAGGTGAAGTCGAAGTGGTAAAGCGATGACCTCATGGCGACGATGTTTGGTTGGGGCAGCCCAGAGTGGGAATGTAGAGCGAATTGAGCACTGGGGATGTGTGGTGGGATTGGCGGCGACAAGAGAGTGCATGCGCTGCGATGCGCTGCGACAGACTTTGCGACCACGAGGGAGGGGGAGCGACATACCTTCCAATGCCTTTTTGCTAGTTTTGGGTGACGAATCTTTGGACGACATGGCTGAAGTCTTTTGTGATTGAGCCTGAGCCATGATGATGATGATGATGGTGGAGGATGACGTCGGCCGATGATCTCAGTCGCGGTACAGCTGTCTGGGTCGGGGCAAGCCGCTTCCTTTGACAGGCAGACACTGCTCTTCCTTTTTTCTCGCCTCGACTCTCTCTCTCAACACCCAGCCAAAACGATTACGGCAGATGGACACGTGCTTGCGACGAGTCAGTACAGACGCAGATGCAATGCGCGACGGGAGAGATCGCTGATGGATCTCGAGATGAGAGTACGTGTGTGCGGGTGAGTGGGTGCGAGGAGATGGATGGGAGCGAAGGGTGAGTGAGTGAGTAGGCGGTCTGGGTGGCGACGCGCTCCTTCTACTGGCACCAGGTCCCAACGGCAACACGGCGAGCACGCACACAGGCAAGCACGCTGAAGGGCAGAGGGAGAGAGGGACAATGGGCGAATCAAGGAACCTTACGCTTTGCAAACAGCGCTCTCGAGACGCGACAGATGGACGATAGCGATGGGTGAGGGCTGGTACTTTGGACTGTGGAATGACGTATGGCCTTTCAGTCAGTGCCGTGTGCGACAGAACGGGCCCCTTTCTCTGGCGTCGAGCCGCGCTGCAGACGACACGGGCAGGCAGACAGGCCTCTATTAATGTGCGGGGGCAGGAGATATCGAGCAGCGCGTTGCGATACGGTGGCCTTGGATGCGCTCGCGAGGGGGGAATCGTGCGTGTGTGGTGAGTACGAGGAGGAAAAAAAGACGGTCGTCGAGTGTCGGGCTCCTACGTCACTTTTTGGCGAGAGGCAGCGGAGGTGGAAGGGGGAGGAGCTGCTTTTGGGGCAGGCGCGATGACGTTGTGACGGCGCTAGCTAGCCTTTGCTTGGCTCTGCACTAGCCACCAATCAGGCAAGTGCCTCCCTCCGTGCTTGCCGTCAAAGAAAACTCGAATCCTCCCCATCCGCCTCTGTTTTGTTCGGCCTCGTCTCCCATGCCAACCTTCACCAGTTGTCACAACTATCCCGTCTCCCATCACAGTCAACCGCCATGCCTATTCTCCCGCCGTACCGCCCAAAACACCGTCTTTGCCCTTTTCCCCATCTCTGTTCTCTGTCCTCTTCTTGCGCCTCGGAGCCTGCAGCCAGCCTTCTCGTCTCATCTCACCCCATTCGCCGCCGATCCAGCCCGGCCTTATCCGGCTTCCCTCCACTCCACTCCACGGAGAGCAAGTCCGAAACCCATTCTGCACTACTGCCTTTGCTGCTACCACCACATGCATTTCCTTTGACCACCTCTGAAATCAATCCATCGATACCTATCCTCAGCCAATCTCGTGACCTTTTCCCCCCTCCTCTCTGTTCCCTTCCTTTGACACGCTTTGTCTCAGCTCGCCGCCGCCGCCTCTCATCCATCCATTGTGATTTCTAATCAGTCTCGTCTCACCTCATCCTGTCCCTCCCCCACACACCCACATTCCCATATCCTCTATTTTGGTTCTAGAAGAACCGCAAATACGACTCCCCTGCGTGTCTGATTCGCCGCTTCATGTATGCACATGTCCCGATCCGCACTATCGTCAATGTCACTATGACTTGTCATGCAATATCTACATACATACATGGACTGTATACCGTACCCAATATGCAACACTAACGACGTGATATCGCGATCCCAACATCCAACCACCTAGCCTTCTCCATCGCCCTCCACGTCTTAGCCCTAGGCCCCCCCCTGGCACTCTTCACTCTATTCTTCTCCTATATCACCGGGGGCTAAGCCATCGACTTGCCGATATCATTTAATTGCTCCTTTGTAGTTCTGTTTGCTGTTTGCCTGGGTGCAAATGTGGCCGTGGGTGCGTCTTCCCTACAAAATCTCCCCAAAGGTCCTGGGTCCATTTTGGTCCATTGGTCCCATTACATCTGTAGTTTAATTTGATTCGTCGCAACGACACACACACACCTAAAATAAAAAAAGACTATCTAAATGGGTACCGACGATAGCGCAAAAACATTGTTTTTTTGCTGACGACATGATAAAATATGCTCTCTCTCTCTCTCTCTTTCTCTCCTATACGATTCATTCCCTTGCCTTGCACCTAGCATCAGTTTAGTACCTTCTCCCCCCCCCCCCCCCCTTCCCTTCCATTGTCAATCTTTTTATTTATTTATTTTGGGCGCATGCTTGCATACATACATACATACATACATACATACATACATACATACATACATACATACATACATACATACATACATACATACATACATACATACATACATACATACATACATACATACATATATATCTTACACTTTAATTAATCTTGTCTACGCATCTATCTTCTTCTTCTCTCTCCTACCTTATTTTCTTTTTGCTTTTTCCCTTCGTCGCATCTACTAAATAGCAAAAAAACTTTTTTAGTTTTCTGTGTTTGCTATGCTATGCTAAGTACCTCTACTTCTATCTTAGATGAAATAAGATGATGGGGTCTGTCTTTTTGCGTGTCTGCATTTTTTTGGGTTAGAGAAAGAGGAGAAGAAGACTGTTTGTTTGTATATTGTTGACTTGGAGAAAGAGAAGGACAAAGATAACGACACTTTTTTCTGCTGCTCTTTCTTCTCTCTCTCTCTCTCTCTTTTTTTTTCTCTTCCCTTCTCTTGGGAAACCTTACTTGGAAAAGATGGTTCTGTATATGCCTAGGTATATATATATATATACATGTTTATACATATACGTGTGTGTGGAAATGCATCAAACTCAAGTATATACGCGTTTCAATCCATTCATCCTCCTATCCTGTCCTTTCTTCCTTTCTTCCTTACCCCCCCTTTCTTTCCACAGTCCTTCCTTCCCCATTCGCCCTTCCAACCCCCCCACCCTCTCTCGCTATTTATCATGCACCCCATCTCTCTCTCTCAACTCCCCCTATAAACACTATACCCAAACCCACCCAAAAGCAGCGGAACATGAAAATGCTCGCCATTCCTCCTCTGCCCCTCGCCAACAACAAACTTGACAACGACGTCTTCGAAAAACGGATCGGGGACATCATCCTCCTTATTTCCAGCAGCACCTCCTCTTGCGGCTTTCTGCGCAGCGAGATACGGCAGCACGGCAAAGGAGAGCGTGTACCGCTGCTTCCCATCTGCGCCACCGGATGAAGAAGGAGAAGAAGGAGGGAAAGAAGAAAACACTTCTCGTAGATCTTTGTTGGAGGATGAAGATGAGGGGGAGGGATCCCAAGAAACAACGCGGCCGTCGGAATTCGTGAGACCGGTCCATGACAGCTCTGGGACGGCGTTGGAGGAGGCGGCGAGGGTGAGGGTGACGGGGATCCCGCGGGCGGGGCGGCCGATGGTGGTGTCGAGGACGTGGCATGTTATTGGTGGTTTTGCGGGTGTTGGTGTTGAGGGGGTAGAAGAGGAGGAGGAGGTGGGGGGATTGCTATTGCTGGTCATGGTTGCTGTTGCTGCTGGGGTGATGGAGGAAGAGGAGGATGATAAGAGGTGGTTTGAGAGTTGGGATATGCGGAGGTTCGGAGAGGAGGAGGTTGTGGTGGTGGGGGAGCGCATATATGTTGTTGTTGTTGTTGTTGTTGCTGTGTGTTGTGCGGTTTCTGGCTGGCGCTGCGAGGGGTTGTTCTGCGGTGATGGGTAATTCCCCCCCTTTTGGCGGTTTAGAAGGGGGTTGGTGTTGTTTTTGTTTGTTTGTTCGTTGGTGGGTTTCCGCAGAAGGGATGGGTCCTTGGGCTGTATGGATTCGGGTTGATTGAAGCTCTCAGCTGCTCTGGTGGATGGAGGAGGAGGGGACCAGAAGAATAAGTGGGTAGCTGGTCTAGCTAGCTGGTCTGTAGCTCTCTCTCTCTGTCTGTACAGTATCGCAACAACCGAATAATCAATTACAAAAAGGCCGGCGTCAGCTACTCGTAGCAATCGACAATGTTCTTTCTGACGCAGACGTGATTCGCAAGGGGGATATAAAGAAAAAAAGAGAGAGGAAAAGAAGAGATATCTATGCAGAAGCCTCCGATACGTGCTACCCCCGCAAGTCAGCCTGGGTCCCATAACACCCCACTCTGCTTCGTCGTCCGTGCCGTGCCTCGGGCGCCGCCGATCGCCGTTTGTGGGCAGTCAGAGTGTGTGACTTGCGTGCTGCACAGAACAATGTATCAATGCATAGGTAGCTCTGTCGTACACAGACATGAGGTACATGACATTGCAAATGACCATTGTCGTGTTGACATGCATACGCCACATCCGAGTAAGTCTTGTAATGTGGAAGCATTCAAGATCGCGGTACATTGTGAAGAGAGGCAATTGTACGCGTTCAATAAACACGCCAGCCAAACAAAAACCAATCAAAAGCACACATGAAACCATCATCAGAATAACATAAACATATCGGCAAACAAACATCATGATTCAACAGCTTTTCATTCCGCTACATGCATATCCCCCTTCATACACTCAAAGAAGAGAACATATTGCGCTCCAGAGGTAGAGAAAGAGTATACTATCGTCGTGGTTCAAATTTCCTTTTCCATTTCAATATCCTCCCTGCAAAATCCTTCGCAATTGGGGTGAAATAATCAAAGGAGGACATGGCCATGCGCAAATTCAAATCGTTCCTTTTGGTGAGATCCGATCGTGAGGTTCCTCCACATGCGCATGCTGCATCGCGCTTCGGCCCTGGTTCATCGGGGGCGACGGTGCTCGGAGATGTTAGAAAAGAGAAAAGAGAGGCTCGGACATGCCCAGACCTGGTGCGCAAACAGGCGCGGCTCCATTTTGAAGAACGGTAAGTGGGTACAAGAATGGTAAGACAAGAGGAAATTAAGAGGCAATGAGAAGGGAGGAGGTGGTCGTATGAAAGGCGGTTGCCGCGGTAATGACAAAGGGAGGGGGGATTGCCGCCCCGAAAAGAAAGGAAATGGTTAGGGTAAGTAAGGTAAGAAAGAAAAAAAAACCTGACAGACTGTCGAGCTGCTCACACACGTCGATTGAACGAGGTGGCTTTCCATGAACGCCGGAAGAAGAAGAAAGCTGAAAAAGGGAAAAAGAAGACGCCACAGGTCGTAAACACTTGCTCATTTGAGATCGCTCTTGTTCTCGTCAGCAAACGGACTTTGGCCTCGCTTGCTGCTGTTGCTGTCGCTAGCGCGCTTATTTGACTCTTCCTGGATAGGCGTCATGGGTGGCGCATAGAGTCCGCCGCTGTTGCTCGTGAACCTCGTTTCCAACTGCGGACGATCAAACGACGAGATGCTGGAATGCGCATCCGAGAAGGGCGAGTTGGTGGAGTCGGGGGACGTGGACAACTCCGACGTGGCTGCGCTGTTGCGCAGAAGGGAGCGACGGGCGCGAGAATGATCGTCATCAGAATCCAAGTCGGAATCGGAATCCACCTCCCCGGCTCGTTGCGCACGACCGTGCATGCCATCGTCGGTAGAGGCTACAGAGACTTCGGTGAGGGGACGAGGCGTGGGGACGAGGGTGTCCGAGTTGGTGAGTTCGCTCTTGTCGGATTCGGAGCTCTTGGGAGGGGTCGCGTCGCTGTTCTTCCTCTTGGTAATGTTGAGAGCGCGCACCTTGCCCAGCGTAGCCGTGCTTCGAACCGAATTGGACGGGCTCAGCTTGGAATTCCCCTGCGCGGGCATCTGAACACGAAGCGTCTTTGCATTGTGCTTGGGGTCGATGATGGGAACCGGAGGAGTGGACGAGGTGGGGGTATCGATGGGACTGTTGGAGCCGCTCGACTTGACGCTAACGACGGCCGCCTTTCCTCGGACGATGGTCTGGGCGGGGAGCGGGGAGACGATGGCGTTTTGTCGGTAGACGGTGGATGCGACGCTTGCCCTGGTGGTGGCCAGACTGGGCGCAAGACTAGTGCGAGCGTAACTGGAGCGGACGTCGGCGGTGGAGCCGGAGGCTGTCGAGTTGCGGAAGTTGTCGGGCACGAAGAAATGCTGCTCGGAATAGCCCGTGTTGCGGGAGGAGGGAGACATGGCGGGGATAGGCGGGACAGGAGGAACGAGGACATCGGGCGAGCCAGGGCCGGATCGGTTCGTGACACCGGGGATGTAGGCGATCTGGATGATGTTGGATGCGCGGGTGAGGACGGACGAGGCCATCGAGGCAACGGTATAGGTGGAGGCGCGGGTACTCCGGTGCGAGGCGACGTCGTTGTGACCCTTTTCATGCATCGTCATCTCTGCGGCCTGCCAGTTCTCCTCGTGGTATCTCTGCCTCCTGCCCTTCAGACAGAACTTGTAGAAGAGGAACAGGATAATGGCCAGGGCCAAAGCGCCTCCGACAGCGCCGCCGGCAATGGCACCGACATTGGTCTTCTTCTGCTCGACTGGCGGCGCGAGGCCGGCTGCGCTGTTGGGGTCGGTTCGGCACAATGCCATGGCACAGGTATCGCACGTGGTGGAGAGTTGGACACATTGCTGGCCCTCGGGGCATTCGATGCCGGCACATGTAGGGGTGGTGTCATCGCACAGCTGGCAACGGCGGAAAATGGTTCGCACCACGTTCTCGATGTCTGGGGAGTCAGTCAGCGGAGGAATGGGACGTGTGGAGTCGGCGATGGGTACCTCGCTTGGTAATGGTGGCCATGGTGGGAGAGGGTTAAGGAGGAGGAGAGCGGCCGGCGCAGCGACGTAGATACACCGGCCGGCGATGTGGAAGGGAGCACTCGACTTGGTTGGGGATGGCGACGGCGGCGGCAAGGTGGAGACAAAGGAAGAGGAACCAGGTGGTGTCGAGGGCGGAGGGCGAGGAAGGTAAACGAGTGACTGGCGCAAGGTTAGAGGTTGAAAGGGCGAGAGAGGTGAGAGAGAGGGAGGAGGGTGAGGTGAGGTGAGGTGATGCGAGGTGAAGGTGAAGGTGAAGGTGAAGTGTGGAGCAACGAGGCAGGGCAGGGCAGGGCAGGGCAACGAGGCAGGGCAAGCGTGCTAAGAGATGTGAAGGAGATTTGGGGCCCGCTGAGATTAGCAGAGGCAGAGAGAGGCAGAGGGCAGGAGCGAGTGGACTGGTGGTGAGACTGGGGCTAGTCCAGCAACGGGCTAGGCGGCACCAGAGCGGACTAGCGGCGGGCAGGCAGATGGCCTAGATGTTTGGGAAAGAGCCAGCACGGCTCACATAAGCGCCCACCACCCGACGGAAACCATCGACGGGATCTTCCTCATCCCCTCTTCTTTGTTTGTTTGTTCCCCAACGGTGCCATCATCTACATATGTATGTATACTGTGTGGTAGACATGGCGAGTCAATCCATGCCGACGGGTTCGAGACAATGAAAGAAGAAAGAAGAGCGAAGAGCGAACAAGCGAAAAAAGACCCGATGGTTCATGCATCATCCCCACCACCACGCTGTCTGCATACGTATACCGTGGCGGCGTCGTCGTGGCGGTAGTTCCAATGGTCCATTAGTCGTCGTTCAACTCGACCAGCGCAAAACATGTCAACATAATCCAACGTAGCGTGAGCCGGTCCGAAATGCGTTTGAATCCATCCATGTGTGAGTGGAGGGTTTTTTCGATCATCCTGCTCTTCCAATCTTGCTAGCATGTAATCAACCAACCCCCAATCTAAGCATCCTCGACAATATCACACCCATGCCTGCCTTATAATCGGCATACACCTTCATCTTTTATACTTGTACTGCCGTTGTACCGCCCATCTCCATTGGCTTGTACATGTGTCAAGTACATTAATCCAACGTGCACTCCCTCCTGTATCCTCTGTTACCCAAGTATCCATCTATGTAGGCAGGTATCCGCTGAACCGCAGCCGCAAGCAGCTGACAACTCCTTACTCTCACTGATTGCTGGGCACTCGCACTCGCACACACACGCCGGACTCTTGTCTTGTAGCCTGCCCAAACTCTCCGTACGGACTGCACCACGGCGCCTATTTGCTTCCTTTGCTATATTTACCCTCTCCTTCCCTCTCCCTATTCTCCCTATTTCTCTCACAGACGAAGAGCAATGTAGAATTCATGTGCAAATCACCGCGCATGCATCCCCCCCATCCTTTGACCCCATTTCACTCATGCCCCCCCACACACACGTACATTGAACAGAATCAACAAACCACTCTCTTTCCAATGCGCCACCACCCATTGTTTTTAAGGGGAAAGCACCGAGTCCACTAGTTCTATACGAAACCAACAATGATGATAATAATTTCTCTTTTTATTAAACTCCATTTTCTTTTATTGAACTCTTCTATTTGATTCTTCTTCTTCTCCTCCTGTGGTTCTTCTCTTCCTCCCGCTAGCAGACATTCTAGGAGAGAAAGAGAAAAAGAAAGAAAGAAACAGGAAGTGTATGAATAGAAGCTACGAAAAAAAAAAGAAAAAAGGTTAGGTCAAGGGTGGATGATGGTACATATCAATGTTTCAAAAATAAGGACAGCTGAACAACAGCAACAATAACAGATTGAGTACAAAGTTACAAGGGTTTTCCCCCGAAACCACCGCATAAAAAAAAGTGGGGGAAGGGGGGGGGGAGAGAGAAGAGTGAGGGAGAATGCAGGGATGATAAATACAAAATGGCGAAGACATCGGGTCTGAGTGGGATGCCCATGTGTGTGTATATGTGTATAAGAGAGGCAGGATATGGAGGGAAGAGAGGGGGGAGGAGCGGAGGAGAGGAAGGGGTAAAACAGCATCGCCAGCCCCCCGACGTAATTAGAACCCATCTCGTCATCATCAAATACAATCAAGAACAAAAAAGAGGGCTGGACGAATGAGACGCTTCATCATCGTCGTCGTCGCCATCTATTGCATGCCCGCCGGTCCCAACGCCGGTCCCATGGCCCCCAGTCTCGATGCCAGCTTGGGATACTTTTCTTGCACCTGCGAAACCACCCACTCGTTAGCATACGCCCCTTTTGTTTTTACATCAACCGGCTCACAAACCACAGCGCCACGGGAAATTCCGCCGCTGCCACTCTCGGATCTCGTCTACATACCTCCAGCTGTGTCCTCGTCGCCTCTGCGTAGCTCAACGCGTTGACAATCTCACCCTCTGTCCGTGAGAGTTCCGCTGCACGCTCAAAGTATTCAAGCGCTTCCACCACCTTGCCCTGCTGCAGTAGCAGTTGCGCCATCGTGGCCACGGCAATGTCGCATTCCGGGTCAATGATGAGTGCCTTTTGGCACAGTTTCTCGGCTTCCGAGAAGTCGTTCTTCCATTGGAACAAAGCGAGGGCCTTGTTGATGAGCGGGAGCACGTTGATGCCCATCTTCTTGGATTGCGTCTCCATCTCAACCGCCGTGTCAAACTTCTCAATCGCCTCCTGGTATTTTTGCTGATCGAGAAGCAGCTCACCGTAGTAGTTGTACACGTCTGGCACATTCTTGAAGTTCTTCATGCAACGGCGGAACGTGGCCATGGATGATGCGATGCTGCCCATCTTGTACTGTGTCACTCCCAACTGGATGTGCGAGAAGATGAAATCCGGGTCGAGGTCGATGGACTTTTGGTAATCTTTGGCAGCTTCACCGAATTCGGCCTTGATGAAGTGGAGCTGGGCGCGGTGGTAGTAGATATCAGGATCGTCCTTGTTCTGCTCCAGGGCAGAAGCAAAGTCTGCTTCGGCGGCTCCAGGGTTCGCTGTCATGCTCGTCAGCCAAAAGTTTAGTAGTTACAGTTTGCAAATTGCCCTACCAAGTTCCAAGTGCATGCTGGCGCGCTTGATGAAGCTCTGCGTTAGCGATGGTTGGAGCTCAACACTCTTGTCCATGTCCTGGAGCGCATCGTCGTTGTCACCCTTGAGATATCTGAAGGTGCCGCGCATGTTGTATGCGAAAGCCTCGTGCTCTCCGAGATCTCCAAGCTCCAAAGCGCGGTCAAATGCTGCAGCAGCCTCCGCATAGCCCTCACCCGTCTTGTTGTTCATTTCCCTGAGCCCCTTCCTAAGCTGGCCCTTTCCGCTCTCCTCGTCAAGCTCCGCGTCATCATCGAGTCCGCTGGGTGGCGGGGTGGGACGGAAGCTCTGGAGGTAGTTGGTGACAAATGTCGGGCTGGGCAGCTTCTTCTCCTTTGAGGCGAGGATAGCCTTGCCCTTGGCTTCAGCGACCTTCTTCAGTAATCGCTCCACGCTCTGCGCACTGCTCTCATTGCGGAAGCCGTCAATGATGCAGCTCGCGGTGTAGTCCAAAAGAGCCTCGCTGTTGCGGTCGACCTGTTCGTATGCGTTCGCTCGTCGGTTCAAAGCCTTGACGTATTCGTTGTCGAGGTTGATGGCAGCCGTGGTATCCTCAATCACCTTGTTCCATTCGGACATGGCATTCCAGCACGCGGCGCGGTTGGAGTAGAAGACTGGGTCTTGTTTGCAGAGGATGGCCTTGCCATAGAGGTCGATGGCGCGATTGTAGTCTTTTGAGCCATATGCCTTGTTACCTGCGGCCTTGAGCTTGGCCGCGTACTCTTTGCGCTCCTGCATCATGTCAATTATCCGGTTCAAGATACGCGTTGAGCGCTGGATAGACAAACCTCGTCTGATAGCGAGCCAACAGAGTTCTCGTCGACTTCAGGAAGCTCATCGTCAGTCGTAGTCGTCACGGATGCCTTCTTGGGCTCGGCTGCGGCCGGCTCCTTGTCCTTTGCGGCCTCCTTTTCCGCGCGTTCCTTCGCCTTCTTCCGGTCTCGCTTCTGTTTCCGCTTGTTGGAGGAAGTGGGTGTGCTGGAGCTCTGCTTGTCATTTGAGAGATAGTAGATGACGCCTCCCGTACCGACGACCAATGTGAGACCGGCGACTGTGTATACGACGCCCTTGTTTTCGGACGCCCATGTGGATAATCGATCCCAAAGCCCGCTTGTACCTTTCTCTGGGATTGCGACGGGGAATGGGCCGGGGCTGTTAGGGAGTGGAGCTGCGTTGGCTGACATGGTGTGAGCGGAAGCGGAATGCACAAACGCGAGGAAGATGAAAGTGAATTAGAAGGGGTGATGTCAAATGTACAGGTGGTAAGGAAGGGCCCAGGCGCGTTCAATGGACGGCGGTTGAGTTGATGGAGCAAATGTCGAGATCCAGTGATGTTTGGACTCGAAATTTAGATTTAGGAGCTGATTGATGAGTAAGGGACTGGCTTGAGCTTGGCGGGTGACGTATGATTCGGCGAACCCACATGCAGTGAAAGAAACAACACGCGACAGAGGGTGTTTGCCAACCAATGGCAACAGGGTCAGGATCACCATACAAGAAACTGTCGTTAGTCCGCTTCATTCAATTTTTTCTTCTTTTCTCTCCAGGGAGGCCTGCCTCAACATTGGACTCGAGCTAACTGAATACCATCTTCTTCTCGCCCAATGTACTAAACTTTCACCACTTCATTTTCGTGCATCACATACAAAACAAACCCATAACAGATCACCGATATCTTCAGTTTTCATAAAACGTTGGGTCTGCGCTCTATATATTGCGATGTTTGTTATGGTGGTAACAGTTGAGACTCGAGAGTAGAAATCATACATGCACATTTCTAGCTAAAGCGGCTCTAATTGTGGGTCAGACGAAAATGATTTTTTTGACATCCCTCTACCCTGAATGAACGAAGATATGTAGGAGACGTACAGGATCTGTAAATCTGGTTGTCTTTCACCAATAGCACTGTCATTTACCTTCACGTATTGCTCTGATCGGGAAACATTCGTTGTCACCCAGAACCAAACATATGTATACAACTGTGTATTTAGGTCATGCTTTTGTCAATCCACAAGGCTTTATACCCAGTCCAAATGTTGTCGCACTCGGTCTCAAATTGTTTCAATGTTCTAGTTTGCATTGTAGGGTATTGAATGCTTCTAAGAGCGATGATGGCCCGAACACCAATAACTTCTGCTGCCAAAGAATGAAAAGAAGCCTGTAAACCCCCTGGTACCCGTTCACCTAAAAAAAAGCACAAATGTCTTGCAGAAGTGAAATTGGGGACATCTTGAAGAGAGAGAGAGAGAGAGAAAGTCGCAAACGCAATCCTCATCGTGCCAAAAACCAATAGAAAAATGAGAATCGAAATGGAATATTCAAACGAGTGATGGCTGTACGCACGTACCGAAAAGAGCAGAAACAAAAGAAACGTCAGTATCCAAGTACCAGAAAATCTTCTGAGGCCAATAACAAATTATACATAATTTAATACACAGTAGAAGAAAATAGCATTGCAAAGCCCAGAGAAAGGGTCATCAGGGTATATGGTGGTCGTAATCAAACGGAAGTGAGAAAGCGAATGGGAATGAATCGAATGAATGGTCGAATGAATCGGTAGATCAATAAGCTCCCACACTCGCAGGAAGTGGTGGAACAGGAGGAGGGGGGGCATTGTATTCTGCCCGCCCGTTAGCAGAATGGCGGCGGTGGACACTGCTCTTCAGCCATTTCCCCTCGCGCTGTTTCTGCTGGGCGTGCGCTGCCGCTGCCTTAGCTGCCGTAGGCCCAGATCCCCAAGAATTGACGGTCTTGAGCTTGGCTGCTGACGAGGGAAAGACTGGCAGTGTGCCGAGTGTTGGTGAATCGTCATACATCACCGACATCGCAGCACTTTGTATTGGTAGTGGCGGTGGGGGTGGTATTGATGTCGCGTTTTTGGAGAAACGAACAGGCTCACTGACAGTACGAAACATGTTGTCTTCGGATGAAGTACTGGAAGAATAAGATGTGCGTGAAGAGCTGGAAGAGTCATAAGCCGAGGACGAGGAATAATAAGAAGAACGCGTCGACGAAGGCGTGGACGCGAGTGACGGTGAAGATGTAGTGATGGCAGTAGCGATAGGAACAATGATTGGATGCCGTGTATATTTCGTCGCGGACGCTGGGGGCTCCACTTGAGGAGATGACTCTGCCGCTCCTGATAATGAAGCTGGAAGGGGCTGAGTTTTCCTAGAATTTTTACGCGGGAGCCTCTTGAGGTTTTTCACCATCATTGGATTTTCTGGTATCCGCTCCGGGACTGTTTTCTCTTCTTCAGTGACGGTGTTTGTGTGAAAAGAGCTGGAGCGTCTCAAAATCGACTTGCGATTTGATGATTTGGACGATGACCTTGAAGACGATGCTGGCAGAGATAGGTGACGAGAGAGTGATGGTCGTTCAACTTTTTCGGGGTCGCTGAGAAGAAAAACGCTACTCCAAGATGCATGGGATCGCTGTGGCGACTTGGTCCTTCGGCGCTCCGGCGAGCTTTTCCTTGACGAGATGCTAATGACTTCGGGGCCAGTTTCCGAGAAAGTGACTCGCTTTGATTTGCGTGACGCGGTGGAATGCGATGAAGTCGGACGCGTTGGAGGCTGTTCAGGGTCGACCTGTGGTATGGGCTGGCTAGGTTTTATTGGGATCTGAATAGAGAGTTTATGCATGTGGGCTTTTTGCGATTCCGACTTATCAGCCAAATTGCTCGTAGAGAGTGACTTGGCCTTGTGAGCCGAGGATTCCTTATTTAAAGCCGGTAGAGATGGTATGGGAGGAAGAGTGGCTCGTTGACGGACAGGCAGTATAGGAAGTATTACAGGCGAAGACTGTGGCGAAGGAGTTGGAGATGGCTTTGGGAATAGCGAGTACTGTCCAACAGAAGTCGAGCGCTGACGGGGCGCAGAGGCTGCGCGAGGCGTAGCATTTGTGAAGCTCGGTCGAGCCGGTCGCACGGGGGGCATTATTGATATTGCTAAAGCTTCAAGGGTGGCGGCGTCGAGTAGGTCGGACGAAGGTCGTGTGGGTGCAGAAGCGCTCCTTTTGCTTCTCGCTGTGGCTGGGGATATAGGAGAGTCGACGACAACTTCAGGTACAGCGGGAACCTCCTCTTGTGGTGCCGGCGCAGATTTGGGCGTTGATGTCGATTTTGATCTTCGTAGAAATGATAGAGACGCCCGCCTCGAAAGAGGTCGACTGTTTTGCGTACCTTGGTTTGGTTGGGACCGGCGGCGCTCGCTCATGGCGACCTCTTTGATGATCTGCTGTATTTCGGGATGTGCACTTCCTACCGACTTGGAATGCACGCGATTCGGTGGCTCCTTTTGCGATTGCTTCTGTTCATGCGCACCGATTTCTTTAATAATTTTGTGGATTCCTGGATGGGAGCTCTTCGGGGCTTTGGTGGTCGAGTGATTCGACGTGTCTTTCTGGGAGATTGTTGGGTCATGCGCCCCTATATCCTTGACGATCTTGTGGATTTCCAAGTGCGACCCTTTGCTGCTCTTTGGCTGCGAGTTTCGCTTCTCCATCTCTTTGCGGGATTGCCGCTTTCCATGCGCGCCTACATCCTTGATGATCTTACATAACGCGGGCGGTGCGACGTCGTTCAGCTTGGTGTCTACGTTACTCGTTGCCCTAGGCCTCTCCCCGGTCTCATCGCGTGAGATTCTGTCCACTGGGGGCGCTGATGTGCTGCGTGAGAATCGTAACCGGCGCGCCATTTTCTTGAATTCTTCTTCGTCGAAACCCCAGACAACAAACAATACCAAAGACCAATGACTAGAAGGAAAAGTTCATAGAGGTGGGTTGAAACGACATGGACCGGGTACTATAAGGTGGAAACAAGAAGGTTCATAAGGCGCACAGTCGGGAACTATACATAGCCACTCCCCCAGAATGCAGGAGGCGTAAAAGAGGCTTCTTACAAGACCGAAGGAACGACGTACTTGGCTAGCGCTGCCTGGTGCCGGAAGACCAGAGTCCACGGTTCTTCACTCGGCGTGCTGCTTCGTGGGACCGCCCAATTGTTTACATGCCCCACAGTGCCGCTGCTGGTGCATGTGTGTGCTTCACACGTCGACAATCGATATGAGCTGCTGCTGCTATCTCGACACTGAGCTTCCTTTCCGGTGAATAGCTGCGTCGACAATCGCAATGGATGCTATCGTGGAGGTCGGTATTCTGGCCCAATGCGGCCACAATGGGACGGGGGTGCCCCGCGTACACAGGGGAAGCGAGATTGGGACGAGCATCTCATTTGGCAGAGCTCATTCTGGCCAGAAATGTTTCAGAGAATCGCGTCCGAATGTCTGAGGCGCAAACAAAGTCCGTCGATCGATGCCTTGTCTGGTGAACCCCCGGACTTCGAGGGTTCGGCAGAGGGTCGAAGGATGAGGCTGGCGCGCACGTTTACCCTATTCAAGCTAACCCATCACGTGCTCTACTCGTCCGGCATCGCTCAGAGTGCTCTCCACTATCAGAAGCCTGTCAGACTCATCGTGAATAAGATTACTACGTTAATAGTGTAATGCGCGCTAATTCGTCCTTCCAATCGTTGCATGATTGATCTTTCGTGTTCATAATCTCCTTCAAAACTCCTTGGTAGGCTGTTTATTCGCACGCAAACCAAGAACCTCTGCGCCTCAAGATCCCCCCAAAAAAAACACTGGCCAGATCGAAGACTACTACATAGTGGCCAGAAGAACAAGCATTATCATCCCGCGAACATGGCGCCACCAGTTCAGGACCACTTGCGCAGTGCCCGCCTAATCTATCGAGCCACCTCTCCTGACGATGATAGCCATTTCATGGACATCAATAATGATCCAATTGGATATGTCAACAGGTGAGTGAGACTGGGGTTGTCCCCTCCGGTCGCGTGACGTGACAAGTTGAGACCAGCGACATGCTCATCAACCCCAACAGTAAGCGATTCTCACACAGTCCGAATCATGTCTAATCAATCGCCAACCTCCCCTTGAAACCAGGCAACATAACCAACATCAAGTTCCCCACCAAGCAAGACGCTGAGTCCTTCCGCGCGAGTACCGCTTCGGCCTTCCTGGGTGTCGTCATTTGTCTGGCTCCCTCTATCCCAACCTCCCTTTCCGCCCCCATACCCCCACCAACCCCAATCGGCCGGTTGAGTCTGAGCGCCCAGGCGCCTCATACCCAACACCACCGCAACACTGAATTGGGCCTTGACATCTTACCTCTGTATCAAGGCAAGGGATACGGTCGCGAAGCGATCAATTGGGCTCTTAATTACGCTTTCAAACGGGCGGGGTTCCACAAGGTGAGGATCCGAGCGTTTGAATGGAACGAGGGTGCAGTCAGACTGTATGAGAGGGTCGGGTTCAAGCATGAAGGAAGGGAGCGCGAGTCTATTTGGCATGAGGGTCGTTTCTGGGATTCGATTGAGATGGGAATGATTGATCGGGAATGGTGGGAACTGCGGAGACAGGAAGCCGAGCAGGAGAAAAAAGAGAGTGAAGCTGTCATCTAGAGGTGGTCGTATTATGTACATATCATGTTAGATTTAGTAGATTCCATGTTCCTATACTGTGGATAGACTTGGCCAGACTTGAGCAAGTGACACCTGATACACATAATGTCATTATAAACTCCTCAGGAGAGTAGTGTGAAGCTTGATTGAACTCGACTTATCATCCTTCTCTCTTCTTGTTTCCCCCATTTTCTTATTAATGTCTGTCGTTCCATTTCGAATCCGTAGTCGCTCGTCTTCATTATTCCCATTCGTTCAAATTTCTTCCCATTTTCCGCATCGCCCACCTAGCCCCATGCATAAAATGCTCTTAGAACAACCCCCCAACACTTCATCACCAACCCCATCACTCCACAACCCAACACCTCTTCAATTCCCCAAGAATCACCGTCTTCATCGGCTACACGGCACCAAACGCAACAGAACAACAAGTCAGCTCTAGCCCCACACATCAAAAGTCTCACCAAACCCACCCCTCAACAACAACAGCAAATAAATACCAAGTCCCCAAACAGACGACAACAAAATGAAACACGATCCAGAGGAAACCAAGAAACACGCACAAACAAGCAAGTTCCCAACTCACCCCTCGCCGTACAGAAACTTCTTCCTTGCACCCAAACGCCTCGCAGATATCGTCTCTTCCTTTCCAGAGTCCGCCTCCTTCTCTTAAGTCGTCTTCGTCGTCGCAGAGGTCCGCGCACGTCGTGCACTCGACACCGCTGATGGGGGAATGGAGGTATGTCTCCGTGTCTGTGGTTTGAGGGACGTAGATGCTGATTAGGATTATGGCGGCGGGGACGAGGAGAATGGCGAGGGTGGCTAGCGTGGCGATGAAGAAGATGCGGGTGTTCGACATGGTTGGGTTATTTTGGTTTCGGGTATGTGGTTGGGGTGGGAATTGGGAGATGGGATGTCCAGTGATAGTTGTATTCTTGGGAGATGGTAAGGACATGGTGGGGAATTGATTTTTTTTTGGAATGGATGGGCGGATGACGATGGTACGGTGGGGATTAGGAGGGGGTTGGATTGCGGGTAGAGTGTGACGTGGAGATTGGCGGATGATGGGAGATGGGGAGAAGCCCAAGGTAGATACATTGACAGGTCTGCGGTAGCGCGGGAGAGAGGGGGTGGGAGTATGTACTCATGATTTGATGATGGTGATGCGGATAGACTTGCGATGGTACGGTGGGGTTCTTTCTTATTGAAATGTGATACGTTAAGTGGTTGAAACCAGACTTTACTCTATCGGCATCGTCATCAGTGCTACAATGGGTAACTGGCAGTTCCCTATGCTACAGTTTGCTTATACTTATAGACTTGAAACGTCTGAATCGTGTCATGTGAATTTAGACCTTGTAAGTTTTGTTGTTTTTGCTACAAGGCCTTTCCATGGCTGGGGAGCATGTTTATCTAACTGATCGATTTTGATCGATATTTTGGGCAATTGCGATCCGGAATCTATTCGGACCCCTGCGATTTCTTTTCATCTTGTGTTACTATCTTCTGCTTAAAGTGAAAGATGTTTATGAGTATAATATTTGAGTTTACGTTGTATAATGACTTTCAGGCGCAGGGTCCCGTGATGGCCGCTAGACACGTTACCGTTGAACCACCAAGGAGAGGCCACAAAGATTGGGGCTAAAACTGCAAAGCGAAGAGGGTGAGACGGAATGAGAGTATGAGTTTGGTCCACACGTGACTGAGGTTGCAACAGCCCTCGATCATGTCCAACTTGCAGGATCGCTGTAACATCATCTGTGTCTAGACTCCCGGCTGGACCGCCGATTGTCAGACGAGAACTAGAATCCGTATCTGCATCGTGTTGCCCGTATACGATGGATTTTCAATGCATGCATATATATCCGGCATGGCGGAGGTGGCTCGGAGTGATACCTCCGAATTTCTCGCGATCCTCTCGATCACTTACGTGAATGTAGACTGTAAGATTCCTTTGTTGAGTCTTGAAAGGATGCGAAAGCCCAAGCAGGCAAACACACATCTGAGGTTGTAATGAAACGGGCCGAGGGTATTGCGTACCTGGACTTCGGTAGGGTAAAATCATGTTTTGCCAACCGAGAGTGCTTACGGGCGGTGCATCTGGGAGTATATATGAAGAGTAAGTTGTAGTTGATGTGGTTGGGTATTTGGCGTTCTTCCTTGACTGTTCTGCTAGGTACCTATAGGGTACCCCGGCCTATATATCTCGAAGTAGCCTTATTGTAGTGGGTTAAGCACATCGCGACAAATCAACACTCTCCTGTTGAATACTCTTCAACTTCCTTATCATACCATTCTGATACTAGCTCGTGCAACTTTTCTTATTTGTAACTCCTATAAGGACTGCTTTGGGGTTGTATATACTGCTGCTCAGTCCAGGGTTGCAGTACTGATACTGACTACACCTGGTGAAATGCCGATTTCAATGCCATTCGCGAAGTCAGCCTCAATATAAACCACTCACAAATATTGGACCAGCAGCTTCTACAGGGGTTTCTATGCATCTAGAGCACCTAAAATTAGAAAAGTATTAGCTGTTGGAAACGTATTCGTATTTTCACAGGGCCCTCAACTGCTCGATTCCCTCAGTCGGTGATCTAGAAACGCACAGAATCTGGTATAGAGGCCTTCATGTTAATTTATCTTGCTCGGATTTGGCCTTAGATGCATGTGAGGCACTATCGGAAGTCATACAAGGTGAGGAGAAGTTGGCTTGGGGAGTTGATATTCCAGACTTTTAAGGGTTTTCAATACATCTTGGCTCGATGGCCAAAAGATAAATAAGATCGTGATACTAGCAAATTGTAGGAAATTGCACCACCGATCTTCAAAAGACGTTATTTTCTACTTTGCTAAACCTACTCCTCATCGCCTTGCGAAACCTCATCATGCTTCTACTCAACATTCTATCGTTACTCGCCATCACGTCCTACGTCTCTGCAGGACCCCTTACAATATTTTCCGACCCCGGAGGTCCATGCAAGAAGGAGAGTGACTGTTACGGAGGAGCCAAATGTTGCAGCCAGATCTGCGTACTTGGAAGCTGCCGTATGGATGGGTCTTGCGATGCCGACAACGACTGCTACGGATGGTGCCACAATACGCCTGGAACATGTAATATCAAGAAGGGACAGACGGAAGGTCGCTGTGTTTGCGATAGCTGCTAGACGTCTTCGAAAAACTACTCTGGTCCACGATGACGCGACGTCGGTCAATTACCCGAAAGGACCAAATTACAAAGATCACGATCGAGATAAATCCGGAGCAAAACAACTGCTTATTGGAAGTAATGGCAAGTTGGAGTCGCCGACGATGATCGAGTATCGGTATTCAGTGTTGAGGAATGGGATTTGGTGGAAGTTGGCGATTTGACGATTTGGCGTTGGGGAACCATGGTGTTATAAGAGAAATCTCCGGCGTTTTGAACATTCCAGAATTCATCATAGCTATTTGAGATACAACAAAAAAATGCAAGCAAATGTTATATCAGATGCGCGACAAAAGAGACGGAAGGATGCTCATTGAGATTGCTCCCAACTGAGTCCGGCTGACATGAGCTCTCAGCCACAGGCCACACCGCTCCTCTGTTTCTTAGACCCGATCACCAAGCTAATCAGTGAAATTTACAAAGCAAAGCGAGAGCCGAGTTTTCATCCCCGTGAATACGTCATGAATTTCGGACTCAACTCTTGAGATGAAGGGATGAGTCTAGAACCTAGGCCTGAACGTAATCACCGTTTGTAGTTCCTTTCGGATCCTTTCCGTAACCCGGATCGACATAGCCGTCACGTAGTCTGATCGTCTATATTTGGCACGCAAAAACTGTAATTAAATTTCAGACAAACGACTCTGTCCAGAGTACAACATCCTATTTCTATAGGAAATCTACACCATGTCTAGGAAGATAATGCGGAAGACTCGTACCCGTCTGCAGTACTTGCTAATCACTCGCCGGCGTCATCATTAGGGTCCGATACTAGATGCCTTCTGAAAATGTCCTTGGCGTCCCATCGACGCCAATCTTCTGCGCGGATCCGGAATATATGTACGAGTAGAACAAGTGAAGAGGATCGCATGTACAGTAACTTCGGACACTGCGGCTTTCGGACACATTATTGCTCGATCCTGAAATGAATGCCCAGGAGCTTCGCCACGGATGCATGACACCGTTAAACCCAATGGAGTCCTCTATAAATAAGGCCGGCCATCAACACATCAGCATTACCGGCACAGTCAACTTTTTGTGTCAGCAAACAACACATCCGCCCCGTACCTGACAGATTTGCTGGAAAAGCGGCTTCTTATACGCCCTGTGGTAGAATAACAAATAGCATGAATACTTAGGTATCTTTTCGTAGTGTCATTGCGGGTAGCCCCATTGCCCGCTCACTCCGACTGCACGCTCCACCATACCTCCGATATCCACAATATCATTCCACACTGGGGAGAGACTCCCCGAAGAGTTCTAGAACGTGGACGGCCTCGCTCTACAGGATCTCGCTCTGCACCAAATGGTCACCACTGGGTACTAGACACTGGGATGTCCTCAGAGTAAAAGAAGGGATTGGAGGCGTGAGAGTGGCTGTGCAATAATACATAGATTGGCAAGAAGGCACGGTGCTGCCATGTGGGATAGTTGACTGTGGAGGACTTGTTCCTGTACGGACTGCGAGGTGCATCGGACAGGCGTAGTTGGCGGATGACGAGAAGGACTGGTGATGTGGTGTTTGTACTTAATCGAGCGCCTCCTTCATCTCCTTTTTAAGTATTACTGTGCCACATATCGTTTTTCCCCTCAGATCTCTTTCATACTTTCTTCTACTTTTCTTCCTGTTGTTGCTTCAACTTCACTTCAAGACACTCATTTGACACCCGTTTGTTTTTTCGAGAATCGAATCCTTTGACTCCGTTTTCTATTCGTCTTCACCTTTTTGTTAGTGTTTATTCTTTTTTTCCAGACCGTGTGGTTTCCTATAAATATGCGTGCTACCATCATCTCCATCTTCTCTCTCGCGACAGCCGTCTCGGCCGCTGGCAACGCCATAGTCATCAACAACTCACTCGAGCCACTCTACCTGTGGACTGAAGGTGATGTAATCAGCGAACAGCACACCGTCGCCCCCAGTAAGTCCCCCTCCATCACTTATCCCCTCCACCTCAACTCACTCACCAAACGCCATTCTAACGTCGACGTGACTCGCAGGCTCAACTTGGACCGAAGCCTTCCACCGTGGAGAAGACGTCCCCGGCGTAGCCATCAAGATAGCAAAGGTCCAAGACGGACTCTTCAACGAGGAGCCGACGCTGGTCTTCGGCTACACCCTTGACCCGGATCGCGTGTGGTACAGCATAGACGCAGTCAACGGGGAGCCGTTTGAGGGACAAAAGCTCATGCTCTCGAGTGTCGGCGGCACGGGCGACGTCGAGTGGCCCTCCGGCAAGGACATTGGCGAGGAAATTCGCGACAACGAGCCTGATGCGGATGTGGTGTTGACTATTGATCCTCAGTCGGGCAGTGGGTCTGGATCCAAGCCTGCGCCTTCATCGCCAGCACCTTCTTCGTCTGCTGCACCGGTAAGTAGTGACTGAATTCTTTTGAAATTCCCTAGTTCCTTGTTGCTCGCGTCTCGAGTTGGTCACTGGCAGATGACTGATTTCTACAACAGGCTCCATCAGCACCCACACCAACGTCTGCTCCTCCTCCAGCGGACAGCTCTGCTCCTAGCGAGGGAGAGGGAGAGGATGGCAGTGAAGAAAATGAGGGAGACGAAGAAGGTGGTGATGAGAATGAGGAAGAAGGAGATGAGGGCGAGGAGGGCGAAGATGAAGAGTAGATCATTCTAGTCAAGTAGAGTGTATACTGTAGACGAAACTCGCATACTTTTCAAAGTTCTTCCTCCAACAACAGCTCCAACGCGAGGTTAATCAAATATATTGTTGATTGAAATAGACCAAGTGTAATATATTGTTGAATTCCACCAAAAATCAACGAGTCACGTTTAATTCGCATTTCTCTTCAAACCAGCCACTTCTCGCCTGCAGAGAGTTGAGGAGCGTGGGGGTCAGATCTTATCTCCAACCTCGCTAACTGCACTCTCCTGCCTGTTCAGGTAAGAATTGAGAAGGCAAGAGATGTAAAGGAGAAAAAAAAAAGGCCCAAGGAAGCGGTCATCGCGTGTTTTTTCAATGGGGTTTGCCCCCCCAGAAAACATCGCAACGCCTGGTCCGTGCGAAACGATGGGCTTGGCAATCCCGCCCACACGTGGCACAAGATTTGTACAAAAATACATCCACATGTTTGACGTTATCCGAAGACAAATCCCCCTTCCCCCCATTACCGTCGTTTGCATTGTCTCAGTACACAAACATGTACATGTCAAAGTGCTCAGCAGTCCGGGTGACATTATCCTTCCTTCCCGGGCCGAACAACCAGCCATGATTGATCCAGCCAGCCGCTGCGAATTGATCAACTCAGGCGTCGGTTGCTCAACACTACATAGCCGCTGGCGTGGAATGACGCCGGACATTTTATACCACACTTGACACTCACAAGCGGCGGGACATTTTTTTTTTTTTTTTTTAGCTGTGGGGAAAAGGCTTCAATGGCAGCGGGCAGCCAGTGATGATAACTGGGCGCCGCAGTTAGTTCTAGACCTACGAACTCAGGCCTCAGGCGAGGGGAGGATTGCTGGGACGGCAAAATCGGCTCGTATGCTGGTATGAGTATTACGGGCTGGTCTAGTCTGCTATCGGTCGCCATGCTGTGTGTACAAGCCTACGAGATGCAGCTTTCGCATGCGGCAGAGTGATACAGCGACAGCTACAGGCCCCACGGACGAGGTGGGCGTTGTGAGGGACACGGCGCCGTGACATGACCAAGTCGATCGCCCCTCAGCACTGGGTTCTCTGACCTGCTTCCATCCGTCCATCCACTCAACCATCCACCACACAGCCACCATGTACGCATGTACTGTTCTGTACCGACCAGGCCATGATTCAACAGCAATGTGCGGATATGAATGGATAGATGGGGTCGAATGAATCGAGTTGCTTTGATGGCACCCGCGCCTCTGAGCCAGACGTGCTCTTTTCACCCGCGCGCGCATGACTAGCTGCCCGTTCAGTGTAACACGTGCGACAACGTCCATCGGTTTCAAAGCCTCATCGGAGGCCTCCGCGTACCTTTGAGTGGTGGTACATGAGTGCTTATATCGCACAACTTCTTCTCCAATAGTCCAGAGCATGAACAGAACGGGACATTCATGTACAGTGCTGCACACGCTGGCGGAAACAGGCCAGACGTACGCCCACGACCTACCACGCGAGCTGTGGTGCAACTGCAGGCCAATATCAACATCTATCGCACGTACTCTCGTTTCGTCTCGTCTCGTCTGGGCACAACAGAACTACTGTGTGAATACCGAGAGCGCTATCACTTTTTTAGCCGCCAGGGTTCTTAGGGCGTCTGGTCGCATGTGGGTTGTGCTGACAGCTCGTCAGCCCAAATGTCCCGCAGCGGGGAGGAGACGATAGTCGGGGCCCAAAACGCACTCATTGGCGTGTCATTCCCTCTGCCAGTCCACCACTTGCATGTCTTGCTACAGCTTGCCTTATCATCCCACTACCTGGTCCGACTCACATGGCCCCAACACTCCCCGGCAGCACCTCGTCTTTTTGGTTTCGCTCGCCGCAGCCAACACACCCGAGCCTTGATGCTCCATGCCCATTGCCCATTGATTGGGCCTCTGGAGCCTTCCTTGCATTGATTGTTTTTGTGCCAGACCGCTTGCCACTAACTTAGACCTTCTCCGAGCCGCGTGTCGTTCGTACTCTAGTCCTCTATTATAATCCCCCATGGCCGGTCAACCTCCTGGTCGACTTCCACGTTGCTGCCCTGCCGCAGTTATCTTTTGCCAAACTTCTTTGCGTCATCCTCGACCCTTCGTCCCCAACCACCCACCCCTCAATCCCCCCTCACCTCTCCTCAACCCAACCATGACCTTTGATCTGCAGCTCAAGGTTTATCCCTCGAATTCCTGAACCGTCGAAGCCTTGCCCGACAGCGCACATGTTTAAATCCTCACCAACTTGTCGAAATGAGCGAGCGGACGTTGACCAACGTTGTGAATGACCAGACCGTTGCATTGAACGCCCTCATTTATGGCTACGCCGGCCATTCCCTTGTGACCCCGCAGCATGCTATACAACAGATTTGGTGGACCGAAGGAAGAATCAATGAGAAGGTTACCCGGGAATTCGTCACCTCGAGGCTGAAGCCTACCGAAAGAGAAAAGCTGGAACAACACGTCGGATTTGGCGATCTGACCAATAACACTTATATCGAATGGATCCTCGAGAAGGCGAGGCGATTGTTTCTCGTTCTTGCAGAAATTGGGGAAGCAGATCGCATCTTTGCTGTGGTGGAAAACTCGTGGGATGATGTAGATTTGCCCTTATCTCCCAAGGACATTGAGAAACTTGCACTTGCAAACAGACGCGATGACCAGGCCAACGCGCGATTTTTTCATACCCAGTTCAATTTCTTGCTTCGAGAACTCCGTTCGGGAGTGCACATCGATTTCGCTCCCAATGAGGAGGTGCCGCTCGAATACGTTATGGGGCTCCCGCCAGCTGTGAGCCTCCAGAATTGGTCGCGGGTTCATCTCCCGAAGAAACCTAATACGATCTACGTTCGAAGAAAGTTTGCACTCAGCAAACCAGAGATGCCAGGATGCTTTGAGGAAGACTTCTTCATGGATGTAGAAAGCGCAAAGATGGTCATGCATGACCACATTGTGCCAATCTGGGCATCGTATACATTCAAGGACATTGGATATGTCATGACAGATTTTGTATGCCATCACACCCTACGGTCCTTTATCGACCACCGCGACCCCGTTCAATACAAGAGGTTACCGAAGCCTCAAAGGCGACATTTGGTACTTGGCTGGCTTCATTGCCTCGCTGATGCCGTGGCAATGATGCATCGCAACAATTTCTGCCATACCGCGATCCGACCCTCGAATATTCTCATCGACGACCAGAACGCGATAGCTTTCAGCGACATTGGTTGTTTCGAGACTTTCCAGAGGGATAAAAGGCTAGATCCAATGGACGTGTATATATATAGTGCTCCCGAAACTCACCCAGGGACGCAGACGGTCGAACCGGTCTCGAATCCTGCGTCGCCTACGTCTCCTACATGGCCCATGTGGCCGTCGTCACCCACTACCGCAACGCGCAAACAATCTGTTGGGAGCAAGAATTCGTCTGGGTCATCGAGCAGTAGTGGGTCACAACGTCAAAAATTAACAAAAGCGCCCACATCGTCGAACGACTTCAGCGGGTTTAATTTCGGGTTTAAGAAGGGTAAACAGCCCGTGAAACCGCGGTCTCACACACACGAGACGGAGCAGGCAGACGTGTACTCTCTTGGATGTGTTTTTCTCGAGATCATCACGTTCATGCTGAAGAAGAAACCACACGACTTCATCAAACACCGATCGTCGAAGCAGCGCGTCAACGCCGGCGGCAAGAATTCGCGCACAGACTCTTCTTACCACGCGAATCCGGAGAAAATTGAGTCGTGGATGAAAATCCTGGAGGATCTATCTTCTTCTGCTCAACAAGAAAGCGAAGGACTCGAAGCTGTACCCTACGTGTTGACTCTCATTCGCAGTATGCTGTCGCGAGATCCGGAAGCGCGGCCTAGCGCACGAATTGTTCGCGATCAGCTTTTTATCATTCTCTGCAATCATACTAATATCCATGATATCCACTGCGGCGCACACATGCACGATGTAGGAGTGGCTGAAACTGTGCTTTCGGAATCCGACCGCAATTCGTCTTTTGTCTCTCTGAGGCCGCTCAGTATTTCCACACAATCTACGAGTTCCCTACCTTCTTCACTAGCCAGCTCTGACACCGACACTATTCGCTCTTCGATGTATTCTACTGGATCTCGGGTGCATTCTATACTGGATTCGTACACTGATCGATCCATGCTAGCTGGCATTAGGGAATTGGACAGCGACGATGATTTCGATGACGGTGTATCCATCTTGACCACAACGACGGCGACCACGACGAATGCGCCATCAAGCTCGAGAAGACCACCACCTCCGCCCGTAGATACATCGGCGACGTACTCGACTCTCGATACTAACACGGCATACACAAGCCCACGGAAACCACCGACCCCTCCCATCTCGCCACGAAGCACGAAGTCACCCACACCGAGTTCCCCCACAGCAACACCCATAGGCTCCCCCATGACCATGGAATTCGACCGCAGTTCTAGCCCGTCAAGTGTCTTGAATGGCGGTAGAACCAAATCGTGGGGTAGAAGCAGACCCAGATATCTCCTCCCTTGATGAAGCAGAGGTCATGAGTTTCGACTCCAAGAGGAAACATGAAAGACATGAAGCTAAAACCGGATTTCCTCCACACCCTCATCGGTCTGGCTCCAACAAGGCACTTTACCCTTTGATGGGATGGTGTGGGCGGTAGCGCTGAGCTAGCTTCGCGAATGGCAATGAAGACTCCGGCTGCGTTGCTGACGGCGAGGATGGATGTGAAGAAAGAGTCAGCATCGAGGCAGGTGTGCTGCCACTATGCTGCAACGCAGGGCACGCGTATCATGGCCACATGAGGCCGAAGCTGCATCCGTTTGAGGAAGGTCCCATTGACAGACTGCGAATGGCCTCGTCTCCACAGTTGCTCACAGACCCCCTTCCCGGTATAACGCGCGAACTGGTCGCACGACGATCAGGGTGATGGGCCACCACAGGGCTGAGACAACGGACACGGAAGAAGTGCCGGGAGTGCTGGGTCGATGGAGATGTTTGGTGGTACCGGCGCGCCCCCCGAGAAGGTCGAGCTCTGGACGGGATGGCGGTCAAGTTAATACCGCAAAATCACGCGAGTAGATTGCGAGGCAGAGGGCTCATCTCTGGCGCATAGTCTGTTGGGCAGGGCATAGATGACGTATAATGAAAGCATTCTAAGCTCATTGCTGGTTGGGGAAGGTATATTGTATACACATGCAAGTGTATATGTACATCACGTGCCGGGCCGCAAGGGGCCTAGTGCGGGGCCAATTACCGCCAGTCCGTCAACGCGCAACTCACCCGACCTCTCGATTCACCGCAACCTCTCGCATCCATCCATCCATCCATCCATCGTCCATCTACCCATCCATCCCTCCCCCTCTTATGATCATCGCGTCTCCCCCGTCGTCATCATCCGCCCGCCGCCGTGCGTTAGCTGTCCGCCGCTACATACTCACCTACTTATAACTACTGATTGCCTTGTCAATAGTACATGCATTCTCGCCATGCCACCTCACATGTCACCTTGCGTGACGTACCATCCAAAGGCAGCATATGGTTACCGAATGCAGCACCGTTGAGTACCCCTCGCAAGCAAACACTGCGTGCAAACCCTGCCACGATGGTTGATGCCAAGCCCTACGCGCCGGCACGCGCTGCTTTTTCCCATGCTCTCTGACTGGGCCTCGATGCTCCGCCCTGCTCACCGCGTCTGTCTTTTGGGGATCCCCAAGAATCGCTTGTCCACGCTGGTGGTCAACAGACCGCTTTCCATGCCACCTCGCTCTGTGAAGTCCCATCACAAGGACGCTCGGAGCCCATGTTGCCCAAGCAAACGATGCGGGGAAAGCCATGGCCTACGCAGAGGCTAAGGCGCGGCGAACGCACCTCCTGTCATCAGATGCTGAGGTCGAGGGGGGGCAATAGGCCAGTATGTAGACTCTGGGGCGTTGCAGAATTCTCCTGACTATCATGTATACCCATCATGGGACGTGCGGGCATCGCCACGCATGTCGAGAGGAGATCAAGGTGTAGCGCTCATTGAACAGACAGCCAGGTAGATAGTTTCCAGATACCCGAGCCCGACCAAAATTGCGGCACTGACTGCTAAATTCTACCCTTCTCCCGAGCGTGTACAACATATAGTGGAAACCATATAGCGCATACATGGCACCAGATTGACGTTGAATCTCAACTTACCCAGAAACCTAAAAGAAGCCGCACCGGCTGCACTGATCGACATGATGCACAGCCGCTAGCCATTCGACATGTCCGCGAGAACGAATAGCGTGCGACCAAGCTCTCCGCTCCGATTGTTCCTGCAGTGCTGCTTCCCAGGTCACCTGGCTCCCGGGGAGGTGTAGGTGAAGGGCGAGAAATCCTTTCCCACCTCCCTCTTACTGTGCCATGCCCGACTCCAATGCGGTACGACACTTGACTTGATCCATGCCCCTGCCTGCGTGGCCGACAGGGGCACCGCCTTTTTGCTCGGTTTGCTTGCTAGCTCCAAACGTCATTCATTCAAGTAGCTGTTCGACTATTCACTTGTCCGTTTGTCTGCCACCTGCCTATAAATCCCCCTCTCTCCTTTCACTTTCCTCAACTTCTCCTCATCGTGCGTCACCTCTACTACCCCGCCATCTCAACCTCTCCTGCCAGACGGTATCGATAGAAAAAAGTGGCTGGAACAATTCAAGATGCATGTTGGATCTTGGATAACTGCATTGCTCCCATTGGGCGCCGCAGCCGGTACCTTCAAGCGTCAGTCCAACACCTCCGAGTACCAACTGCAGAAGGGACCCTTGGATACCGACTGGACCGAGCAGGTTGGAACAAGCCCATGGCCTGAATACCCGCGACCCCAATTGGCACGTTCCGAGTGGAAGAACCTCAACGGCGTATGGCAATATCAAAATGCCACTGGATCCGAGCTTGAAACTCCACCCTTTGGGAAGGACCTATCCAAATCCGTGCTTGTGCCTTTCTGTCTCGAGTCTGCTCTTTCAGGTATGTACCACCAACGACCCGTTTTGCTCATACTTTGCCCCCGACATCATTTACAGAGAATGGGACTCGGGTTGGAATATGAGACGGGGCTCTGCTGGCTGCAGATATGAGCTAATGCGAGCGTGATAGGAATTATGGGAACTCGTACTATTTACAGCTGGTACCGGACACACTTCGATGTGGATTCCGAATGGATCGACTCGGAGAAGCGTGTCTTGCTCAACTTTGGCGCAGTCGACTGGCAGACGTCGGTTTTCGTCAATGGCAAGTTTGCTGGAAATCATACCGGAGGCTACTTTCACTTTGCTTTCGATGTCACCGACCTTGTGAATACAAACGGCACTAATGAGTTGTGAGTACACATGGAGAAATTCATGAAGCAATTACGTCAAAAACCTACTGACATGAATTACAGAGTCGTGTGGACCTATGACCCTACAAATGAGGCTGGTAAAATGATTCCCCTGGGGAAACAGCGATTGAATCCGGATCACATCAACTACACGCCATGCAGTGGCATCTGGCAGACGGTCTGGCTCGAGTCCACAGGCCGCGAGTACATTACTCAGCTGGACATTGACGCAAAGGCAAATGGCGAGTGTATGTGATGGCCCTTCAAATCAGCAAAAGTCAATGTAGTTGAAACTAACTCATCTTATAGTGAACATCACTGTCCACAGCGCGAGCGGCGGCCAGGGTAATTCATCCACCGGTTCTTCATCTACCGGTTCATTCGAAATCACCATTCACTCGCAAGGCACCGAAGGCGTCGCGCTCCAAGAAACCGGATCGACCAACGCACCCACGCTATTCAAGGTCGACTCCCCCAAGGTCTGGTCGCCGGACTCGCCTAATCTGTACAACGTGACGGTGAAACTTGGCAGCGACACGGTTTACAGTTATACGGGGTTCCGCACCGTATCCAAGGGCGTTGTTAACGGTCTACCCCGGCCTTTGCTGAATGGCGAGTTTGAGTTTTTGTTTGGACCCTTGGACCAGGGTTACTGGCCTGATGGCCTTCATTCGCCGCCTTCGTACGAGGCTATGGTGTCTGACTTGAAGGCTGTCAAGGAAGTTGGTTTCAACATGGTTCGCAAGCACGTGAGCACACCCTTTAGATATCAGTATTACGTCCTCGGCCAGATGGAAGCTAACCTAAATGCCAGATCAAAGTCGAGCCAGGACTGTTCTACCAGGCATGTGATCAGCTAGGTCTCATGGTCGTACAAGATATGCCGGCTATGCCTACTTACTCGTCTCCCCCAGCGGAGCCTTGTGCACCCGGTCCAGTCGTGGAACCACAGCAGCAGCAGGAATTCGAGCGCGAACTAGCTCTCATGATAGAGCAGCTCAAGAGTTATCCAAGCATCATAACATGGGTATGTATCCACCCCTCCTACCTCCCGTCCCCTACATGAATTCCCTTTACCCTTCCTCTACCAACCTCCATCCTAATGCACAAGAAAAGGTCATCTACAACGAAGGCTGGGGCCAGAACCGTGAAGACCGCGCAACCGACGAGCGCCTAACCGCCCTCGTCCACTCCCTCGATCCCACCCGCCTCATCGACACCGTCTCGGGCTGGTACGACCACGGCGCGGGAGACTTCCACGACAACCACCACTACGCATTCCCGCAATGCGGGACGCCATTCTGGGGCGGGCTCTCTGGGCCCTACGACCCGTCGCGCATCGGCTTCCAAGGCGAATTCGGCGGCATCGGGCAAAACGTATCCATCGAGCACCTCTGGAACGTCAAGCAAGCCATTGACCAGATCAACCAGACGTACGAGCTCGCCGACAGCGAGGACGCGTGGAACTGGCGCATCCACGCCACCTTTATGGACCTCCTGCGCCAGGTCGAGGCCTTTAGCTGCTCGGGCGCCGTCTACACCCAGACGACCGATGTCGAGGGCGAGGTCAACGGTCTGTTGACTTATGATCGCAGGATCAATCGCATGGATAAGGAGCAGTGGCGCAGCGATATCGGGGACTTGTATCAGGCTGCTAGGGAGAGAGGCACTGTGCCTGATGGTGATGGTGACACCGCGTCGCCCAAGGAGAAGCGACATTTCCCCAAGAGGGTGGCGCCCGTTTCGGATGAGTTTGGTATGCGGTCTATGTAAACCGTCGAACCCTCTCTCCTGCCCTATCCTGTTCTCCTCCCTTTTTTTCCTTTTACCCTTTTTTCTTTGTTTCGTTTCCCACCCTCCCCTTCTCCCTATTTATGCGAGTCGGACGTGCGAGTGCAAGGAAAGTAGGCCAGGGAAGAATAGCCACTTTTGATCAGTAAGGGGTTTTGCTTTTCCCCCTAATGATAACTGTAAACAGCATGGGAGATAGTTGGTCAGTCTGTCGGACGTTTCAGACTTGGCTCCACATCATCATCATTATTATTTTTTTGTGTATTCTCCTTGAAGAATGAAACGAGCATCACACATATACGTATCTACCTGTCTAGATCCAAGTCGTGAAATGTGTTTTTCTTCAATTTTTTTTAAAATTTTTTTTTCTCTTTTCTCCATCTCAACTCGCGGGGGGCTCCGCATCTATATATGAGTTGGGAGGGGAGGGAGGAAAAGGGGGGGGGGAGGGGCAACTATAGCATAATATAAGCTTAAAGTATATACGCAGCCTATTAATTAAAAGGCCGTACTCAAGTATTGTTGAGGAATATTTATTCCAAGTTAGAGTTTAAGTAATCAGATGCTACACACAGCAAAGAATTCACAGCAATAATAGACTGAAAAAGAAAAAACTGAGCGATTACTAAGAAAATTCGTGTTAAGCTTTTCTACAACGACCTCATCCCTACGCAAGCAAGCAATTTCGAATCAGATAACATCGGGTTGGACGACAATGCAGTATCAAACATATACCATAACAACCCTTTTCTTTTTTGCTTTTTTTTCTTCTTTAGTTGGAAAGTTTAAAAGGTGTTTCCCTACACTTGAAAAAAAAAGGGGGGCAAATCTAGAAAAGAAAAGAAAAAAAGCTACAAGAAGAAGTCTAGGGAGTTACAAGAAAGGTTTTTATAATATATTAGCTTTTCTAGGTAAAAGCCCTTGAGCAGATTTGCTGGGTTGTGTTTTTCTTCTTCTTGTCGTTTAGATGAATAGACAATTGAGTAGACTAATTATAGTGAACGTTAGAATTTAGGCGCTGAACATGAGCGTTTTTTTTTTTTTTTGCAGTGTTAGGGGATATTTAGTTTTAAGGCGGGGGAGACGTTATGTATAACGCGTTTATAAGCTATAGTGGTGTGCAATCAGGCGGCCCACCCGCGAGCTGTTTTTCTTATTCTTTTGAGGGGGGTGGATTCAACCCGGGGGTTTGGATCTGTGGGTGGGGAACTATGTAAATGCAGAACGGGTACGCGGATTGCGATGATGTTTTAGACTCGGGCGGGCCGCGAGCTGATTCGGTTTTTGGAGGTGTGAGGGAGGGACTGTGGTTTGTGTACTGCTTGCTCACTCAATATCTTTTTTTGCCTCGGGTTCGTTGGGGATAATGTAGTGTCGTCGTACATACTTGTGTTGTGCCGGATCTTGTTGATGGTGATGCTCACATATCATCGTCATTGTTGCCATCATCGACATCCTCATGGAGCACTGCTCACGACACTATAGAGGACACAGAACAATCTTTTGTAGAACCAAAGTCTCAAAAGGAAAATCTAGAAGGAGAAGATATATAGTCAAACTACATACACTCGCACACGCACACAGCTAGAGCGCACCAATATGCGCGTCAGTATAGCTAAACTGTAAGTTACTCGAGAAGATGCACTACCATCGTACAAGGAACAAGATGGCTACGCGTCAAAGAACCATGTACGACTTCAAACCGCCGTCATAGACTGTATAATTTCCCCCCAAAAGAACCAACACTTACGTACTAGTCGTCCACCTGACCCGGACGTCCCATCGACTTCAGTCGATGCTCCACCAGTCTGCGCCAGTCACGAGCGGTGAAAAGGCCCATCTCGCACAAACGATGAGCAATAGATAATTCCTCTACAAAAAATAATCCAACCGAGTAACACCGTTACCAAAGACTACTGAAGCATCCAGTGAAGACGACGACAAGAGTAAAAGTAATGATATGATGTATATAAACCCACAAACTCTCTCTCTCTCTCTTCCGTCTCCTCCTCCTCCCCCCAAAATCCACAGTGCCCTACGCATCTTCGTCCATCCCATCATCCCCCAATTTCCAACCCCCGTCCCACCAGCAACAAACAAACCCCGAAAAAACAATGAAGCTCACAACCATCCTCGCAATAATCTTCCCCCTCGCCGCCACCGTCCACGCAGAATGCTACTCGGACGGCGAGGAGTGGGGCTCCCCGGGGATCCAGGAACGAGCGCTCAAATCCATCGAGGCGCTCTGCGAATCCGACCTCTCTGGCTCCTTCACGAGCAGCCGCCCCAAATGGGCCTGCAGCACCCTCGACTCGATGAAGCGCGCAAACTTCGTCGTCCGGTACACGGGGAAAGGCCCCGCGTCCTTGAGTAAAGAAGAGTGTGTGGCTAGGTTGAAGAATGAGGTTTCGGGGTGCGAGTATGGGGGTCAGACTAGGGCTGGGAGCTTTACTTTCAAGTATGTCGTGGTTCTCTTTTTTTTTCTCTTCTTTTCGTCTGGATTTTTTGTGTGTTAAAGGTGTTTTTGTTCGTGTGTTTTTTTATGCGGGAACATGTCGTGATAAAAGAGAATTGTCAAACTAACACGTCAATGTTATTCTTCTAGGTCCGATGTCAACCGTGGCGTCTGCATCGAGTAGACGTGCGAATCACAGCTTCTGCGTTGTGCATGCGCGTGAGAGCGAGAAAGAAAAAAAATACGGGCTGATACCGAGCCTCTCAACAAAACCACAGACAGCATCTCCAACACTAGCTTTTGCGCAACTCTATCATGTGCTTCTAAAGTTAAACAACAATAGGATAGTAATATAAGTATTTTGTGCCGCATGGGGAAGAAAGAAAATGCCATGATTGATTAATACGGTTAGACCTAAGCTACTTAAATTGAATGCTACATTCTCTCAAAACTTAAAGATCTATAAAAACCTACTACCCCCTTCTTCCACGGCATTGTATTGTTGCCTTAGATTATTAGAAAAACAGCTTAAAAGCGTGAGAGATCACAAGAGTCACGACTTTCCATCTTTGCTTTTCAAAGAATTCAGAACAAGGACACGGGGAAAAAAAGAGTCCTTCTTATTTTGCCAATTGGTATTGTTTTGAGCTATCCATGTATCTATCTGTTTTGAGAAGGCCAAATCCTCCTTTTCCAACCAACCAAAGAAGATGAAGAGATAAAAAACGAAGAAGAAGAAGAAGAAGAGGTGGGAAGGACAAGAAGAAAGAGAATAGAAAAAAAAGAAGAAACTACGGAAATCATCAAGCCTCGTGAAAAAAAGGGGATGCCAACTACTTCAGCATCTCCGTGCGTGTAATCACAGCACATAGCCACTCTCTTTTGATCGCTTGCGCTCACTCCCCAGAGAGCTGCAGAATGAGCGTGCTGGCGACATCCAGGAACGGAAAGGGGCTGGTACACCTCTTTTCGCCTTCTTTCCGCCCGGCGCCAACTTCCTCGGTACGCTCGCGCAAAAGCCCACCGCCTTCTTTCACTTCCTTGACCAGATCCTCGGAGACTTGCACCTCGTCGGCCAAGCGCCGCCAGACGCCCTGCTCGTCGTCCCAGCCGTCCTCGTGCATGTGTTGACCGAGTGAATTGCGGTGCTGCGTGAGGTTGGCGAGGTTGGAAATAGAAGTGCTGGATGCGGATGCGGATGCTTTGATTTCGCGGACGAGATTGGCGACGATGCGCTCGTAGCCTGCGCAGCGGAAATCCACGACGAAGAAGTCGCGGTCGATGCTGTAGAGTTGAATCGACATGTAGATGTAAACGGCCTCGTCGGGCGCGGGGTAGTGACTCGAGCTGCTGGCGCGGCCTGAGGCGTTCTGGGAATCGTTGGCCGCGGCATGTATGCCTTCCATATGGTTGAGCGATGAATGGCTTGTATTGGTGGAGGAACGGCGCCGTAAGCCTGTTGGGTCTGAGAGATCGACGCGTGATGAGTGTGTAGAAGAGGGATGTGGGACACCTGGCGGAAACATGCCATCTTTGCGGAAGCGTGCGTTAATGACCCATGGGTCTTCGGGTATCCCATAGCCCCAGTCGTTTGCGGCACTGTAATGTTTCTTTTGGCGGCCTCGCGGCGGCTCATTGTCGAGGTCCGGGTTTCGCAGTCTCAACTCCCCACGACTACCTTCAAAACCCGGATCATCTACATCAGAGCTTGACGATACCGACGATCTGTCTCCCGACCTGGATCGGGAAGGCGACCGTGAACCTCGCGAGTTGCTTCGGCTCGATGCCTCACTTTCGCCCCCAGCTTTGCGGATCTTGGGCACCTCCCAATCGGCTCCCATGGCTTTCAAGGCTTTGAAGATGGCCAGCATGGCTTCGGCCGGCTGATTTCTCGAACGAATTCCAAACTGCCATTTTGTAGGCCGGGGTTTTTTGGTTGGCGGTAAAGCCGTCATGGGCTCGGGCCGCTGACGAGCAGGGTCCTGGACTGCAGATCTGAAGTTCGGCCTCAACCGCCGGGCCTGTGCGGCGCGCTCTTCGTCTGTCATGGGAGGTCCTTCGGGATCCGGCAGCCTTGGCGGCGGCTTAGGTTGGCCTTTCATGTATGCTTTGTGGAAGTCAGGGAGACTGCTGGGTAGAACCGCGATGGTACTGATGGGGCTGCGTACGGCGCCGATTTGGCTGCTCGACGTCGAACCATGCCGTTGACGATCAGTCTCCGCTGGCGGGGGAATGACTTGTGGCTGACTTCTCGAAAGAGCCTGTGGTATAGAGCCCATGTAGTTGTCGTGAGTCGGAGGTGACTGCGCCGAAAACGGTTGAAGGTTCTTTTCATCAGTCAAGAGAGCTGTATTTTATGACGTCAGTTTGAATTACAGATGTTGACACAGTGGATATTGGGTGATGCGAAATCAAACGAGAGCTAGAAACATACGGTTCTCTTTCATGATCTGGTTCTCCCGCACAATGAGATAGGCATCCTTGATAGCACTTGGCTCGTCGCGCGCCAAAGCCTCTTGGACATCGTGTTTGGCATATCCCATTGTCTTTCCCAGCTTCCCAACCACGACCTCGTGCAGCTGTTGAACTACAGCCTCGGGCTGAGATGGTGCTAGATTGCGCGGGTCGATCGCCTTGGTGGGATCCATGCCCGTATCATAAAATTCTTCGGGTGGAGGGCTTAGATAGGAGGGGAGATCCTTGGTAAACCACGGATCCTGACGAATTTCGGCCACAGTGATGCGATGGACGGGATTGACCATCAACATCCTTTTGATCAGATTGACAGAGCCTGAGGATAGGTAGTTTGGGATGCTGTAGTTTCCGGCAGCAATTTTTTTGAAAAGGGTGGGTATATATTCGTCGTCGAACGGCAGCCTGCCCACAAGCAGCACATAGAGGATCACACCGCAACTCCAGACGTCGACCTCGGGACCGGCATAGAGCTTCCCGGAGATGACTTCTGGTGCAGCATAGTTGGGGCTACCACAGCTGGTCTTGAGAAAGTTGCCGTCGGTCATGATGTTACTCAAACCAAAGTCGGCAATCTTGACATTGAAATTGTCGTCGAGCAGCAGATTTTCAGGTTTCAGATCGCGATGGACGATTTTGTGGCGGTGGCAGTATTCGACAGCACATACTATCTGCTGAAAGAACTTGCGCGCCTTCTCTTCTTTGAGCCTCCCGTGGTTCACAATGTAGTCGAACAGCTCGCCCCCAGCATATTCGAGCACCATGATGATCTCGGTCGCGGTGGTGATGACGGTGTAGAGTTTTATGATGTGGGGATGACGCAGTAGCTGCAGATACTGAATCTCGCGCTCTATGCGGCCAGCCATGTCCCTGGTGACGAGCCTTTTGCGATTGATGATTTTGAGGGCGACCTTCTGGCCGCTGACCTGATGGGTGGCCAGCTTGACCTTTCCAAAAGAGCCCTCGCCCAAGGTCTTGACGATGGTATACTGGCCAAGCCTCTGGCTGGCCCTGCTATCGCGACCGCTCTTCGCATCCTGGGCGGGGACCTGAGGGTGCTGCTGTTGCGGGGTGGTGGACATGTCGGGAGGTCTCGCAGAGGCGCGTCGCGGCGGAGGCATGGAAATGGAGAGCTCCTCCAGATCCTCGGTGTCGATTGCGGCCGACATGACGGAGGGAGGGGGGTGGGTATGCCAGAAAAAGGCGTTGTCGTTGGCGGTGCTGCTGCCCCACTACTGTAGGTACCTAGGACGATGGATGTCGCTGCTGGCGGGTGGGCTCACCACCGTGGGACGGCGGGCGGCCGCAGAACGGGGATGTCTGTTCGCAGGCGATGTTCTGGTATCTTCCTTGGTTGTTTGCTCGCCGATCTTGCTCGTACAAAGGTAGGGTGAAGAGGCTTGGGGCAGGGGACGGCAACAAGAGCGACGGCGGAGCTCTCGGGCGGCGGCTCTGGATGAAGGCAGAGGGTGGGGCGCGATCAATATTGGCTTCCCCAGACTGACTAGGTGGGCCGAGGTTGGAGGATATACGCAAAAGTCAGTTAGTCAAGCCGAGGCGGGTTTTGTTTGCGGGCAAGAGGTTGCCATGGACAAGCGCGCCGACAGAAAAGACGATCGACGTTGGGGTGGGAAAGCAAAGATGACGATGGGAGCGGGGCGGGAAATGGATCCATGCACTCTGGCTCGTGAAAGCCCAAGCCCAAGCTTGATCACTGCTCCCGTCGACGTGCAGAGACATTCATGTACCCATATATTGTTCATCTATCTAACATTATCTACTCAATTTTTCTTCTTCTCCTCTCCCTGACTTGTCAAACATGTGAATAATCACCCTGCCGCCCGCCCACACGTGACCCGTTCCATGTCCAGGTGCCCAATATGTGTGCCATCAACGTCGTCCAAGTTTCTGCGGTACACTACATGTAGGATATAAGGCGGAAGGGGCACCGTCCTTCCTCTCTTCAGCTTCCCTGCTTTCAAAACTCACTGTCCTCACTCTCTTCGTATTGATGGAATTCCAGAGTTTCTTCAAGGAGTGGGCGTCTGATGCGCATTCGTGTAGGGTAGAGTTCCTCTGCATCATCATCCTCATCCTCATCCTCATCATCGTATGAATCAAACGCTCTATCGTCCTCGGCCAAATCGCGTGTCAGTTGGGCGTTTGCTTCTTCGTCATCAATGGGTTGCTCCCCGTTGTACGCATCGCCTTTCCAAAACCTGATTTCCTCTTCATCGCTCTCATAGTCATCCGTCCATGGCAGACCCGGCCACCTCCCATTGGCCAAGCTATAGTGCCAATCGTTGGCCCAATCGTGTTCCGCATTCTCCTCCAAAAACACAAAATCGCACGTTTTGCTCCACTTGCCGTGGTTGGATATGTAGTTCTCCAAGCTGTACATGGTATCGTTGAACGGGTTGTTCTGGTAATGTTTGCGTGTGCTTCTCGCCGCGGTATCGTATCTCTTCAAATTCAGGTCCCATCTTCCTAGTCCGTGTAAATAGTTTACAACAATTTCGCGCATGCTAAGAATCATGCGCGAAGGATGGTACCTGATGGCACGAAAGAACTCCCGCCAGTTGCCTGGCAGAGGTCGACCGTACATAGTCAGGTGGTTCAGATGGGGCGCCTGGCGCACCAAATCAGCCAGGAGGTACATGTCGTAGACAGCGTATGTACGCATCTTTCTCAGCTGAGGAAGTGCAATAATCTGCCTCTCGGCGATCGGCCAGCCCATCACATAGTTGCGATAAGGGAAAAGATAAAACTCCCGGAGGCTCGATGCAGTCTTCTCCAATAGATTGGTGACGACGCTGCTCAGCCTCCACCGTTCTATGGCAAGTGCCTTGTGCCCGAAAGGGTCGTCATGATCATCCCACCTGGGTATCTGTGGTTGAAACCATAGGGTTTGTAGGTTGGAAAGATCGAGCTGATCCAGACGTCCATCGTGGGCCCACATGTACGACTCCTTCGATCCACCCCGAACTTGATGACGGATGATAAGTCCTTTGGGGCGCACCTTTGCCGTGATCAAACTTGCAATGACTGTGTCGAAGAGTTTCTCGCCGAACGATCCATAGATCAAAGCGCATTTCTTGACGTTGTGTTTCTTGTCGTTGGGGAGGTGACGATGTGGAAAAGCAACACATTCCAGCGGGGTTCTGCTCGGGAGCTTGGAGGGTTGGAATGCCCAATCTCCCACCTCAAATGTAACACCCTCACCCATTCGACTCATCATGTTGCCCCAAGACCTTGCCAACTTGCCGCTCTCAAACAGCTCGCGCAGTCTGTTCGCTTGTAACATGTGCTTTTCAAACCCTGCATCCACCTCATCTTTAGTGGGGGGCACTCGAGAAGTTGAAGCAATATTTTGAATCTCTCGGAAGATAGTCCGAGTCATCCCCCACGCATATTCTGTTGGTTGAAACGTGATGTTCTTGACATAGGGCAGCATTACAGAAGTGGCTTGCATCAAACGATCCGGAGAAATGGTCAAAGTGACTTTGCGAAACAGTGCACCAAGTACTGCTGGATTGGACGCGAATTGCTTGCTCACGAGCCGCAAACGCTTGAGCGATGCAATGTCACCACTATACGATCAGTGTAAGAAGAAGTGCAATGTATTCCATACGGCGAACTGAACGTACCTTTTGACCGCTTCATTGACGATTAGGTGGTATATCTCAAGGGGAAGGTGAGAGAATGGCGAATGGCGAGCTCTTGCTTGCTTCCGGGTTGTGGGCATTTTGAAAACCCAAAACCCGTCTCTTTGCTAGACTTGGGTGAGCAGGTTGTAATTCAGCAGTGCTTCGCAGACTCTATATCTTATACCCCGCGGGAGAAAGGCGATGCTTCCCCTATGTTGTACAGCGTTTAATTGAGAAACAGGCCAAGCTGCAGCTAACACCAATCAAATCATGCACCGGTCGCGGCGCATCGGGTCGTACGTACCCAAACTGTTGCATCTACCAAAAAAGCAAAATAAAAAGATGACGAGTCGAATAATTTTGTCTGAGATCGCCCGACTACGCGACAAACATGGACAGCAGCTTGTTAATATTGCAGTTTCTAGTTTTTCTTTCCGCCAGATTCGAGCTCGCGCAAGCGCTGGACGAGTTTGCCTCGAAGAAATGGTGACAATCCAAGTCTGTAACACAGGCGTCAGCTTTGCATATCAACTGTGTAACTGCACAACTTACACTCCCTCTCGCGTTAGAATGCGATACGTTCCGCTGTCCTGATCTACATGGCGTACATGTCAGCAAGAACACCCCGAGACCCATCCGATTGATTGTAGTTGAGACCATGACGTACAATTTCCATTGCCCTCAGCAAACCTTCCATTCCCGTCCACCTCTACGCTTCCAAAAATATCTTCGGGCCAGGCAATTCTTCCGTAATCGGGTGGGTTCCTCTCGTCGCTGACATGGATCCAGCCTCCACGGTTGGCTCCCCCCATACCAGCCTGGTGACTTGCACCGCCAGCACCATCGGCATTGCTCCCCGATGCACCTCCCAGATTGAAGCCGCCAGGCGAAGCAAACACGGCTGCCTGCTGTTGCACTAGCGGATCCTGGGTGGCGTACTTTCGAACAATGTCCTGTAGAATGGAATGAAAAGCGGGGTTCTCGGTGAAGGTTGTCGGGGTGGGTGGAATTGATGTGCAGCTTCCCAAGGAGAGGTCGACGTTTGGGGGATCGGTGGGGAGGAGGGACAAGACGGATCGTTGGGGGTCATGGGGATGTTTCAAGACGTACTACAAAGGTAGGACAGATCAGCATAAGGAAAATGTGAAAACCCGAGCAGAGGTACGAACAATATGCGGGCTATTTTGCAGGGTAGAGACGCTCCGTGAAGCTCGGAGGCACAATGTGGGAATGCGGGATGAGGTGCGGATGCCATTGGCGGAGTAGACTAATGTTCTTGATAGCATTGTGAGATGTCCAGCTGAATTGAAAGAAAGGGAGAGTGCAGAGAGTCAATTGTTCAAGTCAATTGAGACGAATCGAAATGTGTGAGATGACGGAGATGGATGACGAACATATTCAACGCCCTGGCCCAAGCTCCCTCAGCTTGATTCGCGCTAGCCTCTTCTGGTCTAAGCCTCTACACGACATACCCAACAGCTACAGGTACTTGGCTAAGTACTTGGGAGTCCCATCATCCCGACTCAGACGGAATCAACGGCCTCAGAAGCCTTTTTTTGATGCCGTCTCCGTCTTCTCATCCTCGCCATTATCGCCTCAGCTTGCAATCTACACCGCCATGGGTACTGACGACAGAATCATCTACAAATCAAGTGAACCTCGGCTCCCTCGCGTACCGGGACAGAGCAGCCACCTCCAAAGCAAAGCCAAAAAAAATGTCTTCGCCATTACTTGACGACATGACCGACGTTCACAGCCGTGCACAAGCAATCACACAAAACGACCTATCCTACTGTTCTATCCAGCGCCGTATGCAAACTTTACCCGCTGCAAGAGGAGACGGTTGAGCGGTTTGGCCATGCACCAAGCACATCATTCCCGTAACAACTAGTCCAACCCCACCCGCCGATGGGCAGAGTGAAAAAAAGCAAGTGCCAGCGAATGAGGGCCTGGCCCATGATCGTCCTTCAACACTCAACTCTCCGTCGCTATGCGGAAGAGCTCCACACCGGCCGCCGTCTACTATACCTTAGCCATAGGTACTCGACTACTTAGCCTAGCTATAATTAAGACTGCCCATCACTGGAACAGTCATCTTCTCGTCCCGTCCCGTCTCTATTCTTTTCTTCTTCTGCGTGCCACCTCTGCGAGCGAGTGAGCGTGTTATTCTTCTTCTGCGTCATGAGTAATTCCGACGCCCTGAGTCCTGCTCCGCACATGCAAGCCCCGGAGAAAATTGTCGAGACCACCTCGGGCGATGCTTCCAAGCAAGGCGACGGCCTGCACGATGTTGAGGCTGGCCAGGAACCCATCGACATTGATAGGATAGAGAGGGTCTACAGGTATTTACTTTTTGCCCTGCATATGTCCTACTGTCTGTTTCCCACCTATCAATACTAAATTCTGCTGTAGCAAATTGGATCGCCGCATATTGCCAGGTACAGATTATCCAATCAACAATGAGATTTCCTCGGACCAGCCTTCACTGACTGACATCGGACAGCCTTTTGGATTCTCTACTTCCTCTGCTCGGCCATCCGTTCCAATGTCGGCCTCGCTCAAACGATGAACTCGGACAAAGGTCACGACCTGGCCTCCGAACTCAACCTCACCCCCAAGCAAGTGTCTACGGGTTTGGCCCTGTTCTACGTCTGCTATGTCCTCTTCGATCTCCCTTCCAACCTGGTACGTCCGATTCCCGAAATGTATTCTATATTGGAACACCTCCGACAGCTTCATCCAAACATCTTCACTTCCTCTTTACTGACTTTGGTCTTGTCTCTTCCAGGTCATGTCTAAACTCAGCCCTCACGTCTGGATGAGTAGAATTGTCACAGGCGTCGGCATCATAGGCATATGCCTCACAGCCATGAAAGCCGCCTGGAGCTTCTAGTACGCACTTCAACTTCCCAGATCCACCAGCTTTTCCAACCCACCTAACCCCACTAGTTTGCTTCGACTCCTCCTTGGTATTGTCATCGCAGGCATGTGGCCAGGCATGTCCTACTACCTAACCCTCTTCTACCCTCCATCGCGAACCGGCAAGCGCATCGGCCGCTACTTCACTGCTGCCCAAGTCTCCGCCGCCGTAGTTGGCCTCGTCTCAGCCGGGTTCCAGAAAATGGACGGTCTGGGCGGGTTAGTCGGATTCCAATGGATGTTCCTCCTCTATGGTATCGCCGGTATCATTGTCGGCATCTCCCTTCTATGGTGGCTCCCCGATCGTCCGCTCCCACCGGGACAGACTCGCGACCGCACCGGATGGCGCAAGTTCATCCCCGAAAGCAAACCCGCTCTCTCCGGCGAGGATGCGCGGATCCACTATGAAGATCTGACGAGAGTGTACCGTCGCAGTGCGTGGAATATGAAGGATCTCTGGAACGTGATTATCGACTGGCGTCTCTACCCTCTCTGCATCATGTACTTTGGCGTCGTCGGTGTGGGGATTGGAACACAGAGCTACGGAACCGTCATAATTCGCGGTATCAACCCCAGCCTCACTGGCATCCAGCTCTCTCTACTCTTCGCTCCAATATGGATCGTACGTATCGTCCTCCTCTCTTTCCACACACTGAGCTAACTGATCCGCAATTGTAGATGGACCTCCTGGCCATCCTAATAGTAACCCCGCTCTCCGACCGCTTCCACCACCACCGCGCCCTCTTCTTCAGCCTCGCCGTCCTAATCCAAATCGCCGGCCTCCTCGTCACAACCTTCGCGGGCACCACCTCAAACTCGTGGTCGCGCTACGGCGGCCTCCTGATGGTCGGCTTCGGTCTCGGTCCCACCGTCCCCATATGCATGACCTGGACCAACGAGATCTTCCAGCCGCGCCACGGCGAAGTCGGCGTCGCCGCCGCCTCGGCCCTCGTGTCTGGGTTGGGCAACCTGGGCAGCATCTTGACCACGTACGCGCTTTACACGGGTTGGCCCGCTGATGCCGTCGGCAAGCACAAGTATCGGAAGAGCAATCTGGTTATGATTGGGATTCTTTGCGGGAGCATTCTCGCTGCGGCTGTCATGGTCGTGTTGTTGAGGGTCTGTGGGAACGAGAGTATGAGGGGGGATGAGGCGGTTGATGGGGCGGCTAGGAGGGAGGTCAAGCAGAGGGGGTTGGGGAGGATGTTTAGGTTTCGGTGAGCGGAGCGGAGTGGAGCGTGTGTTGTTGGAATCATGCTGTTGGAGTCGTGTTCTTTTAGTGGGGTTGGTGGTGGTGCGGGTGGGAAGGGGTGGGGGGGAGGAGGGGCGAGGGGACATGGACGACGAACGACGACGAATGAATGATGAATTGACAATGGGAATTTTCAAACTAAAAAAGAAAAATCAGTAAAATCTACATAGGTCGGTTAGAGATGTAGTTTATACCACGACATTGTCTCCACAACCCTTGCCACGTTCATATACATACCTTGTGGATTATGATTTCCCATGCTACCCCACCGTTTGGCAATTGCATTCTTTTCTTTTGGTTGCCCTAACTTGTTTGACTGTGAATTCCAGTGCCTTATCATTCCAACATTGACTTATAATTTCTTATTGTTTTTTTTTCTTTTCTTTTTCTTCTCGGTTTACCAATTGAACATAAAAATCACAAACCTGTAAGTACAGCAATAGTTCTTGGTTGCCAATTACGCCGCAGCCCACAACAGTAGCCGCCGCCATGAGGCGGGAGGACATAGGGAACAATTGTTTCACCCTGGCATACACCATCAGCACGAACATGCCTCTCTCTATATCAAAAAACCACACACACACAAATATCCCCACCATCCCTCAAACACTCTCCAACTTGCCCTCAAAATCCAACCCCTCCTCCTCATCCTCGTCCTCCTCATCAACATACAACCCCTCCTCCCCACCCATCAACAACACAACCCCCTCATCCCCATCAACGCCCACCTCATCCCACCCCTTCTCAGCCCTCGCCTCAACAACCCGCCTCCGCACCAGCAGAACCGCGCCAACCCCCGCAGTAACAAACATGCAGAGCAGTCCCGGCCCCATGAAAAACGCCGCCATGCGCGTCCAGAAGACATTCCACGTCCGGGCGGCGGACCCGAGTTTGCCAAAGCTATCCCACTCGAGCGGGTTGAACGACGTGATGCGCGCAGCAGGACGGCCGCATTTCATTTTCAGCGGGGGCTTGACATGAGAGGGTGGAAGAAGAGCGATAGACGAAATGTGAGGTTTGATATGGCGGTCTTCAAGATGCTGGGAGACCAGGATCTCAATGACCTTCCTTTCATCGGCTTCGGTGGGGAAGTTGTAGAGTTTCAGGGAAGAGGTGTTGTGCTCGCGGTACACGACGCCCGTGACGTCGAGCTGCAGGATGAACTGGCCCGCGTTGGGCGTCGCGAGGATGCGGTGCGTGTATGCGAGGTCGACGTAGTTGAACCATTCTTGGGAGCGGGTTGGGGGTGCGACGAGCGGGGCGATTGTGTCGAGGGCGTGCGGGGATAGCGAGGAGAGGGTTTGGATTACGCGGTAGGTTGGGGGGTTGCCTGCTGGGAGGGGGTAGAGCGGGGTCGAGGCGAGGGTTAGGGAGCGTTTGCAGGGGGAGAGGGTGATGTTTAGGATCTGTGTTTGGAGTTGTGAGTGTTAGTTATGGGGGGTAAGGGTGAGTTGTGGATAGAAAGGGAATGGGGAGTTGGAGATACGAATCCGATGACGAGATACGGAAACGCAGGATAATTGTTCCGAGTATGAAGGTAGTGATGGGATAAAAGTAAGAAAGAGTTTAAAACGTACCAACGCATCCTCTCCCATGACTCCCCGCCACTCCTTCTCCTTCTCAACCGTCATCCCCTTGTTCAGCGGACATCCGGGGCAATCGAGCTTCACGATGTAGCTCTCGCCCTCGCGCACCAACGTCACCTCCTTTGCGCGCTCATGGTCTCCAGGTGGATCGAGTGAGTCGGTGGAAGTGGCGGCTACAGCAGCGACGAGGAGGGACGCTACGAATGGGAAACGCATGGTGGCGGTTCAGTTCAGTGAGGTGTCTAGGCTAGGCTTGGAGCCTGCGCTGGATTTCACTTGTGTGTACGTATATGTATCTATGAGATAAGACGATTAGGAAAAAGAGTGACTGGTTTGCTATAGGGAATCGAAAACAAAGGAACGGATGGATGAGGAGAATTGAATGGATGGAGAGAGGTGGATGTTGGGGTAGAGATGGCTACGGAGTTTGCGAGAGGGCCTGTCACTCAGGCGTCGTCATCTGTCTCAGGGGCTGTTCGGCTGGCTCGGCTTCCCTTCAGCCCTCCAGCCACTCCCAACTCTACTTATGTGGCAGAGACCTGCGTACTGCGAAGCTGCGGACGCAGCATTGCAGAAAAACAGTTTGATTCTCGTTGACTGGGTTGATTGCTTTGTGCGTTGCTAAGTTTAGATGTCGACGTTGAGATGCATGTCGGATGAGCGAGCCGCTGCTTCACTCCAACAAAGCTTCCATCAACGTCAACTTACTTGTACCCTGAATATCAAATGCCTCGAGGACTAACACACCGCGCATGACAATCATCGCATCCATGCCCTCTTATAACAACCCTCTCATCAAGTCAATGCTATTTTCTCACTTCGCCCCAACCGCATGCTGAAACCCGCCTACCAATCCTCCTCGCAAGCTCCCTGTCTCGTCGGCCTACAACTACGCGCGAGAATCGGCATTGACAAAGTCAACTACCTAGCTGGGTCCACCTCCTCAGCCCCCACAGCCCAAGCTACGCCGCCGAACACCATCGGACTCGTGTCGTCCCTCAGCCGGGTAGTCCAGAAACACTCGATATTGCGGGTGCGCTGTTGAGTTCCTTCTCACGTATTGCTTGCGACAATGAGGTGTGACTGACACGGCATCTCGTATCTCGTATGTACCTACTGCAACACCACCTCATCTCAGCAACTCATTTTGGTGCTTTGGCCCCCAAAACGGAGGGTGGAATTCGTTCCCCACTACTGATTTCGTAACTAACTTCGGAACTTACGAGGGCTGAAAACGTGCGACGAACTATATACTCTATGCAAAGCAAGACAAGCATCACCCATCTATAACAACTGAAACGGGAGTAGGGTCCAACCAACCAACCCCCATCCATTCCTCTCCTTCTCTTCTCCCTCACCCAAATCATAGAAAGAAATTCCCCGTAGCGCCAATTCCCTAATCCCAAACTCCGAAATCCAAGGGCTGACCCGAGACTGCAGTGTTCCCTCTCCCACCATTCGCCAGCCCTTGCTCATACGCCCGCCAACCCGTGCCGCAACGCGCCTCGTGCGTCCGTGTTACTTAGTTTATCCTTTGATCTTTTTCGAAGAAAATAAAGCGGGCGGACGCCTTACGAGGACGCGCAGCGCACTGACCTTGAATGGATTCCCTTACCGTGTAAGCAGAGTCATGTCTTTCGTTGGTTGTGATCGGCGTCAGCCTAGGAGTTGTGGGTATCGTCTTGTGAGGTACTTAAATGGAGTGGTTTCCGCTCATGGCGTTTCCCACTGGTTCTTTTTTTGTTCTCTCTTGAACTTCTCTTATCTTGCCCGTTCGTGGATTCTTTCCATCGTGCTTTGTTATTCTTTTGCTTCGACTATTTTGTTTGTTGAACGTCCTTTGCACTGATTCTTTCCCATCTACCCACCTACCCAATCTATCTATATCAAATCAGTCTCGGATATCAATTCCATACCCAATTCACTCTACACACCAACCTCTCTCTCTTTCTCTTTGTCTTTCTCTTTATCAATCTCCAAATAACAGAGATCCATTCGAATCCTGGGAAAAAACCCCCATCATCTGAAATACCAAAAAGGAACCCCATCCCTCTCTAAACAAAACCAAAAAAAACAACAACAACAAAACTTCCAACAAACACCAAAACACCCTCATCACCAAACACCAAAAAATGTCTCAACAAAAGCAAGAATGGCACAACTCAGGCTCCAGCTGCTGCAGCCCAATCGGAACCTGTACGTCCCCCCATCCCCATCTCCACCCCCAATCCCTCTACCCCATCCCCACCCAACTAACCTCCCATCACCAGGCTGCATGGCATGGTTCTGCCCCTGCATCCTGCACGGCAAAACGCGGCACCGCGTGCGCAACAACGGCGACATGTCATCATACAGCTGCTGCAACAGCTCGTGCATGGGGTTCTGCGGGCTGCTAGCATGCGGCGTGGGGTTCATCCTGCCGTGGATCTCGCGCGCCGACATGCGTGCGAAATACGGGCTCGAGGGCAACGGGTGTAAAGACTGCTTGTGTGCGTGCTGCTGTGGGCCCTGCGATATGGTGCAGCAGTCTAAAGAGGCTGAGTTTAGGGAGGATAAGGTTAGGCTTGTGCAGGGGCAGCCTGGGAAGAATGGGGGGATGTATTATGCGCCGCAGCAGTAGGGGAAGGGGGGAAGCTTTTGTTTTCTTTTTTTTTTTGTTTCTTTATCGGGGTTTATGTTTTGGGATGGGGTGTACGGATATATATATATGTCCTTCTTTTTTGCTTTGTTAGGGCTTTGGGATGCTTGGAAGGGCGGGGGGATTTGGGTATCATCACAACGAATAGACAGATACCATATATCGAATCATTTTCATCTTCCTTTTTCTGTTTTTTTTTTTTTTTTTTTTTCCTTTCCTCGTTTCGTGTCGGTGTTTCTGGCTCTACCTTTCCCGCTTGTCTTGAATAGCCAAATTAACTCTCGCTACCTCATCTCGAGCAAAGGGCCACAACGGAGGGAAAACAAAAGAGAAGATCAAGTGTGAAACAACGTAGCAAATCATGATTATAACCGTCAAACAACGTTACTCGGGTCTCTAGTTGAACGTGTATACGTGTGTGTGTATGTAATCAAAGAGGAGCGTCCCCGCTCCCCCACGCACGACCATCAAGAACTTTTCCGTTAAGCTCAACTGCTCTTCTCGTAGAGACTGAGTCGATCGCCAGCACCGCAGAGCTGTTGCTTATCCCCACCACACAAGAACTGACAATCTGACTCCGCAGCCGTCGCGGTATCCGCAGACAGCATGTTCCCGCAGTAGCACTCGCCGCCGTACTCGGTGCCAAAGTACTTGTAGCTGGTACACTGCGCGGCACACTTGTCCACAGTCATGGCGGCGTCGAAGTAGATGTGCTCGCTGAGCGTGCGCTTGTTGACACTATCGGTGTAACAGCCCTTGTACTTGTAGCCCTCGATGGGTGGGTTGGTTGGGGCGCGGATGGGGGTTTTATTTTTGAAGACGGTGAGGCGGTTGCCGGCGCCGCAGTAAGACTTGGGGTCGCCTGTGCAAGGCATGGAGCAGTCGGAGAGAGGTTTGGGGTCGGTGTATGCGAGGCTTATACCGCAGTAGCATTCTGTATAGAAAGTTAGTGGTGCTGTGTATTCCGGCGGTACAAGTTTGATTGGACTGATGGGAGAGGGGAAGAGAGCAAAGCAGGGTTGTGTGCTTGCAGTGCGGAATCAAGTCTCACCAGCAGCGTATTCAACACCGAAGAACTCGTAACCAGAACAGAACGCCGCACATGCAGTATAGCTATTGTCGGACTTGGTTTCGAATTTGTCGTGCAACGTCCGATTTTCTACAGCATCGGAAAGACACCCCACGTAGTCATATCCCTGAAGCGATGGCGTAGACGTCGGCGTAGGAGTAGAAGATGTGCTGGGAGTTCCCGTTGGGGTTGATGTTGGGGATGTTGACGACGGCGGAACGTATTTCAGATTCTTGTACAGACTCAAGCGACTTGCAGCACCGCAGGTTTCCGTTTGGTTCCCACTACAAGGCATATTGCAATCTGAGATCGCCTGGATAGTGCTCGTACTATCAAGCTTATCGCCGCAGTAACATTCTCTGACACGATTATTAGCAGATAAATTGACATAGAATCTAGGGCACGAACCGTCCATATTCGAGACCGAATAGCTGATATTTGGTGCAGAAGGCCGAGCACCGCTCTATTGTCATGTTGTCATTGACAAGAAACTCTGAAGGAAGTGCGCGGGGAACTGCCGCATCGTAATAGCACCCTTGATATGCGAAGGCTGGCGACGAGGGCTCCGTAGGTGATGGGGAGGCATTGAAAGGTTTGCAGGTGGTCGGGAGACTATCAGTACTCTTAGATACATCTACCAAAGCACCTGCATACACGCCAAACATAGCGGGAGTTCCAGGTGATGCCAAAACGTATGTCGCAGTGGAGATAACGTAATCATTGGACCCGCCTTGCGCCTCGTTCAACGCGATGTTACTGATCGCTAAAGAAGGGACTGGGTTTGGGCTGGCCTTGGGTTTCTTCTCAACTACTCGAAGACTCGGGGTACTTTGAGCAGAAATACGACGTGCAGCTGCAACACGAATGCCATTATTCGGAACAACGCAGCTTTGAGGCGCCTGGTAGAAGAGGGTATCGTCAACTTTGAAGCTATTGCCGTTGTTATTGAATGTTTGAGATGTGCCACCCGCCACGGTGACAACAACATCAAATGAAGAAATCGATGTACCTGAAGGTATTTCTGTGGAAAATCCGAAGAAGAGGAAAGTGTCGTCAAATCCAGAGGCCGTACCACTCACGGTGGTACCAATGGGGGTGGAAACCGCTGCACCAGTCCGATCTTTGTATACAAGCTGTACTTGGGCCACATTTTTACGTAGTGTAGTGCGAATGCGGATGTCGCCCGTGAACTTCAACTTCTCCCCGCCATCTAGAAGTGTGAGCTGTATATCGTACGGCTTGACATCGTAAGGGGCAATGACGTCCGACAGCGTGACCCCCGCAGGTACTAGTTCTATCATTTGTTGGAAAAGAGATTGGCATACACGTGAGAAGGTTTGGGTATCTTGGAGGGTTCCAATGGTGGCGTTGTTGTCAGATCCAAACACTTTGCGATCAGAGTTTCTTTGACTATTGACTGAAATGCCCACCACGAGAGGATTTTTCGTGGTACCTGACACATATTCGGTAGCAATTTTACTGTCAAATGTTGAGGGCGTAGTATCTAGAGGGAGAGTTCCGGCTTGTACTATTTGCGGAGACTCTGGTGCATGTGCACTGCCCAATGTATGTCCGCATGCAACCAGCTGAATCATGGCAGTCTTGTTAAATCCCATTCTCGTAAACTGCTGTTCGAAGGTTTGTGCAGTGTTTTGAGGTTGGGGAACGCCTAATTGCCCTGATCCAGTAGCATCAACATGTCCACCTCGTATCGGTACTGGAAGACCACCGCAAGATCGGGTTGATGTATACACTGCGGCTGCGATCACGTCTGATAACGACGTCTTGCTCGATAGAAAAGAACCCCACATGGCTAGAGAAGTAGGGAAGGCTTTCCCGTCGCTCTCCCCATTAGTAAACTCGAATTGAAGAGAGCCATCGAGCCCACCCACTCTGGTGAAGGCGTTCCCGGTGGCCATGTCGTGAAACGCTGTCCTCAGCCATGCCGCTGAAGTGATGCGGCCAGTTTCAAACTCCTTGTTGCAAGGCGTAACCAAGGTCGCAAATCCAGAGGCACGATACCCCGAGGTGAGAAAAAGGATGTCTTCGAGTTCATCCGTAGATGCAGGCCATGTTGGTGCAGCAGAGCCTCCATATTGGAAGCAGGCGAGAAGAAGGCCGAGGGTGAAGGCCGACTTGGACATTGTGGTTGATTAGTATTAATTGTAAGGATAACAAACGAGAAGAAAGAAGCTGATGGCCGAGCGTAAGACGAAATACGAATACTCTGGCTGGGCAGATAAGTGAGCAACCATGCGACAAAGTGGAAGACCCTAGCAATAACACTGCGGGCGGGCTGTCTAGTCAAGGGTGAGATAACGACCAACAGCATGTGCTAAGGTTCTGGACCTGGGCATGAGCAACCGGCTACCGATGCAGGAGCTTGAGTATGATTCGATCTGTAAGAATCACGTCCAGAAGCACATCGACACATGAAATACCGCGGGAAGAATCAAGGGGAAAAGCAAAGTGCCGGACATGCCAACTCCTCAGCCGAACCAAATATTCTTCAAGCGAGACTGAGGCAAAAAAGTTGGAACGAAAGGGGAAGAAGCTCGAGCCATATCGATATCTCTTGCATAGATTAAGCGGTTGACGACAGGGTATAGAAGATGCGAATGCTCGTATTGGCGGCTGAGGTATGACCTTGGCCTGGTTTTCTAGCAAAGAAGGCTCTATCGCCGGAAGTAGTAGGTGAGCATATCTACCGCGATATCGATATTCTCACGAGAGATGGGAGATTCGGTTGCCGACACGATGGAAGCACATGAAATCGATACAATGTCGCATGACAAACGAATGGGCACGGAAGGCTCACGATGTACGCCACGCCCGCGCATGCATGCATGTCAACAAGTTGGATGGAGGATGAGAGGAGCCCTGTGGCGTGGGCCAAGCAGACCTGTGATTGGATGAGTAAGCGAAGCGGACGAGGATCGCTGTCCTGTAGAACCATCTGGATCTCGACCTCTTCTGTTCACCCCCACACACGGCCGGAAGGCCAGCGTCAATACCTATACCGTCAATACCTATACTTGAACACACATCTGCAGCATCTTTGTCAAGCACGACGTCAGGCTCCCGTATATCCTCCAGACGTCAAAGACGATATAGACGCAGAAATGAGGAGTCACCGAGGAAGAACAGTACTCTGCCTGGAGAGGACTCCATCCTAGAACAAATGCGACGACTACCTTCTCTGTTGCCTTGACGCTGGGAACCACGGCACGCACAACTAACATCAGATCCAGGCTACAATCAGAAAAGACACGGGAACGTCATATGATCACACATCTTCGTGTCACTGGATTTGAAAAGCGGAAACAATCATAGCGCTAACTGCCACTCGGGAACTGTCTATCAAAACCATGGTAAAGACTGTAACAACCTGACCGCACCACGACGTCCTTGTGGTTCTCTTGATACCCTACCAACAACTACGCACCAACTTGTCATACTACTTCCCCGCTTCGCGACTGGTTACCGTTGGAATCGCTCTCGAAGATATCGCGCTGCGGTCCGCTTGTCCACCCGCACTTCTCGTTGTAGCCGGGCGTAGCGGGGCGTTTGATGTCAAACATATTGTTACCGCTGTCTTGATAATACGCTATCATCTGCTTTGCGCCCTTGACACACTTGGATTTGTCGTCCGCGCAGTATACAGGAGGCTGGGCTTTGGCGACGGGGATGTTGGAAGATGCTTGTGTGACATTGCACTTGTACGGTTGCATGTACCTGTTTTTTTGATCATCAGCGACGCATTCTCCAACTCACTCGTGACCTTCGTGTGAATAACGGGGAAAAGCAGAGTCCCGTTTAACGGAAAGAAATGGATAGCACCCACAGGTTGGATTGTCCGCAGTTGTCAGGCACCCACAACCACGCACATGTACATCCTCCCTCCGGGCATTTGGGCAAATTCGGCACCTGATACGTCGCCATCCTCTTCCAAGGTGTGTGCTCTAGCACACTAAAAACCACCAAATTCTCCATAGTCACCTTCTCAAGCTCGCTCTCGTAGCTAATGGCCCACGCGGTGCCAGCAGCATTGGTCTCGTTGTACGTGTGCAGCGAGCCGATATAAGTATTGCACGGACTCCCCTCCCCTTCCCATGCGTCCCAATGCTCGGGATGCTGCTCACCGTCGGGCCAGTCGGTAGCATGTTTGCCGTCGTAGCTCAGCGTCGTGACACCGCGGTTACCCGCTAACTCGACGGTGAAGTTGCCGTTGGCAGGAAGTTCGAGAAATTCACCTGCTGGGGGTGGCGCGCGGTCGCAGCCGCGGTCGTGTTGGAACCACCAGTCTTCTTTGGGGAGATTGTATAGCGGGTTCACGGCGAGGTTTGTGTTGGTTTCTTCGTGTTCGCTGATGCCGTTACGGCAGTACATTCCTTTTGCCCATGCTGCCGTGTGCGCTGAGGCGAATCTGGAGAGGACCGCCGTCGCGAGTAGAGTCGTGCGAAGCATGATTGAGTAGTCGGTTACGTGGTAGAAATGAATGAATCGGTAAGATGAATCAAAGTAGTAAAATGAAACAATAACACGAAGAATAAACAAAGGCTTTGAAACGAGTGTAAGAAGCAGGGAAAAATATGATAAAGATTGTGAATACCCACCACCGCTGCGCTGCTCAATCTTTTTGTATAGACACGAACCGAAGCGGACTTTGCGCCTTCCCTTCCGCCTATAAGCTGAATAAATCATCACCCCGACCTACCCTACAGGAGATCCATCATCATGATCACCACCATCATCAACTCGACATAACAATCTTCACTGATTGCCCCTTGCAGGGAAGGGGAGATTTGGGGGCGCGGTTGACGAAGCCTTAGTAACACAAACTAGTCCCTCACAACCAAAACCCCGAAATTAGCTCTCCCGCTTCAGCTATCATGGTCAATCGGGTAGATGGAGGCAGATGTGAAGGATTGATGTACAAGTGCGATTAGAGGGAGAAGTAAAGAAGTGATGCAGCGGCATGAAAGATGGGAGGATTGAATGCATGATGTTTGATTTGATATGGCGCTAGACTGGGAACGGTGGTTGATAGAGGGAGGGTTGGGGACCGGGTGGCTAAGCTGAAAGGTTTCAATGTTTCAGAGCTAGACTGAAATGGAAGAGGAAATTGGTACTTTAGGTGAATGGGCATTGTCATTTAGAGACAATGTTTGACATGGATGTAGGGTTTGGTGGTGAAGAGGTGATGACGGTGTGAATGCGTAGGTGCTTGGATGAATGCTATTGCTAAAGGATTGAAGCGGGGCCAATCAATTGCTCGAGGTACGAGGGCAATGCTGTGAGTGAGTTGATAGTTGAAGCTATTTGTAACAGATTTCGAGGAATTTCTCCGTCAGAGAATGGTCAACATGTACCATGTAGGCATACATGTAGTGCTGTTGGTAGAAGGAGAGCTAAATTTAGCGGAGGGTAGTCGGCTGGCGTGGAGATCAGCCGGCGTCATTCGGTTGGATAGCGAGCGAGGCCATCTCATCTCATCTCAACCCATTCACTCACTCATCCATTCGTTCATTCCATACACACACACACACACACCGGTTTGTACATATTCCCCCCCTCTTTCTCTTCTTTAGATGCAGGACGCGGCTCCGCTTTAAGATCCCACTGGGGGTATTGTTGTTTCGCTGTTCCTGCACAGAATCCATTCATGCCGTAACTGCTGCATAACAAGCCAGTCACACAAGGACAAGGGGACACTATGGCGTCTCCCATGGTGGAAAGCCGCGTCGATCCTCACAAGAAAGCCCAGTATTCGCTGCACATCAGCGACCAGATCGCAGACGGCGAAGTCGGCGATTACACCAGTGTGCGCTGTACGCCTTTCCCCTCCTTCTTTCTTTCCCTTCCATGACCCTACATCAATCCATCCGTCTCGAGTCCCATGCGGCTAACCCCAACCCTCGGCCTCTGCAGTCAACCACAAGCCCGCCCAAACCACTGCATCACGCAACACCAAAATCACCTCGACCTCCCCCAACGACTACACCCTTCGCATTGAAGATCAGAAACCCTCCGACGGTCGCGATGTTTTCATCTTCACCGGCCAAAAGACCGTTCCCAAGCGCTCCTACATCCTCGTCTTCGATCCCGCTTCGCAAAAGGCCACCCTGGAACCGCTGGCCAATACCTACACATTCAATGTCTCGACCAAGAATGGCATCGACATGTCCTCCACCTACCCCAAGATCTATCCGCGGAAACAAAAGGATGACGCGCAGGAGCCAGCCCCGCAAGAGGACATTGACGATAGCAGGAGAGACGACGTGAACATAACCGCCGATGCGGAAAACCCCTTCGACTTCAGACATTTCCTCAGCAGCGGTAAGGACGCAAAGAACGGCGATGAATCAGAATACAACCGCGGCACAAGCTCGCCAGACTACCGCACCGGCACCGGCAGTGCGATGAACACACCCCAACTCTCAGCACGCAAGCCAAACACCACCACTTCCACAGTCCCCAAGACTAAAGCGCCCGTCTCCGCAAAAGCAGCACCCAAGGCCAAAAAACCCACCTCGACGGCCACAGTCGCAAAGAAACCCCCTCCGGCCGTACGCCTTGAACGCCGCGCAACCACCGACCCAAAAGCAAAAGCCAAATCCAAGCTCACAGCCCCCGCCCCCGCAAAACCAGCCAAACCCACAAAGAAAGCCGCAGCACAACCGCCATCCTCCAAGATCAAATCCGCAGAGATCGTCCACTCGTCCGACGACGAGTCTGATGCGGACGACGATGCGCCACCACCACCATCCCAAGAACCCACACAGACACAATCGCAGCAGCGCTCCCCATCCCCACAACCGCCACCCTCGCAACAAAACCAAACACACTCCCACGACGCGGCATACGATTCAGACGAAGAAGCCTACGACTCCGACTCGGCGCAATCCTACGACGGTGGCAGCGGTCTCGGCGGTCTGGAAATCGAATTCGAGGATCCAGATGAAAACGCTAGCAAACCCCGTGGACGACAGCAGCAGCAGCGGCACCCAGCCACTGCGGCGCGTCTCGGCTACCTCAATTCCCCGGCCAACGGACCGATTTCGCTCGCGAGCGTCGCTAGTTCAGTCGAAGGCACACCCCGCACGAATCGCGTCAAGGGGCGTCCTGGACGCGGTGGCATCGATGATGGGGTAATTGATTTCGACGAACTTGGTGGTGGCGGTGGTGGGGGCCACAGCGATGTTGAAGAGGAAGACGAAGATGAAGAGATGGAGGAGCAGGACGTGGATGAGAGAGATGACGTCGATGTTGAACCTATTGATATTGGACCGCCTGCTGCTGCGGCTGCTGCACAGAAGGGGCACGACGAAAATGATGATGCGGATGCGGATGCGGATGCGGATGGCGATGGCGATGGCGATGATGGCGATATGGAGGATTTGCTGTATAAGGAGGTCATGGAGGGTTTGGCTGGCGGGGACAGCAGCGAGGAGAGTGAGGAGGAATGAAGCGCTCTGCTTTTTCTTTCATCTTTTGTTAATTCTGTTTGTTCTTCGCCTTCTTTCTAGATACCCCCCCCCCCCCCCCCCCCCCTCTCTTATCCTACATACCCCCTCACCCCCTTCCTCCCGCTTTTTTTGCATCTTGCTGTGTCCCCTTTTTCTCTGTTTTGCTAGTGCCAGTCTTTGGACTTTTTTGTTTTTTTCTTTTCCCTAAAAAGAAGAATAGTTATCATGTCTTTTCTCTCTTTCCCCTCCTCTTTTTCTTTTTCTTTTCTAGCTATCAGCGTTTTTAAATTTCTAGGTTTATTGTGCTATCCCTCGCGGTGGAAATTTCCTGCGCTTCTTTCAGCAAGTAGAGGGAAAAACAAAAAAGGGGGGGGGGATAGGAGAAATAAAAGATCAACAGTAAATAGAAAAAAGGAATTTCGTCGAGTGTTTGAATTCGAGTCGATGTTTGATGTTGACAAATTTTAGTTTTTAGATGGCATCATGCTTATTGTTAAATGTGTTTTATATGTTTTTGTGCCCATGTTGGTGCTTTTTGGACTACTGACTGTAACGTTTGACCGCAATTTTCTTTTTTCTTTTCTTTTTTTTTCCTGGCTTATTATAGGAGGAGTTTGGAGAATGTTATGGAAAGTGGTAAGTCATGTGTGTGTGTGTGTGAAAAGTGTATGAAATATTGGAATGTTTGCGAGAAGAAGATGGCATGGCGGGGGTTTGGTGCTCTGTAATCTACTGGACTCTGAATCAGGAGTATGGAGGTGCTCGACATGCTTGATTGTGGATTGATTTTTCAGAGAGATTTCGCGGTTTTGGGTTTGGGTTACATGGTATTGAGGATCAGCCATGGTTCTCAATAATCTGCCATGTTAGTCTTGGGGGGTTCTTCACGACAAGGCGATTCATTAGGGTAGGGGCCCATCATCAAGCACGTAGAAAACAACAAGACAGAAAGAAAACGGTAGGGATGCAAGAACGGGATTGTTTTTTGTGTTTTGTTTCAGCGTGAGATTGTTTCTGTTTTCAAAAGCTTTTTTGTTCGGGAATTGGGCGCTCAGCTCAAGAACGCCCGATCACCAGAGCACAGGGCTTTCCCTCATTCCTCTTCTGTTTTCCCTTTTGGAATAACAAGAAGTCCGAGTATCTTTCCCTCATAAGTGCTTTGGAACGATTGATACGATTCCCGCAACTCTGAATCAAGTCCCCGCGCAAGAAAGAAACAAAACAAAAAAAAAGTAGTGGTGGTTGATGATTCCCTTGACAGTGTGCGTGTTTGTGCGATTGGACATGTGGAGGATTGGGTGAGTGCTTTTTCATATTTGAGATTTCTTTGGTCCCCGAATTGTTTTTCCTGTTCCCCGTGCTCCTACGCCGACAGATTTGAAAGAGAAATGCAAATATTTGTCAGTACAAGAGTACAGGAGGGTATGAAAAGGGGAAGAGTTCAAAGGTATGATGCGAAAGAGGAGCCGCGCAGCAGCATCTACCACTGGGAAGCGGGAGCAGCGGTGGTGTCGTTGGCAGCACCCCATCCCTCGTTGCCAGTCTCCACGGGGCCAGAAGCGGCGGCCCAGTCGGTGGAGGGCTCGGCGTCCCAGTTACCGCCCTGTGCGGCCTGGCCGGTGAAAGCACCGGGGTTGGCGCCAGAGACGTCCCACTCGGAGCTGAAGCCACCCTCAACGGCGCTGGGGCCGACCTCATCGGCACCGGGGACCTTGGCCTCCTCAACGCCAGCAGAGTCCTTGTTCTCCTCGGCTTCAGGGTCGCGGTAGAAGTACAAATCGGTCATGATGTCCCACTCAGCCTCGCGGGAAGCGAGGGTGCCACGAAGGCGGAGGACCTCACGGGCAAGCATCCACCAGACGAGACCAATGGCGTGACGGCCCTTGTTGTTGGTGGGGATGGCAACATCGACGTACTCGGTGGGGGAGTCAGTGTCGCAAAGGGCCTGTATTCCAATTAGCTACAATTCCTCTCTTCTACGCGGCGCATTGGTGTTCTACTCACAATGACGGGGATGTTGACGTAGGAAGCCTCCTTGATGGCCTGGGCATCGGTGCGGGGGTCGGTCACGATGATCAAGCGTGGCTCCTTGAACGAGCGGGTGATGTAGTTGGTGAAGTTACCGGGGGTGAAACGACCGGCAATGGCGACGGCACCGGTGTGAGCGGCGAACTTGAGGACAGCACGCTGGCCGTAAGGACGGGCGGAGATGACGCAAACTGCTCGAATCAGCCATATATTCAACCGCGCGCGAGATCTGAAGCTAGCTCCAAATTCGCCATCTCAGATCAAGAAAAAAAACATACTGTCGGCCGGGTTGTCAATGCCGACAATGATGCGGGCAGCGAGCACAATCTTCTCCCAGGTCTTGCCAATGTTGATGACATTGACACCGTCGGGGCGAGTCTTCCACAGGTAGGGCTCCATGTGCACCTGGAGGTTCTTGGATCCGAGGTGGCTCTGGGCGGCGAGGAGCATCTCGATGTCCTGCTGCGTCGGGTTGAAGATGGCGGGGAGGTTTGAGGGAGCCATGTTGACGGATTATAGAGACAGGCGACTGCTGTGGGTGGGTGCTGGTGGGATGCAAATGTGTTGGAGACCTAAGAATCAGACATGTCGAGGTGTCGCGAAACTTTTGGAGGGGGGATATTGATGTGCGGTCTAGCCGCTTTGGGGTTGGCGCTCTCGGAGCGGCGAATCTCTTCGGCGAAGATTTGGGAGAGCGATGCGTGCATGCATGCATGGCCATTGATGTTGTGTAGGCTGAGCATCAACACCAGCAGCCATGCCGCCACGAATACCCAATTCATGGTGCCTCCGGGCCTCCAGTGGTGCGTCCATCTTCACTGCAAACTGAACCATCAGCATCAATACTAATACGCAGGCAGCACCCCAATTCACCCTCCCTCTACGCCCCTTCTCCGCGACCACCGCACCTCTCGCAAAGTCATCTGGCCGCTCGAACAAGAAGAGGACTCATGACCCGTACATTCTCGCCCAGCAGGCCCGCAAAAAGGCTGCCAATCTCTCGCGTCGCGCCGATATAGAAGCTGTCCGCGTAGCTGCTATGGGTGACCCCGTCCGCGGCATCCCCACTCCCTTCGTCGAATCCTTCGCGACCGGTAAACCACCGCCTCCCGATCCCGAGAAGAAGACTCCCGCGGAAAAGGAATACCTCAACTACTCAATCAAACCGAATCTACTCAAGTCTCAGTTGAAACAGAGTGAGAAGCTTGCTGTACCTCTCGATCAAGTTAAGAAGGACGAGCGCTCCGCCCCCCGGTATCCATGGGATCAATTTAAACCCGCGTATGAAAATGTGGGACCCGCACCAGAAATATTGTCTGCGGAGGAAATAGAAGTGCAACGGAAAAAGGATCATGAACGCGCCGCTGAAGCCATTCAACGCATCACGGCGCTCGGCAATGGCAGCTCCAAGAACAGAATGAAGGTTAACGTTGCCCGCTGCATCGACACATTCGGCCGCCACAACACGGACCGCACAATGCCTCCCCGTGCGCCGCCTCTGCCGGCCGTCAATTCCAAGGACACTCATGCTCTCCGTCCTGCCACCAATGTCGCTGCGACTGCTAAGCGCATCGGTCCCGATACTGGCTCCTCCGAGGTCCAAATTGCCATCTTGACCGCGAAGATCAAGACTCTTGCAGACTTTCTGGCCACTAGGGGTAAAGGCGACAAGCACAACAAGAGGAATCTGAGGCTCCTGGTGCACAGGAGGCAGAAACTGCTACAGTACTTGAGGAGGAAGGAGAGGGGCGGGCCAAGGTGGCAGCATTGCATTGAGACACTGGGGTTGACCGAGGGCACGTGGCAAGGCGAGATCAGTCTGTAAATCTTGGATGCCTTTTGTTGAATGTATATGTATAGTGTATTGAGATGTAGGAAACTACCATGTAAAGGTTCATCGCGTTTGTACAGTAGCTTATATTCGAGAATCAAGATAGCGTTGCAAAGATCTCAAGCAGTATGTGTAATTGGAAACAGGTGCAGTGTACGATACGCAAGAGTCATAAAAAAATCTGATATGTGGAACATGGTCCCGCATCCCATAGGCGTTCATCCGTGGCCGGGACCGGAGGATTGATTAGCGATACCTACTTAAGTACTTAAGTACCCTTGAGCAATCATCGCGTCGCAGATTGTCACGCTGGTCTACTGTACTCCTTATCTTACCTCCATTGACAGCTATAATTTAAGAGGAACTCGACAGCTCGAGCTCGTTGTAGAAGATAAGAGTTATCTCTGGCGAATTTGGTACGCCATCCCGCACAACCCCACTTGACTCATGCAGGGTCCTTGACAACATCTACACATTCTACAGCTCACTTATACTGACCTGCCTCAGCAAACAATGCCTTCTGAATCCGAATTCCATCTATTCACCTCCCTTCGCTACGATCCTATTCTTCTCACCTCAGAGGAGAACTCCCAGCCATGGCTAAATTATGTCTCGCCTTCGCCTTTCTACATGCTTGCCTATCATCGCGATCGAATGCTCGAAGCAGCGCAGCATTTTGATTTCCACACTGTAGCAGAAAAACTTCAGAGCGGCGAATCACTGCATGAAGAGCTCTCGAAAGAAGTAAAAGAATACATTGAGAAAGGTGGACAAGATGAAGCCATGAAGGTATATGAGCCCCGCTCAGCGTGCGAATCAAGACACTAGTCAACAGTAATCAAAGAACGAGAAAATATCAAGAAACTTACAAATTCTATAGCTCCGTATTCTGTTCGATAAGGATGGAAACATGACGGTGGAATTTATGCCTCTCCCACCCGTCCCCCTTACAACACTCTACCCGCCGTCTCTCTCACCTCCAAACCCAGCTTCCCAGCGTCACCCCGCAAACACCTCTACCAATGCCCAACCAGACTCTACTGTCAGTCTGAGCTCTAATGATTCATCATCTCTCTCCAAGCCGGATCCGCCAGAATGGGTCTTCCGACTCGACACTGCAGCAACGCCATCAACCCCCTTCACGCTCCTCAAAACAACCTACCGCGACTTCTACGATCAGTCGCGAAACCGTGCTCTCCCCAACAACCCGCAAGGCCAGGCTTACACCGAAGTTCTCCTCTACAATGAGGTCTCGGAACTCACCGAGGGAACTATGACTTCGTTGTACCTTTTCCGTGGGGGTCGCTGGGTGACCCCGCCGGTAGGCGTGCCAGTCGGCGAGTTCAATTCGTCAACGCTCAAGACGAGTGGCGATGGAAATAAAGACGCGGATGAGGGTGAGTTGAGAAAGCCGTTTGCGGGGAGGTGGGGACATAGTGTGAGGAGTGCTAAGGTTGGGGCTGGAGGTCAGAGGGGAACTAGTCGGAGGTGGGCGCTGAAGAAGGGGTTCTGTATGGAGGAGCCGGTTAGTGTGGATACGGTGACTGTTGGCGAGGGCGTTTGGGTTAGTAACGGGGTAAGGGGCTTTGGGTTTGGGCGGGTTGTCGAGTAGGTCGGAAGGTGATGTGGGTGTAGTTGATGTGGATAGTCCATCTTCTGCACATCGCTGTGAAGTTTCTTGCTTTGGTAGATCTCTAATCCTGATACACGATTGAGCTGTGCTACTGTGCTACATCATCATTCATCCGAGAAAAACATTGATGGATTCCCTACACCCCATGGAAAGAAGAAAAAGAAACGTTAGATATACTGAAAACCTACAAAAAGCAAACCCCTAGACCATAGGCTGAACCCACGTAGGTCGCGACGTCTGTCCAATAATAGAAATACATCTACATCCTAACGACAAAGACCCCCATTCATCCTGCCAAGCGGCCAACCTCCCAGTCCCCATCCCAATCGTGCACATAACATCAACACCACACATAATCAAATCATTCTCATCATCCGCAATCATACCCCTCGCACCACAAGTCGCGCAATGCAGCTCCATGCCCAGCCTTCCTGCTTTATTAATTGGCGCCGCATCGTCGAGCGCAGTGATCTTCATCGCATTCGAAAGCGTAAACTTGGTAGCCGGGAAGTACTCCTGAAAATTCCCCGGTTCGTTGAAATAAAACCCATTCCCGTAGAGCGGATGCGTAGCAAACACGGGCGACTTCCCCTTGAGATAGCGCTGATCGTTATACATGGGCTGACGATCCGGCCAAGTCGCAATAGCGAGTTTCTTAGTCAAAGCCCACGACGCGCGTTTCTTGTACTCGTCTCTGGTAAGACTATCCACTTTCTGCTTCTTGCTGAGCTTCTGCCAGGTATTGGCGCGACTGGACACGAGCGCTTCCATGACTTTGAGCGTCTCGAGAGCGGTATCGACGCGCGGGTAGTGAGGGTGTTTATTCTCTTTCCCGCATTTGGGGCACGCGAGGACGTTGGATTGGAAGTCGCTGAAGGGGATCGCCCAGTCTCCTATCCGACTGTTGCATTTTTCGCAGATGGCGGGCATGCTGCGGGGTTTGACTTCGAGGATTGGGTTGGAAATGGCGTTGCCCGCCAGGCCGGTCATGAGGTGCGAAGTGCTGCCCCATCTGTTTGTATCGCTGCGGAGGACTCTAGTCGAGGACGCTCCCCCGTCGAATTGGCCTCGGAATTTCGTGGGACAGCGGGCTTCGAATTCTTTCATGTTGCAGGGTTTGGATGAACTGGGTTTTTTGGCCGAATGCCCGAATTCTTCGCAGATGATACACCATAGGAAACTTGCTGGCTCGGGTGGTCGTTGTATAGAGTGCATCTCCATGACGAGCTCGTCCATGTCGTTTTCTTCGTATATAGCGTTGTAGTCCTCCTGCTGGTTCACCCAAGCATCGATGAGCTCAGTGATCTTGGTATGCCACTTCGCTTTCCCCTGTACCGCCGAGTTCGACGTGCATGCGGCTGTGGTGTGGTTGATGTTCGAGCAGTGCCAACACCATTTGAGGACTTCGTAGGCTCGTTGGATGATCTTGATGAGCTGTCTTCTGAACTCGGGCGGTCCTTTGCAGTCGTCGAAAACGTGGCTGCCGTCCCCAGCGTCCTTACACCACTGACAGATCTTGCCTTGTCCTTCAGCAAGTGCAGCATCTCGCTTTTCGGGATCGTTACCCCACGGGCAGTGATGGTTGTTACGGTGGTATGTGCAGCCGCAATTGCACTCTTCTCCCTCGGGAACCTCAGTAGCGCGACAATGTTTCTTGTCGTGGCCTCGATTGCCGCACTGAAGACACGGTTCGCTGTTAAACTGCTTGTTACCCTCTCCGTTGTGTTTACTGTTGTTTTTCTTGTTGACCCTATTGTTGTTGTCCTGTATCTTTCGGCAAGATTTGATGTCGTGTCCGTTCATGTGGCACTTGGTGCAATACAAGTTCTGTTTGCCACCTTGCTTGCCCCCACGTTGACTGTTCTGTTTCCCGCCCCGATTTCCTCCCTGATCCCCATTTCTATGCTTCTTGTTTTTCCCCATGAGGAGACGTGTGCCGAGATCTCGGTGTGGTTTCGCGTTCAGTGAGGAGAGGTCGTAGCGATGGATTCGAGAGTGCGTCTTGCCATCCGTTCCAAGACAAAGAAGTGGACGTAGAGACCTATTTTACGGTGTTTTCGTCCACCAATAGTATTTGTAAGGCGTTTAAATAATTCTTTGTGCGGTCGACAGCCTTGTGACTCGTTGCTATGCTAGGCTCAAGGTTGCCGCCTTACCGAACATTCCTGACGCCCCTCCACAACAAAGAACATCGCGAATTGGATCGAGTGCAGACATTAAGACTCCATGCTCTCTTTGTTAGAAGAGAAAGCTTCTAGCATGACCTACAGAGTTTTCCATTCAGCAATGGAAATTCCGCATCCGGCCATTCGTGCGCTCGCTCGCAACTCTGGCACAACACTTAGTGTATCGTATTTCGGCCATGGATGGAACATTGTGCAGAGGTTTCGATCGTTTCCATAAAGTGTTATAGCGTATACAGAAATATAGTTTCCCCGTTTCCTGCCCTTCGCTTTTGTTTCGGTTTTATCAATCGCCATGACCTCATATCAACGTAGATCAAGCAACGAAAAGTTTGAAAGGGGGGATTCCTGATGAGAGATCTGGCTCGAAAGTCTTGAAGAAACCCCGATCATACTGTGCAACCATTCCATCAAAGTTTTGTCAAACTGGACACGCACTTGAAGTAGTGATAGCACAAAACGGAAGGCCACTGTGATTGAAACCCTTCGCCAGACCAATCAAATGGTCTCTACGTCGAATTTAAGGTCGATATTCATCATATGCTACTTCTTTTTTCACATCCACTGGCAATAGCCCTTGCCGAAAGATACCATCGGGGCACTGTTTCAGCGGCCGGACCTGCGGACTGTTTTTACGAAGGAAAAGGAAGTTGAGAAGGATCGGTTACTGTCTGTGAAGCTCAAGTCCATTCATGTAGGATTTCAGAGACTTCTTACGGCAGTAATTTACGAATTAACACAAACCAAACCACTTCTGACGATAAGCCCAGAATCTAGAACGGCGAAGTCGTATCAAGATGCTACGAAAATCATCCCTCTATGAAGCAGCTGAATCTGCAGAAACTCCGGTAGGATTCAGTCAAGGCGAAGAGCTTGGATACTGGTCTCTTCCATTTGGCCAGCATCTCCTCGGCATTCATCTTGTCCTGGAGATTTGCCATTTGAGCTTTTTGTCCCGAGCAGCGGTGTGAGTTTCATGTGCTCGTACACGGTACCCTCAACAGGAATGATATTATGTCTGGATATTTTCACTCTACCGCCACCTATAAACGGGGGCAAAAACGCAGGTGCAAGGGTGCGAGCTGATGGGCGGTGACCCTTGCTGTGAGGCCGAGTAAGTTACCGAGCGAAACCTACCTCTGCGTATATAGTCGGCTACTTATTTATGTAAGGATGCTTACTTTTTCCTGTTCGGTTATCGAATCGTGTAACGAAGCTTACATGCTTATAGCCATTAAGCGTCCATGTAGCTCACTGTAAGCCCACTGTCATCGCTTAAGTTCAGCCCTGTGAGATCATGTCTCTCGTACACTTTATCCCAACTAAGATGACATATCATGGGTCTCACTGATGTAAATTGGTAGAAAACGGCCCCAATATAGGACATAGCTTCTAAATTCATTCTGACATTACCTTCCCAAATTATCCCTAGCTTACAGGACATACTGAATTGCTAGTAGGCGAGGAATAACCACGAGACTACTTTCATATTATCAGTGCGATGGATACCCTGTCTAATTTTTATGGTTTCAAATCGCCCTCAAAAGACTTTAGCTTGAAGTCTAGTAAGGAAGCATCAGTTTGAAGCAAAAGTATAGTTGTCGACTTTGGCACACTCGTTGCAATGATTCGATGCTCTCTTGCTATAAAAAGTGCTGTAGTAGAAGAAGAAAAAGCACAAATCTAATATCGAGTAGAGACTCACGAGTTGCAAGTTACAGTGATAATAGACTGTTATAACTTCTAAATGAATCTTGTTACAAACATGTCAACTATAATGGAAAATGGTCCTAAGGGATTGTAGGGGTAAACGAATGATGTAAGCTATACGATGTCGAACAGCAATTTTGTCCCAAAGAAGACACTTGATTGATAACCTGGGATCCAGATGCATGAGAATACATCTCCGGCTCCTTAATACGCTATGACCGTCATCTGTGGAAAGTCCAACCTGTACGGACATTAGCGGTCAAGTACGCTCAGGTATCGGCTATGTTAGACTGTGATGCGTATTGCCGCAAATCTAACGCCTCAAAGACAACTATATAAGCTGCCTTCCATCTCGCCCAAAAGTGCTATCCTCACCTCTGCAACACATTCACTTTCTCCAATCTTACTATCGCTACCACCAGCATCTTTTCCCAGATACCAAAACTGTCAACATGAAGGCCACCACCATTATCGCTCTCCTCGCCCCTTTGGCTTCCGTTCAAGCCACCTGCTACCGCAGCGGTCACGTCTGGGGCCCTAATTTCAATACCGCCATGGATGCCGCCGCCCGGCTCTGCAACGATGGAGCGCTCTCTGGCTCTTTCAATGCCAACGGCGTTAAATCTGGGTGCCAGACGCTCGAGAACAACGTGAGGGCTCAATACCAAGTCACTTACATTGGAGGTGGAACGTCTGTTCTGAGCCCCGAAGAGTGCAAATTCCGCCTCCAGAATGAAATTGGCGGCTGCGAACATGGTGGTCAGAGTGACGTTGGTAGCTGGCGCTTCAGGTATGTGCTGATTCGGCATCTCGATATAAAGTGCGATGACAGGTTACTGACTGTTATATGATTAGCTCCGACCCCAACTCCGGCTTTTGCTAGATTACTGAACCTAGCTCGACCGAGGAGAATGTCAAGGGTCACATCTTGCTCAATCCAGAACCCGTTCGTCATGGGTCAATATTGCCTGCATCTCGATAAACCTGCCAATAAAGGAGAAGGACAATGTTGGAGCTTGGGCTGGAGACAACCCTTCTCTTTTCACAGCTCAATTTGATAGCTTTAGCTAGTACTGTCGTTACCGAATCAATAGACATATTATCATTCCATTGAATCAAGCGATAAAGCATTGAGAGTATGCGTAGAGACTGACCAAACCTGATCATGTTGATTTCTCGCACCATAAACTAGTTTTCGTCGTCCTAGACGTTGAAGTTTTCCATATCAATCGATAGATCCGGCACAACCTGCGTATGGTATAAGATATTTTGAATCACCGTCCACTACTAGCGGACTCTCTAGATTCATGGTTTTGGGAAATTAATTAATGAAACCTTCATGCACTTATTTAAGTTCGATTGAAACTACAATATAACGCATAGCGAAAACATGTAGAAGACCATCATGCTGATGTTAGATGTCAATATACGCGAGGTCTGGCTGATGCCAGCGTTACTAGCACGGGTGGTCCATCGTGGTAGGAGAGGATTTGCAGTCTTTATCGTGCATGTTTTTCAGTATTTATGCCACATAAAGATGCGATATGTTCGCAACACAAGTGAGGATCATAGGATGATATCTTGTGGTAATGCTGCGAATGGTTTGACTTGCGCGTAATTTATAGACTGCCGGATTCTGGGATAATAAGGAGATGCAGACGCCTTCTAATACATGCGGTAGACTTCCAATGACCTTTTTCGCTCAGCGAATCCAGTGTCCAGATGGGTTGAGTCACGCAACATAGTATGGAAGTTTTCTGCCCGGGGCCCGAAGACAGATTTTCACCCGTGCGATTCACACCAAATGTTCGTGCAACAATAAATTGCGATGATCACGGCTATTACAAGGTATATAGGATTCTTAGATCGGTAAGGCGAGAAACTTCCCGCTGCCCCACTGATGCAGCATCTGGACGTCGGGTCTTGTCGTACGCGCGCAGCATCAGAAGGTATATATAAACCAGAACAAACACGCCGCATAAACTATAAACACATTCAGACATCCCTGTCACTCAATGCGCAGAACTGAATTTCTACATAAAATTAAGTCGCTATTTGCCAGCGAGGCCAGCCTTCACGACACTTTCTGTGCCTTATTCTGTTTTGACCTTTTGCTTGTCCAGTGTGATATCATGCCTGCAGTTTATAATATTGCTAGTTTTGTCAAAACAGTCCCCAAAAATGCCGTCTATAGTATTCGTATCTTCCCAAATACTGTTATTGATTCGAAATGGAGTTTGGATGATCCTGCACACAGCGATAATTGCAACGATGAATAAACCAAAAAAAAATAAAAATCGAGCGATTACCAAGTACAGTAATCCGCTCTTATAGCAGTAACTCCCTCACAATTCATATCTCCGATCTGGCGCAGCCCCTGACCATATCCCTGCACGCGTAATTTCTGGCTTTTCTCCAAGGCCGCCAGTGATCATTCTACCTAAATCAGCCTTTGATTTTATCTCCTTGTTACCGCTGTTGCTAGTCTGGGCGTATACTAAAAGCGTCTTGCCAATCAGGTGTGACATAGCATGTCTTGGCCATTAAGAACTTGGTACCTATGTGGTGATGATGTTTGTGCGTTACAAGCTAGACTCAACCTTCCCGCTGAGGTTTTCTGATCACTTAAAATCTACGATGTTTCATCAATATGGCACGATACTGAAGTTTAATGCCTTACATACATCCTTAAGCAGGTCAAAGACGAGATGAACGCCTTCGGCAGAATCTCATATAGTCCAAATCTCCCAGATCAGGTTTCTCATATCCAGCAGTTGAGAGAGAGAGAAAGGGGCGAACAGAGAAAGACTGTGGTAAAATGGGCCAAAATCATGAGTTTCATCAGTTCATTTCGCGAAAATGTTGGCGTGTGTAAATAAAGGTCTTTACGCCAGGAAGTTTTAATCACCGTAGAAGATCCCAAAAGAGCAAAAGGGGTTATTGGCAGTTGTACCTATTGATAACAACATCTTCTCAGCAATGGCTTTGATGGCGAACGCTGATTCGACTAATATTCGTAGACTGCACTAAATAGGATCTTACATGGAAGCCTCACGTGCGGTAAGTCAGACGTGATCGGTGGCATCCTTCTCGGCCTTTCAGGTGCCTCAAGCTGTTATCCCTTTTTCCATAACAGTGAAACAATGAATCTTATTATTTTTAAGCACTGTCGGATTGGTAATTGGGGCTGCGCGTTAATGGTTCATTTGGTACATAGGATCTAAGCCACTATTACTGATCGCTACCGCTGTGTACCTCAGGCAGGATTTTTGGGACTAATATTCCATTCCATGCTTATTTGTAGATCACTTATGGTTGGTATTTTCGGAGACTTTTAAGACTTTTAAAAACCTGCTCACATCTCCCTGTGCCCTTCCTGGATGTTGTGTCAGCGGGGATTCCATTGGCTTTTGGCATCGGACCTTTCGGATGCCATGCGCAATGCGAAGTACATCATTTACCCCAACTTTTCGCTTCCACTCAGGGGTCAGGCTGACACGGTAACTTGCAATGGCTGAGGTAGAATCGGATGTCTGGTTGATCCGACATCTTCTGATGTGCTAACTTGGGAGCCGTTACGACTCAAATTTTGCCATGCATAATCAATCTTGCCGGTTATCTACGTGTAATCATTTAACCTAGAACTCTTTATGGTCACCCTGAATTTTAATTTGACTGTAGACTGTTTTTCCCCGCATCGTATACTGTAGGAATGTGCTACACTGTCTCACGAGTTGAGAGGCGAGTCAGTTCTCGGATCAGCAATTCTCTCAGTACCGGCTTATCCCTGCAGCCCTATAGCCTATTAGGCCCCCTTCCGTATACGCTTAGTAGCCGGCGCCTCTGATATAATTGAAATCGAACCAATCAAAAATTACATCACTCACATTTTTTTGTCACATGTGCGTTCAGTACGCACGAGAGGGCTTGACTTGGAAATGCTATTCAAAGTTCCTCACCTCAGAACCACTCCGAAGGATTCCGACTGACACTGGCTCTGAGTAATGTAGAGACTTGGAAAAAAATTCTGTCTCTGGAATGATGGTGGTGGGAGCGCATAGCTATATATTGTGATACGATTCTCTTTCTGAGTAACATTCTCTTCAGCAGCACATTCATTTCTTCGCCTTTCGGCGTTGTCGTTCACTTTAAACACACTCGTTTTGTACTTGACTACACTACTACGCTCATCACATTCACTTAAGTTCATCTGACGCTCAAAATGCGCACACTGAGTCCGATCTTGCTCGCCCTGCTCTCAGGCGCCTATGGGGCAAATGCAGTAAACTGCAACCCTCACCAGCTTCGTTCAGAGGATGAACATTCCGGAACCCAGCTTGCCGAAGAGCTTCTTGGAGCCTTAGGTACCATCTCGGAAGGTCTATGCAAAGAAAATTCGGTTAAGCGCGATGTCGACACCCGAGTCTTCGAATACGACTCTTTGGTCTTTACCATATCGCAAGAAGACTCAAAATACGCCGTCACAGATTGCAGCGCTCCATTTTCCGATATCATCTCTGAATGCATTTCCGAAGCTAGCTATTGGGGTGGAAGCACTTCTTTCCAAGGCCTCAAGTATGAGATATACAACAAGGAATACCCCGCCAATGTTATAGGCACAGCGACACTGGTGGCACGAGCGAGGACTACCAAGAAAACCACTACGAAAGCATCCTCGACTAAAACTACTTCCTCAGCCAAGACTTCAAGCAGTACGAGTAAGACTACGTCCTCATCGAAGACTTCCAGCAGCACTAGTAAGACAACTTCCTCATCGACAACTTCAAGCAGTGCCAGCAAACCGACTTCCTCATCAAGGTCTTCAAGTAGCGCTAGCAACTCAGCTTCCTCGTCGAAGTCGTCTAGTAGCACCCGCAATTCTGCTTCAACCACAGCGTCTTCGAGTGGTTCGAGCAAGTCTTCGTCGATAACAAGATCTTCAAGCGGTAGCGGCGTCTCTTCTTCGACAACAAAGTCTGCCAGCGCCACAGGCAACTCGAGCTCCACGACAAGATTCTCGAGCTCTGCATCCAAGACTTCATCCCTGTCCGCTTCTTCCAGTCCTTCTATCCTGGGATGTAAGCCAAGGAGGAGGACATCGACCACGTCTAAGAGATCAGAACCAACTGAGGTCTCTGCCCCCCGCCACGCCCGCGACTTCTCCGTTTCGAAGTCTTCCACAAGTCAGATCTTCAGGCGCGCCGGGCCTCCCCCTCCTCAATGCCAGGACGATAATGCTGGAGAAGACCAGGGTTGCTTTACTGTTCAAGATGCATCTGGCAATGCTGTGCACTTCGCGCTTCCAGCTGGAACCACCGATTTCGGGGGTGGCCTTGGAGCCGGCGAGTTCGGAGGCGTTACGCAATGCATCCGCAAGGACGGAGAGGACATTGCCGTCAAAGTATACAAAAACGCCAATTCCAAGGGAGCAGAGAAAAGCTTCAATGTTCTCAAGTTGCTGACCGGAAGCGGGAACATCGTGAAAGCATTTGGACAAGGTAAAGTACAAGGGAAGCCGGCCTTGGCTATGGAGAATTTGGGCGGCGGTAGCGTCAAGTCGCGGATCCCGTCGGGAGAATGGAAAGGAAAGGCCAATGAGAGACAGTTCAAGGCGGTTGCACAAGGGATCCTCAACGGAGTCTCGGACATGCACGCCAAACAGATTGCGCACATTGATATCCACGAAGGAAATGTCGCTTTCGACGGCGATAAACCGAAATTCGTCGACTTTGACTTCGCGTGCCAAAACCAGGACTGCCTGAATTGGGTTCCGGCAGATGGGCGTGCTCCTCCTGGTAAGCCTAACCATCTCGCTTGTTGCGGTTACGATTTTGCTAATACGATGTATAGAGGCCATTGAGGACACTAAAGCGGTGATGGACTTTTTTAATAAAGGAGGACCTCCTCCACCTAAATTGTACATCAACCCTTTTGCCAACGACGTGTGGACGACCGCGACTATGCTCATCTACATGACGACTGGCTCCAAGACTCCAGCCACAAACAGTAATCGTGCATTTAAGAACGCGTGGAGTGAACTAGATCTGAGCAAGCGCACTACACTTCTTTTCAAGGTCTTCACCAAGGAGAACTTCTCGTACGAGTTTGTCGAATTGCTTGCAGGTGTCTTCACGAAAGAAGAAAACCGAATCAAGATCAATGAGTTCCGCGATAGGTTCCGCGATTTGGACAGTATCTACTGTTAAGACACCTGGATTCACGTTTGATTGGTTTGGTAGAGGCAGTCAAGAGATGCATGAGTCGAGAGATAGAACCGGAGTTGGTGGTTATTCTATTTGCATAGTCAGTTCTTCACTTCTTCAAGCTGTGCCCAATCAGCCCAGCGCTTTTCACCCTTTTTTTTATAGAACCCTCTACTATCAATACAATGTTTCAGTTTCTCCACACACATACATGAAATAGAAACTCCATCACTTCATAGGCACTTGATTCAATCATCACACTTCGATGCGGCACAAACAATAGGTGTAAAACCATACGATAAAAACTGTCTTCAAGCCCCAATCAGGACACATGTCCCATAATCACCACGAAACTGATGTTTTCTCAATGGATAATCCAACCTGAAATTCCACCGCTTCACTCCACAACAACATACGTAACTATCCAAGAACCACTCCACCCCCATCTTGAACTCCATCCACCCCTCCAAACCCCACTACTCCACCACCTCCCCAGGCTGCACCATAGCATCCCCAATCTCTTCCTAAAACAGCCTCTCATTAGTCAATAATCCCTTCCACCAGCCCCCCAAACCCTCTTCCCCTCTATTACCCAGATAGGATTCTCAAAAACATACCTCACTAAGATCCCTCGGAATACTCAACACCCACTCCCCATCCTCAACCACCTATTTCAAAAAATCATCAACACAAAAATCCCCCTCGAATATCATAATCTCACCCATCCTAAAGCCAGAATAGAGAAAGAAAAAAAGAATACATGGTCGTTCAAGAAGAGCAAGGGGGAGGGGAACACGCACCACATCCCATTTCCCATTTTCCCCGAATAAGCGGATGAGCAGGGCGCGCAGTTTCTTGGGGTGGATGAAGCGGTTCGAGATTGTTTGGCGGTGCTGCATGGTGTGGTGATGGGCTGCGGGGAGTACGATGATGATGATGGGGGTTTGAATTAGGTGCACGGTTCTGGAGTACTAGGGTTCAGCTGTTGGAGTTTGTGTTTCTTATGTGAGATGTGATGGGGCTGCAGCTGAGCAAGGGGTTATGTAAGCTGTGCAGGCTTGTACGAAAGTACATAGGTACATACATGGTGTGTACACAGGCGGGGAGGCGGTGGAACATGGTTACGTGGGTTTTGTGGGACTCTTTGCTTTTTTTCTTTTCGTAGGAATAATCTGCGTTATAGGTATTTCTAATTAGTGTATAAGAAATTGGAAGAATGATATGTAGAAGGGGGGGTGATTTGGGAAACTGTCAGTTTTGCTATTATAGTGATGGTAGATGGATGGGAATGAAGCCCAGGTAGAAACAAGGAGAATGCTATATATTGGGTATACGCAGTAACACCGCACGTAACGCATCCAACCCACTTTTAGTTCCATGCCCGCAAAAAACCTCAAGCAGGGACAAAATCGCCCATCGATAATCACCATATCCACAATCGCCCCTTGAAAGCAATCAAAAGGAGAACTCGGATGCGATTCCCATCGCTCAATCCTTCCACTTATCCTAATTCAAAAGCTCGCCTCCACTGCGGCTTTTGCCCTTCTTTCTCGACGATCCATGGTCGGCAGGGCCACTACTTCTCTTACGCTTCATCTCCCGTTTCCGCTTCTGTTCCTCGGCAATAACCTCCCTCGCTTCTTTGAGCTCAAATTGTCGTTCTTCCTCCTTACCCTTCTCCAGCAAGTCGGTGTACCTGCTTCGATACTGATCACACGCCTTTTTCTCCTTAGAGCCTTTGGCGTGACTGTGAACAGTACACCAACGCTCCAGCACAGCTACGTCATCACCAGTTGTAAACGAGCAGCGTACAAGGTTGACACTATGCAGAAATGCTGCGAGGCCCTCAAGTGGCATATTGGGATATTCTTTGCGGAGGTCAGACCAAGTACCATCATCACTTGTGTCCCAGAGGAAAGCAAAGATGATGGCGAGCCATTGACAGAGCGGTTTTGTAGCAGGAAGGTATTGGAACGCTTTGACTGCAGTTTCAATGTGCGGCATGTGTTCTCGTTGGGCTTGATTTGTTGTTTGGAATGCGAGGAGGAGTTTGTATTGCAAGGCCGGGGAGGGTATGTGTTCAGCAATGATGTAGAGGTCGACAATGTTGAGGTAGTAGTTGAAGAGCTGGTCGTCAATTGTGACGTCGGAGGTTTCTTTTCGAAAGATTTGGACTGATTGCTTCAGTTCCCAGTGGGAGTAGATGCCGGCGATTGTTTCGGGATTCTGTAATGACAAGCCGATTGATTCAGCAATGGTTGTAGGGGTTGTAGGGCTCGCGGCAATGTGGGGGTCCAAGGAACTTTGACTAGACGGCGGAGTCGAAAGTGTGCTTGAAATCTCGCTCGAAAGTCTGCGTGTCGTACTTGTGCCGCGAGACACTCTTGTTTCTGGGGAATTGTTGGATTCTGGGGTAGTATGATTCTGGATGATAACACCAGGGAAGGTCAGATCGAGATGGCGTCGAACTTCAGGAGTAACGTCGTCAATGGTAAATGTTACTTGATGGACGCAAGAAGGGATAATATCCTGCTTTATATCCTCCCACGAAATGGGTTCTTCTTCGCCGGCCGGCTCGGGCGCGGGCTCAAATGTCGGCTGGTATTCTTCTGTCTCGGCTTTGCATATGGAAGTATCTTCCACATGAGCCTGTTCTGCTACCGATATATTAAACAGCCGATGTTTGATCTTCAAGCCAGCATCAAGACACTCCCCCAGTATCTTTCTGGTGTCAATGTGATAGAGCCCCAAGTCATGATCTCCCTTCCAGGCCGAGAGTCTCAGAGTTTGGGATGCAAACCCATCGTCAGGGGGTTTGGAAAGTTGCTGCTGTCCCTGCTCCCGCAATCTTTCGATAAGACTGATCTCAAATCGTGTGAGGGGATACTGTTGTGTTTCTGGGGACTTGTCTCGCCCATCCATTGCAGCGACAAGTCGTGGAGCGACAGGCGTGAAGCCAAAATCGGTATAGTGAAGCCAGATATGATGCCAGAGAAAAGAGAGATCTGCAGTATATGGAGAAACAATTTAGATGATACGTTGATCAGCCGTCAAGCGCTTGCGAGTGATGGTATCAGCCGGGACGTAGTCGGTACACGAGCTCAGCCAGCTGATGGAGGTGATTAAGAGATGCGGACCAGCCTATCCTTCAGATCAGAGAGAGCAGCGATAGGAACAGGTCAGAAGGGCCAGAGAGCGAGGTACCCAAGTGTTGAATGAAGGCAGGGAAAAGAAGAAAATCAAGTTGATGAGGCCGACGAGATTGCCTGTTTGTGAAGGCGGGAGGAAAGGGCGGGTGGATTATGGACATTGCCAGATTAGGAATTAGCGCTTCGCTATTCGTTGTTATTGTGACACCCGCGGCAGCGTGCTTGCTTTTCAGCCACGTCGTATTGTCGTGAATAGAACAATAGGACCGAGAATGTGATCAATCATCAATTTACGTGAATGATTTATTTCCGCCTGATACAATACCCTTCTGTCCAATGAAGTGTCAAGCATTACACGCAGCTAAATCGCTAAAAGAGTTTCAGATATTTAGAAGTTACTGTAAAGGCCGTTCGAGATGAAGAAAATTGATGATTAGTGAAGCTATTCGGTGACACTCAGCAGTTAAACATCAATATTTAATAACTTCCCTTTGTTTAAGATCATATGGGAGATCTGCGCACACAGTTGACCAAAATGAGAGCACATGCTGTCACACAATATGGACGGCATCCTGATGGGCCACATGCCCATACTCTCACATAGACGGGCGAGCGATGACAAAAGACCCATCATATAGTTGCTAAAGTATTTACGGTGCAAATCGCAGATCTAAAAAAGGAATTGAGATTCGAGAGAAGAAAAACACCATATTTACACCAAGAGAGCCAGGCACGCATGTTGTGAACATTCACGTGTCGATTTGGATCGTTGAGTTGTGGTGTTGAGGCCTTCGTTGACCCAATTGTCACTTAGCTATCTATAATAATAACTTATTAGTTTTATAATAACTATAAAACATGTGTTTTGTCTAGAGCTTAAAAGCAGATTTATTATGTTTTTAATACTAATTGTTTGTGCTGCATGGAAATGCAATGAATTGCCACTACGCTAAGTAGTAAACATTCTCACAAGACAAACCACGACGGAAAAAACATCCCAATGTACCTCCTCTATCATCTCAATACCATAGCGTAGCCCCTCCCTAACACCAACAAACACATCGTTCTCACACCCACTTCTCTATAGCCCGAATACAGACCTCAACAACCTCCTCAGGCTGAGTGATAAACGGACAATGGCCCGATGCCAAATCCACAACATCCCACGCCACTCCACTCTTCTCAATCCACATATCCTGAAGAAACGAAGGATTGCACTGATCGTTGACAGTCCTCAAATACGTCCTGTACCCATCAAACTCCGATTCAGCCCAAGCGGGCGCAGGCCCCGGAGTCTCGAACGCCGCAAGCGCGGTGGGCGTCATGGCCGCCTCCAACTGCGAGACTAGCTCCTGCGACACAGTGTTGGGACTGTAAAGCGTCTCGATGACAGGAGAGATGACAGCAACACCATTAGACGGCTGCACTCATCGTCAACACCATTCGTCTATCTCGATCCTCACATAAGAGACGTACTTGATCTTGTTTGATGAACGGAGGATACGACCCGCCGACTGCTTGCAGCAGAGTTTCCCCCTCGCACACTATATTCCCCACACAATACAGCATCCCGACAACGCCTCCTGACTTACCTGCGGCCGAACGAGAGGCTTTGCTTAGGCCGGCCGCGGCGCCTCCACCTACGACTCCGCCGTATGAGTGAGTGAACATGACAACGTCTTTGCCCTCGTCGAGTAAAGGTAACACATGTCTATCTCGCGTCGCCTGCGCGTCTTGGGACGCAGAGGCTGTTGCTGGTTCGGTCGGGTTCAGACTCGGGACGTATGCGTAAGTGGTGGGATAGCCAGCTTTTTGCAGTTGGGCGGAAAGGATATCGAAACAGGAGGGGTCGGCGAATGCGCCGGCGAAGAAAAGGATAGTTGGGAGTGGCATTTTGTGTTTGGGGATGGATGGGTAGATAGAGATGTTGAATGGGTGGGTAGTGATGAAGGGATGTTTGGGGCAGATGAGGGGAAGGAGGGATTTTGGAGGTGGTGGAGGTAGATAAAGGAAAAAAGGCAAGATGGATAAAGCGAAGCGGCGTAGTCGTGAGTTTAAGATTGAGGTGAGGTGTAAGCTTACTTCATATAGCTTATGTCTGTTGGATCTGCGGAGATGTGGGGGGGAGGGACCGGGGGGTCGGTATGCAATCTTATAGCAAGTTGGTAATGTGTAAGTGTGATGGTGGACATGGTAGTGGTTTGAAGGGTGAGGCTTTGATGTGCGATTGTGGGTTGATGCTGAGGATACACCTCGAGACTGGGGAGGATTGCGATTGGTAGAGACAAGATAAATCCGCGTCTGCGCTCTCGGAATTCTATGAGTGAGGCGCGTGGAAATGATATACCGAAATTGGGATTTATGGGGCGTAGTGGGTGATGGTGGTGGGGTATCAGTATCCATATAAACCGGGTCCTGTCTAACTAATTAAGTATATAAATGCGCAGCATCAACAAAGCCGGAAAATGTGAGAAAAAAGCTATATACAAGAATCAAAAGTCTCGAAATCAGCAATCAGGTGTCGAAAAAGAAAAAAGAATGAAAGGATCGGCATCACGCGGACGATTCCAAAGACCTGACTTCAGCTAGTACTGACGCAAAAGGGGTAGTGAATCAAGTTCTCTCCCTACTTCTCTTGCCGATTCGAATGAACCTCGACCTCAGTCTTCACAACAATACTCCTCTCCCTCTTCCCTCCTGCTGGCAAAATCGGTTGCAAGTCCTCACTCCCATTCCGCTCCGTATAACTAATATGCCACAAACTCCCTTTCCTTCCATTCCCCCCACTGCCTCCTCCCGCATCGCCCCTCCCCGCCATCACGACATCCTTCTCAACACGCGACCCGCCATTCGCCGCGCTGATATCCGAGAACTCGAGCGCAGAAGCCGCGCGTTTCTGTGTGGCGCCACGCGTGGTGTGCGTGAAGACGGACGCGTTCTCCTTGATGTGCGTGAAGAAGCGCGGGAGCATGGGGAGGAAGAGGACGAACATGCCCGACGCGATTTCGCCGTGGCATGCGATGGACATGTAGGCCGAGGAGTGGGCGAAGTCGTGGCCTTGCATGGAGAGGGCATTGTAGTAGAGACACATTATTGCGAAGGCGCAGGGGCTGTTGTTGACGTGTGTCAGCTATTGTCACGTCGCTGTTTGAGATCGGCAAGTGGGTAGAGAGGGGAAGGTTAGGGAGGGCGGGTAGCTTACATGATGGCGGCGCAGAAGACGACGGAGAGTTTTATCCGTTGGGATTGCTTCACGCGTATGAGGTTCCAGATTTTGATTTGTGTCACGGCTAGGATGCAGAGATCTCCTACTAGATTCACGGCGGCTGTCGACATTGCGATTGCGCCAATCTCGAGGCATGTACCTTGGACCCAGGGTTGCCCTATAAGAATTGATGTTAGATGGGGTTGTGTGCGAGGAGGCGAATGAGAGCACAAAACTATGCCGTATGGGTTCCGAAGTCCGGGTGATACGTACATGCTTTGTTGATGGGCCGACATGTGAAGATCATTGTGAATACGGCAATGGTGTAGTAAATCACGTTGACCCATATCAGTGTGTGACACACATAATACGTTTTCGAGCGTGATCCGCGCGGTACGAAGACGCGCAGGACTTGTACCAGCATGGATACTTTGATAAGGACAATAGAGATATTGTAGAATATCGATCCGAGTTTATACCACTAGCAAAGCGCATCAGTTGAGGCTGAGCAGCAGGTCATGCAGTAGTACAGCGACGACTCACCAGGAGATATCTGCCAAATGTGCGCATAGTCATTTCCCAGCTGTGTATTATGGGCGCGAATTCGTTGATGACGAAACCGCAAGCCACATGTCCAGCTGCAGCGAGCTTCAGATACGAGGTTAGTGTCATGTAAGTCAAAAGTAAAAGTTCGGTTCATCGAACGTACCCAAGCGACCGGTATGAAGTCTGGGGCAAGTTAGTCAAACCATAGACACGATACATAACTTTCCGCTTACAATCTTCCAAGTGCAGCGAACCCACTATGAACGTCTTTACGAGCAATCGAAACCACGCAAACAAAGTTGTCGTAGCCAAGGAGATCGCTAGAACGGTGTACGCAAGTGTGGCTTCGTTCTGGGGGTGCTCGAAGTTGGGGTGTATGTTATTTGGCGGGTCGGCCATGGGCCTATTCAAGACCGTCTCGAGAGGCATCGTCTCGAACGGTGGCATGTTGGCAATGAGGTGGTCAACTTCTCATTACGTGGTGTCGAGGGAGTCGAGGGCCAAAGAAGACGGACGCAGAAGGTGGCGTCCGAGAGGGTAAGGCTGGATGATATCTCCTTGGGACACCCTCCGGCGGTTCCACCAGCCTCGCACGCGGGTGGACGGTACGCTAGACACTCCTATCTGTTTGGAGTTAAAATTCGTCGAGCTGGTTTGCAAGGCTGTCGTAAGGACTACCCAGTGGGGGCTAAGCGCTGTCTTGCTCATTCGCGCCTAACCATGTGTAAATGTGGTCGAGTATTACCGATCAGTGTTTACGAAGTCCGCGAACTGGGGTATTGACGAATTATGTTCTGGTACTGTTTCGTGGGATTACACTCTGCAGATCAGGCTAATATGGATGGGGAACAAGGTCGGGCCAGGGTTAGTAGAAGTGACAAGCCAAAGAGCTTGATCGTAGCACCTGTCCCACATGTTTGAAGACAACGATTGTCGTGTTCACTCGCGGCGAGTCAGTTCCATGGAAAACTTGTACAGTTGAACTGTGTGTGACTGTGACATGTGCGTAGAGTCAAGTTGTTGCGTCGAGGTGCACAAAAGGGTCAACAATCCGTTACATGTCGAACCTTAGCGCTGAGCGTACGCCAGCACTGCCGGCATGCGCCACAGGGATTCGGAGGCAACGGCGCAGCGTGCAACGATTTGGATACCTACCTACGATTAAAGCGACTAGGGTGTGCTGTGTGCTCTCTTATAAAAATAACGGATTTGGATCAATTCTCTCGCGCGATGATTGGTTGCATAACAACAAACGGCATGCGATCGACCTTCCATCTCCGTCCAACCGCACGAGAATTTGGGGTCGGCGACCATGGTGAAATGATTGATGGAGATGGAAATTTTCCATGCCAGAAATTGATCGAAGTATTTGGGGGGCATGCACTGCATGCATCGCATCGCCGTTCAATATCTTAGATGACGTACAGATCAGATCGTCAGTATTCCTTTCTTCCCCCTTTTCTCTTCTTTCGGAGAAACGGCCGCAATGCACAGCTGCTGGCCGGGAAGCCGATTAGGAAGCTCGATGAATTCTTGATATGCTGGCCAACCGATATCGTGCAATTTGCTATATATACAGAAAATCCGGATTTTCAAGCGATAGATACAAGACTCCAGATAGCTGAGGCTGGGGGATGGAGTATATATATACAAGCATGTCAGTTTTCCAATAACGCAGGCGCACGTGAGTTTCCTCGGGTCATAAAAGTACTTTTTCAGTCGCTGTCCTCCGACTCGCTGCTGCTGCTGCTATCAGACGATTCTGAATCAGAATCATCGTCACTGCTCTCTTCTTCCGATGAGCTTTCTTCGCTACTACTTTCCTCACTGCTGCTGCTCTTCTCACTACTGCTGCTATCCGACGACTCATCACTCGATATATCTGATCGCCGCTTCTTGTTCCTCGCCACCTTCTGATTTGCGCCCACGTTGGCGCGTGCAGGGGCAGGAGCAGGAGCGGGCTCAGCGATGTTGAGTGCCTTGACAAGGGCTTGTGCGCGATTCTTCTTCAGCCTCCGTATGTACCCCTCAGTGTATGGATGACCGACCATGTTCTCCACATCTCGATCTAGGCGCCTGCGTTTGCGCTGTTTCGTCAAATGATCTTTTAGGGCCTCGTCTTGTGCCGCTTGGCGATCTTTCGGGTCATCCATGTCGGAGTCTTCTGTGCCGGCGGCTTCGATTTCCTCAATTGCGGTTGTGCACTGCTGCTTTAGTCGCTGGATGACGCCAGCACCTTGCAATCCCTGAACGTAGGCAATCAGCGCGTCTGAGTAGTCCTCTGGAATGCGAAAGATGTTCAATGCGTTGTTCAGTACATCATTTTGTTTTGCTTTGTTGAATTTCCAGTTGGGTCGGTCAGTGTGATACGCAGTAAGGTAATCCAGATATCTCGAAGGGTCTTTCTTTGGATTGGCAGCAGCGGACGCTGGTGCTTCAGCCGCTGTTTCGTTAACGTCACCGTCTGCTGCTGTCGAGGTAGCTGCAGCCTTTTTGGCTTTCTTGGATTTCTTAACGTTTTTGGTTTCTGGTGAAGGTAGATCGTTCGCGGGGTGGATCTTTGGTGGGGGTACGAATTGAGAGATTTCAGTCTCTGAGACGCCGGCCGTCTTCTGCTCTTTGACCCACTTCTTGAAAAGATTGGCTGCGCTGTTACCATCCACAGTCTTGGTGTCCGGAGTAAAAGTCACCGACTTGCGCCGATCTGCTCTCGACGGTGGTGGTGAAGTCGATGTGCTTTGTGGCATTGGAGTTTCATAATGGTCGGTCTCAGTCGACGCGAGCAGTGTGGTGCCATAGCCAGGTGAAAGAGACGGAGTCCTTAGAATTGGGCCAGAAGATTTGGTTCCATTTACTTTTGAATGGACTGGGGCCAGAGATGAAGCATCATTGCTCGCACGCTGACCGCCGCCTCGTTTGGGTTTCTTCTTGCGGTAGTTGGAATCACCTTTGGGACGCGCATCAGAAGCAGGCTTGGGACTTTCAGGTTTGTCGACCTGCACCGCAGGCGGAGTAACATTTCGAGTGAGAGATGAGTCGACCGTCTGGTGCTTAGAGTTTTTGCTCTTTTTGTTGGTCTCAGCTGGTTCATGTTCGTGTTTTCGCTTGCCAAGGTGTGAATTGTTTATGTCGGCAGGGTGATTGGAAGATTGAGCAGGAGATTGCACGACTTTTGCTTGATCACGAGAGCTCCCATTAGGTTGGTTGTCTTGTTTTGCGGACGAATGGTGCTCCGCAGATTGGTCACTGTCTTGCAGCTTCAGGCCCAGCCGTTTCCAGGCGGGGATCCTGCTGGGTTGAGCCATGTGGCGGCAGACGACGAAACGGATGAATTGAGCTTGTGTCGTGAGTATGCCTCGGTATTGCCCCTCACCGGATCGCTCGCATCAGCTCTGAAGTCGGAATTGAGAGACTGTCGAGATCCAGTCAGAAGCGTCCAGCCAGCGATGCAGAATTTTGGAGAAGCTGGATCTGGCGAGCACGGGCCACGCGGCGGTCCAAAGCCGGCATCACCGAAGCTCCCCCAGGCAGTCGAACAACGCGTCAACGTCAATCCCCTCCACCCACGACAAGCTCTAGACCATCTCCATCCACCGCGCACCCTCGACGACTCTCGCCTCCTCCGTCTTGTCCTCCAGCTTCTCGACCATATTCCGCATTCTGCCAGGCTCATTTCCGCCGCTCACCACCCTCCCCCGGATACTTATTCGCACGATTGCCCATCATGTCTGGTGCGTTGCCAACGGCCCCAAATCCAAAGCTCGCCATGAATCCCTCGCTGACAGTGATCACCGCAATGCAGGAAGCGCTGGCTATGACAGACACATCACCATTTTCTCTGATCAGGGACGCCTATACCAAGTCGGTACGCAAACTCGCCCCTCCACCACATCGCAATCACCACCACCACCCTACCCCACTGTGATATATATTTCCGTGCGGGCGAGCAGACCAGATTTCAGAACAAGGCAAATTGACTGACGCTATGATTCTTAGAATATGCATTCAAGGCAATTACCGCGGCAAACATCACATCGCTGGGTGTGAGGGGGAAGGACTGTGCAGTTGTCATCTCACAGAAGAAGGTGCCGGTACGTTTGTACCCGCCCAACACCTACTGCTATTTTAATTCTCCGAATTACACAAGGCATCAACATTTGGCTGACTCATGTGCTTCTCCACAGGATAAGCTCATCGACCCGTCGTCCGTCTCGTACATTCACAAGCTCTCGCCGTCGGTTGGCTGCGTCATGACAGGGTCCATAGCCGATGCGAGGGCCTCTGTGAGTCGTGCACGTGGAGAAGCTGCTGAGTTTCGCTACAAATTTGGGTACGAGATGCCCTGCGACGTATTGGCGAAGAGGATAGCGAACATTAGCCAGGTTTACACTCAACGGGTAAGCACGATTCCGGGATGGCAGTGCTGGTGTCATAGCGCATCGGTCTCTACAATCGGTCGGTACTGACAAGATCTACAGGCATACATGCGCCCACTGGGTGTGGCTACCACGCTTATCTCGCTAGATTCCGAATATGGACCCCAGCTTTACAAGTGCGATCCGGCTGGATACTATGTTGGCTACAAGGCGACGGCCTCTGGACCCAAGACGCAAGAGGCGCTCAACTTCCTCGAGAAGAAGCTGAAGAACAAGGATCACGCCGAGGGCAGCTGGGAGGAGGTAGTAGAGCTGGGCATTACAGCTCTCAGCACCGTCTTGTCGGTGGACTTCAAAAAGGGCGAGCTTGAAGTGGGCATCGTGGGGGGACCCAGGGCCGACGGCGAGGAGGGAACAGACGCGCAGTTCCGCGCTCTTAGCGAGGAGGAAATCGATGAGCGTCTGCAGTCCATCGCCGACAAGGATTGAGATATGACACCGCTAGGTCGGGACGCATGACGTGGGATGAGGGATGGATGTAAGGGTGCCACGAGATGCCAAGTGGACACACTTGTTCTCACATTGGGTACATGGATGGTCGGCGGGCGCGATGGGTCCCAAGAGGCCAGGGCTGCTGCCCGCTTTTCCCTAGTTGTTGGCAGGTGAAGGGGGAAGGTCGCAGGCAGGACGGTGGATGTGCCGCAGGCGCGAGTGGGAGCCTCAGCCTCGATTGCTCAAGGCCAGTCTGTATGTACATTAGTCCTTACGTCAATGACAGCATTTCCCTAGGGTTCACAGCTGCGATGGCCGCCCAGAGACTCAGGAACCAGGCGCTGAGGAGCGTCTCACTGGCTGGCCGAGCAGCACAGCCGTACTGTGGCTGCGTCGCAGTAACCGTCTCCAGGCGTTGGTGGAGCCGTGACATTGGATCGAGTGTCTGTGTGTTCGCTCTCAGCGAGCCGGGGGGATAGAGGCCGAATTGCTGAAAATAACCCACGTGGCCAATCACGTTACCGCGATGCTCTACGGGGATCGGCACACCCCTGCCGGTTAACCGCTTTGGGCGATGGTGGCGCTCCAAATAGACATTTCCTAGCTGAGCACGATGCACGCTCAACGACCATCCACCTCTCCATCAGCTTGCCATGGGACCGACAGCTCTCCAAATCACGGGCTCGCCTGCCGTTGGCGTTGCATACCTCCACTCGCACTCTCCTCGACCGTCTCCTGCCGGCGATGCTACTCTTACACCATATCCACCGCCCATCATTGACCCCTTGCGATGCTGAACATGTTGCGCCAGCTGCGCAGGATTCCAATTGTGGAGCTCTCGGCAAGCACTGGTGTCGGGAGCAGCCTTGACTATCGAGCCTCCATCGAGCCAACATGATGGCTCCAAAACACCGCTGCCATGGTCAATCTGCAATGCCTTCTTGTATATAACCGTCACCACGCCGCTGCCTGAGGAACCCATCCATCCATCACTGCCCTTCTCCTTTCAACCCTCACTTTGGACGCACTTGTCTCTCAGCTTCTTTCATCTTAGCATCTTGCTTCTCTTGTCTAGTATCATCTATTTTCTCTAATCCCCAATTCACTCATCTTCGCCATGTCTGATGGTCGTAAGCCTCTCCCTTTCTTCCATTGCGTCCAACCCACTGGACACTGCCTCGTCCATCTGCTAACCATGACTTCTTCCAGTCAACGATGCCCGCGCTATGCGCGTTGCCGAAATCATGTCTGATTTCCGCAATCTCCAACACTATCTCGTCCAACTTCGAGCATCACCAACGGCAGAGGAGTACTATTTGGAGGGCTATGCCCTTCTTAGGCAATGTGCGAGCGAAGCCCAATCCATCCTCGCAGTGCCATTCGCAGCGAACAGTGGTGCCGCTGGCGGCGACCCTGAGCGCCAGAAGCAGCAATTGAGGGTGTAAGTCAACCTCGTCTTCTCCAGCACCCACAACACGGGGGGGAAAAAACTTCCACTTCGGCTTCAAACATTTTCTCCAAAGGGTAACCTGGGGAAAACTGCCGCGGTGGAGGTTCTGGAATCCTGTCGCCCGAGTCATTTGACGCTAGAATGGGAACGCTAGACTAACATTATGGTGTCCCAACCAAACAGCATCATAACCGACGCAGCGGTCCGCCGTTTCCAATGCCAAAGAGCCTACCTGAGAGCACATTCCGGACTTCGGTGGATGAACTCGCGGAACAGTGTTTTGAGGGGCCAGAAGCCAAATGCTAGTCATTTGCACGCCCTACAGACCGCGGATAATACATTGAGAATGGTACGTTGTTTCCCATTCCGATTATTCAAGGTCGAGCCATACAGATCAGAAAAATAAGAAGAAACTCGCAAGTCGAGAGGAAGTTGTTCTGATACGAATGCTTATTCTTGCATAGGAATTGCTCGCCATTACGGACGCCCACGTCGATCAAACCCTCCGAAACCAAGATGCCGCGCAAGGGAAATGGCTCGGTGAAGACCCATCGCTAGCTCAAATCCAACACTTCCTCATGTCTCGATAAAGAAAAATTCTTCCATCAAAACACCCATGCACCCGTTCTGTCTGGGTCAACCAAGTCATGTCGAGTCAATTCGCCACGCCGGTAGTCGGGATCCCCCGCCTTTTCGCTCAGCCTTCTCTCTACCCTTCATCTTTCCCTCCCTCTCTCGCGGTATCGACTAGACAGACGAAGAAAAGCGCTACATGAGTGTCCGATCGTTCGCTTATCGCTACGGCGCTGGCTTCCCCGACACGAGCCTGCCCACGTTTTTCGACACGTTCGAGAACACCCACTAGCGTCAACTTTATTTGTTCCCGCCGAGCCTTTCCTTATTTCAATTACACTCCGCTTCCTGGACAAACGAACTGCAAAACAACGTACGATAAAACGAAACGGACGGCCGATGAGTTTTTTTTCCCTTCGGCGCTTTGATATTATGGCACCATTTTTCTCTTTTGGAAAACGATACCCATCTACAGCACGACATGCCCCCTTTCTTAGACGCACGAATCACGCGCGGGCGTTTATCCCTGTATATACTTTTTTCTTCACTCTGGCTGGGGCTCGGTATTGCTTCCCTTTTCTTCCATTTTGTTCGAACTAGCATTTTCTTTTTGTTGTTTTCTTTCTACCCCTGGGATGTCGTGGTTGGTTATTGCTGGACAATGCCTTCCCCCTTCCCTACTAAGATTAAAATTGTTAGCTATCACGTTTTAGTTGGGCTTTGGCGCGTGGATTCTCGGTTCTCTCATTTACTCTTTTATATTCTCTTATCTGCCTTTTATCCTAGCTATACATTTTTATACTGTTTTCAACACATTTAGATAAAACACTCCTATTTTTTCCATCACTCTCTCCTCCCCATTCCTAGTCATCTAAATGACCTTGTCTGTTTCCTCCTCTCTGCTTTTCTCTTCTCGTTTTTCTTGTGCCTTTTTCTTTCTTTGTTGCTTTTTGCACTTGTTTTTATCTCTTGCATACATGGTCAGGCGTTCACATACAGACATTGATTTGTAAATTTAGAAGAACACATAAGTTTAGAATTAATGCAAAACACATCTATTCCTGTGAAAAAGGGGAGGGGCAGGGATTCTGCGTAAGAATATGTAACGATTGCAAGCAGCGTTAAATCAACCAAACTTATCATGATGGAAGTGAATACGTAAGGGAAGATGGCTATGCAAACGAATTGCAAAAGATCTCATCCGTTCACGAGGGTCTAGAGGATTGTAGTCTTTGTTCAGATATATCGACTCCTGTCAGACATGAACAACATTGAAATTCGTATCCTGGTACTCCTTATAGTCTGCGAATGCCAAACAAACTCTTATATCCACGACGCTATAAATTTCGATGGAAAGCCACGATTGTCAAGTACGAAGAAAACATCCACTAAACCATACCTACTTTGAGCATTCCCTAGCCTCTTGCAGCACCGTATAAGGAGGCAGCTCACTCTCCTCCTCTCCGCGATCATCATTATCAATCAGTTCAACCCCTTCCTCCGCATCTCCCTCCTCCCTCCCCCTCCCATCCCTCCCCATAGCAATCCCCGCAATAACACTAGCAAAGTAAACAACCCCCACAACTCCAGCCCCGAGGATGCCAAAAACAGGCCACCATACCACACCTTTCTGCGTCCAGCTCCCTAATCCGTTTTTTCGAAGTCCACCACTTCTCGTCAGCGGGCATTGCAACGTCATACCGAATCTCATCACCACACAATCAACAAGCGTCCGCAACCACGCACACATGGCATTGCTAAACGGGATGATGGCGAAGAGGATCAGCAACCACCAATCCTCTTCGTCGTGCGGGTACGGACACCCAGGGATCCCGCCTTTCGCGACGCGGTACGAGAACGCTACGATCAAGGGGATAGACAGGACGGAGACGATGGCGAATCGTTTCGCGCGTAGATTTGCGGGCGTTAATGTGGAGGATGGCGTGCGTGCATTGCTTTGGGCGGTGTGGTGCGAGATGGACTCGGGGAAGATGGTGTGCGCGAATGCTTCTATGATGATTGAGAGGACGCAGATGAGGAATGAGAGGAAGGCGGCGAGGACGGGGTCGCCGATGCCGTTGCAGGGGTCTTGTTTGAAGAAGTCGTCGTTGAAGAGGTTTTTGTTCCAGGACATCGTATTGATTTTTTTATTTTTTATTTTATTTTATTATTGGGATTGAGCGCGGTGGATGGGTGGGTGGGAGTTTGGCTTCGTGGGATGGAGGCGGCGCAAGGTTCCTTGGACTCGTACGATTATCAAGGAGGGGGGGTTTTTTCTTTTCAGCAATAGCTTTGTTGGGATGGAGCATGGAGATTGTTCGAGTTGAGGGGCCGTTTGAGTTATTTAAGAAGAGCGTGTTGACTAGCTTGCGCAGCAACGGATACCGGTGAGCGGGAGGCGGCGCAGTTAAATGTACTCGGGCACGGGCCACCGATGGTCTGCCTGATGCCTTGAGAGATGATGTATTAATGTCGTCTGTGGTGCTATCGTGTTTGGATCTGAAACAAATATTTCACGATACTTTCTCTCGCGCGAGTAACATGTACTTGGTATCCTGCATCGTTTCAGTATTTTTATAATTAATTTGCGGTGAATGTTTTCTTGTCAATCAGCCTGGATGCTTTAAAAAGATGATGTACGACGAGGTTCGAGTGGATTCTATCAACGGATGGATTGTCACATCTTGAAGAGTGTCGTAGAGAAATAGGATGAGCTGCTGCTGGAAAGAGCGTGGGACATTTCTGACCACCGCGAACCTTGTCATATACTCTCTCAGTTTCGTGATAACCACGGAACATGTGTCCTGTCTGGAGCTCGAAAGCAGATTTATCGTGTGATTTTTCAATACCAAGTGTTTGTGCCGCATGAAATATGCGATTATCATATAATAGACTTAGTCACATACTATCTATAGCCTAAGGAAACATTAAAATAATTTCCAGCAGTTGAAATTTTCGCATTTCGATGCGGTGCGAACATTCGAAGTCCAATCACTTGAATAATAGAAGACTTATGGTACAACTATATACACAGGTCAGAAAGACCCCCTCTTATGCTTCATAGGGAGGTGGTGCTTCACCCTCCTCTTCAAAGGCGTGATCTATGTGCTGGGGATTGTTGTCCAAATGTCCTTGCTCAGTCTCTACAGTGCTATCCCCTATCCTCCGAGTCCGAAGAGGCCAATCATCTTCTTCAATCCTATTAACATCACCACCAACACGACCAATCCCCTCGTTCACTACCGCCTGTCCTCCGCCAGACACCGGATCATTCCTCGCACCATCATCACGTCCACCTACCCGACCAATCTCCTCGTCCACAACCACCTCTCCCCGACTAAACACCGCAACCTTTCCCATAACCACCCTCGCAATAAGCTCAGTAGTGCCTCCAGCAACCACGAAAACCAGTCCAACAGGGCCACAAACAGGCCACCAGATTCCTCCAGTAGCCCTTCTATCCCCCTTAGCCCACGGATACCCCAACGCAACACCCCCTCCCTTTCTCACAAGCGCACAATCCACGATCGTTCTCAAACACGCACACACACCTATGACGAACGGCAAAATCGCAAACGCGATGACCACAAACGTATACCCAGGATCTTCGAAACAATCCCCCAGAAGCGCGAATTTCATGCGGTACCCGAATGCGACGGCCAATGGGATCATAAGGCCCGTGGTCACCGAGAACCGCTTGGTACGTATCGCCAGCGGTGGCGAGGGGTGGAAACACGAGTCGGAGACGGTATATGTCAACGAGGAATAATTGAGTGGCTTCTGGTATTCGTACGGCTGGTTGAAGTTGTAGTGGGCGTAGATCTCCGTGGGGATTGAGAGGAGGATGATGAGGAATGTGAGCGGAACCTCTGCTTCGTTATTGTACATAGCGACGATATTTGGTTTTGTGGTGATGATGAAACAGTGGAAATGGGGCGAGCCCGTGGTTTACTCTTGACTTTGAGCTTCAGAATCTTGGGAGCGGGGGTTGTCTGTCGTTGTTTCTCTGCCTTTGCGTAGGCTGAGAAACTCGGGTTTGGGCCGCTGTAAATATGAAATTGTACCAAAGAGAGTTACATATTGAGCATTTCAAAACATTTCCATATTCGACCTAGTGTACGTCGGCAGCGAGGCAAGGTGTAAGTGAGGCAGCTCCGGTGGGGGCCGTGTTCTACACATGACTTCAGAACTGCCTTAATCTTATTGTGGCTGTAACAATTCATGACAGAACTGCCTGCGAAATCTTTGACCGGATATCCGAGTCTCTGGTTATGGTGGTAATTTTATGCCTTGCGATACGATGTGGTGTGCGATTGCTCTGCTGCGGATTTCAGCAGGCTATTGCTCATGCGCAATTTGTGGCAAAGTCTCGTTGTTCGATTTTATTCCGTTTCTGCGTGGGAAAGCGGTAGACATGATGAATATATGCTGTTCGTGATGTGTTGACATACAAAAATTCCAGTTCCAGAAACAGTAACCTCAGCGTACTCAGATTTTTCCATGTGCGGCAGGAAAAAGGCCCCCAGCTGCGCCACTTCCTCCCAATGTCAGGTAAAAACCGCATGCTCTCGTACAATGCAAATAAGAGGCAAGCCATCCCCTCCTCAAAGGACGCCAGACACCAATCTATACAGATAGGGCATGATTTCTGCCTGAACCTCTTCTTCAATTTGGGACCGCCATCACGAACAGCCACTACCCACTTAGCAAATCGGCGTTCAGGAAAATGAGCTGCGACCACCCAGCCAACCACTTCTCGCTGACGGGAGCCCTCCTCTCCGTTGTCATCATCATCCTCACTATCGTTATAGAAGTGGCCATCCACACCGGAAACAACAACTCAACGTACCCACCAAGATCGCTGCGCCATGATAGATTTTCCACCGCGGCATTTTTTACGCAGATAATATGTGGCATAGCGTATTATCAAGCCACAGTTATCGAGAAAGACGCACCTCCGCCGTGCAAATACCCCACCGATAGAAAAACTTGGTGGATCTACGTTGTCTTTACATTTGTACCCACTCTCACTGCTTCCAGTGCGTGGGCGCGTGCATTCGTGGACTATTGGATAGAGCCGTGGGGAATGACGCTGGGGTACCCTTCTTTCTGGAATGAGAAACATGTGGACAGGCGGAATGAGGCGTGGATATTATGGCCTGTCGGTGGGATTCTGGGGTGGGTGGCTGTGCTGGGGGCGTGGTTTGCTCGGAGCATAGTCCATGCGATGATGCCAGTTCATGGGAGTGTGCAGAAGGGCCAAAGCAACCTTTATGTTGATCAGAAGTCTAGATTCATGGATGATGCTGTGATTGAAGAAAGAGGTGGAGGTGTATACAGAGACGAGAAGGATTAGGAGACGGCGGGGGAACGGGCGGGCAGGACCAATATACCATTTGAGTTGAAGTGTGGATTGTATTCATATTCTATTCTAGACGGATCAGTTCGAGTATGGGATGTGCCAGGACATCGGTTTGATGAGAATACTTCTGCCATCGACGTTTTTCGTCGTTATTGTTCTGATTGGACCATGGTTCTGTGAACCATCATACACCACAAGAATGGATGTGTCAACATTCATGTACACCAAGAACCGTAGACTTGGTATTTCGGCATAACGTACATGTATAAGTGTAACCACATATATAAGCGGTGAATCTGGGGAATCTAGTTCGGGGATCATGGCAAGAAAGACTGCAGGGTTGGACGGCGATACAAATCACGTGATATTTCGGCAACCTGAAACGGCAAGAGCTGAGTCTGTAGACGGGGATGAGTAAGAAAAGTGGCTAGTGATCTTTACCTTGACGAATTAAGACCAGGCTTAGAGGAGTCGAAATCTAGGCGGTTGGTTCAGTTCTGTAAGAAGCCTAGGTAGGTAGAATATGTATCTATCCTACTCCTTTCAATAACGTGTGAGGTTGAAGAGGCATAGGGGTAGATCCCTGTGGCAATACATTACGAAGCTAATCAGACTAGACTCACAACAGGCAGCTATTCGTAGTTTTGCTTCGCTTAAACCCTCCAAGTAATGTAGATTTTTCGAGATATGTAAATCCTTTGAATCCTGTTAAACCTCCATATTGGCGAACTGCATAGCAATGCCAGGCCGCAGAACTCGAAAGAATAGAACAATAATACAGTTGCTTTAAAAGCAGAGGAGACATAAATAAGTAGTACAAAAGCTGTGCAACTCGAGAACAGATCAAACTGTTATAACAACGGAATAGATTACTCTATGTGAAACTATTGGCAACCGTCTTGTTATGCGCGTTGACGAAGAAGCTCTCCTCGGCCGAAGTGTAACGCCCGACACGTGGTATAGTAATCTTAGAAAGCACCATGTCTGACGTTAGTAACCACTGACGCGTGTTGTCTCTGGAATTTACCATGGGGGTAATCGGTGGTTCGGCGTTCCGCGCAGGATGATCATACGACTCCTGCTGATTTATTTCTGTCGATCAGTCCAACGCAATGACCCACTAGCTACGAATACCATGAAGACTCATGCTTTTGTTTGCAGACCAACACAGTCTCCCTGGGGTGTTGAGTAATTGGAAGTTTTGGGGAAGAGATCTACGACCATGTTGTGGCCCGTTGGGTGTCCCAGGGTAGTTCTGATTGTTCCGTAGACCGACCCCAGCGGCCGTGGTGAATGCATCTTTATACACATAGTACATATAAATTGGAAATCTCCAGGTTTGACGACCGATAACCAACAATTTCATTAACTACTTCCACGCAAACATGGTATCAGCTTCACTTCCTTTGCGAGCCCTTTGGGTGACCTTTTGCGCACTTTCAGTATTTGCTGCAACTACTGCCGCAATTTGCACAGAAGAGAATATTGAAGTGCGAAAGGAATGGTACGAGCTTCATTACCCCGGTCAGACCACAGAGAATTGATGATAGTAATAGGAGCACACTCACCACTGAAGAAAAAGCCGACTACATCGACAGTATCAAATGCCTTCAGAGGAAGCCTGCAATGACCCCGAAAGAGGCCGCCCCCGGTGTCAGGACACGTTACGACGACTTCACTGCAGCACATGCCAACAACACCGTGCGCATTCATGCCAACGGTGTTTTCTTTAGCTGGCACCGACACTTCATCTACCTCTATGAGAAGGCCTTGAAGGAGGAGTGTGGTTTCAAAGGAGCTCTACCGTACTGGAACTGGGCATGGTCGAGCGACAACCTTACCGCCAACCCGATCTTTGACGGCAGCGAAACCAGTTTCGGTGGCGACGGAGCATACAACGCTAGCGAGGCCCTCGCCATGAGCAACGGCAATTATACCTTCCCGCGTGGCAACGGTGGAGGCTGCATCGCAAGCGGTCCATTCGCCAATCTCACCGTGCCGTTCCGCAGCTTCACCAACGACGAACTCAGTCTCCCAGAAACTCCTACAAACGCCTTGGATTATGCCCCTCGCTGTGTAACTCGCGATCTGAATAGCGCCATTTCCAGCGTCAACTTGAACCAGAGCGTTGTCGATACTCTCCTTGCCCAGCCCACGATTAAAGACTTCCAGGCCTATGCTGATAACCTCATCCCTGACACGCCATTTCTTGGTCCGCACCCTGGCGCTCACTGGGCTGTAGGATGGGGTTTGGAAGACAATTACGCCTCGCCTAGTGATCCTGTCTTTTACCTCCACCATGGCATGGTCGACAATGTGTGGGCCCAGTGGCAATCCAAAGATATGGAGAATAGGCAATTCGCTGTCTATGGTACGAACAGGACATTGAACATTCTCCCGGCTGCAAACGTTACCATCGATTTTGAGATGCAGTTCAATTACCTCGCGGCACCGATAACGATGAGAGACGTGAGCGGCACACAGCAGGGCGAGTATTGCTATCGCTATGACTATACTGAGGGTGCGCCATCGCCATTCTGAGTTATTCGATGGTAGCAGGGAGAAGTGTGCGTATAAAGTTGGGTAGTTGAGATGTTGGCATGTGCTCTTCGCTGAGCAAGAGTATATCTGGAACCTGTAAATAGTGACAGGCATCTACATCTTATTCATAACTTTGACTGAGAAGACCATCATACAAGAAACTCAAATATATTGGGGCCATGACAATCGGGAGAGAGCATTGCAAGTGCCGCCCCATGCTTTTTGTTTCTTTAAGAGTGACAGCAACGTTTTCACTTAGAAGATGGCGTCAAAAGCAGCGAGAACATGAATACATCGCAATATAAGCAGATGCCAATAGTAAGACAATGTGAGATTGGAATCATGATCGGTAGCAAGTGTATGAGAGCTAATTTTACTATAGATCACAGTGACTGGTGGTAATCTGTTATACTACTACCTGATAAGCCTCTACAGCATGATTGCATCTCTTTAACGGCAGGGGTGGTACTCCAAACTGGCATTATGAATCTTGGTCCGCCCTTTTTTTTTTTTTTTTTTTTTTTTTTTTTTTTTTTTTGGCGTTCTCAGGCCTGCAGAATCGTTTCCGTGTAAGCTCATTCGCTACACAAAGACTCGTGCGCGATAGGTAACTCGCCAGGATCTGAATGCGCAGGCTATCCAGAATGTATGTATTCAACTTCTATAAACGGGCACGTTAGAGTATTCTGAAAGATGTAGACTACCTAGGTACCTATGAAGTATTGGCCACTGAAGGTGAAACAGACCACCACTATGGCGGGAATCAACACCACGATACGCTCCTGATATTATGATTGGATGAAACATCGTGAGATCTACGGGAATAGGGTGATGCTAAACAAAGCAATTTAAGCATAACTAGCCACTACAGTATAAACGCTGCGATGCTGACTCGATACCATGCCCCTTAGTGGGAGCTTGGTCTCCGAATATTTGTCCTCTCGTATCCATTTCCTACAGTATTCTGGTAGCAAAATAAGCCCTAGCAGCGCCATGCACCGCTAAACCGGTGATAGCGAAGCAAGGCTGTGAAAAAGTATGCAGTACATACGTAGCTGGCGTCAACAGGGCTTTTCGCCTATTGAAGCTCGTGGCGCCATGAAGCTCAGCCGCCATTCATTTTGCCGTTTCGAGTTTAGCAGCAGCAAATCTACAACTCGATTTGGGGGTCTGCTTACGACGCGGGCTGAAACGTTTCTTTGCCGGGCATCACTCATCATGGTGCGTGCATGTAGGCGCAATGATATCATTGATTGTATATATATCGCAGTTCGCAATTTTTTTGTTTGGCGTTGAGGTTGATTTGAGTGCTCACACGCGCTGCACCAAACTACACCCCAACGAAAAAGCTATTGGACAATAACTGCAGATATGAAGGACGAGACGGAATTGAGCCTGCTGGGCAGGATACGGCAGAAGAAAAACAATAAGCCGCCCAAAGAAAAGATATCAGGACCGCCTATAGATACGGATTACCAGCCATTCGATTGGAGGCGGATGTATTCAAAGAAATACATACGTAAGTACAAAACTGGGACCTTACAAACAATCCCGCTGACATGCTTCTAGCGCTCTGGATAATATGCTGGGCGATGCTCATCGCGACAATTTTACTTGCAGTGTATCGCGACAGAGTCATCGACGTAAGGCCCCACCAAAACCGCATAAATCTTCTACACTCCCCAACAAAAAAAAACTTCATCTAACATATACAAAAGTGGCTGCGGCCTTTCTCAGACAGAGTCCGCGACATACCGGCAGGATGGCTCATCCCCGTCGCGATCCTCTTCGTCCTCTCTTTCCCTCCTCTAATCGGCGACGAAATCGTCGAGATCCTCTGCGGTGTGATATATGGACTGTGGGCTGGTTTTGGTATTGTTGCGCTAGGCACCTATCTTGGACAGAGTAAGTCCATCGAGCAGTCTTGATCATGGACTCCTTACAATTGAAAGATCAAGTACTGACTCGCGACAAGTTGGAAACTGGTTCGCATTCAAGTACCTCCTCCGACGAAAAGCTGCGAAGCTGGAGCGCACCGATCTCAACTACGGTGCTATGGCGCGCATGGTTCGAGACAGTGGGTTCTGGGTAAGTTGTTCTTTCCATTACTTACCTCACAGCCACACACACAAAAGATCATTCTCAACCCTGTTTTCCTGAAGACCTCGCTCCCCGAAATTACATCACCTCCCCCTGCCCCTCAAGCATCCATTCGCGCATAAACATAGAACATCACTAACGTGATTCTCCGTCCCCAGCTCCTATGCTTGATCCGCGTCTCCGCCGTCCCCCCACACATCAGCACGGCCGTCTTCTCGACCTGCGACGTCAAATTCTGGCACTACCTAATCTCAACGTTGTTCTCGCTCCCGAAGCAAATCTTCCTAGTGTACCTAGGCACCCTGCTCGTGAGGTCAGACGACAAAGAATCCCCCGAGCAAAAGCGCCAAAACACAATCCAAACCGTCGTCGCAGTCGTCATTTTCCTCATCACCTTCGTCATGGCGTGGTTCCTGTGGAGGAAAATGAAGGCCATCAAAGTTATGCTGTTGGCGGAACAGGAGGAGAGAAAGAGGGCGAAATTGGGCGGAGGGAGGGATGAAGAGGAGGGTGCCGGTGGCGAGTGGAGTGCTGCTATGGATGATGTTAGAAATGAGGGCGCGCCTGTGGAGGTTCATGGCCAGGGAGTGCCCCCGCCGTATGATCCTGTGCCTGTGGCGCCGGTTGGGGAGAATGCCGCATATTATGGGAATGTGCAGCATGGGGGTGGTGATGGGGGTTATGGGTATGGAAATAATGGATTTGATGCGAATGGGTATGGGGGTCATGGGTATGATTCGAACGGGTATAACAGTCGGGTGCATTAGAGGGGTTCGGTGCCGATTTGAAGCGTTTTTGTGTATTAGTATTGGGATGGACCTTTGCATTTTCACTTTTGTACTGACGAATTCTTCATGACCGTTGCAATTGCACAGACGTCTGCCAGCAAAAACACATGAAAATGATTTTAATTTTCCGTTTTGAAAACAGATAGCAAGCAACACCCGGAGAAAGAGCCAAGAGCTGACATGAGAATCGACCTTAGGCCCAAGAAAAATGCTCGCAATGCAAGTAAACACCACCCCCCTTCCTTCCACCCGTGGCAATCTTCAAGTTTTCCCCTGCAACCGCATTCCGCACATCTCGCTGCATCTCCTCAGGCCCACACACAAAAACACCCAAATCCGCCCCGACATCTGCCGCGCTCGCAGCTTCTTCCGCGATCACGGCTGGTAGATACGGACGACCTTCTACCTCTCGATCCAAGACATCTGCAGCTTTCGGTCTCGAAGATTCAATCTCGTCGGAAGAAGAGTTGCGCGCCTGGGAATCGTGGTTAGGATGTGCAGCTTTGACATCCTCAACGGCATGGCCAGTGAGATGGACTTGGATATGAACGTCCTCCGCGGAAGGGGAAGGTCGGTAATTGAGGACCAGCGCGGCAACGGTGTCGAGGAACCACGTGCGGCTATCCGCGTCGCGAGTGGCGAGGATGACACGGAGCGAAGAAGGATTGTTGCGCGGAGAAGCAGTGTTGATGTTGCTTGGGTTCGGTTTCTCAAGTCCTGCGGCTTCGACGTCTGTGTTTGTGCTCGCGCTGTTCTTTTCACTCGATTTGCGGAGCATATCGCGGCGGAGAAATCGCTCGACGAGTGGTAGTATCCATCCAGCGCCTGACCCGCCGGCGATGACGAGTAACTTGTCGCTGTCACGGAACCGCTGTAAGTTGATGCCACCGTACGGTCCGTCAACCTGCACAGGTATCGAGACGTCTGGGTGCTCTAGCGCATGTTGGTACAGCTTAGCGGTGAACCCACGTTGGTGACGGATATAGAAAACGAGTTGAGAAGGGACGCCAGGGTCGATGGAAGGAGAAGAGCAGATAGTAAAGGGATGCGACGATAACATGGGCATGAGACCGAAGCTCGAAAAGCGGAGAAAGCAGTGCTGGCCTGGTTTCCAACTCGAGTTTGAGGGGATAGTGATGCGGGTGAATCCATTTGCTTCGACGCTGATTTGTGCGCGTTGAGCAAGGCCGTATTCAAAGATGATGCGGAGCCAGGAGTAGGCATAACAAGGGACATAGACGGCGGCTGTTGCGATAAAGTAGTCCCAGGAGGTTAATGTGTAATCGCAGTGCCAGAAGAAAGTGACCATGAAGATGACGACGGCGAAGAAATGCGTGGCTTTGAAGAACTCATAACCAAGAAGCGACCTATACAAATCGTCAGAACACGATCGTGCCATGAAAAAAAGCGGACGGGGAGAATGTACTGACCGAATGGTGCTATGCGACATGAACGTGAGCCAAGCTTGAAAGATCAAAGCGACGATACCCGTCCAATAGAACAGCAAACTCGACGAAAAGTGGCTCTCCATATCACCCAAGTGAACGTGATACACAATGAAAGGAAAAGTATGTATCAGCGCAAGGACGAAGAAAGCGTAAGCGATCCATCTGTGAAAGACCTGGAGTTTCTCATGAGAGATGCCGGTCAACAGTGTAATCCAATTCGTCTTGCTGGCGGTCGCGCTGCATCAAATCAGTTCTATTTCTTATACCAACTTATGTTCTTAGTGTTACGTACAACAAAAACGGCATACATGCCAATGACATCCAGCCAGATCTGGTTGCCAGCGGCGGCGAGCCTCCGTAAATACTGTCAGACCAGTAATATGGTTGCGGAACGAGATCCATACCTTGAAGACGAACGCGTCAGTATTTCTTGAGCTAACTATGGGTGTGCGCATCATTATCAAGATGACTTACAAAAGAAGAACACGGTTCCTGCGAGACCCAAAAGTAGGACGCCAATTGGAGCAGAACTCCAATTCAACGCTTTCACATAGTAACCGCGATACGACAGGTATCGAAAAAAGGCCATCAGCTTCTGCCACACGACTGGCCCTCGAAAGCGACGGTAGCCAAGAACGTGCGATAGGAGGATATGGCTGAGTATGAACACACCAATGGTGCACATGAAGAATGCGACAGTTGGTAATGCGAAAACATAGTCTGCAATGTACCTGTAGGAGAGGACACAAGTCAGTAATTTGGACCGCATGCCCCAACAATTACCTGCGTTTGTAAAGTGTCGATGACAGCTACGTACCAGAAATGCCAGCGTTGCTGGTAGTATTCGCACTGTTCTGGGGTCATTTCTTCGCAGCTGAACTCTCGGCTGCTATGGAGTTGCACCATCCCCAACCACGCTGGATCCATTACCATGTCCATATTCGCGGCGTTGTCGCAGGGCGTGATTGCAGCGAATGAGATGATTTATTCGCCCAATTTGAAATGAATTGAAAGAAGATCAGTGCGCGGTATACAATGCACAGCACAGTACATGCAGAAAAAGTGGTGCAACAACAACAGTGTGGTTTAAGTGTCGAGACAAGCTTTGCGTATACAGCACCAAAGCATTCACCCCAAGAGGCTTGGCCGCTCGACGAGTTGCGAATGGGAGACATCGGATATCAATGTGCCGTATGTTCGTATTATCGAGCGCATTTGAGCAAGTTATGACCTGCACCAGTTTCTATTCGTCTAGATTGGTTTTGTGTGGGCTCGGGTTGACCAATCGGTGGAGATGGTTGTCATCCTTGGGCGGGATCCGCGTCTGCAACTAGCTGGTTAAGTATCCCCGGTACTAGGCCGTTGCTTATCTCGAAGACATTTCTATGTTGAATCAACATTTCTTTCCATTCTCTTGTTAGATTAATTCATCCGTCTTGCTTCGAATTCATCTGTTCCCATCTCTCGCAATATACGATATACATTGAATATGGACTCAATGTCTACTTCCACTACCGACATGGCGGGCATGTCGATGCCTACCGGCCACACAAGCTCCGGCTCAATGGAGCAGATGAGCATGACATTCTTCATATCAACGACAACACCGCTATTCACCATGGCTTGGACTCCAACTTCGACTGGACAATACGCCGGCACTTGCATATTCCTGATCATATTCGCCGCTATATTCCGTGCTCTTCTGGCTGTACGAATCAACTTCTACGACATCCTCGCTTCGGTCAAACAGAGACATGGAGATGATGAGATAGTTCTTTATTCTGGCGATGATAAACGCGCGCGTCGGCGGCCATGGAAGGCGAACGAAGCTATCATACTTGCTCTTGTAGACGTAATCATCGGAGGTATGAGCTATCTATTGTGAGTATGGCTTTCCGTCTGACCGTTCTTTTGCTAAGTAAGTAATACAGAATGATTGCTGTCATGACCATGAATGTAGGATATTTTTTGTCGGTTCTCGCAGGCATTTTCGTAGGAAGCTTGGCTTTCGGGCGCTTCATGGCTCGCTCTGTGGCGCATTAGCTGGCTGGCCCCAAACAAGATCACAAAACCATTCACCTTCAAAAGAGGACATAGCGTAGTATCAATGACCAGTTGATCGAATATCTCCCCCAAAGTTGTACCGGCCTTGATCTCTTCCAATTTATGTGACAACGGGTTCGTGTCCACTACGTGAACAGGTACGACTGGGTTGGATGGGTACATTTTCCGCCACACTGCGTCCTGATACAACTGTTGCGGCGGAAAGAGATCTTTCGCTCCGTGGGTCTCAATAAGCGGGAGATGTAGGTAACAACCTTCATCAGGCAGACTGTGGAGATGGATGGATGTGGAGTAACAAGTCTTGCATATCTTCCCTGAAAAGAGAACGCAATCGCGCCGATCGAGCGCGTCGAGTCTAGGAAATGGATGATTGAACCCATGGGTATCTCGTTGGCGAATACGATCAAAATAAGTCCTGGTCTGTACAGGAAACAGGTACTCCAGCCATGGGTTGAACTGGACGGACTGTACATCCACATTTGTCGGGTCTGGTGGGAAGTTTGGAGTAAGCCACAATGCTTTACGGCACACGGCTGCGTTGGTGACGACGGAATTGAACATGCGATTGACGCGACGTGCTTTGAAAAGATGGAGGGGTCCGAAGTCGCCCTGGATGAAGATCTCCTCGACAAGTTCTCTGATTGAGAACACCCGTGTTACAGCGCTGGTCGAATCCATCTCGCGCGAGTCGATCTGAGGCTTCAAAGAACGGCGTGTGATGGCAGATGTTGAGGGAGAGGTTTGATGGAAAAGATAGGCAACGAATGGATTATGGTGCAGCGCAGATAATATACCTGAGAGGTAATGGGAGGAGCAATACGAAGTTTCAAGGCAACAACCCCATGGGTGCCTTCACAGCTTCCTTTCTAGTCCGTATCGGGCAAGTGATTCCAAATACGGTTAGACAACCATCGAATTCAGTTGGCAACATCAATTGATGTTATGGGTCTCTCTGGCTAGAATCAGGCAGGTCATGATGAAGTGAAAATGAAAAAGCTGTATACGCAAGGGTGGTGAATATCGGCAGACACGGGTATGTGGTTCTGGGGCAACTTTTACAGTCCTTGAGAAGAGTTCTTGAATCGCGATTTATGTGCGCTTGAAGCTAACCAACGTGTAAATAGATGGCAGATTGAAATTCTTCACTGTCAGATAGAAGTAGACATTGCTCGTCGGTGTACAAACTAATGGAATATATTGCACAATTCTTGATCAAGAAAACCGCATCGGGCAACTAATTATACCTAGTTCTGGCATACGAGAGTACTGAAGTGGACCTTCAACTTCAAAGTCACGAGTGCTGCGCAGCAAAACCTTTATCACTGTCTCTACAGCACTGAGTGTTGTCAGTAATTTACTACCCTTTGTGACTGAGGCGTTACTCACAGTCGAGCCAAAGGCATTCCTACGCATCTATGCCTACCGCGACCAAACCCTAGATGCATGGCGATGTTTTCTCTGTGTAAGATAAACTCCTCTGGGCTCTCAAATATCTCTGGATCGCGATTTGCAGAAGTATAATTCAGCGTGATGGGTTCCCGTGGCCGGATGGTTTGACCGTGCAAGTGAACCTCTTTCGAGACTGTCCGCGCAAATCCTCGATACGGACTGTACAATCGTAAAAACTCCTCCAAAGCGGCTGGTATCAGTGATTCATCTTCTCGAAGCCTTTTTTGGAGATTTTTGTCTTCTGCGAGATGTTTGCAGATGGAGCCGATCAAGATCGGTGGGGCAACCACGCCAACGACCAAGGACTGACGTAGACATCCGCTTTGGAAAAATGGTCAGTTTCCTCTGCACCACCGAGCGTCTCCTTCAGATAAGAAACTTACACCAGGTGTTCCTCGCTCAGAGGATTGCCCTCGGGATCTGTCTCAAGCAACAACGACGACGCCGGATCCTCCTCAGCATCCCTCGGATTCGCCCGCCGGTCAGCCAACAAATCCCTCGCAATCTGATACATCTTCATCGAATTCGCCGTCACCGTCTCCCCATCTTGCATTCTCCACGCATTAAGCCACGCCGCAGCCGTCGTTGCGAGTTTAGGCGCCACATCGGGGTCGAGATTCAACCACTCCGTTTCAACACGCGCCACGTAATTCGCGCCAAACTGCGCACTGATATCTCCCCTCCCGGTCGCAAGTAACGGAGCAAGTTCGGTCTCAGCATGCCGTTGCAATGGCTCTGCAAGTCTTCTTATCCTCGAGGGCTTCAAGGTCCGTTCTAGCGCGGTTCGGAACGGCGTGTGCGCTGGGGCGTCGAAGTTTAGTGGCGGTCGGCGGATTCCTCGTGGGTCGCTGGGTACTACTGCTTTGACGGATGAGATGTAGGTTTCGGAGTCGAGCGCGGCTCTTTTCACGTCTTCGTACCGCGACATTATCCAGTACCCGCCATATTGAGAGGTGTATATCAGTGGGCATTCTTGTCGAAGGTATTGGTACTCATTGTAAATCTTCTCTGGGTCGTTACTTATTACTGCGTGTGCTTTGTTGATATCGAAGTCTCCGATAGGGCAGTGTCCCTTAAAGTCGGACGTAGTCATAGTTGATAGGTACGAATTGGTAGAATGCCGCTGGGTGAGGTGACTGTACAAGGGTAGTACCGGTCGCACTCTGCGAGGACAGATAAGCATGCGCTCAACAGGGCCTCGGATTTATTGCTTGTTAATTTCACAGATTTCCTTCAACGATAACTTTATTAGCTTGACCAAAACTTCGATCAACACGCTGCGGCCGAAGCGTAAAGTCACGTGGTTGTATGAATTCGATTCACTGACACCGCGATCTCGCCCTCAGGTTCCCGTACCTGTCTACGAGAAAGCCCGAAGCATGATACCACCGTAAAAGAACCCCCAAGTATATCTACAGATCTTCCACTGCCGATCGTTGGGGTAAACTACCGGTGTGTATGAGGACTTCCCCTTTCAGCCTAGCGCAGTTCTCACTTCACTACATTAACCGTCGCCCATCGGCTCGCCGCTTTTAAAGCGAAGCCCTAGAAAATCGATGACAGAGAGCGACATCCTACTTGCTACACTCCAGCCAAATAGACTTTATTGCATATATCGGGTGTGCTGTACTCGCCTTCTTGCTGTTTGCGCTATACATTGGGGCCCTTACTGCAACAAGCACTTACGGATTGTGGTCCAAGTTTTAAGATAGCCCGTATGCCCATGATTTGAATCAGTCAGTTTGGATCATAGTAAGTAGAAATAGTTATAAGACTACACAAGTCAGCTTCGGTCGGTAGGATAGGTCCAACTCCACCAGCAGCCTCACATTGAAGGGCATCTATATGCAGATGAGAGATCTACGGCAGGTACCAGAACACAACTACTACTAGTAGAGGGCTGCACATATCTCTAAGTACATATGTACACCTCAAAGCATTTCCAAAACTTCGGCCTCTTCACAATCTTACCAATCATGGTTATCTGTATTAAAACTCCCATAATAGTTAGGCACTTATGGGATGTCGAGTGGCAACTACTCTAACTGGCGGAAATAGCAAATAAGCGGCTGAACTAGCGCGCGACTATGCCGAAGCGCGCTAGCGTTCATATTAATCTATGTATAAAACAACCGTATTCGATAAGTGATGTGCTCCCTAAGGCGATTGGAAGACTTTTAAACAGTGCTGATCAATTAACCTTAGTCGTTAAACCTGGATTAGGGATAATACAATTTTTTTTCATCAGGGTGTTCAAGTAAATTATTGCGTTGAGGCAATACATGTCTTTCATGTTAAGTTAGAGAGCAAACGCACGACAAGTTCAACACTGAAGTCGATAGCATTAGCAGCGTTTAGGCGACAGATAGCAGTGCAAACGTTTGCGCAGGCTGATAGTGTGTCTTATTCCTGTGCGAATAAAATTCAGTGTTTGAGCACCAGAACTAGCGTAACGTATATAGTCCGTCATCAGCAATATGAATTATACAAAGCTGAATAAACATGAATTTTTTTCCTCGACAAGAAGCCCATGTGTCTTGATCTGAGATCAGTCATGACTCAAAGTACTGCCTGGGGCGCGACGAGAAAAATACCGGTTTAATCACGCTACAGGCCCAATGCATCAATCTCTCCTTTCGTCAAGCCCGCCCACTCCAAAGTCTTTTCCCATATCAGATCCTGTTTCTTTTCATCCATACTAGCAGGAGAGCTGTCCGACTTTGTCCTAAAGTCAAAGTGGCCCCTCTCCCCGGGGTGAGACTTTTGAAGGGCTAGATCCATGAGGACTGGGCCGACTTCAGTCACGCTGCGCATCGTAGGATTGATGTAACACAAGATAGGCTGAAAAGGCTGTAAGATGAACCTCTGTAGATACCATAGAGTTGAGGGAGTGTTCGTGCGCAGCGCACGTGAGTCGGTTAGAGATCCGGGTTCCATGGCAACTGCATTGACCTTACTCAAAGTCGAGTGCTGAAGATAAGACAAACACAGTTAGTCCAATGGAGGCTGCGAACGGATAATCAGAGACATACTGCTAACAAGCGCCTATTCAATGCATGTGTCCACATGACTGCAGCCAACTTCGAGTTGGCGTAGCGCTGGAATGGTCGACCGGTATAGTCAGACTCAACGGGCGGAGTCGCTAGCGCGTCGACGTTGTCCGGAATCTCCGGCGCCTTTTTCTCGAGAGGATTCCTCCCGGGCCAGTGAGCATCAGTGCTTAGCGTGACAATCCGGGCGCCTGCGGGATCGAAGTGGTCTAGAAGACGGAGGACAAGTGTAGCGTGTGCGATATGATTGATTTGGAATGATTGCTCGAAGCCATCAGAGGTCAGGATTGGTTCGGGCGAAGTGAGGTTCCAATGGAATGCATTGCAGATGATGGCCTTAACCCTGGGGTATGCCCCGTTGTCGATATTTCGGGCAACGGTCTTGGTGAAATCGCGGACCGCTGAGAGCTTGGACAAGTCTAGCTCGTGTATAACGGTTTTGGCTTGTGGGAACCGGGATATCTCCGCTCTAAGAGCCGCTGTGTTTGGGTCCTTGTCTGATGCGTTACGAACAGTCAAGATAGCCAAGTGATCTGGCAACGTCTTGAGGAGATGGACGACTGCGGGGATGGCCAGAGATCCATTGGCGGCGGTAATGATAACTGAGCCCGCCATTGTTTTTTCGGGGGAGAATTCAATGAAAAAGTGCTGATTTTTCAGGCGGCCTTTGACTGCAGATGACAGCCTTGAGGTATGTATTCGGATTCAGCTTACGATATGTACCAAGTGTAGCTGACCAGAGAATCAGCGGTCCTCTACACCTTGGGGCTTGGTGTTCGTATACGTAAGAGCCGCTTAGACTAGTGCAATCCTGAATCAATAACAACAATCTCGGAAACCGACCATCCTTGCAAGGCGGTCATGGCGCCATGGCTGAAATAGTCTAACCGAATGATTTGACGGAACTAATGTGCAGATTCGTCGCAGTGCGCATGTATGGAGCATACAAACTGCAAGTCATCCCAGTGACTGTCTCCAAGCTGTCGGTCCTGTTAATCTGTACAGCCATGGCATTCCCTCTACAATTTGGGATCACTTTACCGAACGTATTGGTTTACTTGTTTGTTCTGTGTGCGATTGGTCTTGCGATACAGCGTCGATACTTTTCTGCTTTGAGCAATATACCAGGTCCTTTTTGGGCATCCATAACGCGCCTTTGGAATGTATGGTATATCGTGAAAGGAGACCACAACTTACGTCTTATCGATTTACATGCCAAACATGGACATTTCGTACGGCTATCACCCGACGAGGTGAGCATCAGTCACCCTGATGGGCCTAGAGTTGTACTTCAAGCGCTGCTTCGCAAGGTATGCATTTTTATGTTCAAGAGTGTCGGATGTAATGCGATTTTCAACACTAACGAGAGGATAGTCGGATTGGTATCGCATTTTCAGTCTCCCCGATTATCGCTACCGGGCGCCGCAAGCTGAGCTTGACCCAAAAACCAAGATCAAACGATCTAAACTCTTCCTCTCAGGCTTTTCGCTCTCGCATCTACTCAAGTCCGAGGAACACTTTGATCGAAATATCGAGCGGCTCTTGGAATGGATGAACAAGCACGCTCAAGAGCATCGGCCCATGCACTTGGACAAATTTTTCTCGTACGCCGCATTCGACAATGCGGGAGAAGCAGTATTTTCTCAGTCCTTCGGCTTCCTTGAGAAAGGCGAAGACGTTGGAGGCTCTATTCAGAACAGCCGGTACTTGAACCGATATCTTGGAATTGCGGGATACGCTTATTGGCTGCATGTTCTCCTTGTTGCAAACCCTATCATGACATGGACGGGTATATTGCCTCTAGGACACGTTTTTCACACTTCCAAAGCTGCATTGGAGAAGCGTCGCAAAGACCCTGGTGCGCGCTTCGATATCATTGCTCACTGGCTGAAAACGCAGAAAGAGCGCCCGGACCAGCTGAGCGATCGCAACATAGAGGCTCAAGCTACCCTCAGTGTTGCAGCGGGGTCTGATACACTTTCTTGTAAGTGCCAGGCGTGGGCTGATACATCGATGTGCCCTAAACTCCATGGTCATGCTTTACTGACAGGATTTTAGGTTCTCTACAATCGTTCGTGTACCACCTACTTAGACATCCTGTGTTCTGGCAACGAGCACAGGCCGAGATCAAAGATGCGCAGAGCCAAGGTCGCTGTACCGGACGCGTTGTGTCATACCATGATTCACAGCAGCTTCCGTTTCTACAGGCTTGCATCCACGAGTCTTTGAGGATATACGGACCTAGTCCCTTCGGCCTCGCAAGAATAGCGCCGGAGGGTGGAATCACTATTGGTGAAACTTATTTCCCCAAAGGGACGATATTGTCCATCAATCCACAGTCAGTCCACACCATTCCGCCGTCAAATCACATCTTTATGTGAATTGGAATCTCTAATAATTGTGCACACACAGGGTGATGCAAAAGTCTGAAGCCTGCTGGGGGCCAGACGTAAACGAGTTCAAGCCAGATAGATGGATGGATGGGGAAATTGCTGCGCGATATAAGCACATGCTTGTGGTGCGTAGAATACCCCTTTACCCCTAATTTGCATCTCTGCTAACATTACCGACAGTTCGGAATGGGATACAATAGATGTCCTGGAGAACATTTGGCCTACCTCCAAATATCTAAGATCGCGGCTACGATTGTACGCGATTATTCGATCCGCCAGGTAGACCCTGAGCAGAAGTGGACGATCGAAACTTATCTCAACTGTGTTCCCCATTCATGGCCTGTCTACATTCAGAAGTTGGGAGAGAAGGCGTAAATTACGTGAGATTCGATTGCTTGTTATTGCGTGGGTCGGATTTAGTAATCGGTATTATGTCTCTGAGATTAGGATTTTCATATGTGCTGCTGTTATGGGGCAAAGTGGCCTTATCGTGGTAACTGTAATTCCCGTAAATAGAAGTTTCATGCAATCACGTTATCATTTTTCGGCCCTTCCATAAAAATTCTTTGCATGGAACATGCACTCGAAGTTTCGAGGGATAAGTCTTTACCCTCGCCCTGGGTCGTGGATAGATCTGGGGGTCCTGCATCTACCCCTGATTGCATTGATTGCATGTCACCGCTGCATATCAGGACGAAAGCTTAATTTCGGATGCTTCCCGAAATCGCACAGTCTTTCCGATCGATCTCAACTGAAGCAGATAGATTAACTGGTATTATTCCCCGACGCAACTCAGACACAGTGAGTTGATGTTCGTCAGAACGACTTTGACTGTGTTCAACACTATGTACGGGCTCACTGCTTTCCCGCGGCGAACCGAGGTGCATCAACAAACTCCGGCAGATATCAGTGGAAGTTTCAGTAAAATTATCGAACCTCTCATTTCACATTATGTTTGGCTTGCAGTATGCGATGAAATAGCCAACTATTACATTATCCGAAAGATAAGTGAATGTCCAAAATGAATGCTGTACCAGAGGGAAACGCTGATTCACTCCAACTTGTCGCGTCCCGCAAAGTGCCAATGGAAAATTGAAGTCCTCATCTTGCTTTGCGCAAGTGACCAATCTGTCGACCACTTGCGATAGAACGGCCGATAGCCCAATAAGCCTCCCAGGCATCTTCCTATGAGAATCCCGAGGATCTGTGATGTTCGCCTTCTGAATGGCACCCACCATGGCAGGACTATATATGAACCTCCAGCATCGAACATCTGTTTTGATCAGCGCGTGAAATCAAAGGGCAAAGTTCGAGGTTTTTCTCCGAGGAAAACTTACAGACATGGTCTGAATCAGACTTATGCTCTTACGATCCCGTATCATCTCATCCTGGTAACCGTACCAGTTCTCAAAGAACAGGTAGTCCATTTTGTACATTTCTTCCGTTCTTTCTCCAGACGCCTGGAAGCTAACTCTATTGCCGTGGGTGGACGAGTCTTCCCCTTGCGCCGAGGGCGGCAGCGTATATAATCGATGTATTGCCCAAGGCTTGACGAGAAACTCACCGTCCTCAGAGGTCAACACATGTTCTTGGCCTTCAAATTCGACCGCCAGACTCCCTTCGGTGACTTTTATGTACTCTTCTTGATGGGGGTGGAAATGGAGCGGGGGTTTGCCGGACCTGAATTTGGCGAGCGCAGGATGATCGAGCTGAAAGGTTGCCTCGAAGGCGAAGTCTCTTTTTGGGTGGCGCTTCCAGCATATCGTTAATGCGCCGTCGAACCTGGGATGCAGTGCCGATAAGTAAAAGTTTCGAAAGCAAATATGAATGCTAGTGTTTCTTCGACTTACACTGTGACGATTTTATCTTCATATGGAGCTGCCATGTTGGGAGGCCTTTTGCAGGAAAACCCGGTCTGGGGGGCGATGGAATCTTCATACTGTATCGGATACAACGAACCATGTACGTTTACAAATAGAACGTTGTTGAATCCTCTGATGTCGAATCATGTGCGTGCATAGTGAAATAGTTGTTGGATCCTCGTGTATGTCACCCCTGTTGCGAAAATAAACTAGTCCTTACTACGACAATGTGGTGTGATACAGAAAGACGACTCCAAATGAGAGTAATCATTTGCATTTGATGCACTCACTATGGGTTGTGTGGGTGACATTTGCCTCTGCAGGCTTCCCCTCTCTAATACGCCCATGTACGAATTCGGTTGAGATGCATATGGCAGGCAATTAATTCGGTAAGGCCGTGTACACAGTACCGACGCCCTCGTACTCAGTGCCGGTTAGTCTACCCGAGCATTACTTCAACAGGCATACAGTCGCATCCTTGCTATATCTTAAGACTGAACCATCAGGCGGTAAGCAGGATTACGCTTGATACGACGGGGACTATCGGTGTCCGGCCTTGGCTCTTGGATTCACAACCCTGCAAGAAAGCGTGGCCGTCTTACATCTGTCAGCGCCAACCACGAGGAGGGCTTCGCTTGGCTTTCGACCAGCGCAAAGTGTGGGTGACTGCATGGCTGTGTATGGTCTTAACCTGGCGCTTAGTCTTACTGCATTCTTGATAAGGTAATGGAATCCATTCGGCCATCGTCTAGAGAGCATAGTATGGCCTGGGCTCTTGTCTGCTAGATCCTGTCACTCCCCAAACGTACAGGGTTTTGCAACTCCGCAATTACCGCTCGCATCGTTTCTTTTTTGGTAACCGAGCCTTCTGTTCCATACAATCGTCCACGTACTTGAGGACGTCATTTCTGAAGATTTGTGTGACCCTCATCTCATTAGCTCTAAACTCACCTTTCGCTATCCCCTCCACCATCACGGGGCGGCTTAGCGCCAAAAAGGCAGATAGACACCTTCTTGTCTCTATCTCCCACCCTCTCTTTCTCATCTACCCCTCCCTCTTCTCCACCCCTCCACTATCATGCAGCGTGTTGGCCCACCTCCTGGCGCACCACCTGGGCCCCCTCCCCTTCCCCCGGGGCCTCTGCCTCCAGATGTCAGCCGTGGCCCTGCCATCAACATCGTGGGCTGGGTAGGCGCATCAATCTGCACCGTCTTCGTTCTTCTTCGCCTTTACAGCCGCCATTTTATCACTCGCACGCTGGGATGGAGCGACGCTATCATCGTTTTTGCACAGGTACTCAACATCATTGCAACCGCGTTAGCCACTGTCTCTGTCCATTACGGTACCGGAAGACATGCAGTGCATATCCCCCTGGAGAATATTGAACCTGCACTGTTTTACGGGGCTATCGTACGACCGTTCAGTATTACCTCGTACATTTTGCCGAAGCTGTCGGTCGCGCTATTGATCATCTCGTTGATGGGAACCCAGAAGACGGGCGTGTGGTTTCTATGGTCAGTGATTGTGGTACTCTTCATCACGTCGATACTGTCTTTCATCATGTTATTTGCCCAGTGCAACCCACCTGATCACATCTGGAAGCCTATGGAACCGGCAATGTGCTACCCAACCATTGTACTGGATAGCATCACGTACGTGGCAGGCTGTAAGTACTCTTCGCTGGCATCGTTATTGAACTTGGCAATCTGACTGATTACCTTGCAGCCTGGTCCGCGTTCACGGATTTGATTTTAGCCGTGTATCCCGTGTGGATTTTGCGCAACCTTCAAGTGAAGAAATCGAAGAAGATTAGTATCATGATAATCATGGGCCTTGGATTCTTGTAAGTTTCCTTTTGGACGGTGGATGTTGAAGTACCGTGTCCGCTAACATGGGGAAATTTTCAGCGCGATGATCGCTGCCATTGCAAAGACCACCCAACTTTCTGCGAACAACTCGCCAGATGCGCCTTACGAACTATTCTGGCTGTTCATAACCACGTAGTATGTACACCCCTGGTGGCCCAGCCCAACTTTCGTTGCATTTCATGACTAACAACACATTTTCACAGTGTCGAAACCGACCTTGTCATCATTGCAGCTTGCGCGCCTACGTTACCGAAATTATTCATGAGATTGATGGGCAAGGATACCGAATTGCCTACCGGTCAGTCAGGCTACGGATCTAAGAAAGTAGGTCAAGGCTACAAAGAGTTTGACAGCGAGAACAGTCATTCTGTCCCACTCGACACGATCAAGAAGAAGGTGGTAATCTCTCAAAATTCTCAGATGGTATAGCTTCGCTTGGTCAATCATAGAAGGTTCTAATTCTGTTATTTGATCATCGCATTTCCATCATGGAAGGTTCATTTCATTCTGTATATATTGGCTGATAATTGTTGTATTTCATGTATATATGTTGTACGAACCGCTCTAGACAATGTTAATGATTATTACTACAGAATGATTGCGATCGCGCATGAACATCACACCCTCAAATTTTCATATAGTATTGTTATACGCTAATAGCTTCAGACCCACCGAGTCATTTGATTAGCCGCTAAGCCGATGATCATCGCCAAATTCAAACAAACATTGCGCACTTGCGATTGATTCGAGTCCACGGCGAATGTTGAGCACATAGCAATTCTATTCTCATCGAGAAGATCCAAGCGCTTCCTACATACTAGAATAAAAGGCTATGCTAGTTCGCACTCGATCAAATGCTCAAGCGCATTGTCCGTCTTCCAAATACCACAAACTTTCAGCCCCGAACCCTCCAGCAAGTTTCTCCAATTCTGCTCCGTGCGCTCCAGCGAAGAGGAAGTGATCATCACCATGACATCCTCGGCAGTTGCCTGCCAATCCGCACCCATGGCGGGGATGACGTTCTCGTTGACCAAGAGCTTACTATACCCTGGCTTCATAGCTTCAGAGACACGAGCGAGGATCTTCTGGCAGACATCGTCCGGCCAGTCATGCAGCACGCTGTGCATGTAATACGCTCGCGCTCCTTTAATCGGATTCTCCGTGTAGAAATCGTAGGCCATGGTCTCGATTCTGGAGTCAATAGCTTGGATCTGCGACAGGACGCTCTGAAGATCTTGGAGGATGAGACGGCCGGGGACTTGGGGATGCTTGCGGTTGAACTCGCTGATGTCGTGGCCCACCGAGCCGCCAATGTCGACGAGAAAAGCTGCATCGCTGCTCTTATCTGCTCCCTCGATAAGTCGCTCGCGCACGGGGAAGAAACCTGTGTCCACTAGATGCGGACATTAGCTGGAGTGGTGCTCAATGTGGAGCGATTGACCTACTCCAAGAATCTCTCCCTTGGCGATAGGCGCTCATGTGATTGTGGAAACGCCGGAAGTTGACTGGATCTTCTTCAAGATGCTCGAGCATGTTGAGTTTCGTGCCATGGGCGAATTGATAGGGGCTGTTTAGTGCGTCTGTCGGGACTTTGTAGCCCGTCTTCTTCAGAAACTTGGGAAGTGTGCTCGTCGCGATTTGTACATCCTCGGTGCTGCGAGTCTGATTAGTCGATGATCGCACGCTGGAGTTCTAAAAACGGGGTAGCTAACATCAAAGGGTAGCCATCGCCTATCAGCGGAATGTTGAGTGATTTGGAGAAGTTTGTGGCTCGATACTCGTCAGGACCGGTCTCGTGTATGTATCCCATTGCTGCGAGGTGACGCAAGAGTCGGGCTAGTAGCTCATACGTCAGTCTCACTTTCACAGTCAAGGATAAAGGAAAATGAGGGACAAGCTTGTGTGCTTTGAATGCGCAAATGTGTAGAAAATCTTACCAACGAGCAGAGGGTCGACATTGAGCTGCTGGGCAAGATCGGAGGATTTCGACGCAGAATCGCCTTGTTTGGCTAAAGCGCCAAAAAGATTGATCTGGATACCAACCTCAATGGCAGTAAAGGCAGCAGGCTTGAGTAAAAGTTAAAAATGATTCTCATCTCTACGTTCTGGAGGATGTGTGTACTTGGGCCCAGCAATGCTTAATCATGGTCTCCCGAGGAGTCTCTAGAGCATTCACCAATCCCCGAGTGGCTTTCAACAGGCGAAAACGGGCTTGCGTGTCACCATTAGCGACCTGGGTACCCAATTGGGTGATTTGTTGGACAAGGTCAGGGACAGCGGCCAAATCGCATGGTTCGAGTGCAATGTTCATGTCAGCCATGGCGAAGTCGGACACAGGTGGTCAATTCAAGGCTCTGAGATATTAGAAGTGAAGTTGCAAGCAGGAACATGGTAGTATACATGTAGAAGAGAGGCTACGATTAGTATGGAAAACAGTTGGATAGACTAGACGAATATTGAGTAGACTACTCGGTACCCAGTACCTAGGCGCTGCAAGTTGATCAACACCCATGACTCGCTGACTTGATAAACCCATATCATTCTGGCACGTTACATAAGTCACTAGTGACACCCCATACAGGTAACAAGGGGGAAGTCCACAAAGCACTAAGACATATACGATTACATAGTCCGTTGCCTGTGGGGCGTGCTGATGTCAATCTGATCAGCCGTGATTCGCCGCATCTTAAATATCCGGTAAGAATCACAAACATGTCTCGCAGTACTTGCATAAGGATTCATCAGGTGAGACAAATCAGTTGCTGACTACATGACACTATTGACTACTTCAGTTACAATGATTACCTTACTAGTAATACCCCTGGGTGGGCGAGCGCCTACTTGGGCGGGAACGCCAGTTACCCGAACCCCGAGGCTGGTTTAAGACAGCCATCCTAGTAGAGTGTAAGCATTGAACCCCGAAGCTAATGTGAGATGCATTGCATAACAGGGCAAAGACGGGGCTGTGTTACCTCACCATGTTGATCGCTTCTAACCTATTCCATCAACACCAGCATGCTGCCAATTGATGTTTTGGGGGGGCGGGGATAGTTACGCGCTCTTGACCGCGTTTGGATACTCAACAGCCGCATGCATGCTACGCCGCGTTGTAAACCACAACAACGGGAATCAAAGGTCAGAAACAATATAGGTTGCCTTCAAATAACATTTATTCCCACCTTTCCAATTCAATTTTGCTCTTCGTTCAATCCCCTCCGAATTTCTTTCCCTCTATCTACATTGCATACTCTCCACCATGGCAACCCAGGCTGATGATGTCAAACGCGAAGAACAAATAACCCAAGCTTTGAGTCAGGTCGAGGCTCATGCCAGTCAACTCAAGAGCGGTGACCCTGAAGCTCGCCAGAAGCTCATTGCGAGTGCCCGTGAGCTCGTTACTGCAGCCGAAACCCCAGTCGAAACACTTCTGTGGAACATCTGGGCACTTCCCACCCGTACCACCGCTCTACGTATCGCGGTAGATTTGAAAATCTTCGAGACAGCTGTGGCCGATAATGGAAGCCCTAAGACGAATGAGCAACTGGCTGCCCCAACAGGTGCATCGCCTACCCTCGTCAAGCGTGTCGCCAGGGCCTGCGCGTCGATGAAAATGTTGGACGAGCAAGCTCCAGGTGTTTACGCAGCCAACTCTCTCACCCAACTTTTGGCGCAACCCGAATACGCCGCCGGCATTATCTTCACGTTTGATATGACGCAAGTTCCTTTTGCGAACTTGCCCACCTACCTAAAGAACAACAAGTTCCAAAACCCCGAGAATGGTGTAGACGGGCCTTTCCAATACGCGCACAAACACGAAGGTCACGCCTTTCATTTCCTGACCGCCCACCCAGAGATCTTCCAAGCCTTCCACGGATATGTACACGCACTGCGCACGCACCGTCCCAGCTGGACCGAGATGTACCCTGTCCAAGAACGACTCGTTCAAGGCCTGAAGACCGAAGGCGATGCCTCAGCACTCATCGATCTGGGTGGTGGCGTCGGGCAGACATTACAAGACTTCACCAAGGCCGTCCCAGAGTACAACGGCCGCCTTGTCCTTCAAGAGCTCCCCGAAGTCATTGGAGCCGCGACGGCAATGGGTGTAGGCGCAGACAATCGCATCGAGCTGCAAGCATACGACTTCTTCACACCGCAGCCTATCAAGGGTGCACGCGCTTACTTTATGCGCTCTGTTCTTCACGATTGGCCCGATGAGCTCTGCCGTAAGATTCTCGCCAACATCAAGGACGCCATGGAGCCGGGGTACTCCAAGATTCTGATTAGCGACTGTGTACGTATAACATAACTCGTATTCTTATCATATATACGGACTACTGACTTCATGAATAGGTGCTTGCGGACCAGGGCGCATCATGGCAGCACCTGTCATTGGATCTGTACATGATGGCGCAAGCCTCCTCCCAGGAGCGCACGGAAAAAGAATGGCACAAACTTATTGAAAGCTGTGGCTTGAAGATCGCCGGCATCTACAACAAGGGAGATGGAAACGAGGGCTTGATCGAGGTCGTTTGCGAGTAGATTCCCAAGACATATCAAAATCTCAATACGAGCGATTTTTTCAGCTTTGGAATGCGCTCGACTACATCAACTAATTGACTGTAGTTTCGCACGCGCTAGTTCATTGCATCTGCAGGCGTACACGTGAACAAGCACATGGCTCGTGAAGCACCTATAGCCCTCCACCATTGACCTGCTTCGGCTTCAGCTTGATCATACAGAATTAGATGACCTATACGCAGTTCATCTTGTTCGATGCTCTAACTGTGCACCGAATTTGGCGTGCTGCATATTTTATCCATCTCAAGCTTGATATTAACGATGTATGGTCATGCCAAAATCCTGGAACTACTCGAGATATAAGTCGATTTGTGGTGTTGAGACTCTCGTTGAGACCTAATCTGCGCTCAACTATCTGAAGATTGATAAATATTTTCTGTTCTAGATGGAATAGATGTTTTCGCCTGAAGCCCATGGAAAAATCATGGCGTTGTCATGCTTGTACTGAGCTGCATCTATTGATCGCGATGCTTACACATTGTTCCAGTACTTGGAAAATACCCTAGCGATTCGAAAGCGTATAATGTCAAGAATTCGACGCTGGCAGTCTTGGACTTTTAGATCATCAGCGCCACATTCATTGAATTATTCAAGGCCTATACGCCTGTTCACACATCGTGGACTAATGAATCAAACTGCATCGAAGGTTTTCGGGCAGAGCATAATATCAAGTGTGATAAATGTCTCTAAAAGGAAAACATTATGGGAAAAGGTGGTGTTGGAGCTACGAAGCTAGAAAAAGTATCTTTTCGTCGAGGAGGAATATGAATGGGCAGACCTTGATTAAGATCGAGGGCAGCAGACAACACACTTGTTTCTACTATGGATAGGTTTAGTTGCAAAAGAAAAGCATGATGATTTGAGACTATCACAATCAGCAAGTCGTGGCGGCAGCACTCAGGGCTAGAATCGAGCAGATGGTATATACATGTCAGAGGCATTGATGCAGGCTTGGTGTGATCGTCGCTTGTTTCCCATTTGCCCTTTCCAACTTGATATATAAATACAGAGCCTAGATGTAGACACAAGAAGAGGGTAATGAGTACCAATGCAAGAGGTTGACTTGATGACTGGGGTGGGACAGCCTCTAAAAGCGGCGACAGTTAACTCCCGAAACCAGATCCAACAATTCCCGGATATAGAATCACGGTGGTAAAACGGGTAAACTCGTACCACCATTCGCATACAGCACCGGCTGGCAACCAAGGCTTCGGGACTCGTTCAAGTCAAGACGATAGGTTATGGAGTTGTCGATGAAGTTGCCCTGCATATTTTCACTGCGATGGTTGCAAAATGGCTGGTCGAATTAATAGATGAAGGGACCGGACTGCGGGGTTCTCGCACGGGATCTGAGATTCGATGCAGGTGGGAAGATCTCATATGTATCTTAGCCGATTCATTAAAACATATAGTGGGGTAAGTGAAGAGATCTGAGAGGATGGAATACTTGCTACGCTGTTAAAAGTCGTCCTGCGACGCGCCCTGCAGTTGACGTAAGGTGAGTCTCAAAGACTAAGAAATCTTTCTTCCCGGTGATCGCTTCCGCCGGAGTCCACTCGTAGATTGGGTTTTATCGCGTTGCAGACTTTTCAGGAGCGAACAATCAAAGAGTGATGGATCGTTCCGTCGTCCCAGAGAAAGGCGGGCTCGATCCGAGACATCTTGAGCTCGTTATAGACGGGACAGCTCGTGGCGTTCAAGCTCAATATGAACCAGTAACAGAATCCGAAAAGGCTCTTAACAAGAGGGTGAATCGTAAGCTCGACTTCATCGTTTTGTCACTACTCGCCGTCGAGTTTATCGTAAGTCCGACCATTCAGTGCTACTGATGGATATTTCGCGTGATTTCACGAACTCGTGCTGAAAAGGATACAGTTCTGTGGTATTGATAAAACAAACGTCGGCTTCGTGGCGACCAGCACTTTCCCAAAAGATGCGCATCTCGGCCGTGATGCGATTCCCCATTCCCTATCTTTGGTTCGTATGCTAGTTTGATCTTGTCCTAGCAAAACTAATGCGAGCGCAGTTTTCCGCGACATATGTGGTTTTTCAACCAATCATGGTTGTTTTGGCTCGCCGTGTAGGCGTCAAGTACTTCATCACAGTCCAGTTGATCATATGGGGCGGCATTTGCATGTGCCATGCAGCTGTAAGCAAAAGTCCATGACACGTCAAAAGCTGCAAATCAACTAATCACGTGCGCCTCTATCAAGATCCGCAATAGAGGTACGTTGATAGCACTTCGTTTGCTCATCGGTGCCGCCGAGGCTGGCTTCACTCAAGTCGGCAACTATTACATGTCAACACTGTATCCCAGATCACAATTGGGTATGTACATATCCCTGGATTCAAATCAATGTAAGCTGACGTACACACCATGAAGCCTGGCGAGTGGGTATCTTTTCGGGCATGTATTCAATCGCAGGTGCTTTCGCCGGATTGATCGCATACGGTCTTCTAAAGATAAACACACCAAGTATACATGGCTGGCAAGCCGTGTTTTTACTCGAAGGAGGGTTTACAGTTCTACTCGGTATACTCAGCTTCTTCGTGCTACCGCGACGGCTTGCGACAGCCTGGTTCCTGAATGACGAGGAGCGCAAGCACGCTGTTTATCGCATGGAGGTCGATCTAGCAGGCACACAGGAAGAAGCCGACGTGCACAGCACACGAGTCACGAAACGCGATTTCATCGATGTCATGACAGACTGGAAGAAATTGCTCACCGTGGTGTGCAATATCACGACCGTGCTGCCCGTTAGTGCTTTCACGACCTTCATGCCGCTGGTTGTCAAAGGAATGGGCTTCTCAGGAACAGATGCTACGCTGATGAGCGCACCACCGTTTATAGCGTGAGTTTTCCCATTTCCATCCTTTTGCCATGGTTTTCCGTGTTTTGACTAACGTATTTAGCGGCGTTATTGGCCTGCTCATAATCGTGAGGTCCAGTGATCATTTGCGAGAGCGATCGCTACATACAGTGCTTGGTCTGCTCATCGGAATGATCGGCTGCATCGTAATGGCCGCAAGTAATGAGAACAAACTTCGATATGGCTTTTCCTATGTTTGCATGACAGGCGTATTTGTAGGCGGGCCGCTAGTCGCGGTTTGGCTTGCTGGCAACACGCCGTGGAAAGGTAGCAGAAGCGTCATACTTGGTATCAACGGCTGGAGCAACATCGCCGGAGTTATTGCTGGACAAATATTCAAGGATAAATATGCCCCTAGATGTGAGTTACAGCCGGTTGCATGATGATGTGTGAGCTGACCAATATTGCGCGACCATGTAGATGAAGTTCCTTTGATCATCACCATTTGTATCATGGTAGTTGGAGCTTGCGGACTCATCTTTCTTCGCTTCATGTATCAAAGAGAGAACAAGAAAAGGGCTGAAGAGATAGCAACCTGGGATGAACAGCGTTTTGCCGAAGAAAGCGCGTCAGAGGTTCGTCGTGGTGACCAAAGGAAAACTTTTATGTATGGACTGTAAGCGATGATTTTCTTCGCCAGATCTCCAGGTAAAGTCCATGTAGGGTGGCAGTGTGCATGATGTGTATTCGTGCTTTGATTTGGCATGGAAACATAGAGCGAAGTGTATCCGACCCAAAGTAGAATTATGACGCATCTCTTCCAAATTATGCAGATAACTCTTTATGCGTCACATCCTTTCCAAAAATGGGAGATATTAGCAAAGAGAAGCCAGAGGCCCAGGACATTGCAATGCTACGGCCATCTTCCTCTGATTCGCAATGCCGTTTGTCGTGGCTGTGTCCCGACCAATAAGAAAAACTTTAACAATGCCCTATCGTGCTTCTCTGCGATGATTCACTCAAGTGCCAAGTGTATCTTTGCAGTGATTGGCTGGAATCAGAAATGCATATGTCTTTCTGTTTGCTCACCGCTCCCACCAGATTAGCCATGTTGCGCCAACTCCCACGCGCATCGTTCTCCGCTTCGAATATCCCCAGCATCGACTGAGATCTTCCCAAACACCATCTCCTCAGCTTCACGAACTATGGGCTCACTTGAAATACCACGTACGGTGCAGCATATGCGAAGCTGGGAGGGATAATAAAGCAGTTCAAATGTACCACTACTTAGTCTACCGCCAGTATAATCACACGCAAGGCAAAAAAACAAAAGAAAAAAAAAAGGTAAATATGACTCCTTTCCCGCCATACCCACCCATTCGATGTCCGTCTATGTCGTTGCCACCGATTCAAGTGCAGCAAACCCCCCCCCCCCCCCCCCCCCTCTTTCTTCTCCCACGCAGGATGAATCTCCAAAATCGATCCTCCCTCATCTCTCCGGAACCCTATTAAACCCACAGAGCAGAAAACTCTACGAGTTTGCAACATCCCCTTTCCACGCTACGATAAGGTTTGAAGCAACAATAGAGTGCCGTCCTCATACCTTCTCCGCCCACTCCCTTCCCCTCAAGGAAAAAGCGAAATCGATAATCAAACGTACGTTATTCGCTGCATGCATCCCCAACACATCATTGAAACTCGGAGCCTTTCAAACAATGACGTTTGTACGGTAAGCTCAATCTCTAACTTCGTGCTTGTTCAATCGTCTTCCCTGATTTTCTCAAATATAATTTATCCTTGCTGCGTATTATTACTTTAATATTAACATCATTTCCTAGGGATTGCGATATCATCTGTATATCTGCGCATTCATCATCGCGATCGTATACGAACAATCATCGTATTTTCTCTTATTTGTAGTTTCGTTCAATTCGTTTCTCCGTGTTTCAGCGGGAAAAGGAAAAAGGAAAAAGAACTATGGCGAGGTGGGAGATGCTGCTGCTTATTTTAGGCTGACATATAGGAGAGTGAGCGAGGATGGATAAAGATTGCAGAGCGCAACTGGACTGCGTAATGCGAGCGGGAAGGGGTACGATGTCAACGAATAAGAAACTTTGCGTAGAATGCAAAGGAAGTAGGTACTGCTAACATTGAAGACGTGCGTTGTCGGGGCTGCTTGCCTGAGAGCGCTAGGTTGATGAATGTACAGGAACAAGTTGGGATACATGCATGCGCTGAGGGTGCATGAGCACATCAACACCACACAACAGAGACATGACGAACATGACGAACATCGCCAAACATGAGGAATCATCACACGAGCTCACAGGATCAAGCAAAGAGGAGAAGAAGGTCGAGACAAATAAGTCTGGAATTTTTTTCTATGATTTTATGGACCCACCATATGGCGAGAAGCTTTGCCCTACTTGAACGCCATGTTCAGAGTACCAGGGGAATTTTTGATCGATCGAACCATTGAGCTCCCCGCTTTGAACAATCACTGAACCGAAGACCACAAATCCATCTTAGGGAAAGAGGTAGGGAAACCCAAAGGCCTTCATCCACCGTCGCTGGAAAGAAGCCTTCAGTCGGTGAAGTCAAGTCGTGGTCAAGCCCATTCTGCCATGTAAAGAGTGGCAAAATCACAACGCCCCGAATACGCTTTTATCCTGAGAAGCCTCCCGTCTGTTCATCAACGCAACGATACCCTTGAAACGAGTACCGTCATGTCGCTTTCCATCGAAGAAGTCGGAGAAGAAGTGTATAACAGTCACGCTGCAAATGCAGGCGATGTATTTACCAGCCACCACCACCACCGGAGGAAGCAGCGGGAGCATCATCGGCACCCCAGCCGCCACCGCCACCACCGTTGGCTTCCGCGTCATCCTCGACGACCTTGCGGCAACGCTATAGAAAAGTTAGCATATAATTCACAGAACAAGATAGGGCCATCAACTCACCTTGACGGTATGACCCATCTCGCCGCAGTTGGAGCACTGGACCTTGGACCAATCCTTGGGCTCGGGGCAATCGCGAGAGAAGTGACCTTGCTTCTCGCAGTTGCGGCAAGTGACGCTGTTGGGGTTGCGAGGCTGATCACACTCCTTGGAGATGTGATCCTCAGATCCACAATTGTGGCAAGTACGAGGGGGACGAGCTTCGACGTTGGGGCACTAGAAGGTGTTAGTCGAGCATCAGCCAAACGCGCGAGGTGGATACGATGGACTTACATCACGAGAGAAATGACCCATCTGTTCGCACTTGCGGCACGTAACACCATCAGCAGAGCGAGGCTCGGTGCAGTCGGCAGCCATATGACCCTCCTGCTTGCAATTCTTGCAGGCGTTGGGGTTGAAGCGCTCCTTGGGACAATCGCGCATACGATGACCCTCTTCCTTGCAGTTTCCGCACACGACCTTGTGAGTATCCTCGACCTCGACCTTGGGCTGGGGGCAAGACTTGGCGATGTGTCCAAGCTCGTTGCAGTTGCGGCACAGAGGCAAACCACAGTCCTGGATGCTACCAGCCGACTGAAGACGCTCCATGTTCTCGGCATCATCCTTGGGCCAGCCAACGGCAGACTTCATACGCTTAGGCTTGGCGGTAAGCTGGAAAGACAGAATGTACTTGCAGTCGGCATTGCCGAGCATATCGACGATGGTGTTGTTCTTAGCCAGGCCGCTAGGAAGAAGAGCCTTAAGATAGACGGGAAGTTCGTGTTCACGCAGAGCGGCCTCGACATCGGGGAGCTTGAGATTATCTCCCAGAGCGCGGGCATATGCCTTGAGGCAGATCTTGAAAGCGTCGAGATCCTTGTTCTTGGCAGCGACGACGAGCTTTTCCCAGGCCTCCTCGTCCTCAAGCTCAGGAACTCCGGTCCAGTCAACGTAACGGCGCTCATGGCATTCAGCGGCTTTATGTCCCTGCTTTTTGCAGAGCTTGCAAATGAGTTCGGGGTTGGAAGGACAGTTGCGAGCCTGGTGGCCCTGCTCATTGCAGACGTTGCAAGTACCGTCAAAGGGACGCTCCACGCGGGGGTTGGTGCAGTCAGCCTTGTTGTGACTGCGAAGATACGAGTTAGCAGCGAGCATGCAAGTGAGAAGGTGAATGCTGCCATTCGATTCGATGACTTACCCAACCTGGCCGCAGTTGTAGCACTCGCCAGTCAAGCCGCCACCCTGGCCGGAGAAGCCGCCACCATCGCCCGGGTTGGGACACTCGTGGGTGCGATGAGGACCTGCGCAGCTACTCAATGTCAGTAAAAGTAAGCTCGAAGACAGATGATCATCAGGGCTACACTTACTTGCGGCACTTCATGTCAGTAGAGCCACCGCCATCACTACCGCCGCCACCCCAGGCAGCGCCATCCTGAGCAGCAGTCGTATCGTGCCAATCATCGCCACCGTCGTTCCAGGCAGCTCCGTCGTCGTCTGGAGAAACATGGTCAGTCGAACGTGGTTGCAAAGCGAGCGACAGGGTGCACTTACTGCCGCCGTTCCAGGACATGATTGCTGTCTGGAGACGATCGAAGATGAGGAAGGTGAAAAGTGTAGAAGGAACTGCAAAAGAGACAGAAAAAGTCAGTCGGTGTTGCAGAGCAAGAGAGTGTGTGACAGGTGGTGAGTGGTGTGTGGTGGAGAGGAAAGGAATGAGAGAGGTGGTGGGGGAGGAAGCGTGTTTATGTCGCGCCTGCTTGTTGTGGGCAGAAGCTGGTGGAAAAGGAAGGAACGTGACGTCGCCCGCCAAGCTCCGTCTGCCAATTGCTTCAAGCTGCCTCGTCTGTACTTGGGCCAAATAGACGACGAGGAACAGAGTTTTGCCAGGAAAAAGATGTGGATGGGGATTCGACGCACCTTGTTTGGCTCTGGATCAAAGAGGAGGATCTTGGGAGATGGGATGTGCTGTGCAGCTATCAAACGGGCAACAGAGACCGCAAAAAGATGAGGAAAGCCTATCGTGAGGTGGCTTTGGCCGGCTATTCAGAGTCGAGAGGTTTTTGGTGGGTGTTTGCTTTCAGTGCGCTACGAGTACAGCGACTGGTTGCACGGACCTGCAAATTTCGAGAGGCAAGGGCTGCTTTTACTGCGGAAAAGCTATATGATCGTGGGTGAACAAGACATCAAAGCTCGCGGGCTGTATAACGGCGAGGAACTAAGCGGGCAGGTAAAAAAGACCTGTAGGCTATCAGGGTGAGGTTGGACAAGGTAATTGAGCGATGACCAGAACAACAATAGGGAGACGATTCAGCTACTTCTCGCCATGCAGCTCAATTCTTACAGCGAGAACGAGAGCCATCGATTCAATCACAATTTTCCATATCTTCCTGCTACGGGGGACCCCGTGTAGCTTACCTCGAAGGAATTCCGCGCGCGAGATACCATATGCCAGATATTGAACCATCTTCCTCACATCAATCTCCGAGCCCCAACTCACCCAGCGTACGCCCCAATACGCAATATCGAACCTTACCGAATCGTCGAGAAACAACAAACTTCCAAGGCTCATCCGCACATGATATAGGAACACTCAAGAGAGCCCCGTTTACAAGCCATCCACATGCAAGTCTTCTCGTGGCATGACCTGCTTAAAGATCTAAAGATACATTTAGTAAACACATCGGTATGCCTGAAATAGAGAGCCCGCAATCGAGGTGCAAGCAGGAGGTGACGCGCGGGCGCCAAAATCACGGAGGATTGATCTGTACATCATGGTTAAATACATTCATGTCCAATACACGCTGCCGAAAACGAATGGCTGTGTAGATGTGCATACACCGACTTGTTGCTGGACAATTATATACTCGAATATTCGGTTTAAACGCAGAAAATGCATTGGTATTTAGACACATATTTTACAGTAGGAAAGAATTGTGCACGGCTGTGTTGTATTCGTGTATGTAGGGAAGTCGACAAGCGAAGGGGATAAATAATAAGTAGGACCAAAGAAAATTCTGAGCCATGTACTCCTCCTTGTATCAATTGCTTCCGGACTTCTGATATGACTGATACTGACCCTATTGCAGTGAACTGAAATTGTACATATCAACTTATATGTTGGAAGAGTAGATACTTGGCAGAATCCGAGCTATCAAAAGAATGTGTAGGATTGAATATATCTAAAAAAAAATAGGTCTTACTCTACCGAGATTCGTAGAAATCTGAAGAAGAGGAAAATATGTCTATGAATGCTGAAGAGAAAGAAAACGATCGGTACTCGTGTCGATGCATCGTTGAGAGCAGATGAAGATAAAGTAGGGAACATCAGCTACAGCAGCTCAATCAAAACCCAAAATCCCAGACGATGCGTCGCTTCGCGAAAGTATGCTTGACAATAGTCTGCACCGTTCTCGCCCGCGAGTTATTAATAGTCCCGTCGGCTTCTTCGTCTTTCGGTTCCATCTTCCCGGCTGCAAGGACTTCCTGTTCGCCATTGCCCTTGACCCATATGACGTATACGCTGCCTCCACCGTCCATGTTCAAAGCTTGTTTAGCGCCCGAAATCCCATCCTCTTTGGCTTCGGTGAACTCTTTCAAGAAGGTGTCGATGAGGTCTCTCATATCGTTTAATTTGAGACCGCCCTTTGTCTTGTTCTTGGTCGTCAACGAAAAGATGAATTTGTTGGTGTCGCTCATGATGACGGTCACGAGACGGTCGGCGGGTCCGACGGCGTGTAACAGGCTCCCCGGGATGGACCCGTACGCGTGGCGCATGAATTTGATCTTGTTTGGGTCCTCCAACGTTCCGTCGTGCGCTCGAGGTGGGTCGGGACAGAACTCGGGTTCCGAGACGCGGAGTTCTTTTTTGAGATCCGGCCCGCACCACATGTAGCTGCCGTCGGTTCCCTCGAACCGTTCGTAATACCCTGCATAATCGGAGGGAAGTGGGAATGTTTGTTTTTCCTCGGGGTCGGTAGACGTGAAACCGATCGAATAGCCCTTGTACTTGTGGACATCTTCGATGACGGGGCCATTATAGCTCAGAGTCATTTTAGAGTTCCCGGGTAGGACGAAGAAATTTCCGTTGGTAATGACGCATTTGCCGCCTGCTTTTGCCTCTTTCGCTGCGATATCTTTTGGGTTGTTTCGACCTGGATCGCCAACGCAGAGAGTGTTTTGGTTTGGGCCAGAGAATGAAATCACGTTTAAGAAACCGCCCGTTTTCATCTTTCCAAAGACCTTTTGAGCGGCGTCTGGTGCTGTCAGGTAAGCCGCTGTATCTCCCAGATCCTCGGCCTTGTGGAAGAAATAGTGCTCGACGTTGGTGCTGAGGGACCGTTTCCAGTACTCCCCCCAGGGCCTACAACCATCTTCTTCTTCATCTGTAGCTTTTCCCTTGCCTTTGTCCCCCGGAGCCCTGGGAAGCAAGGAAGATGAAAGAAAGGATTCCAGGATATCACGGACATTCTTCTTCCCCTTTTTGGTTTTGGCCCCTTTCCTTTCGCATGCTTCTGCTGTTCCGTTCGCCACCGAAGTGGAATTCGTAGCGCTCGTGGTATCAGACGTTTTCTTGCCCGTCTTCTTCCCCTTCTTCCCCTTCTTACCGGTCTTCTTCTTCTTGCCCTTGCCACTGGTCTTCTTGCTGCCCTTTCGACCGGATTTGCTCGTCTTCTTAGTCTTGCCAGAACCCTTATTCCCGCTAACTCCTCTACGAGAGTTATGCAGCGCCGTGTCTAGGGCATCATTCTCGGGCCCGATTTCTTTCATGAATTCGTGGATCGAGTACTGAGCATTGTTGCCAATGATAGAGCCGCCCTTGCCATGTTCAATAGCCATGCACTGGTGGGCGATGCTTTCGAAATTTTCGCGGCAACCGGCATCGTCAACTGAAACTTCTTTGTCGAGCGATTTCACCTCCAGATAAAGTGATCCGCATACCTTGGATGCGTCGCCGGTAACGCATAGGTCTTTGATACAGCTCAACGTGTGGTTGAGGTATCTCTGAGCATCGCCGTCGAGGAGAGGAGCTCGCGCACCATCGCAGGTAACGCTTGCTAAAACCCCAGGGAGGGCCAAAGAGAAAATGGCCGGGAGGACGGGAGCGCGCATCGTGAAGAAATCCCGAGGAACTCGATCGAAATCGTGCAACGTAACAAAGGAGCGGAGGGAAACTGTAAGGCTATGCTGTGACGAGAGTAACGCAGAATGTAAGTAGAATATAACAGCCGCCGAGAAGGGACTTGCGTAGGTAGAGGTCCAGTAACGACCGAATGAAACGAATGTGTTGGTCTAAGTAGCAGAACCAAAGATGCAATATATGTATTGAGAAGCGAATATGAATGAATGAACGAATGAATATGATATGAGATGGAAGCATTTTGGCAGCTCCTTTATACCTTCGAATTCAATTCATCAATCATGAGATTCTCTGAATGCCAGTGAAGTCCCGTGAGATGCCCTTGTCATCAACTTGTCGCTGTTTTGATTTTAGTAATGATCAGCGAACGCCTTTGCGCCTTACGATAAAGCATAGAAGCTTTTTCCAATACCCTATCTTCGACTGTAAGGTAGTCGCTATGTTATTTTTGATCAAGGCGAAGATTTGTAACTCTCGAGTGGACTTCTGTAAGTGATGAACAAAGCGCTACCTCGAGTTTACTAAAAGACAGTGAACAGCTTAGCGTCCGAAAAGCCACATAATAAATCTAAGTCCTTCAAAGTTACGCCCTATGGACTGTTACTGCAGCTTAATATAGTTGCTGCCTTATGTCAGATTAGTGCGAATGGAACTTCCGGGTAAATTTCTCTGATGACCATGAATGCCATTGACTCGCAGGACGGTTTTCGGGTCCAACACTGCCGATAGTGAATTGCTGAAGTACTCGAGAATTGAATCAATGTACGATATTCATGTATAATTTGTCAAATTGACTCTCACTGCAGTCGAGACGTACCCACTCGAGTTGCTACGTACCTAGGTAGGTTACAAGAGCACAGGAAATGTAGCCAAAGCAAGCTCAATGATTATTTGGAAGCCTAAGAATAAAACATGTCTGGATTTGAAAGGAGGGAAACATCACTGAATCATGGATCCACACAAGCATGTGACTTTTTTCGGTGTCAGCTCCAGGCGTACGTGCCATAAACGGACTAGCGTGGCGGGACTGGGCGTAACGGGCGTAACCTCGCCACCTTCCCCCTAGGACTTGATAGTTCCTTTCCGCACTCAACCTAAACACTTCTTCCAGTTTTCTCAATGGCGCTCAGTCACGATAGACACTTCAAGTTGAAACTCGGAATTCCTAGGGAGTTTCCGAGGAAGGTATGTTGTCTTTCTTCTCCACCTTGCTCTCGTCTGGTTTAGGCAGCAGCTCTAACTGGGTGCAGTTTAACGACAAGTACTGTCATTTTGCCGACGGCGTAGAGGATTGCGAATGTGTTAAGAAGAAACCACAGCCGAGCATAGAAGACTGCGAGTTCTACGGTCGACCTGTGGAGCCTTTGGCCTTCTACTTGCCGCCGTTGCGCGATGTCAATCAGCAGATGCAGTCTCGACTTTACACTATCCCCAAGGAGATCAGGGATCTGATCTTCGAGTACGCTTTGGCGGATGACGGTGCTCCCTCGTTCAACTGCGACAACGTGTTCCGTCGTCGCGCCTATGGAACGATTCCCAGTGTGGATTGCGCATGCACCCTCCTTCAAACATGCAAAGCCGTGTATCTCGAAGCATATCGCTTACCATTTCTGTTGAATGGTATGTTATTCACTTTTCCGAATGCAGTGCGAATCTTCTCGGACTGCCTTTTTTTAAAAGTAATCTCTGATCTGACCCAACCGTCGGTTTCTTAGGTTACTTGGCATACCGTACCAAACTATACTACGGAAGACACGATGGCTCCCGGTTCGACAGTCCGTCGCGTCCAAATATGGAGCGCATTGCTCCTGTAAGTTTTATATATATATATCTGCCCTCAGAGCTAATTAGTCCACCAGTGGCAATACGCTTTGATCCAACGGATTGATATGAGCCTCCAGCAAGTTTCTCTCGAAAGCCGGCTAGTGACTGAGATTGAACTTTGGCAACCGGCCTTGAGATACGAAGGTGCTTATTGTTCTCCTCGCTATTACAACTCTCTGCACTCCTGGAACAGCAGTGACCCCCCGGAAGTATCTTCCCACAATTTCAAATTGGTACCAGCAACAATTGAAAACTCCCCATATGGCCCTGAAGATGGGAACAAAGTACAACTTCCGCGTTGGGATATGGTGGAATTCGAAGGCCCAGATTACGACGAATATAACGAAACATATACACAGGTATGCAAAGTTATGGGGAAATTTACCGCAGCCGCAATGGTAGCAAGGCGACTCACTCACCTGACACTTCGCCTTTCCCGGACTGATTGGTGGACTTGGGAAGACGATCCCAACACCACAGACAACGACAAGCAGCTCGCTCTCGATCCATTCCTCGGGGGCCGCAAATCGCGGCCATTGCTTCACGAAATGGTCGAGCTAGCAAACATGCGCCGTGCCGGCTATCATCCTGCTTACGACGATATGCCGCCTACGCCGGCTTCATGGTCACTGACCCATCCTGTTAATAGTACCCCTTGGTATCACGAGCCAGACAATGATACTTGGGGGGCAGCAATCGGAATCATGCCCGATCTCAAAACATTCGAGCTCGTACTCGAGACGTTCGCGCCCAAGAAACGCCAGCTCGAAACAGTCGTGGAGTGTGCTCGAACCTGGAAATTCCCACTCAAAGGGACCGAGTACGAATTGGTATGCGACAACAAGGTTGAAGCTCTGCAGTGGCGCTTGCCTGCCAGCGAGGATCAGAACGCTTCCCAGAAGAGCGAAGACGTTTCTGAACAAAACGAAGGAGCGTCTGAAGAAACCTCTGAAGAAAGTGAGTATGAATTTTCCGAGGATGACGACGAATCCTGGCACCGGAGTTGCACTGAATTCGAGGTCAGGGTGGTTCGCTTCAAGCGGAGGAAGGTGGAATGGAGCTCATGATAGCATACGAGAGGCGGGACATATCTTATGACACCACAGCCTAGTAGAATTCCCCTCATGTAGCAAAACCCCAGCTCCTTACAACATCCATCTTATTCAGCCTCCCCTGACCCCCAGAATACATTCCAACGCGTCAGTCTCACTATCAGTCTCACACGTGCAGAGCACTCCCCTAAACTACACAAGAAAAATCAATCCGAAAAAATCAAATAACAAAAAACAGTCTAGTGCTTTATAGAGCAGGGTGACCCAACCTTGACAATTGCAAAGCCCCAGAGTGAATAAGTACCAAACTCTCAAATCTACAACTCAATGAGCCATTTTCCAACTTACAGAAAATCCATTTCGAACCTTTCAGTGCCCACGAGTGCGACTTTTTTCGTTTCTTCTTCCAACTCACTCGTTTATCTCGAATATGTAATCTATTAGACGCTGAACAAGTCCCACCATCTTCCTTCTTTCTTTTTCTCAATTAGCTTTTCTTGGATTTCACGTGTACATTATCTCACTTACACTCTACAATCTCCCGCGACGGGATTTTTGTAATCTCTTAGTCATCTAGATGCGTTAATATACGTACCACGATCTATCTTCTTCTACCTCTCATATCAAACCATTGCCAAACTCACGAAGACAATCGTAATTCCTTCCTGTTTCTGCGCTTTGTTTGACGGTTGAATCACTAGAAGGGGAGGGTAAAGCGCAGATATACATCCGTGTAATAGTTCTATACACAAAACAAAAAACTGAAAATAAGAGATATTTGGTTCGGCTTAGCGAATCACTGGATTCTGTATAGTAGTTCGAGTAATGCAGTTTCCACATCGTGTTCCACCCTTGGGTCGATAACGGGGGAAGTTGTACATACCCGATTTTCTTCCTCCTTCTCTTTATGTGCTGATCGCTAGACCAGACCCTGATTATTTTATTTTTTTGGAGTGAGTAATCACCGATGACAGTGGTGCGGGACGAGGGACGTGTCCGGTGAAGAAAGACGGGGTTATGCTGGCGCGCAGGGAGTAGGAGAGAAGGGAGGGTGTGATGCGGGACTGGAAAGGAGCTAGATTGCATCATGTACGTCTTGTGTACCTGTTTTTAGGGGTTATTTTTTGTACGGAAGGGGTGGGGAGGGGGGATAAATTGTTTGCCCTGGTGATTTGTTGGGGGTTATGTGGGTGGGGAAGTGCAAGACGTAGCATTCTCGGTTTCGCTTGTTGGAGGGAGGTTGTGGAAAGGTGATGTTATTCTTTTCTTTCTTCCCTTTTTATCAGGTTTCTTTTCTTTTGCGGCGATTCTGTTGGAAATAGATGTATATCCGTGTAGCTATCAGGGCGCAAGAATCCACCCTTGAAGTCGCTTGCTTGCGCTCTCTGGAGTCGACTCTCCCGCGAGCTTCTCCGCATATAGTACAAGTTTCCGAGGAGCGGGGTCTGACACACAGCGGTGACGAAGAGATTGGGGGAGGGAGCTGCCGGCTATAGCGACCGTCGCTGTTTGGGTGAAGCAGGGTTGGCCCGGCTCGGAGGCTTGAGATGTTGGGGGTCTGGTGGAGGACAAAGCTCGTTATTGGGTCTAACATGTTAGCCGGGCTAGACTGAGCTGGGTATGACGAGAGCGATGCACTGTCTCGTTCACCGGGTGATTGTGGTGTGTAGGGTATGTATTGGTGGAGTTAGTTGTTTGGTAGAACCGCCGAGGTCGTTGGGATGTAGGAAGTGTGTAGGGCTGATGTTAGATATCGTCATTTTTTGCTGATCGCAATGACTTTCAGGATGTTGTTGGGTTGGGTGCTCAGGTGGTTTGTCAGCGGAAGTTGACTGTCTACGTACGTGGCTGGGACAGTGGAGGAGGATCTGAAGGCTTGGGTCATGTGACGGCTGAGCTCTCCCCCATTTCAGGCTGAGTCGGTGGACAAGAATATGTCAGGCATAAGCTCGGTTGCATGAGAATGAGGAGAGATTCCAGGGGTATCGATGTTCAGTCCACCGTCCTTTGCCATCAATTGATGGTTTCTGTCCGGCAATGACGCCATGAGACTTCACTTCCCTCCAAGTCAAAATTGCCGAGTGCTTCAGAGGAGGGGGAACTCGCAAGCCGAGGGAGACACAATTGAAGGTACTTGGCTCATTTTGCACTATGATCGCTGCATTCGGCCCGTCCAGAAACAGCCTCACTGTGTGGTTGGTGTTGTAATTGGACTGGCTTTGAAGATGTGGAAGTTGGAGGTTACAGAGTGTCTACCCGTCCGGAACATGTACTCGAAAGTTCTAGATGGGGACGCATATCTGCCCATCTCTCTCTCTTAGATGATGGAGCATAGCTTGTGCTTGGGATGTTCCCTGCACAGAACGGGAGCTAGGTTTGACAGGTCGCGGGCGGTGAGTCCGGTACACGTTCAACTTTGGACACCGTGGAGCTGGCCAGAATGCCCAACCACAAGTTTGACGCCGAAGTGGACTTCTCTGACCACCGAAGTCGTACCTTGTATCTTGGGGTAGTCGAAGTTCACACGGCGAAGGAAAAGATCGTCAATGTCGACTTGGTCGTCCGATAAATACATCTAGGCCTTTCCGAATGCGGCCTAGGCCGAATACACAGGTTAAGGTTAACGAAGCCTCGCAGCAGCCCTGCAACCCAAAAACACTCCAGTTCGCATCAACTCGGAAGAATATCAAAGCCCAAATTCATCTTCAATCGGAAGCATGTGGCGATTTCGGCTTGCTTTTATAGCGAATGTACCAGTTCGCATGGAAGCAGGATGCGCTGGCAATCATGCACGCGATGGCTTTGATCAGGAATCGCCAGCGGTGAGAGGGCGGCAGAATGGATGCCTCACTGCCCAAATCAAGGACAGAACTACGAGCTAAGCATTGCTTCAGGAAAAAAAAGGCCGTCGGGATGATAACAGAGGGCGCATATAAGAGACATGCGGACGTTGGGCGCCGCCAGATGATCATCGCCCCGGGCCTCCAGACAAAACACGAGGCGAAAGAAGTGAGGCGGCCCTACTGTGCTGGGGTTTGTTGGCAGTGCTGCCCAAACCTCATGCCCACCCTAAACATTCTCCGGTGGGCTCAGGTCTTCGTGCTTCCAAAGTCTTTCTGGCTTCGACTGAATTCTGGCCTTTCTGTCCGCTCGTCCCCTCGCGGATATAAGATCGTCTCTGTTTCCAGACTCCTCGCATTGTGTCCTTCAGAGTAGCGCATAGCAAATCATATCAATGCCAGCCAGCCAGCTCCATCTAGTTCAGCCATCACCATCATAGTTCCATACCATACCCAGTTCCTCTGCTGCGCTTCGCATATTTCACATCTTCATTAATCGATACTCAAATATGTCCTCCCCAAATTCCTACTTCATCCCCGGCTACGGCATCTCAAGAGCCGTTATGCAAAACGATATACATTATTATTGCGGTCCAGACGCAATAGTACGTCCTTACACACATCACGTATGTTTTCTTTGATTCCTGAAACCACACAATTCTTCTTGCGACAACAAAAAGCAAACATTTCCACAACCTCCAAGCAGAACTCTAGCTGACCGAGAACCATCAACGCCCACAGGGCCGCGATGGCTTCCTAGTAACCACCGTCGGTCCCGCCCTGACACAGGTAAGCTACCTATTCCAGCTCTCCATCCGTCTCTATACCTTCGCTGTAAAACCCCTTCATCCTTCATCGTCCGCATTCCTCCCCCCTTATACGTTCACAAAACACAACTTTCCCCATACCATCTCCTGTATCATCTCTTTCCCGCATACTTTTCCTTATGTTCCCCGGAATCTATACGTACTCCACATAAAACCTCCTCAACCATCTTGCACAATCCCAACTCGTTTTTAAAGGCACAAATCGAAGACCTCAAAACCGCATCACGAGACTACGAGGAAAAGCAATCCCGAATATCCGGAAACCAACCTGTTGTTGTCATGAATAATCATCGGCGGCGGTATTAATCACACACTCGCACCCCCCCCCTCGCCAAAAAGTCTTCTTTTATTCGATTCTTGTGATATTGAAGGACGAGGGTTTTTATCTTCTCTCTCTACTTTCTCCGTATGTTATCGATGCCGTGGTTGGTCATAACATACGTTTTTCCCCCTCTCCTCTTCACGAATCTCCTCTCGTATCCTCTTTCCATCTTCTTCTATTCCCCTAAATTCATCATGATGTTTTTGTGTCACATTTCGGTTGTCTTGCGTTTCCAGAGCCTACCGTCTACACATCGCTAGCACAGATCTGCTTGTTTCCCATGTCCTTTATTTTTTTTTTCTCTTCTCTTTAGGCCCTGTTGCATATGAAATGCATGCATGCTTTCAGGCGTGCCGGCGCACTGCCTACCAGAGGAGCCAACTATTCTCGTTGTTCTTGTTATCAAGGGCAAAGGGCGTTAAACGCACACGACACTGCTATTGCCGTTGCTTACGCTTATACGTTTTCTTTTCTTCCCTTTGCCCCCCCCCCCCCCTCCTATTATTTTTGATCATAGGCTTATGCCGTTATCTTGCCCGCTCATACCCTTCATTCTCGTTCCTGTTCCGCTATTGTATATAACCGCACCTAAATCCAAATCTATCAATCCATCTGTATTAAAGAAACTCCCCTAAAGAAACTCCCCCGCTTTTTTATTGATCTTTTCTTACTAGCTAAACAAGGTATCGCGACTTGTACTCTACTCCTCTGGGAGCAAAGGGAAGATAGTTAGATAGGACACAGGTGCGAGGAGGAAAGTATTCTCATATACCTAGGTATATATAGGTTTAGCTCTGCTAAACATCAGAGAAATCCCACCCCCTTAAACTACCCACCAAAACAAAAAAACATGCAAGATAAAAGAAAGAAAAAAAGAAGTTTTTTCTTGTTTAGACACCCCAAGATATCCATATCCCGATCCCTTCCTAACCAACGCTTACAAAACTACTACTACTGCGGCGGCGACACCCCACCTCCTACCTCCTATCCAAGTTCCATCAAACAAAACTGCAAGTCAAGAAAATTTTTATCAATTAATGAACGTAAGAGGTATATGCTATACCCAGTACACCCACAAAATAAAAAAACCCGGATTCATCATTGGTATGTAGATTTATAGTAGGATTTGTTAGGAGGTGAAGTGAGCTCACTCGCGCAAAGGGGGTATATATTCAAAAGGGAGCGAAAGAGGGAGTGTATGAAGTAGATAGTGAGCTTAGGGGTGTGGAAGAATGGAATTATTGGGTTTAGTTGGAGGAAGAAGGAGGGTGTGAGAGCTGATTGATGTGTGGATAAAGAGATGTATGTATACGTGTGTGGAGGGGGTGTGTGGGGGATGTGATGAGGATCTTGTTAATGGAGGGCTTGGATTTTTTTATCTAGATTGAAGAGAGAGAAAGGAATGAATTATCCGATTGAGATTGCAAAAACGCGGATAAGCAAGGGGAGAAAGCAGAATTTGATTTCTTGTAGATTAAAGAGAGATGATGCAGTTTGCCTAAGCTATAGAAGTAAATTAAAGGAAACCCAGGAAAGCTCATATATTTGAGCCGCGCGAGTTGCGTGGTTACTTGCGTAGATAGATCTCATCTTCCCTTGCACCGCTCAGGGAAAAAGATAATGCAGGTGTGTAGATAGAAAAAAAATCGAGATGACCGGGATGGATGAATGGGAACCCAGGAAAAAGAAATGGATAGAAACGAGAAAGAGGAGGGAAATCCCAGACTCAGCATTTCCAGTCTCGGATTTTTCCAAATCGGACAAGGAAACAAGGATAGATCTGGAAAAAGAATGGTGAGATAAAGCAAAGACATAAAGAAGAAGGCTGCAAGAATGGATAGAAGCAGGCCAATATCCAAGGCACCTTCCAAGATAGGGATAGTTTCACTCCTCCGTCTTTGCGATGACTTGGTCTTCAATAGTAGCGGTTTCCGCGGTGTCGGAATTGGACTCCAGCTTCATGACTTCGTCTTGGCGTTCTTGTTGTTTGGCCTGCTGGAAAGACAAGATTAGCGCGGAATTCACCAAAAAAAAAGGGTTTATTCTACACCAAAGGCTTCCAAAGAGTTGACGTAAACGTACCCAAGCTTCCGCAAGCTTCTCTCCCAACTTCAAGCACATGACAGCCCTCATGTCCTGTTTCATCGTACCCAAGACCATCTCCATGACGCGAGGATCGCCGTCATCCGCCACGTTGTGAACGATAGCGGAAATCACGAAATCTTTCAGTGAGTCGGGGGCTGTTTCTTCTCCGAGAACGAACTTGAACACGGCTTGCACAGCTTCGGGATTGAGATGCACTTCGATGCTGCCTTGGACCTTGAACGGTTCGGGGTGGCCATTGAGGATATCATAAAGCGCGATGCCTGGTGGAGGTAGTCAGTGGCAAGTAGAGATGGGATATACATGGTTCAGAAACGTGGAAACGGATGTTTCAGCGGACTTCGAATGTAAAATATGGACGGGGAGATGGGGTAAACATACCTGCAGTTTGAAGCCCCTCCACAGTAGTGCGTGCAGAGTCGCTGAGTACCTGTAGACTGACAGATGCGAGATCGTCAAGACCAAGGTGTTGACCGAGCATGTAAATTTTGCAGAGAAGATCCGAATCATCCATGTCCAATTTTTCATTGTAGAGCCATTGCATCAAGGCAAAGACAGTAGTTGCTTCGGTGTCCGGGAGTAGGATGCGCTGTTGCGCGGCGGCCTTGACAACGTCCTTTTTAGCTTTATCGGCTTCTATTATTTTGATGCGAAAGAGCGCAAGATTGAGGCGACCCAGGACTTGCGACACAGCGAGTGGTTTCATGACTTGTAGACGAAGGATGGCTTGGTTGGCAGGATAGTCTCGGCGGGAGATTTGCGCGTCCTGGAGATTGGCTGCATCCTGGAAAAGACTGTCTACACATTCGATTATAGCTTTTGTCAGCTTATCCTGATACTCTGAGAGTGGAAACTGCACGACAGCCTCATGGATGAGTTGTACGGCCTGTAGTCTGAGGTTAGTATTATTTCGTGAACAGGATCCTGGAAATTACCGACCTGAGCTACGGTGTCCTCTCGGCCAAACTGTTTCTCGGAGAGTTGAGGGGGGAGCAAGGCTTTGACCTGATGACGCATAACTTTTGTTTTGGCGTAGTTGCGGCGGATATTCTCCGCATTTGCAAATCGATGTGCGAGATTGGTGCTCTGGTTAACAAGACACGACAAGTGCAACGACGATTGCTCTTTCAGATTTCGCCCGTACTCAAGAGTGACAGTGGTCTGCATTAGTTCTCCAGTGAAGGTGACCTTGCGTCGATTATTCAGTTCGTGGTTGGACTGCACGGACTCTGTATCCGATACCGTGATGGGTGTGTCATCCACGTTGATTGGGTTCAACATCTCGCCGGAATTGCTCAAGACTGTCTGTGAGCGAGATCTGGAGGACTGAGGAGTCAAGTACATTGTCATGGCAACTGTTTCGAGAAGCTGAGAATGGTAAGTATAGAATTGAGGAGTGGTCGGGGGAGAGAGGATGGAGAGGAAGAGGGAGGTTTATGTAGAGGAGACAGAAATAGTGAGAGCTGTCGAGGGTTGTTTTACTTATCCGAACGGCTGGATCATAAAGAGCGAATGGGCACTAAGTGAGATGGATCTGGCAGGGACGCAGTCAACTCAATGAGCTGTGAGTAAGAGACGAATATCAACGTATATGAGATTCCGCTCACGAAGAAGAGAAAGCAGCGGGATTGAATAGTAGGCTAAGAATCATGATATTTGTATTGGAAGAGAGATCGGTTCTTTGGCTGCGTGCCGTCGTACACCATCTTCACTTGAGACAGCATGATGGCCATGATGGCAGGTGAGTGAAGGGTAGGCAGATAGGCCAAGGATACATGAAAGTAGAGAAAATTTGGATCAAATAATTGCGGCCGCTATGCCCCTTTCAATCCAGCGTTGGGGACAGAAGAGAGAAAACATGTTGTGGACGAGATAGTTGACGATGATGTCCATGGTGTTGAGGTTTCCAGGTGGCCCGTGCACACACCCCGCGATTGTGCCCTAGCTTCCGTTATTTATGGGACAAGGCCAAAAACATCGCGACGCCTCACTTGAGCCGCAATGGACGACGCGCCCGGATGGCCTCGCTGAACCGAGACCGCGTCGAACACGCGTTAAACGAACTGCTGGTGCGCATTGTGCCCGAAGACCCCGATGAAGACGAAGAGCAGGCCAACGAGCGCTTCGAAGATGCCTACAACTTCGCCGTCCACGAGCTCAGCAACGCAGGTCCGCTGCCTGTCGCCGATATCAACCATGCCGCCGCCCTGATTGACGAGAGGCTGGTGAATGGCTCCCAGAAGAGTGCCCAGTTCAACAACCTCGTCTCACGCCTCATCTCTCAGCCCGTTCTAGACCAAAAGGCCCGCATGCTGCACTTCCTCCTCGAGCTCTCCGACATCCCTACGCCAGATACTCGCAGCCGGTCACGAGATCCAACCACTCCCTCACGTCACCAGGGCGTAGATGGCCGCCTAGCAGGCAGCCCTTCCTTCAGAGACGCTTTCTCTCGCCCAGGACTCTCCCAGATCCCCGTGAGCGATGGTTCGCCTAAGGCTATAGCCCGGAATCTGTCACCCGCAGAGCGGTTGGAAAGGAGGAGAGAGAGGCGGTCAAGAGATATACCCAAGGAACAGGCGCCTGATGCAGAGCAGATGGGGGTCAACAAAGCGCCCTCCGAGCCCAGTCTTCTGCGTGACTTGCCATTCACTCTGCAAGGACTTTCGTCGACGAATCTAGTCTTTGCGACTTCGCCCGCCCTGAAGATCCCATCCACTCTCCCGGTTCCTCTTGTGAGCCTTCTTCACACCCTGGCTGAACCATCTCTCCTGTATCGTGGCCTATCTGAATTCGTGGAGTCGACCGAAGGCGGGCTTGTCGGTCAAAGCTTCCGGTCTGCTCTGGCCAAGGAACTGAGGTCGTATCTGGGGCTGGTCGCGACACTCGAGGGCCAGATTCGGAGGGCGCTGGCACAGCTCGATGACTCCCAGCCCCGTCAAGGAATCGGCAAAGCCGGTGTTACATTGAAGCGCTGCGTGATTTGGACGAGAGAAGCAACCCAAGGCCTGCGTCTGATGAGTCTGATGGTGGAGGAATCGAAAACCAGAAAGGGCGGCGAACTGATATCCTTGATCCACTCCTTTTCCCTTTCTCATGGTGACCCATACGTTGGCGTCTTCGCCGAACGTCTCTTGACCGATGTCACGCGTCCCTTCTACGACATGCTCCGGCAATGGATCTACGATGGTGAGCTGGCAGACCCATTTGGCGAATTCTTCGTTTCAGAACAGAGCGAGGAGGAAATCCGCGAGCAAAATGGCCAAGAGGGCAAAGGCGGTGCAACAAGTGTATGGGAAGACAAGTACAAGCTGAATAGCAAAATGGTCCCAACCATCATCACCGAGGAGTTTGCGAATAAAGTTTTCCTTATTGGAAAGACGCTCAACTTCATACGCTACGGATGCGGTGACGCGACCTGGGTGGATACGTACTCGAAGGAAGCCTCAAAAGAGCTACGCTATGGCGACACAGCCAATCTTGAGCGATCCATCGGTGACGCTTACAAAACTACCATGGCCAGGCTGATTGATCTCATGGCCAACAAGTTCAAGCTCTTCGAGCATTTGCAGGCTCTCAAACGCTATCTCCTTCTTGGGGCTGGCGACTTCATTGCCGTGCTCATGGAGTCACTGTCATCCAACCTTGACCGACCCGCCAACACGCAATACCGCCACACCCTCACCGCACAGCTCGAGCACGCCGTGCGCAACTCGAATGCACAATTTGACTCGCCCGACGTCCTCCGCCGTCTTGACTCGCGCATGTTAGAACTGTCTCACGGCGAAATTGGCTGGGACGTCTTCACCCTCGAGTACAAAATCGACGCACCGGTTGACGTTATCGTCACCCCTTTCGGTTCCAAGCAATACCTCAAAGTTTTCAACTTCCTCTGGCGCGTCAAACGCGTCGAATTTGCTCTGGGCTCTACCTGGCGGCGTTGCATGACGGGCGCCCGGGGTGTCCTAAGCACCGTCTCTGACAAAGTCGGCGCCGACTGGAAAAAGGTCCGCGGCGGCATCGCAGAAATGATCCACTTCATCAACCAACTCCAATACTACATCCTTTTCGAAGTTATTGAAAGCTCCTGGACCGAACTCCAAGACGCCCTTCACAAACCGGAATCCACTCTCGACGACATGATCCACGCCCACGCGAAATACCTAAACTCAATCACCCGCAAGGGACTGCTTGGTTCGCAATCAACGGATTTCACAGCCCAGCTCCACGAACTGTTGAAAACTATGCTCGCGTACAAAGACGCAGTCGACGGCCTCTACTCTTTCTCGGTAGCAGAATTTACTCGCCGCCAAGAACTCGCCGCGCGCATCGAAACACGCACAGCAGCCGGACGCTGGGGTACCTCAGACTCTTCCCGCGCCCACTCTGCCCGTCCCTCATCCACTGACTCCCCTCTCCCGCCCCCTCTCCTCAAAATCGGCGCAGACGATGGCACAGGAGGGGAAGACAACGATATCCTCCCCGCGCTGCGAAAACGTCTTGCGGCGCTGATCAAAGACTTTGAGACTAGGATCACGATCTTGCTGGGGGATCTGGTGCATCAGCCTGATCATGATATGAGGTGGTTAGCGATGGTGATGAATTTTAATGATGTTTATCAGCCGAGGCGGCGGAGGAAGGCGACTACGAATGCTTCTGGGGCGAGTGGAGGTGGGGAAGGGAGAAGGAAGGATGGGAAGGAAGGTGGTGGAAAGTAGATTTGGGAGGTGTGATGGGGGGTGGTTTTCTTGTTTCTTCTTGGGGACGAGATGGTAGCGCAGAACGAATATCGAATCCGAATGAATCTAGGCTAGAATGAGATGTCTCTGATGCAATGCAGATTTTCACTTCAACTCCGTGAACTTGGAATGTGCTGGCTTATTTACATACCCGCCTACATACCCACCTTTTTCCCATTCTTATATCCTTTCCATCCCTTCCATTTCTTTCCTGCCCACTCTCTTTTCTTCTTGATCGTGTCTCTTTTTCTTCACTCTATGTTTCCTACTAAGCGTAGTGGTGATTCATCGCATTTCCACGCGGCACAAACATTTAGTATTGAAAAACACGATCAATCTGCCTTCGAGCTCCAGGCATAACACACATGTTTATCTTTCCTACATGTTCTCTGTTCGTTGTCTGTATCATGCGAGGTTAGTCGGCAACGGTGCGTCTGGTTGGCGGGAAGAGAGGCCAAGTGAAAGAGTGGCACGACGGCTAGAGTGCTAAACGATCCGATCTATGAACTTGTTTCAAATCGTGCGAGTAATTCTCTGTGAAGCTGGATAGTTGGTATTGGTCAAGGGAGGAGAGGGTTCGTGCTGGGCGGTGATGCTGAATATAGGTAACGGTCATGTTGAGTCACGTGCGTACAAGGAAGGCGCAGCTCAAGTCCGTGCTGACTATGCGCTCTTGCATGTATCCCTCCGAGCCTTGCCCCACCTCTTATTCAGCTACAGCATTCGTCTTCTCTTTCTACAAAACTCTGATTTCTGGATTGTTTTTACTTTGGTGCTCAGCACGTAAAAGATTGCTAGCATCGTCTTCGCCTTCTCCTGTCCTGCACTCGCGATCCTCTGAAACAACCATGTCCGACATTGCTGATCGTATGCGAAATCCTGTTTCCAGCCTCACGCCAGGCAGAACAATCGATCGTCGTCCATCTTCACCGCACGCGTCTTCTCAGCTCGAACTGGATGAAACGGGACTATGCTACAAATGCAGGAACATCCACTTTAAACCACCCGAGCTATGTTCACCAGCATTACCTCTCGAGAGTTTGCTGTCAAATCCATTTCGAGAGAGGTTGTTTCATGTCCATTCTGTGTCAAAAGCAGATTTGGAAAGTACGAAAGAGATAGGCTGTCGACTGTGCGTAAAGTTGCACTTCAATGTTGAACATCCTGAGAATTATTTTTACAAGTCGTATATGGATTCGCCCAATGTCGTTCCTGGATTGATTGTTTTGAGAGTAAAATTGACTCACTTCCCGGATGACAGCCTTCCCCCATTCGAAATACTCTCATTTTCTCTACTCGAGTTGGAATCTACCTATTTTAACGTAGTGAATGGAACTTTAATGTCAAAAATAGGTAGGTCCCCGATTAAGATAGTATGGGAATAAAGCTGACCGCTTAAATAACTAGAGCTATTTGCTCCCTTAACGTGCACGGAGGCTCCACAGCCTCAAATTTCAACCAAGTCCGGGCTTGGATCAAATAGAACCGCACCAAAAACGACAGATCCTACAACTGTCGCATCTATAGCAGACACACATACTGCCTCATCTGCAAGCGTTGATCTGGCTGCAGTGTGGCTCAATCGATGTGTTGAACAACATTTTTGTGGGACAGCCGAAAACCGCGGGTATCCTCTTCCCACGCGCGTTATCAATGTTTCAGATCCCTTGCACCCTGTACTTGAAAATGGCGGTGCTAGATTCCTCGACTACGTCACGTTGAGCTACATGTGGGGTGTCACTAAGAGGTACACAACTAAGAAAGAAAATCTCGACTCTCAATATGCAAGAATACCATTAGAGCTTCTACCGAGAACCTTTAGAGACGCCATCACCTTCACTCATCATCTAGGCCTCTCATATCTTTGGATAGATGCTTTGTGTGTTGTTCAAGATGATGTATCCGACCTCGGAAGAGAGATTGGGAAAATGGGTGACATCTTCCGGAATTCCGCATTAACTCTCTATGTGAGACATGGCGAACATGCTGATTCGGGGCTTGGAACTCAGCGCAACGCTTATGTCGTCAAACCATGCAAGCTTGATTTTAGAATCACGTTTAGCGATGGTCACTCAACACAGACGTCCGCATTTGCGAATTTTGCGCCCCATCAGAATATCAATGAGCATCATCATCCCTTGGAGTATAGAGGATGGGCGCTTCAAGAGAAAGTTCTTTCTAAACGTAGCGTAATCTTTGGCCCGGACCAACTTAGATGGAGATGCCAAGCGCACACTGCTTCTGAAGCTCAGCCAGATCATGATGACTCTAGCCAGGAAACTGATTCGTACCTGAAACTGGATGTTCTGGAAGGCAAAAAAGTGGAGTTGTCTATAAAAGTAGAGAGACAAGAGGTGTTGAAAGCCTGGCTCGGTCTGATCCGTGACTACTGTCAACGGTCACTCACGTATCGCACTGACGTGCTCATGGCTTTAGCGGGAATTGCTAGTACTGTTGCAAAAGCTCACAATCTGCATTACTGCAACGGCTTCTGGGTCGAGGACTTACAAAAATCTCTGCTCTGGCGTGTCGATGAGTTGGATGGACTACCAGGTGCTAGTAGCGACGAATCAGCAAATCCCACTCTATCTGAGCTCCCGTCATGGACTTGTCTTTCGAGAATGCCGGCAAAGATCAGTTTCCATTGGGATAATGGCGGGCAACATAGAGCTATTCTCTATAACATCAAGCATGTCGCGCATTCACCAACACACACATTGTTTGCGGAGCCTTTGCAGGGTGTTGAAATTCCTAACAGCCTACCAGATATATACCAGAACGTCATCCGGACACATCTGACCGTGGAAGGCTACCTTCAGGACGTGAAAATTGGTAAAGGGACATATGACTCTTGGTGTGTTTACAACGCCAACGAGGCAGTCACGCTCGGATTCTTGAGTCCAGACTATGATATTGTGGCTGACCCTCCTGAGGGTGCGGTATGCCTTTTAAGCATTATACATTATCCTAGCATCGGCGTGCAATTAGTGGTTAAAATGCTCTGTCTCTTGCCGACTGGAAATGGTCCAAACGAGTATAGGCGTTTTGGCATGGTTCACCAGAAAATCTCCACCTCCGAACCGGGCTTCGAGTTTGGAAGCATGGATTCGGATCTTGGAGACGAGTGCGATATCTTACCATCCAACTGGCGTGATGAACGTCGCAGGGAAACCATCACGCTGGTCTGACCCATGTTCAAATTTTACATCATGGCTTGGGACAAGAGCTGAGAAAAGTAAAGTACAGAGGACTCCAGGATCTAAACTCTATTATATAACAAGAATCATGCTGCGTAAGTTTCGAATCCATCCAAGATCCTCACAATTGAACTAACTCTAAAACCCATCCGAAAAGAAGAAGCGCGAGTCCTGAAAACCAATTCTCCAAAGCCCTACCGACATATTCCCCAACGCTAGAGTTTCAACAGCACCAGAAGACAAGACAATCGCAAACCAAGATACCACCAACCCTACCACCAACCCTTACAACGGGCGACGCAAGACGTACTCACACACATGTCGATGTCGCCACATAAGACGCTTCCAGATGTACTCACATCCAAACCAAACATCATCCACCCCTTGAACTAGCCAAAAGAAATAAATACGTGATACGAAAGAAAAATGAAGATTACGTCACTCCCAGCGAGATGCTGCGGCCGAGACAACACAGGTGTGGAAAATTCAATGGCGCAATAACTCTGGAGGCATGGGACTTTCTGCGAACAACGAGACTGGACTCTCGGCTCTTTCAATACTTGCTCTACATACTTTTTTGGAGAAAAAAAGGGGGGGATGGGGGAGGGGGGGAGAATAGAAATGGAATGGACGCGTTTGTGGGGGGTATGCATTGACCATGCATCGTCTTTGCCCTTTGCGGAGAGGGGAAAAAAGGGAAGGGAAAGCAACACAGTAGCAGCAGCAGCAGCAGCAGCAGCAGCAAAACACTCCAAACCCAGACCGGATGCTCACCCCGAAGGAGACGATAGAAGAAGAGAAGAGAAGAGAAAAGAACAACAAGAAATATCCATTCATTCAATTCATTTCCATTCAATCATTGCCCATTCCCCCCCTCCGTTTCCCCAATCCCTCAACCCTTATTCCAAACCGGAGCCCAACCATTCTACGCACCTCATTTCATAGTCTGCACCAACTCCCGATAAACCTTCTTCAGATCGACAACATCCTCCTCGAGCTCCTCAACTCTCTCGCTCTTCTCCCCCAGCATCTCAAGCGCACCCTCGTACCTCTTCTTCAACTCGGCCATTTCCCCCTCCACACTGCCCACTTTATCGACTTGTTCCTTGAGGCTGTCTACCTCGCGCATAAGCGCCACGACTTCTCCGCGTGCTTCGTCGCGCTGCGACACTAGGCGTGCCGTTTCTTCCTTGGAAACCGCCTTTTCCGACTCGAGACGCCGGACGAGCGCCGACATGCGCTCGACGAGTTGGACTGAGGGGCCTGCGCCGACGGTGGAGACGCTGAGCATGTCGTTGATGGTGCGGTGCGGGGAGGACGATTCGTCGAATTCGACGCCGCCGAGGGACGGCGTGTTGGACGCGGGCGTGGGTGCGATACCGCCGTTGAGGGCGGACGCGGATGAAGAGAACGATGGGAAGGTTTCGGGGTGCTGGGGAGTAGAGGCTTCGGGTGGTGGAGAGCGGATGCTGGGGGTGTGGTGGGAGCGCTGGCGGGAGCTCGAGGGGCGCCGGGCCTCGTCGAGCATGCGGTCCATGGGCGATAGGGGGACGTCTTGTGCGAAGGAGCGAGGGGTTGCGCGGCGATTGAGGAGACCGAGGGGGTCGGGCGAGTTTCTGCGGTACGATGCCCCTGGTGAGCCTGCGCGGAGGTGGCTGGTGGCATCTGGGACCATGGTGTGGGATTGCAGTTCCAGGCGCCATTTGCTCTTCTCTTCTTCAAGACGCTGTTGGAAGTCGGCCTCCATGATCTTCTTCTCGCGTTCGAGGTCTGCGCGCGCTTCGTTGGCCAGGGTTTCTGCTTGTTCAAGTCTGGCTTGCAGTTTTTGCGACGTCGCTCGCTGTTCGGCGAGATCTTGCTCAAGGGTTCGGGAGCGGTCGCTAATGGTTTCGAGCTCATCTTCGAGACGGCGAGCTTTGGAGTTGATATCCCTGGCTTTTCTTCTGACTTCTGACTCTCGTTTTGCTGTCTCATCACGGTCCTTCTCCAGTGCGGCGACACGGGAAGTTAGCGTGCCCTCAATGCCCTGCCAGTTCTCCGAAGCAAGTGCGTATTGTGTTTGTAGAGTCTCAATTTGTCGGAGCAGTTTGGCTTGTGAGTCTCCAGTCGCCGAAGAAGATACTTCCTCCGATCTGCTGCGAAGCAACTCTAATTTTGATTCGAGATTCTATTTCTTTGTCAGCACGGTCGTCCCATCAATTAGTTTAACAGGATTCTCACAGTGATCTCGCCGCGCAGCTCGAGCTGGGTAAGTTTTGCCCTCTCTTGCTGCGCAGTTGTTTCGTCTCTAGCCATCTGTAGCTCGCGTTTTGCACGATCCTCGGCCAGCTTCTTTTCTATGCGCAAATTGTCCATGTCTTCTGCCAGAGACGCGGCAGCGCGTTTCTCCGCTTCTAAAGCCCCGCTCTGCACTCTCTTCTCTGCATCTTCAGCTCTTGATAACGCATCGTTGAGTTGCCGCCGGAGCTCTGTGATTGTGAGACCCGCCTCTTCCCGTTCCGATCGAATCAGCTCAATATCCTTTTCAATCTTGGCAACAACCTTCAGTCTTTCCTGTGCAGCTTTCTCCGAAGTCTCGGCGCGCTTTGCGCGCTCTGTCTGTTCTGTTATGGCCTTTTCGGCTTTGGATAAGCGCTGCTTGAGCGTCGTAAGCTCCTTCTCGGTTTCCGCAGCTTTGGCACGCAGCTTTTTGATGGTGGTCATGTGCTTCATCTCCGTCTTAGACAGCTTCTGGCCTTCCTCCATGAGGGCTGTAATCTGCGCATCCTTTTCTGCGAGTTTTTTATCCGCTGGTGTGGCGTCTGAACTAGCGGCTGCAGCTTTCGCTGAAGTTGCCAATTGCTGCGAGAGATATGCGAGCTTGGATTGCAGAGCATCTATCCGCTCGAGGTGAGAATGCAGCTCTTCGCGGTGTTCGCGGAGAGTCTCATCGTGTGACTTTTGCAGCGCCGAAAGTTCGGTTTGTAGGACGTCGGGATCATTGGAAGGATTTGTTTCAGGCTCTCCGGCGACAGAAGATTCAAGCGATGGCCGTGAGCGGACACTTTCAATGGATTGGCGCGGCGAAGACGTTTGCGGAGGCTTGAGCGACGGTATGGACATGGACGGCATGGCAGCAGAGGGTTGTTCTGATATAATTGGCGGAGACGTAACTTCGGTCGATGGTCTTGGAGAGTTTGACTTCGTTTCCTCGTTTTTCAATCCTCCATCTTTTCCAGCAGCAGCTACCTCCGCAGCGGGCTCTGATATTGAAATTCTAGAGTCGATACTCGTACGAGCAGCATCTGGCGCAGCGGTCGTCTTCAGTGCTGGACTTTCTGGCCGGGAGCCAAGTTCGGACGATGGTCGCGGGTCTGCCCCCTCTTTTCCCTTGTTCACGGCTTTCGCCAACCGATCCTGCAGTCGCGAGTTGGGTCGGCTTCGGGAGGAGCTTCGGGAGACTTTAGGCGCATTGTATCAGTATTTTGGATGGGATTGCAATGGAGTGCATGTTGATGACGGACCTTGATCAAGCTGCAAGCGCTGCTTGTCTGCTGCTGCTGCCTTTCCCGGGTCCTGCGCGACGGCAGCAGCAGCAGTTTCCTTTGGCTTTGCGGAGGCCTGTTCATCCGCCAGCATATTGTCCAGCCGCGACTCGAGGCCTGCAACGGCATTGCCGAGCAGCGAGCCCCATCCGCTCCTCTGTGTGGTCATGTTGGGTGTGCGCTATGTGGTTGTTCCGATGGATGGATGAATGCAATCCAGGTATGTAGGAATAAAGTGTCTGGTTTCCCGGTAGCGATGCCGGAGATCGATTCACGGCGTCTTCGTCTTGCGTCTGGGTCGGTTCATGGCGTGAGAAGGGGGTTTAGAGAGGCCAGATTGAAGAATGTTGCTGAGGTTGTGCCTGGCGGGGATCGACTTGGGTGGGTAGGTAGAGTACACACGGTAGCACCATGAGATGTGATGACGGTGTACGTAAGCGATTGTGGCTGACCCCAGTGCCAGAAAAAGAAAATTGTAACTAATGATCGGTCTTGACGTGAAACAGGTCAGGTCAGCGCAATCACCAATATAAAACCTCAATTACCGGCAATTGATGTTTGATTAAGCATGTTGGTACATGGGTACATGACGAATATGTAGGTTTTGGAGACCGAGGTCAATAATCTCCAACAAAATCCGTCTCGCCCGGCATGGTAAGCCCCAGATTCAAGACTCGATATATCATGTAACTCATCATTATAGTTCAATTATATTATATACGAACTGTTTTCTCTGATATCATACTGTACATACGCGCGAGATCCACTTTGCTGTTCCAAAACTGCGCTCTGCTCAATTGACCTTCACCATAGACATTCCGACTTTTCCCCATCGAGTTAGTTTATGCTTACTCATTGCCTCCTCCAAGGTGCCCGACCACAGCAGTGCCTGGTGCCACCATCCTTCACTTCGTCTTTGAATTGATAGAATCTCAGTCTCATGAAAGTATTGAGAATGCCTCTCGCTGTATGTCATAGCCCTGCACTGTCCTCCTCGTTGGCAATCCCTCTTCCATGGCGAAGCGCGCAAACTCAATATCTAGACCCTGCATGGCGTCATGTTCTATATATATTTGTTTACTACCAGTCGGAACTTTCATTAAGAAGGTTCATCTGAACTATCGGATGCTTTTGATTCAGATAAAGGAAAAATACCCCTCGCTCTGTCTGTACACATGTATCTCTCAGTCGACTGTCATGCAGCTACATCCCATTCAACATTTTACTCATTGATCTCCCAGTACTGACCACCTGGATGTTGTCTTCTTGTTCTTTTCTCCCAGCCTTTCATCTTTTCTCCTCATAGACTGTATCCAGCTTTGCTAACCAAATTCCAGGCTATCGGCCAAATACGCTCTACAGCATCCGTTTCTCACAACCTCAAGCTATGTCAGAACCTAGTTCGCAAGGCTGCTGCAGCAGGAGCAGATGCTTTGTTTCTCCCTGGTAATTTCTCGAATTTTCCTGGATGAACCTTTATATAATTACAGTCATATCGCGTACTAATCATCTTGAAATACGACTATAGAAGCATCAGATTACATAGCCAGCAGCCCCCAGCAGTCCCTCTCGCTGTGTCAACCCTTGAGAACTTCTTCCTTCGTTCTAGGTCTGCAGGACGCAGCAAAAGAGCACAGAATAGCTGGCAGGTCTCAAGCTTTCGCACATTCCTCTGCACCGCCAACTAACTTTTCTGACAGTCAACGTCGGTGTCCACGAACCCTCTTCGAACCCTTCAAAGATCTACAATACTCTTCTCTGGATCACCCCAGATGGTTCCATCTCCCAGACCTACCGCAAACTTCACCTCTTCGACATCCACCTCGCTGACGGAACAGTCAATTTGCGGGAATCTGCCTCAGTATCTCCTGGAGAAGCACTCACTACTCCATTCTCCACAGCTCTTGGCAACGTTGGCATGCTCATATGTTTCGATCTACGCTTTCCCGAGCCCAGTCTGGCCCTACGCAATCGCGGTGCGCACATCATCACGTACCCATCCGCATTCACAGTTGCGACGGGCGAGGCGCACTGGGAGACGCTACTACGCGCTCGCGCTATCGAGACACAGTGCTATGTCATCGCATCGGCACAGGTTGGCGCTCACGATGAAGAAGGGAAGAGGAAAAGTTGGGGTCATGCGATGATCATTGATGCGTGGGGGAAAGTTGTAGCCAAGCTTGGAGGAGACGAGGATGAAGGAGGGTTGGCGGTTGCAGAGGTGGATTTGGGTTTAGTGGAGAGAATACGCGGCGAGATGAGTTTGAAGAGGCGGGAAGGAGTTTATGGAAGTATTGAATGATGTACTTCTAATACTCTTCCATCTTCTCAAACGCCCTCCGGTACTCCAAATACCATTCAAAACGACAACCGCACTCATAGCTGACACCTGGATCACTTCTCTTCAGTTGCTCTAGTTCGCCGCTCACACCTAGCCAGCTCTCCTACTCAACGGCTCTTCACACGAATCCATAAGTTTCCCTATCTACGTGGCTACCCATCACAACCACGTCACACCTACCAAACCTTCACATCGTCAAACACTTCACCACCACCAACCTACATAACCCCGCTCATCTTCCACGCACTCTCACCTACCAAGTCACTTTCCATCAATATTCCATGATCACATGATTTATTAAGCTACCTTGTACCTTACATACAACATCCTGGTTACCGTCCATCCATCCGTCCATCCCCACATAACCCAAGAAAGAGCCATGTTGCCATCCCCACCCCTCCAAGTCCCCTCATTATATCCCTCCACCCAGCATTTCCACGAAATAATGCGCGGCTTCAAAGACGAAGACTCAATCCTCCACGTCTTCCACGTCAAAGCCCTCATCCTCTCACAGCTCCGCGCGTTCCCTCCTCCATCTGACATCACTCCCCCAGCATCTTCCCCATCCTCATCCTCCTCAACCGCACTGCAGAAAGGGAAAGGGAAAGAGAGAGTGCCGAAGGGGGACTTTGATGTCGTGTTTCGCCCGCATGTCGTTGGAGGGGGGAATCGGGGTGGACATGGGTATGAAGGAGCGAGACGTCATGGCATGATTGAGGCGGTGGTGATTAGGTTTGTAGAGGGGAAAAGTGGGGAGTGGGTTATTTTGCGGACGGCTGAGGGACGGCATGTTTTGCAGGCGCTTGCGGGGGTTTGGAATTGGTGTCTTGGGCTTGGGCTTGGGAAGGTGGAGAGCGAGAACTGATCGGAACGGTTGAGGGTAATTGATAGGAAGGGGGTGAGGTGAGGGAGTTGGGATGGATGGGAAAGGAGGATTTGGGTGGTTGTGGTAGTGGATATATGGGCATATAGGCGGAATTGCCGGATCTGAGCTATCTGGTACTGAATTTCGAAGTCGTTTTTCTATTTGCGCACGTTATTGAATACACATTTTGATGATTTTCGTGTTCATGAATCATATCCAACGCGGTGTTGTGAAGGCCTGCGATATGCTGACTAAGGGTCCCCGTCAATGCACTAGGCAAAACGATGATCCGGCCGGATGATAGCTAAAATTTCGAGCTCTGCTACGGACTTCTGTTCCTTCACACGTCAACTTCTGACAACGCGCCAATTTGCGCATTCGTTGTTTTTCGTACCACGCAAGATGGTTTGATCTTTTGCTACTAATATCACACGTACGATCAGTGTAGCGCCAGTGTAAGTCCAAACCTTCCTTCTCCCTCCCCAGCAGAGGATTAAAACTCTTTACACGAACAATCCAACTCCTATAGCGTCGTGAAGGACTACAATACTCTAGAATTACAATGATGCATACTGTCCTACCAGACTTTGTCCAGTGGAAATGAGATCCAGCTCTAACATACCACCAGGTGTCAAATCACGCTCGGTCGCCATCGAATCGATCTTTTTTCTCAATCAAAAGGTACACTTCACCCCTCCATTTTTCTCCCCGATCCCTCCCCAGCATAGTGATGATTATGTGACACGGAAAGGCATTCCTCAATCCGAACTACAGTGTCGATTCTGTCAAACTAGTTTCAGCCTTGTCTGATTATGCTTCACCATACATTCTTATCAGCGCTCTCGTTGGAATCTTCCTTACTAACTCTGCGCTTTCAGGTACATACCCCGCTTTCCACCCTCAGAGTGGCCTCCACACTTCTCCTATGATGAAACACATCCGATGCAACGGGCGGACAGATCGTACTCTTGGACCGGCGCCCGTTTACAACAGGACGTACAAACCTGTGGGTGTCCGGAAAGGGAGGTACTTGTTGATAACGCATCTTCTGATCGTCCACACACCGCACCCATTGTTCGCAGACTCGTCAATTATTACAGGCTGACCCAGTCTGTAGGTACGCGTCCATCGCATCTCCCAGCAGTGTTCCATCTATTTTATGATGATTCTTGATATTCACACTGTGTGAACGGTTTTACCGTATTGATCTTCAACAAAACAATCTGATTTAATGAGGTAAGTCTGTACGTCGGTTTGGTTGATTGATCTTTGACTAACTAAAGGATAGGCTGATCTCAGATGGACACTTCATCTTCTTTACCGAAGACTTCTTCGTCACACGTCTCAATCAGAAGCTGACATCGTCTTCGACAGTACACAGAACTTTTGTTGATACAACCCTCAGGCTATGATCCATCAGGTAGGCACTTCCATCTTCTCCCCCACACCACTCACCTGATGAATACACAAACTGCATTTTTTTCCGAGTTCATCCTTGAGGAAAACTACACCTTGGAGAACTGACATCCTCTCCACTTGCACTATGCTGGCCATGATCTTTGTTACCAATTGCTAATCATGCGCAGTGTTCTTGATCTTGGGTTTTCGAAGGACATCGGCGGTAGCCAATCGTAGCTTATCATTAATGCATTCAAATTTGTTATTTCACCTTCTTCTCCGAACATTGCGTCCTCGTCCACGTGGTTTCATGATATTTCAATCGGTCAACGGTGATATATAGTCGCTTATGTTCAATGCTGTGTCACAGAAAGGACATTGTCCCAGCTACAAGAGAAGTTGTTCAAAGGTCCCACATGTGAGGATTGACAATTTGGCCGACCTAGAGCGACGGCGAAGGAGACTAGCACTCATCCTCTGCACCCGATCTTGTCGCGGACGTCGTGAGTGAAAGACTCTCAGGTCGTGCAAACCGTACACCAGATTCAAACAAATGACCAGAACTAACCAATCAACTTTCTTGCGATGTTCACATTGTAACCCCGCAGGCCACATTCACTGCTCTCTAGCCTTCACATAGTCGCACAGCCCACGCGCCGCGTCGACGTCTGTATCGCTTCGCTTTGAGACTTGTGTCCAGTGGCCCGCAGAGGACTTGATTCTTATTGCCCAAATTGTAAGATATGGAAGAGTCATGCGCCGATTGCGACATCACGAGCGTCGGGCACCTTGCTGGCTTATTGGTCCATCATGGTACCTCTCACCGAGCAAACAAATATAAAAGCGCTACTATTGATTTCGCATGCGCACAACCACCATAATCCCACCGATTACGCACCTCAACACAATAGGCGGCGATACCATATTGCAGCTCCAGGTAAGTACATTTGTGCGTACTGGCTCAAGTAAGAGCCATTGAGGTCAGATAGCTAACCGCAACAGCCATCACTGGACATATACACACCTGCAACACCTGCATACACTCACCCCACCCACCTGCGACTCTACAGTCTGCAGGCGCATCTGGCAAATCACTCGTTATATCGGGCATCTGAATACCACCCAACGCCTACCCCAAAATGGATCAACCCACTGAAATAACCAAACGCGACCTCATCAGCGCCCTTCCAGACGAACTCCTCCTCCTGACAATCGAGAACCTCAAATTCAACAACGGCGAGACCATCCGCACACTCGCACGCACAGATCCACATCTAGCTCACCTCATCCGCACCTACGAACGCTCCATCACCAAATCCGTGCTCCGCAACGAACTCCCCCATGCCCAATACGACTTCCCACCTACCGTCGACCCGCTCTCAAAGGACGACCCTTCTCCGAAAGATGCAGAAACCCGTCTAACATACACCTGGCTCAGATACTGTATCGACCGCTACGACACCATCGACGACATCATGGCCCTCCTCACGGCGCGCGCAAACTGCGTCGCAATCGCGCGCCACAACATGCCGCTAGTCTACTCAGGCATGCTACTCCTCTACCGCCTGTCAACCCTCTCCTCCACGGCCTCGAAGCTCGCATTCCTCACTTCCCTCCCGCAGGACCCGCTCACCGCCATCTACCTCGCCATCCACACATCCCTGGAATCAGCGCAGTACTTCGATACCGCGTCCTACACCGCAACCTCGTGCGTGGACGCCGAGCCCCAGCCCTCGCTGCTGCACTACTCGCGCTACGGCGTCGACATGGCCGCTCCCATGCTCTCCTACCGCGCCGACATGATGCTCGCGTTCCGCGAAGCCGCGCTCGCCCTCGACCCAGACTTTATCCTCGCAACCCTGCGCAACGACCCCGGAGCCCAGCTCAATCTCCTCAACGTCTACCACGATGTTGCTGCCCCGCGGGACTGGGCGCCCGAGGACCTCGCGCTCTTGAACGTCGCGCCCGTTGTTACGGCTGGGCCCGTTAGCGAGGGAGGAGGTAAGAGCGTGCTTTGGGATACGCTTGTGAGCAGGTTGGCTGGGTTGATGGGGTGTGAGGGGAAGGAGGTTGAGAGTTGCGTTGTCGAGCGGGTTAAGTGGGTTGCTGGGAATGGGCTTGCGTGGTTGGGTGTGTTGGAGAGGTATGGGGTTGTTGGTGGGGTGGATGTCGATGCGAGATAATAAAAAGATTAAGGCGGAATATTGGGATTGCGTTATAAGCATCTTTTTTGGTTACTTTGGATATTGTTGTTATTGCTGGCTTGCTGGCTGGTGTTTTTTTTTTGTTCTCTGGATAATTTGTGGGCGGTTTAATGTTTATATCCTCGCTCCTCGTGGGTAAAAGATGGATAGATACCTATGAACATCTCCCCTCCTAGACAAGCTCTTGCATAGACTTTGTTTTCTTGATACATACCTAATAAAGCCCTAACCCCAAAACACAACAAATCAAAATAAAAACAAACAAGAAAACAGAAAAGAAAAGACGAGCAACCAAATCATCTAACCTCCCCCCACACACAGCCTCTACATCACTCACTCCTTCATATCACATCTCCACCCCCCAGCGAACTCCAAACTCCCCTTCTCAAATCCCCACCAATCAACCTCCCTCCACACCGTATCTCCGATTCCAAAAACTCCCCTAACGAGCCCCCACACCCCTCCGACCCTTTCCTCAACACATACCCTCCCGCTCGCCAAAAAGCTCTCCCTACACCCCCCCCTCACATGCCCGTCCCCCATGGGCGAAGCCAGCCCGAACCAGCCCATCCCCTTGGGCGCAGCGACATCAACATGAATGCGTTTCGTGAACGTGGAGCAAGTGAGAGTGACGGTATTTGAGGAAGGGGAGATAGCGTAGGATAGGAAAGGGGAGAAAGAGAGATGTGGGATGGAGAGTTTAGTGTGGAGGAAAGGGAGGGGGATGGAGAGCGGGGGAGTGGATATGGAGAGGGTGAATGGGGGGGATAGGGAGAAGGGGGATAGGAGGGAGGGAGAGGTGTATGAGAGGAGGAATGCGTGGAGGGGGGGAGGAGGATAGGGCCGCCTCCTGCTAGGGTTAAGGCGTGGATGTGGTCTCCTCCTCCTCCTCCTTCTTCTTCTTCTTCTTCTTCTTCTTCTTCTTCTTCTTCTTCTTCTTTATTTTCTTTGGTTTCATTGGGAGCGTGGTGGTTGGGTTTTCTGTTGGTGTTGTTGGGTGTAGCGGAGGAGGAAGAGGAGAAGGCTTGGAGCCAGACGTGTTTCTCTGGGAAACTGCGCGCCCAGTTCTTTTCTTGATGGATTGTCGCGCGGCCGCGTGTATCCGCACGAGAAAGCGAGATTGGCGGGATGGAGAGGTGGAAGGCTGCGGGGGAGCAGAGGGAGTGGACGTGCCAGTGGAGAGGGAGGGGGAGGTTGACGAAGATGCCTTCTGGGGTTGAATTTGGGGAGGAAAGGTTGTAGGGGGTGCGGGAAGATGTCATTGCTGAGAGGGACCACGCGAGCTTTTTGTCATCGCTTGTGTTTGTTCCGCGAGGATTGGATGGTGAAGTTTGGGTTGAGGAAGGGGTATCCCATCCTGTGAGGTTGTATGTTGTTGTGGAGTCTGCGTCTACGACCATGCTTCCGCTACAGTCGTTTCCTTCGACGCGGAGCTCGAAGGCGTGGTTGGGTCCCGTTGTGATGCGGTGGATTGATGAGACCCAGTGTTCGCGCTGGAAGATGTCCATGCCGTCTTCGGGGTAGTAAGTAAAGGAGACCATGTACGGTGGGAGGCTGGTCGCTTTGGGAACTGCGCAGATTATGAGAGCTAGGTGCGCGCCAGATGGGAGGTCGAATTTGGAGTACCAGCCTTCGAAGGCGGCGGAGTTGTGGGGTGCGAAATGCTCCATTCTGTTTATGGGTGGAACAGCTGGAGGGGAATGGTTAGGGAGGTTGTCTCCGGATCCAGGGTGTCTGGAGAATTGTTAAGATGTCAGGTTGGGTGGGAAGATTCAGAGCTTAAGTTTGATTAAATTGCCCCTTGCTTCACGATGAAAGTTAGCAGTCATGACGTAGTACGAACTTCATTCTTGGCATATGAAGTTATCCATCTCTGGTCGGATTGGAAGTCGCTAGTTGATTGTGGTGTTTTGAGCTATCAATTTACAGCTCATCGCGTGTCTGTTCCTTCACCGTCCCAGTCTTCGCTTGCTCCTTTAATCCCTTACGAACAATGCTCGTGATCACCTCGTAAGCTACCTGCGCAGCGGTGATGCCTGTGGTCTCAGCAGCGGTATCGTATGCCGGGCTGACTTCCACGATGTCTGCACCCACAACGTTCAAGTCCTCGATCCCTCTTAGTATCCGGATCAACTCTCTTGTTGTCCAGCCTCCGGGCTCAGGCGTTCCAGTAGCAGGGGCCATGCCTGGATCAATCACATCGATGTCGATACTGAGGTATACCGGCATTTCTGTACCAACGCGATCCATGATGGACTGGATTATGCCTTTCGGGCCTATATCATCAATATCGTCGGTGGAAATGCGATGCCAGCCTTGATTCGTGTCATCCGCGTAGTCCTGGTCGTTGTCGCCAGATAGGCGTGTGCGGAGCCCAGCATGCACAGAGGAACCATTAGCGATCAGCCCTTCAGTGGATGCAAACCAAAACATGCTTCCGTGGTTGAAGAATGATTGCGTGGATGGATCTTCTGGGTCGATCCAGGCCGATGGATACTTTGCAGGGTGCCATGTGTCAAGATGGGCATCAAAATGCACCACGGCTACAGGCTTCCCATATGCTTTGTTAAGTGCTCGCAAAGCAGGGAGTGCGATACTGTGATCCCCACCCAGTGTGACCAATTTGGGCTTGTGCAAATATTCAGTTGAGCTTGCCAGGCCATTCGCAGTAGAAGCTCTGTTAGCCAGCTCTTGAAATGCCTCGCTCATCTGGCGCAGAGCAAGTGCATTGTCGAAAGGGGTGATGGGGATATCGCCGCAATCTACTATGGTCGCCCACGAGGTGTACGGGTTGAGATTGGCACGTGGATTGAAACCACGGAAGGACGTTTGGCGGGATGACCCAGCGCGAATGGCACGTGGACCAAAACGGGCCCCCGGGCGGTATGAGACTGCAGTATCAAATGGCGCTCCGATGATTCCAATGTCGTATGCGGTCTCTGGATGGGTGAGACAGCGACTGTGGGGAAGATGGGCAAAAGTCGAGACGCCGGAGAAGCCCCACTAGAAGACGATCAACAGCAATCCTATGTATGATGAAAGAATCGGAAGAGACCAACATCTGTACCCCATTTCCTTTCTAGTTCATCGAGACGATCCTGTGAGAAGTCATTCCTCTCCGGATGATGATGCGAGTGCGCGTTGGCAATCGCAATGGCTAGGTTGAGCAAGGCCAAGGTGTATAACATGTTCAATAAATGTCGACGACAATGCGAGCTTGAGATGGAAGCGTACTGATGGCGAGATACTGAAGCTTTTAAACTGCCAAACTACGGTCCAACAAGCGGCATTATGTAACGGGTCTTATCGAAGCGTGCCGTCCAGTGTTAGTAGCAGGTTGTGTAGCTCCGAGGTCGACTGCCGTCGATGGTGGGGAAACGCCGAAATCGGCAGGTCCATGCTGGATGCTGGTGGAGCTCATTTCTGTGTAGGAATATCTGAATATTGCTGTGCAAACAGTTCTGGAAGAGCTAAAGGTGACTTGAAGGATGGGCCGATGCGATGACAGTGGTTATGTCATGGAGATGCAACACCCGGGCAGATATACGCATGTAGAACGATGGCGTGCTGCGGTGGACTGCCATTGCTCAGCAAGAAGAGGACATGCGCAGGGTAAAATAGCCTTGTGTCTTGAAAGAAAGCAATCCCAAGCCCTGGATGCAGTGAGTAAAGAACATGTCCAACTCGCTTCCGATGAGTCTTCGGCTGATGAACTGGCTGTTCACGTGCACGCGCGTTATCGCGTTTGGCGCTCGGACGTGTACTGACAAACAGCGTGAACCTTACTTCCACCCCTTTGAGTCTTTACCGGAGCCCGCTTCCCCAGTCTTCAGTCGCTGCTGGAGCTTTGAGATATCGCAAACTTTCGCGTACCTTTGGCTGTACCATACCAACTTCCCCGGCCATGCCTGAGGTGCGCGCATCAACGTCATCGAACCAGTTACACGAGTGGAAACTGACAACCACAGATCGCAGAAATCTCACGCATAGTGCACTTCCTCCGCAAATATGCCGTAGGAAGAACCATCAAAGCTGTCAAGACCCAAGAAGACAACATTGTCTATGGCAAAGTGGGCACATCAGCGTCTGCCTTCGAGAAAGCCATGGCGGGCAAGAAAATCGTCGGCGCAAAGCAGCAAGGCAAATACTTCTGGTTGGAGATGGACTCTTCACCTCATCCGTTGATGCATTTCGGAATGTCGGGCTGGATGAAGTTCTCCAACGACGAGACTGCTTATTACAGACCAGCTAAGGCTGAAGAATCAGAGTGGCCACCCAAGTATTGGAAGTTCACCCTGGAGTTGGAAGGCGATCCCGCTTGCCAAGTTGCTTTCGTCGATGCGCGTAGGTTAGCAAGGATCAGATTGGTAGAGGCCAAAGCGGAAGACATGCGCAAGACTTCGCCATTGAAGGAAAATGGTCCCGACCCCGTGCTCGACCCGGAAATTCTTACCGTCGACTGGTTGAAGAAAAAATTGCAGTCGAAACGAGTGCCCGTCAAAGCGCTTCTTCTTGATCAAGCCAACATCAGCGGCATCGGAAATTGGGTTGGGTGCGTCAAAGTTCCTTGATCCGTGGATTCATTTACTGACATGCCATGGCAGAGACGAAATCATGTACCAAGCCCGTCTACATCCGGAGCAATACAGCAACACCTTTACGGATGCACAGGTCAAGCAACTGCACGAAGCGATCATGTATGTGTGCAACACGGCAGTTGAGCTGCTTGCTGATTCGGATAAATTCCCCTCCGACTGGCTTATGAAGCATCGTTGGGACAAGGGCAAGAAGAATGGCGCAAAGCTGCCCAATGGCGACAAAATCACATTCTTGAAAGTAGGAGGGAGAACTTCTGCTGTAGTCCCGAGCGTACAGAAGAAGACCGGGCTCGTGGCCGGAGATATCTCGGACGAGGCTGACGGGACTGGAGACGAAGAGAACGCACCAAAGAAAGCCACGAAAAAGAGGGGCCGAGCCAAAAAGGAGGTTGAAGAAGATTCCGAGCCTGAAATTCTTCCAAAAAGCACGAAACGGGGCAAGAAGAAGGGTGATATAGCGGTCAAGGATGATCAGCCGGTCGTGAAGAAGCAAAAGTCGACGACACCACGGAAAGCAAGAAAGGTAGAGCAAGAAGAGTCAATCAAGACCGAAGAAGACAGTGGACGCAGGCGCTCCGGACGCCTTTCAAGGGAATAAGGTGAGGAGGATAGACAGCGGAGAGAAAAGTACAGACTCGAGCCTTGAAGCCGAGTGTCCTCATTACTTCTTGGCTGCGGGGTCGGTGGTGGATGGTGTTTGTATATTTAGTATCAAGGAACGGAACTGTAAGATGGATTGACCGTGGTTTGAAAGCGTGTTATAATTCCAGCACGGCGGCGAAATGTCGTGTTAAGCAGACATCATCTGGAGTGAAGCACCACGCACGTGCGCTCGGGCGCTAACATGTTCGGCGGCTGCTCGCCCGCAAATGCAACATTGAATTTCAGAGCTCCCCACCATCACACTCACGACCGTCCTCACCATCTTTCAGCCTCCTCCCCTCCCTTTCCCTCCCCCACACATCCCTCGGCGCCGGTGCGAGCTGATACACAATTCACTCACGTATTTTGCGCTGGTATCGTCGGAGCCTGAATTGTACAAAATTACAACATCCTCACACGATCCACCTTCACGTCATCGAGCAGACTCGAAGAATCGCCTGGCGAGAAACTGTTCATCCTAACCACGTACCAGCTCTCGCCGATTAACCCATAACACCACCATCATCATGCCTCAGCCGTTACCCGCGAAAGAATCCTCGCTGTTCCGACAGGTGGTCAAATTCTACGAATCCAAACAATACAAGAAAGGCCTCAAGTCTGCCGACCAGATCCTCAAGAAACACCCCAATCATGGCGATACCCAAGCCATGAAGGCTCTCATCCTCAATTCGCAAGGCCACGGCGAAGAGGCATTTGCCCTGGGGAAACTCGCTCTCAAGAGTGACATGAAGTCGCACGTCTGCTGGCACGTGTACGGCTTGCTGTGGAGGTCGGTGAAGAATTACGAGGAGGCGGTCAAGGCGTACAAATTCGCCTTGAGGATAGAACCCGATTCGCAGAACATTTTGCGCGACCTTGCTTTGCTCCAATGTCAGATTCGCGACTTCGAAGGCTACATTGAGAGCCGACGGAAGATTCTTGATGCGCGACCGCAGCTCAGGCAGAATTGGACCGGTCTGGCAATCGCATACCACCTTTCCGGTAACTACAAGCAGGCCGAGCACATTCTGGTCACATACGAGGAGACTCTGAAGACAGCTCCGTCCAAGACCGACCTCGAACACTCCGAAGCCACACTCTACAAGAACACCGTCATCGCCGAATCCGGCGACACAGAGCGGGCATTGACGCACCTACACGAGGTCATGAAGGCTAACTTGGATAAGACAGCTGTGTTGGAGCTCAAGGCCAAATACCAACTCCAGCTTGACAGGAAAGAGGACGCCGCAAAGACATACCGGGCACTGTTGGCCCGCAACAGCGAATACCGCGCGTACTACGATGGACTAGAAAAGGCACTTAGCTTGGACAGGTCCGACGATGCGTCTATCCCAAAACTGAAGGAACTCTACGATGGCTATGCCAACAAGAACGAGCGTAACGATGCTGCCCGACGGATACCCTTGGATTTCCTTAAAGGTGAGCACTGGAAAATAAGCTGCCTTCGCAACGCGCTAACCTGGTAGAAGGCGATGAATTCAAAACGGCTGCTGATCAGTATTTACGCCGAAAGCTCAACAAGGGCGTTCCGTCCACATTTCCAAACATTAAAGCTCTCTACGCGGACGCGGAAAAGAAGGCCATAATTGAAGATCTCGTGCTTGGATACGCCTCGGAGAAGAGCATGAACGGCTCGGCGGACGGCAAAGCTCACGAAGAAGCTTCTCAATTTGCAGATTCTGTGACCTATTTTCTTGCCCAGCACTATACCTATGTCCGAAGCCGGGACCTTGAAAAGGCTATGCAGTACATTGAGCGCTTGCTCGAGAAGAACCCCAAATCTGTCGATTACAACCAAATAAAAGCACGGATATGGAAACACTACGGCAACACTCAGAAGGCCGCAGATACGATTAATCACGCTCGCGAATTAGACTTGAAGGATCGTTATATCAACACAAAATGCGCAAAGTACCAGCTCCGCAACAACGAAAACGAAAAGGCACTAGAAACTATGAGCAAATTCACTAGGAATGAAGCCGTCGGAGGTCCGCTTGGCGATTTGCATGATATGCAGTGCATGTGGTTCCTCCTTGAGGATGGAGAGGCGCACATGCGTCAGAACAACGTGGGCCTTGCCCTCAAACGATTCACGGCCATTGCGGATATATTCGAGGTATGGCAGGAAGATCAATTCGACTTCCACAGCTTTTCGCTGCGAAAAGGACAGATCCGGGCGTACATCGACATGGTCAGATGGGAAGACCACCTTCGAGACCACCCGTTCTTCACTCGCGCAGCTCTGTCCGCCATCAAACTGTACACGAGGCTGTATGACAACCCGGACCTCGCGAAGGGCAACAGTGTCGACCTGAATGGCCTCGATGCAGCTGAGCGGAAAAAGGCCCTCAAGAAGCTGCAGAAGGAGCAAGAAAAAATAAAGAAGGCCGAGGCGGACCGGAAAGCTGCTGCTGCCGCTAAAGCCACCGCAAAGGCAGACGATGGCGAAGTCAAGAAAGAAGATACTGATCCTAAAGGCGAAAAGCTGTTACAAACCAAAGAGCCGCTGGAAGTCGCCTTGAAATTCCTGACGCCACTTCTGGAGCTCAGCTCGCGGAACATCGAGGGACAGAATCTCGGCTTCCAGGTGCACTTGAGACGAGGTATGTGCAGCTAACACCATCTGAGGTAGAAACACGCTGACATGTCAACCCAGGCAAACCTTTGCTGGCTTTCAAGTGTCTGCAAGCCGCGAAAGAGTTGGATCCCAGCCACCCTAGCGTCCACAAGAATGCCATTCTTCTGCGAAACCACTGTACGTCTGCCTACTGCTCCCCGTCGCTTCACAACCACCCCCGCTAACTCCCATCTTCAGTGAACAACCTCAAAGAACCCCTCCCAGAACCCATCGCAGAATCCATCAAGCAAAACTTCACAACCCCACCACCCACCGCCGACGTCGCCGCCCTAAAAGCCCTCAACGACGAATACATCAAAGCGCACTCGTCCAGCCCATCGCACCTCCATAGCGCGTACGACGTCCGCCACCACCTCGACGCGGCATCCAAGTCCCAGAACGAGGATGATTTGCTGAAGACGCTAGATTTGAAGGGAATTGAGCTCGGCGAGGCTGCGGCGGGTGTGGGGCTGTTGAGGGAGTGGAAGAGCGAAGGGAAGGTGCTGGATAAGTACTGTGAGAAGGCGAGGGGGAAGTGGGACGGTGCTGCCACGTTTGTGAGGTAATCGAGATGTGTGTAGTATGTAGTGTATGTACGCGAGTGAGACCAAGGAACTGATGTGAGGTGGAAGGATGCAGTAACATGTCAAAAAGAAGGGTGTTTTGTTCTTCCTTCGGGAGGGGGGGTTTGGAATGATGAGATGGTTGCGTTTGTTGGAAGATGAAAACTGAGCGAAGATGAGGGAGGTTAGGTGTTAGCTGCTAGATGGAGTGTTTCTGTTGAATCAACACGCACAAAGTGGAACAAAAAGAAAGACAGAGAAGCAAACGTGTTGTGACTCTCATCTCCCAAGTCCTCGTGTTCATCCTCCCCCGAGTATATTTCGTACACTACATTTCATACCCTACCAAAATTCAAATCAAAAAACGCCAAAGGGGGGGTATCTTAAGTATGCACATCATCCAACGACAAAAAAAAGAGAAGAATCCACAAAACCCACCCCTAAACCAAATCCACACCCTCCCTCTCAGCACCCCTGACCAAAAACTCCCCAGTCTTAGCATCAGGCGCACACTCCAACGCCGTCCTCCCCTCCCCATCCCTCTTCCCGGCATCCGCGGCGCCCCCCACGACCAAAAACAGCGCCGCATCCCCATGGCCCTCGCAAACCGCATGATGCAGCGCCGTCATGCCATCCGCGTCAGCAACATCAACAGCGCTCTTCCCCTTCCCCAGCAACTCCCTCAAAACAGGCACACTCCCGACCGCAGCAGCGCGATGCAACGGCAGCTGCCCGCGGCGATCCCGGATCCGCGCCGACGCTCCGCCGTCCAGCAGCGCGCGGATCACGTCGAGATTCGCCTTGGACGCTGCGAAGTGCAGCGCTGTTTGGCCGCCGTGGCTCTTCGCGTTGGGGTCTGCGCCGCGGGATAGTAGGAGCGATGCTAGTGGTAGGCCCGAGGATGAGGGTAAGGAGGATGCGATCATTAGTGCTGTCCAGCCGGAACTGTCGCTCGCGTCGATGTGTGTGTCGAGGGAGGGCGTGTGTTGGAGGAGTAGCGTTGCGATGGCGAGCGAGGCGGATGTCGTTGCCCAGTGTAGGGGTAGGCGGGAGTCGGGGTCCGTGACGAGGGTTAGCTTTGGGGAGGCTGAGAGGAGGGATTCGACGGTTTGGACTGGGGAGGGAGGTTGGGTTAGCTTGTTTGTTCTTTTTTTTTTCTTTCCTTTTAGTTATTGTGTTGCGTGAGGAATGAGATTGGGGGTTCAAGATGGGACATACGGTGGCCTTCGCGGCAGGCTTCGTGGATGGCGTATTTGTTTGGTTTGGTGGTGTCTTGCATGGTTTCTTGTTTTCTTGGTGGATTTGTCCTCGATGATTTCCGTCTTTTATTTTTTTGAGCACTGGTATATGTTTGTTCTGGGCTTTGGAGATTGGGAGATTTGGTTTTCTGGCGGAGGGAGAAGGAGCGTGGATGCTGAAATAGCGAGGTTGAGGTGGTGGGGGATGGTCGGAGGTGAGGTGAGGTGAGGTGAGGTGGGATGGCGGGGATCGGCTTTACTAATTCTGCCGGGCGGTAAGGTCGTCTACGAGCCCGTCTGGTGAATCACCGTTGAATGCTAACAAATCCACTACCAACAGTCAAAGAGTTCTGACTGAAGCTTTTTACTAGCCAACCGGGGTGATTCGCTCAAGATGACCCAGGATTTCACATAAAAGTATCTTCTACAGAGATCAATTCGCAAGGAAGAGCAGGGACTCCAGGGTGTCTTAAATACGCTGGTCTTCAGTATCTGACAAGTTGACAAAAGCGGAACATCACCTTCTTCTTTTGAGATATACGTGCTCTGTTCCGGATTCAATCGAATGTCATGTCCTGGTTCAACTACAGACGATCTACAACCTCTCTTACTTCAGTCGTTGTCTTAGAGAAGTGGACGCTCGCGTTGACTGAGTGATCTACTTGGACATGGGCAATTGACGTCGCTTATTGGGTCCCAGGGGCTATGGCAGGGGCAGTGCCGCTCCCGAATGTCCGTCTTGTGAAACTCTCCTGATGAAAAGCTGTGTCTTGTCATTTCAAAGGTCATCAGCAATCATTACTTGCCATTGCACGGGCACGATACGCTTCGCATTATTCTGAATCATCGTGGTTTCATGCGACACAAGCATTCGAGTACAATACATAGTATAATCTGCTTTCGGGCTCCAGGAAGGATACATGTTCCGTGATTATCGCAAAGACACTCCAGCCTACAATTCATCACGAAAACACGATTAACAGCGAATAGTCTTGCGTATTCACATATACGCATAGATACGTTACTTCCCAGATAAATCGCTCTGCTGATTCCGGAATGACCCATAGAGAGTCTCCTGCAAAAGGTAAACGCCCGACTAAGTTATTGCAGAGGAAGCATCACTGATCTACGGGATCGACACATAGAACAACAAGATGCGCGACAAACCGTCCTTGAAGTCGCTCAACCGCAAGCTCAAAACTACAAATCCACGTGCCGAGGTTGTTATAACTTAGATTATGGAAGGTTCTGGCCGGGTGTTGAGCTTTACGCCCATCGAATCGTGGATAATCCTCAGCCTGATACTCACACCAAATATCGCATCACGAGTTTGGAGCGTATAAAAACTGCGGCCACAGGAGGCTGTCGATGGTGCTATATAATCAGCCATGGAATGAGCAGTGTCTGGAAAGAGCTTCCTGAGCAGGGTAATCGAACCGCAAAGAGCTGGCCCCAGTGAGTCATAAAGTGAGCGGTATAGGCAGTAGTGACGAGAAAACTGACGGAAATGGAAAGGGGTGGAAGCTGCAGTCACTTTGACTTGCATAGGGAGCGGTTGTTGATGACTTTTGGATCGAAAGAAAGTTTTCGATACACCGTATTCTTAAAGCTAGCACCGAATCGACCTCTTCGAGTTTTGCGAGGGTATGACAAGCCACAGTGGCCGGCTGTTGATCTTAGAACAGCAATCGAATTCTACACGGAGATTGGTACGTCTTTTCAAATCACACGTATGGAGCCTCTATGCTAACATCTCTTCTTAGACCATCTCCCCGCTCACCAGGCCTTTGGCCATGCTCGTACAGTGCAACCACATCTCACATTGGATGACTGTATTGATGATATACGGCGCTGGCTTCGAACTTGCAATACCCGACATGCAGCGTGCAGTGTCCCCGCTAGGTTTTTACCAAAGCGACTTATTCAAGTCACAGAGGGGACCCCCAGACTTGTCGAAACCGAGACCCTTGACTACGCGCCATACTTGACATTAAGCCATTGCTGGGGCGAGAATCCTGCGCAAATGATAAGATCTACGAAGCAAAATCTTGAAAAACGGAAATGTGGCATCGATTGGGAAGAACTTCCAGTGGTATTCAGAGATGCTTTCTCGATCACCCAGGCTATCGGTCATCATTTTATATGGATTGACTCTCTGTGTATTATACAGGACGATGAAGAAGATTGGGAAGAGGAAGCTTCGGCGATGGCTGATGTCTATTCCAATTCGTTTCTTAATATCGCCGCAACCTTCTCCTCGGATAGCTATACGACACTCTTTTCCGATCGCAAACACTTTGTAGAGCACCAAGCGGGTAATTTCACCGAGGAGCCAATCCATTCTTGGCAAATGAACGATCCGTCCACCCAAACTGATCCGCGACTATTCGCTCGTAAACCACACCAGTTCAGCCACACCATGTTTACCAGCCAAGCCAATTCAAGATTCGTAGCCCAGGCAGAAAAAATCGCCCCTCTCCTTCAACGAGCATGGGTATTCCAGGAAAGGCTCCTAGCGCCTAGGAACATCCACATCGGCTCCTCGGAACTAACCTGGGAATGCAGCACAGCACTTGCATGCGAATGCGGAGGAATATCCCACACATCTATCCACAGCGCAGACCTTGAAGGTCTCAAGCCCCGCTTCGCACTCGCCCGCCAGAACAAACTCCCCGAGAAACAAGTCCTCGATATATGGCACGAGATAGTAACGAGCTATTCCAATCTCAAACTCACAAAACCTTCGGATCGCATAAAAGCCCTGCACGGAGTAGCCTCGTGCATCTCGCGCATTCTACATTGCGACAACATCTTCGGTATCATGAGTACACACATGTCCAGTGGTCTTCTCTGGTTCCCTCGAGGCGGCGCATTAACGCCCCCAGGAACAATCCCCTCGTGGTCGTGGATATCCCGATACGACCCCAATACCTCAACAGCGAAGTTCTACCACGATGTAGAAACCATCGATTACCGCCTCCAAGTCACCCCGATCCACCCACTTGGCGCTCTGTCGACTCCCACCCGGCTGCTCGTCAAAGGCTTTGTGCATCGTGGCCGCTTGATACCTAATCAACCCATGTGTGCACGTGTGCGGATTGAAGCGTGGCATAATGCGATATATTGGGACTTGTATAATAGAGATGTTGCGGAGGAGAAAGAGGTGTTGTGTCTGCTCATGGGCACGAGTAGTATGGATGAGATGCCTATGATGGTGCTGGAGCCGCAAGAGATCAAAGGGCAATATAGAAGGATTGGCGTTGTACGATATTTCGAATACGGGGGGATGAAGATCGAGGGCGGTGAGATTCGGGAGTTCACGCTTGTTTGAGGTTTTTGAGTCCTGCACCGAATTTTCATGCATTGGGGGTATGCGGTAGAGTCTGAGATTCTGGGTGCGGAAAGAATACACGCCTTATACTAGATTAGTTACAAAGATTCATGCTGATGGGCCATCGAGCTTAGAACATGTGTTCACTGTGAAAAGGGTCTGACCACAAACTTTGTACAACCTTTCACGTTTGACACTTTGATATTTTTCCAATCATTTATTCTAAAAAAAAAAAAAAAGTCAAGTCCAAAAAGATAGTATCGTGTGGAGCCAGTAATTCAAACTTTCATTTCTCATTTAGACACGACCGAACAACCACAACACCAGTTTTCTAAACCGTGCTCTCGCTCTCTCTAGGAAAATCAACATGCACCATACGAACACAAGTGCTGTCCTTCAGTTGCTTATTCGACAACCCAGAGCGCGGAGATATACCATGCCGCCCAAACATCGAATTTCGACCAACCCCAAGAATCAAACCCAAGCATTTTGGAATTTGAAATTATGTTCGAAGTTGCATCGAAAACGCCCAGATAGTGAAGTAGAAGAACCGCAAAGGACTTTTACCAGCAAGCGTCTCTTGGAACGGTATGCGAGAACAAAGTCCGGTATATATTTATACGAGCGAGACAAATCGCGACGTTCCCTGTTGCGCGCATCAACAACGCTTTGACGATAGTTCGCCGATGCTGTTTTATTCGATGCTTCAGCTCCTCCGGTTATTGCCTCTCCAATGAACGGGCGTTCCTTGATTGTTCTGCAGCTCGTGTCAGTCGTTGGCTGGGAGTGGGCAATCTATTCTACGGGAGGTGTGGGGGCGGCATATCCATCTACACAGTACGTATTGTTCGCAACAGTACCGGAAGGGCGTGGCCAGATTTCAACACAAAGTGCTCCAGTATAGCTTGGATAGTGAAATTGTAGTGTGGATGGCTTTAGTGTAGTGAAGTATGCTGGCAAAACTGAGCTGGTATCAAGCTGAAAGTATCTGGTCGCGCATGAGTTGTGGCACCAATACTCAGAGGGCATGTTGATAGGGTGGTTTGAACGGACTTCGATATCTTGCATTCATCGTGCAGCAATAATCATGATGTTACGGGAAACCCTGAAAACTTGAGGGTGTAACATTATGCCGATTTATTCTGGCCCCTTGCTGAGCTGAAATAAACTATCGCATGTTAAATGGACTCCAGATATGTCAAAGAACGGGGAACAGGATCCTCTTGAACCAAGCTTCTGACGGAAGTAACACAAGCTCAAACATATATACAACATTAAGAATATAAAACCAACTTTTAACTACTTGATATCAAGCTAACATATCTTTATTGAGTTCAATCTATATAAACATACTTCTCTATAGTTTTGATATAAAGTGTAAAGATCTTTATTCGTGAAACATGTTTCCAGGCAATGATCGTGACTACAAAGTTTAATTGAGCGGTTGCCTCATGCGGTAAGTCAGACAGCACTTTTACAGACATATAACTCTATTGATAGTTGGTCCAAGGGCATGCTGACGTACTGGCGGTTCGTGCTCAAGAATGGATAACCAGTTACATTTCTCGCCCGTCCATTCCAAGCTCACAAAAAGAAATACACCTCCTACACAGCCCCTATCCACAACGTCTCAGCAATGAACCTAATCTGCTCAGGCACAGTACATAACCTCCTCCTTCTCATGGTGGTGGACGGGATCGCAAGCGCTACGTATTCAATATCTTTTTTTATCGGCACCTACCCTCACACAACAGTTATGCAAGCCATACCGGACGATATACTCCCAAAAACAGACAATCAAGTGCAAAGCCGCGGCACCACGCTAGTAGCAACCTGTGTGCTCTTTATCGTGCTCGACACAGTTTTCGTTGGGCTGCGCCACTACGCACGACGGTATCTCAAATCCATGCCCTTCGCTTCCGACGACTTACTTGTGTTGCTCGCGTGGCTGACGCATATCGGCGTGTGTGTTGTTGTGATCAGTCAGTACCTATTTCCTTTGCATCCAAGGTTCATGATATAAACAAAGTGAAGGAAGAGAATAAGAATGATATATTGAGTCTTTCACGGAGAGAAGGACGGAGGGCGAATTTTGTTTTGCTCTAGAGCTAGGGTTTTGACTAAAAATATGAAATAGTAATGGTCTATGATGCTGGCATAGGCCATCTTGGCAAAGGCGACATATGGACCGACCCTATACGTTTCGTCGCCTGGTCCAAATCGATTTACGCTCTACAAATGCTCTACTTCTCTGCAGTAGCGCTACCTAAGATCTCGATCTGCCTCCTCTACCTTTCCATCTTTGATAGAAAATCCACCAGGCTGGCCACGCACCTGATCCTATGGGTGCTGGTGGTGAATTGGGTGGTTTGGATTGTTGTTACCTTGCTACAGTGCAGGCCAATTGCGTACCAGTGGAACAAGAACATCCCAGGCGGTCGGTGCGTCAGTCTTCTCGCCATATATAAGGCTTCCGGCGCGCCCAATATCGCGACCGATGTTGCTATCTTGGTGCTCCCTATGAAGATGGCGCTGCAGTTGCACTTGTCATGGTCACGGAAACTGGGCGTCTTGGTCGTCTTCTGGACGGCGAGTATGTAAGTTTTCAAATGAATCATTGTCTCGTTCTTATGCAATCCAGTCCTTCCTCCAAGACTCATTTTGTTTCTATCATTTGGTCTTCTTTCTCCTATATGGATTCGGAAAGAGCTGATTACGGTAATGAGTTTAGTGGCATCGTAGCTTCCTGCATCCGCATGGCCTGTTTCTTCCAGTCCGATAGGTCTTTCGTGGGCCGCATCGATACCTACCTGTGGACCGTCATTGAGCCCGGCATGTACCTTGCTGCCGTGTGTTTTGTGCGTCTCCGTCCTATGGTAGCCCTCGCGAGGGGAAAGATGCACATCACGAATATCTGCAGCTCGCGATTGAGGTCCTCAAGCTGGGTGTAATAGGGACTGGGAGAGTCTCTAATGTGTTTCCCTGAGTCGGAAGACAACCGTCGTCGGGAGACGCTTTACGGACCGGACCTCCAGCATTCTTGATTTGTGAGCTAGCGAAGCAGCACTTGTTATGCAATACTTCTATAGATATACATTTCTAATATCAAATCCGTGGTTAGAGCGCCCTACTGGCTATAGTATCTAGGGTGGGTCACCTTGGCTCAGTGTAGATATCAACATATAGATACCAACAAATGCCATTCTCTTCGACTTGCGGTAGTCTCGTCTTGGCAGAAGCTTCGCAATGATGTCTCCTACACCTTTCCCGCCTCTGACCCTACTATAAGGGCGCCAAGTATTCGCTGCCGCTTCATTTAGTATTGGCAGCATTTCCAGACATTTGCTTCGCTATCGAACAATTGGGAAAGAGGTTGTTGAGCCGTTGTTGTTGCAAGGGGATGTGTCGCGAAAGAAGTTGGTGAGCGTGCCAGCTCGCTTGTAAACTACGTTATGCATCGCGAAACCAAGCCATTTTCTCATTATCTTTGGGTCACACGCTTCTACGCTGTTGCTACATTATACTTGCTTAAACACTCTCGCCTCTGCACATCATTATTTTTGCCGCTTGTTGAGAGAGTGAGTGACACAGTGATATAAGTAGCCGATTGTTGGATCAAGATGTTTATTGTATAGCCGTGCCTACTAGAACTTGAACTTAATAACGCGACGCCGGAAACTCCGGATCACAATGTGAAAGCTGTAAGCTGGCAAGTCAATCACTGGTTATCTCGACTTCGACTTATTCTAGACGTATAGATTCCTGTGCCTCCGAATTTTGAGGCTTCTTTCTTATGTCTTGTACTCCAAGTGTTCGTGCCGCATCTTACTGCGCCGAATACACGTAAACTTCTACTTGGACTTGTAGAATTGAGTTATCGCCCATATCGCCCCCTCAGGTTCCATAATATGCAGTATGATTAATACTGAATCACTACACTTGTAATCGTTATGTGCGTACTATGTAGGCGATGTAGTTGCCACCCTTTCCTCTAGTGGCTTTGTGTGATTCGTATCGTGGCTGTGCACGCCAATCAATTACCACTTTCTGGTAAGTCTGGATGTTAGACTAGTTATGTGGGCATAGGTCTTACAACGTATACAATTTATTCTTTCTCTTGGCTAGAGGAGAGGGGGAATGGTATTCGTGAACTCAACACCTACCTGGATATTATCTGTGCAGACTGACGCAAGAGTTCTCTCCTGTTTACATGACACAATAAATCTTGACAGAGATACGGAGTTCAGCTAGACAACAGCAGCATACATGTACATATCTTTGTAGTTATTTTGAATAGTTGCATGCCCAGCCTTGGCAGTTTGCCAGTGTTCCGTGTGACGTGTTTAGGCTCTTGGCAGCGCACTTGCAAAAACATAAAGACCGTTGCATAGAAGCTGATCAAAGGTAAACCCCAACATCAAGTTGATCCGATTGCATTCATCCTCAAGCCACGAACGTGCTTCATTTTCCAAAGTATTCCAACGTCTCATCCAGATAATCCACTTATTAGCCAATCACGGCTCTGATCGGGAGGAGAAGACAGTTCCGCCCTCCTTACTGAAGTCTGTATGGATCTCACAAGTTTCGAACATTGTCCACCCACTGTCCTCTACGGCATAGCCTGTAGGACGGTACCTCGAAAGAATCATCCACAATAACCCGACAAATACGCTTGACCGTCCCTTGAAATCTTCATATATCAAGGCGGATTGCACAGCTGGGTGAATAATGAATTCTTGCATCAGCAATGGTCTGGAATGCAGGGACAATCTAAGTGACGAGTCTCCATACGCGGAGTTTAACCGGGAAATCATCACATGTGAAGGTACAAATGGACTCGTTTTACCTTTCCCACAGCCGCCCCAACCGTCTCAACAGTCCTCACCGAAGGAAACCACTCTTCACACACGATTATTGGAGGATACAAGTGGTTTTCACGAACACCGTATCCAGGCTATCAAGAGTCAGGGGAAGCTTCAGTCGCAGGATCCGACGCTACGCAATGCCAAACTCGGTTACAAAGTAGAGTCACTGCTGAATCGCATGTCGAATTGGACTAGAATCAAAAAGAAAAGCGAGGCTGATACTCCAAGATCCCTAGCTGAGAGTTACGGGAAGCGTGGTCACGTAATTGGATACGGTGCCTTTGGTACTGTACGCATTGCCTGCAAGCTGGATGCTGAAGACCCTACACGCACCCGACTTTTCGCAGTGAAGGAGTTCAAGCAGCGTTCCCGGGACTCGCTTATTGAGCATAAAAAACGTGTCATTTCGGAATACTCCATTTCGTCCTCGATGTACCACCCACACGTGGTTACTACGCTTGACCTTCTTCAAAGCACTAAAGGTGCATCTTGTCAGGTCATGGAATATTGCTCTGGTGGGGATTTGTACTCATTCGTCCTCTCAGTTGGGCAGCTTGAAATGGTGGAAGCTAATTGCTTCTTCAAGCAGCTGCTGCAGGGTGTTGAGTACTTACACGAAATGGGTGTGGCACATCGCGACCTTAAGCTAGAGAACATTCTCCTTACCCAGCGCGGAAAAGTCAAGATAGCCGACTTTGGCAATGCAGAATGTTTCCGCATGGCTTGGGAGACAGAGGTCCACATGATTTCTGGGGTTTGTGGCTCTAGGCCATATATTGCTCCTGAAGAGTATGTGGATAAGCAATTCGATGGCCGTGCAGTCGATATATGGGCTTGCGGAATGATATACATGTCTATGAGAACTGGATATCATATTTGGCAGACGTCACAAAAGGGAAGAGACAAAGCTTTTGAGCAATATGTCCAGGATCGCAAAAAGGAAACGGGTTACAAGCCAATCGAGCAGTTGGAAACAGTAAGTACTTATCTGCTGTCTTTGCGGATGCTTTACCAACATCAAACTAGATTGAATGCCGAAACGTCGTTTACTCGGCGCTTGATCCAACTCCCGCACGTCGTCTTACCGCCCAGCAAATCCTGCTGTCAGAATGGGTTAGAAAGATTGAAGTCTGCGATGCAGGCAACGAAGGACTGGACGTATGCTAAGTGGCACAATATGACTTTATGAATGGATCAAACCACCTTAGAATATCAGCAAAAGATAGGGCACGCCTATTATAACGAGCCAAGTCGTACTCTTTCCTATCGCAAAGTCAGCTTCTTTAAAGCTGTATATAGCTTCGTCGAACAAATGAAGTACTTGGCATTTGTCTGCTTTATCAGCTCAAAGCAACTACAAGCCATGCGTTGTTCTCACACAAAGCTCACCATTTTTGTATGTTTGAAGAATCACGTCCCACGTGGTATGTGTGCCTTGGGGCTTCGAGGCTTTCTTAGTGTTCGGTACCCCAAGTGTTTGTGCCGCATCTAACTCTGATGACGATCAAAATACTTCAGTAGGTTTGAAGAACTTTTGCACTAGCAGTCAATGAGAAATATCACGGACAGGTGTGTGTGTGAGCGCGATTTCACGATGTTTTGGAATGAGTAGCATAAATTATCTGTGCCTCAGACGTGATCAAAAGCTATGGGATGGGCGCTTTTAATGCATAATATATTAAAAAGAGCGAAATTTTCAATTTCCTATACTTCAAGTTGACTCGCTTGTGCGATTGAGTTGCTTTGATGCAGATTGATTGGCTGTCGCGCGACAAGTGTTTTTTGCTGCATCCAAATGCGATAAATACGACAATTATTCAAAAATGAAGGGTAGAATATAGCGGACAATCAGACAGGTAACTTGATCAAGACTGAGGTCTTACTTTATTCGTGTTCTCGTGGTAATTCTGGCTGTAAAAATGGTGTTACTGTATGCACGTTAAATAGCCCGCAAAAGTGCACATGTTCCTTGAGTTGAGCGCATTTGACGTAGTGACGTATAAGACGTCCCCAAGATCCAGTGTAGATGTACGGATTTGTAGTGTTGAGGTTGGGAACCATGGTACGTTTCTTGAGTGGCTTTCCTTCATTATAAAAGACTCCTTCAAGCATGCAGACCTTTGATCGAACTCAAAAGAGATTACTCCTATGTTCTAGAAGCGAAATTTACAGCTATGAGATCTATCCAGAGTGTCGACAACTGTTTTGCATCCTCGTTGCAGTTTCTTCCTCCATCAAGGCTTCCATCTGTGCCTCACGCCTCTCCTTCATCTTACGCTCAATGGCATGGTTCGGCCCGGGCACTAGACCCCATGGTCCAGTTCCAATCGCATCCCCTCTAGACCTAATCAGCAACCCAACAAAAACAGGTCCAATGATAGTGTTGAGCAAAATCGCCCAGATAGCCGTGATGAAACCGTCCGCGGACACGTAGGACGTGTTGTTATACCCGATTTCTACTATTAGTAGACCAATCTCTCCGCGTGCAACCATGGCCATGCCCAGCAAGAGCGCGGGTGAAAGTGAAGATTTGAGATCGGCGCTCCGAGAGGATGGGTTGGACGAAGAAGGAGATTCCGTCAGTGTTTGGCCGTTTTCCTCGACATTGTCTACTTGCGAACCCTTTTGGACTTTCTTCGGGTCATGTTGTATCACAGACCATATTGGAATCCATACACCCACAATAAGCTTGCAAAACAGCATGAGCAGGGTATACACAATGCCCCTCCAAATTGCCTTTCCGGTCCAGAGATCCAGAAACGGAATTGCGAACCCGATGCTTGCAAAGAAAAGCGGTTCAAGAACATACTGCTGCGCATCTAGGCAATAGCACTCGAATGTGTGTACGAATGTTGGTGACTTTTCTTTTGAGCGCTCGCCTTCTTCGCGTGACATGACTACAAAGGGGCCTTCTGGGTGTTTGGAAGGAAGATAAGTCAGAAATGTGCCGGCGAGAAAAGCTCCAAACAATATGGACGTGCCAGCCCACGAAGCAATGGAGATGAAAGCCGATAGAACGAGGATCATGAGCATGATGTTGGAGAGGTGATCGAACTTGGCGAAGTGATGTTCGATGAATTTTTGAAACAGGGGAGCGAAAACCCATTTGGTGAGGACTGGCGTAAGCGCTGCCATGGCAGCAGAAGCTACAATAGGTCTTCCAATCAACCACCCTAGATTGACGTCATCTCTGCCGGCCATGTCGCCCAAGTCGTGGATGACGCTGCTCATAACCAGACCTGTGACATCATCAATGACGGCGGCGCTAACAAGCACAGCGCCAACACGGGTTTGACTCAGATCCACACTCTTAGAAGCACTTGAAATAACGGCGAACGTTGTGCCCAGACTCGTTGTACTCAGAGCAGCGCCGATGATGAACGTCTCCACGGCGCCATACTTGAATCCAAGGAATAGTATCAAGTAGCTGAACGCAATTGGAAATATCACACCAGTCGCAGCGCCTAAGATGGACAAGGTGAAGTTTGTCTTGAGCAAGTCGAGTCGTGTCGATAAGCCACCCTCAAAGATGATAAGAATAAGTCCTATATAACCAAGGTAGAGAAATGTTTCGGTCCAGTCATGGTGTAATATGTTGGCCAATGGCTCGCCGTAGATGATTCCTACTGCAATTGGTCCGATAATGCCGGCACGGATGACCTTGGCGGAGAGGTACTCAGATATCCAAAGGAAGGTAAAGAATGAGATAACGATGAGGATGTCGACAACTAATTACCGTCAGTAAAGATTGCAATGTTGTAGCCGCTAGGGAAAACGCGTGGGAGGTGAGACATACTTCCAGGTTCGTGGTACTGAAGAAATGGAGCGGTGTCGTCGCCTGAGGAAGCCATACTCGTATACACGTTGCTGGGCAAGCGTATAGGCAAGAAGATAAGAATGACTTGGTTGCAAGGATAAGACTTTTTTAGGAGGCGAGCAGGCCTTTAAGACATGGCCTTACGTCATCAGCTTCTCAGTAGGGCCTCTCGCTAAGCACCTAGCGCCTACTTCGTAACTATTAGTACAGTGGCATCCGAAATTGATGGGATCAGAGGTATTTTAAAGCGCAACGGCTATCCTCTTTGAAGTAATATTCGCTGTACTGTGCTACGGGGCACTTGAAAGCGAGAGTAGTTGTCAATAGAGCAGCTGCTACAAAGAAAATAATAGAAGTAAGAGAAAGCAAAAGTTGCAGCTAAAAAACATGCAACAGCAGATATTTACTAGTAATTATTTACTTAAGTACAGCTGAGTAAACAGAAAGCTTTATTTTCTCTTATTTATTCAACTACAAGTTATTATTCTGTGCTGTTTACAAGCTACATTCAGCAGAATGTAAATATACGCTACACTGCATTTAGTATAATACTCGCCCTCAAATACAGCCCTCATTTGCTATAGAAGGGCTCAGTTAAGTGTCTCGTAAGCTTCCTAATATGATCGTATAACGCTCAATATATATCGTGCGACAAAAAAACTGATTCTATGTAAGCCGCTATGCACCAGGCGACTTTGTAATGCCCATCATTGGTCCGCTCACCACACAGGACACCACTAACTACACCCTCCCTAAGGACATCTGCGCCAGCAACACTGTTTAAGTGTTTCAAGCAGGCTGGGCACCTCAGTAGCTTAACGAGCTCAACGCTGCCTATTAGGCTGATGGGCGAGACTATCGCAGTGATCTGGCGTGGATCGCAGAGACAGGCTGCCACTAGATCATTGCCGATACGGCGGATTTGCTAGCCGAGAGCTTCAAAGAGCAGGGCAAGCGGAACGTACCGCACTTCGTTACTTAACAGGGTTTCTGGGGCTACATGCCTCTAAAAGCTGTTGTAGAAAGCAATTGCCACCGGCTGCATTTTACCGCCAATCGCCATTCGTCTCCCTCCGCCCTTCATCGCCGTGCCTCGCCTCGCCAACTTTATGCCGCCTCATCCCCTGCTACGCCTTCTTTCTATCAGGTAATGATGATCAGCTCGGTATCCTACTGGCAGGTAGCTATCTAGTTAGCTGGTTGGTGCAATACACTTCGGACGCGTCCACCGCGCGCGTTAAGTCGTGTTGGCTTGAAGGAGGCTGTTCTTACCACAGCACTTCTTGCTCTTGGCTACGCCTTCGGTATGCGAATAACACTAAAAGGAAACAACCATCTCTTGAAGGAGCTGAAACCCCCGTAACTCTTCAAGTAGAATAAGGTTCGGAGAGACTACTCTTAGAGTCTATAAAAGAGATATCGATACTTATAGTGAATAAGAGCTATCTATATCGGAAGAATAGACTAAAGTCTAGTACGTGGCACATTTGCCGTACTTTTTTTTCCTTGATTCACATCTTTCTTTCTCTTAAACCCTGATCTGTGGTTTTCCAAACGTTGCTTCCTATCAAACTCAATCTGCTCAGTCAGGGGTTTCACCATAGCGTCGAAGCATTGGAGATCGTAATGTATGTCATCCATAATCCTTGCCTCAGTCCGAATGTCCAACGAGAAGCTTATATGAGGTATAGTGATGGCAGTGCTAAAGTCGAAGAGATGGCCGCCAAGGTAGTTCTCCTTTCGAACATCCATGTTGTAAATGCCAATGTCGTTGAGGTTTTGCAATCTGTTCCTCATAACAATGAGTTTTGATGGCTTATAGAAGGACTTATATCTGATATAGTCCTTAACAATTGCCCTCAGGGGCTGATTGCCGTCTTCCTGCGCACGATTCCAGTCAAGGACCCCGTACCGTTCTTCAATTTGACGCTCCACAGACTTGCTAAGAAAGACATATCCATGACAACGAACAGCAAGTTTGTGGTCCTCCCCCTTTTTCGTCAAACGTCCAAATGCCCGACATTCGGCGAAGAAAGGATCCAATTGATGACGGACAACGTTGTCGCTTATAGGATGCTCATCTGTTAAGATTGGAGGCCGGAGCTCTTCGAGGCTGACGAAATTGAACTACAGATTCTTGAGCTTTGGGTGATATAGTCCACTCCATTGACTTACCACTTTAATAGCATAAGTCTTCTCATTGATAAGTATTTGAAATACTCGGCTATGGAGCCCTTCACTGGAGGTGTTATTATCTCCTGGATTTAGAAGCTTAATGAATTGTGCATCTTCTAAATCTCCATCGAATGGGAATAGCTTTGGCCCTCTGACTTTAGGAATCAATTTCGACATCTCTTTTCTCTGACCATCTCTTTTTTGTTGTATCGAAATTCACAACCTGGATTGCCGGAGGAACTGGGCTTTGGTTCCCATAAGACGAACACGAAAAGCCTAATATAGGCAATGCGGGGAAGCTCGTTCAATTAGGAACGATTCGCTCGGTTTCGGCTATCATTCCTTCCTGGATAAGATCATGCAGTGCCATAAGTGCGGCACCAGCTGACCAGTCCCCCAAATAATGAACAATTTTCAACCCAGGCAACTATTATCGTCTGATAGGCCGATAGCAAAGCGATCTTCCTGTGCCCCTCTTTCATGGGAGCACCTCTCATGCAAGCCCAGTCAAATGAGTCCAATTGCGCCCGGTTAAAGTCGTGATCAGATAACTGACCCCGCTGTGGTTGGTCTTTCAACAGTGAGTGGTAGGAACGATTGGTCTATCCAATGCTCCATAGGTAGTATCGCTATGCTGAATGCAACGCTGCAGCTCAAAGCCCTGCATACTCGCCCCATCTGCATAGTTCTCCCCAACATGCTGAGTGAGGGAATTCGGGATGAGGACAAGTATATTAAGAAATGCGCACACTTCCGCTAAGACGGGTAACATTTTTTTTCCTTTCGTGTGTATTAATTGGACATCCGGCCTCCGAAAAATCGGATCAACAACATGGCTCAAACAATTCTGGAATACCTGACGCAAGAAAACCCACCTACCGATCGTACACTGTGCAAAAGGGGGACCAGCACTAAGATACATACGGTTTATGGTCCGCATGCAGTGCGACCTTGGACAGATGTCACTTGGGAGAACTTGGATGCAACATTCGGTGAGGTTTTGCGGAAACAGAACGGCGACCCAAGGGTCAGGGATAAATACGACGTTAATCGCAAGCAACGGCGCATATATGAGGAAGAATCGGTCAATGTCTTGGTGCAAAGTTGGAACGTGAACGTGGTTCAGCATGCATTAGATGGGACGAGGGAGACACTGGAGGCAAATCATTTCGAGGAACACCTTGCAAAAGGGACCCTTCATTTCACGAAAAATACAGGAAATGGGCATATAAAGGATGAGAAGGGTAACCTACAGAAGCCCGATTGGTGCATTTACCAAGAAGGGCAGGAACATCACGACAATGGCAGATTCACCTATCTTGTTCCAGGTGACAGCAAGCCAGCAAAAAAATGGCATTCAGACTGGATCAACTGCGATGATAAGCTGCTTAAAAGAAAAGCCGACTTGGGTATCCAGCAACTTACAAAATACATGCACCTCGCGCAGACCCGATACGGATTTATTATCACTGAAGAGGAACTGATTCCTTTGAGGCTGTCAACATTCGATAGAGACTCAGAGACAAGGAATGGAAGTATGCAAGATGTCCATGCACAGCAAATGTTTAGCTCAACACGCGTCAGCTTCGAGGAACCTGAAGGCGATGAATATGAAGACGGTGACGAAGCCTATGATAGGTTCGAGCAGGGAATTGGTCTACAGCAATTTCAAGAATTGGCGGAATTCTTGACAGAAGCCAATAAGAAGACTGGTTACCTACTAGAGTATTGTCGAGTCCCCTGGGAAAACCATGGCGATGGTGTGCTTACGATCAATTTGGTTCTATGGTGGCTTCCTCTGCTGGCGATTCAGAACTCATCGATCGAAGAGACCCGCACTTATTCGTCGTTGGGCCCGTCTATGCGGCAAAAGAATCAAGGTTTTACTGGGTTGCAAGCAGTAAAAAAGATTGACAATAAGGGCCTCAAGATGCAGACATCATCGCACCGCAAACGCCAGGCACAAAGTTACGAGCAGCCCGTTGCCAGGTCAAGGCCTCGACGGGCCTCAGCAAACTATGGCAGTGGAAAACAGCCTCCAACATCACAATCCATGTCAATTCCCTCTCGAAGATCCAGCCGAGTTGGTCGGGACTGTGCAGTTCCTAAAGCGGCATCAGACCTTTCATTTCCATCTGGCAACATGTTTAATCGTCCTCCTAGACACCGGAGGAATAAGGTCAAAGGGGCATTGGCAAGCTCTTTTACTTCCGTGGCAAGTAGCTCGCAAGCTCCCGAATCATTTGCGGTGTCTTTCGAAGGCAGCCTATGAGAACACGCACGGTTATTTGTACGATGCCTGAGGTACAGCTGAGCGAATGGGGAAGCTCTATTCTCATAGTTCTATGGTTGTAACGACTGTCGTGGTTACAAGGTGACTATCCCCACGTGACGCGCTCGCCAAACCTATGTCCTGGGGTAACTATTGCTCGCCCGCCACGTGCTATTGAAACTCCACTAGCTTATACCATACAAGGCTTAGTAACGCGCACGCGACTTCATATCCAGCGTTTTCTCTAACTAGGATAGGGTGTTGACGCAATTGCCGCTAGCGGGTAACTGTAGTTGGCATGTCTTAACGAACGTTTAAGACAACCTTAGTCTCTATGACTGCCCGCGGAAGCCTATACAGGGAGCTATGGGCCGTCCATACAAAACTGAAGCGGGTGATGGCGACGCATTGTTCGAAGAGCTTGTGCGTGTGGGGTGGATGTACGTAGACGAGATAAGCAACTAGTTGGTGGAGAGGGTCGTATTTTTGTCAAGATATACGGTCTGTTATTACTTTGAAAAGAAGAAATGGAGCTGCTACGCCCTAAAGCCTATCTCTATTGCGCGTAGCAAGGAACTTTAGGAGAGCTACTTATGCAACATGTCGCGGCACGTGCAGGAACAGCTGATGTTCATCAACGGGGCTATCTTTAATTAGAAGTCTGGGTGGAGGCACTGCGCGTACGGGCCTGTAAGGGTGGTAATTGGTACGCGCAGAATCTTTAGCGTGGAGCAACGTAGGCTATCCTCCTAGCGTACACTGTTGACGGCGGATACCTGCCATGTACTGATTATAAGGCTGGTTATTACAGTTGAGAGGAGTTCCTAGTGTGTATTCAGCTTTCACTTCTGCTAGCGCTGCGTCAGGTATACGGCCCTGTACAAGATCGCGTGATTTGCCGTTTCTTGGCGCTCACTCACCCCTCGACAGCCCTCATAAGATGAAAGTATTTATCGAGCATCCACATTGAATCATTCAGCCATGGTCTTTCAAAATATAAGTCTGACGTGCATGAGAATGACAGCGGTGCTGGCCAACGAGCCCGACATCGAGCCCGACATCGAGCCGGCGCGCCCGATAGGTTTACTATTCGTTGATAAGGATGTCATCGTCGCGTGACTCAAATGGAGGCCAGCAGTATAAGAACGCATCTGTTCAGCTGCTTTTGAGGGCAACCGTTCTTGTCATTTGTTTGATTTTCATCTCGACTGTTGCCGATCTTGGAACAAGCCCGACCCAAGCATCAGCTGCGTTCCCCAATTCAGTGTTCATCATACTTCAACATGTACCGGTAAGCATATCCACCGTTTTATGCGCTTTTCTGTGCTCGGCTTATGTCTTTTCATAGTTCCGACGAATGCAATCCCTTGATGACGCAGGGATTCAGAAATACGCTTCCTTCAGGGTTTGCCGAAGATAATACTATCTTTGCGGAAACTTCCCTTGCGGATTCACTCTCTACTGATGAGTATCAGTGAGTATATCCCCCAAAGCAACATTTAATATACCCGTAGGTTTGGTCCAAGACCTGTGCAAGGTTTCAATTGAACCACAATACATACAAGACGACGATATCATACTCTCACAGGTCAGAGTCTTCATGGAGGCAGCCGGAACAAACACCGAGCTGTAAATGCCCGACCCAGAAAAACAGACAGTCATTTAAGCATCCACAACTATGAACGCCAAGAATACATGGAGCGGATCTCAAATGCGAATCGCATGCAATCGTCGCAACAGGGCAACGAAGCTAGCGCGAAGTCGGGGAGAACGAGGCACAGAAGTACGCCGAAACGCAACCATCAACAATACTTCTAAGAGACAGGGCAAAAAAAATTTCTGGTTACAAAAAAACATATCATACCACGTCACGATTTGACGAACGCGCTTGATTAGCCTTGCAATGACATTGCACAATCTCCGCCCTGTCCGGCTGGCATCGCAAACACGATGCCAACCTTGAGAGCCTTTCCCCCGCCAGGAATGCCATTGAGGCTGACCTGATGGACTAAAATCCACGGGGCCACTTGAAATGGAGAGTTGCTAATATTGTCGGACCAGGGGGTTGATGCTTGACATGGTGGATTGCCAAGATTGTTTTCGCGGCTTCGACCACGTCAACTACCTTGCTGTCAATGACTCTGCTCCATTGAAAAGCTGGATGGGGTGCAATGAGCAAGGTTTGGCTGCGGGCCCGAATAGGCATGCAGCTCCGAACCCCCCTCAAAATCCTTCTCCAGTGGCCGATCAGGCGATGTGGAACCAATCCTCTGGCACTTTCCAGTCATTTGATGATCCAGCAGCATCTTTTTGCACTCCCGGAGATCTCTCGAGGTATGCAAAAAATCCCTTTTCCCGGAAACGCCTACTCATCGTCATTCTAGCCTTGTTGAACAGGATCCCTGGGGTGCGCAGCACATGTACACGAATGTTTTTTCGCAGCACTGGACGAGCCTCCCTGAATTCAACACACGTTCTCCTTGGCCTGGGAATTTTTCAGATGGTCATCAAATACCCGATTCGAAAACCACATACACCCATGAGAAGCCATCCGAAGGCCAGCAACCCATCCCCAGCACTGCAATTCCCACCAAGCAGAAGCGCAAGCGCCGGGAGCGGAGGGCAGATGGAAAGGTTATATGTGAAGTTTGTGGGAAGACCTATCGGTATACTACGTCAGTGCGAAAGCACCTGATACGTGATCATGGTGAGCCCAGGCAGCCGGCAACGGGCAACAGGCAGTGGAAGGGCCAGAAAATTTGAAGAAATCAAGTTGTAATACCTAGTGGTTCTTTCTCTCCAAAGCAACTGAATTAGTGAAGATCGGATACTAAGACTTTGGCCCTTTATGTGGTTTTCACAACGTCTAGGGGCACAAATTAAGGTTGTAATATTTTATAGTGTTTGTTACTGCTATTTCTCCACCGCTTTAGTAACGTAATTCCCGGGCGAGTGGACACCCCGACCGAGTGGACACTTTTTGCCAAGACTACACTAAAACTACAACTTTAACAAAAAATTGCAACACTAGCTTGTATTATAGTTTCTAAAAAACTTTTTTAAGGACCCTTTTAGTCTTTACACACCCTTTTAACATATTTATAAGTTATGCCTAGTTTTACTGCAAGTTTTATAGTGCCTTTAAAAAAGACTAGCTTCTTTTATATATACTTTCTTTAACGCCTTCTTTTTATTACTATATACTCTAAACTCTTTTAAAGCTACTAAGCGTTAACTCTCTTTAACTATAAGTGTTTCTTCTATCTATATTTACTTTCTTTTATGTAATTTATGTTGCGTAGCAGCTTTATTTATAGCTTAAAGCTTAGTAATTTTTTTTTACGCTAGCGCTAGCTTGTGCGCTATAATAGCTGCACCTTTAGTAAGCTTTTTAAAGGCTTTAACTATTAAAGTTAGTAAACTATCTAGATGCCTTTAAATTCTTGTCTTTACTAGCGTTAACTAAGACTTAATTTTAAAGGTATTGCTTAGGGTTTTAGACTCTTAAGGCTTCTTGTTTAAAAAAAGTAGTGTTAGCGTTTTTAGCTTTATATTAAGCTTTAATATTATAGCTTTTAGGCTAAATAAAACTAGCCTAGCACCTCTAAAGCTTCTTTAGATATTGCTTTTAGTAATTGTGTTAAAAAAAGCTGCTTTAAAATATAGTAAGAACTTAAGTTTAGTAATATAAGTAATTTAGTTGCATATTAAGTTCTTAGCTTAGCGCTTATATACCTTTTTTAATAGCGCAAAACAACTTATATTAAGTAGCTAGAGAAGGTGCAACAAGTATAAAAGTATATATAAAAAAATAATTTTTTTCTTTTTACAGCATTTATAGAATTTAACTAACTTATAGCTTTTATAGCTATTTAAAATAAGTAGTTAATAAGTGCTAACTACTTTTTCTTTTATATGCTTGTTAAAGTGCTCTAGCTACTCTACTTTAAGCTTATTTATTGTTTAGCTATTTTTAGAGACAGCAATAGCCTAGTTATTAAGTAGGCCTTCTTTTTTATACTAAGTAAAAAGGTAGTTCTTGCTAGCAAAGATAAGAAAAAGTAAAATTGCCTACTTTATTATATTAATTTTCTAAGTTACTGTAACTTACTCTTAGTTGCCCTGTTATAGTTATTTAGCTTACGCTTTATGTTCTAAACTAGTAATAATAAAGGTAGTTAATATCTTGCCTATTATAAAGCTAGATTTATTAAAGTTATATATATTTTTATTAAAAATGCTATACTTAGCTTTAGTATTCTCTACTAGGTAGAACTAGTTTTAAATAACTTTAAGATCTTTGCAGAGAGCTCTCTTATAGTTATATACTTAAAAGTATTTTATTTAAAGCTTCTTTTAGTAGTTAATAAAAGTGCTAGCTTAGTTCTTGCTAATAGGTAGCTAGTTGCGCTTTATAAGTAAATAATTAGCTATAGCTTTTATATTAGTAACTTAAGGCGGAAATCCTTATGCATCTAGCTTAAAGATATAATTAATAATACCTTTCTCTTTTATTAGAGAAATCTTTATTAAATTAGGCATAGTATTACGTTAAGAAAAAGTACTAGCGCGTTATTGTTAAAGTATACTTCTAGATACTTTATATATATCTGCAGCGCGTTTTAAGGAGAGTTTTGTATTTTAATTAAAAGCTTAAAGAGTAAGTTGTATATTAGCTTTATTTAAGTAATTTTTAGAGGTTTAGTGTTAAGGCATTACGTAAGTAGTGTTATTTTAGTATAGTTTTAGCAAAAAGTGTCTACTTAGTTAAGGTGTCTACTCGCCTAGAAATTACGTTATAGCGTTTTAATAAAATTACTAAAAAGCTGCTCTTCTTAACATACTCTATTAGCAAACTTAACACATTAGTAAACTTAATAAAATCTTTTAGTATACTTAACTTAACTTTTATAACTAGTATTATTACTTTTAAAACTATTTAAAAATATATACTATATACTTATATTTAACTTAAAAAATACTACTTTATTATTTTAATA